ATCAAAGCACATTCTTCAACGTAAAATCATGGGCCGACAAAGACGCAGCATTCCACTCAAAACTCGCCTTCGATCTCGACGGCAACGGAATAAGTGGCCGCTACTACAAGCTCTTGTCTTCTAATACACTTCCCCTGAAGCAAGCTCTTCTTCGAGAATGGCATGATGAGAGGTTGGTGCCATGGGTTCATTACATACCCGTCAGTCAGAGCTTGGAAGAACTACCTGAGCTGGTGAATTACTTGACGTTGAACAAGGCGGGACAAAAGGTGGCGGAGAAGGTTGCGAGACAGGGGAGTGAGTGGATGGGCAAGGCTGTGAGGGATGTGGATATGACGATTTATACTTGGAGATTGTTGTTGGAACTTGCGAGGCTGCAGGATCCGACGAGGAAAGGGACTTGAGGCTGATCTCATCTGCCTCGAGGAGCAAGAAAACTTGTAACATTTAATAACAATTTTAAGAATAAGTAATCCGAAGATATATTGAACTTACCCAAGTTTTTTGTTTGTTTTGGGTAGAGGTCCAAAGTCTTGTTACCTCCTCCTTTCTTCGTCTTTGCTCTTCAACCGTCGCCTGTATCTCCTACTCTGTCATCTGTCGTGGTTACAGATTCTGGTCTGAGATTCAAGGCATCAGTCCGTTGAAATGGTACCTTCCCTGAAAGAAGCATGCCTTCCGCCAGTTTGCGGGAAGTCGCTTTCTTGTGGGGGGAGGCACAGATTCGTTGAACTGCCAGAGAAGCGACAAAAGGAAGGGGTGGACTGTAAGCCATGATACACTGCTTCTTCGACCTCCACGTCTCTCAAGCTTCTCATCTTCTTTCATCACCATCATCAGAATCCATCATCAAAACAGCACGTTTATTCGTCAGCATCAGCCCATCAACTCTGTTCATTTCTACATCCAATATCGTTGCTCGCTCACAAACATTCATACTATCAATCATGTCTCCAGACCCCCCATTTCGCCTTATCGACCTAGAAGGCCCCCACTCCAGCGTGTGTATCGATCCCGACATGCAGCCTTACTGGAATCTGTTGCTCCAGCGTCGCCTCGCGTGGATCCGGCATAACCGCGACACTGCAAACATCGACATACAGAACTTGTTGCCTGGCCCCGACGGACTTCCAACCTGCAACAACCTCTCCTCCGAGCCCGAAGGCTTCCAGCCAATCCCATTCAATAAAGATCGCGCCAGTTTTCTCGACCTCAAATTGCTCTTTCAGCCTGCCAACCGTGTCTGGGCTCAGGAGCACATCGTCGAACACGATACCGTCGAAAGGGTCACGAGGATCCTAGAAGAGAGATCAACGGCAACTCATCTCGTCTGGGATCAGGTCCTCGATTGGCTCATGAACTTGGATGTGACCAGGGACATCAAGTCTCTTGATCTGATGGAACGGATTATGGACGCGACAAGGGTGTACACGAGGGACTCTAACCAACTCACGTACCTGGCCAAACAGCCACACTGTATTTTGGAGTACAAAAAGTTCTGTCGCACGTCGTGTGTTCAGACCATGTGCCGCATCATCGGACTCGACGTGGATGATAAATTTACCTGGTTAGGCCAGCCGTTCAAGCACAAACGACTCGTGTGTCGTGAAGACCATATTCGCAACATCATTCAGCCCGCGCATCAAGCTCTTTCTGGAAAGATGGATAATCAGGTCGAAGACATAACCGCCTATGTTGCTGAGCGTGTGGGGGATCTACTAGAAGCGGAGGACAATCTGGCACTGCTTAGACGACTTGACCACGAGTTGGTCGTCATGATGCATCAGGTCCGCAAGATGCAAGTATGAACTTACATCCATGAGATAGGTCAAGAAGCATCCATGGGATATGATTTGATAGTGACTAGGCTCAGGGGTAGATTAGGCGTAGTTGGGCTCGAAAGACATGACTACGATTACAATCAACAACAGAGATATGAATTGCTGAACCCAAATACGGAATCCATTGCTGGTTGTGTAGGGTAACACGATGCTCAAGATGCTCACCATGGCCATATCAGTAATCAACAATTAACCAAGCCAACCTAGGCACCCACGGACACATCCATAGGCGAAACTTGTGACTTCTTATTTAAATGACAAACCGACTTGTCCAAACTTGGTATAAGTCAGTAGACGTGTAGATTGGTCTTTTTGGAACCTGCTCTCCTGCTGTACTACCCCAGGCCACCATTTAATGAACTGAACAAGCCTAGCCACACCGTCAAACTAGAGATCACCACTTTAGCCAACATCAAAGCTCTGTCACTCAGGGGTTTATCCGCTGTCAACGGTAGAACCGGTGGGTGGTTAGCACGCGCCGGACAAGAAGACTAGCAGGATTGGCATCTTTTTGACGTGATACCCTTTCCTTTTCGCGTCGATCACGGACACGATGCTTTGACCAATCTGACAAAATACCGATCTGGTGGCCAAGGCTTTTTCCGCATTCCTTGACATTTAATTGTATATCGGCCAACTTCGTCATTTGATGTGCTAGACTGGCCACTAAAAATGTCACTCTTGAAGAAAAACTTGCGTCTAGGCACCCGCGATTCATCGGTAGTGGCGGAGTCTGGGCTTTTTTTTTTTTTTTTTTTTTTTTTTTTGTTGGTCAATAGCGCGGGGTCTGGAACTTGAGTTAAAAGTGGATTTTGTTGGAAAGGATGATAAATTGGGTGATCGTGTTAATTCTACGAGATTGTGTTTGCGAAAGGTGGGTAGTGAGATCGGGCGATGTGAGAAGTGATAGGGCTGATGTATGTACCTTGCATAAAGCTGTGAGTTAAGTGCTGATGATGTTTGTTGCGTAAGTGGCATAAATGAGGAAGCAAACATTTGCGCGATCATGAACTTAGCTGTACGAATACTTCACATGTCAATTATCTAGCTGGTCTTTATTATTGCCTTCGAACAAATGAGCAAGTTTACCCCGTGATTGAAGCACGTGTATCGCTCCGACAAATATAAACAATGGTAATGGCAATTTCCAACTTCCTGTTCGGAGCAAGAACTGAGATTCACTTTTACCTAGCGTCAGTGGAAGATTCCGATTTCGTAGACCCAATCAACGTCGCTCGATCTTCAGGTACGCGATGACCCCTTTGCCTAGCTTCGTCTTCTTTCCCCCGTTTCTGCCTAGTCCACACCACCAACACTTGAACGTGCTGTACGTGTGCTCATTCTCGTGTTGTTAATCTTCCAGGCGCCTTGCCGTGCAGGCTTACCCTAGATCCCGTGTGGACAAATGAGGCGGAAGGATCCATTTGTGAAACCACGACCTCCCAGTAACAGTCCTGAAGAAAAATGAGATTTTCATTTGAGTGTTTTAAATTGAGATCTTGCTGTCGCATCATGATATCGTAATTGATTGAACGTTTCACGCCTAATTGTGGATAAAGAAAATATCATGACCCAAACACTCGGGTGCCAGTGACAGTGACTGACAACCAGCGGAATTGCTCCGAAGTACAGTAGCGCCGTCCGAAAGGATGCGGTAATTTGCTTCTCCATATCACTCAAGCCAATTGCGTGGGTCCGATCTGTTGCGCGCGTCTCTTTTATTCCCCAATTAATTGCCACTGCCAGACCCAATCTCCTGGGTTCGGACTGATTTTGGCATTTTCCCGAGTCCTCCTCTCTCTTGTGGTGTCCCGGTCTGTTGGGACTAGACGGGGTCTGTGGCTGGCTGGTAGTGTAGTGTAGTGTAGTGGATTGAGCTTAGGGGATTTAGTTAGTGCAGACTACTGGGTGGGAGAAAGTGCACGCGGGGACAAAATCAACGGCTCGAGAGAGGGCCAGATCTAAGAAGAATCGTGGTGGCGTCATGTCCGAGCACTGCTTCTGGCACTGACCAGGCGGGAGGGGATTGTCGGCGAGTGTGCCGTGCCACTGTTGGTGTCAATTGCTGTCAAGAGTGTTGGGTTTGTGTGTTGGTGAGGAAGAAGACATCTAGATGATTCTGATTGCAGCGCTAATTACAATAGAGTTCATCGACAATACCCTCTGTTCAATAACGACGCAAGCCACTTTTGCTTCCCTAGTGTAAATTACCCAGCCGTGAAGTGAAAGCCACCTCTTCGCGTTTCCAGTGCGGGCAGATTGACAGCCCCCTGTAAACGCCACGAAAACACCTGGAGATACGGGAGGCTCTACGCGGCCGATGCGATGCGCACTGATACTAAGCCAGTTAGTGGTGGCTAAATAAACACGAATGGACAGATAAGGTGTGCGCATGCACATAGGGACAAAAGAGCACAGTCTAGACAGTTTGTTTCATTGGTAAGTGTGTGCGAGATTGCCTTTCCGTCCCGTGCCGTCGTCCATCGGACTTTGTAATCGTCCAATGTTACATCAGCTTTGTCTTCGTGTGAGACGTCAGATTTGCAGAAATACGGGATGTGACATGTTCATTGTTTCCCTTGCTTCCTGCGGAGTACGGTATCTGCTTAAACGGGGTTTGGTATTATCGGATTGGATGGTTTTTCTTGCGGGCGCGATTGAGTCTGGCGTCATTCCAGCTGTGAGGGCGATACTTTTTTATTTTATTTTTACGAGGCATGCAAGTCTCGGGCTTAAAACGTGACGGCTGGTTCAATTGAGAGAAGAAAAAGCAAAAGAGTCTCAGTTACGCATGCGCAACGGTTGCATAATGGTACGATATATCGTCACTTTGTCTTTTGTAAAGCTCCCTTACATTGAATCCTTCGAGATACTTGCAGTGAGGTTGGCAGTGGAGGTTTAAGCAGGGAGATAGATGATCACGAAATACTACAGATCAGATTTGGAATGAGAGATAACATGTGCCGGTTTATTAACTATTGATCCTCCCAACTTAACTTAACTTAAAATGCACCAGGAACCTGGAATGCGGCACAGCCGCGCGTAAAGCTTATCATTCCTCGAGTGCCGTTTGCGAAAAATGGAGAGGAAGGCATCAGAGCGCCCAAGGTATTTAAACAGAGTCGTGAGCCCAAAACCCACTTGGCCTCAACGCCTCCAAAGTAAAAAAGTGGTGCGGAGAACGGGAACGGGTCCCGGTTCTTTGGGACTCTCACTTTTGGCAGGAAATTGATTCATCGCATTTAATTGACTTGCATATTATGGGGAAATAGCGAGGAAAAAGCAATATACCAATGATGCCATGCATGGATTCATCGTAGGGCTATGGGGTAACAGTCCGTTTACGACAGGTCTCCTCTCAGTGGTTCACGTCAAGGAAAGGAAAAGCAAGCCGCATCACAAGGGATGAAAAAAAGTTCGTCCTTAGATGCGGCCCCTTTCTTTTTAGGGGGAGCTAGACCTTTAGCGATGCCTTGATCCGGACAGAGTTGAGATTTGGGGATCTTGGGATGATGGAGGTAGACAAACTTCGGGGCTTGGTTGTTACGAGTCTAGACTTTGGCTGGAGTAAACCACTCGGGTATGGTTTCCCCTTGCATACGCATACTCCACGTGGCAGTTGTTTATACAGTATATCTGCAGTGTTTATCGCCTGTATCTTGAGCTGGGCTGAGCTCGTGATGGGGGCCCTGTATATATTGGTAGCAGGTATAATAAGCAAGGATGGCTGCTTACTGGCATGCTTACCATGCTACGTAAATTGCCATTCATGCGTGAAGAAGGTGGTATTGACGTGGCTGGAGGTGGCATTCAGGTTTCCAATTGATACCGTCCAGTCAATTCTCTCATTCGGTTATCTCACGATCCATATCTTACAGTGGTAGTAATCGTCCAGTGGAGAGAAGGTCAGGGGTCCGAGACATCAGCGCACTCAAGAAGCAGGGAGATTTTTTCGCATCGTGACTCAAATGCAAGGGAAGAGCCAAGAAACGCATACATAAACGAGGCTTTCCTTTCTTTTTTTTTTTGAATCATTTCCTCTTCCTTCTCTTCTTTCGCGATTAAAGCGATTGTCAAAAATCTCCCTCGAATCCATGTCCCTGTTCCGCGTTTGGCGCCAGGAACGCTCTCTGTATTCCCGTGGTTTGCTCTGCTCTAGCGCCAGAGTCTGTTGCCATGGGCTCACAGAGGGGGATTGTTCAGTGGCTCGCAAACTAAACCCCCCATATTGAGCAGATCTTTCCTGTAAAGCACCCTTGCGTTTAAAATGTTTCAGGCGAAAAAAAAAGAGTCACGACCCAACAGTACTGATGACCAAGAGGAATATCCATTTTCTGCAGGTTCTCATTTTGCACCCATGGAATCTCACAGGGTTCCTTTTCTTAATCCCGACTCGAACTTGTGATCGTGATGACCCCCTTGTGCTTCACGCTACTGTAACCGCGCTGCGCTACTGTCGACACTAACAATAGATCTGGACACAGTGTAGCCTCGGCCAAGAAGGTAGCTGAACAATCACGTTGCACTGTGAGATGTGTGACACGGACCCTGTGAAATTTGCTGACGATTGGGGACAACCCCTCTCCTCTATCCCCTGCACCCCTGCAAAGCTTAATGTGAGCAGGCTTTGCTCCTCGGGTGACGATGTGATTTGTCCCCGGGCTGTGCCACCGTTACCTTCAAAATCTTGTCACTGTCGAGTGTGTCTTCAGTGCTGAGATTTGAGTGTACTCAATTATCGTGGTTGCATGCGCTTCGTCCGAGCGTACATGTCTTTATTGCTTGTGTGGTCCCTGTACAGTAGCTGCTGCACTACTCTTTGCTTTCATGTTTGCGATATCTGATGTATCTTTCTCCCCGTTTCTCCCTGCCGTTATTCCCAGTACTTTTCTATCGGATCGTTATCTTTCCTTGCAGCTCATGCCTTGAATTGGGTATCGTACTTGGCCCAGGCTGGTAATAAACCCGTCCCTGTTTACTTAACGACATAACATCGCGTCGCCCAACTTCCCCTCACCATCACCAGAGACCCAGGGTCTGTGGCACTTGGTCTTACAGTCAAAGCGCCGATCTGCTCTGTAACAGGGGCTCCCCTAGCTTGTCTAGCTCGCCTCGATGGGAGCTGACGGGTGTGGACCCCCCTGTGATCTTGGCTGCATGGGCGTGCGCTACTCGTTCAGGCCGGCAGATCCGTTCCGCCTTAGACGACTTCCGTCAGGGACTAGACCTGGGAGGCCATACCAAAGCACACTGCTCTCCTCCTGGGCATTTGCTTGTATGGGATGTACAGTGCGGTACCTGACGGTAGGAATTCTCGACTGGCATGCACCAGACCTGATCTCTGGGTGTGGAACTGGTTCGAAAGAGAAAAAGCGCCATAAAGGCTGATTGACCTCCCCATTTTTAAAGCTAAAACAGCTTTGTATCTCTTTTCGCCCGCACGCACAAAGGGAACAAGATCCCCCCCCATCTTGGTCTCCCATTCGTTTTTATATACAAAATAATGACCGCCGTGGGAACCGCTCAAGCTGCTGCAGAGAGACACGACAAGGAATACTCTTTCATCGAAGCCCTTGCTCTAGGTCCCCGCGAGTCCTTCTCCCTCGTATCAAAGGAAGCTCTTGGCCTGCCCTCGTCTCCGAGCAGTCCTGTCCTCGCCGTCGCCCCATCAATCACAACTGTTGCTCCATCTATCGCACAGGTCACAACCGTCACACGACCTAGAACTCCTCCTCAGAAGAAGCAAGTCGTTCCTGTGTCTTCACAGGTCCACGTTGCTGCTAGTCCTATCAAGAGCCCTACTGCGCCTGGCACATCGCACTCCTCGCAGAAGAGAGCTCCCAGTGTTACCACTAACACTACCACCGCCGTCGCTACAGTTCCGAGATCGCTTAACAGCAAGAAGAGCAGCGTCATGGCCAACTCGACAAAGGCGCAGAGCGCCTGTCTGGAGCTATGCCACAAGACCACGGCGCTCGGCGACCGCATCTCGGTGCGCATGCTCGAGTATCTCACCATGGTGACCAAGCAGCCCCACGGCCTCGACACGCTCGCCCACGACTTCCTCGACACTTGCGAAATCCTCTTCTCCATTGAAGCTGGTCTCGGCGAGTGCATCCGCAACCAGCAGACGTTCCCCGGCGACGTCATCTCAGAGCTGAGCAAGAAGTTCCGCGTGACGCAGGCGGATTTCCAGCTGCTGGACCAGATGCTGGGCAAGTTCCTCGAGAATGAACGTAAAGGTGCCATGGGCCGTATGCGTCGTGGCTGGGGTCGCATCTTTGGTGATAATGACATCGAGAAGATGATCAGTGCCCTTGGACGCACGCGCGAGAGTCTGCGTATGAGTGCGCTTATGTTTCAGTGGAGTCTGGGTAATGAGAAGATTGAGAATGAGCTTGGTATCGGCTACACTGGCCTCGCTGCCGCTCTCGACCGCATGGATACCCGTGCTGGTATGGCGCCTAGATCGAAGCTCTCTGACCACGGTGGTTCGCAGTACAGACCTTCTTCTGCGTCGCAACATCGTGGCGTGGAGGGACACAGCGCCATGTCGATGGCTTCTCAACCCCCATTACCTCCCCTCCCCTGGACGGAGCGATCGTCGTCTATGCGCGAGGATACCCTCGCTGCCTCACTGCACAACGATGCTCGTTCATTTACCGGTCACCATCACAACACTGCTAGTTCAATCGCCTCCAATGAGCGATATCACTCTGGCACCACCGCTACCTTCGACCGCATGAGCACCTTTGACGAACACCATGAGACACGGTCGCATCACACTGCCGTGTCAGATAGTGAAGTCTCTCTCGAGGAGCTTTCGGGTCTTGATCTCAACGGTGGCACAAAGGTCGTGCGACTCAAGGCCGATCCCTTCAGCATGCCCCGCTGGAACCCGAGAAACACCGTCGGCGCCGACGCAGCCAACCTCAAGTCCGCTCTCCTCACCGCCGTGCGCGGCAGGAACCACAAACTCATCGAACAGCTGCTGGATCGTGGTGTATCTCCCAACACTGGTCCCGAGCATCTCGCCCTTAAGGAAGCTGTTCTCAACAGCGACGCCGAGGCCGTTCGTCTTCTCCTCCTCTTCGGTGCCGATCCCAACGGCACTGATCGCGATGGTGTAACACCGCTCTTTGCCTCCGTGGAGAAGTCTTTCCTCGCTGGTGCCGTTCCTCTCCTCAAGTACGGCGCTGATCCTCGCTTCGCTATGGGTGAGGATAACGAGACTGCCCTTGCTGCTGCTTGTATCGCCAACAAGGTCAACTTTGCTCACCTGCTTCTTATTTATGGCGGTGATCCTAATCAATTGACCGCTACGGGCGAGACGCTCCTCAGCAGCGCTATCAACAAGAAGACGCCCAAGAAGTTCATCGACCTCATCCTCGACTACGGCGCTGATCCCGATCTGAAGAGTCGTGAGGGAAAGACCGCCTTGTTCGAGGCCATTCAGAACTCGCGCGTCGATATCGTCAACAGTCTTCTCGACCACGGCGCAAACCCTAATTTGCCTGGTCCCAAGCACATGCTCTGGCCCGCTACCTACCAGAGCGCCTGTCTCCAAGTTCTCCTGTCCCACGGCGCTGACCCCAAGAAGGCACCCGGTATCATGGAGCTTGCCGTCAGTGTCAACAACATCGAGTCAGTCAAGGTCCTCCTCAACGCAAAGGTCGACCCCAACCAGAAGAAGGACGGCGTCTACACGCCCCTCTGCACATCCATCCGCGACAACCGCCCTGATATCTTCCACCTCCTCCTCGCCAACAAGGCAGACCCCAACGTCCCCGCCAGCGAGTATCCCGCCTTCAAGTGTATCACGCACAACCGTCTTCAATTCCTCCCCCCTCTTGTCGACGCCGGCGTGAACCTCAGCTCTCCCAAGGGCATTGTCGAGACTGCTGTCAGTGTCAACAACATGGAGGCGCTCACATGGCTGCTTGAGAAGGGAATGAACCCCAACGACAAGAACCCCAAGGGTCACTCACCGTTGACGACTGCTATTCGCGAGAACAGGGTCGAGATGGTTGACTTTTTGCTCAGCAACGGTGCTGATCCTAATGTTCGCGGCCAAGACTGGCCCGTGTGCATGGCTGTCCGCAACCCCCCTGTGCTCAAGCGCATCCTCTCCGTGCTCGCTGAGCCCCGCGCCTTCAAGGGCGTCATGGAAATGGCCGTCGTCGCCAACCAGCTCGAGTCCGTTAAGCTCCTCCTCGCAGCCGGCGTGTCAGTCGAGGACAAGAACGGCGGTGTTTTCTCGCCTCTCACGTCCGCCATCCGCGAGGACCGCAAGGACATCGTGTGGTTCCTCATCAACGAGGGCGGCGCCGACATTAACGCCCCCGGCGAGCATCTCCCCGTCGTCAAGGCCCTGCGCCGGTACCGCGGAGACTCTGAGATTCTCGAGTTTCTGCTCGAGCACGGCGCTGATCCTAACAAGGTCTACCGTGGATGGAACGGTGTCATGCAGGCTGTTGAGAACGGCGATGAGCAGATCCTTCGTCTTCTGGGTGAGAAGGCTGGGTTTGATCTCGATGTTAAGGATGAGCTTGATCGAAGTGTCACTGAGATTGCTGCTTCACGAGGCTGGGATGAGGCAGTTCAGATTCTGAAGGAGTACGCCATGGTAAAATCTGCTTAATTTACGGGGTCAGTGTAAGATGATGAATGCTTGGGATTGGGATGGGGTTGGAGTCTGTGAGATTGCTTTATGGGAATTGGACTGGATTGGACTGGATGGTTTGCCTGGTCTTGTGTCCTTTTTATATATATCCTCTTTGTTTACCTTGGGCATTTTCTTTTTTTCTTCGTTTTGTTCATATCCCACTGGTATAGTACTACCGTGTATCTGCTTACATTTTCTTTGTCAATCTATTTGTCGACGATAATACAGATGAGCTTTGAAGCATCATGATCCCAACTGTGAATGTCTCAATTGAGTGCGCGCGACATGTTGCATTGACATGCAATCTTGACCTATCTATTTGTTTAAATGCCATAATTTATAACCTGTTTCCCATGTTGACATGAACAGATTTAATCTGCGTGTACGCCTCCAATCCCGCCTCACCAAGCTCCCTCCCAATTCCACTCTGCTTAACACCACCAAACGGCACACGGGGATCGCAATCCTGGCTACTATTAATCCAGACCATTCCCGCCTCAATCGCAGCAGCAACGCGATGAGCCTTTTCCAAATTCGTCGTGAAAGCAGCAGCGCCAAGTCCATAAGTTGTATCATTCGCCAACTCAATCGCTTCCTCCTCAGTCTTGAACGTCGAAATAACAACAACCGGACCAAAGATTTCTTCGCGGAACACTCTCATAGAAGGCTTGACGTCCGTGAAAACAGTGGGAGAAATGTAAAATCCCTTGTCTGAACCTCCGACCTTGAGGGGATGACCGCCTGCTGCGACTGTGGCGCCCTCTTTTTTGCCAATGTCAATGTACTCTAGGATTCTCTCGTATTGAACTTTGGATACCTGCGGTCCCTGATACGTCTCCTTGTCCCACTGGTTACCAACTTTGCTAACCGTGTTCAGCGTATCAATAAATTCCTTGATGAACTTCTCGTAAATGGTCTCTTGCACAAGAATTCGCGACGTCGCGGTGCAGATCTGTCCTTGGTTCGACATGATGCCGAAATGCGACCACTTAACAGCCTGATCGAGCTCTGCATCGTCAAACACAATCAACGGGGATTTCCCGCCCGTCTCGAGGGTGATGTTTTTGAGCGTTTTTGCTGCGACGCCCATGATGCTAGCTGCCGTGGCTGTTGACCCCGTGAAGGCGATCTTGTCAACCAATGGATGCTGTACCAACGCAGCGCCCGTGTCCTTGCCCAGACCATTGACGATGTTAACAACACCAGGTGGGAAACCGGCTTCTTTGATGAGCTCTCCCAGGACTAGAAGACTTAGGGGCGTCTGTTCCGCTGCCTTGATGACAACTGTATTTCCACATGCAAGCGCAGGCCCAAGTTTCCACGTCGCCATGGACAGAGGATAATTCCACGGGATAATCTGCGCAACAACACCAATCGGCTGACGAATTGTATACGCAAACTTCTTCGGCGTTGTGTTAATCGTCTGACCGAACGTCTTATCAGCCCAGCCGGAGTAATAGCGAATAACGCCTACGGCCTCAACGAGATCATTCTCCAGCGTCTCAATGTACGTCTTGCCGTTATCCCAAGCGTCAATTGTAGCGAAGAGCTCGCGCTTGGACTCAATCAGGTCGGCGAGACGGGCCATGAGTTGGCCTCTGTCTGAGGCGGGGAGATCTCTCCATGATTCATGGCGCAGTGCGGCCTTGGCTGCTTTGACGGCTTTGTCAATGTCTTGAGAATCTGCAGATTGAACTGTTGCGATTTCTTGTTCGGTGCTGGGCGTGTTAGTGGAGGTACATGGAGTGAGGGGGAGGGGAGCTTACGCGGGGTCGATTGATGTGAGGGTTTTGTTGCTTGATGAGGGGACGAATTCGTTGTTGATGAAGAGGCCGGTTGGTTGAGACCATTTCACTCCGTTGGGAGCAGTGAGTTCAATTGAGGCAGCCATTTTGGTCTGGAGTGATGAGATGAGCTGGTTGGTGTAGATGAACCTTGATGCCCTGGACGAGTTTGGGAGAGGGCCTCTTGTACTTGAATCCTTGATGTATCTAGTATGGCAACTGACTCTCAATTCAATCTGATATACAGTAGACTGATGAGAATGGCGATTGTTTCCGTTGTCTTGATCGCGCAGACCTTCTCTTTTTAAACCCCGCGCAATCATCCCCACTACCAAGATAGGGAAGTGAAGCCTACAACGACAGCGCTACCTTACACTACCCCGCATCTCCATCGACCTACTCACACTGGGCAAAGAATTACATCCAACCGACACTTCATATCATATGACTCAAGATAACAAAGAATATTCTTATTGTCTATCAATTATCTCGTTATAGACTAGCTTATGTTTACTTTCGACTCTCTGCCTCTTCAGCCACAGCCCGAGGAATCTCTTCATCAAGCCCTGTCTCACTTGGTTTCCAGCCCAAAACTTCAGTGGCGCGACGGGGCTTGCTTCGGGCATTGCTGCCGAAGAAGACTGAACCAGCGGGGAGTGCAGTGTCGACTTCTGGTTTATACAGTTCTTCGACTTCAAGAGTATCGATGAGTCCTTGGTCCTTTGCTGCTTTGGCGACTCTATCTGAAATATCGGCCCATGTCTAGATTGTTAGCTTTGTGAGGCTCGTAGAGCGACTTGAACTTACCAGCTCGCCGACACCGGGAAGATAAATCCCCTTCTCACCCCAGACATTCTCATCCTCACTTCCCTTTGCGCCCTTCTCGGCTAAAATGGTGAATAATCTTGCGAGGTCAGCGACGTGAACATTTGTCCAGGCTGCTAAACCGCGACCCGCTCTGACGGCATGGCCTCGCTCGATCGCGACTTTTGAGAGTGCGGGGATTTGAACGCTGCGCTGCTTAACTGGACCTTGACCCTTTCCGTAAATAATGGGAGGGAGGACGAGGGCTGTTTTGATAGACGGCGTTTCTTTGGCGATTTTAAGAATGTAGTTGTCTACCACGCGAGAGTCGTGGCTGCGGATGAGGTCCAGAAGGGAAGAGACCCCATCGAGATCATCCCAGACTTCGCTGGAGGGTTCACCAGGCTTGAAGGACGGTGAAGATAAGTCCTTGACAGGCAACAAACTCGCACCAGAAATTTGAATCAAATAACCTATCCATCGTCAATTCGGTCCTTCTCATTCAAAGTATCATGTCTCACCATTTCCTCTCTTTGTCAATCCCCGATGAATCGCCTGCAACGATCCAATATGCTTATTCGACGCAACATCTAAGTTACCCTCGTCAGCAACACCACACCACCAAAGTTTCATGAAACATCACTGACTCAGTACCACAGAAGCTTGTGAAGCCTCCTGTTCCACGAGCGCACTTTCATCTAGGTCGCCCACCACAGTGCGCACTTTCGGATACGCCTGCGAAATGGTCTCAGCCGCGTTGGCGTCGCGCACGAGCGTGGCGATGGTGTACTCGGGATGAGCTTGTGTGAGCTCGTGGAGGAGCTGACCGCCTACGTAGCCCGATGCGCCGGTGCTGCAGTTGTTAGTAAGCAAAGGGAGAAGGGGTTTGGGGTCTTACAGAAAGATTGAGGTCATTGTTTGTGTGTTTACGTGGTGCTGGGAGTGCTGTGCTGGATGGAGGTGCTGCAGCTATGGAGATGGGGTTTTATGGGTGTATGTTGTGTCACGAATATTATTAAGCTACGCACCGCTGGAATTACGACACTGCGGCGATAATGGCGCATGAATTACTTGTTTTTATTTGCATGCGCATGCATTTATCAGCCACTCGAATAATGAATGATGTTATAAATGAGGTCAAATGCAGTCGTCGCGGAGACTTGCCTTTTTAGTGCCTCCTAGAGGATCCATCGCCTCTAGATGAGGAATGCTACATTGCAAAGTGGAGACAAGCCCGTCGCTGGCCGTATCACCAACTACCACCGAAAGAAACAAAAGGAATGGGACCAGAATCTCGAAAAGGCTTCTTGGCTTTATGCTATAAATGTTGATACGTGTATTCGAACGCACGACCTGCAAAAACGAAGAGTGGCGCAGGGAAGAGAGTTTTAGGATTTTAGGTGCGGACTTATAGAAGGTTTATGGGTTCATAGGTAGATACCACTGCACCACTCTTCGTCCAAGGTATATAGAGTTATTTTGGAATATGAGAGTAGGGTACAGAGCGAGGAAGATGGAATATAAAGGGTAATCCTACAAAGCATCAACTACTAGCTGCGCCTTTAGAACGGAGCTGGCAAAGAATGGTTAGCTGTTGCTGTGTTTACTAATTTCGCTATAAGCCAAAAGAATGTAATCGGAGATTTGAATCAAAGGCCTTATCAATTTGGGCCATCAGCGGGTCACAAGTTCCGGCTGAATTATGAATCTGTATATTCGAGCCTGCAATCTATGAAAATAATTCTTCATCACGTTTGCTACCTTCTTCATAAATGGGACAAGGCCTCACTTAGACCTTCCCTAATGAAATACGTAATTGCATTTCTTTCCACGATATACCGGCACTTTACCAAGAGAAGGTCACGACAAGAAGCATCCCACTATAGGATCCTGTAGACGGGAGAGGTCGGGTGCTGGATTGAGAGAGCCCAGGGTATTGGCGATCCAGATGAGCTCGACTCACTTCCACAAAATCCCACCTGCTATAGCGCGTCCCCCGCCCATTACGCAGGAACTGCCTCTATTCACATCGGTGATGATTTGCATTGTGGCGGTTCTGGATCACTTTGCGAGCCGCAGTGTCGTTCAATCATTGTTATACAAGATTTTAAGTGCCTTGCTTGACCTTACGGAAAGGGGTTTGGAGATTCTTCGCTCGCAGTACATCTCTCGTCTGAATGCTTGAAGATCAACTGCATGCATTCGAGGGTTGAGTGATGCTGTTGAGAAATACAGAGAGGATATGTTTGGTCAGGGGCACATACTCCCGGGTTACATGCCGGCGAGTGACACGCCGCATATAGAAGCGTTCGTTCTATGGTTGTTGAGGTCCAACACTGACAGCTTTGAGACTGTATCTTCCGATGTTGCTGGCGTGGCAACTTGCCTTTGCAGCCTTGGGATTGATGTCTTGAGTGTTGAAGGAGGCATGTTTGCATCTAATCCAAGGGGCTCTTGTCACGTTATATACTCCAGAGAGCCCTTCCTCCACGATTGCGCAACTCGGGCCCGGATTAGTGCTGCAATACTCAAACGTAATGCGACAATGACTGTCTCGCTAAAACACCCACCAGAAAGCATCAGTATCTTTCCGATTACAGCAGAGGCTCAAAACTTCTGTCGAATGGCATGGAAGGAAGGAATCAAAGCGGCTGCTGCGGTTGCAATTGGACTTCGAAAGTATTCTGATAGGTCTGACGAGTTTCTTGTTGTGAACGTTGAGGAACCACTTGCCCAGTTTACCGACATTCAATATTCAATCTTCGATCAAGGCGCAGAGGTCGAGTGTACATCAACGGGAATAATGAGTCTCGCGGAGAGCCTCGGTTTGGTGCTTAATCAAGAGTTGATCGAGGGGCCGCAGAACTCTCTACATCGAATGCCAGAGGACATCCTTTCCTGGTTCATCGCTACAACTAAGGGTGATACAAGGGCAATGTCCGATGGTTTCGGCATCATGGACCCAAATATGACTGACGAGTCCAAGGTGGATGGATTCTGCATACTCCAATCACTCTTTATGGGCTATTATTACGATATTTTTGGGAGGCTAGTGGACACGTCAACACTGGTCTCACAAACCGTGGAGGGTTGCTGGGGCTTTAGATCAGAGAGTTTTCTCCATTACATGGAGGCCGCGAAGAATGAATTGCCACCCTCAAACAGAACTTAGCATCACTCAACCATGTTGAGACAGCAAATTCTGCCTCTTCTCGCACGGCTCTTTCTTGGCAGCGATGCATACCACAGCTTTGCCGATGACCCAAGAACTGGAGCGACTCGCCGAAGCTATATGGGCATAATTGGCTAGCGGACACTAATGATCAACAGCCTGCTGGGGAAGTGTTCGTCTCCAAGTGAGATAGGAGGCTTCACGATCATCGATGTTGATGTTGGAGGCATACCACGCGACAGCCAGGGACTTATATGCCCGGGCGTACGAACCGAGTTTTTGGAATCTGATATCATGGGTCCGGAAAGAATGAGGAAGACTATCAAGCACAATCTCTGCGAAAAGTCGACCGATGAAGATGTTACCTTTAATATCAAGCCCGACTGGGATGGAAACCCAGATACTACCTTGATATGTGCCAGATACAAGGGAAGACGAGTCACTGCAATATCCCCATTAATCTCGGATAGGTATTTCTGCCTCAGCTACGTTCCCCCACGCCCGCGCGACATGACGCAGACCTCAATAGAGAGATCTCGATTGGAGATGGCAGTCGAGATGACCATATCCGACCTGATACGAGAAGATAGCAAGCTCCTCGGCTCTGGCGACGTCGAGATCCCGATCCTTTTCCAGGCTCTCGATCGACCATGTTTACGATACTGCGCTGCGTCCATCTACAAGGATAGCCCGGTGGTTTGTTTTGTGGCCACAAATAGAGTGAAAGACACTCTTCAAAGCGCCCTTGCGTGGCAAAATCAGCCTGTACGCAGAGGCTTTGGGCTCAAACGAAACTTTGCAATAATTGGAGGGATGTTGGAGAACTTGGATATGGTGTTAGAATTGGAAACTGACTTGGCTATGTATTGTATCAGATCTAAAGTATTTTGAGGCGCTATAGTTGGTGAGGAATAGCTTGGATTACTTGGCCAGAAACTGATAGATCTCACTATTAATACTCTAGTCTTGCGGTCAGTAGTTCTCCCGGTCGCTTTGCTAATATCAGTCTTTGTCTGAGAACTTGGTCTTCGAGTCTGCTCCCCTTTCAGACCGAGCGAATGATTGGTTATACTCTCCAGAGCCCGCTCCCGCAGGACGCATACTCAGTCATACTATGGAGGGAAAGTAACCGTGTAAAGATATTGAGCTGCTGATATAGTAACTACCCAGATCGGTGCCTTGCACTCCAGCGCGTTGACGTAGACACACACAAGAGACATCTGTCCTCCAAAGTATCGCGGTTATCAGAAATGACCAATGATCAGCCAGTCAAACATGAGCGACTGCCCTTGGACTATTTTATCCCACAAAGGCATAAACCCGAGACGACTTTGGGGTTTCCAATTGGCATATCAACTTAATCCAGCGACCTTCACTAGCTCAAGCTAACCTCCAAATGTCCCTCGCCACGGCCACTCCGATAAGCGGCTACCCCACCCCGCGGAAACGTTCCCTTTTCGCCATCTCATCAACAGCACAATAACACAACCTCCCTCCCCCGGGATCAATGTCCCTCGTTAGAAGAAGCAATCAACCCGCGTCTCATTTCATCTCATCTCATCTTGTGTTGCTTCTCCACTTTCCTATCTAAGATGCCCAAAAAAGTCGAACGAACACGTACCTTCACAGGCTGTCGAACCTGTCGTTCGCGCCACGCAAAATGCGACGAGGCTCAGCCCGAATGTGGGACCTGTAAACGACTGGGGCTTGTCTGTGGAGGCTACGGAGCACGGCTGTTTTGGATTAGGGATGATGCTGTCAGGCCGGAGTTGCAGCAGAGCCATCGGGGCTCGGAGTATCGGTATCCACTATTCTCCGGTAAGTGCTCCGGTCCGTCTGGAGAACTGATGACTGATGAACGTAGAGAGTGAGAGACGTTTGATGAGTGATGAGTTGAAGGGGAGTTTGGGGAAGAGGACGGCGTTGGCGTTGTTGGCGGATATTGATTCTGCGTGTGAGAAGAGTGATGTTGGAGATGCGTTGATGAAAGGTCCTTTTGGAGTCTTCCAGTCTGTTGAGGAGAAGGAGTTGACGTTGGATATGATTGAGTGTTCTCCAGATACTAACACTGATAACACATCGACGAGCATGTATGCCGAGACTGATGGTTTCATTGAGGAGATTCAACGAACAGACTGGCCAGATCAACTGCCTGATGATGACCTGGATATCTTTACACATTCGTTGGATCCGAGCTTCAACATCAACTCTGAAGAGATGACAGCGGGTGATCAGATGCATATGCATGATCCTATGACAAACTTCTTTGTCGATGATCCAATAGGAGCTGAAGGACTGGCACTCTTCAGCCCAGGCTTCATATCTCAAGTCATGGGCAACGACACTACTGCACAAGAAGAGAATATCGACCCTGGACTTCAAGCTTCAATGAGCGAAGTCGTTCCATACCCAAGAAACATCACAAGCCACTCCGGCCTTCCAGAAGAAGCAGAGCCATTACTCCGCCACTACAGACAACACATCGCCGGCCAACGCTCAACCATGCAAGCAAAACGGAAGTCTCCCTGGGAGATCATCTTTCTTCCTTGTGCACTTGAGACTTTTGCTGAGCTATCGCTCTGGAATGAAGCTTCTCATACCCGCTCTTCGATCTTTTATACTCTGCTTGCTCATAGTGCACTGCAACTTCACATGTCCAAGGCACCGAATTCTTTATCGGCGGATTGGAAAGAAATTGGATTGAAGAATCATGAACGAGCGCAGAATCATCTTCGGCAGGCGCTGCAGCATGAGATGTTTGGGCCGAGACAAGCGAGTTACAAGGAGCTTCTGATGGCTATCCTCGCTATGGCCATGACCTCGGTAAGTCTCCCTATTCCCATTCATTTGATCAACAACTTACCAATGTCAGTTACACAACGGAGCGCGCGCATTCCGTATCTTCCTCCTCGACGCAGAACGCCTCATCCGTCTGCGCGGTCTAGCAAACCAAGCCCAAAATCCCTTCAAATCTCGTCTCCTGCACCATATGTACACTCATCTTCGTGTGATCGCAGAGAGCATATCCCTCTGGAGTGAGCCTCTTCCCGAAAGCTCTTCAGAGATCCAAGGCCGTGAGCAATTCCGAACATTCCGTATCACAGAAGAGGGTTTGAACATAGGTCTTGATCCCGCTCAAGAAAAGACCGATGAGCTTGGATACAATGACATCCATCTTGAAGTCCAAGGACGCTGGACTCAAACACTTTATCCGGTTATTTACGGCATTCCTGAGTCTCTTATGACACTGCTGTCGCAGACTGTGTCTTTATCTAATGAGAAGAATCGTCTGGAAACTGTCGCGCGCTGCAACCCCTCTATATCAGAAGCCCTCTCCAAACACACCAAAACCCTCGAAAACCGAATCTGGGCATGGCCCTCGACCCTCGATCCCACTGAACCCGTCAAAATGCCCACAGGGGACGAAGACCTCGTCCGCCATCCTCAAGTCCGCTCCATGACACTCGCAATCCACCAAGCTCTGGTGATCTACTTCTACCGAAGAGTGTACGACATGAACGCCATGATCTTGCAAGACCTGGTGCGAAAGACATTGGAGTATCTTGAACCGTGTTTAAGTGAGTTGATCGATGACCAGGATTTTGCTACGAGCTTGGCGTGGCCTGCTTTTGTGGCGGCTTGTGAAGCTGTGAGCCCGGATTTGCAGGAACGAGCGCTGAAGTGTTTGGGGGTTACGGATGATAAGGGGGTTTATTTTACGAATAGGCCGGCGGGGGTTGTTGTGCCGCTGATTTGGGAGAGGAGAAAGCAGTCTGGGGATTGGACCACTAGTTGGCAGAGTCTTGTGCAGGAAAGTCTAGCATAGATATGACATTTACCGCTCGATTCTGTTCTCACACTCACAGTGGCATGTCTTCTTGAGCTCTCATAAAGTCATTTTGTCTATTTTACTATTTTAAATCATTAAACTCCATAATGCAAGGTCAGATGCGTTTAAGCCAGCTTGACACCAGCATCCTTCAGAAGCTGCGCAAGCTCAGCCCTCTCATCATCCTCCAAAAGAGCAAACGGCTTTCGCAGACCTCCCGTCTTCCAACCCTGCAACTCCATGCCAGTCTTGATACCAGCACCATAATGATGCGCCTCCAAAAACTTGCACACAGGGAAGATCTTGGACCAAAGCTCACGTCCCTTCTTCAGATCGCCATCAACAGCGATAGCGTTCCAAAGCTGCACTGAAAGCTCAGGAAGGACATTGGTGGTTCCCCAGACTGATCCCTTGGCACCGGCGCAGAGACCGTAGAAAGTCAATGTGTCCCAGCCGTTGAGGGCGGTGATGTCGTTGTGATGGTGGAAGAGAAGATCTGTAAGAGCGGGGGCATTTCCAGAAGTATCCTTAAGATACTTGACGCCAACATCTGAAAGACCAGCGATCTCCGCAGGTGACAAGCTTACACCGCTCGCACTGGGAATGTTGTAGTACATAATCGGCAATCCGCTCTCCTTGTAAATCTCACCAAACATCTCCCTCAACTGCTTCAAGTTTGGCGCATCATAGAACGGCGGCACAATCATAGTAGCAGCGGCTCCAACATCAGCAGCGTGCTTAGCGAGCTCTACAACACCGGAGGTAGTCAGGTCGCCGATGCCAGCGACGACGGGGACACGACCAGCAGCTGACTTGACGCATTGGTCGAGAACATCTTTGCGCTCTTGCAGGGTGAGAGCTGTGAATTCACCGGTGCTGCCGCCGGGGACTAGGCCGTGCACGCCGGCGGAGATTTGACGCTGGATGTGGGCGTCGAGGGCGGGGAGATCGACTGTGCCGTCGGGTTTGAAGGGGGTTATGAGGGCGACTAGGATGCCTGTGAGTTCTTGGGGGGCCATTGTGATGTGTTTGACAAAGTGACACTTGGATGAGTGAGTGAGTGATATGAGATGAATGTTTTAATGATAAACTCTTGATTATTCTGGTCTATTATATGCTTCTTCTTTTTATCATTCCTTTACCAATTGGTATACCCCGCGTTGTTCTCTATCAGTCTCGTGAAGATGGTCTCGTCAAAATAGGTAAGTCTCCACGACGTGGGCGGAGATGCTTGCCAACCGCGTTTTGGTGGGGTATCAGCTGCCACACAACGCCCAATTTGTTAGACCAAAGTCAAAAGAGGCAGAGAAATGAAAGAAAAGCACCATATTAGTAAGATTTCTGGCCTTCCTGTTTGGGAGATTTTAGCTGGGTCAAAGCACACGGGATCATCGCAATCGAATCTCCGGCTTACGGCCTGTGCGAAGGCAGCTTGCACAGTGACTTAGGTGTTTTTAAGCACCACCAAAAGGAGTCATATAATTAGCCGTATAATAATAAACCAAACTCTGGAGATTTTCGGCGTGTAGATAAATGGGTGCGTCTGTTACCAGGCCCACTTCATTCTTTGGTGCGAGCTTCTTGACTATTTAGCAGCAGCTGTAACAGTGGAGGAAATGGTACAGGACATCGATATCGAAGGTCCAGCATTTCTTATCTTCATATCTGATAGGAAAGGACCCCGGGTTGCCGGAGTGCAGAGTTCGATGCGATTGGCCTCGGAGGCGGTGTCTTCTCATGCCACCATCGAGTACTAAAATCAGATCAGAAAGGGACAAACCAGTATCCGGTGTTTCCAGCTTGTTGTTCGTTTTGTAGAAAACTCGAGCTACTTGACTCATTGCTGACCATAAGTTTAAAATCTAGGCTACTAACACAGATGACGAGGACACGATATTCCTTTCCATAATAAGGCGAAGCGATAGCTGTTTGACTCCTTAGTGAATTTAGACGAGAAGGGCACTGGCAGCGTGTTAGTCTCGGTGAGAAATTGGAATTCTCTGCATACTTACGGCCATAGCATCACATAGCGATGGACGCGGAACTTAGCTTAAGCGTGTTTCTACCTTTTAAGGGTGGCCAAACATTTTTGGAATGAACCTCGAAGTTTACTATATAATGGAAGCAAATCCGCTTTAGCCTTTTCAACCAGACTATACATAGTCATCAGAGCTTCAGCCCAGTGCTCGAACTGGTTTTGGAGACACTTGATATCGGCTTCTGCGCTGGAGATATCTTTGGAGTATTATAAGCACAACTTGCTGACCTTGGCTGATAGTTCAGCGACAGCGATACTGCTGGCGGCAACTCCAAGTCCTTCATGGTCTTTGGAGTTCACTTGTAATGTTTGGTGGTGGTGAAAGTCTTGGGAAGATTGCGAAAGCCCTCAATTATTTGAGGCCTCTATCTGTGTAAAGTCACCTGCGGCTGAGCCTGCGCTGATAATAATTGGTTGGTTAGACCTAGTACCACCAGGGACCCAGTATCACCAGGGCGGATCAACATCAGTAGAGTGAGGTTATAGCTCTTTGCTAAAGCATCTAGCAACAGCATGGTCGGAGATTATGTATTCATTGAATCTGAAGCCTTACATTCTATGACAGCGGCTATCAGCTTGCTCATTAAATTCAGACCAACCAATTGTCAGCGCTTGTGGCATGGAAACCTCTGCATCAGAAGAGAACCACGCAGACTCTATCAAAATACAATACTGCTTCAGGCAAATGGCGTCTCAACGAGCGAATGATGCAGAAATGGGTAATACCATAAAATTAATAGGGTTAGTCGGGTATAAAAATATGTCGATGTCTTGAAAGATTATAATGCTGGTGCTTCATCTCATGTACTGTATAATTGAAGCTGCCATTACCATCTATCTATTGGCAGCGAGGGCAGTCATTTAAAGAGTCATATCATATATGGCCAAGGTATCACGGCTTTGGAGTATGACGTTAGGTGTTGAAATAGGATTAAGCTTAATAAACTCCGGCGGAATTAATTCTCTACCTGTTCTGCTTAGTCTTAGTTTATCGGAGCTTTTCTGGGTATCCAAAACTTTTAGATATAAGCGAGTCAATATTGACTGAACTAAAAATTGGCAGCTGAATCTCCCCCTGCCGTTTTATTTTAAAATGGTGCTATTATTTTTGCCAAGCTGGCACTATTGCCAATAGTGAGTGGAACTACGGAGCAAAATCTCAACATGATATGATCTGAACGCTCTTTAAGCGAGTATGCTCACTTTGCTTTGTGTAAATAATAAATAGGAGTTATTTCCGTCTTATACCTTATTTATTTCATTCTTTTACTCGTTGCTGTTCTTGTCTCTCAACTTCTCAGGACGGTCATTACTGTCGAAAATGACTGCCAAGACTATCATGACTGCTTTTATAGCAGCGCTCTTACTGGCAGGTTCTGAGGCCGGTCCATGTAAACCGAGACCCAGGACGACTAATATATTGACTACAGTGGAAATCACGTCTTCTTCCACCAAGGCAACAAGTACTACTGAGGCTGGTCTCTCAACGACTGACGTTTCCTCTACTGGTTACTTGATCTTTACTACCGACCAGTCAGAGAGCACCAGCGAGACGTCGACTGAGTCAAAGGATACTACTACTACTTCTGCTCCTGTTATTTCAACAACGGAGACCTCCTCAAGTGTAGCCCTGACTTCGTCTGTTATCGAGAGCAGCGTGGAGCCAACCACTACAACAGAAGACGCTATGACTACTGCGGTTTCAATTACTTCGACGGCAGAATTAAGCTCTAATATCATCGAGAGCCGCGCGGATACATCAACCATTTCAGAGGACACTACTACCATTATCGCTGTTTTAACTACAGAGGTCTCTCTAACCAGAGAACTGACCTCTGAGACGATTGAGAGTTGCACTGAGGAATCCACTACTACAGAAGCCTCTTTCACTACCACACTTTCAACTTCGGCTCCGGAACTAAGCCCTACTGTTATCGAGAGCAGCACTGGAGTATCCACTGTTACAGACGACGCCACTACTACCACCATTTCTGTCCTAGAAACCTCTTCAGCTGTAGACATTAGCTCCACCATTGTCGAAAGTAGCACCGAGATAACAACCTCGTCACAAGAACCCACGGCTACAGTGTCTATCTCAACTACAGTGCTAATCCCCACCACCACCGAGAGTGCAACAACTTCTGAAGTCACCACCACGACTACTACGGAAGCAGCTGGTCCTCCCACGCTCGTTAATCTTGGATTCGACGATACTACAGAGCCCTGGTCTGTCACACAACCCAATCTCGTCTCACTATCCCTCGACAACAACATCAAGCACGACGGCAGAAGCTCTGCACGCATGAGCTTCTCCACCGCCGGCGGGTCCACAAGCTACATCTCCCAGGCGTATTCTTCGCCTGCTCAAGCTGGTGTTGGATATCCAGCTTCCGCGTGGGTCCGCCCTGGACCTGGATGCACCATCGCGGTGCTGGGTTGCGCTTATGGCAATGCAGGATTATTCTCTGGGCGGCGAACCCTCGTCGTTACGGCGACGACAACACAGCCGGGTACGATCAATCTGTGGCAGGAGATATCGTATACATGTACATATACTCAAAGCCAGATCGATCAGGGTGGTTTGGCTCTCAATATTGGGTTTATGTGCATATCAGGCTCCGAAGCCTGGATTGATTCGGTTACATTTTCCGGACAATAATAATTGTATCATGATCTGTCAAAAATACGGTTTACAAGTGGTTGTAATTGGACACCATGAAGAAGCATTAAGCTTCTTGGATGAGGGAATTTCAAGCTTATTTATGTATGAGAATAAACGCTCGCAACAACTTTGAATTGAGTATTAAAGGCGATGTTTCCATCACGGCTAACACGTTGAGCCCCAACGTAACCAGATAAGATAAGAAGATAAGATAAAGGCCTCAATGGCAATTATATTAGCCAAACTTATGCATGTGTGTCTTTCTCGGCGGCAGAACGAAATACTAGCTGATTACGCCTAGATCTTACCCTCTAACTTGGCATTTTACGGTCAGGGATCATGCGTTGAATATCCGTAGATCATTCGGTGCATTGGTCTGTATCATGCTTAACTATCATGCACTTAGAACAAAGAGTTTACAGCCATGCCTCGGTATCTGTTAAGGCTCCGTGGATGCCTGCATCGGATATTCAAGGCCCGATGCTATCCATGACTTTGACATGGACGTTTATGTAATACATCTACTACTTGACTGTATCATATACTCTGTAAGCTCGTTAGGCTGCAATTTGATTGTCACTTTATTAGGATAAAGTTATCAATCATGAGCTGCTCTCTGCGTGTTCAATCAATGAGTAGCCTACGAGGAGATGATCCAGGTCCAGCGTAGCAGGAAGCGGAATTAAACCAAACGGGCCACTTGACCTATTTCAAATCACAAATCACCAATATTTATTATTCTCTTGCTTCTGAAGCACAAACGCGGTTATCATGTCGCCGCGGTAGCTTACTCATTCGAATTCCACATTGAGCAAACGAGGATGTCGCAAACCCCACAGATAACAGAAAGGCAAGTGGGCAACTTGGCGAATGCTAAGAAACTGGAGAAATAACACGTGCGGGGAGCGGAGAAAGGGTCTGATGAACACCCCCAGGATCTATCACTTGGCGCTCTCATGGATGGCAGATTCCAGCATTGGCATGATTCCTCAGCCGGCTTGGCAAATGCATATTACTTGCCTTTTTGGATGGCTTGGTCTAGACCTCTAGGGTAGCGTTTAGGAAGAAGTACGAGCAAGCCTTTGAGTATTTGGGGATTAAATTAGGAATGGAGCGGAGCATTGGGTAGTTTCGATGTATGTGTCACAATAATGAGCCGAGACAAACCGTGAGAGACGAAGAGAAAGTTGATAAATAGATAGTAAAGTCTCTCTATTCCGAGAGAACTTGAAATTTCCATCTAAGCAATTACGATGATTATCGCGACTTTGCTGCAGTGCAAACTGGAACTCATCCAGCACTTCGTCAAACTCATCATATTCGAGACTTTCCGCTAGCTATCTGCACATACCATCACGAAACTACCCTTCCCAAAAGGCAGCTCGGACTCAACGGACAAAAGTCAATGTTATCGAAATCTGTCATCACGCAAATACCTCAGCTCATGCTCAGCTCCACCAGCTTCGCCCCCTTCCGCACTGCACAGATCATGCATGCATGAACATGATATCCATTACGTGAGCGATTCCTCCAAGCTATGACCATTATCAGCCCCAACACTGTTCAAACGTTGCATTACAAAGTGCTGTTGATAACAACGTGGGATATCGCCAAGAAAGTTTCATATGTGCCAAGTAGCGAATATTGGGCATCAACCATTATCTCGGTACCGTTGCCGCGAACGGACGAACCTCGTGATAATCACCAGTTCGTATAAATCACCAGTTGAACTGATAATCAGCATTTGTCTTCTACAGCTTCTAGAAACAGAAAACGTTCCGCTGGAATCTGGTGGTGTTTTGGTTGTGAGACCACATTTACATAAAGAATTGCTCAGAGGCGATATAGACATCACGCAACCTTTAAGACAGAATCCATCGGGACCTAGGCCGGACCCTGCAGTCATCTTCCGAGATTACCATACAGAGCACGGTGATATTAATTGATGACGAAGATATGCGAGATGCTGCGGCAGGTCATCCGTTGGTTACGGAGTTGCCGTTACCGTTTATCGGAAACGGTTCCGCTGTGCAAATGTCACTGACTGCTTGAGCATCTGTGCAGCAAATTGGAGATTCCACCAGAGTTACGCTGACTGCGTCGTTTCATCTACCGTACCGATGATTTCCGCTTATCCAACGTTTCATACCAAATGCACTGACCAGATTGGCAGATAGAACTTATCAGTAGAAAAATGCCTCGCTGATAAAGTCAGTTCATCAACAGAGCGCGGAGGCCTTCCCGATGGGATACCATCGGTTCAAAACAAGCAAGTCAACCCCTAACTGTAAACTTTACAGGGTGATCCTGGGGTTTGGGCCCGGAATGGTCGGTGATCTGCGACGCCCCCCAATCGTTCGCAGCCAACCAATACGGCACAAGCGAACCATCCCCCATCCCTGATGACATGCGCGAATTGTTCCAGAAGGATACTGTATAAAGGTAAAATTTGGAGACGCGCCTCCTGTTGGCGTGCTTCTTATTTCCGGCTGCCGAGGAGTAATGCCGTGTTGGAAAATTTGCCTGTCTCGGCTGCACCGACGTCAGCCTTGTTTTTTCTTCCTTTGCAACAAACTTCCTTCGCAAATATTCAGCTGTAATTGTAAAGAGGGTGATATGAGACCACTGGGAAAGCAGGCCATTTTATGATAAACGCACTGGTATTTAATCAAGGGGTCTCGGAGTGGACTCGGCCGTTTCCCGTACTCCGCTGAGAGTACGATATGGTAACGAATTCCACAGTAATATTGAAGCTCTCGTGTCTGATGGTTTGAGGGAGGTGGAAAATTGGGGTTGTGGATATTTTGGAGACCGGATCAGCTCCCGACTGCGGAGCAATGGGGTAATAAAAACTGAGCCTCTCACCAATAAGACTCTGTCGCTTCAAATTATGGGGAGCAAGGTACCGTGGACAATACCTGACTCGCTATTCCCAGTGGAACTTCCAACGTCATAGCTTGTAATTGGACGAAAGTGCCTTGTTTTCTTTTACGTGATGATAATTCTCAACTCAGAGTCTAGACAATGCCAGTTTGCCTTTGCTTCGTCAATCGTATTGAGCCCCTCTTTCTCCGCGAATTTTTGGCGTGTACGGGGAACCCCATGGGGACATGGAGTAGCCAAGAGGTGCACTCCAGACACAGAGGCAGAGGGGACTTTCTCCACACACCCAGATAAGCCTCGCCAACACCGAGGGGCCTGCCAGGTTTTTTCCTCGGCGTATCACTGACTAACCTCTCTTGGGTAAATCACCACGGGGATCGACTAGGGGGGCAAATGCCAACTTTATCAGCTAGACCTACTGTATAGGATCGACTTCAACTTGTCTGAGCTCGGGGGGAGCTTGTATAAGTTGTGTCCACAATCCCCAGACTTTCTTGCTTCATCTCCTCCACATTCCACACTCTCTCTTCCTTCTTCAACCTCCTCTCACCCTCCCCTCTCTCTATTAAACTATTCAGCTCCTTCAGTCTTTGAGTTGAATAGTTTTTGTTTGCTTGTTGGTCAATTGACTTTGCTCTTCAACAACAACAATCGACATCATGTCACAATACTCTAGCGGTCCTGCTGAGAAGGACCTCAAGCATGATTACGAGAATGATCAACCAGCTTTGAACAACACGCCTTCTATCGCTGGCGAAGCGCAAGTTCACGATGATGTCTTTGGTGATATCACTGATGAAGGTCCCAACTATCGCGCTGTACGTCATTCGCAACATCATCAACACCTTTAACTTAACTAACGTCAATAGGTCGGCTGGATCGGCACTGTTGCTCTCATGATGAAGACCCAGGTCGGTCTGGGCGTTCTGTCTATCCCAGCTGTCTTCGACGTCCTCGGTATCCTCCCCGGCATCATCTGCCTCATCGTCATCGCCGCCATCACAACATGGTCCGATTACATGATTGGTGTCTTCAAGCGCAACCATCCTCAAATCTACGGTATCGACGATGCAGGCTTTCTGATCTTCGGCCGAGTCGGACGCGAGATCTTCGGTATTGCTTTCTGCCTCTGTATGTACTCCTATTTTGAATCGTAACGACAATATCTAACAACTCAGTCTGGATCTTCGTTGCAGGATCTGGTATGCTCGGTATCTCAATCGGCCTCAACGCCGTCTCTCTTCACGGTACTTGCACAGCTGTCTTCGTCGCTGTTGCTGCTATTTGCGGATTCCTGCTGGCCAGTGTTCGCACCCTCGGCCGCATCAGCATGCTCGCCTGGGTCGGCCTCGTTTGCATCATGACTGCTATTTTCACCGTTACCATTGCAGTTGGTGTCCAGGATCGACCTGCAGCTGCTCCTCAAGAGGGCCACTGGAAGTCTGACTGGAAGGTTGTTGGAAACCCCAGTTTCACTGAGGCCATTTCTTCCATCTCATCTCTCATCTTTGCTTATGCTGGTACTCCTGGATTCTTGTAAGTTTAACTCCTGGGTGATGTGTGATTCAATGAGCTAACTTTCAAAGTGCCATCGCTGCTGAGATGAAGCGCCCTGAGCATTATACCCGATCTCTCCTCATCTGCCAAACTGGTGTCACCATCACTTACATCGTCATCGGCTGCGTCGTCTACCTCTACTGCGGCTCATACGTCGCCTCGCCAGCCCTCGGTTCAGCCGGCCATCTCATCAAGCGCGTCGCCTACGGCATCTCCCTCCCCGGTCTTCTCGCGACAACCGTCCTCGTCATTCACTTCGCCGCCAAATACGTCTTCGTCCGCCTCCTCCGCGGAACAAAGCATCTCTCCTCCAACAGCGCTATCCACTGGGGAACTTGGCTCGCTTGCACCATCATCACCACCGTCATCGCCTACCTGATCGCCTCCGGTATTCCTGTCTTTGGTGGTCTTGTCTCCCTCGTTGGTGCCCTGCTCGGCACGCTCATGTCGTTCCAGCTGTACGGCTTTATGTGGCTGTATGACAACTGGGCCAAGGGCAAGCGTGATCCCAACATGAAGTGGTACCTCATGGTTGCTTTCAGCGTCTTTGTTATTGTCTCGGGTACTTTCCTCATGATCGGTGGTACTTATGGATCTATTGTTGGAATTATCGACTCGTACAAGGCTTCTGGTGGCTCTGCTGCTTTCTCTTGTGCTGACAACTCGAATTCCACTTAAGCGGCAGCGTTGTTTTCTTTTAGCATTATGCATTGTATAGCATTGGATTTAGAAGGTAGAGAAACAATTTCATGCATTAGAGGTTGAAGAATAAATCTACCATCATATTTACAAACCATGACTCCCAGTTTCGTGTGACGTGATACCCTTTGATCTCAATTACAGCAGATATTTCCCGCTGCTTCTTTCGAGATACAGAGTGCAAGTGTGGAGAAAATGTTGCTCAGTCATCACTGTTCTGAGATCCATCAAACTTACAGAACTTGATAACTATTCTACTGGGCTCTCAGCATACTCTCATGACTTCCTAACCGACGCTCAGACTTTGGGTGACTCGACTCATCATCAGACCAAGTAATCATTCTCCATACCTTCAACACAAAGGCTTGGCCATCACATTCCCCGCAAAACACTGGATGAATACCCGTGATTCCCTGTGGATATCGACCTCAGCAAACCCGTTAGCCTAAGCGCTTCCCCATCTCCACTGCGCGCATTTCATCGTTAGTCCATCAATAGTCTCAATTCCTATATCCACAACTCATCATCACATCAAAGTGGGTATTTCAGTTAAGAATCCAAAATCAAGATTATGAACTGCCAATCTGTTAAGTCATACGATGATCAAATTTTGCATATCCTGACGTCTGGATCTGCGGGAGCTACTAGCCTGTCGGGTGGCGGTGTCTAGCTGACACCGTACAGCTGTACAAGTCTGAACTTTAAAGTTTTCAACGCAGTGTCGCCACTGAGTTGGAGAAAGTTGGAGAGGAGAGCTAGGTGACGCCGACGTCAGGGATGTTCATGCAGCTGAGACTCCTCTTTGGATGATACTTTGGTTCATATCGGCTTACTGCGCTTCAAAGTTCAGCACTGATTCTTGCAGCATGGATGGTGTATTTATTAACTTTGGGAGTGGATATTGACATACAGGGAGGTTTGAGATATCGGCAATCGTCGGTAGAAGAGATGGGGCTCTTGAAGCTGGGTCATGCAACGGTCAATCTTAATTTGGGGAACCCCAGATTCGATGCCGGAGCGGTCCCCGATTGAGTTATGTCGATAGCTAGCCAACCACTGAGGCTCTTGCCGCTGAGGTCGATGAGTGACGATCAATAGACGCTGAAATCAGTATATTAGACACAGAGTGATGGGAAATTACTCCTGGCAGATTGCTGGGAATATTCACAAGCGCACATTGGCTGCTGGATTCACTTGCTAGGCTATCGTCAGTAAACGACATGTTGCTATTGAGGTTGTACATGCAGGAAATCACCCTAGTCCCTGATTTTGAGCTATTAGTTCCACAGATTCACTATTGTTAGGACAGCTACGAAGTTTAGCTGAAAGTATGTACGCATTATGAGACAGAACTCGAGATTCAAATTCAAGCTGATCGGGGCCGTTGGTTATTAACGGCGGCGTCTGGCTTCAGACATACTTCTTTCGTCCAGCCAGGACTCTCTGGTGTCTTACATTACTCAGCTCTCTGAACCAACCATTGCCGACTGTTATTTGTATCATGAAGGACTGTCTCAATATGCAGTGGTAGAAGATATCTCACAGATGAAGGAGATTCTGCAGTTGGTACATGTCATTGAACAAGAAGACACTTAGGATCCAATTATCATTTCAAAATCTATAGTTCATTAGTAAGCTATTCCGGGATATGAGAGGGTTGAATAAGGACGGGTAATAGTTATAGTCGCCATGACTGCGGTTTCACTGGGATTCCAAATATGAAAAGACTTAGTGGATTGACATGGCAATGAAATTCAGTGAGGTTGGGCAAGGATGAGGTGAAGATGTCTCTATACTAGTAGTTGACCAAAGAGTCAAGTCGATAGGCTAATTAGTACTTGATGTCCATCACATACGGGCCATGCAGTATTTACAACTTCGTGCACAGCCTCCTTTCGCATCGTATGGAAGTGAACTACAGACAGGCAAGTTGTTCCGAAACAAGATGGTGCAGTATGATGGTATGAAGATTCAGTTGCCTTGTGAGACTGGTATCTCAAAACTTCACCTCAACCGCCCTGCAGGACCGTAACACTATTGATGACATCTGCTACTTTTCTATCAGCTCCTCATATTCCTTGATAATAAGAAGTTCAGATGCCAAGTCATTTAGTTATTTCTAACATTAGTGGACTTACCGCTCCGTAGTAGCCCTCAATAATGATCGGAAGTGCACATACTATCCAAATTTAAAGTACCTAATAAGCCTTTTGGTGTCATTTTGAACAGAATGGATTCCTAGGCCAGATTAACGAGGTTTTATTTCATGATGCTAAAAAGGCATCGGCTATTCAATCCGTGCATAAGGATGTGAAGGGCGGGCATCGAAAGTCATGCTACTTAAAGGGGAACTTGTCAGTCTTCCTACCAAGGCTCTCTCTGAGAATCCATTATCATTGCCGTTGGCGAAACACTGAAACTTATGGTTAAAAGATCCAACAGAGCCAAAGTCTGAGCAGCAGTGAAGTGATGAAGGCAGGACTGTTGATTTGACGAAATACCATCATCTTGAACTTGACTAAATTCCGTTTTTAACTTGGGATAAAAGCCTTGGGTTTTCTGCTACCCCCTAAGGCTGCGAACGACGACTACGTCACATCGCTTCATATCTGGCTGATCATTCTCACCGGCAAGCATGTCCTAGTTCTCAAGTTTGTCACTGCACGCGTGGCTGATGAACCGCCTGTCAAATAGAAAGCTATAGTTCTTCTCCAGTTATTGAGCGTTTTACTGAATTCAAGTTGCCAGTTTGGCACAAGGGTCGAGTTCAGCCTCATGGTGAATCCAGCGCACCATCTCATCACTTGTATCAGGACAGGGCGCTGCAGTATAGGAGTAGGACATTGATGAGCGTATTTATCCTGAGTTTGTCTTGCGATATTGCCAAGAGAAACCTTCCTGTGAAGTTGAAATGCCATATATGTCCCTAGTCTTCTCCAACCGGGACCTTTCTTTCTGTACCGGTGGTCTGGGGTCTTACGTCTGCTCAAAAGTTCATGCATAGATTGAATCATGTCACGCGAACGCTGCTAAAGTGAATTGACCGAAGGGAGTCTCAGGAATGCATAGAGCGGCATCACGAAACAGCCAGAGCTACAAGTATTCCCAGAATTCTTGGTTCATTAATAACTTTTCATTATATGATTCTATGTAACCCATCCCAATTTATACAATTCATCATCATATCGCATTAATTTATTTGAGCTTGAGGACAGCCTTGCCAAAGTTCTTGCCCTGGAGCATACCGATGAAACCCTCAGCGGCGTTGTCAATACCCTCGGTAACGTAAAGCTTGGCCTTGACACTACCGTCAGCGAGCCACTTCTGGAGGTTCTCCTGGTGCTCCTTGTAGTAGGCAGGGCCGAACGCAGGGTTAGAAACGAGGAAACCCTCCATCTTGACTTGCTTGGCAATGAGGTTGAGGAGACCCTTGACACCTTGGCGCTGGTCGGCGGGGGTGTTGTACTCGGAGATCTGAAGATTGTTAGTTATGTGGTATAGAGAGTGGGTAGAGTGTTAACTTACCAGACCGCAGACAGGGATACGACCACCGACGTTGATGTTGTTGAGAGCAGCCTCGAGGTGATCGCCACCGACGTTCTCGAAGTAAATATCGATACCGTTAGGGGCGAGACGAGGAAGAGCATCCTTGGGGCTCTCCTTCTTGTAGTTGAAACCAGCATCGAAGCCAAGCTCCTTGGTGATGAAGTCAAGCTTAGCATCATCACCAACGGAACCAATAACAGTGAGACCCTCACGCTTGGCAACCTGACCAACGATCTGGCCAACGGCACCAGCAGCAGAGCTAATGAAGATAGTCTCGCCCTTCTTGGGCTTACCGATCTGGTGAAGACCAGACCAGGCGGTGAGACCAGGCATACCCAGAGGACCAAGGAAGAGACCAAGGTCAAGGTTGTGTGGGTTCTGGACCTTTCTCAAGTTAACCTTGGGAAGGGTGTCCTTCTCAATGCGAACGTATTCGGCGATGGGGAGGTAGCCGGTGACGAGATCGCCCTCGGAGAAGTCAGAGGTGTCGCTCTTGATGATCTTGCCAAGAGTTCCGTTGACGATGGGGTCGTTGATCTCAAAGGCGGGAGCGTATGACTTGACTGATGTGTCGCGCATCTTTCCGCGGAGGTAAGGATCGAAAGAGGCATATTGAAGCTCGACGATGACACCGCCTTGAGGAGCAGAGTCGATATCGACGGGGCGGTCCTCGATGACGAGGTGTTCACCAGCCACGGGAAGACCAGTGGGGATCTTCTTGTAAACGAGAGTCTTGTTCTGTGTCATTTTGGCGGTATGTGTTGTGTGTGATGTGAGAAGAGTATGAGATGAGATAGAAAAGTATGATGTGAGAGTGAAGGGTATATAAGATGAAGATGATGTTATGATAGAATATGAGAAATGAACGACGTCACTGCAACTTTTATAAGACACGGTGCATCAACTACCGAAGCCACGTCAAAGTGGCGCTGGCATTATACCGAGGCTCGTTGGAGGCTTGATTTGTAAGGGACAAAGCATTGAGAATTTCTTCGACAACTAAAACGTCACAGCGCGAGGGAGGTCCACATATACGGTGATGTTTCCCAAAGCGGTAATGACCTCATGGATGATGCCATGGTGGTTGACTTCACGTCACCCAATCTGCAAGCTGAGAGTCAGTGACAACTTTAGAATAAGGCTTGTTTGTGTTACATGCCGAGGTTTATTATGTGTGGACTTGAACAAATGCAGTAAGATCCTTATTATTTCTACTGTACAAAATGGTGAGTGAGAATAAGACGGAAACGGGAGCGGAGTGCGGGGTGGATGCTCGGATAATTAACTGAGAATGGATTGATGCGCTGAACCTCGGCGTCTCCGTTTCTTTTGGTTGGTCGTGGAATCCAACAGTAGAATTCTTTACAGGCTTCTAGCGCTGTCTATCATGAGCTGGACTCGAGTTTTTGCATTAACGCCGAGTGCTTTCCGGTCAATGCTGTTCGTTTCCTCACCGTTATTGGAAAACTGGAGAGACGAAAAGTCTGAGGCTGCTGAGTAATGACACAAGAGTCATGTCGAGTGTCAAACTTGCAAAAACATGAGTCAAGTCTAGGTGGCAACATTATACGTGGCAGCGAAACTCTAACAATATTCCAACAACCAATCCAATACCGTATCAACACTGCCGAAGCTCACAGACATCTGTTTTCGTGATAGCTTCAATCAAATCATGCACTTACCCTAAAGCATTCCACGCATCAAAGTATAACCGAAGCCCGAAAGCTTATTCTCCCATGTTATCATTATCATATCACCCCACCAGACATCAACCGCCGCGATAACATCCCTCGCTAGCAGCGCAATGACTCGGAAGTCAACCAGGCGGGGTGAGATTGACCATGCAAGGAAACTACAGGAAGATCCAGCCGGCTCCCAGACACGACGCCGATGAGATCGACCGCAAGTTCCGCGTGGCTAAACGGAAGCGCCAGCATGTCAGGATAGCCTGTAATCCCTGCCGAGAAAAGAAACGCGCCGTGAGTCTCGAAACGACTTACAATCCCGTTTAACTAATAGAAATGAAAGTGCAATGGTATAGAACCGACCTGTGATCAGTGTCAAACACGCAGTTTGGCGTGCATCTACCGAATACCCCCCAAAACAGTTGACTCAACAATCAAGATTCAAAAACAACTTGATACGCTGCAGCACAGCTTTAATCATTACGCGGATATAGTAGAGCAGCTGAAAACATTACCTGAGACAGATGCGCTCAAGCTTTTGCAGAGGCTGAGATCGCCGGCGGATGTGAATGGGGCTTTTGCGTCGTTGCAGGGGAGTGTACATACCAGGATACGACTGTCGAATCACAGGACGGCGCAGGCTATACTGCCGACTACGAATTCAAGGGTCGAGTTTGAACTCACAGCACTGCATGGCATTGTTTATCCGACGTTGGTACCGATTGATATAACTTCTTTGGGAATTTCGCCTTTGGAAAAGCCGGCGCTTCCTGCGGCGCAGACGGAAACTTTGGTGCAGCAGATATCGCCGGCGAGTCCTATTGTTCTTTCGTCGGATCGGTTTCGCCCTCTTTGCGATAGTCGGCTAGAAGAGATTGATATTTCGTATTGGACAAAGGTTCCGATCAGCAATGAAACTGCTGCAGCGATGATCTCGCTGTTTCTGGAAACGGACCAGACGATCGTTGGGTTTATCGATGCTGATTTATTCGTGGAGAGTCTTGTGGAGCGAAAACCCCAGTTCTGCTCTACGTTTCTCGTCAGCGCGATATTATACATTGCTTGCGTGAGTGAAGCCGATTCTTTTTCAAATACGTACTAACTCGAATGGCAGCATGCATATACAGCTTCAGATTTGAAATCCGTAGCTGTTGGTGGTCTTTGCTTCAGAGAAGCGGAGAGACTCTTCCGCGCAGAGGGATCATCCGACAACATCGTCACCCTAGCGGCCATCAACACCTTCAGCCTCGCCTGTAGCTTCCATGGAAATGATAGGCTAGCCAAAGAACTGCTTGCAGCTGGTCGTCACATGGGAAGGAGACTTGGCTTATACGGTGTACCCCTGGATAGCCCATCATCATTGGCCTTTCAGGAGTTACCCGATGACTTGGTCCGTATGACTGCGCACGTTGCCTGGAGCACTTACAACTTGTTAACGTAAGTGACTCATCAAATGTTTCTACCAACGCTTTCTGAGAGTTTAAACACAGGATTTATGTTTTATACTATCACGATGAGAGCGTAGCGATACCGCCTGCTCTGCCGATACCTGGAGACGAACGACATGACGACCTCTGGCCTGAACATCCGTTGCCAGAGTACATGGGCTCCTCATTTACCAAGTTGTGCGAGTTCTTCACTGTGATCCAGGAGGTAGCTGTGGTCTACTCCATAGAAGACGGAACACCTATCGTTGATCGTGTCCCTGTTGCTTTCGCAGAAGCAAAGTACCAGAAGATCTTAGCCTGGGCAGATTCTCTCGGTAGAGACATGGCATGGGACCAGAACAGCCAAGAACATGTAATGCTATTCCAGTGAGTCACCACCCTCTTCTGAGATATTCTTCTACTGACCAGGTGCTTAGTATGTGGTTCCACTGCGCAGTTCTCGACATCTTCCGTCCTTTTGCCCAAGGCCATCAAAGCTACACCCTCCAATCCTTCTCCTCCCCCGACAGCACCCCCAAAACCATCTTCTCCGCCTCCCTAAACCAACTAAAGCGCCTCGCCCTGCTCTACCGCACCCAGCAAATGCCCAACAGCTACATGCCCTACATCAACATATCCCTAATCCACATCGCCAACACAATCTGCAAAGAAACCAACGACCCCACTGCGAAATTCTACTTTCTCCTGTGCATACGCTACTGGCAGCACTTGTATATAGGATATCCCATCTTTGGAGAAATAGCACAGGCGTTTTTGACCATGGCGATAAATAATGGATTGATAACGAGTAGAGAGGCGAAGAGGCTTATGGCGGAGGTTAAGGGGCAGGGGAGACATCATGGGTTGGCGGATGCGGGGATCTCAACGAGTTTGATTGTGGACTTTGACTTGGCGATGACGAATAGGGGCGAGGCGGATGTTCAGGCTGTTGCGCAGAAGTTTGAGGAGGTGGCGCTGTTTGATGAGTTTGCGGTGTACAAGAAGGAGGATTAGACGGGCATTGGTTTGAGGAGCGGAGTTATTATACCCTTGCATAGCTTGTCCTTTTTTATCAGCTTCATGGTTATGGAGCTAGGTTAATGAGAAGAGAAATCAGTGTGTTGAATCATTTCGTCTTCTACAAGAGCGGGAACAGCTTCTCCCGATCTTTAGCCCCCTTATCATTCTCCCAAGCATCAACAGCCTCGCCGTCCATGAGCCCATATACATAAGCTGACCCAAGAAATAAATATTCATCTGCAGCCGCTGTTGGCCGTACGACATACTGTGTTCCGCCTCCAAACAGAACGCAAACAACATCTCCAGGCCTCATACAGCGCGGTCCAAACCCAACATATCCCGTTTCCGTGATGAACATCCTACTACCATTAGAAGCTCGAACTGCCTCCCCAAACCGCCGCGGCCCCATCATCAAATCACAGTCAATCCTGCTGAGCATATCCAAATCAGCCGACACAACCCTCGGATCATGTGGATGCAGAACCCTGAGCATCCGTTCCATCAACTCGAAATCCTCGGGTGATGTCCAGCATGGCTCTACTGGTAGAGGAATAGCTTTCGCGGCGAGCCTCACGAGCTCGAAATATTTCCTCTGATCGAATTTTCTGCCGTCTTGAGACACGTATGCCTGAATTGTGGAGAGCAAGAAAAAGGTTATAAAGTTCTTGAGATATTCATCGTCTATTGGGCGTCTTATTTTCTGGTCGATCATAGGTCCGGAGTTCTCATGGCCGGCCATCATTGTCAGCAGGACCGTTCTGATAATTTCCGAGCCGTATCTTTTGTTGAAGACATTAACATTATTAGTGATCATGTCAACAGCAGCGGGGAAGTCTTGCTGTATTTCCGCCGTCCTATCATGCATCTCTCTGATTAAATCGACCTGGAGACCTCTCAAGCTCAGCACCCTGTCGCTCAAAGGTGGGCCTAGCACCATCGGTGCATCTCGCGAGGCAGTGAAGTTGTACTTGTTCAAATGGTGATTATGTGAATAATCATCAGAGTGCCATCTCGGTGCCCAAAGTGGCAGCCGTTCTGGGCACTCGGGGTTCTCTACATAAGAGTAATCGAGAACATTCAAGTTAGTTTCCGATCTTATCACTGCACGAGCAAAATCTGCAAAGACTTCCGCTTCACTCTTGTTATAGTTTGGCACAGTGTCATAAAACCGATCGCCAGCAAGTCCGATCAATGCAAATATCTTGTCGCGTGGGTCTGTTGCATGAGTTGTTGATACAGAAGAGACTAGCTGCAAGAGATTGGCTTCCCCAACTTTGTAATGCCCCATATATAAAAGAGCGACTGTGTTCCACTCCAGCTGCGGTGAGCCTTTTTCAAGGTCAAAGTCGGATAGTTTGTGGGCGAGAGCTGCTAATCTGAAAGTCTGGAACTCATGTTTAGAAATGGCGATGTCTCCCCATAGCAGTGCGAAGTCAGACGCGACGGCGACTTCTTGTATAATCCAGACTCTGGAGAAGTATGGTACGTTGAACATTGTATTTAAGGCATCCCAAGCGGGTGAGGCTCGTGTTGGTAGACCGAGGTCTAACAGTTCGTTATCCTCGGGAAAGTAGTCTTTTTCGAAAAGACTGGGTTTTGGGATTGCCAGGGTTGAAATGATACCAGCTGCAGAAGCTACTACCTCTGGGTCAGCAGGGCCAAGCCATGCGTTGACTAATTCTGCATTGGAGTAGATATGCCTCATGATGCTGACCTGCTCTGAGCGCTCTGTTACGGAGTCTTGGTCTATGCATATTTGATCGATCCATACATGACGTGGTTTTTCAGGGAGCCTGAGCCGTCTCAGGGCTATGTCGAGACTATCGGTGATGTTGAAGTCTTGTCCGTTGCATGTGATTGACTTGGTTCGATCGAGAGGGCCCCATACGTAGCTGAGCGCTTCATACTTCGGAGCTGCATTGAGTGGATGTGTCTGCAGAGTACCACGGAGCTCATCACTTTCTTCTCCGGGGTAAAGCGTGAAGATTCTGAAAGAGTCTTGTTTCAATTGTTCATTGTATTTGTATGACACGCTGCCTTGAGTCCAATCAGTAAGTTTCCATATAATGTGTCACGGGAGACATACGCTTTAAGCAAGAGGCGAATAATCGACTATTAAAAGGACTATAAAAAGTTTCTCCACGAGTCCGCTATACGGAGCATCTAACGCGTAGTGTTCTGAAGTTGAGGGATAAATATGGGGAGTAGCCTTTCCGCATCAACGGCGAGCACATTTTATCATGATGAGTAACCTTTCGATTTCAAAGATGGCATTGGCTAAAGATTACCAAGGGAGCTTGAAGTATATAGTTTAGGTGAGGAAACTACCTTATGTGTACTAATAAAGTCAGTTGATGTTTGTATCAAACACAGCCTCGTACTTTGGAAATTAGGCAGCTACTGCCTGATTGGGATTTGTTCTTCACGTGCTGATGTCTCAGCCGCATCTGCAACTGTGCGAGCAACAACTCAGCCAAGCTCCGAAGTGGAAAATGCTTAACTTGATGATGTCTATTGCTATTCTACATTGTTTATTAATATTCTTCCGTTTGCCGTGGGGATTCTTCAGAGCATGCTACCAGACGCCTTCTTGACATCGAGTAATGGGCATCTTGAGCAAAGTGTAAACTAAACGTCCAAATGCTTCTCAATATTAGGATTCCTGGGGCATTCAGAGATGAATATAGTACTTTAACTTGGACGTGGTTGGGACCTTGTCATACCCGAGCAATGATTGGTCGCCAGCAAGTTTATCGGGGACCCTGTCATGCCCAAGAGATGATTGATCAGACCCTGGCTTTGCACTTGGACCCTTGAAAAGTCTGACGTACAGGGCTGTCAAAAAGCCTAATTATTTGTTAATAATGCACCAAGTCTGGGAAGCAGCCCTAGAAATTTGCCGTCAGAATGGCTCTCCCTCGTCACTCTCTGCGACTTCGCACTTGTACTGCCAACTTCAAGAACTTCAAGCCTTCTGGGAGCCTGCTTATTAGCCGTCGCTTTACGACTAGAAACAGAGATTTGTTCTATCACGCTTATTCTGTTAAGATGAACGGACATGGAGATTTAAACAACTCCCACGCCGGGAGAACGGCGGTCGAATTGACCCCGGACCCAGCTCACGCCTATCGATCCCTCGCCATTGACCCTTCCGATGACGTTTCTGAAATCCAAGAGAAATACCGCCCGTTTATTCTTGATGGCAAGTACATTAAAGATGATTGGGTTGCAGAATTGGAGCTGAGCACAGCTATTCAAATGGTTCAGTCCGAGATTCTCGATAGAGGCCTAGATCGTCTCCGTATCCTGGTCCTCTACGGTAGTCTACGGAGTCGGTAGGTATTCATCCGCAGGCTTGAACGCTGAATACTAATCTCATCTTCCCTTCAGATCATATTCCCGCCTCCTCGCCTTCGAAGCCGCACGTATCCTCCACCGTCTCGGCTGCGATGTTCGAGTCTACAACCCCGCCGGCCTCCCTCAAAAAGACGATGTTCAACACAATCATCCAAAGGTTCAAGAGCTTCGAGAGCTGAGCAAATGGAGTGACGGCCATGTTTGGATAAGCCCCGAACAACATGGTAACTTGGTAAGCCCTCCAACCCTCCAGACATCGATGATAGACACCTAACACGAGAGCAGACTGGCATCTTCAAACAGCAAATAGACTGGATACCCCTCTCAACTGGCTCCGTCCGCCCAACCCAAGGCCGAACCCTCGCCATCGCCCAAGTCAGCGGCGGCTCGCAATCCTTTAACGCCGTCAACTCTCTACGTATTCTCGGGCGATGGATGAGAATGTTTACGATACCGAATCAGAGTTCTGTGCCAAAGGCGTATACACAGTTTACATCTGAGGATGAGGGGAGTCGTATGCTGCCGAGTGGAAATCGTGATCGCCTTGTCGATTGTATGGAGGAGTTGGTGAAGTATACTATTGTTATGAGGCCGCATTTTAACCTCTTTGGGGATCGGTATAGTGAGAGGGAGGAGAGGAGGGCAAAAGAGGATAAGGAAAAAGTCAAATAGAGATAAAAATACTATACATGTTCGAGGAATAGATCGATTGGACTGTTCTCCGATGAGAAGACGAATATAAATACATCGTGCTGGGTTCGAGTCATTGACTGGGGCAGGATACACACCGGCCACACGAAAACTCAATCATATCATCACCAGAAACACGTACAGCAAGTGTAGTTAGAATATAGAAACTATCATGGACCCATTCAGCCGGCTCAAATGAAAGCAGGTTTATCCAACTCTATCTATCAATTGTACAGTGGTAAATCCCAAAGTGGTACGTCTTCATCGTTACTTCGTCTCTCAACTCTCAAAAGCAGCCCTTGCGAGTTCTCCAATACGCCCGGGCGATGCGTCAAAATGACCATGTCCCAAATGCACCCCACCCATCCAATGCTAAATGCCAATGCGGTCTATTGTAATTTTTGTGGTTGTTTTGTCGCGGTAAGCTCAGGCCTCGTCACGCCTCGTCACCCCCCTGCTCGGCGAGGTTCTCATCTGAGCCCTGCCAATCGTCGCTCTCAAGGCCGTCGCGGCGGATGAAGAGAGATGAGACCCAGCCCAAAATGGCCAGACCGCCGAAGATGCTCCAAGCCAATGCCTCGCCCTTGGGCTGGATGTTGATGGACAGACTGAACAGGCCACCGGAAACGAATGGTCCGAAGCTGCGACCCAAAGCAGATAGGGTTTGCGCCATGCCATTGAGGCTCCCAAGGCTCGAGTGCGACGGAGCAGAGTTGGTGATCTATTGAGGTTAGTAACGTTCAAATGATGGCGCGCAACGTTGGAGGACTCACCAAAAGCATGACACTAGACAGACCACCCACGGCACAGAGGTTCTTCAAGATCAACACCACTCCAAGCTCGATGTACAGCCACATTTTGCCGCTTCCCAGGCCAAAGAAAGGCTTGCTGTCGGCATAGCCAACCCACGGCATGAGCAGCATGCTGATACCCAGTCCCAGAAGCGAGATTTGGTAGGTACCGAGATTGCCCAATCTGACCTTGAGCGCTTGGAAGAGGAAGGCCTGGAAGATGCAGCTTGCCAAACCTGCAATACTCAGACTGATGCCAATCTTACTGGGCAACAAGTCGCGGCCGGCAGGTGGCGGTGTAGCGGCAAAGATTGGGTATAAGCTGTTGAAGGAGATGTTCGAGAGTTGGAAGACGAGATACGTGAACAGAATGAGGATCGTGGTTCGGCTAAGGTCTTTCCATGCGGACATTGCCGGGTCCACCTTGTTATCGCTATCGTCATCGTCGTTCTCGGTCTCTTCGTCATCGGATTCCGATTCGAGCGCTCGTCCGGAGGAAAGAAGGGGCTGGTTCTGGGATTGAGATCGAGGCCAGCGCGCGCTCCAAGATGCTCGTCGAGGCGGGGGTGTGGGTGAAGAGAACCAGGAAATAATCTTCTCGACCCAGGCGGGCTTCTCAAAGTTGACTTCAGTCTTGTCCAAGGTCTCTTCGAACCAGATGCTGACCACCACCACGCTGAGAGCGAGGAGACCAGCGGACAGAATGTTGGGGGCAAGATAAGGGTACTCTTTGCCCATCCTGCCGACAAGAATGCCACCTAGCGCAGGTCCGGTGATGCTACCAAGAGAGTAAATAACGGGCAAGTATGTGAAAGCGCGGCTTTGGTTGGAGCGATCCGTGACTTCTCCCAGTACAGTCGGAACACAGGCGGCATTTCCATTGAGAAGGCCCATTGCGACATGTACAACAACGATCTGCCAGTACTCCTTGCAGAAGCCAAAGACGCAGAAACACCCCATCAGAGCGGTCGTGCCCATGATCAGAACTGGCTTGCGTCCAATGACATCCGAGGCATATCCCCAGAGGAAGTTGGTCGACAGCTGCGCCAATGCGAAAGAACTCGCGAGTATTCCGACATATAAACCAGCTTCGTCGTCAGGGATACCGGGCATATTGAGGACCATTTCAGGTAAATACGGCGATATCGAGTTCAGTGCGGTCTGCTCCGCAAGGGAGAGAAACGCCAGCAACAGCAGCTGTCGCACAGGCAAAGGCGTCTCTTCTTGATCGTCGTCATCTTCGGAATCGCTTCCATTCGACGGGGCATACGGCTGTTCGAGAGGAGTCTTTGGCGGAGTGGTAGGAAAAGTCTGGTATCGATGAGACTGTCGTCGCAGGGAGCTGAGGGTAGGGATTGGCGCGCCAGCATGGAATGAACCAGAGGAGGCTGTTCGATTGACAGCTCTGGCGGCGGCGTTCGAGGAGGCACTTCGCGAGGGCGCCATGATGAACAGTTCGTGCAGTCCAAAGGCCTCTTCAGACCTTGGGAAAGCTTGTAGAGGATGATCACCTCTCAAGCTTTGGGGAATCGAAAGAGTGGTGACGTAGGACGTGCGTAGCGAATCTGGAGAGATTTATTTGGCGGGGCTGACACGCGCCACGATGAGAACAAGGCTCTAGCTTGGCATTTGCTTAAAAGTCAGTCAAGCCTTGATGCCAATGATGAGGTATCCAAGATGATCGACCAATCTTCAATTGAGGTGAGACATCAAGATTGGATTGCTTGCAGTTGATTGATGGCCCGAATATCGGCCGATCGGTCTTTTCTGGGCAGGTGCAGGAAGAAAAAACGCAGGTGATTGTTGTTCCTGCCCTCGTGAGCCTGTCGCAAGGTACGATCGCTGATGTAATTGTGGGGCGGTGCGCGATAAGCATCCAATGAGGTATGACCGTTGACGATGGCACCGGGCGGCTTACTCCGGTGAAACTCAATGGAAAAGAAGCTTATCCAAGTTTGTGATCGTTGAGAATCGTTCTGTTGAAGATTGGATCGAGATCTCTATTGCACGTGCTTACATGCTATTTGTGGAACCTGAGGATATGATGCAATTTCGTGAGATATGCGGATGGGATCGATTCATGCTTGTACGCCTACCCTGTACGAGAAGAATTGATCCATTGCAATATGTTACTGGCCATCAAGCGGTTTGAAGACAAGGCCTTATGTTCGTCCAACCGACCCTGCACTACAAGCTGAACTTCAGATGAGACTGTGAATGATTTGTACCGACCATTGGGAACACGAGGCCCTATTTCTCCGTCGGTCATATCTTTATACTGGAAGAGAATTGATGTCGCCATCAGCGAATCGAGACGAAAGTTCCCTCACTGTTCAATAATTCCAGCCCGCATTGCTTCATGACCTCAATTACGGCGCAAGGATTCCAACAAGATAAGCGTAATTGGTTTAGTGGTAAAATTCTCCGTTGCCATTCGAGCAGCGTCGGGGAGCCCAGGGTTCGATTCCCTGATTACGCAGTTAAAACCTCTCTTTTACTCCTGTAAGGTCTTCCGTTTCTTTTTGTCGATATCGCGATGTCTTTGTCTTGGTGTTTTGAGTTTTGATGCAGTGGCAGAACAGGTGGCTGTCTCGTGTGGCGCTGTAAAAGCTTAATTAAACGTGATTGGCCAATCGTCGATGCGGTTGATATCCAAAGCGGATGAGCAGTCTCACAGCATTCAAAACCCGGTTGTCAATGGTTTTGCTAGGAAGAATATCTGAGAAGACGAGGTGACTGACGAAACGGTACTCCGTACCATGCGTGCCTTAACGCTTGCTCAAAAATCGCAATCGGCGCCATGACATGAGAAGATGTTAATCAAGTACCCGTTGGCTCGAGCCAACGGGTAAATCGATCTGTATCAACATAAATCAATTGAGAGTGAGGCTTAAGCCAACAAATGCATGCATACCTGGCTCCAATAGGGCCATGAGAGATGACGTGGAAGTGCTTGTATAGCGTCTTGGGTCAAGGTATGTCTCAGAAAATGTAGTCGAGCTCAGCTTCTTCGTTGGTGATCACGTCCATTCGCGGATTGCCAAAAAGCAATTACTTGTATACCAAGCTCAATCAATCTCAGCTTCGGCAGCTCAGCTGTAGATCCCCTCGAAACTTGCTAGCTGAAAACTGAACAACACGAGCAATCTCTCCATGCATGCCGGTCGCTGAGGTATAAATCTAAGGGATTCTCCAGCTCCTTCTTTCGAATCTCTTCATACCAAACATACCAACCTATTTACACTTTACAGCATCATTATGGCGCCGTCCGAATCTCTCATTCGGCTTCAAAAGGGTAACTATATGATTTGATGCAATCAAACTACGCATGACTGACAGCATTGGCCGGGAATCGCCGGAGGCTTTGCCCCCCCTAAACCAAGCTTAACAATCCAGATAAGTACTCGGGATGGCGACTCTCTCCAGGTGTACATAACTCGGCAATTCGGAGACGAGGAAACAAAGACTGTAGAAGCAGCGGACAAAGACGCTCTCATTGGTGAGTTGTACGGTATCGTGAAGGAAATACCTATGGCGTCACCTCCAGGTAGTGAAGATATATACGGTTTGGATACTGGTATTGCTCGGATGAGCGAGGATTGGCAGTGGACCAATGGTGATAACATAAGCGGTTAGGGGGAAAGCAACGTACAGCCTTCTCCAGAGGAGAAGAAGAAGTTTGAGAGGGCGGTTGAGATTAACAAAGAGATTGCCGATGCTTAATAAAGCTACAATTTTATCAACTACTAAATAATAGTTTAAGATAACTTACCTATGATTCGTAGCATGGTGATTGATTACTTATCTATGCGGTTTCAGTCTAAAGTGTGCTGGCGAGTTCTTTCGACTTCATTTCTATTCGGGGCTATGGACTGATAAATCCATGCCGAAATGATGACCAAAGGCATGTTCGGATCGGTTGAGGGCATATCGTAAGTAATATAATCTTCTAGTCACTGAGAGAGAAGGTTATAATACAAGGCGTTTTCTATCCCCCAGGCATCCAATTATATGCCTGCATTGCACAGCCTGATTGTGGGCTTCTGGTCAGATCATGCTGCAAGTGTTGGATCGTCAAGCAAGTAGATATAACATTTGAAGCGAAAAACAGAAACGAATTTTCCTGGCCGATATATGATATAATTGCAATCACAATAGAAAAGGAACAAAGTTATTTTTCACTTGGTGAGAGGGTTTAGTAAAGCCTGTTTCCCAAACACAGCCATATCAAACAGCAACAGCCAAGGCATCCTGCGAGGTGAACTGGGCTTGAAACGACACACTTGATTGGGCAACAATGTAGCACAGCATCTTAAATGCAGTCGGATTCTGAGGCAGCGGTATCCTACCAGTCTGCCTTCTGGAAAACAGGGGTTGCCCAATTCCTGCCCAATCCCCCCAACTTCAACTTTCTTTCAACATCAGACATTTTCATTCGCCTCAGGGAGCAAGACAGCATCTGACTCTAAGTAGTCTAAGGTCCACTAAATCTATACTTAGTTTACCCAATTCCTTTTTCATTTTCCCAACAGCAGGCGACTATCGGGATGGCGACCGGCCTAGAGGCACTCGGGGCTGCCAGCGCTGTTATCCAGTTGATCTCGTTTGCCGGGAGCCTCATCTCCCTCAGTTTCAAGATTTACGATGGAATGCCTACCCCCGAGAACGAGCTTGAGGAGTACTCGACCAAGATGATGGAGGCGGCCCGTCGCGTTCAGTCTCGTGGCACCAAAGTGCCCAAAGGAACCCAGGTTGGCGACAAACTATCCAAGGTCTCGCAGGAGTGCATCAATGCGGCCACAGAGCTGAAGAAAGAGAGTCAAACGCTTACCAAGCGATGCCAAAAGGGCAAAATGTTCAAGGCTGTCTATTCTGCTTTTCGCGCGGAAAGTCATAAAACCAAGCTCAATCAATTGAATGAGTCCTTAAAGAAGTGCAAGGAATTAATGGAAACAGAGCTCTTGTTGAAGATATGGTGCGCATTCAATTCAGTGTTCACCTCGTCAACGCCTGCTAACAGCTTGATGTGAACAGCGACCAGAATACTGCGACTGCACAACAACAGAGCCAAGGATTCCAAAGTCTAGCAACTGATGTCCAGAACCTCATTTTCAAGATTGCGGAAGGCTTTACCAGGGTAGAGCAACTGGTGTCCATCGAAGCTCAAGTCACACGGGATGCCATCAACACCCACGTCACCTCCGAGTTCAAGGCTTTGGGCATCAAGAACATTACAGACAACCAACGTCAGCGACTCTTGAAAAGCCTCAAACCCGAGGAAATCAGAGAGAGATATAATTCTGTTCTACCGTCATCAGACGCTTGTTTCGAAAGAGTTTTCGCGTCATATGAACGTGTTTGTCGCAAAGACCAAGAATACAAAGCCTGGGAAATTTACGAGCGAGCATTTGCTGACGAAAGTGATAATGAGAGTGAAAAGGCAAGATTTGAAGAGGAGGTTGATGAGATTGATCACATATGGGAATGTTTTAGTACCTGGCTGCAGTCAGATGACATATTATTTTGGATCCGAGGAAAGCCAGGATCAGGGAAAAGCACGTTGATCAAATTCGTTATCAACAACGACAACACGAAGCGTTTGCTTGGCTCCTGGCAACCAAACACTAGACTTCTGTCGCATTTCTTCTGGAAGATCGGAAGTGAGCCTCAAAACAGCATTAAAGGCCTTTTGTGTTCTTTGCTTCACGACCTCCTATTAGAAGATGTCGATGCCATCGACAACGTATTGAGGGAGTTCAAATTCTCCCAATCGAAAGACTCTTATAGAGAATGGTCATCCCAAGAAGCGGAGAAAATCTTCTTGTACCTTTTAGATACTGGTGCTTATTCAACATGCATTTTTATCGATGGCCTCGATGAGATATCTAATAAAGATGGATACCGGGCACTAGTCAGTGTCGTTCAAAGACTCACATCATGTCAGCGAGTGAAGGTCTGTGTATCAAGCCGACCTGAAACAGAGCTAGTCAAAAGGCTTGAAAGAATTGGAGTACAGAGCTTACGACTAGATGACCTCACCAAACCTGAGATGGTCGTCTATCTACGCAAGGAATTCGAAAGATTACCACAAGATCAGTCCGCCGACTTGGCGCTTGAAGATTTCATCTATACACTTTTAGCCAAATCACAAGGGGTCTTCCTCTGGCTTGCTCTTGCTACGAGAAGCGTCATCAATGGAATTACGAATGGCGATGATCAAAAAATCCTTTCCCAAAGGCTACAAGAACTCCCAGAAGAGCTTGAGTCTCTTTATCAGAAAATGTGGGAGAGACTCAACGGGAATGACCGAGTATACCGCGAGACCGCTGCAAGATACTTCCGCTTTGTCATAGCCGACGGCTGGGGAACAACACTGTATAATAAGGACGGATCATATGCCTACATGAGAGAGCCCAATCTGATCCAACTATCACTGGCGATAAATGTCGAAGACAGTTTCATCTTTCCACCCAAAGCTGATGCGAAAAAGCTCTTTGAGCTGACTGCTCTGTGTGCCGCGACAGAAAGCGATGTCCAGACCCGATGCGCTGGTATGCTACAAGTTGCTCGACACTCTGCTCTTGATGAAAAACTAGCGGAATTCCCCGACGCGATGTATCCACTTACACGACAAGTCCAGTTCATTCACCGCACAGCTCACGACTTCCTGATTGATACAGAAGCTGGTCAATCCATTGTGAATTACAAGTCAAATGAGACAACTTCGGTGGATACAGAACTCAAACTGCTTAAATGCCAGCTCAGTCTGATAAACACGTGGTACCATGAGCTTGGGGTCGCGTCTTTTGTATCTGATGCTCTTCGTGACTGCAATCGACTGAATAACAAGGGAGCGAATCCAAATACCATATTGGAGGCACTAAATATAATCAAGGACCTATATGAAAACGGTGCTCTGATCAATCCCCAATCGTGGGCGCCTACTCGATCCTTTCCTTGTGTCGCAGCGTTTTCTCTTGACAGCTTCGAAGATTTTGTCATTTCTTCTTTTGTTCCGACTCCCTCACCAGAGCTTGCTACGAACAGCCTTCACGAGCTGGCACTTGCAAGTCGACACATGGGTATGTCCGAACTATCAGTCAAGATATGCCGAGGGATGGTTGGACTTGGCGCAGACGCACATGTCGCCAAAAGGTCCGATCTGTGGTTTCAGCTGCCAGAGCACAAAACACCCATAACAAAACATACTACAGCCTTTGAGACGCTTATTTGTACCGCAATTCAGTCGGATAGTAGCAGCACGGGGTTGTTTCTTGACGTGATCGAAATTCTGGTACAGACCTGCCCGGACTTGCACAAAAGGTTCATATTATTCATTGACCGGTTCGGAGTTTTGCTCTGTCATATATTTAATCCAAGTAAAGCATGGCTCATGCTGGAGGTCGATCTGCAGTTTCTCATCACCAAGCTCCTGACTGTAGCCGACCGGAAGAACATCCGAAATGAGTCTAATAATAGGATGCACGAACTTGCAGCCTCTTTCATCAAGCCTCATGCACGTGTTAGATATATTGCAGGCCGTGGAGGAGAACCTGGCTATCAAAGTGTCTGGGCTCATTGCTATCGAGTTCTCGACCAAGAACCATTCCTGGACATTATTGACAGCTTTTGGTATGGCGAGAAATCCCTTGAAGTGGTTGCAAGATTTGAACACGATGTGGACGCCATAAATATCCGTAACGATGGCTCTACCCTTTCAAATCGTAGCTTTCCATTGAAGAGCTTAGAAAAGGTGTCCATCGGGGAACAGATGGATATGCTAATACAAGAGGGTGTAGGGCTATACAGAGAGGAGAAGGTCAGCATTGGTTGATGCCGTTCCCTACGATATGGGCGCAGTGGAAAATGGGTATTGATCTTGTCTTGGATGAGCTGTATCTCTGATACACCCTTCTATCTAATATAATGCTAAGTGGTCGTATTAGTAGTGAACAAAGAGCCAATTTCTTCGTCAAAATCAGGTCTCAAGTACGTCTTCTTGGAAATAGGTACCAAAGCGAAGCTGCAGATATCTGTTTGAACCAATGAACGAGGAAGAAAGCTGTCAACTTCATATCAGCATGATCTTGGTCTATATTAAAACCCTGACCAGCTCGGTACCTAGCTACCTCAAGTATCTCAGTTTTCATCTAACGATAAAATAAGCAATAATTCGAGAAATCTTCTCAAATAAGCCCCCTCTAATTTTAACCTTACTCCAAAGTCAACATATTCTCAGGCATGATATCCGGGTCCCCTATCTGATGCACAATCGACAAAAACTCCTCCGATGAAATCCCAATATTATCAAGAAACTCCATATCACTTGTCATAGGATTCTGCACACAATTCATTGGAACCTCCATACCCAGTGTCTCCTGCGCAAGAAGTCGTTGTTGCTCCTCATCAGCCTTTCTCGCTAAATCTTCGTCTGTTACTGCAAGGGATAATGTCTGAAGACCTTGTTGTTGGACTTGGGCGACGAGTTCTTGGCATTGGGTTTCGAGATAGACGAGTTCTTGCTTTCGTACGGATGCAAGGCGGTTGCCGCGGGCGATCATGTTGTCGAGGAGCTGGTGGATTAGCAGACGGCAGCCTTGGTCATCTGCTACGCCGGGGAAGAGGGCCGTTGCCATGTTTAGATGTAATGCGGCGCCGAAGGTGAACTCGAGATCGTAGGGAAGAAAAATCTCTGTGGAGTGTTAGTGGGAGTTGAGGAGGGGTAGGGGAACTTACCGAGAAGACTGTACTCGCTGGTGAGAATTTGTAGTGTTTTGACTGCTGATTTTATACCGGTTGAGATGACGGCCGCTGTTTGGCCGAGGAATGCTTCGGAGTTCTCATTACCTGGTTGGCCGAGAATGTCGAGACGTTCCTTGAGGACTGAGAGTAGAAGTGGCCTTGTGGCGACGATAACGCACTGGGGCTGTTAAATCTGTCGATGAGAAAGTAGTGGATGACTTACTTGGTGGTAAAGAAGGGTTATATACTTTGTGCCTCGAGGCATGGTATCAACCGAGTTTCGAAATTTGAGTGATATGATTCTTTCTATTTCTTGGGCGTGATGGGCGAGTGTATGGAGGATTGACTTGGTTTGCTCGAGGAACTGGTCAAGTGGTGTTTTCTCTGGCTTGTAGAGTGCTGAAAGGTTAGAAATCGATGAAGGATTCTTCGGACTCAAACTTACTGGTCAATATCACGGACAGAAGATGAGACAGATTCACTTGAAGACTGCGAGCGCTATCATCTTGCGACCCAACGTTTGGTGGGTTGACTGGTGTAGAAATGTCACTATCTTGAACAGACATAGGAAGTCCCAAAGATGACGAAAAGTGCCGATCCATGATGTACAACGTCCACCATAAATCACGACAAGATGTGACTGTCTCACTGCCGAGCTCATTATCAGGTAACTGCGTATGCAGACCCTCTAGCTGAGCAATTCGAATAGCCTGGCCAAGCTGTCATACCGTCAGTCATGAAACACACACTCCTCGACAGTACCTACATATACGTGAGCAGACTCCCTCTCATCAATCGAATACAAATACAAGCCAACCATGGCCAAAACCTCTATCGCAAATAAGCTATCCTTCCAAAGAGCCGTATGATCCGGCATCAGACCCATCGCACGCACAAAGAACTTTGCACCGGGGGGTTCCTTGGATGGGAGAGGCTGGGATGAGAGAAAGGCTGTTCCAAAGGCTAGAATCAAGAGAAACTTGACATACCAGAGGCGGTTCTCCTCTGCCTTGCTCTGCGCATCAGAATAGAAATCACGGATCTGGTTCACGAATTCTACCTCGTCGAAAAGACGGTAGGTCTGGCCGAGGTGGAATTTGAAGGTGTGGAAGAGATAGATTGCGTAGTCGAGGGAAGGCAGGCCGGAGACATCGGCTTTTTCTAGTTGTGTCCATGACAGCTTGTAGACGTCTTCTTCGATTAGTTGGGGTGGTATGTTGAGACCGCCTGGTTGGAGCTTATCGCCGAGCATGAGCATGAGTCGTAGAGTGAAAGACCACGTCGACCACGGCGCGAGCCATACTATGAAATAGTTAGAACATCTCACATACACCAGTTCTTGCACTCACTCCATGTGCGCCTATTCTTGCGAGTATTCTTGATGATCTTGGATGGTATTGTAAAAGCACTCGGCCAGATAGTCAACGGCGACTCGCCGGTTTGTTGCGAGTAGGACGAAGTAGCTGGATCTTTAACGGACGAGTCAGATTGTTGTCGGGAGCCTACCGTGAGCGCAGGAGAAGCAAGACTGGTATCAACCCCGCACTCACCATTGACATCGTTTCCAAAAGCAGCATCATTAGTGCGCTTCAATCCGGGAGAGTAGTTATCTCCTCCAACTTGAGATGATGATATTGGTGGCGAACAATATGAGGGGTGAGAGTTTTGAGAGTGGACGGATGCTGCGTCCATTGATGAACGGTATGGCGGAGGTGCAGAGGCCGTGGGAGGCGAGCGATATGTAAATGTTGTATCTACTTGACCTGCATTGTCGAAGATGTTATTTGTCGGTGAGCGTTGTTGCTGTTCTACTCGCTTTTGAAGATCTTGGAGATATCTTTGGGTTCGTCAGTGAGAGTCGAGACAAGGACACCTGGTGACGAACTTCTCTGATACCATCACCTTTGCTCCTCCCTCTGTAAAGCGACATTGCACAGAGCGACGCTGACAATTCTGACACGGGTCATCGCCAGAGCATTTGATCTTACTCTGTCTACACGCGACACAGCTATGACGCCGTCAGCCCAGAACAGTCTCAGCCACCAAACGAGAGGGGCACATAGATAAAGCTTAAAGCGGTGACATAACATACGCATTGGCTGTTCTTCTTGTCTTGCGAGGTTCCTTCTGCGCGTCTGATGCCATTTCGGCAGGATATCTTACGATGCGTCGAAGAATCTTTTGGTCATGGAAGCTCCAAAAGAAACAGTTTTTTGGCTGCAGTGTGTCTTGGGTTCCCCTGCAGTTTGGGTGTGAGTGCCACCGACCCTAGCACCCCCGCACAAATGCCGATCAAGTGATTGGGTTTTGACGTGGCCGTTACCGGGGGAATATGGGGGCAACACTCGATGAACTACCGGACTTGGTATGATGCATATCCAATTATTGTGCTAATATTACTATTTGAAACATTCTAGAAGGATTATTGAAACATTAACTATATGTACGATTTGTCTGAATTGACTTTGTGATGCTCTGCGAATGGATAGCTTGTTTTCTTGGCCAACGGTAGATGCAGCAGTTAGACAGCCCAGTACCTATTCCTCCCCAATTACAAACGTGACCGGCCTTCGCTCACTGGAATGCCGTGGCTAGATAAGCCCAACTTTCCCCCTTGCAACGTCAATGAACAACACACTATCGATCCCCACAATATAATGAAGAATGCACTATATCCCATTGGTCATTGAAACAAAGGCGTCTGGCCACGGGATCAATGGTCCCAATGGGGAAATAATTCTTCATATCGCACATTAGATCAGTAAAAGCGAGGTCGGCGTCATACATGACGGTTTTTTTTGCTCCTCACTTATCATGTTTGTGGGTGAGATATCGAGGGGAGATTGCAGGGATCGGGAAGTAGGCCCTTCCGATTGGTGAGGCAGCGAGATAATTACTCTTTTGGAAATATTTAGCGGTGCTAGTGGTTTTGGTGTTGATAACGGTAAGTTTGAGATATCGATGTTTGGGCCAATTGTTTGATATGGATTTGTAGCATGCACGATAACGGTTCCGCTGCAAAACATGAGAAGGCCTGGTAAGACGAATTGCAACAGTCATGACCGGTTTGCGCAATCCACGCTCAAGCCTTGTGATAAGAATACCAAATCTATGGTAATTTGGACGTCCAAGATATATGGACGGCTCCTGTTCTGGAGTGCATTCGTGTTCATTCCTCGCCGAACTTTTCAATTTAAATACGATATGGATCTATCTTCCTATTAATCTGATTCGAGTAGCATATGATTACTTGGTGGGCCAGCATTTCAGGAGGCCATCGTTGAACTCAGACCGGAAGCTCATCCGACTTGGTCCCCGTCCCCTCGCCCGGACCCCCAGCAGTTCTCCATGTCTCGCAGATACCCCAACCGTGCACAGGTCATTCTAGAAGCTATCCATGTCAATACGTCCAGATGAAGGAGTCTCAGCCGGCTTGGAACGGTGAAGAAAATCCGGGGGTTAGGCTAAGCGACTTGATCTCCACGGTGGGGTAGGACGGTCTTCAGTCTCGGGTTGGGCATCCGAACAGAAGATCATAGGATCTGGTTTGGAGCACTTTACTGTGACCCAAAGCTTGATTGGAAATCACTTGAAGACTGAAGCAGTTACAGGACTCGTCCAGCATTCGTTGCCTTTAGACCTAATAGCAGCCCCTGGGTTATCGGAACAGGAGTTCTACAATTTACAGAGCCAAAAGACGAGAGTTGTATCTCTCCTTGCAATATCCAAGCATACTCAAGTATCACTATGCTAGACCTCGCCATAATCGGCGCCGGCTTCTCCGGTCTTCAAGCTGCAGTCACCGCCCAAAAAGTCGGTCTATCGATCGCAATTCTCGAAGCTCGCGACCGTGTTGGTGGTAAATCCTGGACTGTTCCACTCAAAAACACAAACGGAAAAGCAGATCTCGGCGCTGCTTGGGTGAATGATGAACTACAGCCCCTCGTTTGGTCGTATATCCAACAATTCGGACTCGAGGATCAAATCGTGAAGCAAAGACTTGGCCATAAGGCTGTCATGGTCAGTGCAAATGGGGAGAGGATTGAGTTTCCTTTTGGTATCACGCCTGATGTAAGTTATGAGAGGCATGGTGCGAGTTGGAAGTCTGGGAATGTGTGCTGATTGGGATAGTTTACGCATGAAGAAAAGACGAATCTTGAGATGGTTAGGGATGACATCCAAGCAGAATCTTTGAAGCCCGATGGATTCCGGAAAGATGATGATCAGATCAGTTTGGATCAATATGTTCGAAATCTCGGCGGCGGTCCCAAAACTCTCGAGATGGTGAATCTTTGGGTTCGAGTTATGCATGGTCTAGAATCGACTGAAGAATCCGCAGCCTGGTTCATCGAATACTGCCGCACAAACCATGGTCTTCTAGCTATTCGAGCAGATGATCGTACGGGTGGTAATTACATGCGCATCAAATCTGGTACACAATCCATCGCCAAGGGCATGGCTGATCTTATCGGCCATGAGAACATCCACTTCTCAAACCCCGTTTCTTCAATCGAGCAAAGCATGTCAGGTGTCGCTGTGAGAACGACAACTGGAAAGGTCGTCAAGGCCAAGAAACTCATCATCTCGATGCCTTCCGCTATGCTCAAAGAACTCACCTTCTCACCCCCTTTACCTAAGCGAGCACAGGAGGTCTACAATAACACCAAATTGGGTCATTACAACAAAGCCATTGTGTTTTACAGCAAACCTTGGTGGCGCGATGGTGGATTCAACGGCTTTTTCATGGACTTCCGCGGCCCAGCCTGCGTTGTACGCGATACCTCTTTCGACGATGAAGGTATCTATGGGTTCACTTGTTTCGTGAACGGTAAACCCGGTGAAGAATGGAGTAAACAGTCTCCTGAGACTCGACTAAAGGTTATTCTTGATCAACTCGCGCACGCTTTCGATTCGTCGGAAGCTTATAACCCGCTTGAGTTTGTTGAGCAAATCTGGCAGAATGAGGAGTTTAGTCGTGGTGCTCTTGCACCAGTCACAAAGATCGGACATCTTGCCAAGTATAGGGATATTTATGGTAAACCGGTGGGAAACATTCACTTTGTGGGAACCGAATATGCGACGCACTGGAAGGGATATCTTGAGGGTGCTTTGACGTCGGGACATGCTGGGGCGAAGGAGGTTATTGAGGCGCTGAAAGATCAATCTTTGCAGGCAAAGCTTTAAGTTGGATGGTTTGGCTGATTTGAGCGACGGTAGAAATAATTGAGTATGTTTTTATAGGTGAGATTGGTGGATCTATTGCTAATGATGAGGTCTCGTAAGAGGACCCAAACCCATGACTCCTTTCAACACTACTAGTGTGCTATGCTGATGAATGCTATACGCTCCCTCATCAACTCTCAGCCATCACCTGCAATACGGCCCTTGCACCGCGCTAGCCTCCTCGACTCTTCTCCTTTTCTCCCTTAACCTCCTCAGCTCAGGTAAGATGAATAGGTTGATGGATTCGTGATAAGGCTCTGGAAGACCGACAATTACAGTCACCAATTTCTTAAGCAGCATCTTTCAAATGCCTTCAAATGGCGATGGAAACTTGCCAGCCTGAGAAACAAGTACAACAAGCAGAGCGATGACGACTCGGTAGTTTCCATCGGTGTCGAAACCATCCTGCTGTGTTCTCTCCGCCATAAGCGCCCGAAACCGGTCCAGATATTGTCGGGCGAAACTGTTAATGCTCGCCACATTCAAACAGCTCGAACAAAGGAATACTATGGCCGTCATGATGAGGTTGTCGGTTTTCGCGAGGGGGAGGACACGTTCTCGCCATGTGTGGCTGAGAGCTTATATCAGCACAGAGAACTTAGTTCACATGCAGGGCGAAACAATTTTAACAACTACAATGGTAACCATGATACTCCATTAAGTAAAGATACATACCTTTTTCGGCCTCCTCAGCTGCAGCCCGGAGATTGCTGGACCGAAAGCTTCATCCATCTCGGGTTGAGGTCTGCGCTGAACTCAGCATCGGCTTCTCAAGCCGAGATTCTCGATAGCGGCAATTCTTGGGCGGCGCATCACGAAGGAAAGCGGCGGCAAGAACTTTGACGGAATTGGTGAGACTTCTTCTCCTTCCCCTTTTGTTCAGCGTTTCATCTGCGGCCCTCGGGGTCTTCCCCGCACCGTGGACTTCCCATAAACATCAAGCCCCAACTGCTCATGATCAGCTTATCAACCGGACAGCTCCGCATCTCCATCTCAAGCCGAATACAGGGAGACTACCTCAGCGCATCGCGCCGTATCTAGAGATAACAATACCTAACACCGACGCATCATTCGCGATCGTTGTATAACGATACCCGTCACCAGATTCAATCGCCGCTCACCTGCATCGGTCACCGCCCACAATGACATCCCTCACCTCTACCCTCAAAGATCCATCCCTCCTTGTCGAAAGCCGACCCTTCATCAACGGCGAATGGCCTCTGTTCACGTCCTCTCAAACTTTTCCTGTCTGCAACCCCGCGACAAACACAATCATCGGCTCAGCACCAGAATGCACCGTCGACGACGTCAACAGCGCCATCTCGGCAGCTTCAGAGGCCTTTCCCCTGTGGCGCGCTCAATCAGGCCGCCAGCGCGCAAAGATAATTCGCAAAATCGCAGAGCTACTGGCAGAACACAAAACTGACATCGCAAAGATCATCACAGCGGAGAATGGAAAGGCGACAGCGGATGCTGAAGGGGAGGTGATGTTCTCGGCGGGGTTCTTCGAGTGGTTTGCGGAAGAGGCGCTGAGGCTGTATGGTGATGTTGTCCCGCATTCGCAGCCGAATTCGAGAATTCAGGTCATCAAGCAGCCCGTTGGTGTTTGTGGTTTGATCACGCCTTGGAATTTCCCTTTGGCGATGGCTGCGAGGAAAGTCGCTGCTGCGCTTGCGGCTGGGTGTACGACTGTGCTCAAGACGGATGGCGTGACGCCTTTCTCGGGGAATGTTCTCGGTGTCCTCGCTGAGCGCGCTGGTCTGCCAAAGGGGGTTCTCAATATCGTCACTGCTCTGGATAACACACCGAAACTAGGTCTTGCGCTGTGCGAGTCTGACGTCGTCAAGAAGATCTCCTTCACGGGCTCAACCCGGGTAGGGAAGATCCTGATGAAGCAGTCAGCCGATACTCTCAAGAAGCTATCTCTAGAGCTTGGAGGCAACGCGCCCTTCATCGTGTTTGACGAGGCCGATGTCGAGACCGCGGTATCCAGCGCCATCATTGCCAAGTTCAAGGTGACCGGCCAAACATGCGTTTGCGCCAACAGGATCTATGTCCAGGAAGGCATCTACGACCAATTCTCCAAGCGCCTAGTTGAGGAAGTCGGCAAGTTTAAAGTCGGTAACGGTGCTGACCCTTCAGTGACACACGGCCCGATGACCACGAGTGTAGACAAGGTTGAGGAACATGTCCAAGATGCCCTCAAGAATAAAGCTACTCTTCTCTTCGGCGGTCAGCGATTACCCGATCTCGGAAAGAACTTCTTCCAGCCGACAGTTCTGGGCGATGTTGACGATACGATGGCCGTGACTTACGAAGAGACATTCGGACCACTTGCGGCGTTGACCAAGTTCAAGACAGAAGACGAGGTTATCGCAAGGGCGAACAAGTCTGACGTAGGATTGGCTTCTTACATCATGACAAACAACCTAGCGAGATCGCACCGCGTGCAGGAGAGATTGGAGTTTGGTATGGTAGCCATCAACACTGGTGTCATCTCAGACTGGGCTGCTCCGTAAGTACAAACACTTGTTGCAGCGGATCAATGACTGACTGTTTGTAGATTTGGCGGTGTCAAACATTCTGGTATGGGGCGTGAGGGCAGCAGGTATGGTGTTGATGATTACATGGTTCTCAAGACGATTGTCACTGGTGGTATCAATACTGTGTACAACCCAAGGCTATGAAGAAGGAGCATATGGAGCAAACATGCTCAAGCAAACGGCATCGCAACAACAATTCTGTGACCCATCAAGGTTGCTTTCCACCGTATTCCACGTGATACTCATGCAGTGAATGGAGTCATTGAGGCTATTGTTGCGATCATTGGCATGAGCTGCAAACGACAGTGGCAACGACTGACAGCATATCAACTCGCATATCTACCGAATCGCATCATCTCCTCTCCCAAACATCTTTCAGTCAACCCTCCTATCTACACAAGAGGAACACCAGCATCACTTCAACATCAGCCATGGCTACCGACAAGACGATGTCGTCACTTCCAAAGCCCTCTGCCCCTATTGCCATCCCGACCGGCCGAAACCGCGCCCGTACTGTCGACCACCTCCTTCGACATCATCCTCCCTCCCATTCCCCAATCCTTCTCCGATCTCCGGGCCCTCAAAGCCACGCCGATGCCGTCCCTCCCGATCCTCGCAAGACCACCAACCCGAAAGACCCTCTTCGCTACGTCGACTCTCTGAAACTACAAGTCATCCGCAACAAGCGCGGCGAAACTCTCGGCCTCAAAGTCGTCGACATTAACTCCGTCAAACCTGAACGAGCAAACGTTTGTGCTCATCTTCCTATTGGCAAAGAAAACGCTGGTCTTGTGTTTGATGTCGAGAGTGCCGAGGCGATGAAGGAGTTGTACTCCAAGGCGTCATTGACGATGGCCTCGGACAGGATCATGGGGATTCTTTTTGCGCCGCCGCGGCCTGATGCTGGTGGCATTGCCAGGGATGCGGATTGGTCTTTTTTGGATGATGATGTTGGAGGGGGAGATGCGAAGGATGAGAATGAGGATAGGGATCGGGATCAGCTAGGTGCTGATTTTCAGATTCCTTTGCTGTTGGGGGGTCTTGATCTTGATGATTGAGTACTTTCTATGGTGGATGATTTGGACGAATGACAAAGATCGCTGGCGATGACAGAGGATACGGTTGCTTTGTCTTGGAGGAAACATACCCAAGAATAGCTGTTTGATACAGACCAGTCTCTGCGTTGGAGCAGAAATGACGAACAACGATTGTTTTGCGCACCATGATTACCATCTCGTTGGTGTCATTTTGGTGGCCTCTTCATCCTTCTCCCCATTCCGACATATGATCGTCGTCTGTCTCGTTTGGTACTCACTTCTTCTCCCGCCATCTTCAAGATCATCGCCATCAAGTTCCCGTTACTCTTTTCTGAGTGCTTCTTTTTCCACGTCATCCGTTGGTGATATCCCTCGTACCTCACCTTCACATGACCCGGGTGTTGTCTTGCCTGGGCGTCCTGTCAATTTCACCTCCCTCATATCGTCAAACGGGCAAGCACTGTACTCCCCGTGAGATGGCTTTGTCTCGCCATGGCCGCAAAGGTTGAATTGCCCTTGAAGTTGTTGGCGATCAAAGTTCAGTAATATCTGTTGGAAGATGATGTCTCTCCAACTTCGCTTCATCATACAGGTTAATTGTCCATATCTTGATGGACGACCAGGAACTCTGCCTGTTATTTGGTCGTTGACGCTGTCTCGCTCCTTCCACAGCACAAGCCCTTACCTACCTCACCACCTCCTCTCGGCAACCCAGTCCATGAACTCAGCAACTCTCTTCTTCGTCATCATCATCTTGTTCTTGTTCATCAACTTCACCATCACCACCATCATCAGAACACGCAGCAGATATACCAAGCCCAAGCCATCACCACCTCCCATCATGTCACAACCAATAAATCCAGATACTCCGTCGCCAAATGTTCCACCACCACCACCACCAAACCCAGACACCCCCACCTCCAGCACCTTTACAGGAGCCACCTTCGGCATACGTCCAGACCACGTCGCATGGAAATGCCACAGAGGTTTCTTCTGCAATATCATCAACCCCCTGACAGATGCCCGGTGCGCCACATGCAAGCAGGAACGAGCGTTTCCGGCCGACGCTCTCAACGCCAGCCACAAGCAGATCGGTTGGCTGCAGTCTGTGGACCTGCACGGCAACGAGAAGTGGGTTTACTTTGATCGTGAGACTCTGGATCAGCTTCGTCAGGGAACCTTGCCCAAGAACTTTCTCAATAGCAGCCCGCCTGTGTCTTGGAAGTCTGGTGGTATCGATGGAATCAATCCCGAGAATAGTCGCCCTGTATCTGAGGGTTCTGGTGATGTCGTTGGAATCCACCACGGGAATAGTCCGCCCGTGTCGTCGGGGACCGGTGACGTCGGTGGAATTAGTAGGGAGGGGAAAAGGATGAGCACTGGTGTTGGATTTGAAGTTAGTCGTATGGAGAGGTGGGTTGCGAATGTGGTAAAAAAGCAGGTGGATGATGAGGATCTTGAGGAGCCGGACAAACAGCCGGAGGACGAAGGAGATGCCAAGGGGAGCGCTGCGGGTGATGGGAGTGGTAGCGAGAGGAAGAGTCAGTAGTTGAGGGTATGGTTAGCAAGGTCATCACTTCACGATAGAGGGAATACAGAAAAGGGTTTTCAGCATGATCTGTTCTCTCCCATGGCTTAATTGCTTATGGTATTTGCCTCCTCGTTGCCGGCAGTGCTTTCAACTTGTGCGGGTTCTCAAGTTCGTGGCCAGACACTGCCTTGAGGCGTGCATCAACGTCTTCGATAGCGAGAACCAGGTCAAGGATAGCGCCTGTACCGCGTAAAATGAGGTGCGCAACATGCGACTTCGAGCTCTCGAATTTGTTTGGCTATTTGGAAGAGTTGCGAGTGTGCGTTGTAAGGGAAGCTTTACTTAGAGGCGGAGTGGTTGATTGAAGGACTTCCACTTCTGACCGTGAATACGGGGAGCTGGCTGAATGGAAGTTAAGATTAAGTAAAGATGCATCAATTATTTGACTAATGTTATGGCAGTGATTTGGGCATTCTCGCTCTGTGATTATGATGCGAGGGCCAGTCTGTCGCCCACGTGTATAAGTTGCGAGCCTTGCCGCTGGCAACCACCGCTCCTCACAGACGCATAGCAAATACAGTAACTATCAACTTCTTCAAACCACCTATTCCTCTACGCAATGGCTTCTAAGCAAGAAGGTACTTCGAAAGTTTACGCTATAACTAGAGAAGGTAACGACTTTGTCCCCGAGAATGCTGCCTGGACATGTAAATGGGGACCCATCGAAGCCCAATGCGGACACATAAACGATGATATAAAGAACAAGAAGTGCACCAAATGTGGTTTTGCACGCTCTGCTGCCATCGCACACGTCGGGAAGAGGCTTGACGAAGGGGTAAAGGGGAGGTGCTGGGAGATTTGTGGTATAGAGAACGATGGGACTGAAGTCTGGACGTATGACTTTATTCGTGCAAGAAATGAATTCTGGGCTTTACATATCAATAATTAAATGGCCTTTTGAGAGAATCTTTAGGTAATAAGGCGAAGATTGAGTTGATCAAGTGGAATAGGATTCTCTCTATGACGCAGTGAACTCGAAAGTTGCGAGCCAGATAGATGTGTTATTTGCATTTGAGAACTTAGCAGTGAACTCGCACAAAAAGACATTGTGTCTTTCATCTGCTTCAATGTCACTGAGACAATACATTGCCTGGGGAGATGTAAATGATTCAGGCTACCTACGGTGTCTGTGAGTAACACATCAGCCCTGAGGTGAGAGAGAGGGTGTCTTGGTAGAGTGACTGTGCATCAATGACTGCAGTCACTACGGCGGCTTTTCAGGCATAGCGTCTCTCTGATTAATGTCTTGTGAGAAACCGCTTGCATCCAGCATGTATAAGTTGAGAGAGTCTTTCCCATTTGCCATGACCACTTCTCTAAGAACACAACGCTCAGCAATACAAACACTCACAATCTCTCTACACCACTACTATACCTATACCTCTACAAAATGTCGTCGACACAAGAAGATCCTCCGAACTCATACATGGTGACTGAAGAAGGCGACGACTTCGTCCCTAAGAACGCTAAATGGACATGCAACTGGGGAGCATCGTGGGAGCCCTACAAGAAGAAATGCGGAGGGAGAAATGAGGATATATACAACAAGATTTGTTCCAAGTGTGGCAATAAACGTGGCTGCGGTGCAACGGCCGACCTTGGAGAGACGAGACTCGGCTGTGGGGAACGAGGACGGTTTTGGATGCTTTTCCCTAATGAAGATGGCAGTGAAAATTGGTCAACTAATTTCATTAGCGACTGAACAGAGGGGGGATACTCATCTGTTCCAGCTTGTGGGGGAAGAATTCTCAAGTTAATCAAGAGAATTCTTTAATTACTGGAGAGAAATTGAGTTGCTTTCATGACATGAGATTCGTTGCTTCCAATCTGGTGACGCTGTGACCTCGCGCTTAGGAGAAATTGTGTCCTACACCTACGTGCATACCACATTGAGCCAATGCATTGCCTGAACAAATACAATTAATCACAACCTGTCTTCAATGGCTCCGGGGACGTGATCAGTACACTGACTCAGATCGTGGACAGAACAGTGGACTGCCAAATGAGCCGTTGACGCTCCTCCCTTTCTCGTTCACACACTGCAGGGTGTCCCGTTACACTGAACAAATGTTGCTGAACATCTACAAAAAGTGATGAGAAATGAACAACTGTGAATCAAGTGTTTGTAATTACTCTCCAGTGATACATATAAGTCCCAAGCTTCCCTAGCTTGTTACACAGGGCATCAAGCACTCCACCAAGTCACACAAACCTAACACCACACGACTCTATCACTATCAGATCACTCACTACAACCAAAATGACCATGCCTACTGCAAGCGATATCGCCCATTGGCTCTGTATGAGCCCAACCTGCACCAAGATGAACAGCGTTGGGGACAAGAGTTGTAAAAGGTGCGACGCTGAACTGGCCGAGGGAGCAAAGGCTTTTAGCGCCGGCATCGATGAGATTGGGGAATTTGAGGGAATGAATTCGGATGGGAATCCTGTCTGGAAGCTACGTGAGCCAGAGGCTATGGACTTTTCGGAGGCGAGGGCTAGCACTACCTACGTTCGAGGTTAGTGGGCGAGACAGTACGGTGGTCAGGCAGTACAGTCACAATTGATCCAAACAATTTGTATAAAATATGCTTCTCGTGAATACATATGTGCTGAGTTTTATGTGCTAAATAGACACGACTCCGTTACCGTGAAGTATCGTGCATATATCGTGACTTACATGAACAATACCTCTGAACAATGTCGTTGAGTCCAAAGGTTCATTTGACAAACAGTATTCCTCTGAACAATGACTCAGTTCAAATGCAATTGCAATGGCATTGTCTGTCCCATGGTATGTTCATTTCTCATGTCTCTTCGTCACTCTAAAGAGTTCCAATAATCTCACCGACAGGCTTATTGACAAGCTTGAAAGTATCGTTGAGATGCATGAATACAGACATGTCATCGGACATGGTAGAGAATCTACCGTGAGGTATATAATATGCGTGTAATAACTGCTCTTGCTTTACTGAGGAGTGGTTTTGGATGAGGAAGATGATTGGCAAGGAAAGGAGATCCTGGGGTATCATGAGCCCGCTCAGACCTGGGTATAAGAAGTCTAAGAACAAGTGAGGTCTAGATAATGTGATTGTAGTGCCTAGCTGCTCATTGGTGCGTGTATGAGTCTATGATGTGGCAGCAACGCCGTCCCCTGGCTGACACAGACCGACGGGGTTTTGCTTTGCGGTTGAAGGGACTTCTCCATGTATTCAGCGTTGCAATCATGTCCCTAATCACTACTTTCCTCGCCACATGGCCTCCAATCTGAATCAATCTCTTTACTTATCGAGTGATTAATTGTGACTCTCCAGTGTTGTTCGGTATAAGTTGCCGTCATCGTGCCGCTTTTACCAGGGCTCAGCAACGCACAAATCAGCATCTACACAACCTTTTCACAGACACCACAATAATTTCATCATGGCTCCAATCACTGCCGTTCGCGCGGATCATACACACTGACAATGCATGACCAAAGCCAACGGCGACTTCTGCCCAGTCAATAACATGTTTCGGCATGGTCGAGATAAAGAAGGCCGTGCCATCAGAAAGCCAGTCCGGAAATGTCCTGGATGCAACCAGGTTCGAGGCCAGGGGACTAAAGCCTTGAGGTCAGATTGGAACGAAATCGGAACGCTTGAAGTTTATACGGCTCGAGGTGAAGAAATCTGGGTTTACACTAAGCTGCCCGATATTAATGCAGACGGTCCAATTGTGGATAGGACAGTTGATGAGTTCACGGAGGGTGATGTGATATACGAGGAGGAGGCTGACGGTTTGACGGCAAACGGGAATTAGTATGGGCAATGGGCTGGATGCGTGCGCTGGGGGAACTTGATGATACCTCTTAAGAGCTCAGATTGAGAAAGAGTTCCAACAACGAGGTTCTTTATAGAATACAGCTATGATTTACTTCTTCTTGGTCTCCTTTTAGTTTCAGGGGCGAACACCTGCTAACCACTCGACTTCTCTTCGCCAAGAGACACCATTCTAGGTCTCCAATTCGTAATGCCACATCTCGATATTATCTATATCAACACTCCCAAGAACTCCAAGTTTATGCCCTTCTCGGGTCATTGCATACGCAAATCTGGGTTCACGAATAGCAGCGCACTTTCTGCACTGGTTTTCATACATAGCCATTGTTGTATTGCAGTAGCCCCCGTTCCGCTCGGGTCTCACACACTTCCAATGGGTATGATCAGCGCGGACGGTGGTTGTACGTTCCATAAGAGGCATTTTGGGTCGATTAGGTGAGCGTTTGAGGGCTTTCGATGATTGGGTTTTGTAGTTGCGAGTGTTGTCTATACGTGTACTGTATTGTCTGGGGAAGATGTTGGGGGTTGGGTATTGTAGAGCTAAGGGAGAAATGCAGTTGAGTTTATGATGCTATATATGGTTCCTTCCTGACTCAAGGCTCAGTAATAGGTAGTGTAACACTGCAATAGCTCTAAATGCGCCGTGTATCACAGCACAAGAAGTTCAGACTAAATGTAATCCCATGTCTCTTCATCCTTCGAATCCACCATGACAAGAGTCCGAAGCTTCGTACCACCTGCATCAAGAACGTCCGCATTTCTGACTTCTCGTTGTCGACCACAGATAATTTACTTCTTCATATAAATTGACATTATGGCATTGCAGTTATCGATAGGCATGAGGAACTTGGTACACTTCCATTGGGTATGGTCAACACAACGTGTAGTAGTGCGAGCCATTGTGTAGTTCTACGAAGTGAGATATGTAGCAAAGGTGTTCTAGTGAGATTCTAGCTAAATTAATGATGTTTATACTGGTGACTTAGGGTGTGCAGGCAAGTGTTTGGGGGTAGCAGGAGAACGTGCTCTCAGCGGCTTACATACAGTCTGCATAAATCCGAATCATGACCCTCAGCTTGACAATATAACGATAGCTCAGCCACGTGTTTGCATACCCTAGTCCATCTCTTTCAACTACAAGGTCCCATTTGTCGTGATACTATAATACCACATCTCCCTACCCTCTGAGTCAACGGAAGCAAGCACCCCTAGCATATCATCATTACTCGCCAGGGCTACTGAGCGGATTCCACGGTCTATACCACAAACACTACACGTCTTGTCAGCCATGGGATTCTTTGTATCGCAGATGTTTCCATTGATAAGTTTGCTGCAACGCCAGTGAGTGTGATCACCGCGGACGACGGGTGTAAGTGTATTGAAAGGCATGTGAGGTACGTTTTGAGTGGGTTGGCACTTTATTTTAAGAAGAGGAGATCAAGCGGAAGTCTGGGGGTGTATTGGGTATAATTTATAGTGTCCGTATACACTGAATCAGAAGTCTCATACCAGTATGTCTCCTACTCTCGTCTGACGCTCGTCAACTACAGCCGTTCTTGATGAAAGTATAGTGCCAAATCGCTTTACCATCCGGCTCAAAAGATTCCAGAGTCCCGAGCTGGTAGCCATCATGCGCCTCAGCATACGAGCCCTCCTTCCGACTGCTACCACATTCAGTGCAACGTTCTTGAGTCATCTCAAGTCGAGTATTGCACTCGGTTCCGTCCGTCTCATGCATACAACGCCAGTGAGTGTGGTCGTTGCGGACTTTGGGTGTGGTTACTTCTGTGATATCAGGCATGATTGTGTAGTTTGTGATGCTTATAGATCAAGAGACTGAGTTGTGTTTTGTTGTAGTAGCATATTTCTGTGTGAGCTGTTTGAGTGAGAGTCTCTTGGTGAAGGGGGCTTATTATAGCTTACATTGGCCATGGATCACGAGTAGTATTCATTGTCAGACAAGCATTCTTTCACTGGCCTTGCATACGCCGGGCCCATTGTACTCATGAATCAGTGGACTATCGACAATTCATCACTATTCACCTTACTGCCTGTATTCACTACCTAAGTCTAACCTTTCAGGTTACGAATCCTCACATCCCTTTGCGGCATGCAAGCTCAGTGAGCTCATTCTTCGCTCTCCTGCAGATCTGGATAATATTCCCACCACTCGTTGATTCCCTTCGTGATACGAGCAAGCATACCAAGATACATCTCATCCTCTGTCAGCGCGGCTGCGCCGACTCTGCGAATGCACCAGCATTTCTTACAGACTTGCTCCGTCATCTTCATGACCTCTCCGCACTCAAGGGGCTCGCCTTGGTCGTTATGTCCAACTTTCTCGGTGCACTCCCATTTGGTGTGGTCTTTGCGAACGATAAGTGTTAGGCGGCCAGGCTTGAGCCCAGGACGCAGGCGGCCAGATATGAGTGCATTAAGGAGGCGGCGGGTAGACATGATTGCAGTATTTCGGAGTAGTGGTTATGAAGAAAGGAAGCATAATTTTTGAACATCTAAGCGACATGAAGAACAGGAGAAGAGGAAAGTATTTTTAGAGCCTATTTATAATCTCTTTCTATGCTGAATCACTGAACGCCGATATGTGATGTTCACCCTATCAAGCTCGAACAGGCTCAATTATGCACGCCGTTCACTTTGAGATTATAGTGCCATTTCTCTGTTCCATCAGCCTCAAAGTCAACAAGGCTACCCAAAACATCATCGTTCTGAGCGAGAGCAACTGCATTCTTCCCGCGACGCTGTCCGCAATGCGTGCAAGTGTCGACGTTCATGCTCATGGTGGCAACGCATCTGGCGTGGCCTGGTTCGTTAACCATCTTGTGGCATTGCCACTTTGTGTGATCACCCCGAACTTGGGTTGTTGTCTTTTGAACGTTCTCTGACATTGTGGGGATGTAAGTGGTGCTGTTGAGGTGTGGATGTGGGTGAGTTGTTAGTGTAAGTGAGTGCAGGGTTGGGATGTTGGTTCGCTGCGTCATTGATGAGTGAGTGGAGGGAAGGGTGAAAACATGCTCAGATATATACATGAGTTCATTAAGGTGATCGTGTGAATAAAAAGTGATTCGCAGATAAGAGTTACACATGTACCGATATAAATCCCATTCAGAGCACTCAGTATCAGTGATTACTTATGCTTGCTGCTCAAATGACCCCAGAGCCTAGCAATCACTGAGAAATTACAACTCAATAGACACACAATCAGTGGTGTCGCCGAGTCGTTCATCAATAGACTAGATTCTGTGAGTCTTTGAGCACATTCCTTACAGCGCTGTCATCATGACCCGAGTTACATTTTCCTGGAACAAATCTTGATTTTTTTTATGCATGTAAAGTTAATAATTCCACTGCAATCCTATAAATAAAGGAAATATATCACATTCATTAAGCCTGGATTCCCATGTTTGTGATGTAACTCTTATTTGAACAATACTTCGAGAGACTCTCCATCCGCCTCATGGCAGGAGAGAGAGGAACTCACTTACTTAGAGCAATATCTCTCCTAAATATACAATACCCCAGATACTTAAATCTACCATAATTCCGTTCATGAACCATGTTAGAATGATCTTAGCACAGGGAGTTGGAAGTCGCGCGCCGGTGGCAGTATGCTCAGGCATGTTTCCCCAGCTTATCGGCCAGCTCTAGTTCTGTTCCTTGTACAGGATACTGCTTTCGAAGAGGAGAGTTTCTTTTCTATGCTGACAGGAGTATTTACGGTTACACTGAGTCTTAGCGTGTATTTTGTTCTAGCGCATGTGAGGTTAAGTGACTGCTGCTGCGTGGTACGAAGGATCGGGTTGCGCAACGCTTACAGCGTATACATGTTTGCGCACAGACGGCACAGAAGATCCCACTGCTTACAATGCCCGCGGCAGGCCCAGAAAGCGAAAGAGATAGGGGTCACGGCTTTATACATGACAGTTGGAGTGTCACTGAAGTCTATCATGCACAGACAAGACTATTTAGGAGAAACAGCCATACGCTGAATTTTGGAAGAAACTGTAATCATCCGGGCAATTCCCATCTATAAAGTTGTATCCCTCTCGGCCGCAGTGGCTTGAGTATCTTGTCCTGACGATTCGCCCTCCTCCACATTCGACTGACGCTCTTCGGACTTCTTGGGTTCCCATATCCACAGTTCTCCCTCACCCGATATCAAGCCAAGTATTCCAATGTATTCTCCAGCTTCATTCAAGGCCTTTGAAGCAAGCTGAATTTCTCTCCCACATTCGACACATGTCTTATCGGCCGTTTTGTTGACACCGTTTGGCCTTCTCGCATGTTCGCAATCTAAACACCGCCAGTGGGTATGTTCGTCTGTACGGTCAACTTCAGGAGACATTTTGAATGTATAGAATGAAAATGGTTTGAATGCGTCTTTTTTATGCTGTACTTTTGGGTTGGTGTGTTGTTTGTGTGTTGATGGCTTTGGGGAGGGACAAGGAACGTCACTTATACCAGTAGGCAGCGGGAACTGAATAATGAATGAATCACAACTAGGGCGATCGATTTACCTATTCAGAAATTGCAGCCCGGTATTTTACAGTGATGAAGCGCCAGAGAGCTGCATCTCTTCAGCATTGTTCACGGATACGACCTTTATTCAGAGACAAAGCAACTAACTCATCACAGTCTTCATGTCCCAGTAAACCAGCAACAGGGAGATTTCCTCGATAAGTGGAAGGTTAATTATCACCCCATTCACAACACAAGAGCCATAGTCTGTTAAGCTGCTAAGTCAAAGACAGCGTTGGAGTGTCACAAGATCAACGACGTTCAGTGAGGAGCAAAGCCTTTACATAGAATATGCCGCCTTTGACTCGTTTTTATGTTCTTTAGACGGTTAGTCACAAGTGAAGCATTGAAATGAGTAAAGATCAAACTGTTTTATTGTTTTTTGTCTCGAAGAATAATGTCTAGGATGGACTTTGATGAGCAAACAACAGCATGCGTGATAATGAACCATGATCCATCCCAATTACCGAAAGCCCGTCTTCAAACCCGCCGATTCCCGACCCCAAAGTGGACAGACACGGTAGAATCAAACCCATAGCCTTCCCTGATTCCCGTTTGTGGTCGCTCCATTAGTTCCAGCTCCGGTGTTTTCTTTCTCCAATAGTCCTCATTCTGTTTGTGGCCGCTTCATTTGTAGTACCTCCAATCGTAGTCGCTCCTTTGGTCGTCGCACAACTCATAGCTGGACCGTTGTTGAGAGCCTAGTCCTCAAAAATCCCCATACTCCCAAGTCATCTCACCAGTTTGGGGGTCGACGCTGTGGAGCTCTCCGATAATCTTTTTATTATCATCCACTGCCATTATCCTCATCGAACCATCAATTTTGTAGCCACACAGCCTACATTCCTTCTCATTGACATCGTTGGCGGTATTGCAATTCTCACCACCCCCGATAGGCTTTTGGCAGTCCCAGTACTTGTGGTTGGGATCTATGGTTGTTGTTAGACGCATGGTGTAAGTTTGAAAGTGAATAATAAAGAAGACTGAGTGAGGGTGATGATGTTTGTGGGTTGTGTGGGCAAGGCGTATTTGTGTGTATGTGTGTGTGTGTGTGTGTGTGTGTGTGTGTGTGTGTGTGTGTGTTGCTTGAGCTGATGAGTTGAACTTGACCATCCAAAGGGCATAGCTTATATTAATGAAGACCAAGGAATGATCGATAGGTTCATCACCGCCATAGTGATTGATTCACTATCAGCGACTACTTGGCAGTTAAACTGAGGCCAGAGTAGAGCATCTATTCAGCCCTGACATGTGGCTCTCCTTCAGAGTCAGGAGAATTGACTATCACAGCTTTCCGGCCAAGTGATTAACCATCATTATCCTCTACTCGATCAGTGAGTGAAACGGGGACAGATAACATTGTTCACAGAAGCTTGGGACCACAGTTCTTCCATCCGCCTTCCCTCGTTCTCGATCCACAGAGCAATCATTCATCAAACAAACATTCTTTCGACTGATATCATTACCAGCAAACATCTCCTACAATGGATACATGCAACATTGGAGTATACTGCCCCCCTTGATCTCATCGTCCGCACAAGCATGGTCGTCGACAAGGTTCATATCCACCAGAACTGCTTGAAATGCCAATAAATAACAAGATGGACCAGAAGACGTGTATCAGGTACAACTGCCCTCACGAGGCCAAATACTCCGACGCTCATACTGTGGATGAAGTCAAAATTAGAGAACTCTATGGCATTGAGAATGGGGTCAAGTCTCGGGGTTACGTTTTGCCCCTGGTGTTCACTCAGAATATGGAAAGGGGATGCATGAAAACTTAGAGCTTCTTTTCTGAACAATGAGTATATTTAGATAAACTTGTGATAGATTTAGCATACGTTTGGACTACTTCATCTTTAGTATCTTGATCTTAGGGTCAGGAGCCTTTTACTCCCTGAGGCACGGGTACCTCTCACAGGTAGTACGTTCACTTTTGCCCGTTCTGAGCAGTGACACAAGAGGGTCTGTTGGTCTCACCCACGGAGCTGCAGTTGACGGGAGTTCCAGACATTTTAATCAAGAGATCACGTGGGTACTTCAAGTGTCAATATCCTTTTTAATCTCAATTGCATCCCAAAGGCTTCTTCTCCTTCAGTCTCTATCACCACTCCAAAGCATCAAGGCTGCGGAACCTCAACAACCACTAATACTGTCTCAAATACAATAAAAGTCCATCATCCAATTACTCTATGCTCAAGGATCATCGCGAATTCTTTTCTCTCTCCTATCACAAAAAGCGCTTCCTGCAATGCCATCCTGGCCCCGACCGGCCTGAGAACAAGGTGAGCTCCCCAACTCACCGCATTCCGTTCCTAAACTAACTTGGCTGATCAGATATCATGGATCAACCTCAACCTCCCGAGCGTGGCACGACAACGGACGTTTCTTTCGAGTCGGGTCAGAGAAAGAACTTCTTGGATGCAATAAATCGGCGCTTGCAGTGGCTCGACAAACTTGGTGTGCTGAAGGTGAGAATGCGAGCTGGCGATGATGGCCTTCCCACGTACGATGGCATGCCTGAAGAGCCTGTCGATGAACGGTTGGGTATGATCATCGCCTTGCTTGACGCACTGCCCAGGAAGACAACTCATGTCGTTTGGCGGAAGCTTTCGGATGAGCTTTATCGCATGCTTACTGCTGAGATAAAACCGACTGCTACCGAGGTTCTTAGCAAGCTTAACCTTGCCAGGACCAAGTACATGAAAGATTTTGAGCTCATCGATGCGTTCCGGGAAAAGTTGTCGAACCCTGCTACAGCTCAAGGCCTGGTAGAAGACAGCATCCTTTCTTGGTGTCCCCAGGCTATGGCCCGCATCATTAGATACGATGCGAGCACTTTGTCTGACCCGGATTGGTGGAATCGCAATGCTGATGAGGTCGGGGGTTATAACATGAGTTCTTCATCCCTGATCAGGGTCGTCATCTCGGAGATGGACTATGCAAGAGCCGCGGAATCAAACGATAGACTTTTTCTGTACCCGGAACTGGCAGCCGAAGTTTTAAGGATGTTCGTGTCTTGCCAAGCCAACGGGCCTCTGTTGAATGCTCTCGATCATCAGATTGAGGGTCTTGAGGCTTATATCCGAAGCAATACGCAGGAAGAACGCTTGGAACAGGAGCTTCAGTGATAGCCCATCACGATGCTACTGATCTCGACATACCGTCCAGAGACTTTCGGGCTCACAAGAAAGATGATCAAGGCCATGATAGCCCCGAGCCACTAAACCATTCAACCCCAAGTCACAACACCTGCTCTTCCCAAGTTCCCTGGCCATGACGACCCATAGCCACTACTCCTGTTCCACCAGACTTTCCTGGACTTACAACAATGATCAGGCCACAATAGCCCATAGTCACTACACCATTCAATTCCCCAAGTCACTACACATGCTTCCTGGAAGTTATCAGATATGGCCGCCGGAGGGAACAAAAGGCCTTTCATCTTCATACTCTAGTTAGTTGATAACAAACAATTCAGAAACAGTAAGGGCGTTGCAAGAGTGAATGTATTCTTGATGATCTACATTTCTACCTATTTCTCGATGCTTGCATCCACATACCTCTTTACACAATCTATCCCCTAGTACACGTAACGGAAACTCAAGTTCTCCTTATCCGTAAGATCTTCCCAGGCCTGTCCTGTGTAAGTCGAACTAGCCTCCGCAACACCCGACTCAGCCAACGCATCGCGCTTCTTATTCTCTCGTCGAAGATACCATCTTAGAGAGACGATGACAATAACAAGAAGACAGTAGCAGCCGAGGTGAGTGGCGAAAGCGATAAAGTAGCGAGGTCCGTCGTGGGAGAGGAAGACTTGAGGACCGATGGCGTTACCAGCTGCCCAGACGATGAAGTTGGTGGCGACTGCGACGGTCTTCTTGGTTTGTCCGGCGATGTTTCGTGAGATCATGGAGAGGGCAAGAGTTTGGGCGGACCAGAAGGATAGGGTTATGTAGTAGGAGATGAGGAGGCCGATGTGTTGAGCCATTGTCTTGTTGGGGAGGGTCATAAGGAGGATTGTACCAATGAAGGAACTAAGTTGTTAGCGGTGATCAAGAAAGCTTGAGGAATAGACTTACGGAATACAGAATCCAAGCATTACCAACAGGTTCTGGTTCGTCTTCTTGACAAGCCAAGCCGATGACAGAAGCACAATAACGATATAAAAGCCCAACACCATAGCCAACAGCTGCGTCTCAAGGGTACTGAACCCAAAGCTCTTAATAATAATATTCGCAAAAGCGCCCAGACCTGATGTAGGTAACGTTGTGCAAAGCGCGATGAGAGCATATCCCCAAACCTGAGGATCCTTGAGACCCTCAATAAACTGCTCCTTCTTGAACGTCTTGTTCTGGATACCGGTCTGGTTATCACGAACACGCTCAACCATCTCGTGCTTTTCCTGCTCAGTCCAGCATTTGGCTCGCATAGGGGAGTCAGGCATCCACCATCCGACGAATACGCCGAAGAAAACGGAGATGACGCCGTAGGAGAGGAAGAGCCATTGCCAGGATTTGAGGGGACCGGTTTTGATGAGGGAGAAGCAGTAGGCGAGAAGACCGCCGACGATCTGTTGGGCGCCGTTCATCATGTACCTTGGACCGGTTAGTGAGATGCTATAGTGAGAGGGTTGAGGTAGGCGTACCAGTAGGTGACTCGGGAGGCTTGTTCCTCACGTCGGTACCAGATGGCTGAGAGGATAACGAAGCATGGTTGACAGGCTGACTCGAAGATACCGAGTAATGTTCGTACGATAACGAGACCTTTGAAGTCTTGACAAGCAGCATGGCAGGCCAGGCAAGCTCCCCAAGCGACAATGCAGAAGGAGAGGTATTTCGCGATAGGGACACGGGCAATGAGCCAGTTCTGGGGATATTCGACAACGAGGATAGCGAGGTAAATACAGGTCGTAAGCCACGAGAACTACACCCCAATTAGCACACAGGTCATTACACAAATTGAGAAAGTAATTGGCAACTCACATGCTGAGACACTGTCCCATCAGGATTCTCCAACCCCGTATCAGCAGTCAACCCCATAATCGACGCAAACGACAACGTCCCCTTATCAATAGCCTGCAGAAAATACGTAAAGATCATAATGACAAGGACTCTCTTATCAATCATCTTTCGCAGCTCCGCACTGCGCTCAGGCGAGATGTTGATACGCACGTCTGAGACATATTGTGCGAGTTCCTTGTCGACTCGTTCAGAGTGCTGAGTTGGCTTTTCGAGATCTTCGACCTCGTCGACAGATCTCTTGCGCTGAATTTCCGAAGCCATCTCGATTTGGTAATTGGGATGAAATTGAGGATGAGATTGACTAGAAGATACAGAAGGGGGTTGTGTTCCTTTTATGACATACGGTAATGGGGCGGGAATCTGGGGCCCCAGATGTCAACGTTACTTGTGAGAAATACCCCATATTGCCCCAGTTTCCTTACTCCAGTCAAGATTGAGTTTTTTCCTCTTCTTATCTCGTGGGAGTTTTGCCCGAGGCGCCGAGTAAGAAGGAGGATTCTCTACAAGTTACAACTCGGCAACGCGGCATCTTCAGGGTTTCGTCACTGGGGATCCGCTCTACGGGATAAATAAGCCCTGGTTAAGGTATGCCAGGGACGGGTAGGATCAGCGTATGACATGATTTGCTGGGTTGTCTGAGGACAGGAGGCTCCTGTGTTGACCCGTATGGATTGGACGGTTGCATGGGAGCGAGATATGCTTCTCATCAATCTTGACATGACTTCAGACCTTGACCTTAAGGGCCCAAATAAACTACTCCAGGGGTCCACTGAATCTTCAACAAGGTTGCCTGGAGCTTCACTTCGGATATCTATCCTAAGTGAGATCTCTCAGTCTACAACTACCCTTCAAGAATATATCCAACGGCAATAGTGACGATGCTGTGCCTTACGCCTCAACGTAACAGCCGCATCCGTCCCGTCTCTTGGCGATGAATTTGGAGAATCCAAGCAAGTAAGCGGCTCTTTTCGAATTACTCCGCACCTTGAAATTTTCTCCGTCACCGAAGACAGCATTCGGCAAGGGGAAGCGACGGGCAGCGAAAGAGGAAGACTTCTCCGCTGACCTGGTTTTGGCTCAGTGGGGGGAATTAAGGTAGACCCACTGAAGATCCGAGGAAATGCGCTAAAATCCGCGGTTTCTTTAGTGGCAATCCCCTCACTCAGTCACTCACCCAAAGGCCTTTCTGCTCAATTGCCATGATGAACTCCGGTATTCAAGCCGCAATATACCGTACCACTCCCCCAAATGTCACTACGTAATCACTTCACAGGCTTCAGCTGAGTCTTTTCGTCTCTCTGTACTTTACTGGAAATGGTTGACTACTCCGCCCCCATCTTCAACCCCCAGTTCCATGCCCCACCCCCACAACCAAAAAGTGCGGAGAGATGAAGCTTCAACCTCATGATAGGCGCCCTCGGTGTACTTCGGACCGAGCATGTGGACTGCCAAGAGAATCATTGGGATACAACGAGGGGTTATGAATACCCTCATTCATCCTCTACCAAACAACTCATCTCTCCTCCACAAGATACCCTGTTTGAGTAGCAAGGCACCGCCATCATGCCCTCTCACGTACACGACATCGCGTCGCAAGACGTCCACAAGCAAATCCAACAGCTCATCCACGAACTCGTCAACATAAAAGACACAACAGGCGAATTCCTCATGACCCTAGCAGATGGCCGCATCATCGACACAAAAGGCTGGAACGACTGGGAGTGGACCCACGGCATCGGTCTCTACGGAATATGGAAGTACTACGAGATGACCGGCGAGGACCAATGGCTCAAGATCATTGAGGATTGGTTCCAAGCTCGTTTCGCAGAGGGCCACAAGGGAAAGAACATCAACACCATGGCTGTATTCCTCACGCTTGCGTATGTCTATGAAAAGACTCAGAATCCTACATATCTTCCTTGGCTGGATGCTTGGGCTGAGTGGGCGATGCATGACCTCCCCAGGACAAAGTATGGTGGTTTCCAGCATATTACGTACCTTGAGGTCAATGAGCAGCAGCTTTGGGATGATACCCTCATGATGACTGTCATGCCGCTTGCCAAGATTGGTCTTGTGCTCAACAGGCCAGAATACGTCGCTGAAGCGAAGAAGCAGTTCTTGCTGCATATTCAGTATCTGTTTGATACAAAGACTGGATTGTTCTTCCACGGATGGACATTCAAGGATGGTGGTCATAACTTTGCTGATGCACGATGGGCGCGCGGTAACAGCTGGGTTACCATTGTCATTCCCGAATTCCTCGAACTCATCGGTATCAAGGAAGATGACCCCATTGGCTCACATCTCATCAACACACTCGATAGCCAATGCGCAGCCCTTGCGAAGACGCAGCGCGCAAATGGTCTGTGGAGCACCCTTCTCGACGTCCCTGAATCAGAGGGTTCGTACGTAGAAGCCAGTGCGACAGCGGGTTTTGCGTATGGTATTCTCAAGGCGGAGAGGAAGAGGTATATTGGAAAGGAGTACTCTGAGGTAGCTGTTAAGGCGATCAAGGCTGTTTTGGAGAATATTAGTCCTGAGGGAGAGTTGTTGAATACCTCGTTTGGAACAGGCATGGGACATGATTTGCAGCATTATAAGGATATTCCTAGGACGAGTATGCCTTATGGACAGGCTATGGCTATGATGGCTCTGGTGGAGTTTTTGAGGGCGTATAATTAGATGTTGATAAAAAAGTAATGAAATTGATTGCGATAATGAATCATTTTGTTTTCACTTCGCGATATTCTTGTCCAAGTGCCGACTAGTCAAGCATACAATGTTGCTAACCCTCTATGATCAAATTGCCTGGGGTACCATCAGACTTGAACGTACCCGTCGCCTTCAAATTCCTCGAACTCTCTCCCACCGCAATCGTAAACTCTCCATCCGTGACTCTCCAATTCTGCTCCTCCACATCCCAGTAACTCAAGTCCCTCCTCGTCAGTTCAAACTCAACCTTCTTGCTCTCGCCCTTCTTCAGAGCAACTTTCTCAAAACCACGGAGAACGCGAACGGGATGGTCAACCTTTGATGTCGCGGGGTACGAGAGGTAAAGTTGGGGAACAGCCTTGCCATCCACGGAGCCTGTATTTTTAACGGTAATGGAGGCAGTGACGACAGTCTTCCAGAGATCGGGGTTACCACCTTCTTCACCTCCAGCCGGTGAGGGCGGCTGCTCGATATCGTAGCCATCGGGGTAGGGATAGTCGCCCTTCTTGATATCATCAGGCGAGTCAATATAGGGATAAATCCACTTCTTCAGTTTGCGAATGTTCTTGGGCCATAGGCCTTCCTTGACATCGGGGATCTTATCATCCAGTTTGGGCGGCTTTGCGCTCGTAGGCGAAACACGTGAGGCCGGAAGTCCTGCGACTGCATCCTTCACTGAGATCTTCAAGTCCTTGAACTCAAAGGTAGTGTATGACAATCCATAGCCAAACTCATATCGAAGGTCCTTGCTGTGCTTGTCGAAATGTCGGTAATCGATGTACAGTCCCTCTTTGAAGTCTTGCTGCGGAATAACTCCGTTGGGAAGATACAGGATCTGAGCGCCTTCGCCGTAATCAGGAAGAGCTTTGCCAATCGTATAAGGGAGCTTTCCACTGGGACTCTCGTCGCCGAAAAGAATGCTAGCAATAGCGTTTCCACTCTCCTCGCCAGGCAGATTAGCTGTCAGCACAGCCTTGATCCTTGGGTGGTTGATCCAGTTCTCCATGACAACAGGCCCAACAGCATGAATGACCACGATAGTCGTGCCTGTTCCATCGCCACAAAGGTTCGCGACCTCCATGATCAGCGCATCGCCTCCTTTCTGCAAGTTGAGATCGTTGCGGTCACCTCGAACGCTGTTCCATGATAAATATCCCTCGCCTGCGTCCGAGTTGGCAAAGACTAAGCAAACGTCCTGCTCTGTAACCTTCTTTGGGTCTTTGATCTTATTGGAGAGATGTTCGCTGACTTGAACTTTGTCTTTCTTAAAATTCTTTCGCAGCGCCTCGACGGGAGTAACGAGGAATGGGAAGTCAGCTGCGCCGCTGCCCCAGCCTGATCCGAGGGTACCTTCATTGCAGCCTTGATCAGGGCAGTAATTGAGTCCCTTTCCAGGGCCAGCATCATCGCCGAAAATACCGATCTTGATCTTTCCCTTCCTCTTTTCGGGTTGATTGGCCAAGTTGCCCTCGCGGCTTAGGGGAAGCACGCCGTCATTCTTGAGCAGAACTGTACCTTCAATGGCAATTTGACGGGCCAACTCAGCGTGATCTTCCTGCACGTTTATGTACTGGTTGACTACCTGCTCCTCTTGAGGTGAGGGACTTCCAGGCGCGAGTTTCCCTTTCTTGTCATAAGTCCACGATGAAAAGTTCGGACCCTTATTCTCATCCTTATCCTGACCAAGCTGGTAGAAAGACGCGACAATTCGAAGCGCCATGTCGTTCAGTCGGTCCACCGGCAGCGATCCGTTCAGAACAGCTTGCGTGAGTCGAGGGCCCCAGAGTGATTCGCCATCAGCCCATTTGAGTCCATCTCCCGGCATACTCATATCCAACCCAGCAAGAGCACTCGCGACACCAGATCTCTGAGCCAACCAATCCGACACGACGAAACCCTGAAATCCCATCTCATCTTTGAGAATGCCGTTCAAAAGCTTTGAGTTCTGGCAGGCATACGAGTTGTTGACCATGTTATACGAGCACATAACACTCGCAACACCAGCCTTGACAGCATCTTGGAACGGCCATCCGTAAATCTCATGTAGCGTGCGATCATCAATGTTGGATGAGATAGCATTCGGAAGACCCCATTCCCATGCCTGCCGAAAATGTTCCTGCTCATTTCCGATAAAGTGCTTGATCGTCGCCATGACTCCAGAATCTTGTATCCCCTTAATCGTCGCAGCACCAGCAACGCCCTGCAGATAAGGATCTGGACCAAAGCCCTCCCAGTTTCTCCCACCAGCGGGTGCTCTTCCCAGGGGTCCGATGGCCGGTCCAAGAATAACATTGACACCTTTGCCCTTTGCTTCTTTCCCATGAGCTCGTCCACGCTCATACATCAATTTCTTGTTGAACGTGGCACCAACGGTAATACCAGCTGGCCAGGCAGTTGCATTATCCGCGAATCGTATTCCAAGAGGTCCATCTTGCAATGCCAACGCTGGGAATCCGACGTTGTTGGCGGCGCCAGTCGTGCCGACTGCTAAACCCATACTCCATCCTGTTCCAGTAGTAATATTGACTTTTTCAGCCAAGGTCATTTTACTAACCAGCTCAGCAGCCTGATCATAACTCTTTGCCCAATTCTGGGAAGTACCGCCTTTTGGACTGGGGTACCATGGTGGTGAGTCTCCCTCAACGGGTGGTGTCTTTGTCTTTTTCCAGGCAAATGCTCCAATAGCTGATATGACGAGCCAAACAACTATGAGAGTGCCAATCACGGTGAAGCAGCATTTCTTTGCGCGCCAGCTTCTGAGATATCGTAGACGCCGTTTACCCGCAGCGTCAGATTGGGCATTCTTATTCTTGTTGAGATAATCAGTAGCGTCGATGTCAGAGTAAGCATCGGAATCGTCGCTTGTGTCAAAGGATGCACGGTCGGCTCCATTGAGGAGATTCTCCCTACTGTGATCCATGATGGAGATGGATCAGCTAGTATTTGTGGTTAGATGTGAGGCATGAATTCCATTGTTGAGAAATTCAGGCTGATTGTTCAGGTTTATTGCAGCTGCGTGGTTAGCTAATCGTACCAAGACCAGAGGCTGCGTCACGTCGCATTCCAGGCCAAGCATCCCCTGGACGGTTTGGGGATCATCACTCCACATTGGATACCCTAGATCAATGAGGTTTAGATCAGGTACAGAGCTTGATGCACTTAAGATCAAGTGAAATAGCTTTAAAGGTTCACTCTAAGAATTCGCTTTTTAATTCTCGTTGATACGATATGTGTCCTTTAAAACAAAGCCGTATAGCTTTGACTGTCTGGATCAACACTGAGATTTTGTTCATTGCACTTCTTTGAGTGGCTTGAATTCAGCGCCCATACGAGTGAGCCAATCAAGAACAGCCAAAGCACTAGATGAAGCTGCAAATAAAACACGTCAATAATGACGAGAGAATTAATCTAAGTGACCATTGGCCCATTAATTAATCACTTTATGAGATATTTGCGCTGACAAGTCCAGCCGATTGTGTTGACTTACAACCTGGAGCACCGGGATTGAGAGGATCGGCTAATCTTCGGCAACACATACTCCATCTTGAATTTGGCTCGTCGTCAATTGAACATCTCCCGACAGCTTCATCATCGACATCCCCGTCCAAACCGCCCACCATGTCGATGTTCCGCGCCAAGAAGCTCGATCTGGGCTGTTTCGTCAACGTCCGCACCCTGCGCGACCACACAAAGCGAAAGGTCTTTGAGGCCCACGAGACCGAGAGGTGCGCAAACTCTTCCCCACGCAGAACACAATGATCGGTTGGAAAGGTTACCCACGAGGAGGAAAAGGGCTAACTCGAGGCCGATAGACAAGCTCTCCGATATATTATTCGCAACACAACCCTCCCCCCACGAGTCCGCGCCGAGGCACAGCTTCAATTGACACAGATGCACTGCTATACTCGACCAACGCAGATTCGAAACAGATGTATCATGGGTGGTCAGGGACGTGGTGTGTTGAGTGACTTTAAGATGACTCGAGTAAGTCCGATAAAGAACGAGGGGTTGAGAATTGGGCTGACGATTGTAGTACAACTTCCGAATGGAGGCTATGGCTGGAAACCTGCCTGGTGTGAAGCGAGCCAGTTGGTAAAGAGCCGGGGACGGAAACGAACGAGAGGAAATGTACGACTACACACCCCTTATATACCAAAATCACTCTATTACCTGTACCGAAGAGTGGTCTAGTGGTATCCGTCCTAGAACCTATAAACCTTCTCTCATTCCACGCCTAAAATACTTCACCCACTAGGCTGCTCTTCGCTTTTTGCAGTCCACGAGTTCGAACACTGCGTCAACAAGCAACGAAGGGAAATGTACGACTACACAATGATGAAGAGGGCGCTGAAGGGACGGAATATCTTGTGTATCATAGACAGGAATGTACAATACAAGAGGAAATGCATTGGAACGTTACTTTCACGATGGTCTATATGAGGTGAACGGATGCTTTATGTCTGACGATTGATGCAGCAGAGGACCAGGGAGATGACTTGGGACTGGGTTTCATGGGAAAGAGAGTCCATGACTGCGGGCGAGACTGGGGTTCAAGGTTGCCTTCCCCAGAACTTCTGACTTCTATCCCAAGTGACAAAAAGACTCGGGTAAATTCTACATATATATTAGGCAGAGGAAGAGAGTTTTGTAACATAGTTTCTCCTGTCCTCCCCCTCGAGGTAATTGGTCTTGATCAAGGCAGCTATGGAATCATTCAGGCAGATAAACCATATTTGGTTTTGGCCATTGATGTGTCGGCTGGGTATAGGAGTCTCGCTGTTTAATTTACTGATATAAAACCTAAAAAGCTGGATGACCTCGAGGATAACCTCAGGGAGCAAGAAAACTTGAGACTGTATTAGAGGACACCAAAATAAATCCATCAGCGAGTCCCCTAAGTCTACGGTAGTTTGCCGAAGTCTTTTTGTCATCTAGAATCACTGGTCTAAAGTTTCTAGGATAAATAAAATTATGGGGCCCATGCAATTCCTCTTTTCTGCGCCCAGTTGCCTTAGTACCTACAATTGCCACCCACTGAACATCAAGCCAACCAACTTTCCTCCCTCCACATCATCATCAAAGCTGTCCCCTTCTTCTCCTCCGACATATACCCCAAACAACCTTCAAAATGGGTGGAGGCGATCTTAACCTGAAGAAGTCCTTCCATCCCGCGCTGCGGCGCAATCAACAGGCCGTCTGGGATGAAGAGCAAAAGGCCCTGGCCGAGCGCAAGCGAACACAACAGCGTATCGACGAAATCAAAGAGGAACTCAAAAATGAAGAAGTCCAACGACAGCTCGAGGCTGCAGGAGGAAAAAAGCGCGTTGATCGCGTTGACTGGATGTACCAAGGCCCCAACGACGGAGAAGGTGGCACGACAGAAGAATCAGAAGCCTACTTGCTGGGCAAGCGGCGTATCGACAACCTTATCAAGGGCACAGAGCATAAGAAGTTAGAGAAAGATGCGGGGACCGAGAGCTTCATGACGCTGCAGAATGCGAATACTGCGAGGGATACAGCTGCAAAGATTCGCGATGATCCGTTGCTGGCTATCAAGCGACAAGAACAAGCTGCCTACGAAGCCATGATGAATGATCCGATCAGGCGCCGACAGCTACTCTCCTCGATGGGAGTTGATGATGAGAAGAAGAAGGAAAAGTCACGGAGGAGGGAAGACCGACACGACAGGCACCGGAGGAGACATCGTCATCGCAGTGCGGACCCTGACGATAGACACCACAGACGACGACGCTCTGATTCGCGATCTCAAAGTCCACGACGTCGCGATGATTCAAGAGAAGATCGGCACAGGCGACGCAGAGACGATAGTCGAGATGACCGTTCACGACGAAGACGCGACGATTCAGAGGACAGAGAACACAGACGTGAGCACCGCTCCCGTCATGAGCGACCACGCGACGAGCGTCCCCGCGAGAGTCGCAGAGATTTCCGAAGAAGTTACCCCGACTCTCGCGACAGGCGGCCACGGTACAACGAAGAAGACGATAAAGCCAAGGAGGAAGAGCGCCAGCGCAAGTTAGCCGCCATGCAATCTGCAGCAACAGAGCTCGACGACGATCGCTCAAAGCGCCTTACGGCCCTGGAAGAACGGGAGGCAGCACTTCGAGAAGCAGATGACAAGGCACGAGAGCGCGGAGGCGATCGTGGCTTCATGAACAAGCTACATCAACAAGCAGGTCACAAGGGTCTTGCAGAACGTATGGGCGGAGCGCGTCGTGGATATCAAAGGGACGAAGATTAGAGATGGATTTTACGCTGGGCGGCGTCTGTTGATTGCTCTTAGTTGCACATTTACGTTTGAACGACATCATTAGATTGGACTGTCAGGTTGAGTTATGGGATCATCGGCATAAACCGAGTCAAGGTTTTAATAGAAACAAGTCTCTTGTCCAATGTTGAACAAGCTGGCTTTTCAGTGCTGCAATAGCGCCTCTTCCGCGTGATACCTACTACCTCTGCGGGCGGAAAATAAACGAAGCCACTTTGATGTTACGATTCAGTCGCAAAGCCACCATGAATCGTCGTCACGACACCAGCTCAACCTAACTCAAATTCAGGTACAGTTTCAGGTGCCGCTTCTCTCTTATGCACATGCACAGGACATTCTCGTTATTCACATGTCATGATTAGTTATTTGCAATGTGTTTACGACGTAGCATCAGTGTCATCGAAGCTAATACTATCGAATTAAAGACTCCGGAGCTTAAGCCTCTTTGGCGCATTCAATGAACCGGGACTTTAAAAGAGGCAATCTTGGTAGCGACGGGTGAAAGAGCCAATTAACGTAACGGGTCGACGCTACTGCAAGAAAAAGAGAAAGTGGTTCCACAGGATGTGCAGAAAAAAAGGGTACACATTTAAAGAGGGACAGAAATAAGCCCCGTAACTTAGAGCAGTGATTGGGGGAGGTTTATTCTGTCATGCGGTTGCATTCCCCACCCTCAAGAGGCGCCGAAAATAATCCCTGCCCACTTCCTCGCTGTCGACTCCACTGCTCGAGAGGACCCAAGGTCTAGAGTTCCAGTGCCCCCCATTTTCCCTTGCGCTGGCCTCTCTCTGACTTCAACTTCCATTTCACAACCTTGCATCTCTATTCTTCTTTCGAGACCTGGAAACGACCATTCATTTCCTGATCCCTACATTCAACGCCTCAATTCGCCTTGCGTCTATCGATATCTACCAACGGTTTCTTCTCGCCTGCGAATTCGATCTGCGCACGCCAACCTTGAACCTTGAACAAGGGCCTGCACGGAACCGAGATTCAACTTATTTCAACGACGCGAAAAACCCAGCGGTCTTTCCCTTTTTCTTCTACAAACTACGAAGATACCCACGATTTGAATCACATTTGTCAGAATGCCTGCTCTTTGTGGAGGATCCAAGACTGTGCAGCGAAAGCTGGTGTTGCTGTGCGTCACATACGATGAGGAATGGAGGGCATTGCGCTGATCTGATTTAGGGGTGATGGTGCTTGCGGAAAAACATCGTTGTTGAACGTCTTTACGAGAGGGTATGTTCTAAAGGAGACGCATATGAAGAGAGGCTCATTGATTATAGCTACTTCCCTACTGTCTACGAACCCACCGTCTTTGAGAACTACGTCCACGGTACGATACACGGCTCTTCTGCGTATACGCATCGCTAACGAACGCAGATATCTTTGTCGATAATGTCCACATCGAGCTATCCCTCTGGGACACAGCAGGCCAGGAAGAATTCGACCGATTACGCTCGCTATCCTACGGTACTTGGCCTCTCTACACACACCAACTCCAACTAAACTAATGCATCCCAGACGACACAGATCTCATCATGCTCTGCTACTCCGTCGACAGCAAAGACTCGCTCGAAAACGTCGAATCCAAGTGGGTAGGCGAGATCGCCGACAACTGCCCCGGCACCAAACTCGTCCTCGTAGCGCTAAAGTGCGATCTCCGCGAGCAAGGCGAGGAGGAGGAGAACGAATCAGGAGAACCCCGCGAGAAGCGCCCCATGATCAACTACGACCAGGGCCTCGAGGTGGCGCGCCGCATAAACGCCCTCCGATACCTCGAGTGCTCCGCCATGAAGAACAGAGGTGTCAACGAGGCTTTCACCGAGGCGGCGCGTGTTGCGCTGAGCGTCAAGAAGGATCGCGAGGAGGGCGGATGCACTGTTATGTGAACATGATACGATACGAGCGTTTAATATCGAATACGAAGACCACCTGTCATCCATCGAATGTGATCGAACGAAACAGGGATGTGGCTCTATTCGGCTCCATGGCTTATTTTTGGCCCGCCATGGGTATTTTCACTGTATATATCGTGCGGCATAAAGCACATAGGGAAATCTGGTGTTTTGCGTTGTTTTTTTGCTATTTACTATTTACAGGCTATTCTCGGTCGGAATGCGAGGCAAATTAGCGGGAGGAGTAGACTACTTGAGGAAGTCATTTTGTCACGCTCTAGCTACAACTACTTTATTTTTTATGTCTACCGATAACATCTCACGGCATTCGTTTTGTCTCTTCAATTGTAAACTTAGCGCGTTCTTCATGCGATGATTCTGATTCTAGCCGGTGAGACCAATGTACGCAATGTGCCGAGACTTTGAGGGGCAAAAGTGCACAGCCACGCTGATGAGGGATCACGATGAGATATCAGCAAAAGGTGAGGCCAAGCATTGAGAAGAGGATGGACTGTAGATCTTTGGTCCACAGAGATCGTAGGCTACTGTATGAGATTGATGATGCAGTCAATTAAGTTGCGGAGTGTAACCGTTGATAAACTCTAAACCTACAACGTCGACACTGGAATTCTGGTATCTTGGCAAACGTGTTACATTCCTTTCAGCACCCCTCAAGCTGTATGATATCAGAGGCATTGATGCATCATTACAACTGATCATCTTTCTTACACCAATAATTTCACTTTTCATGCTCTGAATGTCATCACCGTCAACGCCACTGATACCGTCATCTCCACATCGTGATTGGTTGGACCCTTGCTACCCTGCGCGCATGCATTGACGTCACGGTAATAAAGCAGGTTTGAAGTTTTGGCGATCATAGTTGGGAATGGCATCACTGGTAGGGATGGGAAATAATAGAAATAGAGGCCAAGAGACGCCTAGATTCTTGTGAAAAGCTTCTTTTTTCATTCTCCAGATAATACACTTCTTCACTTCCACTACACTGATCACTTACACGATATCCACTACCACTTACACGGTATCAACTTACACTTATACTACACTACACTACACTTATAAATCATCACTATAAATCATCATCATGGGTCTCTTTGGTCGTCGTGAACCCTCCCCAGAGCCAATCCGCGAGGAACCCCCCCGCAAGCACGGCCTCTTCTCCTCCTCGTCCCGCCACGAGCCCACCTCCGCACGAACATCCACATCCTCCCACCACCGCCACTCCCGCGGTTCAGCCTCATCCTACGACCGTCGACACTCCCGCTCATCATCCCGCTCCCCGTCTCGTCGTAACTCTAACGGCGGCTTCTTGTCTCGTCTAGGCGGAAATCGCAACGAGCATGACCCTGCTGTTCTGGAGGCAAGAGCGCGAGTCCAGGATGCAGAGAGGGCGGAACGTGAGGCTGATCGTGCGCTGGAGGAGGCCAGACTTAGTGTGAGGGAGGCTAGGGAGCATGTTAAGCGCTTGGAGGTTGAGGCGAAGGAGGATTCGAGGAGGGCTAAGGTTAAGCAGACTCAGGCTAAGGAGATGTCGAAGATGGGACGTTCTCTTGGACGTAAGTATTCTTGATGATGTGTGATTGAGCTTGACGCTGACGGATTGGCAGGCCACGGATACTAAACATCCACCAAAGCAACAGAGCACTGGAGTTTTTGGAGTGTATGAGTAATCTTGTTCTGTATTATGACTGTATGAGAAGAAAAGACAAGTACACGATGGAGCTGCCAAGGAGTTACGAAATAGCGTTCTAGTTTGAGCAAATCACTTTTCAATACCATATGTGCCCCTTAAAAACATCAAAGATTCATGCTACAATGTTTCCAACAAACACTCTACTTGTCCCGTGCCAAATTGCTTGTAATTCGCAACGGAAGCTCATAGCCCACGCGCTATGCTGTAGACGATACGTAGTTCAATCATCACTTTCACCAGGGAGCTTAATTTACAAGACTCAATACATTTTTCCTACATACAGATATCTACTCAAAAGTTATTGCATTCAAAAATGCTAAACCCGTTTCCAAATACATCTTCCAAGGACAATTTTCCAAGGATGACTGATATCCCATACCAATGATCTGACTGTCCAGGCTCAAGTACACAAAACTCGGTATACCTTTATAATCCATCCAAGCTTCGTACCAAAGGGCTGTATCCAACAATCAAGATCGTTCCATGTCCTCAGCGCGAGTTACTCCATCCACCGCCTGGTGGTTACGACCTCCAATTGGCGCACCGCACTCGGAACATCGAGCTTCCTCCATTGGCATTCCGCACTCTCCAATCGCGAACTAGTAATTTGGTTAGCAAACGTCGCAGAGTTCGGCATTAGAACTCACAGGATGCCCGTTGACACAGTGATACCAGTGTCCAGAATGAGTGGCTATGCCACCACTGCCACTCACCATGGCACTCTTGATCGACGCCAGTTCCTCAGGTATCACTTCTTCGTAACGAGGTTCAAAAAGTCGAAGCATGGCCTGGACTCGCTCCTTCATATCATCGCTATTCCCGAGCTGGGAACACTGCTCAAGCGCATCATGGAGAAGTTTGCGGGCAGTGCCCATTCGGTCCTCAACAGCCTCTGTGTTCTTTTCCCCAGACTTCTGAACCGAAGGCTTGTCAGCGGCCTGTGACCGCCAGGCGAGCAGCTGAGAAACTCTAGCAAGTGTCAAAGTTGCCGCAACGATGATTCGAGGTAGTTTGGCATATTTGGCTTGTTCGATAAGCTTCTCGCAGGAGTGTAGTAATTTGGGCATTGATGGAGTAGCTTGTTCTTTAATCCATCCTCGAAGCAAGTCACCACCAGCCGTACCCTTCCAGTTTCTGAGAAGAGTAATGAAATCTTTGAGCTTTATTTCCAGGGACTTGATTACGAGCAGGTCTGCTCCCAGAACAATTTGGCTGTCAGAAGCTAGTGGCGAGAGTCTCAAGGCCTCCATCTGTCGAATGACAGACACCGAATCACCGGTAGCCTTGGCGCGAGAAGTTGCCATCGCATCAAAGAGGACTTTGGTAGGCTGATGCTCTTCATTCATGGTCTTCACAAGAGCGTTACTCACGGCCGTGAGTTTGTCCAGTTCCTCGTATCTTTTCTTGGGTAGTACTCCAACCCCATCTTTGAGTGTATAGGCCTTGCGAGTGGAGTCAAGCTTATCTTCGAGAATTTGAAGTTGCTGTTCGAGGTGATCAAGTTGCCCACGTCCTGTGATCATGAATCGCTTGCAGATCTGGTCCATGACGGCTCGGTTGATGAGTCGATTGTATCTCTTGGTTGCGAACTGTCGAATCGGTCGCTTGCAGTCTGGACAGAAAGGTACTTTACTCGACAGAGACTCAGAAATATCCTTCAAACCATTGAACTTCCCCTCTCCGTCTCTTGCATAGACCTCATCTAGACTTACCAAGCCATCAAGGGTTTCGCCAGTGAAGAAGTGGCCGCAGCTGAGTACCACGACCGGGCTTTCATCTAGATCAATCTCGGCATAGGATAGGAACTCCAGCAGATCAACTCGCTCTTCACCTTTGTCGCCGCACTCCTGACAATAACTAGTGGGGCAGTCTTCTCCGCAGAAACTTGGGCATTGATGACCGCAGGGAAGTATTCTGGTGCATCGTTCATCGCAAGGGAGGCGGTCGCATGGCGCTGAGCATGGCATTGAACAAGATCCTTGATGAGGACAAGCCCAAGTACATTTCTCGATACATGGAGCGCACGCCTTGTTGCAAGGCGAAGGGCAGGCAGAGTGTGGGCATCGAACCTAAAAGACGTCAGTTTTCTCATCTTACTCGCTGCCAATGTAAAATAAACATACCTCACAAGGGGCTTGACATGAACTGCATGGACTCCCATCGTGGCAGATGCGTGGACATCTATGGTTACAAGAGCCGTAAGGTCGATCACAAATCTTTCTGCAGCTCCGATGAGCCACTTCTCCGTCTCCATTGCGACATCTGCTGCAAGTTCCAGTGCATTGATGACCACAAGGATGTACGTAAGAGCAAGGCTGGGGGCAGCGGAAGCCTTTGGAGTCAACGTCAGTAGAACACTGAACAGATATAGAGTGGCCGCAGTGGGCTACAGTCTTCTCAACTTGGGCATCACAAGTAATTGATGCCAAATCGAGTGTCTGATAACACTTCAGTGTCTGCTTGATGTGGCCACACGGAAGCTGAATATCATAGACCTTGATCATGCAAGGGCCACATCTTTCGCCGCAAAGTTTCTGGCATCCGTGGTCGCATGTCTTTCTAATGCGAGGACAAGGTTGTTGACAAGAGAATGCATCATGAAGCGTCTCTGAATGACAACGTGCCTGGCATTGATGGCCGCATGGTTCGAGCCGTCGGGAACAGGGGAGAATACAGCCACCCTCGGGGCTCTTCAAAGCAAAGTCTGCTGGCTCAGAGCATGTGAGAGTGGTGTCTTTATGGCGAGGGCAACATAGTTCAATCTCATTGCCAACACAATCAGCCAGATAGAGCTGCTTGTGAACATCAGCCCACATCGGGACGTTGAGATACGTCTCAGAATTTCCAATCAAGTACATTCCATTCTTGGCGCGGCTGAGAAGAACATTGATTCGGTTCTCCGTTCGAAGGAAACCCACTTTACGCTGTGTGTTGCTTCGAACCAGGGACACGATGATGACTTTGGCTTCCTCGCCTTGAAAGTTGTCGACCGTGGCAAGGCGAATGGTTTGGATGAGTTGCTTCTTCTCGATCATCTTTCTGTCACCACCATTTGACGCGGAGTCATCTTCAAATCCTTCTTGTGCAAGCTGGGTCATGTCACGGTCACTCAGACAAATCTCGAAATCCTTGCCTAGAGCTGCCCGGAGCTGCTGAAGCTGTCCAGTGTAAGGAGTGAGAAGCGCGATGTCTTCAGTTTTGTACTCTCCTTGTCGAACAAGATGGCGAACGAGCGCAGTCGCCATTTCGGTCTCCCAGATGTTGCTGTGCGACTTGACACGGGTTCCATCGCCCCCAGCGTCCTCTGGATGATTGTGGTCAAGCCAGAACAAGTTCTTTCGCATGCCGACGACATCTTCAAGATCAGTGACACTCCTGTGATCTTCGAGATTCGGGTAGACTCGTCGGATGAGCTGCGATATCTCGGGTCTCATTCTGCGTTGGATGTTGAGTTGGGCAAATGGTGCTGGTGCAAGACCAGGCTCACCAACCGCTCGTCGCTCGAATTGACTACGATCCAGCTGCCAGTACCGTCCTGACGCTGATTCGAGGCTCAGATTGAAGTTGTTGATTTGTGGTCGGAGTTGTCGGTGGTCGCCGATTTGGATGAAGTGTTCAACGCCAGACTTGAGGGAAGAGATGACGTCTGACTCTTTCAGCTCACCCGCTTCCTCGCACAGAACAACCTTGAAATCCAAGTTTCTCAACAACTCGATACGTCCGGCCAAAGAAGTTGTAGTGATTCCAATGACATCAGCCCTAGTAAGAGTTCGCTCATCGACAGCATCGTGTGTTCGGTATATGGCTTTGCGGTTGTTATCGAAGTCGTCAAGAGCTTCGTACAGCATATCAAGCTGGTTGTCTTGTAGTTCTTCGAGCCAATGTTCCACAAGAAGCCAACGCTCTGCTGGTGGAAGGAGATGGACGCTCTCCTCTGCGAGAGTTATGATGTCTTCTAAAGAAGTTTGCCAGTCTGTTGTTGGCGGAGGTCGGATTCCCATCCAGGTTTTGAGAGGATCCTTGCTGACCATCTCGAAACCTTCATCGTCCACTCGACCCAGCTGTCGGTAAATCAAAGGATACTTGAACTGTAAGTGTTGTTCTAATCCCTCCCAGCTCGCTCCCCTGCGGGCTTTAACCAACGTCCCCAATGCATAACTGGCAGATTCCAAAGAGGACTCTTGCTTGCTGTAGGCCTCACCTAGAATCTGGGCCTCGACTCGTGTCTTGGGAGTTTCTCTACTGACAGTCCGAAGGTTTTTGCCATCAAGTTCTTCAGCGACACTACGACCGCCAATGCGAATAATGGCGTCGATTCCGACATCGAGGAGATGCTTAAGGAACTGATCCAATGCATGGTTTGTGTAGCATCTGTTTGGTATCCTCGTTAGCTCGCCAGTTCCTTTTATGCTGTTATATTTTGAGTAGCTTACATGATGAGAATTGGTCCCAAGTCTGCTCGTTCCTTGACAGAAAGCAAGGTTCTGACGAGCTGTACACCGAGATAGGACTTTCCAGTTCCTGGTGGACCTTGGATGAGTGCATACTCGCGTGTAAGAGCCCCAACCAGACCAAGACATTGGCCATGATCAAGTCCCGTCGCATCTTCGATCTCCTTCAGATTGATGTGTTCAAGCTTTGAGTTAGGGTCCAGGTAGATGTTGCTAATGCCATCTTTTGTGATGGAGCGAAGCGGGAACACGAACCCAGCTTTGCGAGCATATAACGGCGGCTGCATGTGATGAACTCCTTCGGGAGGTGGGAGAATCCAATTCTGGAAGGCGATGTGGTTCTCGCGCTTGATGGTTTGAAGGTTCCTCAGGATCGGTATGAAGGTCTCAGGAATAATTCCGTTGAAATCGACCAACACACCCGCGACGTTCTCTCGGAAAGTTCGAACAAGAAAGTTGAGGTCGCTCTGCTGGTGCGTTGCTAGCTTCACTGTGATACTTGGCGCATCGCGATAGGACACCAGAGCACTCTTCGGTGTGTCCGACTTGTTGGAGTCCGATTCTATTCTTTTGGAGGTAACATGTAGGAAAAGAAGCCTTTGATCTTGGTTCTCCGCGTCAGAAGTTACAAAACATAACAGCGTGCCTTCTCCCAGTCGAGGAGATCTTTGCCACCAGTCTCGTTGGTCTGCGGGCGACTTTCGGGAAATGTAGGCTGGTGCAGAAAATGAGATGATCGCTTCAAGGCCTCTCCTCTCATGTATGAAGATACGAGAGACACTTGACGAGTGGTAGACCTGTGCCTGACTATTTCTGTCGGTCAACCGGGTAGTCATGACATTGTCCGAGGCAAGAACATCTCGAAGAACATCGTTCACTGGACCAAGTGTATCGTGTCTGACAAGCCTAAATATCGAGTCGATATATCGTTGCATAGGGTCTTGGAGGACGTGTGGGTGGAGGAAGTTGGTAGAAGGCAGATAGTCTGCTTGCACACTAGTGATCTCTCCTTGGGTTGGGAGAAGCGATACGTCAGAGATATCTGCAAAGTCGTTGTCATGTCGACCGCCTGGAATTGCTACTGCTTGAGGAAATGAAGAGGCGACAAACTTTGACGCCTTTTTGCTGTCCTCTGATGGATCTTGCGTTGTAACGATACGACCAGTAGAGCCAGAGACGACTCTCTTGGTGATTTCAAGGCGAGTTCTGAGTCCATCCAGGTCGGCCTTTGATGCCCCCTCAGCAACCGCATTCACAAGTTCATCCAATGACTTGAGAAGTCCAGGAGTTCCATCCGAGAACTGAGCTCGTTGGACCTTGCTAAGGAGTTCATGCAATGCTTTGATAATAACATCAACCATACTTTTGATCGTAGAGCCTGGTGATCTACCAGATGCTTTGATGTGTTTCAAGAGTTCGTTGCACATGCGAGACAAAAGAGCAATTCCCTGTTCGCCGTTGGTGCCTCCCAGCAGCACATACATGGTGCCAACGTAGGGATCGATGGAGAGCGGCTTGATAGAAGGGTGAGTGATGACTTTGAGAAGATTCTTGACGCATATGAGTTGATTGTTGTCGGCCAAGGTTGAGTGTTTGGATACGTATGTGATCCATTCTGGGCCGTTGAAATGGTCCTTGACAAGTTCTCTTGCCAGCTCTTGGTGTTTTTCCAGACTGTCGCCGTCTAGAATTTCCCGAGCACCTTTCCAGAGCTTATCCGCATGTTGGAATGCATCAGAGTGGTCGAACTCGTGTGTGCCCTTGCGTAGGAGATGCTTCCATTCGTAATAGTCTTCACGGCTGTGGAGATCTTCAGGGCGTAATGGCTTATCCCTGGCACGACCTTGTCCAGCCGAGCTGTTGATATCATGAGAGAACTTGCAGCTGTCTCCAAACTTGCACTGCCCTCTCTGGAAGTGAAAGCATGGCTTATTGCTGTCTCTGGTCTCATTCGGTTCGTTTCGCGGACCAGGAGGGCGACTGCCTCCTCTCCCTCCTCTCCAACTCCCTCTTCGCCACATGGCACTGGGGGAAGGTGGAAAGAGTTGGTAGTTCTGAGAAAAGTCTGATGTGTAAGTTCTTTGAGGTTGCTGTTTCTGTTGGAGTGAGATGCAAATAGAAGTTGCTTTTGTGCAAAAGGGTATGGGGAAGTGTGCAAGATGGGGGAAGAAATGGTGCAGGATGAGAGTTGAGGCGCTCCACAGGTAGAGAGGAAGTTCTGCTAAATCTCTCAGCTTGCTTACTCCATTCACCTGGTTGCCTAGCAGAATTTGTTTGTTTCAAGCACTGGCAGTGTTTGGTCAGTGGAGGGCCTCCGACAGTGCCAGCTGCAGCTGGTCGTCACTGCTGACGGTGCAGACGCGCTCATTCACTCATTGGAGTAAGCAACATCTTAGCTTCTACCTGATATGATAGGCTTACAGTTGAATGGGAGCAGTTTGTGTGCCGATTCGTAGCTTGGTTGTCGTTAGTGGTGTTTTCACTGCCACATCCCCTTGGAACAATTCTGCCATCCTTTGAGCACGAAGTTCTTGTATCTTCACCTCTGATCAGCTTTCCCAGATTCTGAGATACAAATTCAATAACTTAAATGTTTTCAAAGTTTAGAAAGATAAGGTAACTTCCATGTTTCTTGGATCTCATCATTCCGTCATAAACATGAACAGCTGCAGACAGTTGGAGGCTCCTGCCTTTCGAGGTAATACTTCAGTGTACAGCATTCACGCCTCTCAAGGAAGAAGTGAGCTTTAGCTTTCTAGCCTTGCATTCGGGATATCATTTCTAGATAAGGTAGAATTGGAACGTGATTGATAATATTCCCAGACAGGCGGTCTTGCTGTCAATCTGTCCATGTTAATGACACAGTCGCAACGATATCATATGAAACAATCACCAACAGAACTCACACAGGAGGCAATTTTCTAGGCATTTGAACCGGAGAAAGCATACTGATGTCATGAGATATTATTTTAAGACCTCAATCTTTCTCGAATACCCCAAATAATCCTTATCCGTTGTCTCATTCACAAACTGCCGTCGAGAAGTAGTCCAAATCTTGGCTCACCCTAGAGCCTTTAGTGCGGCGCCGGTTCCCGTCTCACGTCAGAAGCTTGGCGACGATCAATCCCATCAGCAATTACTCCATCAGGAAATAATCACAGTACCAAAAACATCAATACTTCAGCCTCACTGCATCAGACCAACATCAATCATGAAAAAGAAAGTTACACAAGATGCGTCACCCCCTCTCGTGCCTTATCAATCAAACACCCGAAATGACGCAACCACTCCTCGCGCTTCGGACGTATTTCAAAGCCGATGGTGCAATATTGCGAAATGCCGATTTGAATTAATAATGCAGCGCTGCTTCGCTGCCTCACTTCCGAATTTCCGTACAGAGAGAAATGGCGGGGTTGTTTAGTACAAGAATTACAAGTCCTGCTAGGAATTTGCTCTTTTCAAATACCTTTACCAAACAAATTACTACTCGACGTATCAACACGGCTATCAAAATGGGCTCTCAACCTCAAGCAGACATCACCCTCTACACCAACCACGCGTGCCCTTGTATGTATATCACGTTCATCATATTGTTCAAAAGACTCCGCTGACAACCCCCGCAGTCGCGCACAGGGCACACATCACCCTCGCCGAACTTGGTCTCCCCGTCAGGGAGGAAATCATTGATCTCAACACGCCCCGATCCCCAGAATACTTGCAGATCAACCCCCGCGGCCTCGTCCCAACCATCATCTACAATGGCGAGATCATCACCGAGTCCGCCATCGTCGCTCAGTTCCTCGCAGATGCGCACCCCAGCCATCTCCTCCCCGCGTCTACGGACAAGAACGGTCCGTTGACCAGAGCGAGGGTGGCCTTCTTCGCCGATGCGTACTCGAACAAGGTCCAGGCGCATATCGGCAAGGCTATTTACAGGGCCCAGACGGAGGAGGAGGTTAATCAGGCTGTGGACGATGCCGTTGCTGGTATCGTTAAGGAGGTTGAGCCTCTTCTCAAGAATGCGGCGCCTTTTTTCAACGGGAGCGATAAGCTCACCTTTGCAGAGGTACCCAAACCAAAGAACCCGGAATGATATAGCGATGGATAGGTAGCTAACGAGAAACAGGTCCTTGTAGCTCCATTCGTCATTCGACTGCTATCCTCCGCCAAGCACGGCCTCCTGCCAACCAATCTCCCCTCCCGCCTCGAGAAAGAGACTCCCAACTTCTACAAGTGGGCACAAGCCATCAGCAAGAACCCCAGCGTCCTGAAGATCTACGACGAGGACCGAGTTGTTGAGGCAAGCAAGAGAGTGAGAGCCAAGTTTGCCAGCAAGGCCTAAGACTAAGATCAAGGTGGGCTATGTATAGCCCAAGATAAATGACTGACCGCACGATCCTTGCCTTCGCAATGGGGTATGTTAAATCGCAATGCAAGGATCAAGATTAATGTATCCGAAACTTGAGAGACATTGACTGATATTCGGAGAGACGTTGCGAGAATGAGTGCAAATTGAGTTGCCCTTTATGTTATGGTTATCATGATTTAAAAAAGTTTAAACCCGAATATGCAGAGCCTCCCGCTGCATTAGTCCCAATTTCCAGATCTTGCATTTCACCAAGCGCCAATGAAAATATCCCACTTCCCGCCCCCCTTTCCCCCTGTCGATCTACGACTCACCTCACCAATGTTCCATTTGCCATGTTCATATTTAGCAACAGCTTCTCTTGAATTCAAATTTCAATTCAGCCAAGATTCCCAAGTGGATATGCCAATTCGTTAGCCCGTCCTATATCCTAGCTCTAATTTCAGCACTCAGGTCAAACAGTCATGTCCACTAAGGGAAGAACCCTTGTAAAAAGCCCTTCCCGCCCAGGTCTTGGCGCGTCGCATGTCCCCTTGTAGGTGACACGCCGGCGCTGTTAGATGCAGGCTTTCTGAGTGGTCTGAAATTAAACAAGGCCCATTCGATCTAGAGGTTTTGGCGATGGCCTCCTGAGAGCCCTGTCATGCTTGGCCTGCGAGAATGGGTCCTCGGTACTGGTACTCTTTTGTCTCCTTTTCTGCCGTTTGCCGCTTTTATTCTCTCTCTCCATTTCTTTTTCTCTCATTATTCATGCATGCTCTTTGAGTAGGTAGAACAATAAGTTCCTCTTTTCCTTTGAGTTGTTCTTCTTTCCTTGTCTGTCACTGTCTCTCATATTGCTTGATCCTTGGGTGTTTCATTCGTTTCATCACCCATTCACTCCTTTGATCTCGACAGACTCGACTCACTTTTCATCTCATTCATTTTTCCTCTCTTTTCATTTGATAGACTGAACTCGAATCAATCACCATGCTTTCGCGATACATCCTTCCCGCGGCCGCCATCTTTGGCCTCGCGGCTGCTCAGACAACCACCGACTGCAACCCTCTCAACGAAACAGACTGCAAACCCAACCCGGCTTTCGGAACCAGCCATCTCTGGCACTTCAACGACACACCCTCCAGCGACCACTGGGACAACCACGTCGGTCGCGTCACCTACGATGAGAACGATGGCGCCGTCTTCACCGTCGCTAAGCAGGGCGACTCGCCTACTCTGCGCACCGCGTTCTACTTTTTCTTCGGCCGCACCGAACTTCTCATGAAGGCCGCTCCCGGTGTTGGAATTATCAGCTCCATGATGTGGCTGAGCGACGATCTGGATGAGGTCGACTGGGAGATTCTGGGTGCGAATGACACCCATGCTTCGACAAACTACTACGGAAAGGGTGTTGAGGACTTTACCAAGGCGGGGTGGCACTACGTTAAGGGTGGTATGCAGGAGGATTACCATAACTATACAACGACGTGGACGAAAGATGAGTTGAACTGGTACATTGATGGAGAGAATGTGCGAAAGGTTGTTGCGAAGGATGATATGGATAGCTATCCTCAGACACCCATGAGACTAAGCATTGGAATCTGGGCTGCTGGTGACCCTACTATGCCCGAGGGAACTCGCCAATGGGCCGGTGGTGGTAAGTTTGAGTGTCTCTGAGAACTTAGAGTTGTGCTGACAATTTGCAGATACCGACTACGGCAAGGGCCCTTACACCATGCACGTCAAGAGTGTCTACGTCGAAGACGCCAGCACCGGAAAGGAGTACGTCTACGGCGACAAGACAGGCAGCTGGGAGAGCATCGAAATCGTCAAGTAAGCCCCTCCCCATCCCCTCAATCTACCACCTTGTATCTCATACTAACCACTAACAGGGGCAACTCAACCGCCTACGAAGCTCTCTACAAAGAACCCGAGAAGACCACCTCCGAGAAATGGGAAGCCCTCCCCGCCGGCACAAAGACAGGAATCTACGCCGGCGGCATCGGCGCCGCAGCCATCGGTCTCGGAGCTCTAGGCTTCTACTTCTGGCGTCAACGCGCCGCGGGTGCCAGCGAGGCCAAGATGGCCAGCGACAAGGCCGCCGCTGAGAACCATGATCTCATGTCGTACCGTGCTGGTGAGGATACGACGAACCAGGGTTTTGAGTACAGCGCTGCCAAGTACTCAAAGGTTCCAGCTCAGGATGCTGCTTAAAGTAGACGGGTTTAAAACTTAGAGTTGTGTTTTCTTTTTTTCAGATTTCTTTTAGCTGTTTCTTATTTCTTTTTTTGTAATGGCATATACACACTTTTGTTGGTTGAAGTTATATATACTGTAGAAAACCTCCACAGGAACAGGGACATTTATAGCAGGTTTGGCGTTGATCAATTGAGATGCATTGTAACTTACCACTGAGATTGAACTTTATTATAAATCTCCGCGATCGGTTCAGATTGATAATCATGGTCGACGTGGTATTGAACGGACGATCCATATATGTTCATCACCTAGACGGGTGCCGTAGGGCTGTCGTATAGAATTAACAAAACGGGATAGTTCATAGAACCATGAATGGTGGGAATTGATCCACATGGACTCCCGTTTTGTCAAAGTTAAACGATGCATGGCTTGACGTTGGATGGCAAAATGTCAATTGAGTCGTTTCTAGGGCGTGTGCGACAGAGACTGTCGCAAACTGCCGATACAATTAAAGATTGTGACAGAAAAGGGTCCTCCTGTATCGGAGCTAAATATTTTAAATATTTCGAGAAGCCCAGTTGGTCTCGGACAACTTCTTCTCTCAACCTCATACACCTCTTCTAGCCCTCAATTGAAGCAAGCAAACATTCTTCGTCCACTGTCGCCTCATTAGCCATACTCTTTATCTCAACTGAAGTGTCCTTTTCTCTCAAGGCTGCGAACGAGCGACAACAGCTCATCTCACCTCAACTGAAGCTATTCGCAACTCTCACTCTCACTCGCTCACAATGTCTCTCACATTCCGCCCCGCAACACCACAAGACGTAACCCCTCTCCTCGCCCTCATAATCTCCGCCTACCGCGGCCCCGACTCCCGCGCAGGCTGGACAACAGAAGCCGACCTCCTCGCAGACGAGCGCATATCCTCCACTGATCTCCTCGCCAAAATCACCGATCCCAACGGCGCCGTCATCCTGGCTTTCATAAGCTCCCCCTCATCATCAGGAACATCAACGCCAGAAGGCGACAGCGATCCCCGTCTTGTCGCATGCTGCGAAGTTGTTCAAAAAGACACAGAGCGTGCTTACTTCGGCCTCTTCGCTGTATCGCCGAAACTGCAAGCTGGTGGTATTGGAAAGCAGGTGCTTGGGTATGCGGAGAATTATGCGGTTAGGAATTGGGGAACCAAAATCATGACCATGTGGGTTATTTGGACGAGAAAGGAATTGATTGAGTGGTATGTTAGAAGGGGATATGTAAAGACAGGGGAGACGAGTCCTTTCCCGTACGAGGGGCTTGTTAATGGTAAGGCGTTGAGGGATGATTTGTACTTTGATCATTTGGAGAAGGTGTTGGCATAGACAGAATATTGGAGGACCATAGACTAGAACAGTGAAGAGGATAGTGAGGATTAGACTAATGAGACATGCGATTCACACAAACGTCACAACCGTGGGAGAAAAGAGTTGGTCAAACAAATCGTCAATCATAGGCTACTCTGTCACGACGCTATATACATTCAAAAGACCTTATATGATCATTCCACCTTTTTCTTTGGGTATCTTTCTTTTTATTGACCCTCAACCTGCTTAAGAATGCCCTCGAGGTTAATGCTCTTAGGTCTCTCGATAGGCAGACCCAGAGCTCGGTCCCAGATCAACTGAGCCAGAGGTCCAAGACCACGAGAAACACCAAATGTAGCAGTGTAGTACAGCGTCTCGTGGAAGCCATAGTGGTGGAACAGGACTCCGGAGGAGCTGTCGACGTTGGGGTAGGGGTTCTTGGTCTTGCCGTGCTTCTTGAGGACCTCGGGGGCGATGCGGCTGTTCTTCTCGACGAGCTGGAAGACGGGGTCGTTGGCGATCTCGGGACGCGCGGCGGCGTAGTCCATGAGGGCCTCGAAGCGGGGGTCGGGCTTGCGCAGGACGGCGTGGCCGTAGCCGGGGACGACGCGGCCTGAGTTGAGGGTGGACCAGAGATAGTCGTTGACGTCTTGCTCGGTGTAGTTGGCGGGGATGGCTTCCTTCATCTGGATGATCCATCGGAGAACCTCCTGGGCGGCGAGACTAAGACATGTTAGTACGAATTCACGGCTGGGAAGAGAGAAGTGCTTACCCGTGAAGAGGACCAGCGAGACCCTGGAGACCAGCACTGTAAGACAGGAAAGGATCCGACAGGGCACTTCCAACCAAGTGAGTGGCGTGAGCAGAGACATTACCACCCTCATGATCACCGTGAAGAGCAAGGTAAAGTCTCAGAAGATCTTGAAAGTTCTCGTTCTCCTTTCCGCCCTTTCCAAGCATAGCAGCAAAGTTGTACGACCAATCCTGCTCAAGATCGACCTCAGCTGGCAGAGCACCACCACCACGGTAAGCATTCTGGTAGATCTTGGCAGCAATGGTAGGAAGCTTAGCAAGCAACGAAATACAATCGTCAAAGGTAGGCTCCCAGTAATCAGCCTTGTTAAGGCCCTGCTCATAAGCCTTGGCGAACTTGGACTCGTAGTTGAGCGCAGAAACAGCCATGGCGAACTGCGTCATGGGATGAAGATCCTTGGGGAAGTCATCGAGCATCTTTGAGATGAACTCTGGAATCTGCGCCTTCTCTGCGAGTTCCCGAGAGAATGTGCGGACTTGGTTCACGGAGGGAACTTGGCCGGTGAGGAGGAGCCAGAACATAGCTTCGGGGAGCATCTCAGTTCCTGTCTTTCCCTTGGGAAGCTCCTTTTGGCAATCCTTGATGGTGCGGCCGTGGAAGCGAATGCCCTCGTTGGCGTCGAGGACTGAACCCTCCCAGACCATGGCCTTGAGACCGCGCATGCCGCCGAGGGTGTTCTCGACCTTGACCTCGCCGAGGACCTTGTTGGAGTGGGCCTTGACCTTCTTGAGAAGCTCACGCTTGGCGGGGATGGCCTCGCGGAGAGTGGCCTTGAGATCAGGCTCTGCGGTGGCATAGCCGCGGACACCTGAGAAAGCGGCACGGGTGAGGGGCTGTGAAGTGTGTGAGTCTTGGTGTTTTATCACATGTAAGTTAGCTTAGAAGCTTACCTTAAGGGAGCCAAGAGCCCTGCGGGAGGATGTCAAGTTGAGAGCCATTGTGATGTGTGAGGAGGGGATACAGAGAGGATTGGAGCAAGGAAGGAAAAAAAAGAAGAAGATCAAATATGAGGAGTGAAAGAGATCAAGTATGAGGAGGGAGTTGGGCCGAGGGTTCCCTGTGGTAAACGAGCTGAAGCGGTAGGTGGGGGTGCCTTTGGTTGAATCTGGGGTAACAGCCGGGGGAGCGGGGGCATCTGATGATGGTGGTTTGCACGTTTATTTTGTCATGCGGGGTTGAACTGAACTGTTATGACGCAGCGAGTGCGGAGAAGACGACAGTTTCACGATATGCTGATAAGTAGAAATAATGCACTATAGAACAGAGGAGGCTGTAGTGGTACTCAAGATACAATTAGGCAGAGAAAATATGCTGTACTTGTCCACCAAAAGTCTTCTGTTGAGGACAATCCCACGGTTATCATGGCGACTCCAACCGAGGAAACCCGCCATGAACCGACTTGAATGCCACGGCTCAAACATGCATCTCAACCAATCAGCTTCACGACTGTTTACCGTACGAGCTCACTCATTGGCCAATTCGTCGGCAATGCTCTTCTTTAACCAAGGCTTTGCTGACATACGATGAGTCTCCAAGTTGTAAGCTGCTTTTTTGTCAAGCATTTATAAGAGACGTGTAATTTGGTCTGCTCGGTTACAGAGCTGTTGGTCGGTAACCGGTCGGTCATCGAGTTGGGGTTTTATTCTTGCAATGATGGCCAAGTTGGAATAAGTATGGTAGATTAATATAAAGATTATGATTATCGTAGCTTTAACTTGAACTCAAGAAAGGGATTATTATTAATTATTTCTGTTGTCTTGGTGGGCGCTGGCTGGTCTTGCAGCTATCACGGGCTTCAAGTCATCCTCCGCAAGTGCTCGACTTTATTATTCATCCAATCCCCGTTATTCCCGATCTATCCACCACCACCACCACCACTTTCTCCTTCACCAACTTCCCTCCTCCTCCCTCTTTCACCTCACAACAACACCCAAAATGTTGCGCAGACTATCAACTCGAGCTCCCCAGCGCCTCCTCTCCGCTTCCAAACCCCGAAGCGTAGCACCCCTCCTCGCCATCCGCGCCATATCCACCACCTCCGTCGCAAAGATGTCGCAGCTCAGCACGCACGCTACACAACCCGCCGATGCATTCCAGCTTCTGCCAGAGTCGCAAAAGGCTGGCGAGGCGGAGGATCGGCTATATGAAGCTACGGTGAAGGAGATTGAGGCGTGGTGGGCTTCGCCGAGATATCAGGGTATCAAGAGGCCGTATAGTGCAGAGGATGTTGCGACCAAGAGGGGCACGCAGAAGGTTCAGTATCCTAGCTCTGTTATGGCGCAGAAGCTCTTTAATCTGATTAAGGAGCGCGTGGCCAAAGGAGAGCCTATTCACACCAGTAAGTCTTCCGCAGTTCAAGTCTGGAGCTCTGGCTAACGGTCTGTAGTGGGCGCAATTGACCCTGTTCAAATGACCCAACAAGCTCCTCACCAAGAAGTCCTCTACATCTCAGGCTGGGCCTGTTCCTCCCTCTTAACCTCTACCAACGAGGTATCTCCCGACTTCGGCGACTACCCCTACAACACCGTTCCCAACCAAGTCCAGCGTCTAGCCAAGGCGCAGAACATGCACGATCGCAAGCAGTGGGATCTTCGTCGCAAAATGACAGCTGAGGAGCGCGCAAAGACACCATACGTTGACTACCTCCGCCCTATCATTGCAGATGGTGATACTGGCCATGGTGGTCTCTCTGCTGTTCTTAAGCTCGCTAAGCTGTTCGCTGAGAATGGTGCTGCGGCTGTTCACTTTGAGGATCAGCTCCATGGTGGAAAGAAGTGTGGTCATCTGGCTGGAAAGGTTCTTGTCCCTATTGGAGAGCATATCAACCGTCTTGTTGCTACGCGCTTTCAGTGGGATGTCATGGGTTGTGAGAACCTCGTCATTGCTCGAACAGACTCTGAGTCTGGCAAGCTTCTCTCGTCTGCTATCGACGTGCGCGACCACGAATTCATTCTCGGTGTTTCAGACCCCTCGATTGAGCCTCTCGCTGAGACCATCCAGGCTATGGAGGCTAAGGGTGCTGTTGGCGCTGAGATCGATGCCTTTGAAGCTCAGTGGGTCAAGAACACCAAGCTCGTCACCTTTGACGAAGCTGCTGTCGCGCACATGAAGAAGGAGGGTGTTTCACAAGCCAAGATTGACGAGTATCTCGCCGAGACTGAGAAGGACCACGACATGGGTATCTCCCGCCGCCGTGGCCTTGCAAACAAGTACACCAAGGAGCCTGTGTACTTCAACTGGGACGTTCCCCGTACCCGCGAAGGTTTCTACCATTACCGCGCTGGTATGCGGGCGGCTACCAAGCGCGCTCTTGCATTCAGTCCCTACGCGGACCTCCTCTGGGTTGAGACAGGTGATCCCAATGTTGAAGTAGCCACTAAGCTTGGCCGTGCTGTTCGCGAGGTCAACCCCGGCAAGGGACTCGTGTACAACCTTTCTCCCTCATTCAACTGGATGGCTCACGGTTTCACTGATGAGACCCTCAAGTCGTTCATCTGGGACATTGCTCGTGAAGGATTTGTTCTTCAGCTTATCTCTCTTGCTGGCCTGCACTCCAACGCTACAATCACAACTGAGCTGTCGCGCGAGTTCAAGAAGGATGGTATGAAGGCTTATGTTGATATCGTGCAACGCCGTGAGAAGGATCTTAAGTGCGATGTTTTGACGCATCAGAAGTGGAGTGGCGCAAGCTACATTGATGGTATTCTGGGAGCTATTCAGAGTGGAAGCTCGAGCAGCAAGAGTATGGGCGAGGGAAACACTGAGGGACAGTTCCATTAGAGGGAGGCTAGGAGAAGGAAAAGCATGCGCCGGAGTTTGGGTATCTTTTTGTATATTGATGAATACTCTACAAATGATATTGTATATGATCAGCCAGGTTCATCCTCGCAAGTGACTGTGCACACGACTACTGTTTGTGATGTGACAATTTATTTCATTATTGAATCATACTAATCGTTACTACAGATATCCTTCCCGCTTACTCTCTCCCTCTCTTCACCCCTTACAACGAGTCCTTGCTAGCATTGTTCTGGGGAGGAGGATGCGCAGGTCCCTCGGCAGTAACATAGCACTTGGTCATACCACCATCAACCGCAAAATCATGCCCGTTGACAAAGCTGGACTCATCACTAGCCAAGAACAGAACAGCCTGCGCCTGCTCAACAGCCTCACCAAACCGCCCCATAGGGAAGTGAACCTCACGTCTGTGACGCTTCTCCTTATCATCACCGAGCCAATCCTGCAGGAGTGGTGTGTTAAGCGGCGCAGGGCAGAGGTTGTTGAACCTGAAGCCCTCGCGGGCGTGAACCATGGCGAGTTCACGAGTGAGCGCGAGGACAGCGCCCTTGCTGGCGGTGTAGGCGAGCTGGGGGGTCGCGGCGCCGACGAGGGCGACGACGGAGGCAGTGTTGATGATGGAGGCTTTGGTCTTCTTGTTGCGGCGGAGCGAGAGGACGGCATGTTTGCAGCCGAACCAGACGCCCTTGACGTTGATGTTTTGGGTCAGGTCCCAGATGTTCTCGGGGGTGTTGACGGCGTCGTCGTCTTGGGCGTGCATGATGCCGGCGTTGTTGAAGAGGACGTCAATGCCGCCCCAGGAGTCGAGGGATTCGATCATGGCCTGGACCTCTGATTCCTTTGAGACGTCGACTTTCTGTCACGAGTTAGTACTACTGTCGAAAGAAGTGATGTGGTGTGGTATTGGACGTACGAGAATCTCAACGCGGGGAGCATCGGGGACGAGCTGCTTGACCTTTGCGGCGGCCTTTTCGAGAGCAGGTTGAGAGATGTCGGACATGAGGATGGAAGCGCCCTCCTTGGCGAAGAGAATGGAGGTCTCAAGACCGATGCCACTGCGATCGTCAGTATCATGCACCACAACAAGACAAAGAAACATACCCTCCAGCGCCGGTGATGACGGCGTTCTTTCCAGCGAGACGACCCATTGTGAATATTTAAAAGTTAGGTTTTGAAGAAAGAAGAAAGAAGAAATCGTTGTATGAAGAAAGAATAAGAGTTGAAGTGGCGGGTATCTTGTGAAAAATATATAGGATTTGATGGATGGTGACACAATGAGGGGCAGAGGGGTCCTTATTCTTTAAGCTTCCCTCTTATCGAAAGCGTCTGGAAGCTCCGATAAGCTGGAATGGAAAAGGGCGGTAGAGCTAAGGTAAGGTCGTCTGATTTTCATGGGCCAGTCATGGGAAAGATCGTGGAGATGGTATATTCCGAGAACGGACGAGGGCGGTTGGCGGTTGGAGTGGATTTGGACGTTAGTGGAGGCTGTCATCGCGGCTATTATTAAAGATTACAGTTGATGGGTACAGTATTAGTGGCTTGGTCAACTGTATGGGTCGTGATGGCTGAGGTGAGGTGTGAGCTGGAGAGCTGGAGGGGAGCTTATCAGTTGAAGGTGATATTGATAGAGGTACATGAGCTGAGGAACATGATAACAAATGTGTCGAGTTCGATGCCGTCTTTGATGGTAATTCTAATTCCATCAGACCCTGTTCATCTGAGCCAGCCAATTAAATACAGCCATAGCTTAGCTATAATCAAAACCTCTATCACAACCGAAGCTCCCGATTCTCATAAAATATTATCACATTATCAACAAACGTCAGATCCAGGGTCCTTTCTCGGTATGTCAGATCTCAAGCTTGCAGCTGTGCCACGCAACACCCCTGCCACTAGCGATGTCGGCTCTCTCCAACTCAGGTCACGAGAACATCAAACTCCGAGTAAAAAAAAACAGCGGTTATCTCACTCTCCCAAGACGACAACAGCACGCGGTTACCTTCGATCCTCAGGGCGCATAAGGCGCGGTTACACCTCTGGATTAAAAACGGCAATTGAAGCGGGTTAATAAGATAACTCGATGAATATCGGAACGCGGCATTGAGCGAACCGCCGAGCATCCGTATCGTATCGTGAAACTAACTTACCCCATGTTATGAACCTTGGCCAAAGCTTCAGGATCTAGATCGCGGGGTTCCTGACACTTCCCTCAGCGCGGCAATGAAGCTATTCCAAACCCTGCTCCCACTAAACCTCCCAGATAAGCCCCGCTGCTAATTGTGACCTCGGTGGGTTAAGCCCAATTGGTACTAGCCCTGCATCGCGCACCGAACATCACAGTTCCCCACTCTTTTCGCTCATCTACGTCACTGAAGCATTGTCTTATCGTCGCATTCGTCTTATCGTAGCCGCGCTGCCCATATTCCCAGTTGATACAAACCTGTTTATGCTTTTACTTGTCTCACTCCCCCTCTTTTTGTAATCTCTTGAATACTACAGTATCTCTCTACTATCTTGGCTGCTGTTCTCCCCGCATTCATCATTGTTGATCTTTCTTGAACCGCGCGCATCTTTCAACGGCTTGACCTCAACCCCACCGTTGAACTGCATATCCCGAGGAATATCTTTTTGTTATAACATAACATACCGCGCATTATTCTATCTTTACAGCTTCATCACTTCCTCCCTCTATACCCTTCTTTCTTACTCCACCAAATCCTTCGCCATGGCTTCTCCAGACCCTAAATCCATCACCGTCGACTCCCTCCCCCAACTCCTCCAAAATGACAACATGGTCAAGCTCGCAGGCGTAGACGTCGACGGCATCCTGCGCGGTAAACTAGTATCCAAGAAGAAGTTCCTCTCCATCGCTGAAGCCGGCTTTGGTTTCTGCTCCGTCATCTTTGGCTGGGATATGCACGATCGTACATATATCCGCGAACTCAAGATCTCAAATGCTGAGAATGGATACCATGATCTCCTCGCTATTCCAGATCTTTCTACCTTTAGGAGAATTCCCTGGGAGGATGATGTTCCCTTGTTTTTGGTGGACTTTTTGGACCCGGATACCAAGAAGCCCATTTGTGCTTGTCCGAGGGGTCTGGTGAAGACGCAGCTTGAGAAGCTTAAGGAGCACGGGTATGGTGCTATGGCAGGCGGTATGTTTTCTCTTCACCTCTAAACTTGAAGTTTTGTACTAACGGACGCAGCTGAATATGAATTCTACCAATTCAAATCCCCCGACCCATCAACTTCCTCCCCAGCCGCATACCTCCAACAAAACCCCCCTCACCAACTCCCCGCCCTAACAGAAGGAATGTTCGGCTACTCCCTCACCCGCCCCGTCCACAACCAAGAATACTACTACGACGTCTTCAACACATGCGCCAAGTTCTCCTGCGACATCGAGGGCTGGCACACCGAGTCCGGACCCGGCGTCTTCGAGGCCGCTCTCGAGTTCGGAGAGATCGCGCAAATGGCTGACCGTGCTGCGCTGTTCAAATACGTCGTTAAGAGCGTGAGCACAAAGTACGGCATCACGCCGTGCTTCATGGCCAAGCCGAAACAGGGCCTGCCTGGGAATAGTGGGCATATGCATGTTTCGATCGTTGATAAGGATGGCAAGAATTTGTTTGCGAGGGAGACCAAGGATGAGAATGCGAAGTGGAGTGATATTGAGAATCTTTCTGATATGGGACGTCATTTCCTCGCTGGTCTCCTCGTCGGTCTTCCTGACATCATGCCCCTTCTCGCACCCACGATCAACTCCTACAAGCGCCTCGTCGAGAACTTCTGGGCTCCAGTTACTGTATCTTGGGGCTTAGAGCACCGCGCTGCCTCAATCCGTCTAATCACACCCAAACCCTCAGCGACACGCTTCGAAGTCCGGGTTCCCGGCGCAGACACAAACCCCCACTTCGTCCTCGCAGCTATTCTTGGCTGCGGATGGCGCGGAGTTGAGAAGAAACTCGAGATTCCTACGCCTCCGCTTGCAATGGGCCAGGATGTCGGTGGTGACGCTGATCCGGGTGAGAGGCTGGCCAAGAGTCTTAAGGAGGCTACAGCGCGCTTCATGGAGAAGGGTAGTATTGCACGAGAAGTATTCGGTGATGACTTTGTGGAGCACTTTGGTGGTACAAGAGAACATGAGGTCCGTCTATATGACGAGGCAGTAACTGATTGGTACGTCCCCACTCTCCCCGTCCCTACTAGTTGACTTGACTGACATTTCACAGGGAAATGAAGCGATACATTGAAACTGTTTGATTTGGATATCTGGAGTTGTTCTGTTCTCTTTTGATCTGTTTTGTATGGGTACATGGGGCGTACTGTGGGCATCTCTGTAGCATAAGATATGCGTGAACTGAGTGCATACCAAGTGAGATGATCAAGTGTCGGGAGTCATCCTGATAGACGAATATACCTTTGACACCTTGCATCTCCTACCTACATCTTCTGGTCGACTCATCCCGGCCTGTAACCGCTAGTACGGTGTTTCATGCCCGTAGACACGTTTCTCTGCCCCGTTCGATGCCTTGTACTGTATCCAAGGCTTGTGGTATCCAACTCCATCTGCCCATTTATGTCCCCAGTAACTTGACTTGACCTCAATCAACTCGGCCAATCTCTTCCATGAACCAATCCATGCCCTATATGTTCCATATGGTATCCATTCCCCATCTTGGGTTATTCTCTTCGAGCTCATTGGTTTGCACCATTCCCTATTCTTCCTGACATCCGCCCCAGACACAATGCCTTTGACGCCGTGATGACCCAAAAACTCCAATATATGCACATCTCTATGCCTATTCCTTAAGAACCTATTTGCCGCTGGCGATTTCCTTTCGAGCCGTGACAAACGTCCTATCAAAATTAGCCACGAACACACACACCAATACCAATGTAAAAAATACTTACACTTTCCCCAAACTGCGTAGCATGGGGTCGTTAATCTCCTCTCTAACACGATCAAGCAGAGCCCGCGTTGCTTTCTCCTCCCACCCTCCGAGTCCGAATAACCTCAACGTCCAATTCTCTATACCTGGTCCAAGTCAGATTAGCGTGTGTGACTTGATGTTTCAGATCGCAAATCACCTACCGCACTCGACCATCTCCGCCAGGGCCTTGCGTTTCTGTTGGGTGACCGGATCACTTCCCCAATTCTGTATCGGTAGCCAATCTACCCGAACTCGGATGAGATCGGCCCCCAGGGTGTTTAAAATTTCAGGGACTCTGGGAATGGGATCGCAGTCGATGCCGAGCTTGATGCACATCTCTTCGAATATCTTCTCGTACTCTTTGCAGGCTGCGCCGACTTCGCCTTTTTCTCCTGATTCGGAATCAACGTGTTCAGGATCGGCGTCGAAGAAATGGGGTCGGATCTCGGCGATTTCTATCTGCCCGCCGGGGTTGAGGTGATCGTAGGCTTCGGCCAACAGAGCGTTCCAGTCACGAACACCGCCACCAGCTAGACTGCGCATGTGTATAAAATCGTATGTACGGTTCGGCCACGTTTCTGTAGCATCGGCGATCTCAAAGGTAACATTCGGAGGGACATCTTCGGGCAACAATGCGCTGCTCAAGTCGATACCGAGTATGTTGGTCTGGGGATACCGCTTCGCCATGTCGCAAGCCCATATTCCCGTACCAGCACCAACATCCAGGATCTCCATCGGATCCTCGGGAGTATATTGATCAAGCGGTAATTTCGAATCGGCAAGGTTACCGTCAAGACACAATTGGTAAAGCTCATGCTGGACCGTCAAGCGATGCGCTTCAGAAGCATCGTTCGGCGTGAGGAGCTGGCCAGACCCGTGGTAGGTATGTCCGTATTCGCGAATCAGGGGAAGGGTGTCTTCGGAAATAGTCGAGTAATTGGACGTCGTATCGCTATAATCGTCATCGTCCTCAGCAGGACTCACATCATCCACCGTGAGGCGATTCATCCTATGTAGCCCATCGTTTGATTGTGCCATATCGCTCTTTGAAGTCGCTGAAGAAGCTGTAATGGAAGAACGATCCGGATCGTAGCGCGACATTTGATGAGAGCTCGGTAGAAGGATCGACAAGGGGATATTAAAGCGAGATCAAGTTGGGGGCCGCCAGCTGTTTATGTACTTTGAAGAGAAAAAAGAAGATGGTATCGTGAGTTTGTTTATTAATACTGGAATATAGAAAAGGCATCGAGAACGCGTAAGGAAATATGTCTTCGACGAACATCCATGGCCAAAAGAGAGTGGGAAAGGAAGAAAGAGAGGGATTAAAGAAGGAGGGGATGAGGAGGAGAAAAGAGAAAAGGAAGACGAGAAGAGATGGAATTGATTCAGGTCGAATACGGATAGGCACAGTACAGACAAGAAGTCACAGCACAGCACAACTCCTCAGTTGAGTTGGGTTGTGTTGTGTTGGCTGGAGAGGGAAAAAGAGTGGTTACCTCTACCTTGCAAAGTGGAGGAGCTTCACAAGGTAGGGTCCGGGATTGTATCTCCCTGGCAGATGATTCAAGTCAGGGCAATTTGCATACCAAACCCAGCTATAACATGGCCGCTATGGCACGGCTAGTCTAGCGTACCTAGCCTCGATACTCTAAGTCAAGCCAAGTCAAGCCAGCTGCTACACAATAATACAAGCCATATCCGTATCTCAACTCAAACTAGGTAGGGACAGAATGAAACTAGAAGCTTTCCAACCTTCCAAATACTTTTTTACCTTTCAGCCATCGCCTTCGCCGTCCCCGTAAGCCTCAATCTTTTAACAATAGAAACACAAATTCATCATCATTCCACTACAGCACCTCAATGAACCCCCCCCCTCTCTGTTAAACCCCTCTGTAAGAAACATCGGCAAGTCTGGGGAAGTAAAGTTAACCGATACATATCGGCCAATTCAACAACAAAAAAAAAAAAAAACCGCGGCCCGTTCTCAAAAGCTAAGCTACCCTAGCTCCCCATTGGCCCAGACCCTTTTCACTGGCAAGATTGAGATCCGGTATCTCAACAGCGGGATTGGATGGTTGCTGGGCGCTTAGGGTGAAAGGTATAATCACGGTATGCATGAGATGACGCATCCTGATGATATGACAACTATGTACTCATTCTACTGTGGTGAACCAACACTTAACTTTATCCCTCCTGCTAATCTCTTGATCTTCTCTAAGCGATGTCTGTCTCATTCCCACCACCTTCCCCCCTGACCCTGTACGGCCTCTCTTTTCCGCCCTGTCGAGGAGAAGCAAGAAGCCTCGATCCTAAGGGACAAAAATACCCAAGTAAATCACCATCAGCTTCGGAAGGCTCTGTGATGAGCTTATTTTGGCATCCTGCGTCAAGGCCTTGCTCCCTGGGGCCTGTCTACCACGAGGTTGCCTTGCCCTGCCTTGCCCGGTAGTTCAATCTCCTCTTTGCCTTGAACTCTCTTTTACGCTCATGTAACCCTGACATGGTCTCTCCCCTCTGGCCCTTGAAGAATATCATTTTTTTGCACGTCACGTCACCGGACCCTGTTTTCCGTTCCCCGGGTGGACCACGAAAGCACCTCGTGGCCCCCTTGTCTGTCATGTTCTAGACCACGTCAAGGCAAAAACGTGGCTGTCTATTCCAGATATCGATCATCATAAGAGATTCTTATTTACATGGGTCATCCAGGTTCGCAATGAGTTGAAATCTCGCCTCGTTTGGAGGTCATGATGATCAAAAGTTAAGACATGAATTTGTGAACATTTTCATGCATTCCCTCGATTCAGTGGATCACATGTCATGGTGCGGCACAGCGGAAGCGGAAGCGGAACGGCTCGAGGGAACCATTGCATCTCATGTCATGTCATGTCGTGTCCGATAAGGTATGTACATACGTGTGTGATGCGATGTGATGTATTTCTGAGTCAATGGACGAGACAATTTCTTGCATTAAGCTATTCCCAAATACAACTATCTCGCCGAGATAGAGGTATCTGCTATTCAATGTCCTTGGCAACAAGTAATTGCCACTCACTCCCAAGACTCATCTCGCTACAATAACTCGATCCCAACCCACTCGATAAAGTCCCAAGTACTGATGTTGTTCCACACTAAAAAGACGTCCCAAATAAAATAAAATAAAAAGGTCTCAAAGATGAAGCAGAAGTAGAAAGTTGAAGTGTGACCTGATAGAGAAGAACGCCGATGCTATGACGCAACTGACAAGGCGCAACAAATGAGGGCTCAACCAGACATCCATGATGGTAGACGTGTAAACAAGACATGCCACAAGACACACTGTAAGAACACATGCCTGCAATGAGCAAAGTATGCTGCAAAGACACGCTGTAACAACGCGTGCTGCGAGACATGCCAATTGGCCTGATAGCCAAGACCATCATCGTCCGAGACCCAGTTTCCTTCGGATGTATGCCTTTTTTTTCCTTTTGTTGCCTGTCTTGAAACTGGCTCGAGAAAAGAGCCCACAAATTGCCGCCCATTTCCAGTATCCTAAATGCTTGGTCCGGTCCGGTCCCCATTACTTTCAAGGATTCCTTCTCTTGCGTAAACCTCGTGGTATCCATGCAGCCATGCTCAACGTAGGCTCCCTCGTGATGCCCATCGTCAGAAACAAGGGCTTCTCTCATGTCGCTTCGTGATAATCCATATTCAGACCTGGACACCATCAATGATGATGCAGGCAATCGTCTCGTACTCACTCTCCACCAACATAATCGTGCACACCAAACAGACTCGCCGCCTTATTGTCCTCGTCCATTAAAGAATGCAGAAATAAAAAAGGATCTTCACTAAGCATCGCTAGCCTGCCCAACCACCAAATGAATAATCCCCCTTCACTCCGGGCTCAGCGTCGTGTACATCCCCATATCCTTTGCTCAATTCTGATCGTTGTCTCTCCCTGCCAATGCTGATTGCGTCTTTTCTCGTTCAGTTCTGATTGCGAACCAGACTTATCGTCGTTCTCAAATGCCGTCATCTAGTAATATTCATGGCCGTCGTTTCTTAGTAAAGCCGACAATGCCTTGGCCGTGTTCGTGTGAAAAGTCGTCGCACTAGGCAGATTCCTTTTTCGGCTTGCGTTTACTCCCGACTCTCCCATCCGTGTGCTCGTCGTCGGGATTCCACTCCTCGGGGTGAAAGTTGGGGTTGCAGTAGTGGGCTCGGTTCCAAATACTGTTCTTAAACGTGTTGGTCGTCACTTGATACGTCGATTCCGGAAAGTTGTTCTTGCCCTCGTCATAGTCGAGCTGAACAGGACTGAATCGGATGTGGTAGCTTGAAGCGCCTCGCATGGGGAGCGAATTCTGAGGTCCTGGGCCAGGCGCAGGTAGCATCGCTGGACTTGGCGCAATCGCAGAACTTCCCGATATCGAGGCCGGTGGGGTTGGGGGTTGAGGAGATGCCATGATGGGTGGTGGCTGCGGTGGCGCTACTCTCGGTGTCGTAGCAGGCAAAGGTTCGGGGAAAGATGAGATCCATGGGCTCTGTTGCACAGGCGAGAATTGTTCTGGCGCCGAACTGGCTTGAGGTGGTGCGAGCTGCGCAAGCCCTCCCATTGTGCTACTGAAGCCCGGGATGATAGACAACGCATCAAAGTTCATGGTCGAATACTGTCCGAGATCCGCTTGGTCGGTTGTGATGGTAGTGTTGTGGGTGAAGCCGCTGACACGAAGCACCTGCATGGTGGATGCTTTGTACAGGATGTCGTAGTGGTCGGGTCGGTAGAGCAGATAGATAATGGGGCCAAGTGTGCTGGCGTCTTGGGTGTTGAGTTCATCGGGCACACGGTATTGGTTGACTTGAGTACCTGCACTGCGGTCGAGGTACGCAATCTCAAGTACTAAGTTGGCAGGTCTGAGGAGGACTTCGGCCAAGGCGGACATACCGAGGTGCTCGATCTCGCGGTTGGGAATCTCGACGCATTGCCGGCAGTGAGCTTCAACACCACCTCCGTCCGTCACGAAAGGATCGTACTTGGCAGCATTGAGCTTGAGGTATGTCCCTGTAAGTAGGCGAAGGTAGTAAATGATGTTACTCGACACAACAGGGTCGTTCCACTTGGCTTGGATCAATGAATGCGCGTACTGGGGGTTGGCGACATTCTGAGCGACTTCGCGCAAGAAGTCAAACATTTCATCTGACCAGTCGTCGTAGAATGGATAGCCACCAACCGAGCCCAGCAAATGGTTCATGCTCATAAGACGTGCCACCTCGCCCTCGATCTTGGCCTGGTCCCCCGACTCAACAAGTTTCTCGAAGTAGCTGAAGCCAATTGCTATTGGTGAGAAAGTTAGCGCAAGTTCGACATGTCACAAAAGTTGCCGAGACATGGGCAGTAAGTAAGCAAGCAAGGTAACGTCAAGCATGCCAAACATGTTTCATAAGAGGCGAAGAGAGTCGCGGGATAAGAAGCGGGGAGTTATAGACATACCTCGCCATCCACAGTTACCGTCGCCTTGAATGGGGCGGAAGTGTGAGTAGGTTTGGGGGAGAGACTGGATCATGCGATGTTAGCGACAAGCGACAAACAGCCAACATCAACAGAAATGAAACGTACGATTGTCTTTTCGACATAGACAGGATCGGCTTTGGCATACTCGTGGGTGATGACATCGCTCGAGACTTTGTTCCCTACTGCGAGACCCTGCGAGACCGGAGGTTAGCGACGGACGACGTGAAGCAAGCAAATGACGCGCGAGCTAGAAGCGCCGGGTGAAATGGGTGCGATATACCTCAAGAACAGGTTGATAATCCTCTGCAGCAGCCTGCTGCGCGGCCATATCGTGTTGGCCTTGATCCTCCATCTTGAGCACAACAGGAGGTTGTGTTGCGTACTGCGTCTGCTGTAGAATGTCAAGCTGCTGCTGCTGCTGTTGATGATGGTGGCTTTGCGACGGTTGCGCTAGAGTTGGCGAGGAAGAAGCTTTGGAGGTGGAGTTTTGTGAAGAGGAATAGGGCGATACAGATGGCGCGGCTGCAGTGGGGGAAGAAGAGAGGTGCTGCTGTCGAGGAATTTGTTGTTGCTGCTGCTGCTGAACAAGACGCGGTTGTCGCTGTTGCTGTGTTTGCGATTGAAGTGCATGCGACTGGGGAAGCTGTGATGATGGTGCAGGCGGGTTGTTGTAGAAGCCAGCACCTCCACCTCCAGCAGACACGGGAAAGCCAAAGTCCAGGTCTGAAGCTAGGCCATAGGACGCGAAGCTGGAGGAGGCGAAAGGTGTGGGCTGAGGCTGGAACATGCCTCTGAGGGAGAGGGAGAGAGAGAGAGAGAGGAGAAGAGAAGGTAACAAAATAGAGGGTGAGTGAGCAACTAAAATCAAGGCAGAGAGTGATTCAATGCGAGGTGATAAACGGTGTTGGTGGATGAACGAACGAGAAAAAAGAGGTGCACTTTCAGCTAGAAAATTGACCTTCTCTCACTGGACTTGCTTGTCATGCAAAAGTCACTCACACACTCTCTCTCACACACATGAAAGACAAACAGACAGACAGATCATCAACTCAACTCATCACATTCAATCAAAAGAGAGGAACGGGATGGGGGAGGGAATGGAACGGGAGGAGAAGGATGGCGTTTTTAGGTAGTGCCAAAAGCTAATGGAGAGAGAGAGAGAGAGCATCTGCCAGGCCAGGCCAGGACCAGGACAGGGAATACCTAGAGCAAGGTACAGTACAGTATCCGTACTTTAGCAGGCGGACAAGCCACCCGTCGGATACTGATACATAAAAATGAACTTGGATGCGAAGTGGTCTGTTCCATTCAGAGTGCCCCGGGTACCATCTCGCGCTGTCAAATGCCCTGTGGATCAGAAGACGGACACCGACGTACGTTTTTCCTTCCCTTCCTCGGTAGCCGTAGGTTACAGCACGGTTCGAAAGCAAAAGCAGCCTGGGGGGTCACAGCAGGGATTGAGACAGGGGTTCAGGGCCAGGCCAGGCCAGGGCTAGGGATTTAGGGATAATCCACGCGCGAGCGGGTTCGATTAGCCTAGCGTGAGCATGAGCATGAGTGAGAGCGACGGGTGCACGTTCTGACGGGAACTGTACCCCTAGCTTGACACTTGGACCTCGGGAGGGCCAAGTTTGAGTCTTTTCTGACGAGAGGGGCTGTTTTTTGCACAGCGGGGTCTAGGTTTGCGGCACGGCACGGTTGAGATGAGAGGAGCAACGGTTTGATAATTAACAGGGAGATTGAAATCGTTTGAGGGGGAAACAAAGAGAAAAGAAAGCGCTAAGAATTAAATCCCCGGGAGTCTATCTGGCTTCGATGCAACCTGAACCTGGATAATGCACGACGTAAAAAAGTATCAATCAGGCTACCAGAGGTTGTTGACAAGTGAGGGCGGCTAGCAGAGTGTAGTGACGGGAATGGAGTGCAGCGAGGGTGCCAAGTTCTAGTGTGGGTGACACAGAGGCGAGGCTAGTTTCTTGTGCTTCTGTGGGAGGGTTGGACAACGAAAGCTAAGCTAATACTTGACTTGAGCCAAGACTCTTGTTGTAAGCACGATCAATGTGATACAAGAGGGGGGTAGAATGTTGAATGTCAACCTACTAGGCAGGTAAGCTCAAGCTTGTGAGTGTATGTACATATGATCCTTTCACCTGAAAAAGGCTAATCCATCCATGGTACGTCAGCTTCTTATTATCCAGAACAAGCGGTATCAAAAGTTCTCAATCACTTGCTAGACGAGAGACCTCGTGGCAGCATGATACATCAACACGCTGCACCTGAACCTGGGCCTGGGTGTTATAAAAGATTAGTAGGTTACAGTAACTCCAAGACTCCACTGGTGGCAGGGATTGGGGCCTTTCAACAACTCCATGACGATCTCCCGCTGACGATGGCCCTGTCAACTCTTCACAAGCAAGTTTATGATCGAAAGCTGAAAGATGCAAATGAATGAAATGATGCGCCGTTGTGCGGCACGGCATGCGAGTGAAAGTTCCCATTAGTCTGTTAACCATGACGGCTAGAGCGCTTGTGGTGTAAAAACGATGGGTGAGATAGCATGGAAGCGTAGTGGAGGTAGAGAGTCAAGATCGATTCGTGGTCGGGTGATTTGATTAGTTTCAACCGGGCGTGTTGTGAGCGAGAGTAATCGTAGAGCAGCCAATGTGAGAAGCAGATATCATAAGAATCCTTATGAAAGGCGTTATAGAATTATGTCTGAGGTGTATGATAATACGGCCAGGTACGAAGATGAACGCCCAGACGATGACAATGTGCCGCATCACTTGGCGTACCTGTCTGTGCCTCATTTCTATGGAACCTTCATTTATGGGAACACTCTCACCCAGCATCTAATCACATTTGTCCCTGCGATATTTTAACTTTTACGATCTTCATGTTAACGACCGTTTTTTCACACATCCCCCGATCCAATCTTGTGGGGAGCAAGCAAGCAAGCCAATACAAAAAGCCAGCTAAGGAAAAGCCAAGCCCTGGAACACGATCCCGCTTCTCCCCGGGAACGGGGTAAAAAGAAAATATGATACGATGCGATGCTTTCTTTTTCTTTTGAGCTGTCAAACAACCATGTGTTTGTAGTATTGTTGTATATCTCAAATGCCAGCGGATAGAACAGCACACATCGCCTACGTAGATTGGTTGCGGAAGACGGGCCGTACGCGGACGGGAACGGGAAGCTTAACGTCAGGGAAAGCAGAAACTCTCCGCGGAAGAGTGTGTTTACGTTGTTTACGACGGCAAGGTCAAATCTTGAGGTGTTTGTCGAATGAGTGAAGTAATATCTCATGCATGGAACTTGCTACAGAGTTTTTCTCGACGTGTTAGAGAATGTCACTTGTCTTTGTCAAAGTGGCGATGAGAGAGCTGCGAAAGTGTGTGCCTGGACCCCTGTTATTTTGATGAGGGTGGCTTGGGGGGGTGACTGTCGACTAACCAGAGCAGGCCCCCATATCAATGACCACTACAGCGAGTGAGTGAGTGAGTGATCTGCTTGTGGGTGAGCCCAAGAGCGAACTACTGCCAGGTCCCTTTGTCTAGTATAGTAGATACAAATCTGCTCTAGTCGAGCAAAGGAAAGTCAAAAAAAGCCGAGTACTGCAATCAAAATCTCAAATCTCAAAGACCTAGCGGTGATGGTGGTGCGCACGGTCCCTCAGGAATCGAAGCTATCAATTGGTTCATGTAACCCCCAGAGACATCGTCGGGCCAAACAATGGACGGTGATTATGCAGCATGTGCTGGGATCTTTGCTTGACCTTCTCGATGTGAACACGGCAATTGAGCTGAAGACACTGACAGAGGTAGATGATTTTACATACTGAGGAGGTATATATCTCGGTATCATATGAAAATAAAATATCGGATGTCGCTTCCGATGCGTGCTAACGAAAGTGTCTTGACGCTAGCTCAGCGCGATCAAATAAGCCACGATCTGACAGTCTCGACTCAAACCGCACTCTAAATCCACATCACATACCGAATCAAAAGACCAAGTCACATATCACGATCCATCAAATCAAGACTCAGAATAAAAAAAGCAATTCTCAAAATCCTTCCCGTGTTTTTCAACACCGGGTCCACGGTCCTCGCGCAGTATCCGCGCCTCCCTCCCGCCTCCAACACTCGCAATTCACCTGTGATTCAGCGGCAAGCAACTAAGCAAACAGAAACACTTCCACCATACAGACACTTTCAACTTGTAAATGCCTCTCTGCACACCTCGCAAGGTCAACCAGCAACGGCCCGATGTACCATCACGGCGCCGCTCCGGTTGCTCTGTGCTTCCTATATCTTGCTGTACGAGTTTTTGATCAGAGAAAAATATCTCGTATTGTATCTCCCCGATCTAGATGTGTCTACCGTTGAATTCGGAAGGTTGGACACGTTCCGTTATGCAGCTATCCGTGACGATTCAGCATCATGACCATACCTTGCGGCCTCACTTCACACTTCACTTCCATGTGTGTTACACTCCCCCCCAACGGCATCTAACGGGAAGTCTCTTGTTAGAAATTTTCTTTTGAGAAGCAAACAGTGAAATCCTTGTGGGCCAAGACAGATCAGCCGCAACCTGTGAAATGATAAGCCGCTTTGCCCCTCGCAGCTCCCCAAGTCCCGTCTTGTGTAGCCACTCGACGTTGCATCGCTTGTCTAATGATGGTCAGCGATCTTAGCTTGGTCTTGTTTTTTATTTTATTTTGCCTCTACTGCATCATAGACTAGGTAGCCTTGGAATTAGATCAGCGCAGCAGGCTTACATATGTCAAGACTAAAAGTCAGGTGAGGCAAAGGATGCCTGCACAACTGCCGAACATCAGGCTGTCGATTACTACCGAGACATCAGGCTATGGGCATCTGACTATGAGGTCGTTGTTTATATTGAATAACATTACTCGTCACTCGCTTTTGCTACACGAGACATGGGGATCAAGACCGAATACGGCGTCACTTCGGCCCTCGTCCCTTCTGCACATCTTTCTCGTCATCCCTCCCTGAAACAACTGGTCCGTAGTCGATGCCGCTACCCGTCTGGTGCGACGAGGAATCACCGTTGCCAGTGGCCTCGTACTATGCGAGATCCCGTCGAAGCATCTCCAAACGCGGATGCACCCGCAGGAAAACTGCAATAGCATCTTACTTTCTCGATCCAGCAAAAAGACCTGGGGGTTGAAACAGGAAACAACAACAAAGAGGTTTTCCTGGTCTGCGGATATCCCCGGGGCTATGTTAACGATCATACAGTAGAATTCATTCCCTGGCCGCTCTCTCAGGCCCATGGCGCCGCAGCCAACTTTCCCTTCTTCCCGCGATGTTGGGCTGCCGCCCTATGGCTTCCCTTCCCCAATGGAATGCCTGACACGTCCATTATTTGCTCGTCCGCTGCGGAATGCTCACTGTTACGGAATCCATCTCCGTCTCTGAAAATAGCACCAAACAGCTCCGAAATAGACGACGTGAGTCCCTGGAGAGCTGCTATGCGCTCGGTGTCTGCGTCAGAGGTGATCTGCAGGAGACCCTCTTGTTGGTTGACTCGACCGTTGATCTTGCCGTCAATGATCAAGAAGCCCAGAATATCTTGTACTTCGGGCTCGGAGATCTTGAGCTGCTTGGCGATCCAAGATAGCTTCATGCGTGTGTAAGGAGCGATGAGCTTTACAACACCCTTGGTTCGCATGTTTCGCGTGACTTCATCGATGTTCTCGGCAATGAATGGATCATCTAGGATGTCCTGGTTACGCTGCAGGACCTTCTCGTACGCGTGTACATCATCCCGCTGGTAAGCGTCGACAAGATCTGTCATGGCGGAGATTCGTGGATCTGTCTTGTAGGGCTTGGTCTCCTGCGAATCGAAAGGGTTGATGTCGGACTTCATCAACATGGTCGTCAATAGCAGATACTTGAGAACCTGGATTCGCTGGAGAGAACCTGCTTCGTCGTAGTTACGGAACGATTCGAAAAAGTCGCTCTGAGCTTCCTTCCAGTTCTCTTCGCTCATGTGCATCTTTCCACCACACTCTCTGATGATGCCCATGATTCTGGGATGTGGTACCGCGGATTTGACTTTGAGAGCTCTTTGATACAGGGCCTTGAGTTGCTTATTGTTCTTGGTCTCTGCAAACATTTGGATCTCAAGTGCGTAAATCTCGAGTGAATATGTGCCCTTGCTAGGGTCGTCGGTTCCATCTTCTTGCTGACAGGTCTTGTGGAGCTCTCGGAGCTTCTTTGACACGGCGCCGTACTCCTTTCGGTCGAGAAGTAACTTTGCCAGCTTGATGTTGGTCTTGAGCCACAGGCGCTCGTTGTTGGTGCTCTGGAAGCTCTGCAGCGTGAGGGAGTAGAATTGCTCCATACACTTCACTGCCTCTGGGCCATCCGCTCCCTTTTCGATGTAGTCGAGCATGTTGTTGATGGACTTCTCGGAGTAGTTGCGCGTAACGGCCGACTTGACGTAGGTGAGGAGTTCAGCGTAATGTTCAGCAGCCTACTCTTGTCAGCAATATCCTTAATTTGGCCAGCGAAAAGTTCTACCTTGTCATATTGGCCCAGCTTGAACTCGAGCTTTATGGCCTGCTTCACGCCTTTGAAGCCCCATTCTCCTTTCTCTTCTTCGAGTGGCGGAATGCCCAGGAATTCTGCGATCGCATCTTCGGGGTCTGACAGCTTGAGTTGCTTGGCGTTGTAGTATTTGTTTTCGATATCGACATCGGCGGTCTCTTCGTCATCGTCTTCTTCGTACTCGAAGTCGTACCTGGGCGTAATTAGTGATGCACTGCGTATGCGCGGCTGAGCTTGCGTACTGCTCCTCATCCGACTCCTGCATGAAATCCTCGTCGTCCGACATGGTGAAGGAGGTGTGGTCAAGCGATCAAACAATATTATCTGTTAAAATTGGGACGCAAAAAGGCTTAGTCGGGTCGGAAGCTTGAGGGATGTCAGACAGAGTAATTATTGAGGTAGATGAATGATGAATGTTGATTGAAGGTTAACTTCCAGAAGCTGGGGTGGAGCAGGCAACCGCGGGGCCGCTTATCGATAAGGTGGAGCTTCAGTGCAACACCAAGGCTTGCCTCGCAGTGAGATACATGTGCAATTATCAAATACTTAACAATTACTTGCTTATATATTGCAATGTCTAAAGGATTCTAAATAACAAATGAAACATCACAAGATCGCGTAACTCCAGACTCCCTTGTTGTCTCGTGTATCCCAGCGAGCGCTGAGCTCAACCCTCGTGGGCTTGCGCAATACCAGAAGTTGGTAGCTTCACTATAAACAGCATTACAGCTGTCGCCATCGCCATGAGACTGGTCACCAAAAACGGCAACCCCATCCACTGACCACCCAACTCAAAACCGCGACCCAAGAGCCAGCTCATTGCGGGCGCAGTCAACCCCATGATGACTTCAATAAGAGAGATGGTGGTGTTCAAGGTAGCGATGGTATGCGGTTCAACCAGAGCATTGATCAAGGCTCTGCTGAGCGCCACGAAAGAGTTTCCGACACTGACAGTGATGAGGGAAATGACAAACAGCCATGGGACTGAAGCAAGACCCATCAGCAAACATCCGGATGCCATGATTGTGATGGCGATGCGCGCAAGGAGTAAATCTCTAGCAACGGGGCGTGATTTGTAACGACGACTCTTGTTGAGGAAGTCGGATGTCACGGGGAGAATTATGAGGTAGCACACCACTGTTGCTACAATGCCAATTGTCGAGATGTATGTTGCCTGTCGAAATGTTAGGGGATGGAACGTAGTGTTGATGAAGAGACTGACCTTTGACCATGACCAATCGAAGCGTTTGCTCATGTACTGCAACAACACTCCCGTAAGTACAGTCCGGACCGGGAAGAAGAATGCAATAGCTAGCATGAGCATCATAATGCTCTTTGACGCGAAGATGAAGCGCCAAACATGCTGCATGTCATTCTGGATACTGAACCAAGCCTGTTTCAACACATTATGCTTGCTCAAAGAAACACCATGAAGTTGTTCATTCTCATGCTCTTCATTGTGTCTCTTATCATCCTTGCGTCGAAGATGCATTGTCTCAGGGATGAGAAGAATGCACATCGTTCCGAAGACCATGAAGCCAAAGCCAATCCACATGGACAACCAGGGGTCGAATTGGAGGAGCCATGCCGAAATCGGATTGAAGATGACGTTGAAGATTAAGACTAGAGCGACGAGACGGAAGAACATGTCTGTTCGTTTGGAGACAGGGACGACGTCGGCGACGATGGTGTAGACCATCGCAACGGCCATTTGACCTCCGCCACCGATGAGGAAAAAGATACTTCCACCGAGGATTGCCCAGATGGAGAATATGTTTGGGAATGATACTGATATAGTGAGTATGAGTCACAACACGGGACAAATGAGCACTTACAGACTAACAAGAGCCAAGCTGTTGAAAGACAGCATCCGAGCATTGCCAGAAACAGAACAAGCCGTCTTCCATATTTATCAGCAACGATACCATATGGGAACTGCGTTAAGATTGCTAGCGCATGTAAGCGAATATCCTTCAATATTACTTGATTCACTTACGGACTCCCATCTCGAAGGCCTGCTCCCATCCCTGGACCATAGCCAGAGTCTTCTGAACAGGACTATCTTTGCAGCGATAGTCGTCTGTATCGAATGCGCCGATTAGATGATCGGGATAGTGCTGTCGACAGATAATATCCTCGGCGATCTTTTTGGTCGGAGGATTCATGATGAACTGGCTCACTTCGACCATGAGAAGAGCCAGCATGCCCATAGCCAAAGCGCGTCGTCTCAGCGATTTCGACGGCTCATCATCTTCCTCTCTGCCACTTGGCAACAAAGGCGACTGTTCCGTCGGCCCTTCATCCCTCTCAATCCCATGATTGCTCTCAACATCCGTGTCATAGACGTTATCGTCCGTAAGTTTCGTTTGCGCCGCCATGTTTCACGACGCGCTAAAAGTACTTCAAGGAGTGAATACCGCGACCCTTGAGAAATCGCAGGTCAGACCAGAGTATTATAACATATTAAGAAAGAATGACGATGATAAGAGAAAAGGGAAAAGGAAACGCGCCATCACAGGATTCAAGTTTAGGTTGTCCCTGGAACTTTTGCGACAAATCGTTGCAAGGTAATTGGTCCAGAACACGGTGACGTCTTTGCTGACCTGGAGAGATTACTCCGCCTTATCGTGGCGCTGACCAATGAGATGTTGGCCCTGAAACAAGTTGGCTTAATTGAGGCGGACACGCAAGCAATACCACGAGGTGCTTACGACTGTCCTTTGCAAGCAGAGATTAGATTGGGGTTAAGGTTCTTTGATAGGAAGGTCCTAACCCAATTCGCAGAGATTATGGCCACGTCTTGTTGAGTGCAAACGTATGTCCTACGATTGCTTACTCTGCGTCCCCAGATGTGGCAATACAGCCAGTTTGACGACAAATGCGGGGAGACTCGGCCGAGGGTGTCCGGGGGCTTGGATCGGCGATCTGATGGCATTACTGGGTCTCGGTCCGGAGCGGATCCCGTGGACACCGTTGACGGGCCCGACGCGGTCGGTAGCCCACTTGGTTCAGCCTGATAAGGCGGCGTCGAGGTTCATAGGGCAGTTCCTGCGACTTTACGAATACTCTATATTCGGACTGTCAATACATGCGTGGATCTTGATCAGTAGATGGTTGGCTACTGCATATTGGCCCCGATCTCTGGCCTCGATCTCAAGATTCAACGCCAGTCGCGATATCAAGAGAACGATAGCGTGGATGTCAGTCTTCGCAATGGCAGACTGTTTCCAGATACCGTGTCTTGCCATTGTGCTGAAGCAAGAGGTCGCATTGCCCTCTTGCGTTGCAGAAAATGATCCTGGTCAGGGCGCTAACCACCTGCAATATCCACCACCAGCCAGGCATTGAATGAAAACATTGCTTCCTCGACTTCACCGAACTTCAGGCAGGCTCCTTCGCCCGCCGATCCATCTAGATTGGACCAATGGCTGCCAAAGATCCAGAGTTTCAGATTCAATGTCTTGATCTCATTCGTGGGATCAAAGCCGCGCATGAGAAGCAGAATGATCTCCTTGAGAAATTGGTGACGCTCATGGCTGCTCCTACAATTGAGCTCAAGCCAGCACATCAATGCGAAGAGTATAACGATAAAGCCACTGGTGAACCTCTTGTGCAGGATGACGAAGTCAAGTTCGAGAAAGTAGTGTCATCAAATGATCTCAGCCTTGCAGCGCAACAAGATACAAACTTGGACAGCATCCTCCGCTTCGCATCCCATTCTTACAAGAAAAGGCTACAGCTCTTTGAAACTGGTCAAGATGGTCCACAGCCATTCCTCCTCAGTTCTCAACTACCTCCCTCACAATCTTCGTACACACTACCCCAGCAGTTAGAGTACATTCCGCGACCCCCAGAGGATGGAGACGTCGTTGTCAATGCCACTCAAACTTGGAACTACTGTATGTGACCTTGTGCATTACCACGTCCTAATTGACAATTCGTTTGAACAGGGTATCCACGCGATTGGGAGACACATTGGTCCAGAAATAAATCCATCAGCCCGGTACCAGACTTCATGCCGCCATGGCAACTTACCCGCGGAGAAAATGAGAAGTGGTATCACATCGACGACATAGACTTGGAGTTTCCCCTGACCGCACCAGATACACTACCACCAGTGGTCGGAACATACTTCGAAGTCCCTTACTCTTTCTTTCCGGGACTGCGTAATCTGAACATGGCTTACACGCGCCGTCAAGGTATCACGTATGGTGGCTCGGGTGACTACTTGATCGAGACTGCGCTTACCGAAGCACATCGATACAAGATTCGTCAGTCCCTTGGGGACTTTTACGCTGTGCCTCAGGATGGTCGACTTCCTCTATCGTTTCATACGAGCGAACTTCGCATGCAAGTTCGTCATCGACGGACTCGTAATGATATCGATCGCAGTCTTAATAAATATCTCGAGCCCACGCGTGAGCTACTTAGTAAGCTTCATTGGTTTACTATCATTGACCTCACAGCACCCGGGGGCTCTCAAAACGCGGTATATAGTCTGCGAACCAAATCATCACTGTTCCAACATGATTCACTGCCATCTCGTGTTGAGGGGCCGCCTTGTTGGGAGATGATCCAACCGGCGCTTCAAAGAGAGGGGAATGGGTTTGTGTCATACCCATCAGTCATACAAGATCATCCAACTCAGCCGATCCATCGCGAAGGCAGATGGTGTCGCGTCATTCAGCTTGACGGCCTTGCAAACATCACTGCTGGTCTTATGGAGGAAAAGTGCACCCGGTATAACTCGATGACCGTCTGGAAGCTTCTCTTCCAAGATAACCAGCTGAATTCAAGTAAGGGCCGTGCATTTCGTGCCACGATGAATCAGCATCTACTCTGCAGGCCGTCTGCAAAGTACCTGCACGGCTCCGAAAACGTCCCGTGGAGGTCATTTCACATTTCGTGGTATCAGCTCTGTACACAGCCCACCGATGCGGCTGTCAAGCAATCGACCTGGAACTACGGGCGTCTTTACGGAGAAAAAGGGCCGTATATCAAACAACAGGCTTTTACTTTGGGGTGTGCTTATCAAGAGCTTCACGGGTCTGGTGCTAAGCGTGACTCTTTCTGGACAGTCTTGGTCATGAAGCCGTCTGCTGCTGATTTTGATCCATATGATGTCCATAAAGTCCCACGTCGAACATACCCGCCCCAGAGTGATGGGCGCCAATATCGTTCAGAAGATATCATCCTCGATGCTATCCGAACGAGTCTACAAAAAGCAGCTAATGCATGGAGTCGAATGCAAGTAGCCCTTGACGCAATCGTCGATTATGATCCTCTATTTCTCGACCCCGTTCAGCATGACAATCTCTTATTTGACGACGATACGTTCTCAAGATCGAGGCAATACTTTTGGATCGTCAGTTGCCTTGAGTCTTTTCTTATTCTTATCGATGACGCTATAGAGGAATGGAGGAGGTTTCGTGCAGATTGGCCTCATATGATTATAGAGATTGATCCAGCGGAAGAGTCACGAACGGAAGAAACACCGGAGGCGTTGACGCGAAGAGTTGTGGGTGAGATTGAGGCGCAGGTCGATCGATTGAGGATCATATCTGCTCGTTTTGAGGCAAGCCGTGACAAGACTAAAGCTCTCAGAGAAGGCGTACGTATCCCTCAGCCGCTACGCTCTACGTACTAACGTATCTCGCACAGCTCTTCAGCGCCAGCGGAGTAATCGAAAGTCGTGTCTCAACTCGTCTCGGCGAGAACGTGAAACTCCTTACATACGTCAGCATCTTCTACCTACCACTAAGTTTCTGCGTCGCTCTCTGGAGTATAAACGAAGGCTATCCCCGACCAATGCTAGCCTTAACATCAGTTCTTGTCGCAGCTGTGACGTTCATCGTCGTAGCTAACATGAGAAACATGGCTTCCGTATGTGCTGTCGCATATCGCGGTGTTAAAAGACGAATTGTGAGACGAATGCATGGGAGTGAGGACGAGAAATGGGTTAAGAGAGCAACGGCTTTTGAGAGCTATAGACCAGAGCGGATGGAGGTTGAACCGTCGGAGTGGTATATATTATACTTCTTCATATACTCCATGTTCAGCCAGGCAGCTTCATGGATGAAGAAGCAGAGACGGAAATTGAGGAATTTGTTTCGTTCGTCAGAGAGAGAAACAACTCCTGTCAAACAGAGTCCAGTGGTGGGAAGTGAGCCATGGGCAACTCCAAGTTCGTGGTGAGCTGGCAAGGTGAGGCACGAAAGCTTAGGACCTCTATCCTAAGAAATAAAAAGACTTAGGTAAAGTTGGTATAGATTTAATAGATCTTAGGCTAGATATTTCTGACACCTTAGTTTGATCAACACCAAAAGTTTTCTTGCTCCCTGGAGGTTAGACCTCTCTCCGCATCTGTAGGACGTCAAGATCTTTCTGGAAAAGGTTTTCCCTTATCCTTGTTTCATATTGTCAACACAGCCTCGAAGGAGTGAGATGCACTGCCTTTTCATGGTTCATTTCCATGAATCAACTGCGATCGGCTTCTGCGAATCCTCCGGAGCAGCCGTGTTTGGTCGATTAGAGAATCTCGAGCTTTAAGGATTTCTTTCGCTTGGTCTTGGACAAAGCCACGGCATTTCAACATTTGACTCCAAATCAGAATGCCTCACAGGGCTGATTTCCGGATCACCGTTGTTGAAACATTAGTGCTATCTTTATCCAAGAAACTTCTGTTTCAGTCTTGGAAGTTCTCAGCGATGGATTCTTCATCTCAATGCAAATGGCGACACCAAGCCTGACCTCGGACTGCTATCCCGCTCAGCCCAGCCCCCAAACCCACCTTCAATCCATCCATGATCATCAACAAGATCTACCAATCACACAAACCTCACAGCGAGCAAGCTCGTCGTCACCGTTACATCCCCAATCTTCTATGGAGACCGAGTCTTGGCTCAAGGAGTATTTTCGCCCTACGACCCCTGTCAGAATGTAAGCTCGTGGGTCTTCCCGCTCCTGAGCTTAATTTCCTCAACAAGGTATCTGATCCTCGAGTCCGTCGAGCCTGTCACAAGCAGCTCGTGCGGGCTGTTTTCATCTTAGCATTTTATGGGACGACGTATATGGCTCAATCACATGTTGGGAGAAGTCGTGTTTGATCCTATAATCCTGCAGGGGAATTGGAAATGCAAAAATACTTGGAAAGGAGGATATATAAGGTTGGCAGATCAGCTTGGAATAGTATCTTCATCCAGACATTCAGATATCATCACTCATCATGTCTTCCACCAAGTCCCTCCTCGCATCCATCCTCGCCATCGCTCCCTTGGCTCTCGCCCAGGATCCATCATGCGATTGCTACGTTACCAAGGGCGATAATCCCCAATACTACACAAGCCACTCCTTCTTTGACTTCCGTTCCCTCTCCCAATACGCCGGTGTTCCTCCTCTCATCGACACAATCCAAGGCAACGCCGAAGCAGGCTTTTCTTCAGATTTCTTCAACTGGGAGTCTGAATTTACTCAAACCTGGGGTCCTCAGAAATGGAACAATGGGAACGAAGAGTTTCCTATGCAGAATACTTATAATAACCTGTACATTGAGGAGAATAATGATGTCTCTCCTGCGAGTGACACGTGGTTGACTATGAGAACTGCTCGTCACAATGGCTTCCAAACCGCTTCTGAGTTCGAGTCTCTGGAGAAGCATCAATACGTCTCGTTGAGAATGTATGCTCGTACCAAGGGTTCTCCCGGTGCCTGCACAGCCATGTTCACCTACCTCAACGGCGGCTCCCTCGCCCTCGTCCAAGAAGCAGACATCGAAGTCCTCACAAAAGACGATCCCACAATCATCCACTACACAAACCAACCCTCCTACACCGATGAGGGCGGCGAGGTCGAAGGCGCTCATCTAGCAGCCATACTCCCCGACGGTCTCAAGTGGACAGACTGGGCAAAGCACACTATCGATTGGACACCCGATGCTACGATCTGGAAGGTCAACGATAAAGAGACCTGGCGCAATGCGTTCCAGGTGCCGAGAGATCCCGCGCAGCTGAGCTTTAATGCCTGGAGTAACGGGGATACGTGGACGGGTACTATTCCAGAGGGTGGTGCAGCGTATCAGCAGATTCAGTGGATTGAGGTTTTGCATGGACGCACGGAGCAGGGGGCTTGTAATAGGGTTTGTAGTGTTGATGAGGGTGAGGCTGGGAAGGCTGTGCCTGTTTAGAAGACGGCATGCTTTCTGGTGATCCCATATCAACCTTTCCTGTACATAGTTAAGGATAATAGAGAACATACTTATGTTTTGAGTCTGATATCTTTATGTGAAAGGACATCTCTATGTGACCGACTGATTCTAATCATAGCTTTTCGTTCTATAGTCTATCACTCGTTGATCTTCTACAGCTTGAATCTCTGCGCCAACAAGATCCCCTCCGCCAAAGTCCCAACCCTCGCATCAATCGCACAGCCCTCCCTCTCCCAAGTCTCACACATCCCCCACAAATCCGTCAATTTCACCGTAAAAACCTCAATGAACTCCCCCTCCTCCAGCTCCGGCTTCAAGTTCTTATTCTCAGGTAACTCCATATCAACACTAACATGCACCATCTTCAAATTCGTGTTGCAAAACCCCGGGTCGTTAAACATCATGGGCGACGTCTCGGTGGCGACGCCGACGTAGCCTGTTTCCTCGCGGAGTTCGCGGATGGCGCATTCTTCGGGTGTTTCGCCCTCGTCTATTAGACCGGCTGGTACTTCGATTGTTACGGCGTTGATGGGAGGGCGGTATTGTTTTTGGAGTATGAGTTCGGGGCCTGTGGGGAGGGGGAGGATGGCTACTATGCCTACGCCGTCGATGTCAGCGGTTTTAGGACGCGTGAGACGTTCGGCTGATTCCCAGGTTCGGGATGTCCCTGTTGGGTCACGGTATGTGATTCTAAATGTTCATATTAGAGGTGAGAGGTGAGAAAAGAGGTGAGTGAGCGTACTTGGAGAGTTTGATCCAGCGAGCTTCCTCCTTAGACTGAGTTTGTTGGCAGATGCTGGTAAACTGTGGGAGGAATACTTACGAGGGGCTGAGTGGAAGTCACTGTAGCATCGAAAACAGACATTTTGAGTGAGTTGAAAAAGAATGTTTTGCTTGTTTGTTTTGGCTGTCTTTTGAGAAGTCATGATGAGTTGGCTACCGCCCCGCCGAAGTCGGTGAGAAGATGTGCAACGTCACACAAGCTACCCTGAAGCTACTCAAATCATGCGATGAAATCACCAATTACGTGTCTATCACGAGGAATTAAACTTTAAATAATGAATATAAATACGCTTATAGGTTTGGTAGTACTATCGTAGGGCTTTGGAATAGGTTTTGGTTGAGAAAATGTGAACTTATCATCAGTTGAAGATATCTCAAATCTGCTTCTCTCATGAACCCCGCGACCAGGTTTTCAGCTTCATGCACAGTTGTCACCTCGAGGATGCATGTCTCAGTTAATCTCAATGCTGCTTCCAGGAGATTATTGGGTATTTACCCTTATCTAGCCTATAACCATGCTCAATAGCGACAGCCTCAACGCATCCTATCTCGCATGCTTCGGAGTGGGGTGACAGCCTCACCCAAGTTACTACCACCAACAACCAAGGCATCGCAATATCTCTACAACTTCCCCTCCTCCTCCAGCCCCCTCCAAAGAGCCAAAGCAGCCAAACACTTTGCATCCCTCGCGCCCTCCCTCCAAGCATCCTTCATCGGCACAACCTTCAGCGTGATCTTCTCCCCATGCTCCCTCAACCCCGTCAACCGCCCACTCCACTCCTTGATCTTCTCCCTCTCGATCTTCATCTCATAGCTAAATATCGTAATATACTCATCACAACCCCCCGCGCTAGGAAACATACCCCTCGCAATGTCTTCACTATCCTCAGCTGTAGCAAGCTCACTTAAATTCGTAAGCTCTTCTTCTTTTATTGTGACACCGAGCTCTTCCTTTATTTCTTGCGCTGCTGCTCCGGCGAAGCTACCCGCGTCGTCGACCATACCCGCTGGTAGTTCAGTGAAGCTAAGACTGCCGGCGGGAACGCGGGGTTGGACTGTGAGGACGACGTAGCGCTCTGAGGACGAGGGGGGAACGTCGGAGGGGATGAGCATAAAGAGCATTGCTACGCTGGGGCCGCGGAGGAGTGCGGCTGCTGGTAGTGTTTCACCCGAGTCATTGGAGACAGTTGCTGTGAGTTTTATGAAGCCGATACGTTTGGCGCCGAAGAGATCGTAGGATTGGATTGTAACTGAGCGCAGAGAGTAGGGGTCTTTGTGGAAGGGGTGAGATTCATCGGATTGAAGACGGAGTGAGTTTGTGAGTGTGTTGACCCAATTCTGAGAGTTTTAGCAAGCTGAAGAGAAGATGGGTGAAAAACATACAGTAAATGGTTTGAATGAAGTGAGTTGTTCTTCTGAAAGTCCATCGGGAAGACTGAGAGGGACGTTGTGGCTCTTGAGCGTGGTAGACATTGTGCGCGTGAAGTGGTGAAGAGATGGGGTTTGGTGAACGAGACAGGTTGCTGAGAGTAAAAGTCTGGGGTTTCTGCAGACGTTGGCGATGAATCTCATTTCCTGGTGTTATTTCTGGAGATAGCTTGGGATTGGCGGAAGTCTATTGAAGATTAGGTTGAGATTGTGTTTGTGGGAGGGTTGAGTGAATGACGTAGAGCGCTGCCCCGCGATCATGACATGAGGCTGAAACACCAAAGAGAGCTGAACTGAGTACATTCACATACGAAATGGCAGCCTGTCACTTCACAAAGATCAGTTATTGCGCAGTACGTATACTCATTGATTCATTTCCCATTTATAGGGCTGTAAGTGAAGCGACTAATCATAGCTCATACTCCGTCCCTCATTCCGTAGGTGCTCCCACAGGCCATCGCTCAAACAGCCCAGTAAACATCAATCTTGACCTTCTCAATATGATTAACCCACCCCCCAAACCTGGCCTTTGCCCAGACCGTAACAACATCTCCCATCTTCAAATCCCTCACGAACCACCCATCACCCGTCTCCTCACCCCTGCCCTCCTCAGCCTTCATCTTGACAGCAGCTTCAGAGTCAGGCTTGGCATCGTCGTCCCACGCCCACGTAATGACATGGTCTTGCCAAGCGCGATGAGCCGTCTTGTTGCGAACGATGGTCCATTTCTCTTGGTGTGCGAGAGGATGCGAGTATGCGAACTTGTCGTTGCCTTTGGGGACGATGGAGGGGTAGAGAGGGCGGAGGGCGCAGACGGCGAGGGGTGATGCTACGGAAGATGCTGATTTGAAGCGGGCGTCGTATGTGCAGTTTGGATCACCTAGAAAATCAGCATTGCGTTTTATACACGAGTCTTGGGACTTACAAGTCTGTTCGGCGTCGAACTTCTCAAGACCAGCTTCAAACCACGTCCAGGCTCCGTTATACGTATGTCGATTATCCGGTTCACCACCCCACCCCTGATCCTTACTCCGTATCGTAAAGACCACCTTTCTCACAGGGTGGAGTAATTTCGGGGTAGGATAATCAGCCAACTTTGCAAAATATGAAGCATCATGCTCCGTCTTTAAAGGCGCCGGTTTCGCCTCGTTCAGATCATACGCCAACACTTCAGCAAGTGCTTTCTTGCCTTGAATACCCGTCAGACCCACAGGAAACGATCGAAGCTAAGGTACAGTAATTAGTCTTGCACCTTGTTTAATGGGGGGTTTGACTTACAAGGAATTTGTTCTCGGAGGGGCTTTGGCCGTTGACGCGAAGAGGGCTCGAGTGCTCAGCGATATAATCAACCTCATTACTCGAATGCGCCCAATACTCCGCAAAGTCCAAGATAACGTCGACAACACCCGGCGGAAGCTTCTTCCCCTTCGTGAGCATGATTCGCGTAATAACCACATCCACGGGCGTCAACCCCCCAGAAGAAGAAGAGCTCGTCTCATTGTCGTTCTGGCTCCCCAGCGATAGCATAGTTCGCAAGCCCTGGATTACGTTCTGCGGAATGCTCTGCGCCATGATGAGATAGGCGATGAAGAAGTAAAAAAGGTAGATCAGCATAAATTTAGGAGGGTAAAAATGAATTTGTAGTGTATTTGGTGAAAGCGAAAAAAGACAGGTTTTTTTATGTATACACGGCGAAGGTGACGCGTTTGGGGCTTGTTCTAGAGAGGCAGCAGCTTATCACCTACAGCTGCGGCGTTGATTTGACGTCAGAAGATGTACACGTGCCTCGGGGACACAGAAAAAGCGTGATCTCTCTGCTATTTCTCTTGTAATGATTTTAAGCCTAAACTTAGGCTAAGCCTTATTACGATGATCTTCAGATCTATAACAATTGTATTGAAGAATATTTAGAAACTATTTCTACTCTGAGCTATGTAAGTAGTAGGTGGTAGCTGGAGATAGTTCCCTCTCTACTTACACCTCACCTACCGTATCTTATCACAACTCCATATCTTATCGCACGTGCAATGGCATCATCCCGACCCGGCGTCTGATCCCGTCCCCCGCGTATCGGAGCTCCATCAATTTCGCCGTCCAAGAATCCTCGATTACAAACATGAAGCTCAGCTCTCCCCAAACGACAATTCCTCCTCACACTCGCATCCCACCATGAGGTCCTCAAGGTCTCTCGTACGCTCAACTCGCCAGCTCCAAACGTCCTTTGCTCCCTCAAGACTTGTCCGCCCAACATGTCTCGCCCCGAGGGTCCGAGAGCTTCACTCCGCTACGCCCCGGAAGTCGGGCGTCGCATCTAACCCAGCAATGTCATTCCCCTGCCTCGACGCATTAGAATCCCGTTCTGCCCGCTTAACCGACGATGACACCGAGCCCTCGTATACATCAGGCGCCACGCAGAATTATCTCTGCAAAGAACCCTTCATGCTAGACTGGGGCGGCGTCCTTCCCGAGTTCAACATCGCGTATGAAACGTGGGGTGAGCTCAACGCCGATAAATCGAATGCTATTCTTTTACACACCGGGTTGTCCGCTTCGTCACATGCGCACTCTACAGAGGCGAATACAAAGCCTGGCTGGTGGGAGAAGTTCATTGGGCCAGGAGGACCGCTTGATACGAATAAATACCACGTTATCTGCACGAATGTCATCGGCGGCTGCAACGGTTCCACGGGACCGAGTAGTGTCGATCCAGGAAATGGAGAGCGCTATGCAACGCATTTTCCCATCTTGACGATGGATGATATGGTCCGCGCCCAATTCCGTCTTCTCGACCATCTCGGCATTGATAAACTCTACGCCTCCGTTGGTTCTTCAATGGGCGGAATGCAATCCCTCGCCGCAGGTGTTCTCTTCCCCTCGCGCGTAGGTCGCATCGTCTCTATCAGCGGCTGCGCACGCTCTCATCCGTACAGTATCGCCATGCGCCATACTCAGCGCCAAGTCCTCATGATGGATCCAAACTGGAACCGTGGTTTTTACTACGGAAAGGTTCCTCCTCATGCTGGTATGAAGCTTGCGCGTGAGATTGCGACGGTTACGTATCGCTCTGGACCGGAGTGGGAGCAGCGCTTTGGTCGTCGTCGAGCAGACTCGAGTAAACCGCCCGCGCTATGTCCGGACTTTCTCATTGAGACGTATCTTGACCACGCGGGTGAGAAGTGGTGTTTGAACTATGATCCTAACAGTCTTTTGTACGTCAGCAAGGCTATGGATCTTTTCGACCTGGGTATTGAGCATCAGCGCGCAACTCGTGCTCGTCGCCAAGAGCGCGAGAAGAATCTTGCTTCAGGAGAAGCTTCTCCCCTTTCACCTGACGCATGCAGTCTTACTCTGCCCAACAAGCCTTATGAGGAACAGCCTGGCGCCCACCCCGACCCCTCAGATGCAACTGTCGTGCCAGGCTCACGACCCCCAGAGGATCTAATCCACGGTCTCGCACCACTGCGCGACACCCCCACGCTGGTTATGGGCGTTGCAAGTGACATCCTCTTCCCAGCGTGGCAACAGCGCGAGGTAGCTGAGGCTGTCCGTCTAGCTGGAAACAGGAACGTAACGCACGTCGAGTTGAGCGAAGAGATGAGCATGTTTGGCCATGACACATTCCTCCTGGATCTCAAGTACATCGGCAACAACCTCCGCATGTTCCTCGGCTAGTATATGTATTCTATAGTAATGTAAAATTGGCGCCTATCTTTGGGTTTACCATGTATAACGCAATACAATCACGTTTGGGACACACTTCAGGTAGTCATGTAAGATCCAGGCTCAAGGCACTGGATGTTGTATTCCTTAGACATTATCCACTAATCATGTCCCGATGATAATGATGATGACTATATACAAAGAGAAGAAACGAAAGTAAAGAACGCAGCGAGGGACGGGGGTATGTGATAGATCTATAAGCGAAAGACGCCATATCCAAAAAATAAATGTGATAGAAGAAAAAAGGGGGAATAAGCGATAGCTAAACAAGAAAAGAAAAGTCGTGAGGGTCTTTTGCCTCTTTTTTGAAATCCAACTCGCTGAGATATAGAAAGCCGAGATATAAAGATGATTCGCTTTGATATAATCCATTTATATAAAGCCAGGATTGAACGCATCTACCACGGGATTAGGAGTTCTGACTCTCGTCGGCTCTGCTCCTGCGGCCAGCGATGGAGGAACAATTGGCGAAGGACGAGGAGGTGCTCTCTTTGCCTCGACGCGAGTCTTGCTGCGGTCTCTGTCCCTCGGGGGTACAAAGTCCGCCATCACAGGTGAAATGAGCGGCCGAGCTTGATTCTGCTCATGTCGCTCGTAGTTCCCATCAGACATCATGTCAAAAGTACGCGCGAGATTTTCACTCGAGCTTGAGATTGACTTTTGTAGCGATGGGAAGGATGGTGAAGGTAGACTGGGTGGTGTGTCTGAGATGGGCGAGGAAGCGTATTGTGCGAGACGTGGGCTTAAAGAGTCGTCGGTGGCTTGTGTGGGAGATCGAGTGAATTGTGTGCGAAAAGGTGAGAGAGCAGCTGGGATAGCGGACTTGTGCGCTTCGGCGCGGTCGAAGTCGTTCCAGTTTGGTGTGCCGGGTTGGTTCAAAACTTCATCCAGTTGCGAGTCGGCCACGGGTGACTCTGTGCTTCTGGGCGGAGGATACATAGGAGGTTGGCGGCGCTGTTTTCTTGGCTCCAGGCCAAAGGGCCTTTCGGGACTTTGCATCTCGGGAGGTTGAGGCCTGCGACCTCGAGGAAGGCCTTTTTGAACGGGAAACTCGCCTTCCATGGGGCTTTGTTGCGAGAATGGGCTGGCTGTTCGTGGTGGTTCAGGAAGACGCTCAGCACGGACAAAACCGCTCTCATCAAAGCCTGGACCAACCGCACTTCGAGGTCCAGGCCCAACCATGGGAATGGTAGCCGAGCGATCGACTAGAGGAGCTGGAACGCGAAGAGGTCGGCCAAGTCGTGGCTCGGAGTCAGTTCGGGCACGGAGGCCACGAGGCGGAGGTTCGAGAGGTCGGTTCATGTAACCCGGGTTCGTACTCGCTGCCGTATCAGGAGTGTTACTCCTACTTCTGTTACCAGGGTTCAAGCGAGGTGGTGGTACAGGCGGGAGAGGAGCGGTAGGTGACCGGTATGGCGAAGGGAGTGGTTTCGTTGGTGGAGAAGAGTCCGGAGGTTGATAGGCCTTGTACTGCTTTGTCGGGTACTGAGGAGATGGCTGGAGGGTTTGCATGAGTGGTCGGGGAGGAGATCGAGGGAAATGAGGTTCTACCATTGGCGGAGATGGCGATCGACCTGGGAAGTTGGAGAGAATCGGAGATGGTCCAGGAGAGTTCTGCTGAGGAGGTTGAGAAAGAGGCGAAGGTTGAGGAGAGCGCGAGGGTGAGACAGGTCTGATCGCCTGAAGAGGTTCCGAGAGCTGGCCGGGCTGGAGAATCTTGGGAGGCTGTTGAGTCGGCTTTGTCTGTTGAGAAGGCTGAGGTGTCTGTATACGGGGCGTCTCCTCTGCTGCCGCGGATGCCAGTGACGAGACCAACGAGAGAGGAGACATGGCATCACTCGCAGTTCGAGCTCGTGTCAATGCCGTATCGATCATGCTCAGACTTGGACTCGACTGCATAGTCCTCAAAGGACTAGCCGTTCTCGCCGTTCCGAGCACCCTGGGCTTCACATTCGTGTCCGTAGGACTCACTCCACCCTCAGTCGAAGTATCCAAACTCTTACTTCCAATACTGCCCTTCCTAACTGTCTCACCAAAGTCGAATCCAGTAAAATTTCCAGCAAGTCCCTCAACCATTGGCTTGTGATTCTCACGTGTCTCCATGTCCATGGTAAAGCTCTGCCGTCTAGGCGTATGAAAAGTAAAAGTGTCGCGCTTGGCTGTCACATTGCGAATAACAGGAGGCTGCGGCTCCCAGACATCGTCGCTTCTAGCAACTGATACAGCCGGACTTGGGAGAGACATTGGACCTGCAGTGCTGGGGTTCCGAAGACTAGGTGCGGTGGGCACGTTCTGACGACTGCTCGAAGGTCGCGGGTCCGGTGAGAAAGATCGCTCAGCGTTGACGATCGAGGGTGGAGGAGATGGATATCCATTGTTAGCCGTAGGAATAGGACTTTTGTTCCTTATTTCCTTAATTTCGTTTCCGAGATTGAATTCGAAGGGTTCCGCATGACCCCTTGGTTCATCCTGGGGCGTCGGCGGTATACTGCTGACAGAATCTTTACCGAAGTGAATATTGAAGGGATTCTCAGGCTCCTTTGTCGAGATGGCCGTCCCAGGACGTGTAGGTGAGCCAGGTCTTGCGCCCGGCGCAACGAGACTCGTAGAACTACCATTACCGAAGCGTGTGTTGAGCATTATATCTGACGAGTGAAACCGCGGATTTCCCATTCCTGGTGCGCGCGGTGCTCCCAGGTCTACCATGGAGGAGGCACCTCCTGTACCGTTCATATAAGGGGCTTTCCATTGTGTTGGTGGGTCGAGATGAGAGCTGGAAGTACCAGGGCGAGCGAGATTTGGACGGGAGAAGTTACTCTGTCGGCGGAGGTCTTTGGGGGTTGACGAGACAGATTCTTCATTGCGATGTAAATGCTGTATTTGTTTCGAAGCTAGCTTCTTGTCCCTGATAATTGTCGGTCAAATTGTACAGAGTTGAGTCTAGAGAAAGGAGGCTTACTGTGACTTTTTCCTATCGCCTCCAAGCTTGAGGCCAAAGAACGAAACCATCTCGAAAAGAGAAGAAGAGGAGAAAAAGAGATCTGAGGAATTATATCATGAGCATGTGACGGTAAGGACTGAATTGAAACGTAGTTAGGAATGACGATGATGTAAAGACAGAGTCAGAGACAGAGACATTGGCCTGGTCTGTCTCTTCTGTGCATATTTCTAGAAGACGAGACCGTTGCCGAGAAGAACGGGAAGAAGAAGCCTGGGCTGCAGCACTTACCGTAAAGTACCTAAAGGGTCCCCACAGCCCACAACCTAGGGGGGTAAAGTGCTAAAAGCCCAGGGGGGGCACGAGGCGCAAAGGGACCAGAGTGGGTTAATTTAACAAGACAGCCACTAACTGAAGAATATCCAATTTTAGACACTGCTTTGAACAGACTGTGTACAGAACCAGAGAGATTGAAAAGAATAAGCATATATTTGAGGAAAAGAATTCTGTTGCTGATCATTAGCTTGATCAATTCTCTGCAAGTGATTGAATCGTAATAGGGGCCCAGCGTTACTCTTTTCATCACTAGAGTGGATGCAGAGGATTTAGACGGGTAGGGTGCTAGTCAGGGCGCTGCAGGTACAAGCTCAGGGGCTCGACGTTTTTTTCTTCTTCTCTGGGCGTTTTTGGCGCCCTTCAGCCGCGGGGTCGCTTTTTCGAATTGTGAATGGACGAGAAAAGGGGAGAGCCAAGAATAGAAAAGAAACTAGTGATTTACATCAGAGAATGGTTTGATCATCAAAGATTGCACTACACAGAGAATTGATCTTCTTCGATCGCCAGTGTTACACGAGAGGCACAGGCAAGGCTGAAAGGAGTGGTATGACTGAGCAAGGAGTATTGGGAGTGAGATACGAGAAGCACATGAAGATTCCCGAGACAAGAGGAGAGGCGCTGTTTGACAAGACAAGACAAGACTGTCGATCACTTTGGTGACGAAATGAAACAGCGTCACACACCCCCGTCTCATCCATGCAATGCGAATTCTATGGATCAATTTAAAGATTTCGCTTCATTGAATAATTCAGATAAACTTGGAATGCCAATTTTTTAATCAGATAACCATCCATCCACTGCCATGCTCATCACCTTCGTCACGCCAAATGACCCTAGACAAAAAGGATCTAAAGTCGTCATCTGCGCACTCACCTGCGTGGCGCTTCACCGTCAGCTTCAGGACCTTCAGGGGTCTCTTTTCACAACAGGGGTATCAGGGGGGTCACCAATAAAGATCGTCACTCTTCACAAAATCCATTTCCTATTCAAACGAAAACTGTGAATATATCTCGCTTGAATTGTGGATGACATATTATTAGAGTTCATTGGTGTATGAAACGAAACAGGTAGTGTTGACGGGTCTAAAACACCCTTGACGGTTCATGCACACTGTAACTCGAGCTGTTTTTGTTTGGTGGATGTATAATTCGTCCGTGTTATACCCGGAATCTGTGATATCCGGGTGACAGCTATAACTGACAGCTCGGTATGACCGCTTATCCACAGCTTCGGGGCATAGCTTCAGCTGGGGTTCGGTGATGTCGCTTAGAGAGGGGTGAGAATGCACGATTGAGAAGATGTTCTTTTTGACAAGTATCATGATAAACCCATACGCCTGTAAATAAGTGACCGTCCTAAACGCCGTGAATGTGAACCACCACCTAGCCTCAACTGATCCAACAACCAACAATACAATACAACTTCCCGTCCCCATAAACCTCTCCGATGATACACGGAGACCTCTGAAGCACACATCACAACTGCTCCAAGAGCCTCCTTCTCCTCCGATCGATCAACTCCTCCTGCACCTCCTCCAACGTCGGTAAATCCCACGTAATCCCATCACCACTATCCCCTGGCAGCGGCTCCCACCCCTCCGGCACATCCTTACTCCCCGTCTTGAGCAAATGCTCAACCGCCTGCCTCTCCTTCTCCGCCTCATACGCCAACATCTCCTCATCCTCCTCATCAGGCGCATAACCATAATACGCCGCGTCAACATTCCTCCTCATATCATGCCTCTCCTCAAGCGGCTTCTCATCACCTTGGTTCTTCGCTGCCTCAAACAACTCCTTCACACCCGGCAGTTCCCTCGCTCTACCAAAATATTTGTAGCCTTTCCCACTACCGGGTATTTCGCGTCCTTGCTCATCGTAGATCTTGCCCCCGCCGCGCATGTAGTTCGGTCCCCCGAGATTACGTATCTGAATCTCCCACATGTGCTTCTCGCGCATGAGCTTGTTGATTTCGTCGTTGAGATCGCGGATCTGGTAGTCGCTGAGGATAGGATCTTGGATACGTGACATCTTGCGCGAGATTTCTTTGAGGACTTGTCCACGCCATTTTTCGCAGGCAGGAATGGCTGAGACTTCGGTGATGAGCTTGGGGCGACGTGTGCGGCCGGCGTCGATGATGCCTAGGTCTGCTGCTTGAGCTTCGCGGAAGCGAAACAGCATAGACTGTGCCTTTTCCGAGTTACGTGCCTAGAATCATTAGCTGAAGCTACTAACAACAAAAACGAGGTAGGGATTTACCATTTTGACGGATGCGCGGCGTCAAAGGGATTGAGGTGAGAATAGCAACGTAATTGTAGGAGCTGAGTTGGCGATCGCGACCCAGCAACGGCGGAAGTTTTCGCAGCCACACCAGCCTTGCTCCAAATCCCCACTTGTGCCACAGCGCCACAGGTCAAGCTTGCGCACGTCCCCACAGCCTTGCCTTACTCCAACGCGAAGCGCATCGCGACTTGAACCTCAGCAACGATTTTGGATATCTTGACAGCTGCTGGCAGCTGTCGACAGCCGTCAACACCACACCCAACGCTCAATTTCAGCGTAAACCCTCACGCACCGAATGCGCAATCACTCCTCACTCTGAACGGGTATAAATAGAGGGCTTCTCTCCCAGTTGCTCCAGCCTTTTCTTCTCTTTCTTCAGCAACCTTTCGTATTCTCGACTTGCGATTTGGCTTGCCTTGCTACACACTTCTTGCTTTCGACACTTACTGCTTGACTCGACAGCTTCTTCCTTTCCACATTGTGACTTTTCTTTTTTCTTTTTCTTTTCCTTTTTCGCACTTCACTTCTTCGACCTTGCCCGACCTTCAACACCATGCCTTCACCTCACCTCTCTCCTCCCCGACCCCGAACTCGCCCTCACCCTCGCCCTCTCCTAGTCAAGTGACTCGGTATGTATGTACTAACTTGCATTTCCGCATTTGTTTTCCTGCTCTTGATTTCGCGCTTTTTTGTGGTCATTCGACCAGCTCTGGGTTGGGTCTGCTTTTTATTTCCTTTGTCTTTGCTTTTTCGTCTTGTTTTTTGGTCCCGGGCCATTTGGCCTGGGAGGGGGTCTTTTTGGGGTTGTTTTTCTTGCGGGCGTTGGAGTTGGAGTTCAAGGCGTTCGGCGTTTTTGCATTTCCTCTCGTCCTGTACTTGGTTTCCTCTGGGGGCTGGTCTGTGGTGATGACAACTGTTTCACACACCAAAGTTGGCGATTCACTTCACTTGCTCGGTATGCCCTTCGGGGAAACTGACTTGTGTTGCGAACATGTACCTCACTCAAGAACAGAGATCTGAGCAGACCTCGAGGCTTTTCCTTTTCATTTTTCATTCATGTATTCTTCGCAAGTGCCTAGAGTAGCCGCAGTGACGATAATTTCCCTTTGCGTGAAGTTGTTCTCTTCCTTTGCGAACCCTCTCATGGAGGTGTTTGCTGGGAATACAGAGACACTCGTGATTCGCATGATATAGTTTTCAATCGGAGCAGGCTTGGCCTTCGTGAGGTGCCGTATGGGATGGAGGAATGCTTTGAGATACGAATTTGCTGCCCGGTGATGATCAATCGACCAAAAAGCCAAATTTGCAGACAACAGCGGCGGGCATCATCTAAAATGTTTGCAGGGCATTTACTTGTCCACTGCCGCGAGTTGTCAGTGAGAACCCAAGAGAGCTAATCTGAGGGAGCCATCACATCTTCGTATCTCAAGTCACATACATAGTCGTAAACACTTCAATAGCTGTAGGAAAACAAATGCGCATTCTATATTTCACTTTTGGTCCCACTCTACAATACAACAGATCCACGAACTCTTATCGTGACGTTGCAGCAAAAAATACTAGTACATTGTTCCATCCTCTATTGCGTCTTCTTAGCGCCAGCGGCTGACTTGACAGGCTGACTGTACATCCACACGATGCAGAACGACAGGAATCCAACAATGGTAGCTGAGATGCCAGTCAGACCAGGCCAAGCGCCGTTGATCACGTAACTTCGGGGGTACTCGTCGTGAGCCATGTGTCGAACGCTGACAGTTCGCTTCTCCTCAAGGTTAGTCAGGAAGGGTCGCTTGTAGTTGACCATGAAGTTGAAGATGCCGTGCTGGTCGGGAAGAACAAAGTCGGTGCCGTAGACAGTCTCGTGCTCACCGACGTGAACGGGCTTCAGGGAGATGCGGTGGAAAGGGGACAGCATGGAGAACTCGAGCTGGAGGTGGTCGCCTTCAGGGAGGTGGAAGGGTTGCCAGTCGTTCCAGGCGTACTCGGAGACGGAAATGCTGTAGGTCTTTGAATTGTTAGTGAGGTCAATCATGTCAGGGCAGGTCTCTACATACAACATCGTTCTTGATGCGGTACAGCTCAGGGTTGGTCTCGTTGTCACCCTTAAGGTGATGCTCAATCTTGTTCACTCGTAGCACACCAAGCTCCTGGAATGTCCAACCAGCCAAGTTGGTGACAAACTCCTTGTTGGCAGGGAAGATAGCCTTTCCACCCTGTCGAGTGACCTTGGTATCAAAAGCCTTGTCCTGAAGCATCTCAGCAGCACCAATGACAGTGACACGCGCAGAGTTGCGAGCCTGGAAGACAGAGACAAGAGCAAGTTGCTTTCCAGCAGCGAACAACTCATCAGGCTCGACAGTATCAGCCTGCTCCTTGGGGTTGTAGCTATAAGCGGTAGGGGGCGCTCGAAGAACGGGTGTAAGAAGAGGTCCTGAACCAAGAGTGTGGCCAATGGCGTGAGGAACGGAGATGAATGCGCCGGGAATCTCGAAGTAATCCTTGAGACCGGGACGAACGTTGCGAGGAGCGTCGAGAACGAGTGTGTCGTGTGTCTCGGCGGCGGAAACGGCATCGTAGGTGAAGTGGTCGACGACCTTGCCGTTGCGCTCAGCGGGAATGGTAACATCGAGTTGATCGAGGACGGAAACGAGAGTAACAGGGACTTTATGGGTAGCGGACATGGTCAGGAGGATGTTTCCGCCGGCGTTGATGAAGTCGACGATGGCATTGGGGGTCAGATTGGGTCCCAGACCTGCGCCAGTCAGTACAGTTGTATTCTCAAGGAACAAGACATGACGAACCCTTGATCTTGGTGGGGAGAAAGACAAGATGATCATAACTCCTCTCACCATACTTGAACAATGTCAAATCATCGCTCTTTGGTGTCTCATACGTGATATCATAACCCCGTTCTATCAATTGTAAGCTTCACCATCAACACCACTGCTCATGGGGGGTTTCATACCAGACAAGTCGCGGAAAAACGTAGTATACGCCTCCTTGTCCTTGGGCGTATCGAGAATAACCAGTAATCGATTACCAGTTGTGCTTACGGCCGAAACCAGCGCCGCGAAGAGAAAGACCACGAGACTCAAGAGTGACCGCATTGTGTGGTGAGAATGTGGTTTTGAGTTGGGGGATTATAATGTTTGGTGCAAGTTTGGACAGCTTGCGAGTAGAGCTCTCAGTGGAACCTACGGGCGTAGTAGCTTGCGTTGGCGTTTTAGGGATACGTAGCCTTCAGTGGGGGAACGGGATGTGAAACTGCGGATGCGCTAGTCCTTTTATGGTCGCGACTCTAGAGCTCTGTAAAGTTGGGTACAGTGAGGAAATAATCCGATGCCCGCGGCTTGGTTTTTCCGGAGATACGATTGGACCGTTGCTCGAGACCATCATCACCACCAAGATTGAACGACAAACACCACATCGTCAATTGAGTATGACCTGTCAACCGCTACGCCATTGTAGTTTCTGTGCTAATTGTTATAGGCCATCATGTCTGCCGCCCCTCTCTTCTGGCAAACTCCCCTCAAGTACTGCCGCTGGGCAGCCCGCGAGCGTCCCGCCCTCTTCTGGTCCGTCATCATCGGCGCAGCAGGCCCCGTCGCCATGCCAATTGTTCCTCCGATCCGATACTACTTTGGCGATATCGACGCTCCTCCTGTTCCCGTCACCTATCCCGGTGCGTTCCCCTCCTCGACCTCAATCCCCAATGCGAGACTAACATGCACAGTCCCCTCTGGTCCCAGGAAACAGCTCACCGGGTACGACGATTAAACATCTCGAATTGAAAGACGAAGGAAATATCACGGCTCGGAATGAGCATATCTTTGTACAAACTACGGCGTTTCCCGATGCGAGGGAGAGAAGGGATATCATAGAGGAAGAAAGGGACGAGAAGATCCAGCAGCAATTGACGCTTCAATTCGATTTTTCTACAATCAATCCATCCACCGGCTGTCTACATTTCGATACCTATATATGTGTGTGATGTGTGTGAGGATGTGCGCGAGTCGTTGATTTTCTAAACATGCGTATAAACATCAAACAGGAAACGCCGCAGCGATGTGCAAGAAGCCAAGAAACAGAATATCATCCTTCTCTTTAATCATACGAGGCTATGCCGGTGGTCATATCGAACTGATGTCCGATTCGGTAGGGAAAAACTCTATCTCTCCCTGCTCAGTAGGTTCCATTCGTACTAGAACTCGTTAGTTTGAGGATTTATGAGGGAAGTGGGAGATACTTACAACTCGACCGTCATCATCACCTGTGTAGACGCATGTTGGCATTGGACTTATGCACGTTATGCCTGCCTCTGTGTTGGCACCCTTGTCATTCTTATAGTCAACATGGTCAAGCTTTCTGAGGAGCTCAAGCGTCCATCGGCTGCCCACGATGCTGCGTCGCCAGACGTTGACTCTGCCGCGCTTGTGGCCTGTGAAGATCAAGTAATTATCAAGCCACTCGTTGCCAGCACCTTCGTAAAAGGCGCATGAGTGGATATAGTCATCCTGCTCGAAACAGACATTCTGTTCAAGAAGTAGTGTGCCGTTGAGGGTGTAGAGTATCACGTTGGGCCCAGAGCAGAGAAGAATCTCACCCGAAATGTCGTTGATACGTGCACATTCAACAGGTCGCACCAATGGCAGCTTTCGGATGAACGACAGTCTGTTCAGGTCCCACAAGAATGCTTGTCCATCTGCAGAAACAGTCAAAAGCGTGCTGAATGCTTTGCTGACTGCAATCGTTGTGACAGGCGACTTGTGTCCAAAAAGACTAGACCTCGGCAGTAACTCAACCGGCTTTCCAGGTAAAGTCTGTAGTGCATATACCGAAACAACACAATCCTCTCCAGCAGTGATCAAGGTTTTGGAGTCGGCAAAACAAGCACAAGAGATCTGGCCGATGTGAAGGTTCTCAAAGAGTCCAGCAGGCTTTGTTGAGTTAGCGACGTGGCCAGGTCGAGGAACAAGGTTCTGCATTACCTTTCGGTTGTCGCTGAAGAAGAAGCGAATGCTGTTGTCGGCGTATCCCCATTCGAGGAACTTGTCGTATGGTGGGAAGTTGAGGCGGAAGGGAGAAGCACACAGCAAGCGGTCGAGTTTGGAGGCGTGGATGAGTGAAGCTACACGTTCGTGACTTTCTGTTGAATCGGTTAGTGATGCCTGAGGTATGAAGTAAACAGAGCTCTTACCAAGGAGTGGATGTGGTAGACAGCCCAACGAAAACACGCTTGTGTCTAATCGTCTAACTGGACTCTTAACGTGTTCTCGAGCAGGATGCGACTTCATAAACACTTGATGAGGGGTCTGTCCAAAGTTATGAATGACGCCCGCTAGAATAGCTCTCTCCTTGGCATCCGTGATGCTGTCCAGATCTGTCGCACCACGGTACGAAAGATGATGGAACACATTAAGGTTTTCCACAGCAGCTTCACCTCGTTGCTTATAGCCAAATACCAGATCAATCCACTGGTGTAGGTTCTCGCTCACATACGGACTTTCAAGCGCCTCTCTATGCTTGGCGATGAAGATTCGAGGATCCCCTTTGGCCCATGGCGGAAGCTCAACGTGGTCGACCTTAACGCCGTTGCTCTCACGATTGCCAAAGTTGTAGCCATTGACATTAGTCAGGAATTCTGGCAGACAGTAGAACTCAGGAATGAGTTCTCTCACATCAGCCTTGTTTTTGCAAGATGCTGATTTCCAGGCTTCTGGGATTGACTGGAACAGACGGTCGGCGTGGTCGAAGCTTCCACCTTGCAGCAGTATGTACGATTGGACGAATGGCGGTAGACGGATCAGGTATGATGAGACAATCATGGCAGAAGAGTAGTGTGTGCCATAGTGGAATGGTATTTCCCCAATCTCTGCCAACGCATTGTAGCTCTCGACAAAGCCTCCCACTCTGTTCGGTGTTTGGGCACCCATTGGCTTTGACAGGTCGCGGAAGGTGTTAGGGTCATCAAGGTCCAAGTCTTCGCTTGTATAATCAGCCAGAACCCACGGAAAGACTGGGTATTGAGTCAAATCGTTGAACGTCCTGCCAGCCATAGTGTTGACCATCATAAGATAGTGGAAGTTGGAGATCTCGCCCTTTTGCCATTTCTTAAGGAGAGGGTTCCATGGCGATGAGTTAAAGAATGTGCCAAACTTGGATCCAAATCCTTGAGGCGACTCGTCAAAGACCTTGAGAGACTCCAGGCGCCAAGCATCTTCAGGGTTCGGAAGCGTGTTTGCGCCGCTTGTGTGAGGTGCCTTGTTGAGCATTTTCACGAACAGGTTATCTCGCACCACAGGGTTGATCGTAGTCAAGAGATAGCTTCGACCGTCAGTGAAGAACACCTCAATCGCAACGTCTCGGAACAAGAACCGACGCTTGGAAATGCTAATAACATCCTGCCATCGCCAATGCCTCGATTCCTGCTCCTTATTGTTCTGTCGCTTCTCAGAAGTTTTAGCGTCCGTGACAATCTGAGAGAAAGGATCGCGCTCTTCAGGGGGAGCCTGCCAGACATTGACGATGTCACCGTTGGCACACTGGAACACGTTGTCCATTATGTAAAGGGCATCCTTGCCTATTATGAGGATTCCTTCACATGCTTCCAGGCCAATGATGCGTGAGATATTGTACGCAGATTGGACCTGGTCTCCACGCTCCAATCGTCGCATCACTTTGCGGTTCTTGTCCTCGAAACCTTCGTCTCCTTCGTTGGGATCATTAGGGTCGTCCACAAGCTCAAAATCATCCTCGGGCGCAACACCGGAGCTGGGTTGCTCGGCTGGCTCGGTGGATTCTGGCTCCTCTGTGAATTGAGGCTGTTCAGTATTGCCATCCAAAGCCGATGCAGCGCTTGGCTTCGTTGGCGTCACAGCGGAAGCCTGGATCGAAGGAGCTGGACTGGCCGACGTATTGATCCGGAGAGTCTGCAGTACCTCACTGGCCTTTCTCTTCGGTTGATACTCATCCTTACTGAATGTAAAATCCGGAAGGACCCTGAGCCTCATTCGATTTCGTCCTTCTGTGCGGTCAAGCTTCCACTTGGGTGTAGCTGCCTCACTGAACACCGCGCCAGGCCTCATAAGATCCCGCTCCATCTTGGTGTAAGCCGCGCTTAGGAATACTAGGTCATCTTGTTGGTCCTGCATGAGTCGCTGATACTTGAAGTACTCAGAGTTGTAGATGCTCTTCATCCAAGCGCTGTTACCAATATCGTGACTGAGGAGAATCTTCTCTGTGCTGATGCTCTCCGCATGCAAAGATCTAAGTTTATCTTTGCGCTTGGCGAGACGAACTTTGGCTGTCTCTGAAGTCCGCACATTTTCTGAACTGACAAAATCCTCCCATGTTTTGGACATGCCGCCAAAGAAGAGAACATCTAGTGATGGGCGGTGCTTATCAACCCAGTCAACGAATGATTCATCATCCACACCTGTCAACTTCTGAAAGTCCTTCGAAAGCTGCTTTTGGTCTGGCGACATGCAAGAGCGGATCAGCGTAGCAGATTCCTCTGGCTTCTGCACCAAGATAATGCGTAAGAAGTTAGCTGCCGCAATACGAAGGGGCATCTTGTCGCCAATGAGTTTCGTGTAGAGCTGGTACCAGAAGAGTTTAAGGAACTCGTCCTCGCTGGTAAAGCAACCGAGAATTGACATCTGCCAGTACACCATCTTGTCCATAAACTGCTTGGCCTCCACCAAAGTGGTCTCTTGGTTGTCAAGATCCGATAACCTCAGAAGAATGATCCTCAGTAAACAGCTTCGGATTGTAGCGACAGCCTGGCTGCAAAGTCGGACACTCTTGAGGTTCGAGATGTCCGGACGCTGCAGAAATTCGAGAAGCATGCCAACAAAGTCAATCATAGCTTCGGCGCCATTCATGAACCATCCCTCAAAGATGGCCTCTGACATATGTGTGCAGAACCGAGAAAGGTTGGTCAGTACACGAGGCTCGCAGATTGCTTTCTGATTGAGCTGAACATTATTCGTCAATTGAGCAATCACATGCTTCAATATGTAAGACTCAAAGTACGCTTGGTGCTCACGGAACCCAGGAGGGACTTTAGTAAACAGGCCGAACCCTGGGAAATCTTTCCGTGCGAGAAGCTGGTCCATAAAGACATTCACCACCAGCTCCAAGAGTCCATCCAAGATATCGCTACTAGGCTTCTTGCTTGGTACTGATCTCAATGAAGGCAGCGCTGGGTTCAATCGAGCTGGACTGGGTCCGACTGGTGACTTTTGTTGGGTGAGTAGGATAAACGACGAGGCTCTTCGCAGTGGTGTGCCCTTTGGTGGTGTTGACTGAGGCGAGGGTACTGGATCCACGCTTGTTGTTCGCACTATAGGCGTGGCATTTGAGGCACTACCACTAATTGGACGAATGATAACATCAGTTCCCTCAAATGTGAGAGCCGTATCGCCAGAGTTCAACTCGGTTTCGGGCGTCACCGCATCGGCACTAACGATGACTGGGTAGAGTGCTGATAGCAACAGTCTCACCCACTCCGAGTTCAAAGCAAAGTCCCTGAATTCGGTTGAACGTGCATGGAGATCCGAAAGGAAGCGAATGACTGTATGTAGAACACTAGCATAGCTTGCAACTCGTTCACTGTCTCGCGAGAAGTTGGAGCGCGTCTCAAGGGCAGTGGCCAAGTTCATGGAGCTTGCTCGCGGGCGTAGTTCAGTAGATGATGCGTGCTTCTTAAGCGCAAAAGATGGGTCGATATGGGTTGCCGGCGAGTCTGGATCATCCTGATGTCTCATCACATCTTTCAGACCGTGCTGCAGCATTGCAGTGATGACAGACAGAGAGTCGGGGTATACGACCTTTCGCTTTCCAAACGTCTCCAGCAAGCTGAAGAAGTCAAAGTTTCTGTCAAAATTGATCTCGGCGACGTCGTAGCCAAACAAGATGCTGAAGCAAACGGGCCATAGAGTCGGCATGTCCCAGAATCGCTTCAATCTGTTTGACATGATGATGAAGCCTCCCGACTTTCCGGCGAATTTCGAGGTATAGTTTGAGCCATGGGTGACCAGAAGACGAGCCAGGATCTTACAGCCATGAACGACAACTTCCGGGTCGTCTTCAGCCAACAAGTAAAGGAGCCACTACAAACATTAGCAAAGAAAAATACAAGATGTACTCGCTCTCACCTTATTTGTTACAGTCCGAGCAAACTTCTTGATGTGCGTTGTGTTGCCCTTTTCACATAGAATGCGCGAGTACATGCTAAGAACCTTGACACCAAGCTGCTTCTTAGTCAAGAATTTCAGACCAGAAGCGATAGCAGCCGCAGTGGGATCAGTTGGTGTGCCTCGCCGTCGTGGAACTGGAGTGCTTGATCTAGATATGGCTGAAAGAGGTCGTGGAGTTCGTGGTAAAGATGAAGGTTGTGAGTGGAAGGCGTATGTGATGAAAAGCGACAGCGATCGCATGACCTCTTGGCTAAAGTTGGACACAACAAGGACTTCGAAAGCGCCCATAAAGTGAGATATCGTGTCTTCTGAAACGACCTCTCCTTTCATGGCATCGAGCAGCCTCTTGACAATTCCTGGGAACGATTAGCACGATTTGCAAAGTGTAGGCATCGTGTAACATACTCATCCTTATCAGCCTTCGACTATTAAATTCGTGATACTTGCTCTTAACTGCGAATGTTACGAACTGTTTATAGTAAAGCTCTTGGATTCGAGGCGCCGACTTTCGCCAGATGTCCAGGTCAATGAGCAAGATGCGATAAGCAAGGGGGTTGATGATGAAGGATTCCATTGGCTCTGTATGGTTATATCCAACGAAGCCAAGGATGAGACTCAGTAGTTGAAACGCCAGCCGATCGCGGTCCTCGTTAGAAACCTGGAGTCGGGTAACAGTTGAGTCGCCACTGCTGCGGTCGTACCCCAGCTTCACACGGAGAAGCATCGCCAAAATGCCGTATCCATTGTCCTTTTCGATAGCTTCACTGTTCCTCCAGCTCTGGCGAATACAGTAAAACAACATTTCCGCGGCTCTCACTGTCTCTTCTATCGATGATGCTCGCTCGAACAGCTTCAGGGCCAGTGGAGTGAAACCAGCAAGCCGCCACAGGTTCTCATCTAGGTACGATGGCACAGCGACGATAGGATTGCCTCGGAATTGCAGAAGACCTTGAACTCTGAACAATGAGTCCGGAAGACTTGGCACGGCACAGTTGATCGCTAGAGGGGCACCTTCTTGGTTTGATGCTCGGAAGAGATTGCGAGCACAGTTTCGCGGCAGCGACCTCAATAGCCCTGTGTCATAGAATTGCACATTTTCTGGGAACGTGGCTGAAGGAAGGATGCTGAGGAGAATCTTGGATTCTGGTAACAATGAGCCTGCTTTCTCGCGGACAGCCCTAATAATGTCCGAGGTCTCGCCCTTCCCAGGATGTGCAATCTCGTTTCTGAGTCCCAAGGTGGCTGATGCCTCATAGGTTTGAAAGCCTCCCAAGCTATCCTGAAAGTTGCCCTGATACCGTGGGCCAAGACCATAGTGAACTGCCAGAAAGTCATCACTCAAAGCATCTTCAAACAGATGTGCCGAAGCAAGTGACCAGCGCGAGAACACAAGTCCAGGGCCTATTTGATTCGAGAGGTCTTTCGGCGTACCAATAAACGCCTGCACTGGGTTCGTCTTGTTCTGGTTCGAGTTGAATGAGGCAAAGCTATCATGTGCACCAGTTGACAAGGGCGGAAGATGGGGATAGTTGCAGCGAATTTGTTCTGAGAATTCACCGTTCACATAGAGTGACGCTTTGCTAGTAACTAATGCCTTTGGTCGGCGATGCACAATAGCAATGTGGTACCACTTCTTTTCCTTGAACGAAACAGACTTGAACCTGACACTGGGTTTGTTGGAGGTAACAGATGTTTGAAGGATAAAGTTGTGAGTATCCCTCTCAAGATACATCAGCAGAAAACATGCTTGTGTGGAATCAAAGACACCAAATATTGTTGTGTGTGCAGTAGGATCGAAGCTGTCTACTCGAATCCAAGCTGTAAATGTGTAACCTGCACTAGACTGCGGTGGGAACGATCGACCAAGACTCGACAACTCAAGGGACGAATGGCCGTGCAATGAGAGGTCGAATTGGAAGAATGGGGGACCGGAATGTTTCGATGTCATCTGTAAGCAGAACTCGGACGCTTCAGAGCCAGGCCTTGATAGAAGGAATTGTGTATCGGCAGGTTCATTCACACCCAAAAACATGAGCATTTTGCAAATCCCCAGAACCTTTTCTCGCTCAGGCGGGCTAAGTGCTGAGTCGGCATTAAAGGCGACCCGTAGGAACTGCGATAAGGCACCCGTCGAATGGACGGCAGCCCGATTATATATAGAAACCGCGATAATATTGTTAATTGTCTCCAGGACGAGTAGAGAGGCAGGATTTGCGAGGCCATCTTTCATTCGGGGAATGGCCATCCAGAAGCTGACAACTGCTCTCAGAATTTCAGGATGCCGTATTATGGTCTTGGCATTGACAACCTCCTTCACACCAGGTGTAATATTCTCGGCAGATTTGGCCAGCACAAGATCCCATTGTTCTTCAGCGCTATCTTCTTCTTCTTCTTCTTTTGGAGAATTCTCGTCGTCGGGTCGTAGTGATTTCGCGATTGATTGACATAGAAGATCGAGTGCTTCGTCGTCGAGGGAAAAGGCGAGCAGCTTGCCAAAGACATGGCAACTTATCCAGGCATCAGGCTCAGCCCCGCCGAGTCCTATGCTTGCGATAACTTGCTCTAAAGCCTCCCAGCCGCCTCCCTCGACTCGATATCGAAAAAACCGTCGGTTTCCAGAATGTCCGCGCAGTGCCCCCGAGAGCAGGTTGAGGCAGTCTCCTAGTAGCTTGAACAGAGCAAGCATGTCCGCATCGCTTCGCTTATCGGGGTCGTAGTAGCCTGAAAAGGCTCGCAGCAGATTAAGGATGGTTTGGAAGCCGTCGGCATGTCGAAAGTCATCTTGAAGGACGGCCGAGTGCGTCGCAGAAATATGCTGTATAATATGTCGGAGTTTCCGTAACAATGGCGGTATTTGAGGGTATCCGTCTTGCTTGTGTAAAGTCGTATCGAGATTCAGAGCTTCGAGCAAGCCCTTTATTATTTCGAAGGACTTGCTGTTCGGAGGGTTCGAGGCCGAAGTGGACGACCGGTATCTTCTTGGTATTGAGGCCATTGTGTGGATTGTTTAATCACGGGTTCATTCCAGAAGTAACCTTTCCCCCTGAGCCCTTCAAGGGTCCAGGTCGTTATCAGTCGTCGTAGGCATCGAAGAGTAAGATTTAGAACCTGTTGGAGCTACCGGCGCGGGGCGCATGAAGCTCTCTAGCAGGGGAAGGACAGCGCACACAACACGACCACGGGGCTCGGCGATATCTGAGGAACAATGGTGGGAGGTATCGGAACTCGAACTCGTCAAACAGATTCTGAAGCTGAAAATTAGCGAAGGTGTCTCGAAACAAACGGTCACGACTGGAGCCTGGACTACCTGTGCTCAATACCGTAACTCGGGGTCAGCCTTGGAGGTGTGGCTTGGCTGTGGCGAAGGCGGCCCCTCACTCCAAACTGTCAGTGCCACTACTTTTGGGCGGATCGTCTGAGCTGACGAAGCTCGAGTCACGGTGTTGGAGTGACATGAACGCGTGCACCTGATGGAAACCTCCACACCTGCATAAGGAGGAGGGTTTCATTGGGAGCGTTTTGGAGAAGATCAACTACATCGGCTCCTTCATCGCGATTTTTGTATTTATAATGATGTTGGTACTCGAGACATTGTATTGTTTGAAACGCCGTGTCTCGGTGACGTCGATATTTGGTTCAGGGTAGCTTATACGAACATGTAGCATGACAGGCAGATGCCATGAAGTTGTGTAATCACTCGTCCTGTTCTTTTTGTTTCCAGTAAAATTAAGATACAGAACTACCTTATTCATGGAGTATACTTGTAGCTTTTCTGTAAGTTATGGTCCCTCCGTGTCACTTTGGCGATCGCTTTTGCATCAACTTATTTTACGTAGAAGAATGCTTGTCCAAGGGAAGATGCTCCGAAACCAAGACCATGATGGATGTAGGAAACATCAGGAAGTTTAGGGCAAGAGACCGCTTAGCGATAAATTCTTTGTACAAACGTTCATGGTCATTGAATCTGACTTTTTGAGATAGGCTAGGCAACATGCTTCGAATGCGACATTGGCCTCAGATCAGGGTCTTGCTGCTTAGCTCCAGGGTGCATGCATCTATAAGCAAGGCGGGCTATAGAGCCATGGACACTTAAATAAAACAATGCCGACTTGATATCTAAGGTATCTGACTTCCGTGTTGCTTTCGCCTAAGCATCAACTTAATTCACTAAAACTTATGCTGTTAGCTAATCATCATCATAAATAGATCAGGAACTTTGTCGATCATGGGACAATTGAAACCATAGATGTTCCGAGATCCGCTTATCCTTATCTTAAACAGGTAGGCATCAGCTTATCTACTGGACAAGAGTTGATAAACAGACAATTTGTTGAGCAGTTCGGTCGTCCGATGCTTAGAATGAGCTACAAGTGCTGCTTAATGGCGTTATCTGAGCGGGCGAGATAACAATTGCTGCCGACACCTGAGAGTGGAGAGCTCCCCGAGAGCTACCAGATGCAGACGCGCTACGCATGCGTATGTACCTCACCCGAGCTTGGAGCTCAAGGTGCCTGGCGTGAATTGACAGAGAGCAAAGCACTGGCCAACGTTAAGCCCCGGATGTTTTGGGTGCCTGGTGAGATGATGAGTGAATACCGTGAAATAGCTTATCAATTTCGCATAGTGAATCATGACGTCTACTCTGCCGTGTTGTCTTTCCAAGGAATCGAATCTCTCAAGACCAAAGGTCACTTTAACCCTGGGAACGGACTGGGATGGTGAGGCGCTGCTGGCGTTGGCTTGGAGCGAACAGCGCTTGAGAGTCGAATTGAGACATGGGCATGCTACACAGGGCACGTGCCAGGGACGTCGTCTGACTCGATGGATCAGGCGGATTAGGTCAGTGGGGGCCAATCGGAGCCAAGGCGCTCCCCGCATTCTACGTTTTAGCACTGGGTAGAGAGACACCTGTTTTTGGCTGCAAACACCGCAAACTGGAAGGTACCTGACTTGTTGAAGCTCACCCTGTCTGGGTGGATCTTGGTTTCGGCGCAAGCAGGATACTTTGATCTGCCTGAGGTAGCACAGTGTGAGGGAGCTTGCGTATCCATGATGAACTGTATCTGTTTATGGCTGAGTAACTGTAATGGATCAGCCTTGAGGAACGAATACTCCGTTGAACTCAGAATACTGCTGGAAAATCATGGAAAGGACACCTTATAACTTATGAAGTCTGCTGAAAAGGTTGAATCGTTAGCGAATCAGTGAGTATAAGAGACAAATCTTGCTCTTAACCTTCAGTACAGTGATGTCGTGTTCGCTCCCGTTACCGAGAGCCTATCCATGAGCCATGACTCGAAACAAGGCGGACAAACACGACCGGGTTGTCAGCCTTCGTCAACATGAGGCAATCACTCGCCATCAGTTGACTCTCAAACGATCAGAAGCGGTGAATGGGTACTCGCATAATCACTGTACCTCCTTGACTCTCAGTAAAAACGCCCATAACAGGCTCCTCATCTTCATCATGACCATTCCTCGGGTCAAGACGGCTGAATTGTAGCCCGCCTCGGCCTTCTAGACTCAGTGCATGGCTAAACTCTCACACGGTCCGTCATGAGAGCTAAGAGGTACCTGGCTCAAACAGGTGCCGTTATCGCATTGCCTCGGTGACGGCCATTGGCCCTCTAGCACGTACGCTAAACCATATTCGGTACTCAGCCACTGTGTTATCGCCCATCCTAGCGATGGATGCGTCACACCCTCCTGCCGGGTCCCCCAGGCCCGCTGAGGCAACACTGGAGCTGTCGCACGCTGCTCGTGCTTTGCTTATCTACCCCAGGTGCTGCCGCCATCGCTTCTTCTTCCTTTCATCATCTCATCCATATCCATCATCTCTCTCCCCATCCTTTGAAGTATCGATCTCGTCTGATTCCATCTATTCAGACGGTCGAGGACATCAATTTGTCCATTTGTTTTCTGTCTTTGAGTCGCAGGTAGACCAAACACAAGCTTTGTCGCTTCAGCTTCGTCATTGCGCCTTTCGTCACCATGAAGTCCGCTCTCACCCTCTCTATGGCGGCTGTCGCCAGCGCTGCCTCCTTCAGCGTCGGCACCGTCCACGACAAGGCCGCTCCCATCCTCAGCTCCATCGATGCCGAGACCATCCCAGACTCGTACATCATCAAGTTCAAGGACCATGTTGATCATGCCGCTGCCAGCGACCATCACATGTGGGTTCAGGACACACACAAGCAGGGCGAGACTGAGCGCCTCGAGCTGCGAAAGCGCTCCGTTCCTTTCACAGACAAGACCTTCTCTGGCTTGAAGCACACCTTTGACATCGGTGATGCCTTCAAGGGCTATGCCGGCCACTTTGACGAGTCCATGATCGAGAAGGTCCGAAACCACCCTGACGTAAGTATCTCCGATTATGCCTCATGATCATCAGAAGCTAACATCAACCAGGTCGAGTTCATTGAGCGAGACACTCTTGTCCACACCATGGTCCCTGTTTCCCAGAACATGATCACTGAGGACAAGTGCGACGGCGAGACTGAGCGACAGGCTCCTTGGGGTCTTGCCCGTATCTCCCACCGCAACACCCTCAACTTCGGTACCTTCAACAAGTACCTCTACTCTTCCGATGGTGGTGAGGGTGTCGATGCCTACATTGTTGACACTGGTACCAACGTCGACCACGTTGACTTCGAGGGTCGTGCCCACTGGGGTAAGACCATCCCCTCCGGCGATGCCGATGAGGATGGCAACGGTCACGGTACTCACTGCTCCGGTACTGTCGCCGGTAAGAAGTACGGTGTTGCCAAGAAGGCCAACGTCTATGCCGTCAAGGTCCTCCGATCTAACGGCTCTGGATCCATGTCCGATGTTGTCAAGGGTGTTGAGTTCGCTGCCACCAGCCATCTCGAGCAGAAGAAGAAGGCCAAGGACGGCAAGCGCAAGGGTTTCAAGGGCTCCGTCGCCAACATGTCTCTTGGTGGTGGTAAGACCCAGGCTCTCGATGCTGCCGTCAACGCTGCTGTCCGCACTGGTATTCACTTTGCTGTCGCCGCTGGCAACGACAACGCTGATGCCTGTAACTACTCCCCCGCTGCCGCCTCTGAGCCCGTCACCGTCGGTGCCTCTGCTCTTGATGACAGCCGTGCCTACTTCTCCAACTACGGAAAGTGCACTGACATCTTCGCTCCCGGTCTGAACATTCAGTCCACCTGGATCGGCTCCAAGTACGCCGTCAACACCATCTCTGGTACCTCCATGGCCTCTCCCCACATTGCTGGTCTCCTCGCCTACTACCTCTCTCTTCAGCCCGCTGAGGACTCCGAGTACGCCCTTGCCTCCATCACCCCCAAGAAGCTCAAGGAGAACCTCATCTCCGTCGCCACTGAGGATGCTCTCTCCGACATTCCCTCCGACACCCCCAACCTGCTCGCCTGGAACGGTGGTGGCTGCAGCGACTACAAGAAGATTGTTGAGGCTGGTAGCTACAAGGTCAACAAGGCTGCTCCCTCTTCTCGCGTCGAGGAGATCAAGCACGCTGTTGAGCAGGAGGTCAACCTCGTCTCTGGCAAGCTGACCACCGGTGCCAAGGAGCTTGGCTCCAAGGCCGAGAAGTTCTCCAAGAAGATCCACGAGCTCGTCGATGAGGAGCTTGAGGAGTTCCTTAAGGAGCTCAACCTGTAAGATCTATAATCTTATCACTGGGTGCATTGGGTACACATTATGTTGGGATTACGGATTGCTATGGGTCTTTTTGGTTTGGGTTACATGACATTGATAGGGGCGCTTGCTCTTCTTGATGACCAGTTGTCATCACATTGTGCGCTTGAATGCATGGGTTAGTCTATGAGGCAGGCTAGATTTAGGCTTGCTCAATTACAATACATCTCCTTACTACAAGATCAATCTTCTCCATCGTGATGCCTGCTTTGTGTGCTGTTCATGTTGATGTTGTAATTCTACCTGACCACCGCGGCAAGGCGGGTATCTGATGGTAGGTGCCTTGGTGGAGGCGCTTGTACCGGAGGTAGCGTTCTTTCTCTTGCTGTTGCTCACCTGCGAATAGTTCCTTCCATCTTCAAACAATACAACAGCGCTCCCGTTCCTTCCTTAGGTGTGTTTACCTTGAGTATGTTGAGTCACTCTTTGCCATGTCTGCCATTTCATTCTATCTCATTTGGTGCCATCACCAACAAGGCATCACTCTATCCTTCATATTGTTGTTCTCGAGTCTACAATCAGCCTTCATTTATACCCAACTCTTATTTGCAGTTGCAAATCTGAACATTTATGAGAAATGCTGCGACGTAACAGCTCTCGAAAGAAGAATCGCCGTCCACTGAGTCGAAGCAAATCGACCAACTCTGTCGCCCGCAGTCCCATCCGCGATCTTGAATCCATCAATCCTGCCAGGGCTGAGCGAGATGCGAACATTGCTGCTGTAGTCTCGTATCAGCGAGCTCAAGATAGAGATAGCAGTGAGGGAATGCCACTCCCGCGAGACCCTGCGAGCTTCTACCCCGACAGGAGTGATGGCACTGGCAGCGTCATCAGACACAGCCTTGAGCGGACTGACAGTGCTCTGAGCGTTCATGGCAGTTCAAACATCGCTCGCAAGAAAAGCGTTCGCTTTACCGGGCCGTTAGCTCACCCACGCAGAAATTTTGCATCCAGAGCGAATGGTGGAAGAGATTCTCCGACAAAAGCAACTTCCGCAATTCATGCTTTCGGGAACGCAAACGTCAGACCCTCATCCACGCTGTCGTTCCATAAAGAACGACCAGATAACTTCTCCCTTACCCGACGTTACCTAGAAATGCTGCAGCCACCCGAAACGTGTTACAAACCAGAAGAAGATGCTGCTTCGATGGCTGCATCCTACAAAAAGGTTAGGAAGTCCCGGTCAATGGTGACTTCCTCGCATGCAGAGACAGGGACAATTTCTAGCAAGACCTGGTCTGTAAGGGCTCGCCAGCCGCCTACAGTTCCTCGACGTCTGCCTACGAATAGCGAAAATGAACCGCTAAAGGATGCGATGCCCCCCAATGCCAGTCTCAGAGCTTCTACATCAATGGGCTTTCTCAAAACCCGGCGACGACTGGCGGCGTCACGGTCAAGCAGCCGTGCTGATGATCATGATCTGGCAGTTCAACTTGCCAGAGAGAGATTCCGGCAGATACAGGAGCAAGGTGCGAAAAAGTGTCAATCGTCTTCTTTGCTACGCCCAAAGCACACACAAAGCGAAGGCTCTCCCTTCCGAAAGTCGATGCGCAATAGTAGTAACAACACGGCAGTCTCGACCATTTCTACCTTCTCCGGTTCAAAGCAGAGAGGTATCCGAAAGACGGCGCGCCAGGTATCTCATGGGCTCAGATCACGACTGCGAGGGCTGTTTGGCAGAGGAAAGAGTTCCGAGGACTCAGACCAGCATGAAAAGGAACAAGTCGCGGTGGAGAAGGATTCGGATGCAGAGAGTTGCTTGCAGATCGGAGATGCTGAGTCGACCGAAGAAGCCTCCATGTTTCAGGTTACATCGCATGTTCCTTCCCTGCACGACGTACCGTCCAACCAGCAGCTCAGGTCTCGCAAAGGGAGCGTCGAAAGCTTTGGAGATGGCGACCAGCATATTCCTGACGACAAGTCTCGTGTCACCAGCTGGACGAACTCGATGACAAATACAGTGACAAGCCATGGAACCTTTGGAGACTGGGACAGGCAGCGCCTCTCTGTGATTAAAGAGAATGGCACACATATTCCTTCATCAGTTCGATCGATCGAATATTTGGAGCAGCAAACTAGAGACATGATTGCAGACATGTCGGTTGACAGCGAACGTGTCTACTCAGCCCTTATGGAGCGACTCGCACGCAAGGAGCTGACGGATAGGGTCATGCAGTCTCAACCAGGCTCGGTCAAGTCCAGAGGAACGAACACCGGAGATAATGATGGTCAATCCATCAACAGACAATGGGATTGCTCCACAATTAGGTGCGTCAGGCCTGATGATAACATTTTCAGAGACAACGGCGACCCTTCTTCGCGAAGTTCAAGCTCAACCACTAAGGTCCCCGATTATGAGAACAAGCACCAGCCCCAAACCGGCCACACATCTACTGTCGAACATACGGCTGCATTGAATTGGAGCGACGATAGGACTCACTCTGAAAGCGAGCATACTAGTGTTCTACTCCAGGGCCTGGAACCACATAAGACGATCACCCAGAGAAGCTCTGCATTTTTCGCAAGTCCTTCTTGTCAATCGTTCCGTTCCCCAAGTCCTTATCGGCGCGCTCTCAGAGCAAGCCAGATGAACTCTGAAGACGAACAAGGCGCTTTTCAGGGATCACGGTATCTACATTCGCTATCGACCTTGTGCCTTCCTACGCGTCAAGACAGCAGCCCATCTTCAGGGAAGGACCTGCAGGTGGGAGATACGGAAAGCGTTTACTCTTATGCGGGCGATGATGCAAATCCGGTGCATTCAGCTTCAGAGAACACCGTGGGACAGAATGAGGCCTGCATCTACAACGATCCTGGACCACCGTCAGAGGTACCTGACCGACTGTTATACCGTCAACACCAACGAGATACATCCACGGCGAGTTCTGTAGAATGGAAGACCTGGCTTAGCTCAAAAGTGTCACAGCTTGAAGCACCTTTGACACCCACCAAGCGAGAGAAATGGAACGACGTGCTTCTAACACTGGGCCATGTTAGAGAAAATGCTTCTATGGGATCAACACCTGAGCATTTCGCACCTACGAAAGACGGCGCAACAAATCGTAGCCCTCTGAGCAACGTAGAGGGTAATGCGCAAACCTTTCAAGACGGAGGTAATCCGGCAAGATCAACGCGTCAAGTCTTCATAGGATACGGCGAGAATGCAGCACCGAGTTATAAAGCTAATATTTATACCAAAGAGCGACCCCCATCTATACCGCCCAGGAGCAGGTTGCGAGCGGTGCCATCTCTGCCAAGTGTCGGCTCAAGCGGATACATTCCAGACACAGGTTTGGTGAAGGAGATGCCGCGTATGCGATCACTAAATACGATAGGACGTCTCAATTCGACCCCAGAGGAATCTATCAACAAGAGACGGTCCCGGACACGCGTCACTGGTTGGCAAGGCTCACCAACCAAGTCAAGCCCCGGGGTTCGTGCTCTTACAAATACCCAACCTCCTAGAATCGGATCACCTGCTCTTCGAGGAGACTTTGGCCTGAAGTATCCGATCAGATCTCAGACAATAGAGAGACAGCCGGGAGACACGATGAGGGATCGAGAGTCTGATGCTCAAGCGATGGGTAGCAAGACGATGGTGGACCTGTTTTTGAGTAGCCGACGGAACCAGGGAGATGGTAGAAGTAGTGGATTTGGCAGTTCACCAGCGGCGTTTCTTTAAAGGCCACATGTGTGAGTCGTTGAAGTACATCCGATATGGAGAAGAGCAGTGTTTATTGAAGGAGTGGGCAGTTATGCTGCGGTAGGTCATTAATACTCTTGTATATATCTTAGCTGAGGAGTCATTGACCGCAGGGTTTTCTTTCGTATCAAGACATGTCTTTAGACACAATCCCATTGAGACGATATTGTGAAGAGGTCTCGCAACCATATAGCATTAATTGAGGCCGGATGCTTGAGTCACGCCGTCAATTGAGGTATCGCGAATGCATCTGACGTGAGTCTTGGATGGAGATGAAAGAGAACGTGCATTATTACTATTAGTGTCTACTTATCCTGATCGAGCGGACAGACGTGAACCTCCCAATACTTGGCATACTCCTTGGGAAAACTCTTCTCCCTCTCCTTACTAACCCACTCCCCATACTTCTCATGCGTAACCGCCTCATCCAGCACCCCATTCTCCTTGTTCGTCTTTGTAAACTCCAAGAAGTCCATCGTCACTTTAACATACTCCCCCAGCGCCTTCTTCACATCAGCCGTAGCGCCAGTCGCAAAGTTGAGCAGCAATGGCTGCAGGAGGGGTGCATCGGTTACACTGGGATGCGCCGTTCCAACGCTCGTGAGAAACCATGCCGAACCGACTTTGTCGCGCACGCCGCGTACGAGGTCGAGAACTGTATCGAAGTGAGGGCGGCCAAAGAAGATACTGTGGGTTTTGGACCAGGAGTTGGAGTGCACGACGAGGAGAGGCACGGGAATGTTGGTGTTGAGTTGACCGCTAGACTTGCCGGGGTCGAGAGCAATACCGCCGATGGCGGGATTTGCAGCGGTGGTGTTGGCTGTTTTGAGGGCTTGGAGAGCGCCTGTCGCGCCGTAGGAGTGGCCGTTGATGGTGAGGTGCTTAAAGTCCAAGCGATCCTTCCATCCATCCAATGTACTGCCTTCGCCTCGGGAGCTAGATGTGAAGATATCCTTGCCCTTGCCGTCATTGACATCCTTCAGAACCCGAATAGCCTGCATGATCTCCTCCGTGCGAAACGCAAGCTGCTCCTTCTTGAGCAACGTATCGTTCATAGGCGGCTCGGAAATGAGATCGCCCTCCTTCAAGAGAAACACAGGTCTGTCCTTCTTATTCTTGATCTGGACCATACTACCGGGACAGCTTCCATCGCGATGTTCAAGGGCAGCGATGACGTGGCCCCGACTGGCGAGTTCACCGAGATAGTGCGTGTAATCCGTTCTCGAACTCACAGATCCGTGCGAAAACACCATGACGGGAAACTTCTCCCCGTCGGAGCCCAAGAGTGGTACGTCGACTTTGGCGGGGATCTTGATACTGCCCACGAGAACCCAGAGCGCAAATGTGAAGATGGGTCGGATGATGAAGTTGTTCACTCCCGCTGCGCGCGCATATCCCTCCGCTGTAAGGCTCAGTGGTTTCGGCACCCAAGGATGCGGCGCACCCTTTGATCTGGCGCCCTTAACAGCAGGATAATACACCGTAAACAACACACTCTCAACCTCAAACGCCGGCTTTTTCGTACTCTTCAAAAGCGTCTCAGACAAACGCTTCGGTTTCTCAAGTGGAATCTCCAGATCAATAGCCCCTACGTCATGCGGTCCCGAATAAGCCGGTAATCGTGACGAGAAGAACGGCTGCCATGTAACAAAGCAATAAAGCACGTAAACGCCGATAACAGAGCACGCGACATATCGCCACGTCAATCTCGGACGGAGAACATGTCTAAGATATTGCGCAAACGGTTTTACAGAGGATGTGATGCGTGTGAAGATGCTGGATGGGCGAGGATCGAGCCAGCGCGGTTTAGGCGCGGGTGGATCCATGGTGAGCGGAAGATCCGGGTCGGAGGAGGAGTCTGAGAAGGGGGAGTTGAGGCGGTTGAGTTCGAGGTCGATTGAGTTTTGAGACTGTGGCATTTCTTGAGGGATGAGGATGGGAACGAGGAGGTTATGATGAGGGAAGTGAGGTGAGGTGAGGTGAGGTGAGGTGAGGTGATGCGTTGAGTGTTTCTTGTTAGTGAGTGATGAGGGTGGCGATGACGCAAGCGGGTCTGGTCGCATTCGGCATCTATCGATTGGAGAGGGGGATTATTCATCAACGATAGAGACGATAGACTTTATAAAATATCTTGACATTCAGAACATGACCAGCCATGATGGATTATATGATCTTTAGTGATGGGAAATGACTCTGTAGTATACGTTTGCTGAACCATGGTGAAGACTGATCACCGGGTACAGTGTTGAATACAGTATGTAAGGATCGCATACTGTTTTACGACGGAGTTGAGCAGTCAGGAAATTTAATGCTGAAATGAAGCCTAAGACATTGCTGACTTAAATGTCTATGATGCACAAGAGTTGAAGCGATTAATTGAACTAGTTATCCTGAAGCTGTTTGCAAGATAAACAGAGTTGCTTCGCTGCCTGGCTGCTCACGTTCAACCGACTCACATCTCTTACACGCACGCACAGTAACACTTCTGTAATAGTTTCTCAAATGAGAAATAGTTGCTAGAGTCCTATAATATGATTAGGTAGTTACTGCTGAACAGGTTTTGCAATTTTATGTCTCAGTTGGGTTCGCAGTCTGCTTTCTCAGTCACGTCTGACCAGTATCCCACATGAGTGGAGTTAAACAACACCATATGAGATATGAAACTTCAAGTCATAGTGCTAGTCACTTGGAGTGATGCTGTTTGTAACATTTAACTGGCATTAGAGTTAGAAACTGACCAGAAAGTGAGTGAGAGAGCTGAGTTAGCAAGCATGACCAGGTGTTGAACAAAGAACTGATCTAGTTATTGAAGTTCGAAGAAACATGTTGCAAGGATGGTGGAAGAAGAGAGTTCTTGAAATACGCTCGATGTATCAACTATCATTGAGTTTCCAGCAGAGAAAGGCGTTACAGGAAACAATATCCTAGCCCTCAACTATATTAACATGGACATGCATCCCGTTGCCAAGAAAGTCATAGCTGCCATAGCTTGCGCTTCATACAAACAACACGTACATAGTCTTCACTGTCTGTTAAGAAACCCCTTAAAACTTCTATTGGCGAGATAGTTATGAGGTATGCGGGGACTATGCCTGTAGAAACCCCGGATAGTCACAACTGCAGTCAGAAACCCGGAACATGCTGATGTCATGGTGATGCTGTAGTAGGTGAGTTTGACATATCTATTACAACTCCTTCACCCCAATGAGGAGTAGAGAATCTCAAGTAAAGGCGCAGTTCCCGGGAACAGCACGGTGACTTGAAGGGTGGCCTGTATATACCAGGTTTAGCTATCTCATAAAGTTCATGAGACCCTGTTGACGATCAAAACCTCCAATTATACACCGCCACGCATGACATGTGAGAAACTTAAGTTTACTATGTCGACTATAAACCCGCGTTATTCGCGTCAACGGGCGCGTACAGCACATATCGTAGCATTGCGAGGGTGATGATGGACATAGCTTGCAGTAGTATCACCTGTCACTTTCTCAAACCCTTGAGTTCACAAACTCAAAATAATCTCCGCCCTGTAGCATATGAAAGACGTCAGATTAATCTGGGGCTGATCGGCAAAGTTGTGAAAGGCTGGATGATAACTTATGACCTGAACCCAATACGGATAATATATTACCATCTCCACAGACCTCGGCTTATTTTTACCAGTTCTCGGGATAACACACCGACGATCGACAAGAGACTCTCGCACTCTATCGCGTGCCAAGAAATTACGTCCTCCAGATCGGGTACCACGTAGCTGAACTCTCTAAGCGATCATGTATGTACCCTATCTCTTGGATGTGACCTAGGCTGAACGACATGCGACAATAGTGACACGACTTTACCTTGAAAAACGAAAAGAAAGGTGTGAGGCATATTTGAAAAAGAGAAGAAAAAAAAAGGTATCATGATCATTATTACTTTATGTCGTCCGTGGTATTCCGTCGTCATTCTAAGTCCCAATCATTCCATGGTATCAAGCCCTCCCAAATTAATCCCGTCCCATTCCGTCGATTCGATCTCAGCCCCTCCCGCCAGCCTACACCAATAATTTCTTCAGCGTACCCGTTTCACCGGAACACAAACTGGGACACCTAGTTAGCATTAATCTTAGAGTCCTGTATCGTTCATTGTTACGTTGTTTCTCCTAAGCTGGACACTTGAGAGATGCTGCTTCTTCCGCTTTTGAATCCAGTGCTGCTGTAGTGGTTTGAGGATTTTTGCTGCAATGTTTATGACTCTCGAGTAAAGACCGTATCTCTTGAATTTCGCATTGTAAAGAGCTGATCTTTGATTTGAGGACCGCGTTTTGAGTCTTGTAGTCTTGGCCGCGGGCTGTTGATATCGCGTGATCTGCTTGAAGGGCCATATTTATGTGCAAGTTAATTTTGATGATCGTCAGAAGAGGGATATGGAAAGAGGAAACATCTCCCCCTTTGAAAAGAAACGAGATGAGCGATTAGATATACATGTGTCAGTATCGAATACCTACTCATCAACGATCCCATCCCGGGTTAGCAGAAAAAGAACGCAGTCTAGAAGCCATTTCGGCCGAGTGGCTCACCGAAAGACTCGCATAAGCATGGTGTCATAAGCACTTCATCGACCCCGTTTTCTACTGTTAAGGTCAGACTAGGCGTGCCAGTTGAACCCTGCCATTGGCGTGCGCCCATCTAATTCCAAGGGTTTTTCGATTTAGGTTGAGGGCTGTTTCATCTGTCGAGTCAGGCATTTAGGGATCAGATTTCAAAAGTGGTGCATGGTACTTTTTGAGCCTATAGAGCGATGATCCTGAGATTTGGCGTTCACATCCATCCAACCCTTCTAAAGATAAATGTGGCGCCACTGGCCAATGCCGTGGCACCGGTAAATACAATCAGCGTTCCATATCCTGTTCCGTATCCACCTGCTGCTTGGCCCTGCCACGGCATCCCCTTTATTAACGCTCCACTTAATGGGCCGGACGCTATGTTTCCTATTCCTCGTCCCGCTGAGAGGACGCCTAGTACCATGGCGGGATCAAATGATGTTCCGCTAGTGCGAGTGTTGGAGGGTGTTGATGATACCATTTGCATGATGCCTGTCCAGGCTGATGTGTATGAACCTGCAAAGATGCCGTAGAATATGCAGAAGACATACAGAATGGGCAGGCTCGTTGAGAAGCCCCAGAGGAGAAATGTGCTCAGTGTTGTACCGGCTGCTGAAATCATGAAGCAGTCTGTAACATGTAGCCGATCTGTAAGTGCCCCCATGGCAACGCAGCCAAAGACTGAGGCGACATTGATGAGAAGAACTGTGAGAGCAGACGCAAAAGACCCGGCTCCAAGAGCAGTCCGAGCGTACGACGGGAGATAAATCCCAGGTAAGAAGAAGCCCAAAGCTTGGGCAATGTTAGCCAGTTGATGAAGCAAAAAGTTTCGTCTCAACGCAAAGCCCAACTTGAAAGGATTAATATGCCTCGTCGCGGAGTACGGCAAACGCGGCTTGATGAAATACGCCAACGGCAACGTCAACAAGAACAAAGAAACCGCCCAAATCCTCAAGGTGGTGCGAAACCCATATTCATGCAGAAATTTCTCAAAAAGAAGCGGTAAAGCAAAGCCCGCAAGACCGGTCCCAGACCACATGATTCCAAACGCAAACCCCTTACGCTTGGCGAACCATTCGTCCATGTAAAGGATACAAGGACAGTATGATATGGAACCACCGATGGCGTAGAGAACGCCTTGGGTGAGGATGAGATGAGTGGTGTTTTGGGAGAATGAGCTTAGGGCGAGGGCGATGCACATGATGAAGAGGCCGATCATCGGAGACCAGCGGCTTTGTCTTGGGTAGAGACGTTGAAGGCTCATTGTGAAGGGGAGGCCGAGATACATGATACCCTATGGATGTGAGCAGAGTGTGCTGGAGAGGAGGCGATAGGGCATACCATGGCACAAGTACCGATGACGGCGATGGCTGACGATCCTTCAAAGGGGGCATTGGTACTGTAGTAATCTTGGAATACACCGAATGCGAACGGGAAGCCTATCCAACCAGTCAGTGGATGAATCCAACAAGTTCAGATGAGACTCACCCCATGTAAGAGCCTCAACCATAAAAGAAGCCGCCAAGAACAACCACGCATCCTTCCCGCCATCTACCGGTGGCAGAGAAGAAGCTTCGTTCTCGTGAGTGCTCGTAAGGTCAAGACCCGAAGAAGCAAAGCCCTCTTCACGGCCCGGGTCTTGACGCAGCTCAATCGAAGTTTGGCTCATGACTGTTACAATTCCAATGTTTGGGGTTTTTCTTGGCTTTGATATTCGGGGATTATAAAATTTTCTTATAGAGATGAAGATTAAGTTGGCCGATGATCGGCGGATGCGGATGCGCCCTTGATCTGACATTGACATCGGGTGGCTTTCGGAGTGGAGCTGGGGCGTGGACTACAGCTTGAAGAGCTTATTATTGTGACATTGTCGAACATATGTGTCTTTTATGATATGTTTGAGTAGATCATGGTGTGAAATTATACACACTTCTTTGGTTTTCCTGTGATCCGTAAAGACAGGTTATTTTGTACAAGAAGTGGAAGATGTCTTATGGAGCGAACTTTGACGCTAAGTAGGAACCAAAGATGTATAATAAATAGAAATATATAGCACAATGTATATCTAAATATCACAGAGAATATTCAGTCATACTGATTGCATTGGTGTTATCTCCAACTGAAATGTTGAGTTGCGTTGTCAGGTAAATATGCTGGCTCAGGTGAGGATAGGACAGGGATTTGAAGCTTTCATCTTGTGCGAGAGAAATATTTATACAGGTTTAAAATATCTTAGGATACTTGAGGATAACTTATGATCAACTTAGTGCACTCTTTGATTAGTTTATTCTTGCAGTCTCAAATTTAGTGATGATCGGAAGTCGGTCATACCCATCTCCACTACAAACTCCTCCACCAAACCCGAGATCCGAAAACCGGAGTCTCAATTTTATTCGCTCCTCACCTTCTCCAAAGCCGACAACCCGTCCATTCCCGCCATATCCAGAACCATGCGGTCCAGTTTATCCTGCGAGCATTGCCGGTAAGAACCCTACAGCCCCGTTCAACTAAGCGATTGACCTGTGCGGCTAATTGGGTGTTGTGAAGAAAAGCAAAAGTCAAGTGCGTTCACACCGGAAGTGCACCATGCCAACGATGTCAACGACTCGGAACATCGGGCTGTGAAATCACAAGACCTGTTGTGAGATCTGCCAAGAAAGCTGTGAGGAGAGCTCATGAAGCGGGTTTGGCGCCGAGGCATGATGTCTCGGTGATTTCGAGCACGTCGGGGTTTCAGCCTATACCGAGCCCTGTCTCGTCGAGGCAGACGACTTCATATCATACGCCTGATACTGTGGATGAGCATCTCGCTCGTCTACCGATTGGGATTATTCTAAAGGCTCTGAATATCTTTACTGCCAAGTTCCCGGAACTGAGGATACTGCAGGCATCTGCTTTTATCAAGGAGTATCAAACTGCTCGGTCCAGGGAGAGCAAGGCTTTGCTAGCGACGATACTTGCTATTACACGAAAGCAATGCTCCATTGTCACAGGAGATTGGTTGAGAAGCTTGAAGACTAGCGAATGCTATGCTTCTTATGCTTGGAGTACCTTATCTGATGCTATTCTTCAACCGCCAAAGGTTCAAGTCGTCCAGGCTTTGCTCATCTTGACGCTTTATGAGTGGGGCGTGAGAGAGTATCACAAAGCTTGGATGCACTGCGGTAAATTCATATTTATTCCCAAGGAGAACTATGCTAATGTTACCAAGGCATCGCAATACGCATCATGCAGTCACTTCACAGCTCCCGAGTCAGTCCCCATCCTCTCGACATGTCTCAAAACAACGACACAGACGTCATGGCCATTGCAGTAGAAGCTCGAACATACTGGGCGTGCTTCATCATGGACTGCACCATCAACTCAGGAACATATAACCCGCGTATGCTTCCAATGTCCGAGATGCACAAGCTCAAAGTCCCTCGACCATTGAACTATACCGACTTTGCATTCGGCTTTGACGCAGCTTCGCTCGATCATATTTGTACTGGTGATTTATCTGGACTGGCACAAAGTTTCGAAACGATTGCGACTGGGTTCGACATTTATGCTCAAGCAATGTCGTTTGTTTTTAATAATGGGCGCTGTGCACCGGGTATGTGTGCGCCTGAGAATTGTCCTTGGGTTCCTGGGTCTGCTTGGTCACAGTGTCGGGATAGGTTGGAAGAATGGAGGAAGAGTCAGCATGAGAGGCTTTGCTATCCGCAGCATAGTGTTGTGGTGCACATGACGTTGGGACATGGGGAGTCGTTCATTTACTTGAACATGCTGTACTACTTGAGGTGAGAGCCAAAATCAAGTGGCTGTTGGTGGGAGAGTATGCTAACATTCATTTAGTACGATCATGCTTCATCGAGAATACTTCCCCTTCTTACCAACAGCCGACTTGACACCTCGCGGCCCCGTCGATCCTCCCCTTCTAGAGGCCGAAGCACCACCAGGTTGGTGGGACGAAAGTGCCAGAGAGCTCTTCAACGCAGCTGAACAGATAGCATCTTTGCTCCAAGAAGCATCTGAGTGCGGGATTCCGCTAATGACGCCCTTTTCCGGCTTCTGTGCCTTCACCGCCTGTTTTCTCAATCTCTACGTATTTCGATTTCCCAGGATGAATCTTGACCGAAGCTCAAAGGCTGAGCAGTTGATGAACTGGGGACTAGAGTATTTAGAAGAGTTCCAGAACGCTTGGGAACTAGCAGGAGGCTGGGTAAGGCTCACTCCTCCACCCACGAGTCTAAAGCTAACAGAACAGATCAAAACGATTCAGAACTCATCACTCTTATACAAAAGAGCAACCGAAGACGCAGGACGCTACCGCGGAAGATCAAGAGCAGATTTTGAAACTCTTCACCAATCAATTCATGAATATCGAATTGTCGATAGGTCGGATCAGCATTTGCAGCAGATCAGCCATGCAGATCGAAACTCAGCAAGACGAGAAGAAGAAACTGTGGCGAGCCAAGTTCAAGTGTCGAGTAATATGGGAGCGGCGGTTAATGCTTCGGTACCGGATCCGTTTCCGAATTGGTGGTCTATGTTGCAGGAGGTGGAGTTTACGGATGTTGGCAATTTGTGGAATGGGATGCGTGAGCTATAATCTGGGGAATGAGTATAACATTATAGCTGGGAAGGCAGGAATAGGCCAATTTGGAATTGAGGCCGGGTTTGAGCGAGGGTTTACTACCTTCCTCTCTGTAGAGAGGTCAGGGACAAGGGTTATAAGAATTGCGCATGACGTTACATGACTTTTAGGGGAACAATACATGAGACTGGCTTATACCGAAATCCACGGATGTATCACCAAATCTAGTCTCATGTTGTCGTTTCCTTCCACCATGAGGACATTGGTAGAGCCAACCACTGCCAAGATACTAGCAGAAATCAGCATCTGTTGCATAATTCGAGAGGCACAAAGAACATTTGGAACCCTTCGGACAGATCCGCAGAGTATCTAGCTGATAGCCTGTTCAACTATGCCCTTGCTTCTAAGACGAATATCCGTTGAAACTAATTTTAGATTCAGAAACTCTATCTTAAGAAGCCTGTTGTAAGATCAGTTGAGCGAATCGGTAGCTTTGCGGTAGCTTAATGGTAACAAGGCTTCGTAACAAGGTACGTACCCGAAAAGAAAGCGGAGCCGAAACTTTGCAGTCGGTGGTGGGTAACATCTCGGGTTGCAGATTGGGAAGTTCCGAATCGAAGGGGCGATATCGTACGAGGACACTGAGTCATGGCAGGATAAGAAGCCTGCTATAATATCACGGGCCAGCAGAACTATTTTGAATCTGTGACATCGCGAGTTGTAAATGAGACATACCAATATGGCATTGAAGTCTTGATTGAGAAGCTGGTCAAGAAATTGCATAACATCGCCAAGGGGCCAAGACAGGTTATATCGAGAAATACGCAACGATCACCTCGAATGGAAATATACCGAAGTACTATAACCCGTTTCAATAGCTCAACGGAGATTTAACTCGTCCTGAGATTTAGTTCATGCGGATAATAAAACGTTACATGCAGATCCTGCTAACCTCCGGGCTATTACCAAGGTTCAGAGGTATATCTCACCTGTATCTGTATCACGATGAGCCCCATGCTACCCCAAACTAAGCTTCACCATCGCTTAAAACATCATGTAACGGTCTCCTTCCTACTGTGTTTTGTGGTTAGACATGGGATCCTTCAACGGCCACCAGTTTAGTTACACTGGACTCGGAGTCTAACTTTAGCTTGGCTCAAGTCACCACAGTATTATTCACTGTCTTGACTGTGCTAGATTGATATGAGTTATAGCATTGACAAAAAGAGTGTACCTCGGTTATCCAAACCGTAGATTGACCTTCAAGACTCCTCAAACAGCACGACCCTCGGAAATTCGGAACTTTCCAACTCTCCTTTTTTTCTGTGGTGACATGTCAGGGATTTATGATATCTGACAGAGCTCCCGTTGAAGATACGCTAAAACCTTGATCCCTGTAAATTGACTCCATCCACCGGATGTCGATCATCCGGGTCTCCGCGGGTTTACGAGTGCTCATCAAATCCACTCAGAGTGGATAATTTCCCAAACGAATTGCGACGCAAACATGTTTAGCACAGGTCAGTGTTCGAGAAGGTCTTTTCGCATTAGCATTAATTGTGATAGTATAGTATAGGTATAGGTATAGAAAAGAATAAGTCCTTGCGGGCCAAAGTTACTCCCATCTCTAATTCCAGCGCTAGATCCCTTTTCCCTGTTCCCAAACGACGTAGCCTATCATTGCATTGGTGCCCAAGCCAAGCCATGCCCTTATGGACTCCTTGACACACTCGTCTTGTACCCCCAGTCATTCCCCTCAGGTCCCCTCCTCCCACGATCACCCTCCGTAGTGACCTCAGACTGCACGCTGATCTCCTGCGCAACCACGATACCACCCCCAGCCCCGGCAGGTTTCCCAGCTTCAGGGAGGATGTGCTCATCGCTGGCCCAGGCCGTGGTCTGGGGAACCGTCGCTAGCGGGTGCGAACTGCCAGGCCCGCGGCGGCGGCTAGTGTTGAAACGGCTCCCGCCCATTTCGCTGCTGCGGAGCTGGTGGCTTTGTGATGCGGATTTGGTGCCGCGGCTGAAGAGCACGCTGAGACCGATCATGCTGGCGCCTTTGCGGATGAGGGGTTGGATTATGGGGAGGTTTGTGACGATTATTGCGACGAATGTTTCGCGGCATGCCCATTGACTTCCTGCGACTGCGCCATTTGGACCGGCCTGGTATTTGTTAGTGAATGGTCTCCTGTAGATGTTGTTCAACTTACTGTGAGAATTGTTACGGCGCGAATTGTACCCGCCATCATGATGAAGAGCGCACCGCTGAAGAGCAGCATGAGCGTGAGTCTGCGTCGCAAACTAATGTTTACGCCCCAGAGAAGCTGCAAACGGTCAGATTTAAACATCGCAGCATAGAGTAGATGACTTACAGGTAGCGGAATGGAGAGAAGGTAGATATCCGTCAAGATGTTGGGAATAACAACAACCAACACATAAGCCGGCGACTTGGTCGGTTGGCAAAGAAGTCCAGGGTCTGGCGAGACTTGCCAAAAGTGATGAAAAGGTTGACAAGACAGTAAAATCGTAAGCGCGACAACAGCGTATGAAACACCAAGAATGATATACGCGATCGTCACTCGAGTCTTGAGATGCGTCAATCCAGATCTGCCAAGGTCAGCAAACATCCTCACCACCAACAGCCAAAAAAAACATACGTAAGACGCCCATAAAACGCAGTGACGCAAAACTTGAGACACCAGAGAATACAAGCATAAAAGGACCAGCCTATGACCTGGATCTTGGATCCCCAAACCCGATTATAATGTTCTTGCCCATTCATATCGATGTCGGCGCGTTCTTGATCCGTCATGTAACTATTCGTCAAGCCCTGGAACTTGGCACCGACGAGATACGCAGCAACTGTTTCCGCGGTGAAGACAAGCTACAAGACACAGGGTCAGCAAACGGTCTCGTGCATATGCAGGTAATTGCGCCACTTACACCTGTGAAGGGCATCAGATAATCATCCAACTGCCATCCCCCAAACCCAATCTGTCGGATTCGCACGCCCATTCTCACTCCAATGGTGACGAGCCCCAACGAGAGGAGGATGAACTGTTCCTCGATACCCATGGTTACCGAATCTTTGGGACCAAGATCTGTGAACCGAAGAAAAAGCAAAACTGTGATAAAGAACAAAACAGAACAAAACACAACACAGACGCAGGTGACAGGCCAAGTCTATTAAAGTGAAATCCTCCTCGCCACTACCGGCGGGAGCAGTGCCGAAAAACCTGCATCTGACAAGTCTGCAATGACATTTAAGTTACATTCCCTTCTACCGCATGCTTCTAAAACTCCTGCTAAGACTGCTAAGACCATTAATTCAGGCATAGCTCGGTGAACCGTGCGGCTCCGCAGCCCCTGCAGATCGCACATATAACATGGCGTGCCAGGTTCGCTATACGGAGCAATCATCTGTATCCGGCATTGATCTGCCGGAACTAATCATGCATTGGCAAGGAGCTGGCGGAAGTGGTCCATTAACTGACAGCCGGAGACATTGTATGAACGGGGATCTACAACGGCGCGAGTAATTATTCTTCAGGTGGTTAATCTTTTCGACCTGACTTGCGCGTCTGTAGATCATGTTCAAGTCTGCTATTCCCGTGACTAGTCTTATGTGAGACCCTGTTCGAAAGTGGAACTATTTTGCAAGAGATGATGATTACCGTCAGACTTGGACTTGACAAATATCTCTGGCGACAGACTGTGGCTTGTGGCTTGCAGGGCGTAAATTGCATATTTGATATACTTCTCACCGTCAGCGGCGAGGTGAGAAAGCCTGTCAGAAGTCGAAGCCACGCCCCCAAACTAAACTCCAACGTACAGGGTCCAGAATCTTGGCATGTAACGACGTGTTGGTTCACCACAGTATTTATCTCGTTTGATACCGGTTTCGTTTCATTGTGTCATCGGGGACCTTGTACAGTATGAGACACCGTTGCACTAGAAGCCCTAGTCTAGTCTATGGAGCTAAACCGACGGGTGAGGAGAGGCGCTGTAGATCATATATATTCTCAGAAGACCCCTTTCCCCTCATTCTCTTTTATTGCTTCTTATTTCAAAATCACCTCATCTTAACAATTGACATCATTACCACTGAGTCAGAAACTATAAACTTGATTCTCTACTATACTTATCATCCAATTGGTCAATATGGCTTCACCATATGACTTTATCGTCGTAGGAGGTACGTCCAAGCAACCTGACTCAATCCTCCCCCTCCTTCACGTCTAGCCCAATGCCTGAGCACACTTGATCAACACCACTAAAACAAAAAACCGTCATTCTAACCAAACTTTCCTCCCGCAGGCGGCCCAGCCGGCAGCGCCCTAGCAGCCAACCTCTCCCGCACCCCCAAGAAACCCTCCGTTCTTCTCCTCGAAGCCGGCGGCACAAACCAAGACCGCAACCTGCGCGTCGACGGGCAGCGCTGGACCACTTTTCTAAACCAGGACATGAACTGGGGCTACAAGACGACACCCCAAGAATTCGCCAACAACCGTGAGCTGGATTACTCTCGCGGTAAGGGACTCGGTGGTTCTAGCGCCATCAACTTTGGTGTTTATAGTATTGGTGCAAGAGATGATTATGAAGAGTGGGCGCGCATCGTAGACGATGATGCGTATCGCTGGGATAAGATCCATGACCGCTACAAGAGTCTAGAGACTTTTCATGGGGAGCTTCCGGAGGGTGTTGATAAGAAGTATGCTGCGCCAAAGGCGGAAGATCATGGTTCCGAGGGGAAGCTTCATGTTGGGTATGCCGGTGAGTGGGAGAAAGATCTCCCTCCTGTGTTGGATCTTTTTGAGAAGGCTGGTTTTCCGTTGAATCCTGATCATAATTCTGGAAATCCTTTGGGAATGTCGGTTTTGATCAACTCGAGCAGTAAGGGACGGAGATCAACTGCGAATGATCTCTTGGAACCCAAGCCTGAGAACCTTACTGTTTTGACGGATTCGACTGTTCAGAAGGTTCTTTTGGAGGGAAACAAAGCTGTTGGTGTCGAAGTCAATGGCAAGAAATGTAAGTTTTCCCTTTTATCTCATCCTAAAGCTGCGGATGAAGATATCTCGATGTTATGACTACACCCGAACTAACAATCAATCACAGACCTCGCTTCCAAAGAAGTCATCCTCTCAGCCGGAGCTCTCAACACCCCCAAGATCCTAATGCACTCCGGCATCGGTCCCAAAACCCAACTCGACCAATTCAACATCCCCGTAATCAAGGACGTCCCCCGCGTAGGCCAAGGTCTGCGCGACCACATGTTCACACCCCTAGTCTACACCCGCAAACCAGGCGACACCGCGCGCGACACATTCTACGGCGACAAGAAAGCCATGGACGACGCCCTCGAGCAATGGCGTCGCGATGGTACGGGCCCCTGGACAAAGTTTGCCTGCGAGTTAGGCATTGGCTGGTTCAAGCTTGATAAGCTCGTCAAGTCAGAGGAGTTCAAGGCTCTGCCAGCAAAGGAGCAGGAGTTTCTTATGAAGGAGACTGTGCCGCATTACGAGATTCTTACGCACTTTCCTATTCACTGGTTCATCCCTGAATTTCCTGATTCTGCGCTTAACTATTCTTGCATTCTGGTGTTTTACTATAATGCACAGAGTCAAGGAGAAGTTACCCTTCAGTCATCTGACCCGAATGTTCCTCTCAAGTTCGATCCCAAGTTCTTGGCTTCGCCGTTTGATCGTCGTGCAGCTATTGAGTCACTCCGCGATGCTTTCAGGCTCGTGAAGCATGATGGCTACGCTAAAGATAACGTGGCTATGCTTGCAGGGCCACAGGGTGATTCGGATGAAGAGCTTTTGGAGCACTGGAAGAATACTATCTCTTCGAGTTGGCATATGACTGGTACTACCAAGATGGGTAAGAAGGGGGATCCTGATGCTGTTGTTGATAGTGACTTCAAGGTAATTGGCTTTGAGGGTCTTCGTATTGCGGATATGGGTGTTGTCCCTGTTCTGGCAAGTTGTCATATTCAGTCTGTTGCGTACGTGACTGGTATCACAGCTGCTGAGAAGCTTATTGCTGAGTATAACCTCGCATAGATATAGAAAGAGGATCGTTATAGCGCAGACATTCTTAGATTTTAGTTATCAATGAGTGATCAAATATACTCATGTGCAAACATATGATATTATGTCCATGTACCTCGTACCCTCACACTCGGCCATCCATATCGCATGTCCTAACAAACAAAGGCTTCACCTCACAGCGCCTCCTATGAAGAGCCCTATCCCTATCCTCATCGTCCCCGTCCAGAAACTCTTCATCCTGCCATAACCGAACATTGATCTTACGACCTCGAAAGTCCCCCTTGGCATGGTCTTTCCACTTGAAATTGTTCGCCTGAAACCAGACCCTCTTTGTGTCTCTCGCCCAGTAATACCAAGTCTCAAGCCAGTTGAATCCGCCGTCACCTGCGTCAGGATCTTCAAACTCGAACAGATTGAGCTCGATCTTCAAGGACAATTCCGGCCAAGCCACCCTGAGCTTCTCGAGATGTTTCTCCCAAGGCTCTTGGTATGCAGTCCATTTCCCAAACCAGAATACAAATTTGACAGTTTTGAGGGCTGGGAGACTTGATTTCAGAGCGAGAATATCGTTCATGAGCTTTTGGGGAAATGTCTTTCCACCTCGACTGTCAGATTCCCAAAAGTATTCATCCTCCATGGGATCTTCGTACAAGTCTCTCTCAGGATCTGAATCCGGATAATAGGAGATAGTCGTCTGAGACATTTCAATGATGAGGGTGTTGGAGCGTTGCTTCATCATCTTCGAGCAGGCAACCCTAGGGACTATACTCCAGTCTCCAGCTGCATAAGTGCTAGGTTCTTGAATTGGAACGACAATAGCGTGGTTTTGGTAGAGGCGAGGCTGAAGATCGTCTGATATGCTTTTATGTACGTAGAGCAAGGGGGAGATCTTGGGAGAATGAGCGGTTTGAGTCGTAAAAGCGTTGCTGAACTTGACATCTTCGAGGGCGTAGTCATAGACCATGTCTCGTACCTCTCGCGGTAAATCAAGAAACGAAGTCTGAGAGTCCATGGTTGCGAGGGAATTCAAATGTCTGGATTTTAGGAGGAGAAATGGCATTCGGGTGAAGAAGCCATCTTATATCAAGACAGGTATCCACCATCAAGGCTGGCATCCACCGCTAATGGGTTGGTTGCCTAGGAATGGAGAAATTTGAGATTAATTAACCCACTTTGCACCGAATGAAGTCAAAACGACAAGAGGCTAGGTTGATGAATAGCGGTACGGCCTAAATGAGGCATTGCCCGAAATCCACAGTTTAGAATATGAGGCTATTCAGAAGAAACCTGGACCAAAGCTTCACCCTATACAATTAGAGCTACTCCAACTATAGAGATAGAAAGGCATGTACTGACTCTATATAAACAAGTTTGAGCTACTGCTCAAGATCCTCGAGACATCTCTAAGTTTGGCTGTATCAAATAATTTCATGGCCTTGACCTCGATGCGTTGGTGGTTACATATTCTTCCATTTCCTAATTTTAACAGCCTCCTTGGAAACGAACAATGGCTCTTAACCAGCCATAGGCCTTTTTTCTTATCTATAAAAAGAAGTAGGATTGTGAGAAAAATATATAAAATATACCTTAAATACAGGCGATTTTAAACTACTACCCACCTATTATATTAACTCACGGATATACTGCCAACCTATCCACTATATCACTCCAGCTCTTCTCACCAATCCCATCTCCTGAAAAAACAACAAAAGTTTCACTTCTCACTTTCAGGCCACTTCCAAAAGATATTAGACCCTTCAACCTCAGCCAACGGATTCCCTTCACCATCCTTGGCAGTTCCAAATTGCTCGTCAAACCCGCACTTCCTGTAGAAATCATCTTTGCCCAATGCGCTCACCACCGAAGCGCAAACTCCTTCAGCTTCAGCCTGATCAAGGCCCCATTGCACAAGCTGCCGACCAACATTCTTCCCTTGAAAATCTGGATGTACGGCTAATGCTTCGAGATACCAAGATTCAGCGCGCTTGCCGCTCCATATCGAGTCGAAGTGAGGATATGCTCTTTCGATAATGTCTTCTTCTTTGGGGTCAACTGCACGACTTGGTCTGGCCCAGGAGTCAATCTTCATGGCGACTGAAGATAGTGGTTTCACTAAGTTGCCTGAAACTGTATTAACTACAGTCATAAATTGGAGAGAGAGAGGAACTCACGAGGATCAAAGAACCATAGATCAAACCTTTTGCCCCCTTCACCGAGTCGTGCCCACTGTGCAATTCCAGCAATGACCTCTTTGCCATTCTTATCCTTAGCCACAGCCACAAGCCATTTCCAACGATAATCCCAGAAATTGACCCGTGCACGACGCAGCCAGTACAGATCTACATCATCAGGGTACTCATTCCGATGCGGGTGGATCAGATCGCCAAAAAGGTTATCCCCCCAAAAGGCCTTCGACATGACATTTGCGATCTCCGGAAGCTCCGAGTAATACGCATCGCGTAACACAATCTCGGACATTGCGAGTCAGTTGAGAAATGATCGTGTACGGAGTATGCTTGCAGTAATTCGTAATGCAAGAGCCAGGAGTCTTGTATTTCTTGGGAACTGATCTGAAACGGTCTAGAACTGCTGTTGGCTGGGTTTTCAACATGATCCGATTAGCCCGCTTCAATCCTTGTCCCCAGATCCTGTGAGTTTTTTCATATCCTGGACGCTGGAGGGGTTCCGCGAACCTGGCGTGACATGACATGGATGAAGCCCTTGTACTTGCATGTAAAGCTCCACTCCCACTGCATGTCTCAAGGCATCACTGACTCAAAACCCCGAGGGCTTTTGTCTGGATTAAAATGGCATGTTCGTGAGATACCTCAGCGTTTTGTAAATACATCTTGATGGTCCTCATACGTGACATTCCACGCAACCTCCTTATTAATGATCAACTCTTGACTCCCAGCTCTTGAACTTGATCCCTCTTCCGACACATCCCGACTATTACTCCTGCTTGATCTATGGGCCGCGGTAGTTTGGTTCGACACCTGATCAGGTCTCCAATTCGCACTATGAGCTGTCGCTGTCGCCGAAGCCGCATTCGTAGAGCGATTATTCCGTAGTGATTGCAGTGCATAAGCCTTGCTTGAACCCGACATCGTAAAGTCAAATGCGACTGGGAAGCCCATGCCTATGGAGAAGGACTTGAGAAAGTTCTTCAGGTTGGGCATTGTCGCGGAGATAAGAGACCACGCGATCATGACTTGTTGGCAGATGAGGGTGTTTGTAACGGCGAATTGAGGCTCGAGAGATGATGGGTATATTTGGGAGTATGCGAGATGGACGGAGGAAATGGCGATGAGTGGGATTCGGAATGAGAACGCTGTGACGACTTGGCATTTTCGGGCGAAGGAGATGTTGACGGACCACGAGAGGTGAAGAACGAGGAGCCAGGTCAGGATTTCGGTCAAGATGTCGATTGCAGTGATGACGCCCCAGCGCGCACTCTACCAGGAGTTATTAGACATTTGCAAGTGTTTGTGACGGATGGAAGGGTCCCCATACCTGATCTGGGCATTGTTTGACGTTGTTCACAGTCAACAATGTCCCGGCGCGACAGTTCACAAGCCATGCCAAACTTGAGCCGACACCCCATAGTCCAGTGAACATCATTAGCATCACGCAGACCATCTTGTTCTTGCCGGGCTTGGAGCTGATGATGCGATGTATAAGGGCGAGGACGGAACACTTTGCGAGACTAAGAGCTAGAAGGCAAAGAATGACGGATGCAATCGTGCACTACCAGCACACCTGTCAGCACAAGAGAATAGGGTCAGAGGTTGAGAAACTCACTTTCGAAGAGATCCCCCATTGTTCTGGCGGTGTGATCGAATTGAACTTGCCCAACCCATTACTCAACCCAATAAACACAGCAAGAGCCTGAGCCAAATGCAAAACCTATGAAGTTAGCAATCCATCAAAACACCACCGATCACAAGTCGTTTCTCACCGTCGCAGCAGCAAACAAAACGTCATCGAACCCAAACATCTTGTACTTGATATAAGCCCTTGCCAGCGCAATAAGCGAGGTGTAGATCAGCGATAAGATCGTCACGATCCATAACTTGCCCGCATGATCGTTGAATGTAACGGGAGAAAACCGGTATAGATCATCGTCTAGTGAATCATTCGGATCCATGTTTCAAGATTCTGCGAAACTTGGAGAGAATAAAGGGAAGAAATCATTACATCACATGGCAGGAGGCAGGTATATTTTGAAATGCAGAATTATTAAGGTTTGCTCAACCTTGCATGACATGAATCCTCTCCGGCGTCTCGGACTCTTGGTATTGGGATTTATGGCTCTAACCAACGGCACAGCAGTCTACCTCGCTAATTTCCGACATATTATCCTCGTAAAGAAGAAAGGATTTTCCGCTGAAGATATTTCTTACGTATTCATTGGTGACGGCTTCACATGGGGGGGCCTGGTTAGCAGATTGGATCATGCAAGCCACAGCATGGGTGAACCAACAGAGAAAGCAATTCGTGAGATGTGCTCATTGGTTTAACCGAGGAGACGGAATATTACTCACGCATTGTTTGTGACTGCCACGAGGAGATCGGCAATTGACAGCTGTTGGTTTCAGTTAAGATCTGGCTGACTTGACATGCAGACTCGACTGTTGGTTCTTGACCCCGTCGTCAGACCTCATGAAGAAGTAAAACTTCATTTTGGCTGAAATCAATGCCTGCAACCGCCAAGACTGTTGGTCCTTTGTGCCGCACAGGCTCCACCATGTTCCTGACTCCAAAGGCTCCTCTTCTCGAACGACTCCATTGTGTCCGAACTTCGCCTAAACACAGACTAAAAAGCAAAACTCGACTCACACCAAGAATTCAGGACCCTCGTAACTGCAATAGCTATGACAATGACATGACTTTGACAAAGATGTCGTTCGGATTGAGTCAGCTAACACAGCGGAAGATTTTCCGGACTTCGGCACGGGACGGGGGGGAGGATCACCAATTAGTCAGGGTCTAGCTAGGATGTAAGAGTCTGGCCAGGGTCTACAGGGGTTGGGCAAGCACCATGTACCAAGGAGAGGAACTGTTGGCGGGTGTACATCCTAAAGAGTGTTCCATGCCGCACTCCTGCATTTCTATTACCGAAGCATCTGCAGGTTTGCCTTCTTCTTTTTGTTCCTCGATTTATTTTATTTCCTTCTTTAAATCATCGTCCCTCTTCCACTAAGTTGAGTCTTTGATTGGGAAAGAGTACGCCAAAATGTCTGCTGAAGGCGATAAACGATCAGTCGAAGTTCAAGATGCCGCGTATGGCATCAATGAATCCAGCGAGCATGTCGACGAGAAGAAGGGCAACGCGGCTGATCGCGCCGACATGTACCGCATGGGCAAAACTCAAGAGATGACGGTTCGTCGCAAACCTGGTCCTCATAACTGTGTCAAACTAACAAACGCGTCAGAGAAACTTTCGTTTTCTGTCCATCTTTGGCTTCTCCATGATCCTCATGGCGTCTTGGGAGTTCTCCCTCAGGTACGATGCGCTGAGGATAAGATGGTGAATAAACCTGACCTTTCTAGTGTCTCAACAATCGGTCTCGTCAACGGCGGCACAGCAGGTCTGATCTGGATGTTCTTCGTCTGCTGGATGGGCTTCCTCCTCGTCAACACCTCCATGGCCGAAATGGCTTCAATGTCCGTGCCACCACTGCTACTTCACCACCAATTACTGACAGAACTACAGGGCTCCTACAACAGGAGGTCAATACCACTGGGTCTCCGAATTCGCACCACCAAAATACCAGAAACTCATCAGCTACCTCATGGGCTGGATGTGTGTCCTCGGCTGGCAGACATCATGCGCTTCATCAGCTTTCATCGCCGGAACGCAAATCCAAGGCCTCGTAGTGTTGAACTATCCCGATTACGTTCCTAAGCCATGGCATGGAACACTACTTACTATCGCAGTAGCTGCTTTCTCGGTTGTGTTCAACACACTCCTTGCTAGAAAGCTACCGTTGATTGAAGCAACAGTTCTTGTCATTCACATCTTTGCGTTCTTCGGCATATTGGTTACCCTTTGGGTTCTCTCACCGCGGGCTGATGCTACTGCTGTGTTTACTGAGTTCACCGACGGTGGTGGTTGGGGAAGTATCGGCGGTTCTACGCTCGTTGGTATTCTTGCAGGTGTGTTGCCGTTGCTTGGTGCTGATGCTGCTGTGCACATGTCTGAGGAACTCCGCGATGCAAGCCGCACTCTACCAAAGGCTATGATCTCAACGACTGTTTTCAACGGTGCGTTTGGCTGGATCATGGTTATCACATACTGTTTCTGCATCGGTAATCTCGAGGAGGTCATAGCTTCGCCAACAGGATATCCCTTTATGCAAGTATTCCTGAACTCAACTCAGTCGACGAGTAGTGCTACTGCTATGGCATCTTTCCTCGTTATCATGACTGGTTTCTCCAACCTCACCATGGTAGCTACATCGTCACGCCAACTCTTTGCTTTCGCACGAGATCACGCTGTTCCGTTCAGCCCTTGGTTTTCGAAGGTCCCCACAGGATGGGATGTTCCTATCAACGCTATCCTGACGACCTTTTTGATCTCGAGTCTCCTGTCTCTTATCAACATTGGTTCAGCAGTCGCCCTCAACTCAATCACGTCATTGGCGACAACATCCCTTCTCTCAAGTTACATCGTCTCAATCGGATGCATGATCTGGCGACGATCAACGAACAGTCCTCTCCTCAAGTCTAAGTTCAGTCTTGGAAGATGGGGCCTTGCTGTCAACATCGTCTCCGAAGCCTTCCTCATTATAATTTTCGTCCTGGCTTTCATGCCAGGAAACCCTAACCCATCCCCATCAGAGATGAACTGGAGCATTCTCATTTATGGGGCTGTCGCGGTGTTCTCCGTGGGATACTACTTATTCCGAGGAACCCACCGTTATGAAGGCCCTGTGGCATATGTCAGAAAGCTGGAACAGTAGAGGCACCATAGCAAAGCAAGACTTGTGTTCTTATACTTTCCCCTGGTTTAAGTCAGGGGTTAAGCTAGTAACTGCAGATTAATTTAATAAAATGAAATATTCACTCTCTGCACAATACGTACTGACAGCGTAGTTATGCTGATAAGGACTAGGTGAAACCGCGAGACACGGGGAGAAAATCAATTTTCCATCTATCCTCCACCAACGCCTATAACCCTAACCTTTTATCATCCATGATATGATATACTATTCCTACAAACTTACATAATAAGAATCGGCGTCTCACTACTAACGATCTCTGTCCACCTCCTCGTCCCCTGCATACTCCAAATCGTCCCCAACGCCTTAACCGCAACAGGAATACTTCCAAAATTCGTAACGCTATACAAATCTGCCAACCTCCCCGCAAAGAACTCCCTATGCTCCGGAAGGATGCTCTCCGCAGCGGCAATAAAGTACGTCCACACAAGAGCGTGCGCTCCTTTTGTGGAACAGTCGAGGTTGAGGACTTTGAGACGCAGTTGCTCGACGAGATGGATGGACTCGTCGTCGCTGAGGGAGGATTCCGCGCGGCGACGGTAGATGCTGCAGGCGTCGAAGATGGCGGAGCGGATGGTTTCGATGTTGGTGAAGTGTTCAGATTGTGGGGGGAGTTCGGGGTAGGACATGAAGTCGAGGTAAGCTTCTGGGCCGGTGAGGACTTTGAGGCCTTTGGATTCGTTGGCTAGGGGGACACCAAAGAGTTGGAACCTGAGATATCAGTCAGTGAACAGTCGGAATTTCATCAGTAAATGATCTTACATCTTGATCTGCTGAAGAAAAAAGTCCTTCAGACTCGGTGGCAGCATTGATATCCAGTCTGGATATTGCGTGAGGCAGTTGAGCATCTCCAAAAGGTATGTGTAGTTGTCGGCACCAGTGATTGTTTCACCAACCAAAAGCACCAAGATTGTCGCAAGGATATATGGGTTGAAGAGTTGTTCGGGGCTAAGTTGAAGTGAGTCCCGCCGTAGCTTCTGGACAATAGCTTGGTGACCTGCTTCAGCGATGCGTTGTAACTTGGGATCCCTTTGTCCTAGGTGAAACGCCGAGACGACTGATACAGCTTGTGCGAGATTCTCATCCTGATGGGCGAGCGGTAGAATGACGTCTCTGTATCCGTTGCTGAAGGAGAATGAATCTAGTACAACCATGTGTCCGGCGATGATCTCAGAAACTACGTGTGTTAGAATGGTGACTCTAAAGAGGAGGCTGGAACTTACAATGACTGAACAGCCTCCTTGTTTGGGCATTCGAAGCTTCATTCAGTGCTGGATGTATCGTAACACCGTATCGATACGGCACAACAACACCACCAAATTCAGAAGCCGAGTCATCCGACGACGGTGACGTAGCATCATCAGAAGACGCCGAGTCGGGAGGATTCGACGAGGTCGGACTATCAGAAGGAGCCCGTCCCTTGGTCTTCCTCGCCCTCTCCTTTCTCGCCCTCTGCGCAGAGTCAACCCATCTGAGACTCTTCCCAGGCTGAGGTTCCGCCGGCGTCGATGACGAGATAAACGTCAACGTCAAAGGCTTCCCAGCACCAGGTGTGGAGTCAACAGCCATGTGGCTACTGTACCTACACCTCAAGCCCTGCCCAGAGCAAGCGATACCTTTTTTCTGACACTTGAGACATTCCGGCTCTGTCTTGTCACACCTAAGCCGTCTCTTGCAGCACTCGTAACAGCCTAAAACTCAGCTGTCAGCCCTATCATTCGCAATGGGTGGAGTTCAACACGCACCGTTATTCCTCTTAGCAAGCGACATCTGAAAGCCAAGAAAACCTAGTTGAAAAACAGGGGCCCTCTCTCTCGGTGTCTTACTGTTTTGGGGAGACCGGAATCTCTTATACTCAGCACGTTTTAGTTTTCTGGGGAGAAGGTTGATGGGTTTACGAGAGCCCGGTATGTGAGATACGCGCTTGCGTGATGGGGATTACGCATGGGCATCCGGATAGACCTTCATGCTCGACGCTATTGATTGGTGAATTGTCAGAGCTTCTAGATCAGGGTCTGGACAGAACTAGCGGCAATTCCGGGCCACACCGAAGAGTGACGGACTTTGAGATTTGAATAGGAGTAGGTACGGGGTAGTGACAAATGTCACCGATAAAAGCCGTGGCGTAGTGATTACAATTACCGTGCTAATATTGTATTTTATTATCTCTTTTCGGACATGTTGTCGTCAGCTTGGTTCAATGATCGTCAACTAATCAAAGACCTTGACGTCTCTCAAGCGCATGTATCACAAGGGAGGCTCACAGAAAACAAGCTTCGATAAACGCCACAGCGCCCTCCAAAGAACAAGACTAGAACCCAAATCGAAGGGCCCCTTTCTCACATGAGAAAGAAAATAAGCAAAGGGCGAATATCTCACTGTGAGACACGTTATGGCTCATAACTTACCAGAAAATGGGAACCAGCTCGCAGCCACCATACTTCAGCCGCACCGTCAGACTAACTCGCCATGGCATTCTCGAACCTTGAGGTCCAATTGAAGGGATCGCCTTTGCCGAATATATCTTGACGGGAAGGGATCGCGATCCCGGAAGCTTTCCCGCGAGTGACATGCCGCGGATATCTTCCCTCCCAAGCGAAACGCGGGCTTGGGAGCTAAAACTGTCTGGGGAAAGGTATGGGGAGGGATGAGAAATTTAGCAAGATTAGGAATGCCATAATTACCGTCGGTTAAATTCTTCGGCATGAACAAACTTATAGTCTTGTTTGTCAAAGCGAAATGTCTCGGCACAATTATAAACTCTATTTCCCATAGTCTTCAAAGCGGCCGGTTCCGACGATCCCAATCGAGACAGACTTGCCGTCTCGAAGCTATCGTGAACCCCGCGGGGTATTTTTGTGCTAGTATTTATGCCAAGACCATGATTTGCATAACTCCTCTTCATAGATAAGTAGCCCAGCACCCATTCGCAGATCGTTGTCTTAGTTATCTCCCCTATCCGCTTATCGGCCTTCGGTTCGGTTGATTAGTTACCGAGAAGGGCAGGCTATCATGAGAATTTTTACACCAGATCCATAATTTATCATGTTATTCCCGGTTTTTATTCTGGAGCGGTATCGGGACTATCACGTTAGATTTTCTGACCGTAACATGACTGCAACAAGCTACTTAAGATTGCGATACCGCAGTTCCTCACCTTGCATTCGTTGTTCGAAATTTATTTGTTTTTAATGAGTGAAAAATGGCTGAAAAAACACCCCAAACTGATGAGCCCAATGGCGAGACCATGTTGTAAGTTCACAATCCTTCTGCCAAGTGAAAGATGTTAACGAGTAAAGCAAACCAATCAATACTTTACGTCGTGAACCGACGAGGTCAGAGATGCAAGATCTCGAAATCATCGCCTCAGCTGGTGCATCTTTCCGACCCGGCGACATCCCGCCTCCCCCCGACGGCGGCGTCGAAGCATGGACACAAGTAGCAATGGGCTGGATCGTCATCTTCGCAACATGGGGCTACGTCAACTCGTTTGGAAGTTTCCAAGCCCACTACACCTCCACACTCCCCCAATCACCTTTCCAAATCTCCTGGATTGGGTCGATCCAAGTATGGTTTACGTTCTTTGGGAGTGCATTCTCTGGAAGGTTGCTAGATGCTGGGTTTTGGATTCCCACGTTCCTTGCTGGTGCGGGACTGCAGCTCATTGGGATTTTCATGATGAGCTTATCGACTTCTTATTGGCATCTTATGATCACACAGGGTGTTGTCACTGGTATTGGCGGGGGTATTATCTTTGCGCCGTCGTTGGCGTTGGTCGCGACGTATTTTGAGAAAAGGAGAGGTATTGCTATTGGGCTGGTGACTACCGGGAATTCTCTCGGTGGTACTGTTTATCCTCTTGTTGTTCGAGCGCTTCTTCCCAGCATCGGTATGCCGTGGACTGCGAGGGTGCTGGGATTCATTAATCTGGCTGGATTTATTCTCGTGGCCATTTTCATGAGGCCAAGACTTCCGCCGCGACAGACTGGACCTATTATCGATTGGAGTGCGTTCAGGGATACTCTTTATGTGTCTTATGTGGGCGGGCTGTTCTTCTTTGTGTGGTCTGTGTATTACACTTTCTACTACGTGAGCATCTACAACATTCCCCCTTGATAACTCCCACTGACGTCACAAAAGCTGGCATCCTTTGGCCAACAAGAAGTCGGAATGTCATTCGCTGATTCATCCCTCATCACCACCATAATCAACGCCGTCGGCCTTCCAACCCGAGTCCTGATCCCCGTTCTCGCCGACAGAATCGGCCCATTGAACACCATCGCACCAGCAGCTCTTTGTGTCGCCATAGTTGCATATACATGGGTTGCAGTTCACGACGTTGCCGGTGTTTACATCTTCTCCATCTTCTACGGGATTGCATCTGGCGCTTTCCAAAGTCTCATGCCCACTGGAGTCGCCAGTATCACGACGAGGCTAGATACAATCGGTACGAGAATGGGCATGTGTTTCAGTCTCGTCTCTTTTGCGGGTTTGTCTGGACCGCCTATTGGGGGTTTACTGCAGGATCGAAGTCTCACTGGGGCTCATATCTGGGCTGCGCTTTCGAGTACACTCTGCGCGGTGCTATTGGTGCTCGCGAGAGTTTTGAAGGTTGGTTGGAAGGTAAAGACTAGATGTTAGACAAAACCATATAGATACTCTCAATAATCTAGATAGACTAATGCTTAATTGAAGTCATAGAACTTCCATCCCGCTTTGAAGTCCTTCGTAAGCTCGTCGTTCAGAATCAACGACTTAACCATCTCAATCGGCAACCCACCAGTCTTCAAAATAGCATCATGATACTCCTTCTGCGTCATCTTCCCACTATCAACAGCCATCTCTCTCAACTTCCAAAGCTGAAGCGCACCAAGCATATATCCAGCTTGATAAAGCGGCGAGTATGTCCCCTCGACAGATCGTCTGACCTCGCCCTCAGCCGTACTCCTCTCGTGATTGATCCTCTCAACGAGCAGATCAACAGCCTCTTGAGCCGTCATCTCACCTAAGTGAAACTTCAACGAGAAAATAATCCTCAAACAGCGATGCATGCGCCACCAAAGTGCACCGATCCTATTTTCAGGAGACTTATGGAAGTCATCTCGAGAGTAGAATAGGAACTCCCAGTACAATGCCCAACCTTCCACAAAGAAGGGTGTATCGAAAATTTCTTTCCTATGAGAGTTATACCGATCGGCCATGTAGAGCTGCAGTCTGTGACCAGGGAACATTTCATGGAAAGCCGTCGCATGAGCGAAGTGCTTGTTGTTTCCTCGCATGACCATGAGTTTAAGATCATGCTCCATTGATGAAACCGGATAGGAAACTTGAATAACCGGACCGCCAAGGAAGAAGGGCGAAACTTTCTGTTGTTCTGCGCTGATCATCGTCATGCGCCATGTTGAGTTTGCCAAAGGGGGAATGGTGACGAGATCGCGCTCTGTGACGAAGAGACTTCCTTCAACGACCAAGTTGCGAACAAATTCTGTTTGCTTGCCGGGATCAACGTAGTCGTTTTTGACGTGTTCAAGGGCTTTCTTCCATTCCTTGCCGTAGCCGAGAGCTTCGGATTGTTTGATCATTTCCTTTTCGCACCATGCGAATTCTTGGTTGCCAATCTTGATGAGCTCCTCAGGCGTGTAAGGGATCATCTCGGCTTCGAGTTCGACTTCCAGTCCTTTGCGCCCGATTGGCTCCCCAACAATGGCGTCTTCTCCGTCCTTTTGATTCATCCCGGCCAGTTTTGTCTGAACGACGTCAAGATAGCTCGTAAGAGAGGTATTTGCCGCCTGCCAAGGCGTTGTAACCCAGAAGTCAAACAGGGGATCATATGTTGAGTAAAATGTGAACCATTCGCCCAAAAGATCAACAAGGTTGGTGACGGCTTTACTCGCGAGATATCCCGTTGTTTCCGTGACATTGAAACCACCATCTTGCACCTTTGTCTGTACTTTGGCGATAGATTTGGTGATGTTATTCAGCAAACCAGCTGTTTCTTTTGCCTTCATAGGATCAACATCCTGGCGCGCCTCAAGCATCCCAATAAGATCATCTGCAAACGGTAGCAGGGGATCATATTTCTCTTTCGAGGCTTTCCGAAGATCCAGATTGTTGAGTTGACGTGTATGGTACGTGTTGAGCATAATATAGTCCACTTTGCCTTCCTGATCGAGATGCTCAAAGTCAATTTCGCTAAGAAGATCCTGTTCACTCTTGTGATATGTCGTCAGGGCTTGGTACCGGCGCGGGGCCATGTCAATGTTGTAGAACTCATCGAGTTCACCGAGGTCTGCCTGTGTTCGGATGACATGGTCTGTCATGGACAAGTTGAAAGAGTCTCCTGCGATAGCGAATGAGCCCCATTGGCCACCAAAGTGACTCCCTGCTAATGCCATCTTTGTAAGTAGCATCAGTATATAGTAGATGCTATAGGTGCTGGAAAGGCAGAGGGCTAGTGCAAGCAACCACAAAATGACCATCTTAAAGAGGGGTCTTTGAGTTGACCTTTATACTCCAAAATATCATTATCGTACTACTCAAAGTTCGGCTATGTAACCCGTTAATATCGGACGTGTGATCCGCGATGTCGATCAGTGCGACTTTTCGAAGACTTGTAAGATAAAGCAGGGTTCCCCGCCCGCAAGACTCTGGGCACTTTTGATACTTCCAGTCATACAAGGATCACGATATACTCTATTTGGTAGGTAGATAGCTGTACTATACGTCATATTCGAAAGACAATTCTCTTTATTGTTTGATTAGGAGTCGGCTCCATGCAGAGAAACGTTGCATGGTATAGAGGTGGATATCTAGGTAGGATTTATGGTTGTTTTAGGGTTTTGCTATCGGGCTGTTCGGGAGGGAGATACAAGATGATTGGTTGGCTTGGTTGAGAATACGATGGGAGATCACTGCCGATATTTCGAGTTGGCCGTAAAATGAGGCATTGAGAATTAAATTACAAGGATCCTTAATAACGCCAGTGATATCTAGCATCTCAGACTCTGAGTCCCAGCTAGGTCTGAACTTCCTAGGTCCAAAATTTGATTCGGCTTAACAGCATCCTCTTCATAACAGTGCAGCCTCACTTGTGCTCATGCTTAGCCTTCTTCTTCGGCCTCATCTCGCCTTCATAGATCTTGAAGAAATTTTCCGGTTCAGTGGGGTGTTCTCCGGTCACATCGTGGAAAGCTGTGGTTGAGATGTAGTTGGTTTTGCCCTCCTTCACAAGGCTGTAGTACTCGAGGAGATATTGCTGTTCGGATGGATCGATCTCAGACTGGGACTTGAGAACTCTCTTCGCTTCGGCACTGGATATTGTCAGCCTATAAAAATGGGAATATGGTGAAGGAAGCGTACTGGGAAATGTTCTCGAACTGAAGTTCGGCACCGAGAGCCTTGCTGGCTGCTTCTGCGAGCTCTTTGCCAGCACAGAGCATGGGGCCTAACGGATGTTAGCGTTCTGATTTGAGCTGAACAAATCCAGATATCTACCAGTTACGACCATCATTTGTCCACGGTGACGGTCATCAAAACCATGCTTGCCCTTGCCAGTCAGAACATGAGCAGCGACTTGAGCAACGTCCTGCAAGGTTTTCAGTAACATCCCAGACAGAGAGGTCAGAATCAACTTACACCAAGTGCAACAGGCGCAAACTTGTGGAATTCTCCAATTGGAAGCGGCAGAACACCCTCCGACTTGGCCTGCTGCCCATACAGCAAAAGGTTCTCAGCATAGAACCCAGCCCTACACAACACAGTCAGTCATCTTTCTCTGACCCTCTCAACAGACTCACCGAATAATACAAGGGGACGTTCCAGTAGAAACATTCGGATCCCCCTTCGCCTCCATAACCAACGTCTCCAAATCAATAAACTCCCTCAGTCTCGGCTGCTTCCCCCTCTCAGCATAATCGCACCCCGCCGAACTAATAAGCAGCACATTCGGAACATCCGCCTTCTTCGCAGCATGAACGAGCTCCTCACTAATCTCAAGCTTATGCTCGTGAGCAGGAGGAACAAGACAGATGGTGTCGCACCCAGTGTCTTGTAGGGTTTTGGCCATTTCACGAAGACGGCCGGGCTTATGGGCGACGATCTTGGCGCCGAGGTCTTGAAGTTCTTTTGCTTTTGGGGAGTCGGGATGAAGAGTTAGACCAATGACGGAGTCGACTTTGCGAGAAAAGTCACGGTGTTTGAGGATTAGTTCGGCGATGAGAAAGCCGGTGTTACCGTCAACGGCGGTGATGCAGATGTTTCGTGACATTACGAAGGTCTCGTAGGTGATCCAAGGGTTGTGTTAGAATATTCAGCCTTGGCGGATTGATGCGAAGGTGCAGAAGTTAGTGGAGAGTATTTATATGGTGCTTTGTAGCTTATACTTACGTTTGGTCGTCACATCTGTTGGCTCCCCTCAGGTAACACAACTTTCGTCATTCATCGCAATTGACTACCGTTATGATGCTCTACGTACGTTTGGCAGAATACCAAAGATGTCAGTGCGGGGAAAATCCTCCGGTAACGCCATTTACGTACCTCCGTAGTCATTTTTGGGATTGAGATATTGCTAAGAAGCGAGGGATCATGACTGACGACAATATTGCGAAATTGCGAGGTAAGGCGCGCGAAGCAAACATCAGCTCCCTTTTAGTCCCAGATCAGCCCATATCAGCCTAGCTCAGCCAAAGGCGTAAGGAGGGCCGCTCTTGTTCCATTTCTAGGCTACTGTATAAACGCCTAAGTCTGGCCACTTACCTTGAACCCTATTAATATCATTCTTAAACTATTTAAACAGACTAAACTATTAATTATATTACATAACGGGGAAGCTCTTCAAGTCCACTTTTAATGTTTCATCCAGGGTCCTCAAATGTTGACTATATCAGAATTTCCAATCTTAGTAATGCCACGTCTCAAGTGGAGTTGTTAGATAGGAACTCCTGCGTTTTAACTTTGTTACAGGCCAGGCGCTGTTTCAGCCAAGAGAAGAGCCATCATCGCCCTATTCAGGGGATGTCTTTTTGTCGAACATATAAATACATAGAAAAGGATGCCATAAGTTCACTTTCGCTATTCTCTCTTCTCTATCAAAAAGCATCGGCTTACCCTCTTCATAAGTCCTTACATCTCTTCTCTCCAGGCCTGGTGCCCTTTCTTCTTCTCCAGCAACACAAAATGCAGTTCGCTTTAGTCTCAGTTCTTTTCGCCGTTGGCGTCTTTGCGAAGAATGGGTATGCCTGGAACTTTACACCAGTTATATTGAGTTCGGCTCTGCTAACACGCCATCGTAGTTGTGGATTTCCCGACGGCCCAGACTGCGTTTCACTGGGCAAGGGAAGCGACGGCTTGGAGGTATTCCGTGATAATGACGGCTGCTGCCTCCTCCCTGCCCGTTGCGGTAATGAAGCCGGCGTTAACTGTCGTCGCGAGAACGAGGGCCCCGATGGTCTACCGATCAACACAAAGAGGGTTGCGCACCGTCGCAGGGCTCAGAAGGACTACCGGGCATAGATGGCGAGGAACAGAGAGATGGGTAAACTGTGCGCAGTAGAACTGTTTTACTGTTATAAGGGTCAGGTTCACTTGGTAGTGGCTCTGGTAGCGAAAGTGACACTGAATTGTTGCATCGCAGCAAGCACCATTTTATAATCTACAAGAGACGCCTTTGAGCGGAAGTGTTCACCTATCACTACGCTAAAACATAGAATGTACTAGTCATGCATTTGAAGAATCTCAGTGGACATTACCTGAGAAAAAAGAAGAAAACCAAGTTGTCTACGACGCAATCCTTTGAGTCATTCGCGCCGTCGGCAGTGCTATCCATGGCACCTTCAGAAATCTCACACTCAAATTACGTAGTGCGAGCGGTAAGCTTAAACTAAGCGCTAGCATGGAGCAAAATTCTTATTAAGGAGAAGCTTATTGTATCCCGGCCTCATAGTGGCAGTGATATTGGCGAGGATCTTGAGACAGATGTCGGAGAATAGAGTATGCGCAAGGACCTTTTCCAACCTGCTTTGTACAGAGGTCACACGACCAAGCAGGCCATTGCTTACTTGGTCTGCGATGTCGTCTAGACTCCTCTTTACCCCGGATTCGTGTGCGGCCTTGATTTCTTTTAGTTTGGCTAGAGCATTGATCAGAAATGGATGAGACGCTGGAAGCCTTTGTTGTTGGTCAGTCGTTTCACTACCTGTCCAATACGCGATGCGAAGGCTGACCTGATCAGTGAATGCATCTAATCGACACCGCTCATCAAAATCGACATGTATCTTTATAATTTTATTCACAGCCTTTCTTAGTGAAGGCCCTTTGCTTCCCACTAGCTCCGAGATTAGGGGGAGGCTCTTCTGCCATGTCTGCATACAGTGGAATGACCGCATTTTGATTATGGCAAGATGGGATATGCAAGATAGCACATGAAACGCGGATTTTACTCAAGCCGGCAGATGAAGCTCGACAACGGCTTAGAACGTCACAGTTTTGCCAAAAGTCATAGAAACATCACATCACCTGGCGAGCGAGGCAGTGTAGCTGGAAAATCAATTCATGTTCCTAGATCCTGCCGATAGAGCCCTTCCATCGATCCAAAGTCATGCCTCATAATAGTAATACAACTAGGAAGCCAGTCCACCCTTGCGACCAGCCTCCTTGGCCTTCTCACTACCAGGCTCAAAAGAGCCAGATGAGGCCTTGCCGCCCTCAGAAGCGATCTCTCGCTGAATGATCTGTTAGAATGTGATATGTGCTTAGGTAAGTAGTTGACTAACCTGCTTGTCGGCGTCCATGCTGGCAAATCCGCCAGAGTGGCTGGACTTTCCGCCCTTGGAGGCAATCTCTTGAACCTCCTCCTTGGGTCTATGTTTGTTAGACATGATCACTCAAGGTTTGTAGAATCGGATGAGGCTGGACATACCGGTTGGCAAAGTTGCCGGGGTTGGTGTTGTCGGTGCCAGTCATCTTGATAGTTGTGTAAATAATTATCTAAAATGTCTTATTTGCTTAAGTCTGTTCTTCAATCATTGACTGGAATTCTTCATCCTTAAATATTCGTCTTTGACCTAAGGTCCTATGTTAAAGTGGTTCATTGACGACGCGTTATGATACGTCTACATGACGTCTACGACTCCACGCGCCCTGACCAACGTCACAACTCAATTAACAAATGTCTTATCCTCTATTATTTCAAGATGACGTTTCTGAAAAAGCAAAACCGACAAAATTCACGGCTGAGTGACGAGCTCATTATTCCTATGACGCCCAAGATGTTGCTTTGTTTCCTAGTAACAGCATAAGACAACATGTCATTGGTGTAAACTTGAAGTGATCTGCAGGTTTGCAGGGTTGCACATCATTTGAACAAAACGCCGATCTTTTGTGAATCAATTCACGGTGAGGTTTGAGACGGTCGCGTCGTCATTGAGCTGAGATGCCAGGTAATTACCCCTGCGTAAGCACGCCTTGGCGAATCAATGATGATTGTTATTCATGCGATTAATGCAAACTACCTAGGGGAGGCAATAAAGCTTAGGACCTTAATCCTAAATAATAAAAAGATTTAAGTAAGATAGCCTAAGTTTAGGAGCTTCTTAAGGGGTTTATTTTAATAACCTCGCCCAGTGTCTGAAGTTTTGTTTCTCCCTAGGGTCTACCAGCAAAGTTATCAGAGATGATATCAGATTCAACGAAGTAGCTGTTTTCCATATAATTCTGGCGCAATGGTGGCTTACTGCCGTTTATCGTGTCACCCAGGATTCGGTCACTTGATGATACCAGTGCACCCTATCAGAAGATATGATCAGCAGAATCATTTTAATCAAAACCTCTGTGTTTAGACACTGGGTCCTACAGAAGGGAACCTCACATTACAGCAACCATATCAAGCTCGTTACAATAGCCTAATCCGAAGTCGAAGCAATCTTAGCAATTGGCCACGAGTTTCATGAACCAGGGGATTCAAATAGAAAATTGAAGGATAAAGCAGTTAAAAAACTAGAACTATTAGTTGTCGGTAAGTAATTAGACATGTATTTCTATTACCCATAACGGATGCAGAGAGTTTCTGCATCTCCGGATATCTTGCGATGAGCTCCTTATAATATAAATCTTTTACTGTTGTATGCCCCTTGATAGATCTTAATATTGCAACACTATCCGCCAAACCACCTCGGAAACTGTCTGACAAGGAGGAAGAATTGAATGCCAGCAGATTTAAGTATGTGTCTGATATCCAGTAACAAATTCTCCGGATACAAATCCGGTCATTGAGCAGCACGGCATTGCTTACGTCACCGCCTTTAACGTTATCCCACCCGCCTGATAAGATACGGAGCCAAACGACAAGGTCAACCATCCACCAATAGCAAGACAAGCCGCAACGTCATTCCACCTTACGTAACCGTCTTATTCCCGTCATCTCACGCTTCACCCAAGTCACCGAGTCGGCGACTTAACCTCTCACCAACAAGCCGCTGAGAAATCACCAGCATCAACTCTAATCTCAATGGCCGACTCACAAAGTCGCCAAAGCAGCGTCAGGTCATTAAGTGCTGCACCTATTCGGACACGTGTAGCTCGCGTGGCTTGCAAAGCGTGTCACGCAAGACGGGTAAAGTGTGACGCCGCTGATGGGCAGCCGTGTTGGCATTGTCGCACGCGCGATGTTACCTGTGAGTTGATAGACTCCAAACGTGGGAAGTACGTAGAATTGTTGTGAAACAATGGGAAATTTGGACTCACGGTTTTGTAGATATGTTAGAAGAAGTACTGCGCAACGAGTCTCAAGAAGACAGCAGGCGCAAAGTCCGGTTGATCAACATGATACCATGCACGACAGTATCGCAGTAATTACGCCTCAAAGTAACGAAAACTCGCAATATCAGGAACATAGTCAGCCAGTCCCATCGAACATCGCGCAGAATAATGAGCCGGGCTCTCAGCAACAGAGCTTGTCCGGGAACGACAAGTCATACTTCCTGGGCGACTCAAGCAGCTTATCATACATTGTCGAGATGATATGCAGTCCAAGAGGCGGAGTCAGCGAGCCCGTAAAAGTCCACTATCCCATACCGGCATCGATAGCAGACCGCGCAATCATTCCAACACGACCCCAAGTTGAGCCCCTCCGCGTACAAGATGCATTGACGATGCCACCGAAAGAGATATCTGACCGTCTTGTGCACACTTTTTTCGAGATCATCCATCCGCCTTATCCGGTAATAGATAGACGCGCCTTTTCGGAGCTGTACAGACAGGGCAAAGCACCGCCTATGCTTTTGCATGCGATGTTCCTTGTCACGTTCATTCTCTGTGATGAAAGTCTTATACAGGCTGCTGGCTTCAGTGATCGGACTGCTGCTCGCAAGCATCATTATCTTCGTGCGAAAACGCTGTATGATGTTGATCATGAGACTGACCGGAATGTCCTCACTGCAGCAATCTTTCTTCTGGGATTTTGGTGGAATGGCCCGGATGATCAGAAGGACTCGTGGTTCTGGCTTGGATGTGCGACATCTTGTGCGCAGTCTTTGGGGATGTATCGTTCGTATGTGAAGCTTTCGCAGGTTGTGAATCGACACTGACTTGGTCGCAGGACGGTCGCGTCGAGGTTGAGCCCCGAGAAAAGAGCGTTGCGAAAGCGAATCTGGTGGTCTATATACGTAAGTTACAAATGGCGAAACATTCAAAAGTCATCTTACTGACTATTGCAGACTCGTGACCGTCATACTGCCGCATGCCTAGGTAAGCCCTGCAGAATCAGGGATGAAGACTGCGACATCGAACCTCTTACCGAAGAAGACTTCTATTTCGACGACGACCACAACGATCCTCTAATAACCCGACAAGAAGAACACCATACGGCTCTTGCGATAGAGATGGCGAAGGCTGCCGAAATCCGTAGGTCACTTTGCATTGACGAACCTTGTCCTTGACGTGGCTAATATTTACCCAGTGGGGGATATTGTTATCGCAGAATACAGTCCTCGTCGCCCAGACTTAGAACAATACAAGCCAGACCGACTGAAACAGCGACTTGAACAGTGGGAAGCGCAGTTGCCGAAGTGCATGCAGAGGGCACAGCTTGATGAGACGCTGGGTCCAGCATTCTGGGCAACCCAGTTGCACATGGCGTACCAGTAAGAAACTCAACGGAGATCTATGACGAGTTAACTAACGTGTGGCAGGAACTACTACATTCTCCTGTTCAGACCGAAGGCGATTGAGGACCTCACACCGTCTGAAGCCGAGGGTGATATTTGGGCTCGGAGGGCAGCTGATTCCATCACTCGCATGACGGAAGATCTCCTCGCCGTTGGAGCAATGAGTAAGAGTCAAATGCACATGTAAGTGAACCTCATATCAATCCACTCCCACTCTAACCCTTTCTTAGTGTCCCCGCCGTCTTCGGGGCCCTCTCCATCCACACCCTCGTCATCTGCCGCAAGGACCCCATCCGACGCCAACTCGCCGGCAACAAATCACGGCAATGCATCCTCGCCCTAAGCGAACTCGCAAAGCATTGGCCCGTAGGACTATGGATCATGAGATTCTTCGGCAACCTCATGCGAAGACTCACAGGCCAAGGTTCTGCTGTTTCAGCAGGCTCAATAGTTGACGTGACGTCGAGAATCGCAAACTGTAATCGTAACGAAGACTCGACTCTGACGGAAGTCAGCAGGGCAACTTCTCAGACCTTAGCAGAAAACGGTGGTCCATTCACTGACGCGACGAACGCTCAAGTCGCTGGCGCTGTGATGGAAACAAATGATCTGTTCCAACAGCCGCCAGATCAGTTCGGTTTTGACAACTTTTGGGCTGAGGATACCATTGATGTTGATCTACTGCTTCAGCATGGTTTATGTCCATTGCTGCCAGGCAACTTTGGAACTTTTCCACCAATGTCGGATCCTCAAGGCTTTTAGACAGACGGAATTCCAGCCACAATGGCAAAGTACAATCCTTCTAATAGGTTATGAAGTCTATCTATTCTATGTGTCGCTTCTCTATAATGCTTTTCTCTTGAACGTCATCTAACGCACCCCCAACTCAAGTGATGCAGCCAACTTTCGGCTGGCCCAATTATGTATCTCATCACCAAATATTTTTCTGTCGTACTTTTAGATCTTTGAAGCAAATTTGCTCTTGGCTCGCAGCTTCTTGCCATATCTGAAGAACAGATAAGGGAACGGCGCCATGGCGACCGTCAAGAAAGCAAGAAGACTAGAAGCCCACTGATAACCAAGCGTCTCGTACATCTGGATGCCAAATAGTGGGAATGCCGCTATACGATTGTTAGTAACTGTGCTGCTTGAAGCATCGGACGGGAGGGAACGTACCTGCGAAAGAGCATCGGGCAAAGCTGTTGGCTGCCATGGCAGAAGCGGCGTACTGAGGATAAGCGTCGACCAAGAAAGTGAAGATACCAGTGAAGACGAGCATCATGCTAAAAAAACAGATGTTAGTAGATAATCGAAAGGATGAGGCCAGAGAAACCTACCCGCATCCAAAAACTCCGGATCCAATGATAGGCACAATCCAATGAATGCTAGAGTACGTCGTCCAAGCAAACCAAAACAACCCAATAGGAATAAGAATAGCTCCAAGAATACAAGGAGGTAATCTGTACTCGGGCTCACTGATAGCCTTACCAGTCTCCTTCTCCTGCTCCGCCAACCATCGAAGTCGGAGTCTGGCCCAGAAAGGAGTCGTAGCCGTTGCAATAACAAATCCGACCAGAATTCCCAAGAACGTCATGCCAGTTTGCCAAAGACTCATACCGTGGTTCGTTCGGAAGATGAGAGGAAATGCGCCGAAGAATAGATACAGAATACCGAGAAGGATAGCAGAGTAGAGATCCAAGCAGAGGCACATGGGCTCCAAGAAGAGCAGCTGAAATGGTCGAAGGACTGACAGCTTGAGCGTTTCGAGGATTGGCTTCTTTGTAAGCTCCATCGGCGCTCTATACGCCTCATTCCCAGTCTCTTTTCTCAACATTCTCGCCTTCTCCCTCAACAAAATCGGATGAAACGTCTCAGGCGCAAAGACCACAATAGCCACCATGACGAACGCAGCCCAAATCAACATAACATAATACGTCCACCTCCAATGCGTATTATAATTAATAAACCCTCCAATCAACGGCCCAATAGCCGGTCCGATAAACGGCGCCAATGATACCAAACTCATAGGCTTCTGAATCTCATGCCGTTCGAAAACATCACCTGCCGTTCCGCCTGCAACGCTGAGGAACGAACTCCCAGCAAAGCCTGTGAAGAAACGCGCGATGATCATGGTCTCGATGTTTTGCGCTACGGCGGAGGGAATAGTCCAGATTATGAACATGGCCCATGAGACGAGGTAGATTGGTCGTCGGCCGTAGTACTCGCTCAACGGGCTGGTTAAGACTGGGCCGAGTGCGATTCCTAGGACGAAGGTTGAGAGGCCGAGGGTGGCGACGATTTGGGAGCAGTGGAATTCGGCGTTCATTTGGGTGTAGGTAGCTGTGTAGATTGAACTTGCGCATGTCCTGAGAAGTCAGTGAATGTGGGAGTGAAGGCGAAATTGGAGACTTACACGCAGAGACTTCCCATGCAGGCGATTGAAACAATCATCCATTTTCGCAACGTCGACATACTTCGTGGACATAAAGGATCTTTGTCGCCGTCCCACGAAACTTCGAAGGATTCGCAGTCGGTGGTCAAGTTACCAGCTTCAGTAGTTTGATCACTAAGATTCGCATTCTGATCATCAGGGGCACCATCTGCAGGCGCATTCTTTTCAAGATCAGTTAAAGACTCCCTGTCCAGAGAAGCTCGTTGTTGATCCTGGGACAGATTCCCATCATGAGGAACCTCTTTCTCATTCATCGTGTCGTTGAAAAATGATACTGATTAAACATGCCAAGACCCTGTTTTTTCGTATGGGATACTGACGTATTTAAAAAACAAATTTGCGGCTCCACGGCGCGCATCAGATTTGTAATGACGCTCTCTTTTTACGGAGATAAGATGTGGGTATATCGTTATCTTAAGATGCCTCGGCGTCTTGGACCTTAGTGTTGTTGGTTGGTGCACTGTGATAGGCCCCGGCTTTTACGATTGCAGGGATGTTTTGGCCACCTCGGTTTTTGGCGCGGTTTTGCGAAGTCGGCGATTTAGAAGTTGATGGGAAAATTACCAAGCTGACTGAGATTGCTGCTGAAAGGGCGTAGTTTTGAATGGTGTTTTGGCGGGAGGTGGGGGGAAATGCCGAGTAATTCCGTATTTAAAGAGCGAGGTCGAGTCTTTGTTGTGATTATTGTTACGAATTGCCTGATTTTGACATTTCTTTGACACATGCCGATGAGAATTGTAGAATTTTCTCTGGAGATCGGCTCATCTGTAAGCGCAAACAGTCTCATAAGGCATGTGAGTGACTTTTTGCCTCTAGATATCTGTTTTACGTCCCTCTCTCTTGAAAATACCTACCCTGTAGATGCGCTATGAAACTGCCTTTTTTTTTTTTTAAGATGCAGTACTTGAAGATGCAGTAAAGTTGAAAGTAAGATATTTTGATCTAAAGAGTCTGTGAGTATTTTGGTATTAATTTAATATACTCTTCTGGTGCTTTGTTGGTTTTGGAGTCCTGGTGGATTTCTTTGCCTGATTCGTTAATCAACCAGTCATCACTTTTGCTCACCAGAGTACTCCCTCCTCAATTCCTTACCTTAGACTTCAACCCATCACCTTCACGTAGATCACCAGCCGCAATGGATCAGGCCTCAGAAAAGCCCGTGTTATTCTTGTAAAAGCCCTTCCCGACACTCTTCAAAGCCACCTCTAACGGTTTTAGTGACATTGACAACTGTCTATACTCACGCAGTGCGCAACCGTCAACTCGTGACAAGACCCCATACAGAACCTAACATGCACAGATGACAAAGTCCTTGAGCACATGTCCCGCAACATCGACGATTATTTCAAGAAACATCTCGGCCTCTCCCCAGACGACGCAGAGCGCCTTCACAAGGATTACTCTCAGCAATACGGCCAGGCGATTGAAGGGCTTGTACGCCACCACCAAATTGACGCGTTAGAATACAACGCCAAGGTCGATGACGCGGTCCCATTGGACGACCTCATCAAGCCTAACGCACAATTACGACAATTCCTCGAGGATATCGATACTTCAAAGGTTAGACTTTGGTTGCTAACTAATGCATATGTGAACCACGGGAAAAGAGTCGTGCGGTTGTTGGGCGTGGATGATTTATTTGAGGGGTTGACGTATTGTGATTATTCTCAGATCCCGTTTGTGTGTAAGCCGCATAAGGAAATGTTTATGAAAGCTATGAGAGAAGCTGGAGTCTCTGATGTTTCGAGGTGTTATTTTATTGGTAAGATGAGCATCTTTTGTAAGGCTTTTACTGACGATTTTAAGATGACTCTCATAAGAATTGTGTTGGGGCAAAGGAAGCAGGCTGGACTGCTATTCACTTTGTGGAGGATGGACTTCCTGTACCTGATACACCAGCGTCTCAGCATCAAATTCGCCATCTTGGAGAATTGCGGTCATTGTATCCCGAGTTCTTTCGAGTTAGAAATTGGATGGGGTGTAAGTTTATTCTCCCTTTCTTTATGGAAATGTTACTAGTCTTGTCTAATAGTCTAAGTACTTCCACAATTTGAGTTTCATTTCAACTAACGAGGAACAGGAATAGATTAGATGATAGACATATTTAAAATTGAAGTGTTAGATTGTGTGTTTAATTTTATGCCGCTTATGAATCCTGTCATTCCTTCATCTGCAGTTAGCCCAAAATGGTGCTGACATAAATTTCTTCTCACTGTCCTGATCAAATCCTCACTCATTCTCCTTCCTTCACAACAATCCGCTATTTCTGTAAAACTAGGAAAAGAGATGGAATCTCCAAAGAGGGTACTCGTTACGGGCGGAAGCGGTTTCTTGGGAGGACATGTAGTCCGACAACTTCTCAAGGATGCAGTAACAACTGTCGCTGTCGTCAGCCGTCATCCCAAGATGCCAGCTGATGTTGCTGACGAGTCTCACGTCTCGCTTCAAGCAGCCGACTTGACAGTACCGAGCCAGATTGAACAGGTCTTTGAGACGTTTAAGCCACACGCTGTCATTCATACAGCTTCACCGTCTTATCTCGACACACCTGCGAACCTGATGAAGGCAAACATCGATGGGACAAAAGCACTACTAAAAGCTGCCTCAGCTTGTGCCGATACTGACGTATTTGTCTTTACGTCCTCTGATTCAGCCGTTATACCCACGCAAGAACCTCTGTCAGAAGAAAACGCTGTTCTGTATGATGAGACGAATGCTCCAAACGCTTATGCAATGTCAAAGGCCGCGGCTGAAAGACTCGTCACTGCTTCAAATTCAGAACTGCTTCGGACTGCAGTTATACGAATACCAGCCACTTATGGCGAATACGACACGAATTTCGTGCCTCAACTCGTGCAAAGCATTCGAAGGAAAGAGCACAAAATGCAAGTTGGCAATGATACAAAAGTGTTTGAGTTCTTGTACGTCAAGAAAGCAGCCGAGGCACATATCCTCGCCATGAAAGCCCTTCTTGACCTAGAGACGCGGGACAAGGCTGGCGGTGAGGCATTCTTCATCTCAGATGGGAAACCACAGAAGTTCTTTGACTTCTCTCGGAAGTTTTATGCTGCAGCTGGACATCCTGTTGCATTGGAGGAGGTTACAAAGATTCCGTTCTTTGTGATGCAGGCGATGGCATCAACGGCTGAATGGGTTTACTGGGTCCTGACGTTGGGATGTATCAAACCTGGTATGCGAAGGACTGCTATTGATCATCTGGACTCTGGGTGCTGTTGGTCTCTTGATAAGGCGAAGAGGATACTGGGATATGAGCCTGTTGCGGATCAGGGTGAGGCTATTAGGAAAACTATGGAGTGGGCAAAGAAAACTTTGTAAGCGAAAGCTGGAGATTGAGTTCTGCAACTAGTTTGGCTTTATGCTAAATAAGACTACACCTAGCTAATACACGTACTGAAAGTACCTATTCTTGAAGTCCGTTTCATCAAGCAGTCCTGCCTCCCAAGCTCTCTGGTGATTCTCAGGAGTATGGAGTTCCCGCCTCGACCTATTCCTCATCCACAACAGGACCCAGAGCGTAACAAGACTCGCCACCTGAATCGCAATACAGGCGAACATCATACCAACTCCAAGCTCATACTGAGGCGCCTGGTTAGACTTAAAGAAGAATGGTCCGACAAAGTTTCCCAGACAATACCCGATTAGCAGCAAGGCATTTGTCGTGATCTTCTTAGTATGCCCTGCTGTGTTGGCCATTGAGACTGACATACTAAGAGTCCAGGTTGATGTATAGGAGAAAGACATCCATAGACATGCTAAGCGAGCGTATGCATCGCTGTGTGGGAGGAAGTGAAGACCTAGAACACCGGCGAGGAAGGGGACTAGACCGAGAAGCATGATTAGGATTCTGGAGTTTCTGATAGCGGAAGCTCCCCAGCTGTGAGGTCATCGTTAATTCAAAGGTTTGTAACAGGTTTGGAGGACTTACCAGGCGAGTACGCATGCAACTAGTTGGACTGCACCGGACGGCATCTGATATAGTGTCGTGTCGAGGGTGCTGAAGCCGGCACCTTTGATGATAAGGCCTTGGAACTGAGACAAATCGGTTAGCAGTATCCTGAGAAAGATGAAGGGCATGCATACTGCGGATAAGCCTCCGTTGGGTGAGTTACTTGTAAGAGCAAACAGGAACAGTAGCCAGGTCTTCATATCAAGCATCGCCTCCCAGAACTGCGCCATCTTGAAATGCTTATTCTCAATGCCCGTGCCATTTCCCCTGACCCTCGCTACAACTCTCGCTTTCTCATCGGGCGTCAAAAACTTCGCTCTCATAGGGGCACCTGGCAGTAAGAACAAGAGAATAACGCCCCAAGCCACAGTGATAGATCCCCAGACGATGAAAAGAACTCGCCAGGACGGTAGAGCAGACTTGACGTGGCCTATACCAAAACTAGCTATGCCAGCGATGATGTAGCCCATTCCAGCGGAGCCAATCCATATACCCATACGGAGAGGCTGTTCTTTTCGCATGTAGTACATACTAAACAGGAGCATGGTTCCTGGATTAATGGCTGCTTCAAGAGCGCCAAGTAAAACGCGGACGACGATGAGGGTTGTGAAGGAGTTGACGGCTCCGTGGGCCATGAGTACGGCGCCCCAGGCGATGACCTAGGGACATTCAGCAAAGACCAATGACTGTAAAGCTGGAAGAAACTCACCGTTCCTGACATAAAGTAGTTGATCGGAAATCTTTGAAGAAACATACTGGTCGGAAACTCCCAGATTAGATAGCCAAGGTAGAATATCCCACCAGTCCAAGAAAACTCATCTCCCTTGAGATTGAGATCTTCTCGCAGGCCGAACACGGCAGCATAGCTGATAGTATTCTTATCAATGGATTGTAAAGCGTAAGTGAAACAGAGAAGGGGCATAAGTCTCAGGTCCAGCTTCCATCGTAGAGCCTTATCCAGTTCAGGACTTGTCTCGATATCATCTGCATCACGACACAATGTCAAGGCTTCAGCTGTGGAGGCATCGTTTATGGTTCCCTCTTTAATAGATTGGGTATGTTTCAAGTCGTCTGTTATTTTCTCTGCCATTTTGTCGTCAGTCTGTATGAGCGACAGGAGGGGCGAAGCACTCCGTTGGACGTACACATGTTCAGACTTTATATTTGTCCCTCTTCCGATCGTTTGAGGTTAACTGATCGTTGATCAGTGGATAACACGTCGCAATACCCGCGGGAAAACTGCCAGTGGATACCACGATGTTGTAGTTCCCATCCAAGGCCCAGGATGCTTATCATTACCCCTCAGCTACAATGTAACGTTGATATCGAGCATGAGTCGTACCACATAGCTATCTATCTCCAAGCCGGTCTATAATCTGTATGCCGATAAACGAAGCATTGATTTGCCATGTAATTACTCTTCATACAGCTTAGTACTACGCCAATTGGGTAGAAAACGATCATGTCACTAGTCAGCTTTCCGGGACTTATACATGTCACGTCTCTTATATCAATGTTGGTCAATTTCTACTGCGTCCTTTGATTTTCCTATGCATACTTACTACCGCATTACCATTCGTCTTCTAGCACTTGCTGTACCGAATATTGGCTATGAACCAAGACCACTCGACTTGTGGTCGACTTAGAGCTTTATCTGAAACCTTATACCCGTATCGTTAGGACTGACATAGTTTTCCAACTGTAGGAAGTCTCTTGCAACTAAATGCGATCCAGAGAAGTCAGACCGTTCTCGCCGACTTGTGATAAGAAAGGCACGAATATCATCAACCATAGACTCAGGCAAGTATGTAGCAACTCTGATAGTATACCGGTCTGAACCAGGACATACAGGCTTTATCAACCACTAAACAGAATGGCTGGTGAATTGCCCGTCATTTTTGACGATCGATAGATCTGGCCCGTTATGCGACAGACACCGTCCGGAGCTGAAGTATACGAATCTGACAGCATGTCTGAGATGGGCATCGAATCCACAACCAAATGGCATATTCCACATCGATCTCATCTTGTCTATATCTGGGTCTTCTGATCTTCGATGGATCGGGATACGATTCCCTGTGAATATGGACAGTGAGGTAACATCACCGATACTTGGACGTTTTGGTCCGGTTCCGAAACCCTCATTAGAAAGGAGCGTGACGCGGGTAGACGAAGGCCGTAAAAGAGCGCATTCAACCAGTCTGACAGTATTATCTCCAACGACTGCTTTAAAAAGCCGCTCTTGCCCATCGAGTTTATCCTTTTGGCGTCGGATTGTAAGTGTGCCTTCGGAAAAGTCCACGTTCGGAGCATCATAAGCCATTTGCAGCAGAGAAATTCCCTTGACTACAACAACTCCGTAGCTTAGCATCTGTCTCTATTAATTTGAGTCTCATTATAGACAATAACTTGAAATATTACCGAGGTCTTGCCCTTTTGGTAATAGCTAACAAAATCATCAGATTTGTCGAATGCCTTCTGTACAGCCTGACGGGGAAACGACCTTGGCCCATCCTCTGTAAGACAATCGTTGATGCAGTCAAGAATACCGGGTATCTCGTTAGAGCACATCGTAAGGCGGTCGTCGGAGCGAGTTTGGATGGCCTTTAACTTTTTATCTCGTTGTACATCCGAGATATTCTCAGGTAAAGTGACAGCCGTTTCCATGAGTTCGGTAATCGTGCCGTACATAGTCTCTATCTTTGTAAGAGACTCTCTCAGGTTGTCGTTTCATAGTTGGAGAAGAGCTTCGGGAAGCTCTCGTGACAGAGTGTCCACAGTCCGTTCCAATTCCTTAATTTCTGTGACGGCCCCGGAGATATCTCATCGGATCTTGTCTGTATCACTACCACCCGAGGCCGAGTGCAGAATCTGTTTGAAGACCCATGTCCCATCTTCACCTGTTAGGCCGATGGCGAACTTATTGAGAAGGGTTGGGGTAGAAAGTGTGATAATCGTTGATGCTACCATAATTTTTATACGAATATCTATCTTCAGGGGAGCTATCATTGCTTTACGAGAGTTGAAGAATTCAGAATATGGAGGACAGCCGAGGCGGTCCTTAATAGTGATATGGTGCGGTTGAATACCCCCAGGAGACCGTTGTTGATCCATACTGCATTGAGTGGATTTATTGAACGCCACTCATGGTCTAGACCCATCAGTGAAGTTGTGTGTAAGAACAAAGCCCAAGGCATTTTTTCAATTGAGCAGCTGATGCTGAGTAGGTAGGTCGAACTGTTTATTATATTGATTGTGTTATCTCAAATTTGAGGGATCGGCATCGTGATACAAGGGTCCCTTGTTTGACCCAATTTAATATGGGCCCTTGATAAACGCGGGGAGGAAGACTTCTGACGGTAAGCCCAGGGTGCCAAAATTACTGGTCTAGAGATCCGCTATAATTTGCCTAAACGTACCTAAATCTTTTCATCACTCGGGATAAAAGTCCTACCCGAGGCGTGCAACGTCAGGCTTTACGGATATGCCTATCTGCCATCCGGTTACTAAAGTTTTCCGCGGCAGCGCGGGAAACATCCAAAGCTACTTGTCCTGTTTCCCGAGACGGGATAAAGTTGCCGAATGACGACTGATAAAGAGGAGTGAGATACTGATGGACCAAGATACAGCACTGCAATTTCTCACAGTACATTCACAGAATGGCATCCACGCATCCGTACCAGGTGCTACCTATCGACGAGAGAGTCAAACGAGTTTTGGCTACAACCCCTCTTATAGATGGTCACAATGATTTACCTCAACAGCCCAGAGCTTGTTTCCATGGTCAAATACACAATAATGAGAAATTCGATCTAGAAAAAGGCTTCGAACGTGGAATGACAGATATTCCTCGTCTTAAACAAGGTGCTCACAAGTATCTGCCTTCATCTTCAACTGGATGCTGACCTTGTTTCTAGGCGCCGTGGGCGGACAGTTCTGGTCTGTCTGTGTCCCTTGTCTCAGATCAGCAGAGAACTTCACCACTCCAGAGTACTCAGACATGGCTCGAGATGCAATTGAGCAGATCGATCTAACCCTCCGACTGGTTGAGTCTTATCCAGAGACATTTCAACTGGTTAGTGGTGCTTCAGAAGTCAGGGATGTTTACGCCGGTGGTAAGATTGCTTGTTCGATTGGCATTGAGGGGCTTCATATGGCTGGAAATAGTATTGGGATCATCAGAGCTTTCTACAGGCTCGGGGTGAGATATGTAAGCAAAATAGACCTCACTTATTTGAGATGTCATACTGAGCTGGATAGTGTACTCTCACCCATGTCTGCAACAATGCTTTCGCAGACAGTTCCACTTCAAAGATAGGACCTGTTCATGGTGGCCTATCTGACCTAGGAAGGGCCGCTATCAAGGAGATGAACAGACTCGGTACGCCACTTTCACATCCGCTTTACGCTGAGCTAACCCCGTAGGCATGATTGTCGATCTTTCTCATGTCTCAGAAGACTGCGCGAGCCAAGTTCTCGACCTCTCCCGAGCCCCGGTCATGTTCTCCCACTCCAACGCAATAGGAGTATTCGACTGCCCCCGAAATGTTCCCGATTACATCCTCGACAAGGTTCCCGTCAACGGTGGTATAATTATGGTCACTTTCGTCCCAGAGCATGTCACCACCCGGCGTAGAGATGCCAAGATGGAGATGGTAATCGATCATCTATTCTACATCGCCAATCGCATTGGCTGGGATCACGTCGGCCTTGGCTCAGACTTTGATGGAATCGCTAGCGTAATCCCAGGGCTTGAAGATGTGAAATGTTATCCCCATCTTCTGAAGGCTATTCTTGATCGTGGAGCTACTGAAGAGCAACTGGCCATGGTTGTTGGCGAGAATACTCTTAGAGTTTGGGCAGGTGTTGAGAAAGTTAGCGATGAGATGAAGGCTGAGGGGGTACTTCCGGTGGAGGATGTGTTTAAGGATAGGAAATGGTGGAGATATGATGGGTATTATCAGATGGAAGATCCTGATCCTGAGGATAAGCTTGGACTTGACTGGTATGGGAAACCTCCACCAGATGAGGGTCTATACCTTATCGAATAGGAAACAATTGAGGACTACAGGATCTCATCAGAGTTGGAAAGATTAAAGCTCTGTTTGGTCACGGAGGGATAGCAGATTTGAAAGATATGAAAGATAGAGATGAAGTGGAAGTTGTTTAATAATATGAGTGAAAGTGACGAGCCACTATCAACGAGAGAACCTATCTCAAAGATCTTTATTCATAAAAACCTTCTCAGTGATGTCTTGTGATGATGGCGAAAAGAGAGACTGGTTATCTGAACGACAAGCTCTACTGTCGCGGCTCAACAGGAGTCTCAAACCTCGCGGTCTCATCCTTCGGTTGGAATACGCCCTTATCAGCTTCCATGCTGTTTCCATCAGCACTAGCACTGTGGTGAGCAGCATCAATATCACCGTGACCGCCCTCAAGGCCACCGTTGTCAACGATAGGGCGGTTGTCAATAGTCATCTGAGGTGCAACATCATACTTTCCATCACCACGCTCAAGACGGTGAGATGGGATGAGAATGTTGAGGAAGCGAGGAGCAAGGAATGCACCGATGATGAAGATGACGACCATGTGCATGAGAACAAAGCTGTAGATGAAGGGAGGGTCATCGGAGTAGTTGTTGAGGAACTTGGGATAGGCGAAGGAGAAGACAAGGGCAACGGCAGGACCTGTGATGTATTTTAAACAAATAGGCCATACCCAGTGAATCTTCCAATTCGTCTGGCCACCGAGGATGGCATTGTTGAGATCGCGACGGATTTGGTTGCCCTGTGAGCGAGTTAGGTATAGGAACCCAAGACAGGCGTGGGGATACATACCGAGTAAAAAGCCGCGTACCAGAATCGGCTGAGAATGGGATTGTTTCCCCAGAATCGGGGAGCAGGGATTGAAGGGGTCTTGCCAACAAAAGCAGAGATAAGAGCACAGGCGATGAAGATACCGAAGCCAACACCAGCACCGGCAGGGGCGCTGACGACATGACCAATCAGAAGGCCAAGGAAGAGAGACAAAACATAGCCGCCATTGTAAACGAAGTAGCTGATGAAGCCGATCTGATCGACGGGATCCTTCCATCGGTAAAGCGTGCAGGCCATATAAGTCTCTGACCAGACAGTGATGAAGAGAGCGACATCGTTGACAAAGGCATCAACAGCATCGAGAACACTGAAGCCAAACTCACTGCTGTAGATGAGTGAAGTAAGGCAGCCGAGGATGATGACAGAGGTTGAGATGATCCATCGAGGAATGCGCTGACCAATGTTGGTATCGCAGATGAGAGTGACGAGGACCTCAGCGAGGGCAAAGACACATGTGAGTCCAAGAAGGACCAATGTGATGAAGAACAGAGCAGAGAAGAAGTTGGATCCGGGCATCTGAGCAAGAGCCTGGGGATAGTAGAAGAAACCAGAGCTGAAGGTGGAGAGAGGATCGACCTCGCCGGGGTTGATGGCGAGGAAGCCGACAACGCCCATGACAGCCAATGCTGAGATGATCTCAATTGCGGAGTTGCTGAGAGCAATGATGAAAGCATCTTGGACAGCGTTGGCGAACTTGTTGTTGTATGATGCGTAGGAGGTGAAGTAGCCGAAACCGACACCAATGGAGAAGAACATCTGGCCAAAGGCGTCTTGCCATACGCGAGGACCCTCAAGAGACTCGCTTCGCCACGTGCCGACATAGAGTCTGAAACCATCAGAGGCGTTGGGGAGGGAGAGGGACCGAATAGCGAGAATGCCAATCATGATGAGGGGGAGAGCCATGGTGATGTAGATGACACGGCCAGTGAGACCAACACCCTTGAAGGTACACATCCACACGACGAACCAGATCATGACGCACCAGCCAAACGTCTCACCAACGATGCCACGACCAGGATAATGCTTCAAACCACCACCGTCATCAGCACCACCGGTAGCAGGAATGTTGCGAACAACCCTCTCATTAAAAAAATCCACCGTATCCTCGCCATCCCACGGCAACGGGCTCTGAAACGACATCCTGAAATAAGTCATAGCCCACGCCAGAATCGGAACATAGTATCCAACAACACTAAAGCCATTGAACACCATACTCAGTCCAATACCCTTAGCGCGATGGTTCACATTATTCCAGGCGATAACACAACCACCGCGATAGGCCTGACCAAGGGTGATTTCGAGGATGAGGATTGGAATACCGATGAGGAAGAGCGCGACGGCGTAGGGGATGAAGAACTGCAGACCGTAGTTGTTGAAGACGACGGAGGGGAAGCGCAGCAGGTTTCCTAGACCGACAGCACCGCCCATGGCGCAGAGGACGAATTGCGAGCGGGAGTTGAAGTTATCGCGGCCATCGTCGTCTTTTGCTGAGTCTGGTGCGAGCATGAGAAAGATTCTCTTGGCCATGCCTGGCTTCTGGCCTTTTTCGGCGACAGCCATGATTGCCTAGTTCTCAAACAGCTATTCACTAAAGAGAGAATTAAGAAAATGGGTATAAGAGAGAAGAACGAAGCTGATCGACCTCTCCACAAGGTGGATCGCGTCCCCTCGATATATACCCCAGAACCCCAGAAATGCCCAGCGTCCCAATATCTCGCCGAGACGCGTGCGATTAACAACACGCTCATAATTGGATTTCCCCGGGGCAGCCAAGACATCTCAGCTTGTTGGCCTTGGGCCAATTGCCCTCGATCTTGGCGCGAGCGAACCACTTTATATCACCGCCAAGCAAGCGCATCTCCAATCCGCACCGCGTGCCAATGCGATACCCCATCTCGTGATATCCCCGCCAAGCGACATAACAGGAAGGCCAGGAAGAACCAACATTCCATGTCTCACGTGTTGAAAGAAAGAGACCCCAAAGATGAAAGGACTCGCCAAGGAAATGCCAATGCTGTTATCTGGGGTAGTGCTTATCGACGGACTCTGCATTCAGCAGGTGCTTTTGTCAATGTCAGTTATAGCGCCTTGGGCTTATGATTGTAGCGTCTTGGAGCTATTTCCGTTTCCCCGTTTGCCGTTGGTATCCGATTCTAAACAGTCGCCCCTTTTCTTGGACCCGTGTCTGGGTTTTTGGAGATTCAGGCGAGTCAAGGTCAAGTTGGGGTTTTGGATTAAAGTGTCTTGGCTATCCCTTGGCTGATAGCAACACAGATAAGCTGCCCGCTTATGCTTAAAAATGGATTACGACATATCCGGGCTAAGTCAAATAGTCTTACTGCCAAGATACTAATCAGATAGAACTCTGTCGGTTTAACACGGCCAAAAGATCACTCACCAAAGGATTAGTAGTATCACGGGCCATAAACAGAAATATTTGTCCCTGAGCATTCGTATTCAGGTGTGTTCATCGTATTGTAACCCTAGATCACCTTTCTGGAAGGGAAGGTCGGTTGGCCGATGGAGCGAGCAGTCATGTTTTGTGCCAAGTATATTCGCTTGGCATTACCGGGGAGACGTGACACTGATGTAACGCCATGTATGAGTAAGAAAGAAACGTAAGCGTAAACGAACATTGGAAGAAAAGAAGTGGAACAATTGCTGCCTGATGATTCAGTTCCTACATCGATAGAATACGTGAGATGAGAAGATAAGCTTTCAGCCTTGCGGAGGACGCGTCTGTTTCGTTATGAGAGCATGCTTGGTCATAGTCGATTGATTGGTAGGATAAAAGGAAAGCTGCAACTCTGTGCAGAGCGATAAAATATCAGATATCACGGCGTGCGTTCTATTTACTGTACTCCAAGGGGGATATCCTATAAATTGGATGAGCATCCAAGAGGCCAGTACCCCGAGAGTGCATACAGCCATTTCATTGCCGTAAATACTATATCAAAATATCAAGAGAGGAGATAAACATCGAAGAACAAGAGTGGAAATAGAGTTCGAGAATTCGTAAACCTCAAGATTCCCAGCGTTTAGGAGGCGAGCTGATACGGCTGACAATAGCCATATCATCCATCGCCTGTAATTCCTCCTTGCTAGGAGGCCCATCAGGATACATAGACTCCATAGGCGCAACAAATATTGTCGAGCCCAGCCCGATGTTTGTATACGTCACTAGGGACAGTCAGCTCCATGGTCCGCAAATTGCCGGTTAGCTTACAATCGTTCCTCCTAAAGTGCTCTATAAGCCAAGCATACCACCCTGACGATTGGTATTTACGCTTTTCATCACGAAGATTTTGTCTCCGTGGCGAATGATACGCCTGTGTCTGTTGCAATCTCTGTGGGGGTGTTATTCCACTCTGAAGTCGATGGGCTTGTAGTTGTCGTAGTGGAATTCCATAGGGAACCTGCCTCGACATGCGAGGTGTCATGGATAGGACCATCGCTGAATCACGGGTGCTGGAAGGTTAGTGGTTCGTGAGGTTGACGGGCTTTGTGTGACGAAAGACGATGATGTGATGGAAAGGTTAACCTCCGCTTGACTGGCAGAAATAATATTCAACATGATGTGCCCTAGTTGCCTCAGGAGGAAAGGCAATCCAAGATTAAGTTTAGAAGTTTTGCTATCTGGTGACTCTGGTAAAGGTAAAGTTGGCTGTAGGAAGTTTATGGAAGTTGGCCTGGGTTCGCATAGTTTGCAATATACAGTAGATCGACTCTGCTGTAGACGTACGACAGTGAGTAGAATAAACAGCGTATACTCATTCTCTTCGCAGTCAATATTTATGCCAGGATTCAGTCAGTAGTTAAACCTTTATCGGCGAAATTTAACGTTGACTCTGCCCGAGATATACCTTATCACGCCCCTTACCTCATTTACACACTGAAGCTCATGATGTACCTTACCCGTGACCAATCTGTCACTCTCTTGAGAAATCCGAAAAGTCTCCCAACACAAGTAAGTCTGCTCTAATACGAATATTAATACGGAAATAAGGGTCTAGTGTCCCATTTATTCTTCAGCTAATGCAGGGAGGGCTGTGGATTTTAACTCCGCGACCGAAACTCCTCTCCGCACGTTCAGCTCCGTTAACAGCCTTGCATATATAGTTCATCTTCCATCGCAACATCAATACCTACCAGTAATTCATCTCATAATAAATCTATTTCATCATGGGTAAAGTCGCTGTCGATGGTGGCTCGTCCGGTTTGGGCCGGACAATGGTCGATGCCCTCGAGGCAGCCAAGACTCACAACTACATCATCCTTTCGCGAAAGGCTACTGGTCCGGAGACGCGGGCTGTCGACTATTCCGATGTAAATTCTTTGACTTCGCTTCTTGAGTCTGAGCAGGTCGACACGGTTATATCCATGCTTCCGACCGACAATGATGAGAGCGGACAAGCTCAGCTGAACCTCATCGCAGCGGCGGAGAGATCAACTTGTACTTAGCGATTCTTGCCAAGTGAGCTCGGAATGGTCTACACCAAAGAGTACGTATCATGTTTTACTTTTGCGAGATATATGATTTGGTTAACGACTTACCAGCAACATCACCCATGTCCCTTCCTACCAATGGAAGCTCAAAGCAGTAGACGCCCTTGAAAAAACCAACCTCGAGTTCTCCCTCGTCTCAATCGGTCTATTTCTAGACTACTGGGCCGCCCCACGTATACCTACCCACATCCGCGCTGCAAACATAATAATCGACCCGGAAAACAATGCAGCAGTAATTCCAGGCGATGGAAATACTCCCGTCGTCTTCACTCACTCTACAGACGCAGCAAAGTTTGCCGTTGCTCTTCTCGATCTTCCAGCCTGGAAGCGCAGATACGCCATCATCACAAACCGCATAGCTCTTAACGAAGCTGTCAGATTGGCCGAGGAGGTTAAGGGCGTCAAGTTTGATGTTAAGTATTTCTCTGTCGAGCAGATGAAGAGGGGTGAGAATGATCTTACATCGAGTATGACGAGGGCATTGCCGGAGGAGATGCACGGTGGCATGAAAACCATGTTGGCTTTGTCAGGTGTTGGGATGGCTACAGGTTCGAATGATTTTCAGGGGATTGATGATCTGGTGGTCAAGTTTCCAGACATCAAGCCGGTTACTGTGAGGGACGTCTGGGAAGCGTGGAAATAGAGGTAGAAGAACAGTGACAATTCATTATGGAAGTGATAGAGTATCTAGTATGCGAATATCCATATAGAGATGTTGTCACCTGATAACTAAAATCCCCATTGGCGACACCAGTTCCTCATCAGCTCGGGGGTGATCGGCCCAAGCTCTCTCATCGTCGAACTATGGCTCTTGGTCCTCTCTATCCCGTACTTAACTGACTGAACCTCCTTCCCTACCGCAAACAATCCACGATAAGTATCCAAAAGCTTGAGGCCAGGATTCTTATCAAAGTCCAAATTCTCCTCCTTTGCACTAGCTTCCAATCTCTCTACCCATTCTTCAACACTTACCAACTTCATCTTGTCGCCATAAAAGTCTTTTATAACAGGAGCAATCTTGGACCAACTAGCTGTTGCCGGATTAACGCCATGGAAGTATCCGGAAACCTCCGAGATAGACTTCTGAACCGTGATGCCCGAAACGTCGAGAATAAGCCCTGCAATATCCTCAATGGGGGTCCAAGCAATCTCCTCTTGCGCGCCGAGATGGTCAGGCAGGACTCCAAGATATACTGAGCTTGCGATCATACTTGGAATCATCTCTTGACGGTTCCACATACCCTTTTCGCCCCTTGAACCTGCGATTTGTCCAACTCGCACCGAAAGAGTAGGAACGCCGGATTGCTCTGCAGCTACGTCAAGAATAAGACTTGCAGCGAGCTTGGATCGTCCATAGGCCATGCTTGGTAAGGTCAGGTCATGCAACGCCTCCTCAGGGATAGCGTCGGGTGATGACCATCGATCGACAGTTCCGATACTCGAGATAAAGATGATAGGTACATTCTTCACTGCTGCAGAAGAAAAGTCGACGAGATGTCGTACGCCTCGAACGTGGCTCTCGAACGAAGACATGGTGAACTTGAAGTTCACAGGCCAAGCGTTGTGAATGACACGATCGACATCAGCAAGAAGAGAATCGTACTTGGGCTGACCCAAACCAAGGTTGGGAAGCGATAGATCGGCGTGGAGAAACTCCACTTTGGAGAAGTCTGTTGTCAAACCACGGAATTCGTTGACTGAAGGCTGTCGGGATAAACCACCATCCTCACTCCTGTTGAGGGCGATGACTTTCTTGACGGACTTTAAACGGCAGAGCTGGTCAAGCATGTAAGCTCCCAGAGAACCAGTTGTACCCGTGACGATGACTGTTTGACCGTCGTCTAGAGGCGCCTGCTTTCCAGTCCTAGGCGCTGGGAGGTTCTTGGTGTACTTCGAGACCTGCTTCTTGATCTGGTTGATCTCATGGGTCTCTTCGTCATCGTCGCTTACTCCATCTCGTAAGGACTGGATGTACTCAGCCAGCACCTTTGCCGTGGGGTTGCGGTAGATGACTCGAGGCGTGATTGTCGAGGTTTCAATACCAGATCTGTGCAAGGTTCCCCGTAGCAGATTTGTCGCAGTCATCACTTGTAGTGAGTCCACGCCCACAGAGAAGAAGTCTGTATCCGGTTCGAGCTTCTCAACTCCAAGCTTGGTAACAAAAAGACTGATGATAGATCCAGTCAAAGTGTCGTCGTTACTAAAGTCAAGGGCGATAGATGGACCATCTCCAAGCATCTCAGCCTTCTCGTACAGAGCTGAAATGAAGTCAGCGTACATGCTGACAGCCTTACCACGCTGTATGGTCCCCTTGTCAGCGCGAGGAAACGGTAAAGCAGGGTCGGCAAAAGCGACAAAGTTGGCGGCAATTCGTCCATGCGCCACGGTTTCAGCGTTCGCCTTCTCAATGGCCGGCCGGATCTTTTCGAGTAAAGCTTTGGTCTCAGCTTCGTCTCTCGGTTGCGCTTCCGCGATGGGCTCAATGATGAGAGCTGCCTGAAACATTCCTTGACCGACGACAAGGGCTGACTTAACGAGAGGGTGGTCCGAAACAATACCCTCAATGGTAAGTGGATTGAGTTTCTCACCATTCGAGAAAACAAGGATATCGTCGGCCCGACCTTTGTATAGCCAGTGATCCTTGAGTGTTGGGTGAGGTTGAAAGATGTCGTTCGTACGCCATTCGGATAATTCAGGAAAATTGTAGAAACAGCCTTGGTTGCCGGGATCCGATGCTTTGCGACGGACTACAAGCTCATACTCATTCGAGCCATGACGATGCCAGTCAATGCCCATGGCTTCGTCGTTAAAGATGAAGTATCGCCACAGCTTTGGGTCTTGGGGACTATAAGGCGCCAAAGGAAACAGTCTTGGTTTCATTAGTCTCTGCGTAAAGTCGACGAGAAAAAGATGCCTACTCAGTTGATGAAATGACGTTCCTCAAGACGACGCCTCTGTCCGCCAGCATGTTCCCGGCCTCGGTTGATAGGCTCCCTATCAAAAGGTCAATACCACGCACAGGTAGTAGAGAGTGTATTGACTTACCTCCGCCAGTAATAAGGAGTTTGAGCTTGGCCAAAGCCTCCATACCCTCCTCAGAAGCGGCCAATCCATCGATAACAGAAGGGGGCAGCAATGCACCATCAGCACCACTGCGATTCAAGTATTCCATAGCTGTATCAACGTTCAACGGCTGGTTGGGAAGTGGCATAACGGTAGAAAGGCCAATGTATATGAAGGACAGAGGGAGATACGTTCCTGCAGCATGATACATGGGCATCCCGAGGAAGATCTTGTTCGCCCGTTCGGCCCATTCATTGAAAGGATAGGGAGAACCATGAAACTTGGGCAGATGGAGAAATTCTTCGAAGGCGTACATGATACCCTGTTTCAAGAAGACGGGCTTGGGGACTCCCGTGGAACCGCTTGTGTGAAGAACAACTAGGGGGTCCCATCGCGCCTGTTCGATAGACCTGCTGTAGGGAAATGGCTTGGGAGTCACTGACAGAAGATTATCAATACTCTCTATCATGGAAACTTCCATGGTTCTCTGATCGAGGCAAGGCTGCATAATTGATCTAAACGAATCGGTTGTATAAAGGTATCGACACTTCGTAGCATCGAAGAGCGAGAGCTGAACAGCAGGAGTATTTCGTGGAGAGATGAAGAGGGCCTTGCAACCTGCTTTAACACAAGCCAGAAGAATGACCGTGTATCGAAAGTCACTGGGGCCGATATATGCCACTGTTGGAACCTCGTCGTCTGAGGTTTTGGTAACGGTTTTGGAGATGTCGTGGGCGACGTGGTCGACGGCGTTTGCGAGTTGGAGGTGAGTCACTGGCTTCCAACCATCTTGAGGGTCAGATGATGATGGAGTGTAAGTAAAGGCTCTATCAGGATCGTTTGTGGCAATCTCGTGAATGAGGTCGATCAAGACACGATGTTTAATGTTCGACTCGTTGATATGACACTTCTCGATGGTATCACCGTTTTGGTTTGACGCACCGCCTGAAACGGGGGCATCGTAGTGTTGGATATCAGCTCGCATAGCTATTTTCAATAATCCTAATAATGGTAGAGAAGAGTTGATAGTAAATGTGTTGAATGTTGTTTGAAATAGGATGACTTGAAATTCTCTGTGTAGAGACTGATTTCTCAGATCACTTGATGGCATGAGGCTTAAATATAAATATCGGAGGAATATTTCTCGTACGGATATACGTCTCATAGCCTCAATTGTCTCTGCTAGCGTATCGGGCCGCGGATGGTGGCTAAAATGGTGGCATCCAACTCGCGCGGATTTTCCACGGACGGCATTGCTGCCACACGGAGATTGGGGATCTGCATTTAACCCACTGAGTGCCGAATGAGCCGTAAGAGGGTCACTATTTAGTACATTTTCTCCGAGAATTGTACGAGAAAGGCTGTATACCGATAGATATCGGTTTGATGTATCCGCTCAACGAGATAACTGAATCTTTTAACCGCGTTATTCCCGCTGCATTCTGTCACTAAATACGTACTTTTGATCGATACTAGTCCATTAAAACGATGAAAGCTCCATAAATTCCACTTATTGTGTCATTCTCAACACGCTCTTAGTCTAGCCAGTTTCCTTGAATTTCATCTCGCTCGGACCCTTCTCCATGTAGATCTTCAGCACCAAATCGGGGTATCGGTGCTATACAAGAGCCGAGATGGACACAGATTGTCGCGTCGGTATTCACAGAAGCCGACTGAAAGGGGAGAATGCAGATCCTCACGTCTGAGCTGTTTGTTGGAGGCGTGAGACAGACAAGTCGTGGTGTTATGACCCACTTGATCACTTCCGTAAAAATATGAACAGTCACTGGCATTCGCTTTTGGCTAAATTCTAAGTCTCGCATGTATAGCAATGTTGTCTTTGAGCTTCGTATGTATTTTACTTCTTGAACTGGGTATACATAGGAGTTTACATGTTAGTAGTAATCGTGGGTGCTATATGTTGTATTGCAGGATATCTTAAGCTTAACTCTATTATATTGAACTTTAATATATTATCACTACCCTTAAAGAACAAAGAAATTATATATCAAAGGGTTTTTAAATATTCTCTATTTGTATTACTATAGTAAGGTTATGAAACTATTTATATTTATTATAAATATCTATTTGCGTCGCACTTTGCACTTTCGTAAGCTTTTCAACCCTGACGTCCAATCAGTAATCATTGATTGTCGGTGTAACCTGACATCAGGCTTCCGGCTGAAAAATGTCCATGTAAGACCCAATCACTTAAAGCATTTATCTATTTATAGAATCGTGAATTGAGGCTGAGAAATACTTATTCAGGTATTTTTATTCTTGCTCCGCCTTATCTTTCCCTCTTCAATCTTGTCTCTGCTCAACTTCCTCTGTACGCATATTGCTCGAGCACCAAAGCTTGGCCTAGGTACATTCTAGCGAGATCCTCTGAGAATGGACTGTTCACCGGAAAAGCTTCGAAGCCTTGTTTCTGAAGGAGAGGTGGAATTTGACGCTGATATCGCTGGGCCAGGAGTAAGTAGATTGCCAGCCATTCAACACATGGGCCAACTAACGGCTCTCAGGTACTAGCTGCCTTCCTTGTCACGTCATTGATAGCATTAGCTACTCTAATTCTGGCCTTCCTCACAATTTCGGTACCTGCGCGTCTTCTAAACTCCGGAGATGCCGTAATCGCTGCTGGGGCGCGTCGGACTTACCGCCGATTAAGGGCCAAGTTCCCCAAGACCAAACGCACCAAGGTTGTCCAAAGCAGAAGGGAGCGGACTCATGCCTTCATGGCCTTCACGGTTGCTATAAGTGATCAGATACTTGTCTCCCAGGCCTCCATCCTAATCGCAGCTCTTATTATCCACGACGACATCACCATTTATTCCAGCAACATTGTGATCGCCCTAGGGTGTCTCGCGTCGACGGTACACTTGGGGAGTTTCCCATTCTATATAGACCGCCTTAAAGATCATAGCACCGCCAAGCTTATTCGTGTCCTTGCTATGGTCACGGGCTCGGGAATGCTTGTCTTCCTGCTCATTATTCGACTATCGTACACCTGGGATATGGAGACCCACGTCTACTTCACCTGCACTCTTCAGGACTATCGGATGAATGAGGAGATGAAAGGGATGGACTACATCAGTATCATCATGCAGATGTTTGTTCCACTAACAGTGCTTTATGGCACATATGAGATTGTTCAACTACTGTATCGCGACCAGCCAGTAGATGACAAGTCTAATGGACCTGGTGCCCGGAGAGAGTCCATTGTTGCACGACATAATCGAGCAGACCTCGATGCTCAACAGCTCCCAGACAATGGAGGTATCGAACTTCAAAGGCTTGGAAGGTTAGAAGACCAAGCTATTACAGAGAACCACCGGGATCCTAGCGATATAGAAGTCGAAAGTCGGGCGATCGTTTCCATTTTGCAGCTAATCTCAGGTAGCGGCACAGACACTACGGCAAACAGCGAGATGAACTATCAACATCAAAGATCCATGCTAATTAAGATAAGAGGCGCAAAAATACAATTTAAAGAGCTGCTGGAAGAAATTAAAGAGTCCAAACGAGAGCCTCTCTTGAACAAATGGCTGAAGCTCAAGGCTCTCACGATCTTAACCTCGGATATAGTGTCAACAAGAAAGCTTAGACTCCTTGTCAGATTGACAGCTGAAACATGGGCATTCCACCAATGTCGCGGGTCCTTCGCCTGGAGATTATTCTGGCTCTGGTCAGGTAATGTCTATGGGGTTGTGACCATTTTCACTACCCGCGCTGTAACAACGGGCATGTCAGGCAGCCCCAACAAGATGGGATTTGGCCAAGTTGTGCCGTTAACTCTGCTTGCACTCCCGATATTTGCAGCTATGGAGGGCCATGCCGGTAATGTTTACTTATCAATCTATTCCTGGGTATTCTCTAACAATAGGGCTAGACTATAAGCAGAAGCTCAAGTCAATTGAGAAAGCTCATGTTGATCAAGCGAGCCTCGAAATATCTGTTAATAGGAACACGCAGTCCCATTCGATAGGTCAATCTCCTGCGCATATACAAAATACGCCCGCACAGATAGACATTAAAAGTATACAGACCGTGCAAGAGATCCTTAAAAAGCGTGCCAAAGATATCGGATATCCGGAGCTTTACAATTGGGTGACAGGAGACGATTTGACCAGCGCATCGAGTCTCCAAATGGGTGTTGCGGCTCATGCAGCAGCCATGTTTACCATCACAACTTTACTCGGCTATTCGATGGCTTATGACATAGCCAGCATCAATTTTACATTGATCGCAATTCTGTTTCTCCTTGCCGCTCGCAGGCTCACAGGGCTCTTGTTGGTTGAATTGGACATGAGATCGTGCCCCATAATCGTTGATCATCTTCGGTGCACAGATGCTTTCCCTAATCAACAGTATGGGAGCCATGGTGAAAGGATGGCAATAGGGCAAGCAGCTGGAGACGCTGGAGAGGATGTGGAAGAGGAGGATAGGCAAGAAGCGTGAACAAGAAGGCTATTCAATCATTCGATAGATTCAAGCATTATATCAAAATATCACTATGCTTCGAGCAATAGGTACAATATTGTTACATCTTAAGACGCTCCAACGTCTACCTATCTATTCCCTATGGGCTACACAACTTGCCAAAAGCTAGGGCTACTATAATTGGGTTGCCTTGCCACCAGCCATCCAAAGCTCCCCTGGTGTATAAGGAGCTTCGCTAGCCCTCCTTGTAGTATAGAACCAAGGCTCTTTTTACTCTCTCTTATGTTTCCCTCTGTTGTGCGTACCACATAACTCAATACCTAGTTTGTGTCACATTTACCGGCTACACCCTCAGCTTTTATCGTTCGTATTCCCTCATACATGGTAAATTACTTAGAAGCCTCTCCGAACCTCTACCAATTCCCATTCTCACCCATCGCAGCCATCCCCCAGTCCATCGAACTCCAGTTAAGCTGATTCATATTCACCGTCAACGGCGCGCTACCCGCCATATATGGTGCTGAGGTAACGGTATCGAATCCAGGTTGTCCACCTATGTTGAAGAAGACACCCGGGTCACCAAAGCCAAAAGGCATTTGAAGCTGTACATCATCCATTGCCATCCCAGCATTACCCTGAGCTTGCAGCCCCGTTGACTCGTTTCCTTTTAGAGACATGTCCGCGGTCTTTCTGTTGATAAAGTCCACCAACTCTGGCGTCTCAATCTCTCTTTCTGCCTGCTCGTATGCCTTCTTGACCGTATCCCAAGCGTACAGAACAATGTTTGCAAATGGCTTGAAGATTGGATGCCATCTGTCGACATCTGCTCCCTCACACCGAGCTTCATAATTATCCTTCATAACTTTCCATCCCCTCTCCGCAATGTTGCTGAAGGGCTGGGTCTTCAAGTGCTGAATAATTCGTATGTATGCAGGAAACGGGAAATACAGCTGAAGGAACCATCGGAAACCTTTTGTGAGCGGTGAACTTGAGAGCTTCACATCGCATTCTAGCCAATCAATGGCGTAGGAGACTGCCGCTTCGTGGTTTGCTTGGTTGTACGTACCTGAAGATTCGAGATAGAGTAGGAAGTCGTTCATCAAGCGGCATGTTGCGATACTACCCCTTGCCGTCCAAAGGGTCATGTAGTGAAGACGGTTATCAGCATCACAGAACTTGAGATACTTTTCCTCTATCACTCTCTCCAAAGCAACATCTCCACCTTCCGGGAGCTTCTTCGCCAACGGCTTCATCAACGGATTCGTAAACGCGATATAAAACGGACTATTCCGTATATACTCCCCAAGTTCGCTCCTGACAATAGCAAAGATAGCCTCGGTAGCTTGTTCTTGGACTTTTGGTGCATTTTTAGTTTCCTCCCGAAGTTCAGAATCGCTGACATTCATGGGCAACGCGCAATCCCAACCTGGGGTTAGACTCGTCGGTTTATGATCTCCCAAGGCGCTAACTCGGGAGTCGAAGAGGACCAGGGACCACCAGAGTCTTCGGCGCATTTCTGCTTCGAGAACACTGCTTCTGACGTTGATGTATTCGCTTTGGAGACCCATTCGCTGAGCGATGCGCATTGCGACGGCGACCATGGATGAGATGGACTTTGGGTGGCTGGCTGAGCGGACAGACACCTAAAATAGTTAGTGAATCAATGAGAGCTGATTTAGGCAGATGGCTCACAAGATAGAGGAACAATGCAGTGAGACAGTCTCGACTGCCAGTACGGAGGAAGTTGCTGTTCAGCAAAGCCTGTTGACATCCAAACTGGAACCTCGTCGAGAGCTCTTCCTTGGGCTGTTTGAACATGGTCTCACACTCCTCAGCAGTAAGACTCAGTATAGCCATGCAGTAGATACCAAACATTAGAGCCTCAAGAGTCGAAGGGACTTCTTTGAGATTCGACGCAGCTTCGACAATGCGACCTTGCAGGGTAGGTGTATGCGTGACTTTTAGGAGCGGGTTGACGTTGTCGAGATATACCTGCCAGAGTCTGAAGAGTTGAGCGGGTTCTGGGTGCAAGGTGTAGAGCTCAACAGCTGTTTGGCGAGAGCCGAAAAGCATGTGTTCATCGTTGTTGAAGGACTGGTCTTGGGCGTTGCTGAAGGCTGTTTCGAAGAAGCTGTCGTTAGGATCTCGATACTGGACAGAGGTCAGGAATGTTTTTGATGCAGAATTGTTGTGATATTATTACCCCTTGTCGCATTGCATGCCAGATATTTCTATACTGGTCAGCCCATTCGTGATAAATGAGGGGTTCAACTTACTTGACCTCAGCAACACCCTCAGCTCTGACCTGCGAACCCTCCTCATCAACCTGATCCCTGTCAGAGTTATAATCATTCGGCGAACTCTTCTCCGTTCCATTATCTTCATGAAGCGGATCAAACTTGACATTATTCTGCTTCATCAACGCCTCATACCTCCTCAGTCTATCCAACAGCTCGCGCTCAGGAAATCGTCGTCTTCGCTGACGAGGTTGAGTAGCTGGAACGCACTGAGCGCCATGTTTGACACAGTTTGAGCAGGGAAACGTGCGGTCGCATTTTACTTTGCGCTGTTGACAGAGAACGCAAGCGAGGACCCGATGGGGCTTGGGCTTCGATGAGTCTGGGGTGGACATGGTGACTTCGGGACTTTGTAAACCCGAGGAATACGTTTTCGTATAAAAGGTGGTGGTATTCTTCGAGAAACAAATGGATTTAATATGCTCCTGTTGAGTTGGGCGTCGAGACTTTTCGTATCAGAGGAATGTATCGGGCTTTTCTAAGTCCCGAGACGTCCCCACTTTTGTGCGTACTTGCTGACCCGAGAGGTTATCTCGGTCTTTACTATTGTCCGACTACCAATTTTCCCATCACGCCTCGTCACTATGATAGTCAATTGGGCAATTCAAGAACACATAGTAATAGCTTAAGGGATAATCTTAAGCCGTATTACTTCTCATGAGTCGCTCTTTTGTGGTGTTCTTGGCTCTGAGACAAAATGCTTACCCGGTACTCTTCCATTCAACATTGACGTGGAGTCCTTACCGGCTTGTGATGAGATCAATACGAAATATATGTGGTATTGGCGACTGGTTGTTTCGAATGAGTAGGAGATAATAAAATGTGTTTGAGGTTTGATGAACGTAAGACATACGTTAATCAGCGTCATAACAACTCTGACGTCAGGACTGTGATGCAGGCTGAATGACCACATGAAGGCAAACGATATTTCTACATCAACCACATCTCAAACAACACCTCGATAGTTAAAATTCTCACTATTGTCTGTAGTTCCTTCAGTCACGCTTTATCTCTGACTCGTCAATCAATTAGACCTGTCTTCCTATATCAGCCACCATGCCCAGCTATACCGGAAAATGCGTTTGTGGTAACGTCAAGTACAGCGTGTCATTGGACTCGCCCGATGACGCACGAACATCACTTTGTCATTGTGGAAGTTGTAAAAGGGCATTTGGAACCAATTTTGGACTTACCACGAAGGTATATTAACTTCTCTTGATTCAAGTAACCTATAGCTGACAATATCCAGGTCGCACTTGATGGCTTCAGCTACGACCAAGGCAAACCCAAGACCTTCAAGCAGGAGAATGGCGTAGTTCGAGAGTTTTGCCACAATTGCGGAGCTTTCATCTGTGAATATGGTGAACAAGCTGCGGACAAGTTTCGATACATCATGTGGGGAACCTTTGACGAACCTGACAAGTTCCCTCCCAAGGGAGAGTTCTTCTGCAAGTATAGAGAGAGCTGGATGCCAGAAGTACCAGGTAAATCCATTAGACCTGTGAGGAACAGGGATACTGACTGTTGGACAGATATCTTTCATAAGAATGAGATCAAGGAATAAATTCGGCGACCGAAGCTAGCCGTCAATATTCTGATACTGGCTATTGAGATTCTGTTTAGAAAAGTCTCGAGAATGATAAAACCATGCTTGCTACTCCCTATGTTTCTATCAAGAATCAGACTATCTTGATATTCTCCCAAATAACATTCTCAGTAACAGCCTCTCCCTGCATAGCGCCATGTATATAAGTCTCTCCAATAAGACAATAATCATTTCTCTCTTCTGCCTTCCTCATAACCAGCGGAGCAGGACACCCAGAGATAATCCAAACCTCATCCCCAGCTTGAGTTGAATCAGGCCCCATGCCCAAATACCCCGTATCAGTGAGGATGGCCCTGTGGTTAATCCACGTCGACGCCATAATATTATAAGGTGGCATAGCATGTTTTGACGGTGGCTCCATAAGTCTCTGGAGCTCTTCCTGATCAAATTCATCACTATCCTGAGGTACAATATCCAAGCTGGCACACAAGGCCTTGATAAGCTTGGTGCTGGGAAATATACTGTTAGGGAATTTGGCGGCTATCTCGTCCAGGTAAGTCATATCCCGAGTGAATTGAAGTACCAAAGCCTGACCAGCAGAGGCTGACTCTGCCTCCTTGAACCCAAGCTGTAGCGCACGTGCGAAATTATGCAAAATGGCCCTCTGGAAGTCCTCCAGTCGAATGAGCTTCGATGGCCTATTTGTGAAATCAGTATCCCAGATCAAAGTTCTCCAAAGCACCTCATCTGCGCATTGGTTTGTATATGGATAAATCTCATCCATAGCAAGGAGAATGTCGCCAAGTATCCTAAGACGGCCTTGAAGGCATTCAAGAAACCCTTCACCAATCATCCGAACGGTGCCGAGACGAATGCCAAAAGCTTCAAGGACGTTTCCAGCGAGAGTGAATGGATATTGATTGGGGGAGTGGGGAACGTGTTTCGAAGAATTAACAGTTCCCATGGATCTAAAGTTTGGTCCATGGACACTGTTGTACAGAACCGGTGGATAGTCAGGAACCCAAGATGGAAGGCCTGGTGTTTCTCGCATGCTGGGGTCCTTGACCAGGCTTAGGTAGACAAGAGAATCAGTCGTCTCGATGATGTTGCAGGCGATGTTTCGCAGCAAGTCTTTGATGTCGATATCGTAATCTGGCTCGAACACTGATGGCAGAGAGACCCCTTCTTGAGTTGCCATATGCTTCAAGATACCATTCCACCCATAGATGGAATCCCGAGGATCTGTTGCTTTCATTCCAAAGGTGGAGAAGAACACCCGTAAGGGAACAATTGCTGAGGGCTTCGTATGATGCTTCCCAAGACCAGCTTCCAGGTCGATCATGGCAAGGACACCGACCCACAGACTCTTCTGGCCTTTGCACCACTCGCGAAGCAATTGGATTCTTTCTGCGTGAAAGATGTTGATACCACCACGAATGTGAATACCAGGCCTGTCCCTAGGAACAAGGTCGACTACAGATTGGAAGAATCCGCTATAGTGCAGGAACGCCGCTGCGTAACCCACGCAGTCAAAGCCGGTGAATCTGCCGTTGCATAGAATAACCACGTCGCTGGTGAGGGAAACTTCCTGGATGATCCAGATCCGGGTAAACCAGTTACTCATGTAAAGACTGACCAGACCAATAGCTTCTTCCTGATCCACAGGATCCATACCATAACGCTCCGGCATCGTTGACAAGTCAGAACTGAAATCCCATGTCTGCGTTCGAATCATTCGAAGTGTCTCAGGAACTGATGCATCACCGATTCTCTCGACTGCTTTGAGTCCGGCCTCTAGCTCGGGGAAGGCCTTTCCAAGCCAGACAATAACGCGGTTTGCCTTTCCGTAGATCTGGTTCATGACGGAGACCTGCGGAGATCGCTCGCTGGGGTTGGACTGGTTGATGCAGAGGGCATCTATCCAGATTGAAGTCTCTGAGCACGAGGCCTGCAATTCGACAAGAGCATCATAGAGGTTCGGCTGAACCTCAAAGGACAGCCCATTCAGCAGAATCGTTGTGTTGGCAACCTTTTCGGGAAGTGAGGGGCCGTCTCGCGGTGAACCCCAAGTGTACGATAGCGCATTGTAAGCGAGGTCTGGGGCGCCGGATAGAACATGTGTCGTGAGTGTCACGCTCGGCACCTGGGACTTGGTATCAGGGTGAGTAGCTAGGGAGATAGTTGCGAGGCGAAAGGACTCTGTGTCGAGCACGTCTGAATAGTATTGCACCATCATGAAAGGTTTGGAAAGGAAGACCTCAAATGTGGATGGCAGAATTCACGCTGCATGTAAGACGTTTCAGAATTTGACCTAGCTTATTTGGGGATAGTGTAGTGACTAGTCGTCCCTGGAATGAATGGCAAGGAATATTTATCAGCATGTATGTTTGTGGATAGAAACTAATGCGGCGTTCTTATAGGATGGTGAAGATGGGGCAATCGTATCTCAACTACGAATAATATGTGCTCCCAGGCTCTTATTATAACCATAAAATGGAGAAATACGACCCCAAACAGGCTGAAAATATTTTAATCTTCTAAAGATACTAAATAGAAATAGAAAAACAAATAGGAATAGAGTCCTTAGGTAGCCCAAACATCTTTCATAATAAATCTCTTGTAAGGATTCTGCAGTTGACGCCAGTTAGCATAATGAACAGAACTACAACAGAAGAACAGACAATGTGTTAACATACCTGAAATTTTGTATCCCCCTTTTCTTGGTATGCAATACCGGTGTATTCAGTATCAGGAAGCTCGAGTTCCCACTTCTTGACAACCTCATCATCAACACGAAACACAACCTCTCTAATTGCATCACCCCAGTTAAGGGTCATCGCAGCCATCTTTCCCTTCACATCCCACGGCCCCTTCACGTCCCACTTCACCAACCGCGCTCTACTGAGGGCACTAGCAAAACTAACGCTATTCCACTCAATGTTCCACGAGACCCAGCGCATGGTGTCTTTAGCAGCGTTGGGTCTTTTATCAACCTGTGCAAAGCCGATCTCCTCCTTTGGGTCTTTTCCAAGGAGCAGTGCGGAAGAAAAGACTGGGAGGGCTTCAAATGTTGCTTCTTCTATGATTGGTTCAGTGTCATCTTGGACGTGGACGCGGAGAACCTTGTCTTGTTCGGACCAGGCCATGCAGAGGGGCAGTGAAGGAATGGGCTGTTTCTTCCCAAGTGGTTGGGCTATGATGGCAACGGCCCTTTTGTAAACGCCAGTCCACTCCATGATCTCTCGCATCATTTTCATATCAATACGAGAGCCACGACTACCGTACTTTGGACTCTTTCGCTTAGGTCCGTAATTGCTAGATACTTGGTCAGTTGAAGAATTGAGTGAGATGTGAAGTTTCTTACTGAATAGCCACTGCTACAGGAGCTCCATTGTATCCGGTCCAGACCACGGAGCCACTTACGCCAGCCTCAGTATACGTCAGATACTCAAGCTGATGTTGTTTCAGTATAGGATTGACGAAGCGTCCCGTACTGCGCGTCGGCGGCTCGCCAGTCTTAGCAGTCGTCAAATAGCTGGAGATATTGCAGATGCCTTCTAGTCTGTCCTCCTCAGCAAGTCTCAGAGCAAATCCAAATGCCGTTTTGGGAGGGGGAGGGTTGTTGTTCTTGGGAATCATAATGATACCAAAGTCATCAATGGCAGACTCTTCGCTAGGCGTGGTCGAAAAGACTTTGCTGACTCGAGTATCATTCTCCAGAATCTCCACCCCTTTGTGTTGCTCTCCGAGGTCAGACCACCAGGCTCGGAGATTTTGGGTCCTCTTTCCGTTCTCGTCCATAAGGTTATGACCTGCTGTGAAGATAATAGCCTTGTCTTGGCCAGGAATATTGACAAAGAAGCCATTGCCGCCTTTCTCTGCAAAGAATTTCCATGTTAGGGATTGAGCATGCATTGAATTCTTGGGATACTTGCCGGCTCCATCTTTAGTGAATCTTAGCTTCGCTACAGCTTGGCCGATAACAGAGTCGCTCATGGAATTAAGGCCATAACGAACTGGATCTTTCTCACGCTCTCGGCCAGCATCTCCGCCTCGACGGTCTCGGTGCCAAAGGTTCTGGGGAACTTTCGATGCAACCATCGTGTTTTAGGTTTCCTGAATAAAGAGATGCAGTTGGTGATGTGAGGGTCTATCAGATCGATGATCAGTCTGTGATGCCAAGATGCTCCAAACTTACGCGTGGCGGGTATTTGATGCCTCGGCCAAAGCTCATTTGTAAATCTAACAGCAACAATATGCCGTGGAGGTTGCTTCGATCACCAGAGAGCTCAGCTTTCTCAGGATGCCGATCGTTTTCCCGTTCGGTTCAATATTGGCTGCAATGAGACCTCTTCTATCAGATCAGTAACTTTGTCATCCTGCAATGCATGTAGGGAGCTCAGCTCCTGTAAGGTGCTGATCGCTTTCCATATCCGGTCTCACACAGAAGCATTACGACCTCTCAGGTGAGGGCCGTGCCGTGCCGCCTATAACCTAACAAATAAGCCGAAATGCTGGTCACCCATTCACAATTTGGTTTTGGGACTTTGGTTTGTTCAGCCAGCCCTTTGCATGTCAATACTTCTCTTTAGGAAAGATGCATGCTGAGAACGGTATCAGGCGACAACATCAAACTTTGTACAACGTCGCATAGCTATACGGAACCCACCATGTTCAAAATAGGATTCGAATTAAAGACGCGTATATGCCTGTCAAGGTCAAGATAGGAAGGGAAACCAAGAATGGGGAGAGCTGAAAGGTTGGATGATATGAACTGGCAGCATTGAAGGTAAAGCACAGACACTGTCTAAGCGCGGAAGTCCCGGATGAGCTATACCATTGGATGGATGTTTTTCCAGTCGAAATTTCCACAGTGCGATGGCATGGTACGTAGACAAGTAGCCATGACGATGTTCTTTTGTGACACCATAAAGTATGAGGGGGTTCCCAGACATTAGACTACAATGAAGAAGATCAAATCAATTTGCCAAGTACTTCTATCATAACATTCACATCACTGCGCCTCTTTGCACCTTGGTCTTTCACCATGAGCGGCGAAATCAGAACTATCGCTCGTGCCCTTCGCTCTGCGAGCCATAACACCCTTCCCAACGGTGATCTTGCTTTCCTAGAGATTCAAGGCCGTCGTCTCGTCGAGAAGATCTATGATGGCGAAGAGCTCAAGGACCAGCGAATGGTTGCCACTGGATTAAGGGAGGGCTCAACTGCGGCTTACGCCGTAGCCAAAGACAGGGTGAGTACTGGTCTGACCTAACTACAAGCTGCACTACTCTAATATATGAAAAAAGGTCTTTGCTGTATACATCAGTGATGATGGCCTTATCAGGGTCAGTGAGTTTGATGAGGATTCTGAGGAGTGGGATGATGCCGAGGTCGAAGGCCTCGGTGATATCTCCGTCCATGATCAAAGCCACATCACTGTCGCAGGTCTCCCTAGCATGAACTTGGTCCTGTATCAGGCACCTGATGGTACTATCAAGACCATCATGCACGATAAGGATTCTGATAGATGGACTGAGGAATTCAACATCCCTGGATCCGCGGCAACTGGAACTCCTATTGCCGGGTTTTCGACTGACGAGGCTCTCATTGTGAGCTTCTTCGGACAAGACAACGAGATCCATGCTCATACCCGGGACTTCGAGAGCGGCGATTGGACTGGTAAGTACGGATCGAACTCCTCTTTAGCATTGGTCAATCTAACTTTTAACAGACAAGACTATCCCTGACTCCTCTTTTGACGATACCGTCGACAGCCTCATCGTCGCCCAAGACAAAGACAGCGGCAACTTTGAGGCCTATGTCTTGTCCAACAACACGGTCTACAACATCACCAAGACCGGCTCTCGTGAAACCGTCGGTTCTTTCAGCCGGGATGGAGACTTTGTGCCCTCCACCAAAGCAGAGTCTGGTGGCTGTTACAGCAACAACTGGGGTAACTATTGCGGTGGCTACACCTGTTATAGAGGCTGTAGCTGCGGCTGCGGACGAGGCTACCTCTGCGGTTGCTACAGTTGCGGCTGCGGATGCCCTCGCCCACGTCGTTGCCCGCCTTGTTGGTGATGTCAGTTGGACAGACCGATATGGGTGCTTCGCGTTGGGAAGCGCCCTTCTTTCTTCTCAGTAGTATGACATTTGAATTTACATTCACTCATAGATCCTATGGATCAATTAGTTAGTCAGACCCCCAAGTGGGTGCTCAGATAACAATATACTCAATTTAACTCGAAGACGTGTAGATTAACTGTCGTATACCACGTGTCTCAAACAGCCCAAGGCTATTTAGATCCCGAGTCTCTCCTTCACATTCCCTAAGGCTGATTGTTGATATCTGTGAATATCTCAATAGTAAAGATAGACATCAAACCAAAGGACCTAAAGACAAAACAATTAAAATCTTAATGGACAAAATTGTCATCAATTTTGCTTAGGGCATCGCTGAGGCAGGAGTTTGATAAGCATCAGCACTGTCTGACAGGTACTGTGGTCCTCGTATTACTGCATTGCATAGATGTTGAGGTTGCGTAGCAGTGCATGATGCATTCAATATTGCAACCCAAGAAAAGCCGCGTCACTTCAGCCCCCAACTGACAGAACCTGTGCTGCAAATCTTCAACGGAATAGGACAGTCACCACCGGATTCGGATAACACAACTTCTGCATCCCGTTGAAGTATCATTTGGCGATAGTGGTGTAAATCTCAAAGCTGAAATGCAGTATGAACTTTGATCATGAGACTATTTGCCGAGTCAACCTTTACGCCATTTATCAGTCTCGGCTATATGGAATTTGCTGGTGGGCAGCAGGATCTTTTTGGTGGCGTTAAAATACGAAGCTGAATTGTAAATTGACTTGTCACTCTTGTTCAGCTGCAAGTCGGTCATGCCGCTGCCGAGAAACTCCAAGAGAAGCATGTAACCTATGGAAGAGCTCCAGAATGGCATGTGACTGAGAAACCGTGTAATCCAGGCGGTTAGTTGCCCTCGTGAATTTTCATCACATATATCTCAATTCCGACAGCTCACTACTGAAGCATCACTCTCCAAATCACCTTCTTGCAGTCACTAAGCCTCTACCTCTTTGTGCTTCTAACATGGCCGACAACATCTTTGTCGATGCCCGAAAGGGCTCTTTGACTTCCACCAAGCTAGAAGCCTATCTCGCCAGCGGCGTTGACATCAATGCTCAAGACCCCAAGACTGGCTTCACGCCTCTCGGAATGGCAGCTAAGTACGGACGTCTCTCAGTCGTCAATCTCCTTCTCGACAAAAATGCCTCTCCCAGAGCCATGAGCAAGCCCGGCATGACTCCACTCTACATAGCCGCCAACGGCAACGGCGACAGAGTCAATATTGTGAGGAAGCTTCTTGAAAAGGGTGCTCAGGTTGATGAGACCAGCGCTGAAGTTGATAATGATACACCACTCATGGTGGCCATTACACACGCTAGAGATCCTGTTGTTGTGAACATGCTCATCGACGCTGGGGCTTCACTTCAGGCCAAGAATTCTAAGAATGAGACGGCAAAGGAACTCGCTGAGCAGTCAGGCAATCCTGCTATTCAGCGTGCTGTTTCACCACCTGGGCAGCAGATGGCAGGTCTCCCTGAACTCATCAATGCTTTAGTGAACTTTGTCCTGTTCATCTTGGCGTATGTGAACAGTGGTGTCATCAATGGTGTCGTCAAGGGCGTTGTTTCCAACTTGTACCATATTGGACAACCTCCGCCCGACCAGACTTTGGCTCAGGTAAGCCATACGAACTAGCAAGCGAGACATTTGCTAACCGATGATAGGACTTGGATAATCCTACCACCATAGACGATTTCCAAAAGGGAGTCGAGAAGTATGTCCAGGACTCTGATCTTGGACAATTCTTCGCGCCTGGCAATGATTACCTACAAAAGGTTGCCGAAAAGGCAATTGAGCTGAAGGATGACCCAAGGAATCACCTCAAAGAACCTGAGCAGATGAAGGGTCTCGTGAAGCTTGCCTTGTATCAGCCCATCTTCTACTGCGGTACGCTTCATCCACATCCTTTGGGTAACACTAACCAAGTTTTCGCAGATGACAGCGGCTCGATGCAAGCCAACATACTCGACCCCAATGGCAATGTCGTCAGTACAAGAATGGAGGCTATGAGAAGTCTAGTCCAACGCATGTCCAGCATCGCAACACGTCTTGTCCCCGATGGCTCAGGCGCTCATCTTCGATTTATCAACAGTGATTATCAAGGTGACGATCTTACTGCTAATCAGATTGATTCTCATATGCAGTTCCAACCAATGGGTGGTACCAACATCGGCACGAATCTAAAGAAGAAAGTCTTGGAACCGTTGGTCTTCAAGAAACTTGACAAGGATGGCAAGTTAGACAGACCATTCCTTGTTCTCACCATCACAGATGGCGAGCCTAGTCCTGAGCCTGTCGATACTTTCAAGAAGACGATTGAGGAATGTGGCCGACGATTAGATCAGAAGGACTATCCCCAGGAGTGTAAGTCCAGGCCGTTGATACCTACTGAGACAAATGCTAACGAGAATAAATAGCTACCATGTTCCTTATCAGCCAAGTTGGTAATGATCCACATGCTGATAAGTTCCTTGACTCACTCTCGGGTGACACTGCAATCGACCGTGTTCTATTCCGCAGCTCTGGTAAGTATTAAGTTGTCCAACAAGAACTAATGAGCTAATAGATATAATTAGAGCGCCTACATGAGAAGTATGCTGAGCTTCGGGACAATGAGGGCGAGCTCGAAGAATGGGTAAGATTGATTTCTCCACCAAACGTCTTTCAGCGCATTGGCTAACCAATGGTATTATAGCTTTTCAATATCTTGATGCAACCGATTACTGGTTAAAGATTGCATATATTTAACAGCATTCGCCATCGGTAACTTTGCATGGGAGTTTTGGCCACCTAAATAGTCTCTGTCAAGATATTTTCGCATGCTTTTTCATCATCACATAGTCTAACTATCTGTTATGTCAAATAATTCTTTATAATTCGCCTGTAGTACCGTGAAAAAAAATGTCTAAAATGTGACCTAGATGCGTTATATCCAATTGAGGCCTGTGGCCGGGAGCTTATCCTCACCACTCAGAACTCAGAACCCGTAGGTGCTTGGATTGAGTGACACTGGTTTGACAGATACGAAACCATCAGGATCCTTGCCCAAACCACCTAACAAACTTGAAAGGATATTTGAAGACTGCTCTCTCAGTGTAGATATGTTTCCCATCAGACCTTGCACAAGTGGCATGTAGTCGGGATTTGCAAGTAGCTAGGAATGATGCTACTTAGATTAGTAAACAGTTGCTAAAGCCAGAAAGCTCCATTCATACTCACCATTCTGGAATCATCATTATTGTCGGCCATGGGAGCTGCTGCAGGAGCGCAGTATGTAGTCACATCGACTGAGGCAGAGCGCTCCAGCTCCACAAGGACTGCTAACAGTTGATCCAGGTCACATCCTTCTTTTTTCATCGTGTGTATGAAGTGAAGCAGAGATGTGATGAGGGCCAAATCGCTGCTTGCACTCTCTTTGTGTGGATGCTGGATGGTGTGAACGTAGATTGTGATGGCGCAGCACAAAAGAAATGGTAAGAGGCGCCTGTGATAAGTCAGTCAGCATAAGATAACAGATATGTCGCTTTTGAATTAGCCCTACCATAGATCAGTATAGCATATGCCTTCCATGTGGCGGAATAGCCGAATAGTTGCTCGCGAGACGTCGAGCGGCCCTTGGGTCTCCAGTTGCGGAGCTAGACTCTGAGATGACGCTGAGGGTTGGTGGAGCTTGCAAAGATGATACGCTCGGTTAATATTATCTAACGATCGGTAGAAGGCACAATATTACATGACGGCAGCCAGGTCGGAAGGTTCTGACCCAGGTGGAGGGTTATACTGAGGTCGAATGGTTGGTGGCAGACTCTGCCTCCAAGCTTCCAGTTGCTGTCCAAGCGTAAGAATCTGGTTCTCGAGAATCTCACTAGGCTACCTTGCTTTTTGAAGGAGCTTCTGCGCCTTGGATTCAATGATGGCCAGTTCAACTCTGGGCCAGAAAGTGGTCCCATGATCCACCCCTGCAGTACGCTGTTGTTCTATTTTCTGTGGTAATTGTATTTCGGAGATACTGTTCGAGGTTGCGAGACGAAAACCACAATTCGAAAAGCATGTCTCTTCGAGTAAGTACGCCACTGAAATAGTCCACTGCTTATCCTCGACTACTACGGGCTCTTGGAATGAATCTAGGCCACTCAGCATCCTGAACTGCTTAGTTGCTGAGGATAGAAGGAGCATCATGGTCTTGCTATCAGTTGTGCCACTCAAAAACATGGCCATGGACAGCAAGGCCTTTATCGACATGAGAGTGGGAGTGTTCTGGATTAGTCGAGGAAAGACGGCAAATGCGTTTTTGAAGAAGCTCCATGATATGCGACCCACCGCTTCGAAGGCACTGCTGAGTGTCTTCATCTGGATAGCAATGCCGACAATGGCATTTAGACAGGCCCACCAGGCAGGATCCCATGTATCACTGTCCAAAGGGAATTCATTGTCGCATCGCGTGAGCAATGCCCGGCGGTCGAATAGCGATATGATAGGGTTAACCTCGTCGAGGTAAGCTTCCACGACCAGAAGAACTTCGGGCTTGGAGAACATGGGGATAAAGACACGCTGCCAAGAACAGTCATCGGAAATGGCTTCCTTTAGCCAAGCTACTCTGTCCTCGGAGAGTCTAAGCACTGGGATCTCGTTCATCTTTTTCCATCGCGGTCGTAACGCGCCTTCACTCTGGGAACTAGACGATCCGGTCTCTGGTGGTGCGATACTGGGTCTAGAAACTGTGTGGAGGAGTGTCGCGGATTGGCCAGGAACAGCAAGACTTTTCAGTAAGTTCCGACTGGCACTGCTGTTATCTGCTGAAGAACATGAACCGGTAGGATATACTGCAGTAGGAGCCGGTGGCTTGATCAGAGGCTTTGTCGAAGTATGCAGCAGAGCCTCGACTCTGCTGAGCCGCTTCTCGAGCGTCAATCCTTGTGCTGGCCTGGTTGATTCTTCCCTATAGGCAATGATCAAATAGACTTGCATATGAAATCCTTTTCTTTTTGAACCATGAAAAACAGATGTCTAACTGTGGCGATCAGACCGCTACACTAAAAGCCCAAGAACAGAAGCCTCTGTTCGTTGGTAACAGAAGAATAGGGCCTATACCGCTTCTCAACACTAACAGATATATTGAGGTTTTTTGCTCAGATGCACCCCGCTTAAACACCCATCAAACATCTCCTTCATATTTGTAAGCGTACGAGAAGGTGTCTTTGGCGACCTGAATATGTGTAAATATACCATTATACAATCAAAAATCTCACTCACCTTCTTATCACCGAGCATACACGAATCTCAAATGTGTTCTTCGCCGGTCCCTGACAGCGCATGAGGGCAGCCCCAAGTTCCATCTTATCCTCCACGATCGTCTTCAAAAGATCCCTACTGCAAAATTCATCCGCTCCTAGCTGGGGAATAAATTTGCCGGTGTCCCTTGTCCAAAATAGGCTTGTTCCTCTCGTCGTATCAATCTCCCACTGATCATCTCCGTCGGGTTGTTTTCCAACAATGACGTATATCTTTTCAAGATTCTCGTGCCATTCCCACGAGTAAGGTGTTTCGTCGGCGGTCCGCATATATCTTGCCGGTACTGCCAAGCTTGTAATATACGTTGCCACGGTGTGATTCCGGTCGATAAGATCTGGTTCAAAACCACGATCGATAGCCTCTATCTCAGCGGCGTCTATCTTATTGTTGGGGAGGTAGACAGTATCTCTGTCCTTGTTCATCCTGCGCTTGAACTCATATTTGCCGTTTATGTATCGATTCTTGATGTTGTTATCGCCGGCCCAAGCTAGTGCAACACGGCGCGCTTCTTGGTTGACATCCACGATCGGTATATGAACTGATGTTGCCAACTTGTCGTAGCGGAACTCTAAGCGAATGTTGTTAGGATCGTCGTCGGACCAATCCGCTTCTTCTGGGGTAAGGTATTTTGGGATCCAGCAGCCTTTCTTCCAGTGGCATATTCCTGGTGGCCGGGGTTCTGATAGGGCAAGGTACCAGATTTCATCGCGAAGTTCAGGGGGGAGATGCGGGAAAAGAGTAAACATTTTGACGACTGAGAGGGACCAATAGTAGTGTAAAAGAAGAAATTATTTTTTAGAGCTCATCATGAGGAGAGGGCTTTAATATGCTCCGTTCAAAGGACATCGGCAGCGAATGGTTACGAAGAGGCGGTGATAGTGGCTGAGCTCTGTAGTCCTGGCTGCAGTCGTAGGACTTCAGCGCATACGCGATGACCAATTAGGGCATATCCTGCAATTTTATACTCCAGCATACTGACTATAGGACCAAATCTAATAAATGAGCTATCCTCGAATTATTTCAATTTTGTAAGGCAGACACTAACAATTTTACTGGCCCACCGAGAGCGCTGATCGCAATGCCTCTGAGACCCAGATATAATCCTTCATGCTCCACGACGGCTTAGTCAACCGTTGAATGCTACGACAACAAAGGTCAAGAGGCCGCCCTTTCTCTAATCTCACTCACTTTCATCCTCGCCCATCTCAATCTCAATTCTCATTAGGTTTCCTCTATAAATCTTGATTCAACGCGGTTCGTTCAAGCCCCAAACTGTCGATGAGTATGAAGCTCGGACGCTGACGCGTACAGCATAGGACCCCGCGTCTAATCACAATCAGCAGATATATGAAACAGCGAAAATGAGTGGAACAGATAATAAAGTGTCAGACGTTTCCACGCAAACAGTCCCCTCTAAGGGAGGCCCTGAGGAAGCGAATTCCTGGGCTGAAGACGCCGAGTACCTTTTAGTCGACGACAACAAAGTCAACATGAAATTGATGAAGCACCACTTCGATAAACTCGGTCTCAAATACAACATCGCCTGGAACGGCCAAGAAGTCGTCGACATATACAAAACGCACCCCGAGCAATGCAAAATGATCTTGTTGGATATTTCCATGCCTGTCATGAGCGGCATGCAAGCTTCACTTCTTATAAGACAGCATGAGAGCGAGAACAATCTTCAGCCTGCTATCATCGTTGGACTTGTGGCAGGGGATATTGCGACAGAGAATCGGCGAATGGTGGATGAGTTTGGAATGAACACGACGTTCAAGAAGCCGATTAGATTGGAGGGTCTTCGAGAACTTGTCGACAATTGGCCTGTTTAAGGGAGCGGGGTGCGAGATAATTGACTTTAAGACGCCGATGTCGTGCGAAGGGCGTGAATCACCATTATTAATTCATGATTCATGGTAGCAAGTTTATCAACGATAAGCCTCAGAATAGTAGCGTCTATTGAATTACGGGATATCTGGTTCGGCATGAGCCTCCGAAGATAGCCGAGGCATCGCATTCTGTAAAGAGAATAAGAGATAAGTGATTTTATAACATAATTTAGCTCGGTCACTATCTACAAATGACTCATGCTTACAATTATACTAACTTTATATATATAGCGAGGTGGTAGGACAGTTATACCTCATATAGCAAATTTGAACTATTCCTGATTTACTGAGTAATACAATGGGCTCTTCAGCTGGTCTTGAATTCCCAACGGGGTTCACCCTACATCAAATTACGGGTCCTGAAGAACTAGAACGATGGAATCCCTCACTCACCCAACTACTTTTATCCTGCGTCAACGATGACCCTTCTGCATCCTCGATCGGCTTCCACGCACCTCTCTCCACCACCAAAGCCACGGAATTCTGGTCCTCGCAATCACCTCAACTATTCGGCCTCAACCCCAGAGCTGCCCTATTTGTGCTCGCCCGTGACACCACCGCAGTCGGAACGATTTCGCTCGTAACCCATCCCAAGGAAACTCATGCTCACAAAGTCGAAGTCGGCAAGCTATTGGTTTCCGCAGCAGAAAGAGGTCATGGACTGGGAAGGAAGCTAATGGAGATGGCGGAGAGGTTTGCAAAGGAGGAATTGGGTAAGACTATGGTGTTGTTGGATACAGCTTCGGATACGCCGGCTAGGGGGTTTTACTTGAAGCTGGGATATACGGAATGGGGTGTTTGTCCAAAATATGCTGAGAGTGCGGATGGACATTTGCATGACTGTTCATTCTTCTACAAATTTCTTGGCAACTAGCATTTACAATATAAGAGATACATTGACCAGCGTTTCCGCCTCTTGTGGCTTAAGGTCTTTGGAGCTCAAAACCCCTGCCAAGCAGACAGCGAAGTCTCTCGGGTAGGACATCTGTCTAGGAAGTCAGTAAATCTGAACCCGGATGAAACGTTCAATGTTGTGGTACTTACAGAGATCCATACGCGCTTCACTACCCTCAATACTGTTAATGAATTCCGGATCGACTGCGAAGAGTTTGGAGATACGATGACGCCAATAGCCCCAAATGAATACTTTAAGAAAGTTTGTTGTCGAGTTCATGGAAGCCAGCATCTGAGCAAATTCTTGCATCAAATCTTCCAGTAAACTGAAGTTCTGCTGCTCTTCTGTCTCAGACCTGATTGTCTTGGAAATTTCTGGATCATAGTTGGTAATTACACGAGCAAATCCAGAAGTCGAACTTGGATCATGAATCATCTTGAACTTCACAAAGTCAGCTCAATGACGAAATTTGGCTGTTCCCATTTTCACCAATCTTATGTCTTTCGACTCTGAAGGTTGTCACTGACATGTTCTCACTCCCACCTCCAGTGATGCTCGCAAGCGTTTTGATAAGCCTTACGGCTGCCATAGCAACTGTCTTTCGAGTCGATTTGGAGGTATTGCAACCCAACATCTCGCGATAGAACATGTTGACTAGACCACTAGCAAGCTATATGACTGTTAGACACGACTTTCCATGGCAACACTTTGCTGATACTTGCCCCAGTGTGGCTGGTTCCATATTCATCGCGATCAGACGGTGAGGCTTTCCTATCCCTGTAGAGAGAAAGGATCGCACGCTCGGCTCCTTCAAACCATAAAACTATCTCACTGTCGGATGGCTCCGAGTCTCGGAACAAGTAGCTAAAGTGTAGTTTGGATAACTCATAGAATATAGGACTGTATTTTTGACGAACGACGTTTTGATATCGAATCGTCAGCCCGGGACTTGCAGTCCCATGGGATTACTCCATGCAAGCTAGTATAATTAGTGATGAAAGCCAGCCAACCCTCAGTCGTATCTGTGCTTTCGTTCTGCTTTTTGTCTGTCTTCTGATGCAGAAATACTTGCAGCCTTGCTTATGTCGCTCGTAACTTTGTTGCTGGTACTCAACCTTGATGTGCCAAGGCTGTACAGAGTATGTCCAAGGCTTCTTGTCTAACTTACAGTTGCAACCAGGAAGGTCTCTTGATGGGGCCTTTGTGACCGTGGGGCACTTGGGGGCATTGGAAACCTTCGTCACAGAGTTCTCAATCGTAGGTATTTCTTGATCCTAATCAGATTGGTGTTAGCTGACATGTGGTGGGAAAGTCAAGGCGTCCTAACCATCAATGAGTCTAGTAGCTCTTTCACCAGCCCTCTTTCTATCACCATCTCCTTCAAGCATCCTGTCAAGCGTTGGTGAAAGTTCTGCTGAAGCTGCTGATTGCTGGACAATACTTGGCTCAGGTTGTTCGTAGCTATCATGAGCTCAACAGCAATATTTGGGCGAAGGTTTTGCACGACCATTTCCAGTCGAGAGAGTTTCTGGCTAATATGTCGGATATCCATACCCATTGTGTCATCAAGGGTTAGAAGGCGATCGGAAAGGTGAGCTATTTGGAGTCCCTGCCCTTTCACGGTGTCACTAATGTCGTGAACCTGATCATAGATGTCAGTTGTAAGATCGCTGATATAGTGATCAGCACAAGAAGAGTCAAGTGTGTTGGAAAATACATACAGTGAAGCGTTTTTGACAGCAAGATTCAAATTGTGTAGCAAGTCTTGTAAACACTGACGCAGAGCCGACAGTTTGCCCTGGAGGAAGGGATAAGCAAGCACATGTCTAGCATTCTTTATCCTCTGCGGTGTGTCTTGGGACGTATCTTGTGGTTTCTGGAGCTTCAGTAGAAATCCCTGCAACTCACGCTGTCTTTTCTCACTGTCCTTCCAGCAATCCACCACTGCAATGGCTCTGGCAGAGTGTTGGTCGAGCTTTACTAGTACGTTCGTTACCGAATTTAAAAGCGAGACTATTGTCTGAGTCTCCTTGACGCTATCCTGTATCTCTTGGACTTGGCCTTTGAAAGACTGAAGGTACGATATCAGACCTTGACAGACGTGGATGCCGAGTGATATGATGCCGACAGCACTGCCGACTATAGACAGCAGATCTGACATATCGCTGCAAAAGAAAAGCAAAAATAAAACCCGATCTTTGGAAACTCCAATAGGAAAGAAAAGAGGAATTGGAGCAAGTTTTGCGTGAAATGAAAGAATCAATAATTTGGCTGGCAGACCGAGGCATGCAGAGAGAACAGGGACTATTTCAGTACACTATGACACTGTTACACAGATATGGAGATTCCCAACTAGAAAGGAATGCATGCAGCCGGTGAAGGCTACACCGATCGGTCTAGCTGTAATTCCATGCATGATTGGGTGAGAGGGCTGAAACAACACCAAATTACAAGACCTGATCTTTCAGCTGCTCCTCAGTCCAATCCCAAAGCCTCTTCGCCATCTCATCATCCAACCCATGACCCTCCAACCCACCAGTCTTTCCAACAGGTTCATAGAACTCTCCATTCTCGATATCCGGAGCAGTAGTAGCCCAAAGATGATTCTTGACACCCTCCGTAATAGGAATTGCGACTTTAGAGGCCACGTTTTCCTGGAGGTGTTTCATCAAGTCATCTCCTGCCTCGCGAGTAAAGAGTTCTGTTTGAACTTCGCCTGGGTTGATGGCTATGTTCTTGAAATTGGGGTATCGCTTGGATGCTTCTCTTGCGTAAAGAAGACAAGCAAGTTTGCTCTGGGCATACCGGTAAGGTAAAGCTGTCTCGCTCTTTGCGGACTTGAGGGTATCGAATTCGATACCAGCTGGCCCGACATGACGGAATCCGGCAGAGCTGAGATGCACAGCACGAGCATCGGGAGTCTTGTCAAGGACTGCTTTGAGAAGCTTGAGAAGCAAAGCATGCCCGAGATGGTTGGTTCCCATATGCATCTCATAACCATCTTTTGTCAGGGTAGGTGGAGCACCCATGACACCAGCGTTCAGCAAGAGAACGTCAAGTTTGTCCTCGCGTTTGAGAAACTCGGCAGCAGCAGACTTTATGCTTTCAAAACTGGAGAGATCAAGCTCCAACAGAGAGGCCTTGATGCCTTCACTGGCTGTCTTCTTGACTTCCTCAAGCGCAGCATTCCCCTTGGCGGAGTTTCGTGAAGTAATGTAGATATGGGCAGGAGAGTGTTTGGCCAGTTCAATAGCAGTGGCTTTTCCAAGGCCGGTGTTTGCGCCAGTGATGAAGATAACCTTCCCAGTGAGGGAAGGTATATCTTTGGTTGGGTCAAAAGGATATGCTTGAACTGTAGACATTGTGATTGGAATTGAGGTCTTTGATAATGATGTTTTCGTCTTTGTGTGAGCTGATATGGAGGAGGAATTTCGAGAGATCAGTGACGATACCCAAGCTTAAATATGTGTACGGACTCCGGACTTAAGAATACTAAGGACCCGAGAAGCAAGGAGTCTCGCATTTCAATAAATACTGCTCCATCATAAAGTAGGAACTTTATGAAGGTCCTGCTTGAACATCCAATGAAGGGCAATAAAATGCGAGCTAGCCAATCATCGACCTTGTTGGACCCCCACTTTGAACGCTTGGCTCTGATCCTTTTGACTGCTAAATGTTAATTAATTCCCAGCAGTATATCAGCCCAGAAGAGAGTTATTTTATGCATAATGAAATATTCTATGTTTGGTTAATTTCCTGTTGAATGAAGGTTGCTGTCCCAGTGACCTGCCACCACGTCTAGTAGATGAAAGCTGATTGTCAGGACAGACTTTTTGATACGAGCTAAAGTCAAGCAACCAGATAGCTAACCCCCATTCGCCAGTATACGCCTGCGGCTGAGAGTATAGTGGAATAATAGTTCATCACTAATCTTGGTTCAAATTTCAGTATGCTCTTGCCAGAAAAGATATCCTGACTACTTTGATCGAAACGTCCAAGTACCAACCGCAACGTAGATGAACTACACCCAACACCAACAGACTGAAGGGAATGTGACACTCTTCTCCATTTGACGTGCAAATTGTGTGTATCCATTATTCATGGAATAGAAATCAAAGGAAGAGTAATCGTCAGGATGGGTTGACCCCGCGTTTCTATCATCGCGTCTAAGAACTTAAGGTTCAATAGTTCAGATAGATCGAACATCTGGACGCAAACACTTAGAAGTTGGATGAGGTATAAATGCAGGTGTGGATTCCTCAATGTGAGTACGTGTGTTCTTGTTTCTCTCAGCCTGCTCCAGCAGAAGCCAAGACATCATATGATCTACCTCCAACGCACCATATGGTTATTATCGACATCGCCACCGTTCTTGATCATCAGCTGAAGCTGATATAAAAGGTGAAAGACGTATGATCATCCGAACCTAAATCACGACGTTCTTTTCTGACAACTCATAGACTCTGAATGCGATGACCCTCGCCCCTCAGATGAGATTTGTGATAGGCATCGCTGGTATCAATGCACAGTCCAGAACGCCACTCAGTTCAATATAGTTCTCGAAAAGAGCTATTTAATGCTGGAAAGTACCTTACGGCGCCTGAGTCGGTGGGCCCCTATGGACAAATGACGTTCACTGCGTACAATGATGTGTCGGGGACATCTACCGGCCTCTCTTTCTGGGCACATTTAGACGAAAGTCATCGATTTCACTTCGCCATTGTAAGTAGCACTAGAAATCAAACCTCAACTAGAGCTTACTGTTTGCTAGGGACTTGATGCTCCGCTGATGGGAGGCTTCAAGGCTGGGGTCGTCGAATCAGATTCTGCGAAAACAGGCCTTGAGATTGCCACCAGGCAAGGCAATAGTATCACTTCGGAAAATCGGTATAAGGGAAATGATAACGATGGGAGTGATCAGGTGATCGAGTTCCATGTTGCGACATATCCTGGAATGGAAATGAAAGTTGTCATTACTCAGCTCATCGTTGATAGCAACAACGAATAAGGGGTCCAGTTAGGTTGAAGTAAATATCGTCACAAACGACAGCTTTATTTCTATCGACGTTTTAAGTAGAGAATCCTGACTCAATTTCTACGTCGACTGCGGAATTCCAAGTCAGCCTTAGCAGCCACTTTGGAACCTGGGGCTGTCTAATGAGGCTGTGCACACCATCAGCTCAGCTCTCTAGGCTCTTACTGGGACCCTCGTTTCAACAAAAAGACGTAACCCCTCATTTTTCAAGGCTCTATTGTCTTGTTCACGGACTCGTTTTCACAGCTTTGATGATTGAGGCTTGATATTGAACATTTCGCGATGGATCCGCTGTCTATCGCGAGCTCGGTGGTAAACAGCGCTACCAGTATTTGTAACCATAGAAAACTAATATCTGCTTAGGTCGGATTGACTGCGACATGTCTCTCAACGTGCAAGAAGCTCCACGATCTCGCTGGAGAATATCAAGACGTCCCAGCAGTCATCGCCATGATATGTTCCGAGTCAACTATAATAAGTATCGGTTTATCAGAACTGCAAATGAAGATCCTTCGAAGAGATGACCTTGCACAAGCATGGGCATCGAAAACAGAAGTCTGGACGGCTTTTGAAACAGCGTTAACTGGATGTATGGTTGTGTTCAGCTGCCTCGAGGCAGAAACACGAAGTCTTCGATCTAAGAACCCAGGAGTCTGGGCTAAGATCAAGTTTATCTGGAACCAAGACCGCCTGAAGGAGCTGCTAGGTGCGCTCAGAGGGCAGCAGTCATCTATTACCTTTCTTTTGAATCTTCTTGAACTGTAAGTGGAAATGACATTCATCGTTATCTTCATACTAAGATGGCTAGTGAGACTTTATCCAACATCCAGAAGGACATTCGGCAGAATACACCGAGGATAAAAGCGGCTGCCTCAGAAGCCCAGTCCCTGCGATCCTGCAACCCGAGCGTCAAGATGGACTCTGAGTCAATTTTCGATAACGATGCTGCCAATCTCAGTTTCTTTCACCTCGAGGCCTTTTCCGGTAATGCACCTTCTGAGCTCGATTTTGAGTTCGACCATCTCGTTATCAACAGCCAGGCATACAGACGGGTCTTCATTAAAGCTCAATCTGAGATGAAGCAACTAGAAATCGAAGACGTGGATTCTGATACGGGGACGGTCAGAGAGGTGGATACAGGTCCAGCGCAGTCTCAAAAGAAATCTGCTTCTTTGGTGAGAGTCTCGCGAGAGAAGGCAATTTCATTCGCCAAAGATTTAGTGCGACCGTCATTCCGAACCGAAAAGGTTGGCAGCTGGTCGGACGTCCAAATATTACGGCCTTATGCGCTTGCCAGCACATCTACTTGCTATGGCTGTCACAAGACTATCACTGGCCATGAAGTGAGAGTATTAGGCGAAACGTGGCATGTCGGATGTTTCACCTGCTCTGTAAGTACAAGACTTAACGGTCGAACTATCTCAGCTAACGCCAATTACTTAGGACTGCGGGGTTTCTCTCCAAAATGGCTATCGCCTATCGAAAGAGGAAAATCGCATTCAATCAGAGCCACTATGCGAGGAAGACTATATTCGACGACGGGATGTACAGTGCCACAAATGCCAGGAGACTATTATAGGTGACTTTGTGGCAGTACTTGATCGTCGGTACCACGCACACCACTTCACGTGTGATCGATGCGAGATAGTCTTCACTGAGGACAGTGATTATCATCTAATCGACAGTAGAATCTATTGCATGTTACACTTTTGTCGAGAGGCTGCATACTATTGCCATGCCTGCAAGTTTCCAATCATGGGAAACTACCGCGAAAAGGACGGCCAAGAAATCAAATGGCACACCTTTTGTTTGGAGCTTTCATCGTGGAGATTGGAGCTCCCTGTATCGTCCAACGGCCGCCGATATCTTGACTCCATTCACGATCAATCCCTAAGAAGACTTAGTAGATTCTACCAGGAATTACACGATACTCGCGCTAATGAGATCTATCTTTGCGGATCGCGCTACATTAAGGACTTTCGGGATTCACTTACAATTTCTTTACGTATGAGGGGAGTAGCGCCTAGTGCAGAGAGCTATGAACACTTCAAAGGCATACTCGCCAGGCTCTTCTGTCTCTTCAAAGCCGCCGCGAAAGGCACCACCGATCGTAAGAACCGTTTACCATGTATATCAACAGCGCTAATTCCTACTACTCAGGTTCTGGCGAAGCCGAAGTGAGAGTCTTTATGTCCGGATTCCAAAAACACTTCAACCGCTATACAGAAGGCTTGCAGGCATCCCCTCAGTTCATCGCACATTGCATATCAGAACTGATTAAACCCCTACTGGGAGTATCTTTTGCGGTATGCTTACAGAACAATGATGACTCATGGGACGTTAAACAATACCAGCTTGACGAGCTCATCAAGACCCTTGGGGCATCAAGTTCTTGCGGATTAGCAGATCGCTACAACCATGAACCCACTGGCGCTTCCGAACAAAATTGGAAATGCGCGGTGTGCTTTGAGGATGTCACGGGGAATGTACTTTCTGAGCGCTCGTATCCATACCGGAAACTGCATCCGCTTTGTCGCTCTCTGGCTTGTCATCATGAGACATCGGAAGGTGGTGAAGTGGGTGATGTATCACCATGTATCCATTGCAGATGGAAAGAGGGTACCTTTGATTTTATTCATTATCATGAGATTGCTCTTTACGAGATATGGCAGAGTTGGCGCGTATCTGCAAATCTGGAAGCTTAACTTCTGCGAGACTTTGCAATGAGATCAGAACGTTGTGTAAGCATTACTGGTCGTCACTTTGAGGATAAATATAAGAGTCACCCTGGAACATAATAGTACTAAGCGCAGTCTTGCGTCATAGATCTATGGGGGATTGGCAGCTATACGATTAATCCTCAAACAGATAACACGGCATTGGGAACTCGGTAATCGGCTTCCTGCACCATGCATCCGCCTTCATTGATAACTCATGTTTAAGTGACATAATCCGTAATCGGACATACTACTTTGTCCAAGTAAGTTGCGTCTCAGCACAAGTTCTGCCTAGATCAGCCCACTGCAAAGAACTCCATTTCTCCGGATTATCAGAAGCCTCTACGAAATGCTTCATAGCCAGAACAGTCTGCAGCGCCCATTTTTCCGGACTCACCCTTCCTACACCTGTTGCCAACGGAGTCATAAGAACGCTCTGAATCTGATCATATTCAGAGGCATCGCCATTATGATTGTCGATAGCACAGAGCAAACTCCAGATACACTCATAAACAACCTCTTTATCCCATCTCACGTCAGCAGGCATCCGCATTGTCGGACATAGCGCAACACGCCGTGTCCCATAAACATTCCGGGATTTTGCTTCAAACTCCTTTGGAATTTCTACCAAGGTACATGTTCCAGGCGGTGCGAAACCACGCCACGTTTTGTACAGCTGAGCTTGCGCAACGCCCGTAAGAGCATGGTAATCATCGCGCGGTGAAAACTGCCGAGAAATCGCGTCGTCAAAAGCGCCGTCAAGACGGCCGTAGGAGTTGGCCGGTGAGACGACGGTATCAAATTTGACTTTGCTTGAGAGTTGGGATAGAGCGCAGTTGTGGATCTCGATTGAGATGGAATCGGGCAGCTTGCGGCTCTTGCGAGCGACGTTGAAGGCGTCGATGAATTGTTCCTCCATGCAAAGGAGGTGGATGTGGGGAATGTGCGGGGTTTTGGTGGTCATATTGAAAGCTGGCTGTTTGGTGTGATGATTTTGAGAGATGGATTTGAGGACTAGTTATCTGCAATGAAGTGGGCAAGATATTGAGTATTATATTGCCCCAGGTCAGATGATATGACTGAAGCGGGGTCACTTTATATCGGAAACCGTAAGCAAAGAGAATGATCTTGACCGTAGATTTCCCGAACTGGATAATCAGGGAGGCCATGGTTGGGCTGGTGCTTCAAATCAAATAGTATATGGATACGAAACGTCCAATTAGCATACATTAAACTCATAAGATAGATTTAGCAAGTATGTAACAGTCATTGGCAAAGTCTCTACAGTCGAAAGAGTAGTTTACTGCGATATGGCGACAGTCAATAGCTACCTTTGTAATCCGGTCTAGAACTTGCGTGTGATTCCCTCATGTTAGAAGTAATGGCTCTTGGCTAGACTTCAAGATATCCTCCCAATCTGGTCGTTCCCCGCCCACGACATCCTGAATCAGGCGATAAACCCACAGCTCCTCCAGTACTTCTAGCGCTCGCGAGATGTTGCGAAATCTTCGTTTGTTATATGACACTTGTAGTCTCGTACGAACAAATTCCATTTGATCAGTACGTTCAACTTCCCCTCCAACAATAAACAGAGGAAACAGAAGGGAGGACTCGGAAACGTCGTTTTCGGGTACTTGCCCAATACTATCCAAAGTATTCGCCACGATCGCTTGAAGCTTTTCATTCAGAGTGCTCAATGGTATCCCAAAGGTGAGGTAGTAATTGTTATCTATTTCAAGATGGCGGCGCATATTTCGGTAAAGATAGATAAGCGCAGCACCGCGGTATGCATAGGCTGCAGCCTGAAGAGTTGAGGGGGTTCCTTTAGGACACTTCCAGCTTTCGATCTCATGCTGGATGCTCAGGTGGTTTCTTGATGGATGAATACCCAACTCGATATCGATGGGGTTGAGACTTAGGCAGGTTGTTTTGCCTATGTATACAAGAAGCGGTGAAGCAACGCCCAAGTAGGTATCAAACTCGTGTGTAATATCCTTTAGATATTCGGGACTGAGCAGAGGTTTAATTCCCAGGGTTACACTACCGATGATATCGTGGTACGCAAAGTTACGGAGGATCCATCGCCCCTCTGATGTCAACCTCAGTGCCTGGGCTCCCTGAACGAGCGACCCATCAGCCTGACTTTGAGCACAAGTGATGAGATGTTTGGCTCCGACAAGGTGATTATACCAGCTCTGGTGACTTCCCAAGCACACCTCAGAAGTCAAAAGAACAAGACAAGCGGATAGTGCGGTTTCAGTGACTGAAGCAGTTTGGTCTTGGTGGCTGATCGTCATTGACAGCTCACACAAGGCTCTAGACCGTGCCGTGAGTGATACGGTAGTGTAACTTGGGTCTGAATGTGACATGTGGCCAGATGAGTATGCGATGAGGGCTTCAGCTAGAGCTGGTGACTCCATAGCCAGAGGGATAAAGTCTTGAGATCTTAGTATACGAGAAATCAGGGGAGGACCAGACACGACGCACCAGATAAAAATGAGTTATTGCTTTTACTTATAGTCAAGAGTTCCGAGAGGACTCTGATGTAGTGGTTCATTGCCTGGCGTCTCTTGGGAGAGTTCAGGTTCAGCGGTAATAGAGATAGTTGTGTAGTCGGAGCCAGTTGATGCGGAGTCAACTGTGGTTGGATATTGCCATCGCCACTACGTGGAACGACCCGCCGGATAGGATCTCGAACACATTCCAAGTTCAATCGAATGCATGTTCCGCAATTAGGAAACGTATTTTCTGTGCATTTTTTCCGTCTGGCGTTGGCGGTGAGTAGAGCACCACTGGTAGTGACCAATTTTGTTTGAGAAATTACCTATAGCGGCAAGTCAAACAGCCTGTCTTGTCGTGCTTTGACCCTTTTCTCTTCTTTGGCTTATCTTGTTCCATCATTGGTGAATGTCAAGTTTGAGGTGACTGATCGACGCCATCAAGAGAAGGTGGCGGCGAGGGTCGGAAGAACGTGTGCCCGTGGAGCGACGGTGAGCTCGACAATGATTATTCATCGTTGTGAGGCCTTCATGCAAGCAGTTCATCCATTGACATCTACCAAGAACAATGCATTACAACGCAATTACAAGCCTCGTGACTCGTATTAAAGGTTCAGAGCCAGTCAATTAAATAGAAGATCAATCTTATTTCATTTGTCAATAAAAGCCTACTGCTCAAATAGTCTATGGAACCTGAATAACAACCTTTCCGGTATGCGTGGAGCTCCAAAGGTGATCATACGCCTCCCTAGCCTTCTCAAAAGGAAACACGCGGTCAATGACTGGTCGAATATCGTTCGTCTCAAAACACTCCAGCATATCTTGTAGCTGCTCTCGGGATCCCACCACGACACCTCGAACAACACAGAGACGGTCCAACGCGAGGAAAGCCGCATCAGGACCTCGAAGGTCTTTACCAGCACCCAACGGATCAGGATTGGTGATGTGCCCAATGCAGTGGATCTGTCCATTGAAACCGATCGCATCGAATGATGCCTGAAGTGTCAAAGTTCCCCCGATCTCAATGATGTGATCGACTCCCTTGCCCTTGGTGATCTTCATGGCTTCCGCAGCCCAGTCGGGAGTCTTGTTATAGTTTATTCCATACGTTGCACCAAGATCTTTTGCTTTCGCCAGTTTATCGTCAGATGACGAAGTCACAATGGTCTTGGCTCCAGCGGCGTGTGCTATCTGCAGCGCAAAAGTGGAAACGCCTCCAGTACCTTGTAGAAGAACGGCTTGGCCAGGCCGCAGAGGAGTCAGCCCATACAAGGCGTTCCAAGCCGTCAAGGCGGCACATGGAAGGCACGAAGCCTCTTCAAAGGATAAGTAGTCGGGGATCTTAACCACGCCTGTCTTGGGAAAGATAAAGTACTCCCCGAGAAGGCCCTGTGCTTCACCGCCCAACTGGGTTAAGCCGACATCTCGAGTGAGACGACCCGCGATGTGTTCTTGGGTGAAGTTGGCGACTACACGATCACCTTCTTTCCATTCGGTCACACCCTCCCCGACCGCTTCGACGATGCCTGTTTAGGCCTGTCAGTTGGTGAGCGGGAGACTATTGCTGCTAGTGGTCACTTACCAGCACCATCACTTCCGGGAACTAGGGCATCAGGGCCGGGAAAGGGGTAAGTGCCGATGGCGACGATACCATCTCGCCAGTTCAACGAGACAGCTTTGATGCGGACCAAGATCTGACCAAGCTGGGGTGATTCCTTTGGAACAGCTCTCAATTGCAGGGAGTCGAAGCCTTTTTTCTCTGGTAGCCAATACTGTTTGAATGTAGTGGAATCCATGGAAGGACAGCGAACAGAGTTAAGAAATGGTAATATAATTTCAAAGTGTCGCGGGAAAGATACACTCACTCAACATATCGCACACGCCATTCCCCCCTTTATACATTCTGCCTCTCATTCTCAATCATGAATTTGATAGCATCTGTGTCCCTGGAAGGACGCGCGAAAATGGCGTCTTCCAACATCCAGCTTGCTTTAGCGGCGTGCTGGGCGTATTGGGCGTGTTCAGCGTAAATAGCGTGATTGGCAGTCGATGTGGCCCTAGACCTACCATGAGTAAGGCTATTGTTAAGGAATACCCTGGCCCCACTCATCACAGCACATAATTTCACCATGCAAAGTTGTAATCAAAGTAATTTATAACAGTACCTGCAGAAGCGGGGTACATGATGGATCAGTCATAGCTCAGTACGTGGTACTCCACCTTCCGCATCAGATCGAGCCGTGGAGTCAAATCTGGTTGAACTTGATCCATCGACTACCCTAAACAATCGCTTTTCGTGATCCGTTTACGCATAAAATGTGTATTGCAGAACCTACTAGGTACTCAACGTTGAAGGCCGGCAGCGTACACTAACGTGTGGTGACAGATATCTGCCAAGCAATAGAAATTATGCGGCACAGATGAGTAGCTCGATGAACGTAGCTAAAAAAAAACATGTGATCACCAGCCAGTGAGTAAAACCATCACTGTGCTGTAATCGTAATTACTGCAGGACTCGATGTCTTCAACCATTAATGTCCATTCTAGAAATCACTAGGCTTCATTTCCCCCCCCAGCTTTGGAAGCCATCTAGCCCAATACGTGGCTAAAAGTCCCGAGATGCCCTCTACCAAGCGTTCCCCAATATCATCCAGACACCAAAACGCACGAAAGCGGTGCAGCAAAACGGCATAATGGGCTAGAATGACCAGGGCCTCGGGAATTTGCTTCTCCAAAAGCGTTAGGAATCGCCACGGGATCAGGTTCGACCACGCCATCAAGCCATGTACTCCCCAGCTGTTGGGCCCTTGAATGCGACGTACCACAAACCCGAGAGCCTCCCTCGCCTCCTCACAGGCTTTTCTCGATTCCTCGTTGAGTTCAGATGTTTCGAGCATTGAAGCGAGTACTGCACATTCCGCAGAAGTAGCATGTGAGTCATGGGATCCTTCTTTCGATGCATCCATCAGCCACTGAGATACCCTAGAGTTTGTAAAGCTCGTGCTCGCTCTCTCACCCATGACTCTAGCTCCACGATGAAGTCTAAAATAATTCACCATGCAGTCGAGAGTCATGGCAAAATCTTGGTCAGCTAGACCTGCCACAGTCTCTGCGAGGTAGTGCAGTGCTAAGAGGGAGGCGAAGAAGAATTGAGCTGTTGAGTTTGATTCGGAGGTATCGTCAAGACACTTGTTGAAACCACGGAGAGCTCGATTGCGGAGGTGTGTCGCGGTGTTCATATAAGACTGGGCCGTGTGTTTGTCAATAGTCTTGAGGTGCATTGCAGATAAAGCGAGAAGCTGATTCATTAGATAGGGTGTTTTTAATGCCGTGGTTATGTAGCCGTTGGCGAGTGGCTGAAGTCGGTCCGTCACCATCATCCAGTCAGCCATGTGTTCTTGAACATGGTAGAGCAGATTTAAGTGGCCAAAAGTAAAGAGGTCATCGGACTCGATCTCATGTAGATCCGGTGGTGAGGGAACTGGCAAGTCTGCAAATACACTGGCTGCTGGGAAAGCAGATAGCGTCGTAAGTTCTGTTTCGTACGGAGAAGAGCCAGTTTTGCGTTTCTGCGGAGGTGCGTAGTGACATGTTCTCTCAGAAATGGAGCAATTGGCGCATTCCGGTCGCTAGCATGAGAAGTTTAGCAAAGCGTTGGAATATTAGTGCAAGAAAGAACAGCAACCTTTTCATCACACTTAATGTGACGCTTCTTGCAAGTAGTGCACCCATTACGGGACTTGCGATGACCTTGACGGAGTTTCCGCGAGACTTCAGCTTGCATCGTGATTATTGGCTGACCGATATAAAATTCGAACCCGAGGAAAATGTTCGAGAAAGGAAAAAAGCGAGGTAATATTGCGAGTATAGAAAGTAATTCACAACGAGGGAGAGGCAAGAAGAATACGGGAATGCGAAAGGATGATGCATGGGGCAGATTTGAATCCACACTTTAATCCCAATTGAGTTTACCCGTTGGCTCGAGCCGGGGGGGGGCCAACTAAGCAAGCTTAGTTGGCCACAAAAAGGCGGGACAGTCACAAAACGGTGGGACACCCGTTGGGCCCGATTTTTGGTGTGTTTTGCGGCATTTTCAATGTATCTTTATTCTGAAGGCGTCAACAGAGGTGAAATTGCTGAATCAATTGAAATGAAGCTTCCTGTGATGATATATCTGCTATTGACTGTAACTGTAAGAGGGAAATAGCTGCAGCGGCGGCAAGCTTGCCTGCCGATTGATGACGCCTTCTCTAGTAAATTGGGTGCTTTCCTGTCCTTCCTGAGGCCTGTGACTGGCTCCTATAGCAGATCTTTCTTCTTCAATGAGGGAAATAAGGGCATCGCGAAATTGGGCTTGGTGTTGAGCCGGGCATGGTGTTGAGGGCACCGTTGGAAGGGGGGACTCGTAGTCAGGCAGGCAAGGCGGCGATGAGGGCATCGCGACTTCCTCTTCTTCCGATAAATCGATGAGGCTATCTTCTTCGTTAAAATCGGCATCAGCTGGCGGTTGCGTAAGTTGAAAATCGACAGAGTCATCGCTGTTGAGAAGGCCGGTTAAATCTGCTGCTGAGAGAGGCTTTGCTGCAAAGCCGGCGTTGCGAATAGCCTCACGAGCTTCCGGGGCAAGCTGGGTATCAATCATAAAGTAATCTTCCTTCTTCTTCAGTTGTGAGGATATCTCCGCTCGTGATGCATCAAGAGAAGCGTATTCTATATCTCTTTTGGTGTGTTCAAGCCACTGTTTAAAGCGCATCTTCTTTTCAACGCCATCGACGATAACCTCCTTCTTTTGCTGCCACTCAGCTTTTATCTCTTCCATCTGCCGGATTGCAAAAGATCGTATATTCCGAAGCTGAGATCTCTGCTCAGCCTTTGCTCCTACTTTAATAAATTCAGCCTGTTGTTCACGAAGCTCTTCTAAGCTTATATTATGAAAATAATCTCCTACCGGTTTTCCTCGCTTTCCACGCTTTCTCTGATGATATCTCTTTTCAATACGCTCCTGACGATTGGCAACGTGCTTTTTCACGATATCTTCAAGTACAATAGCTTCGCTAACAATCTTCTGTACAGCTTCAAGTCCCCGGCGCGTTGGGGAGCTTAGAATATCGTGATAGCGGTTGCTGACATCCCTTGCTGTATCAGAGGCCAAAGGGAAGCGATTTTCCGCCGGTAAAAGCGAAGATAGCGCCGGATCGATAGCCTTACGAGTCTTTAACTTCTTCTTCAGCAGATAACTAACCGCCGGCACCTCGGTTGGCGGGAAAATGCCTGACTTTTCGAAGCCGGCGATGATGTGGGCAGCTGTGAAGCCTTCTTCAAAGATCTCCTGATATTGTGAGAATTAGTATGTGAAAAGAGGGATCTTTTGGAGAAGATGTGAGCTGCTAACACATACCTTGAAGGAGCCTGCAAAGTCACGGCGGTTAAACGTCAGATTTCCCTTCCGCAAAGCTTCTCGCAGCCTTTTTTGGTGTGCATTCTTTAACCACTGAAAAACGCCTAGGTCCATCGGTTGAAGTATATGTGTTGAATGAGGAAGAAGGAAAGCAACGAGGATATTGAATTTTATACAATATTCTCTGAAGGCGAAGGAGCCGTGACCGGAGAAGCCGTCGATTATGAGCAACCGCCATATGAGCTCTTCTTCCTCCTTTCCTTCTGTGCCCGGAGGCGTATCATATGGAGTAATAGGGTTGAATTCGCTTTTTAGGTGCTCATTACACCCAAACCACTGCTCAAAATCCAGCTGACGATGTTGTACAGTAGCAGATTTCTCCCAAGACCACCGGTTAAAGTGCTTCACCCACTCGAGCGTTATCTCGGCGTTGGAAAAAGCTGTTTCCGACTGTGCAAAGCGCATATTAGGATCACCATCGATATCTGACCACTCGATCGTTGGAAAAGCTTTGAAGATAAGCCAAGGAGGAGTAGTTGCTCCTGCGGCGTTACCCGTACCAATTACCGTACAAGTCTCCCTATCTTCCGGCGAGAATACCTCTGTTGGAGTCTTCTTCTTGGTACGTACGACGAGGCATTGCACACGCTCTCGCAGTATTCCGACTCTAATTCCGGCTTGATCAGCATTCCAACACTCTGAGGCGCCGATCCCGTATCTGGTGATGACTTCAGAAAGTCGTTTAAACCACTGCTTCGTCTCCTCCACGCCGGCTTCTTCATACTCATAGCGAGCAGCTTCTTTCGACTTCAAAATCGATGTATCAAGCTCGGGATGATCGTCACGGAAGCGACTGTACCACATCTTTGAGACCGGCTGCGCAGCAGCATCACGGCGGCTTCTTATTGTATTTGCTGCATCTTCAATCTCGCCTTTAGAGGCCGGAAGACCGGACTTCTGCATCCAAATGATGAAGCATATGATAGCTTCTTCTTCGCTATCCGAAAGGAGTCGCGGCCGGCCCTTATTTGGCTCAGGAACCAGGCTAAAATCCGCTGTTTTGGCTTCTTCAAGCTTCTTGACGATACGCGCAATGGACGACTTGTGGGAGCCCTTGTACTGCCGCTCAGCATCGCGTATTGAAAGAGGCTTCCTTATCACATTAGAAGCATCACGAGAGAGGCCCTTTTGGAGTCGTTGGCGTGAAGAAACCACCGCTTGAGCTGCTCTGATATTTGCATTTAAAGGCATAATGCACTTGGACAAGAGTACTCCTTTTTTGGCTAACTGGCGTCTAGATTTGGGTCGATTTTACATATAAAATCGAGGAAATTCGCGACAGCCGGCGGAGCGGGGTTGTCCCACCGTTTTGTGACTGTCCCGCCTTTTTGTGGCCAACTAAGCTTGCTTAGTTGGCCCCCCCCCGGCTCGAGCCAACGGGTAGTTAGAAATACGAGCACTTAACACTTTCGAGAACGTTTACGAGTATGAATACTTTTTTCTTACGTTAGCGGGCCATCTGCTCGGATGTTTCACATCTTTGAGCCCGGTCTCTGTGCTGCGACCAACTTCATTTGTCGGAGTGCGTTGCCGAAAGATTAAGTTAGCCGTTGATCAGAGAATTGCAGTCCGGGTGATCTTCCCGCAGAACAAGTAAACGAAAAAGCCCACAAGACCAGGGCTTTCACTTGAGCCTTCGCCTGCTAAGAAAGACCGTGCTTTATGGGGTGACCGCTACCAAGAAAAGGCCGTGTTTGTTTAACTTAGGGGTTCCGTGTAAAATTGACCAAAGCGGCTAAGGTTGATATGATTGACGCTGACGTGGTAGATACAGACTGTCCCTCTCAAAGATGGATAAATACTCCCACGAGTCCGATATCTTATGTATTCCTTCATACTCTGAATCACTCATCTCTACAATAATTCCACGTTCATTCTCACACCAAGCGATCCTCATTCGGCAGCAAAGACACCTATCTGTACGACAATTCGCTACCGGACAATACACGACTGATATCCATTATTTGGCACCTTTCCAACCGCAAACATGAACGGAGGTCTTGTTCGACGAGGAGAGCTCCTCCCATACAAAGGCGACTTTTATCTTTGGAGCTATGTGCCTTCTATACCAGCCGCCGTTATCTTCATTATCCTTTTTCTTGTGCTCTCTGTCGCACATACATGGAAGATGATTCATAATCGTTTGTGGTTCTGCATCCCCTTTGTGATCGGTGGTTTTCGTGAGCACTCCTACTCCCTCATGCGTTTGAAACTCCCAACACTAATATTTCTCGTCATAGTCGAGGTCATTGGCTTCATCGGTCGAGCCATGGCTAACAAGGCAACGGAAAAACTTGGGCCTTATATTATCCAGTCCGTGTTTCTGCTTATCCCGCCTTCCCTGTTCGCCGCCTCGATCTACATGACCCTCGGACGAATTATACGCGGCCTTGGTCCCAAGGGGGAGAGCTGCTCTATTGTTCGAGTCAAGTGGCTGACCACTTTGTTCGTTGTCGGCGATGTCTTCTCCTTCTTGGTCCAGAGCTCTGGAGCAGGCATGATGGCAGCTGGCGATGACCCTACAATGGGAGAGAACATCGTTATTGGCGGTCTTGTTATCCAAGTCCTCTTCTTTGGTCTCTTTGTTGTTGCAGCAATCATTTTCCAGCTTCGCTATCGCAAGATCGGTAGTAACTGGAGAGTTGTTGGTTCATCCAACACTGCCTTAGTCTTTGATTGGGAAAGGATGTTGATGATGCTGTATGCAACCTCCGCCTTGATCCTTATCCGGTGCTTCTTCCGTATCGTCGAGTACGTCATGGGTGCCGATGCTTACCCGCTCAAGAACGAATGGACGCTGTACATCTTCGACGCCCTACTTATGGCCGCTGTTATGGTCATTTTCTACATTTGGTACCCCTCTCGCGTACAAGTCTTCCAGGAACTTCAGAACAGAGATAGTGCCGACCTCGCCTATGTCACATCTGAAGCGCATCTCAGCAGGAGCTAAAGAGATCGACAATACCATTAACATTGCTTTAGGGTCTTGAGAAATACCTGTACATGATGTTGCGAAGGGTGTCTACTAGTACATTTGGCTCTTTCCAACAGTGGATAACAAGAACATACTTTTTCTTAGAGCCGAATAACTTCAAGGTTGTAGTAATAGCGACAGTATAAGGCGGCAATTGCATACAGACGTCAGCTTTCCTCTACCTGCGACACACGTAAGGTACATGTGATTGGATTATTGGAATCTGGCGAGAGTCTCCCATCAAAGGAGGTAGATTCGAGTGATGAGTGTCATTTGACAACATACAGATCTGAAATCTTGATGCTCCCTCGCGGACCTGGGGAATATGTATATAGATGCTGTGAATGCTTGATAAGATTTGACTGCAGCCAAAATGTGATCTATGCTATCATATTGCCTTCCAAAAGCTTGAGTTAATTGTGATTTTTCAGTGTGTTGGCTTGATATGTCTCGTTGAGATGTCATAAGCTTTAACCAGCAATCAATGCTATCAATCGAGATTGGCTTTCAATTCAGTCTTCATGTTCAAACTCGAGTCCTGCAGAATTTGTGCATCGTGCCGATATCTGGTAGTCGTTTTACAAGCCGCCATTACTATCTAGTACCGTGACTCTCGACGCATAACAACCTTCCTTCTCCCCCCAAATGACGCTCTACCCGTTACATCTTCCTTCATGATACTCCCTGATGCGGATCAATGTACTTGAACCTCTCATTTCTCGCTAATGGGCGAGGGTGTCCAGATGTCTCTACGGGTAAAGACCAGATGGAGGCTCGGACAAGCCAGTGTAAAGCTGTCTCGTAAGCTACTACGGAACTCCTTAGCAGTCAATTTAAGACCTTTAAAGCAGGTTGTAAGAAGAAGATTAAGGCCAGCTAAAGAATAGGTAAGGCTCTCTAGCTGGTTTATATATAGCTATGTTTAGGCTATAATTAAGGCAGCTAATTATAATAATATTAACTTAACAAAGCTTTATCTCCTAAGAGGTAATTAATATTTAAATTGTATTAGACTTTAGAGATACTTAGATATATCTTTTAAGGCTAACTTATAAACTTAAATATATATATATATATAATAACATAAGAATAATTAATTATAAAGTTATAAAAAATTCCATACTGGTCTATTATATAGGTAAATCCTATAAAATATTAAGAAAGTTACCAAAGAACTTAAAAACTATAATATAAATGGTATATTATCTTATTCTTAAGAATTTAAGGGCATAGACTCGGTGGTTTTACTTTATTAATACTAACCTATCTATTAGTTTAGATTCGATACGATTTCCATACTCTAAACCAATAGTAGTCCTCATTACACCAAAAGGAGCTAGGGTTAAGTGCCACGAAGACCTCCCTGCGATATATTCATGTATTCTAGAGATACAGATTAGGCTTGATTTTGCTATGCTATCTGGCTATAGGGATGGGGAGATTGGCCGGGGGTTCTTGGCAGGGCTTGATTTGGGGTCTGGCTTGTCTGTTGGCGGTGAGTATCAGTCTTGGCTACGGCAATTTTGCCGGCAAGGCAAGCCAATGAGATCATTAATAGAGTACTGCAATATAATCTGATCATTAATCTGTACATATCAAGCATTCAACGAACTAGTCTTCGATAGACTTTGCGGTTCAGATTCAGGCTCTTTCAAAGCTGCTTCAATGGTATCGGGGTTTAAAAACTGCATATCTCGGAAGGCTATATGGTGGACTTCGTAGGTTGGTTTAACAAATACAAGTGCAGATTAAAATCAGAGCCAAGTCTGGGGAATTTCATTGCCTCTAATGCCTTATGTAGCTAAAACCTATACTAGATATTAGCTAGAGGCTATAGGGTTATAATATTTAGATACCAGCTTAACCCTATTAGTAATAGAATAGGGGATTTAGGGATTATCTATATTAATTAATCTACCTCTATCCAAGGTACTAGTCCAACTATTAGGCGTATTTAAGATCTGGCATTTATCTAGATCCAGCAAGACACTTAGTCTAGAAGCGTTTACTCTACTAAGAGCTATAGATAATAGATAGAGGCTTTGTAATATATAATAGCTAATGTCTCGGATATAAATTCTAATAACTATTAGTAAATGCTCTTATCGTATTACAGGCCAGTTTGTACACTGACTGATACTGACTCTGATTAGGGCATGACAAGAGACCTAATGATTAATGGTTGAGAGACTGATGTTGAATTATCAGCTTACTTAGATTAAAGAGAGCTAGGGTCAGGTACTTCGGGAACATTGGCAAAATTCTGCCTTTATTAATTAAAAAGTAATAAAGAAATTAGAGGCTGTAAAGCTAGAGTGTTCCTAAGGACGATACACCCTTATAATTCTTCATGTATCCCTATCAATTGCCTTATTATAAGCTAAAGAACTTGAGAAGAACTTAAAAAAGCCAAATGTGATAGTAGTTGTGATTATTACTGGTATAAGTAATATGGCTGAGCTTACTGCATCGCAAGGTCTCACAGTGAAAAGCAACAAGCGAGTCGTGATAACAATTAACATTTTGTTAGAGCTCAATCATTACAGAAGAGCCGAAATCCCCCCTCCCCCTATTAAAAAAACGACAAAAAAGATGGTTAGGGGGCGGGGAGTGAAAAAAGCCAGAGGCTGACAAGTTAATTTTAAGCAGGTGATCTAAAAAGGCATATCGTCATTATTTAATAATCCCATCATCTGCTGGCTCATATTGAACCAAGCTGGTAGCTGTGACGCCGGATCCGTCTCCATTATTCCTCTACAAGTATCAGCAGAGACATCCGCAGAGACTTCGTAAGAATTGTCATTGAGCGTTGCGTTTGCGCCGCCGGCCATGTCGCTCGTTCCCACGGGAGGTTGAAAGCCTAGGGCGTTGAGGCAGTTATAAAATTCCGTGCTAACCTCTGCGCAGCCATTCTGTTGCATTTTTGATGTCGATTTCAACTCATTGTAGCGCAAAGCTACTTCGTAAAATATTTGGAAGAGGCGATGGTGCTTCGAGACAATGCTGGAGACGGGGTGAGCGGGTTTAATTGAGTTAACAAATTTTTGCATCCGATCCAAGTCTTCCCAATCTCCAGTCTCAAGAACATGGCAGAACAAAACAATGAACGGGGCGAATGGCGTGAAGAGGATGATCCTGAGAAAATAAATACAAGGTTAGGTTGAAGGAGTGGAACTGACTGGTCATGTAGATCTGTCAACTTACCAACTCATGTATGATGATAAGAGGCTGGGCTGTGTCCCCAAAAGAAGTATTGAAGATGATTGATGGCACATAAGAGCTTTCCTGGCAGAATCAATGCACTCTTTAGTAAATGATACATGCGACCCTACAGGGGCGGGCAAGGTCCGGTGTATCAGCGTCTGCATCGAATGCCTTACGATTTCGTCCGATGCAGACATATATTCGATTAGTGCGCGTTGTTGCCCGTGTACAGCAGATTGATGCCATTCTCTCTACAAACGAGGTCAACTGTTATCCACGCATCTAAAAGCATGGATGACGATGGGAAAAGTTGAAAGAGGTGCTACTGGCAACTTACAATGGCATTTTGCGACTGCTCGTGAATTGCATCAAGTTCCTGAGACAACGTCATTACTCGAAAGGCACCATCTTTGTTCAGTGAAATAAGTGCTTGTGCACTGTACAGCTTCTCATAAATCTTTCCAGCTAGGGTGGCGAGCTTGACCATGTTCCTGCAGTAGTCCATAGCAGGGCTGCCACCTGGGAATGGAACAGTGATCTCAAAGTCGGGAATTGTAGAGCAGCGCCCCAAGCGAAGACATAATGTCTTTTCTAGAAAGTAGATTGCCCAGAACAGGAGACCGGAGTTACTTGAGGTATCACACCACGCAGACGACCCTGGTTTCCTAGTGTGGTAACCAAGAAAGTGCGCACCTTGATATGCCGCGAGGACAAGGGTCCAAGCCATAGATGGTTGTGACAGTTCAATAGCATAGATGGCCTACGTAGAGTGAGCTCGTATCTTAGACAGTTGACCCAACGGATACACATACGCCAGAAAGAAGAGCCAAGGTCATGTCGTGGCTAGGAATAATATGTAGGGATAGCCCCGAAAGAGCAGTCTCCAAGTTCTGCTGACAGGAGAGCTTGTATTCCTCCCTGTAATTCTCTGGTGCTTCAGGTTCCTCAGGAGTATCATCGCGGAAAAAGCCTGCACAAAGTGAGTCCTGGCGACCAAGGATCTGGAATGTAAGTTATCACTCACAATAGAGGGCGATGTTCAAAATGATGTATTCCGCGTCAGAAAAGTCCTCCGAAAAGTATACTTTCAGGCATATATCCGATAAAGACTTGGAACCCAGTAGTACACTGAGGAACAGCCATGTAATTAGACGTCGATCTGGGACAGGTAATCAGCATGGTCATTATTTACGTTGTAGAGTATAAGTGTGATGTCGATGTCAGCCAAGTAAGCAAAGGGGCGATGGATATCGCACGTAGCTGAACGTACCTTCAGCACTGCGGATCGCGGCTGCAGCAACTTTGATTGGCGGCATGGTAGCGGGCTTAGGTCGCAGAGGAGCAGAAGGCCGCGCAAAAGAAAAGAGACCTCCTGCATGTAGGGACTGCGCCTTGGTTACATGAACAATCTGACGGAGCGAATCCAACAGCTCTCGTGTTTCAAACTCATATCCCTTGCGTCGATCTGCACCAGCAACTCTATCCAGAAAGTCTATTGCCAGCGTTGAGTGGGCAGATAACGAGGATCCGCCTTCCAAGACCAATCCTCCCCCCTCGTTCTGTCCCGTAGGAAAGCTTACCTCAGTCGCGGGAGATGCCGTGACGTGCGGACTTGCTATGCAAACGGGTAGGTTGTTCTGGCTTGCCGGATTGGTTGACAATTGGTTATCGATCGATTGCGGCGAACAAACGGAGCGGCTCGCAGTATTTGGGCTCGAGGACGCGAGTTCATCGGTAATCTGGCGAGATCGATTGTTCCCGTCCGTAGCGAGTTGACTGATACAACGATCCATCTGCTCCAACCTTCTATCAATGAGGTCGATCTTCTCCCCGCTATAGCAACTGGTGTCAGATTCTAAGAAGGGAAAGGGATTGGAATTCTCAACGTACTACTCTGCACCTATAGTCTTTTGCACTCCATTCCGTTTCGGCCTAGGTGCTCGTGGTGAATGAGTGCACTGCAGCTTCAGTTTCTGGCAGCTGGAGCAGGGTATGTTCCTATCGCAACGTATCTTCAATATCCAGTCAGCCTCTCCAACTTGATGCGCCCAGGCAGGGGTTCTGCAGCTCAACCTTTTTCAGGCGGCAAAAATCACACTGCAGTAGTAATGGTTAGCGAAAGTGCACAGCTACCCGGAGATGTGTCTCTTTGACGCTTGGGGCGGATTCTTACAGCCTTCCTGCTTTGCGTAAGAGGAATACGGCCCGGGCCAGGCGACTCAGGACTCTCGATAGCACTCATCTCCATAAACTATAGCGTTGAAATTCAAGTGGCCCGTTACTCTAGTTCCCGAGGCGGAGAGATGGGGGAGGACAACGGAGATCCGTGGTGAGCACGGAATGGGAATACGGTCTCAGCCGAAGTTGCGGCACTCCAAGGTTATACGGAATGTGGTGGAGGAAATTCGCTCCCCGAAAGTCCCGAGAGTCCCGAAAGTCCGGACACCTAAAACATGCTCCCCATGACGGTATCTGCCGGAGTCCGCGGGTACCGCCCGCCGCTCACATAACTCTCCACGGCCATTGACTGACTAATTCTTTTCGTCCGGAAGTTCAGAACTCACTCGGGGTACCTATAGAAACCATTCATCGTAAACAAGAGTGGAGTTTTATAGCCATCGCCAAGATTGAGATCAGTGCCTGGTACATCAGCCTCTGACTTGTGACACAGCACTGTCAGCTGGAGAAGGGGCAATTATTGAAGAATCTTTCAACGGTATTCCGTACAGGTGATGGGAATGGAATAGGTGAACCAGCAGCAATTAGTTACTAGGAGAGACTAAATCATAGGTCAGGGGCTAAATGAAATAAGAAAAATCCTATTCATTAGGAAAATACTAAACTCCCAAAACGAAAGGTACTTAAATCAAATGACCTTAAACATGAGTGAAGACACCTACCGCTATAAGTGATCTAATTTCAGGGGAAGGAGGTCCAGTGGGCATGGGAGTTTGCACTGACCAAGATAGTGGAAGCACAGCAATGAGAAGTTGAACGAGAGATCGTTGCCTACAGTCGTGGCCGGACTCTCACTCTGTAGTTCGGACTCCGAAACCAAAACAGCCAAGATGCGACTGAGACTACTTCGGCGGACTTGCGGGTTGATAAGGCGCCGAAATACTGACGAGCTAAAGTACCACTAATTGCCAGTTATAGCTTTTAAAGAGCAGATGTTCTTCGAGTCTCATTTCACACCAACAACAATATTTGCGCGTTTGACTTAATCACTTCGATCCGGTTCTGGCTGACATATGGATTGGGCTCTGTGCCATTTTGTCTGAGCCTAGAAAGGCATGTCACCCTCAGAGAAAGGTGGCTTCGACAAGCCGGGGACTGAGTCTGAACTTGACCGTGCCGAGCAGAGTTCAACAACACTTCAGTCAAGAGACAAAGACGCCAAATCAGCGAGTGATCACCGCGACGCTGACATGGAGGAAGAGATTCATGAACTTGCGCGCCGCTTCACATCACAATCGCATCGCCCTCACGGCTTATTCCCGGTGCTAGCCGAGGGACCTCTCGACCCCCACAGCGAAGAGTTCAACGCCAGAAAGTGGGCAAAGGCCTTCTACAATGTTCGAGAAAACATCAGTGGAGACGCGCCTCCCCGTATGAGCGGCATCGCATTTCGAAACCTCAGCGTTCATGGATTCGGTACGCCGACAGACTTCCAGAAGACCGTTGGTAACGTCTGGCTAGATGCAATCAGCATGATCAACTGCCTTCGGGGGAAACAAGCATAGCGAATTGATATCCTTCGGGGCTTGGAGGGTCTTGTGGAGGCTGGAGAGATGCTTATGGTACCTGGCCCTCCCGGCTCAGGTTGCTCAACCCTGCTGAAAACCATTTCCGGCGACACGCATGGTCTTTACGTCGACAATGATTCTACGATGAACTATCGATGTATCACAGCCCAGCAAATGAGGTCTGTTTTTCGTGGCACACAGCCGAAGTCGATGCTCATTCTCCCCATATGACTGTTGGGGATACTTTATACTTCGCAGCACGGGCTCGATGTCCTCAAACCATCCCCGATAATATCTCCCGAAAAGAGTATGCCGAACATCTGCGGGATGTGACAATGGCGATGTTCGGGATCGCACATACAATGAAGACCCGAGTTGGAGACGACTTTATCCGTTGTGTAAGCGGAGGCGAACGCAAACGTGTTACTATTGCCGAAGCTGCACTGAGCTACTCTCCTTTATAATGCTGAGATAATAGTACACGAGGCCTCGATAGTGCCAACGCTCTTGAGTTCTGCCGCACTCTCCGTGTACAGGCTGATATTCTCGGAACCACTGCGTGCGTCGCGCTTTACCAAGCCTCGCAAGACGCGTATAATGTACGAGAAACTCCCCATTTTGTGCACTCACTCTGCCGCGCGTATTGTCTTGCTGGAGATCTCTAACGTGTTAACAGGTCTTTGACAAAGTTATTGTCCTGTACGAAGGTCGGCAGATTTCCTGACCTCTATGAGAAGCCACCAGGAACGAATCGTTCGTTCTGGGTTCGAAGGAAAAGCACCACGAACACCTGACGAGTTTGCTCAAGTCTGGAAGAACAGCCAAATTCGTGTTCAGCTCGACCAGAGCATCACCAGCTACATTGAGCAACATGCTTTCCACGACAAGCACTACTATGACTTCTTGGCTTCCCGACAGCAGGACCAGTCCAAGAACCAGCGCTCTCTTTCTCCATTCACACTGTCCTACTGGGGCCAGGTTAAGTTGACATTGTGGCGGAGTTGGCTGCTTTTTCTTGGCGATCCCAGCACCACTGTAACCATGTTCGCTATGAACTTGCTTCAGGCGTTGATCGTCAGCAGTATCTTCTATAGTTTACAGCCTGATTCTTCCACCATATCCCGGCGCGGTATCCTGATTTTCTTCCTGGTCCTCATGAACGCATTCAGCAGTATGTTGGAAATTATGACCCTCTACGCCAAAAGAAAAGTCGTTGAGAAACATGCTCGATACGCGCTGTACCATCCTAGCGCTGAAGCATTGGCGGCTATGGTTTGCGATTTGCCGTACCAGGTCGTCAACTGCATCCTCAATAATATCATCATCTACTTCATGACAAACCTTCGTCGAGAACCAGGACCCTTCTTCTTCTTCTTGCTAAACATATTCGTCATCACATTGACAATGTCTATGATGTTTCGGTTGATGGGTTCACTGACTAAGACAATCGCCCAGGCTCTCGCTCCCGCTTCGGCCATCCTACTTGTCATCATGCTGTACACGGGGTATGCTATCAAGGTCCAAAACATGCAGAATTGGCTGGCGTGGCTGCGATGGCTGAACCCAGTCCACTATGGTTTCGAGAGCCTGATGCTGAACGAGTTTGTTGGACGTACCTTTTCCTGCGCCATGTTTATTCCATCTGGCGTTTCATATGGTTCCATCTCCCCAAGGCAGCGCATTTGCGCGGTTGCTGGATCGCAACCCGGACAAGATTTTGTTGATGGCACGACATACCTCGATGTTTCATACGGCTACGCTAACTCACATCGCTGGCGGAACTTGGGGATCATGCATGCGTACATGGTGTTCTTTCTTGTCTGTCACTTGATCGCAACCGAATATGTTGCTTCTGAACGTTTCAAGGGTGAGGTTCTGGTCTTTACACGAAAAGCAATGGCCCAACGTAAGAAGGCCTTCCGCGCAGATGTTGAGGCCACGCCATCGCGTGCAGTGGTAGCTGCGCAGCAGGCCCAAAGTGGTCCCGCCAACATCAAGTCTCAGACATCTATTTTCCATTGGCCCAATGTTTGCTACGATGTCAAGATTGGGAACGAGACGCGCCCCATTCTTGATCAAGTGGATGGATGGGTAAAGCCAGGCACCCTCACTGCTCTGATGGTATGTCATCTTGGTACAGTTTGAGTTATCGAGCTAACATTTTCAAGGGAGTATCTGGCGCAGGCAAAACAACGCTCTTTGATGCCCTTGCAAGCCGAATTACAATGGGTGTTGTTACTGGGCTCATGCTCGTGGACGGCAGTCCTCGAGATCAGTCATTCCAGCGGAAAACGGGCTACGTCACGCAACAAGACCTTCACCTGCACACTTCAACTGTTAGGGAAGCTCTCGTATTCAGCGCTCTGCTTCGCCAGCCTGCTAAGTACAGTAATGCCGAAAGGGTCGCCTACGTTGATGTTGTAATCGACCTTCTCGAAATGCATGAATATTCCAACGCCATTATTGGTACTCCGGGTGAAGGGCTCAACGTTGAACAACGGAAGAGATTGACTATTGGTGTCAAGCTTGCTTCGCGGCCTGAACTGCTTGTCTTTCTCGATGAACCAACGTCCGGTCTGGATAGTCAAACCTCGTGGTCAATCTGCAATCTTATGGAGAAACTCACAAAGGCCGGACAAGCCATTCTCTGCACGATCCATCAACCGCCTGCTATCCTCTTTCAGAGATTTGACCGTCTTCTCTTGTTGGCAAAAGGCGGCAAGACTGTCTACTTCGGCGATATTGGTAAAAGTTCATACATCCTAACTGATTACTTCGTTCGAAACGGAGGTCCTCCGTTACCTTTGGACGCCAATCCTGCCGAATACATGCTGAACGTAATTGGTGCTGCACCTGGGGTGCGTACATACATCGATTGGCCAGCTGTTTGGCGCGCCTCGCCCGAATATCAAAGCGTCCAGCGCGAACTCAGTCGTCTTTCCTCGAGCCCAGTCCAGCCGACCAAGGAACTTGCCAATTCCTCTACCGACTACACAGAGTTTGCTGCGAGCTACAGCTTGCAGTTCAAAGAGGTCGTTAGACGTGCTTTCCAGCAGTACTGGCGTAGCCCTTCCTACATCTATTCTAAGGCCTTCTTATCAATTGGCGCAGTAAGTTTGAGCTTGCATTACTTTTTTGGACTATACAGAAACTGATCAGCCAGGCCATCTTCATCGGCTTATCGTTCCTCAACGCGAATAATACCCAGAGTAGACTTCAGAACCTAATGTTTGGTGTCTTCATTTTCTTGACTGTCTTCAGCCAGCTTGTTGATCAGATCATGCCTGTCTTTGTATCCCAGCGGATGATGTACGAGGCCCGTGAACGTCCAGCGAAGGCATACTCATGGACGGCATTTCTTGTGGCCAACATTGTGGTAGAGCTTTCCTACAACACCATAAGTCCCAGTGGCACCTCGTCTATCTTTCAGCAGAGCTAACGCATGGAAGGCGATGAGTGTATTCAGCTTCCTCCTGTGGTACTTTCCCATGGGTCTCTACCGCAACGCTCGTGAAACTGGTACACAACACTCGCGTAGCACAACCATATTTCTATTTACTTGGGCTTTCTTCATTTTCACCACCAGCTTCGCTTTCCTTGCCATTGCAGGGCTAGACAGCGCTGAGGTGGCTGGAGGTATTGTTGGTCTCCTGACCATCATGATGTTCACCTTCTGCGGCGTTGTAGCTACTCCAGACAAAATGCCTGGCTTCTGGATTTTTATGTACCGCTGCAACCCCTTCACCTACTTTGTGGAGGGCTTCCTCGGCACTGCGCTAGCTAACGCCAAAGCAACTTGCGCTGCGAACGAATACTTGCAGTTCGAACCCCCCAACGGTTCGACGTGCGGTGATTACATGATGCAGTACATCAAAGATCGTGGTGGTTTCGTGCGGGATCGCGATGATACCTCTCTGTGTGAGTTTTGTCAGCTAGACCAGACGAAAAACTTCCTAAATGGTGTCAACATTAACTTTGATAACCGTTGGAGGGATTTTGGACTCATGTGGGTGTTCGTCATCTTCAATCTTGGCGCCGCAGTCTTCCTCTACTGGCTCGCGCATGTGCCGAAGGTGAAGAAGTCCACTAGCAGTTAGACCTTTTTCTATTAAATCATGATCCAGTCAGAAGCAACGGATAATTCCACCGCCCAAGAACTACATGCGCTAGGGTACAGAGCATGTCCGCTCACACCCTAGACTATACTACCCCAGGGCTATGCAACACTCTTTTTCGATTTTTTTGTATTGTTCTGAAATCCTCATACATCTTTTCTTTTCTTTTTGTTCTTTTGCTTTAGCTAATTGTTCGCTTCTCCCGCTATATCTAATATAATTGTCTCTTTATCCGCTTTTGAAATACGAAGAAATGGTTCCAAGTTGCATTGAAAGTAATTTGCAGCATCATTGTCAGTATTGACTTTTTAACTACATTTGATGTTAAGACCATTATCAGACTCCTGGAATGTGCAACGGGCTGGACAGCGTGCGGATACACCACTGTCTCGATACTTCCGTGACGATTTCCACGGCCTAATATCGCGAAAGCTGTACAATGTATTCTAGGTCGTTGGAGCTTGCCTACACCGAGAGAAGTATGTGACTTGCAACTATGACCACGGCGAGAAGCTGAGTGACCAGGAAGCGGTGGCCTTGACTGCTGCCGTACGGCAGTCTCCCTGCCACTTGGCCTTGGACAGTGCTAGTCGGCCTTCCTACACGGTTACCAGGGCCGTGGGGGAGATACACCATGTTGATATCAAAATTTCGAAGATCACCTGCCAGGAGGGCAGGACAGCCTCGGCGACTATTTCGTTGGTACTAATTTAGTATGAAATTTGGGAATATTAGAGCTGACATGATATTGAATGACTTCGATTCAAGGCCCTCCACTAGTTGCACATAACTCGGTCGGCAAGACGGCTATTCAAGTCCCTGCATACAACCCAAGTCCAGACTCTGTGAGCCTCCGCGGCATAGTGGACGTTCTATCAATAGCCGCAACTAGCCGATGCGTAATGTATCTCCATCGAACCTAAGTTCAAAAGAGTTCATTCTACTTAGATGGTATGGGGTCTATTATTAGAAACTGGTCGATCATCGTCACTCTAAATAGCTTTTCTAGGCATTCTTGGGTAGTTCATTAAACGCAACTGCCTCCGGCAGGTCTGCCTCTGCGATAATCTATTATTTATAAACAAAAGTGCATTAAGACAAGAAAGGAATGCAAAAGAATGTAAGACCTCTAACTAGCGCAGTCAATGCCCGAGATTCTGCGCCTCACACATCTTCTTATACATGTCGCTCCTAGCCAGCAGCTCATCGTGTGTTCCTGTCACCAGGATCTTGCCATTATAAAAGACACAAATCATGTCGGCGTGGCGGACGGTCGACAATCGATGGGCGACAGCAATCGTAATTCTGTCACCCGTCTTGGCAGCTTCATTGAGGGCATCCTGGACTACTCGCTCTGACTGCGTGTCCAAAGCGCTAGTAGCCTCGTCGAGAAGAAGCAGGCGTGGGTTTCGGATAAGCGCTCTCGCAATCGCGATACGCTGGCGTTGACCGCCCGAAAGTTGAAGACCGTTGGCTCCGCAGGGAGTGTTGAGGCCCTCCGGTAGGGAGCAGATGAAATCCCAGGCGTTGGCGGAGCGACAGGCCTGGACGATGTCGTCTTCAGATACTGATGAAGTGTCTTCGTTGGGGACACCCATGGCGATGTTCTCGCGAATAGTACCAGGATAGAGTTTGGGCTCTTGTTGGACGAGGGCGACTTCCTTGCGGAATGCCCAAGGGTTCATCTCATCCAGGTTCTTGCCATCCAGAACAAGGTGGCCACGGACTGGGTCGTAGAAACGCTCCAGCATGGCGATCATGGTACTCTTTCCACAGCCCGAGGCACCGACAAAAGCAACAAATTGGCCTTTCTTAATCTTGAGATTGATGCCACGCAAAACTTGAGTGTCAGGCCTCAAGGGATAAGAAAATTGTACCTTGTCGACATCGAGGGACTGGAATCCTTCAGGGCCGTTGGCGCGATTCTCGTCCGTCTCCCGGATGGAAGGGTTAAGCTGTTCGAGCCAGAAGAGGTAGTTGGCAGCGTTGGTTGCTTTCGTCATGCTGCTGGCAAAACCAAAGAGAATAGACGCCTGCTGGCCGGAGAAGAACACTCCGAGGAACGCAACAAAGAAGTTGACCATGGTGAGGTCCCCAGTGGAGACCAGGCGGCATCCATACCAGAAGCCCAACGCCTGGAATGCGTACTCGACGCTCTGGGTGAATGCAAAGGGCAGCATGATTAGAAAAATTGGCTTCACTGAGTCGGAGATGGCGTGCTGGAGCTCCTTGTCGTAGTTATCAAGAACCGAGTTCTCGATAGCCAGGGAAGAAACTGTCCGAATAGCGCTTATAGCCTCTGATGCAATAGATGCACTCTGTGAGAATCGCTTGGAGATTTTGATATCCATCTGGGCTTCCATTTTCAGACGAGCGTAGCCCGAGAGCAGCATGGGTGGAAGGCCAGCGAAGATAATAACGACACCCAATCTCCATCCGTAAGCCAAGGCCACAATAGAGCATGACAACAAACTGAGAACTGAAACCAGGATAAGGGCAACGTTGAAACCCATGAGCTCAAAAACAGCTTGAGGGTAGGAATCTACCCGGCTCGACAAGGCGCCTGTGGTGTTCTCAGGACGGTCAAAGAAACGAAGGTCTTGTCGAAGCATATCGTTGATGATTGCCTTTCGGTACTTGTGGTTCAATGTCTAGCAGGTAATCAGAAATCTTTTCCAATTAGAAGTATCCAAGGCTGTTTCTTACCTGAGCAACGACGTTGGATGTCCATCCAAGAACAAAATAAACAACGAGACAGCCACAAGCCATGGCGAGGAACATCAGAGCGAAAAAGCTTCCCTTCTTCTGCATCGCATGGCCAGTGAGCTTGAAAACGTCAATGAACCGCGACATCAAAATAGCTTGACCAGGGTAGGCAGCGGCTTCCAGTGTGTTAGCGTAAACCCAGAGAGCTTCGAGTGATTTGTCTTACCTGCGGCCATACAGGACAACACCAGCAACAGATACGTGTACTTCAGCTCAGGAGTCGATCTTAAAATTTTCCACACAGTATGGATAAGTCCAACCCGCTTAAATTTATCATAGTCATCACGGTCCAGGTCAGACTCTAGACGTCCTTTGGTCGTGGTCGAGTACCGTGTCAGCGACCTGGTGAGCGCAGCTGGTTCGTCAAGGGCCTCATCCTCGTCTCCTTCGGTCGAGGAGTCATTATCGAAAGCTGGCTTTGCAGCTGCTGACAGATCCTGAGCTTTAACCAAGCGAGAATAGGCACCACCGGCCTCAATAAGAGAATGGTGTGTACCCTGCTCAACAATACGGCCCTTGTCCATGACCACAATGTTATCAGCGTTGCGGATCGTAGCCAGCTTATGCGCAATAGTGACAGTAGTGCGACCCTTGGAAACATTATCGAGAGCTTTCTGAACAATCTCCTCAGCCTGGGGATCCAAAGCGCTAGTGGCCTCATCGAGAAGTAGAATACGCGGCTGCGAAACAACACTTCGAGCAATAGCCACTCGCTGCTTCTGACCTCCAGAGAGCAAGCCGCCTCTTTCACCAATGATCGTATCGTAGCCAGCCGGAAGGGCGCTAATGAAGTCGTGAGCGAAAGCAATCTTGGCAGCTTCTTGAATCCTCGCCAACTTCTCCTCCCGTGAGTCGTTCTCCCACGCTGTACCGATGAGACCGTTTGCAATATTGTCGTAGACCGTGCCCGAAAACAAGACTGGTTCCTGTTGAACAAGACGAACGTGCTTCCTGAGCCATTGGACATTCATCTTATCGATTGGTCGGCCGTCTAGCATCACAGAGCCCGAGTTTGGATTATACCATCGTTCAATAAGGCCGATAATTGTGCTCTTGCCGGACCCACTGGCTCCAACGAGAGCTGTCACCTGGCCAGCAGGAATATGGAGGGAGAAGTTTTCCAGTACCGTGACTCCGGGGCGCATGGGATAGCTGAAGCTAAGGTTGTCGCAGTCAATATTGCCCTCGATCTCAGTAGGTTGCTCTCCATCGTCAGAAAATGGGTCAATGGCCGATGTGCGGTCAATCAGTCGGAAAATCTCGGCCGCGGCGGAAGCAGCTCGACTGAAGTCAATCAAGTAGGGAGCGATGGACGTCAAACTTGCAGACGCGATGATAACCGACATGAGGACGATAAATACATCGCCAGGCTTGTCTACCTCGCCGGTAGCGATCATCTTGATAGATTGCCAGAAGCACAGGCCAATACCGGCGAAGATGATGAAGTACTCAACGGAAAACATGCAGCCGAGGAGCGCATTCTTCTTATTGCCAAGCCTATGGGCCTCATCCAAATACTTATCGAATTCTCGGACAAGTCGTGATCGAAGAGCAAAGGCCTGGACATTTCGAGCGCTCGAGAGGATACTCTCTGCGAAGGAGCCGCCCTGTGCGTGGACCTTGAGGATTTTGGTTTCGATCGCGGCTTCCAAGGCAGAGCTGGCACCCATAGTAATAAGAGTGGCTGGAGCAATGCAACAGCAGATTAAAGTCAGCTTCCACTGAGTGACAAAGGCCAAGATGAAGGCGGCAACAAAGCAAGACAATCCTTGGACCACGAGGCCCAGCTTTTCTGAAATGCCAGCCTGAATGAGTTTGCCGTTAGAAGTTGCCTGCATGGCAATCGACCCGCCGATTCCAGAGTCGAAGTAGGCAATTTCCTGGCTAAGGCCGGCTCTGACATAGACGCAGCGAATGTTTCGAGTGATACGATAGGCGGCGAGTGTAAAGAGAACACTGTATCCGTAGCTAGCGACAAATCGAGCGATTCCGATTACGAAGAAGTACAGCCTGTTTCAATGTCAGCCTAGTGTTAAAACCTTGTCGATGTTACTCGTGGCACAACGTACGCGAGTCTGGCTGCATCACTGCGAAATCCTGCAGGGGATGATTTTCCCGTGGTATAGTCGGTGATGATGGTGATGAACTGGCCAAACACCAGATTGACCATGGCCATGGCAACTCCAGAGCCCACAGCGCAGAATGTAGCCACAGCCTGCATGGAATATTCAGTCGAGGTGGCATATCGGAAGATTCTCTGCAGAATGAAAATGCGTCAGCAGTCAGGTCCCGGTTATCAAAGTAGAGAGGGCTTGGTTGAGCCCTCCCGTTCCACCTACAGTATATCCTTCGCCTGCGCCGATGTCTTCGTCGCCATTTTGGTCGGGTCCTGGGACCTGTGGCTTCTCGGAGACGCCCATGGTGCCTATGGCTCAGGGTTTGGATCCAGTCAGGGTCTGAAATAATCAAGCTTTGAAGAACTGGAGGAAAGGAAACGCTGATGATCACTGGATGGCTTCAACTAGTAAGGAGGGACGTGGGTGTGCTGCGTATAAGGTGAGGCAGATGAGAAACAAAAACACTGAGGGGAGCGAAACCTCATCCTTTCTTGTAGATTTGTTTGTTAGTATGCAAACCAACTCCTTGGTGGATAACAAGTAAGTAGAATTTGAGATCCAGTCTTGTCTCTTGAGCCTTCCGCACTCTCGGGTCTACCGATCTCCGATCTTCCGTCGAGGGACGCAGATGACAGACGCCGGGTAAGGCCCACCAGAAGCGGCGACCCACTACCTTATTTCCCGGAGCGAAAAAGGACCTAAAAAGTTCCGTACTGCCTACAGTGGGAGACAAAATGTAGGCGATCTCCTGCTAGCTCGGAGTCCTTGAATAGCCTAGTTAAGTTCTTAAATAAGAGTATAAAACATCAGCCTTACACAAACTTCATCAGGCTAGCCAATCATACTTCCTGCAGCATAGTTGTAGGTTAGCGAATTAGGCTAGTCACGGGATTCAAGCAAACAGGGAGTCGAATACATTTTGCCCCCCTCCACTGCAGATTACCTTGGTCAAATATCAACAAGGATATCATTCTCCGAAACATGCAACTAAATAACACAAGGCTGACGGGAGTTACGGCCTCCGCATTTTCCGGCTCTCACCCTGCATGACATACAATAGATACTAGTACACTGGATATTTGGATGAACCAATAGCGGCTCGGGTACGAATAACCGAAGCATCTGATCGTCTGATTGGCGAGGCGTAATCTTAGTCTGGGAGAGAAAGATGGGGATGCTAAGGGCTTCCGCATTCTAGGCTTTATACGCTAACACGGATTGTGCGAACACTAAATCCCGTGGCGTCCGCGGAATCCGACATTCGCCTTTCAGATATGACGTTCTCTTCTTTTTCAAGGTGAAACTTAGGCTTCGGTGGCTGCTGCAACGATCAATCGAACTCCTCGTCGTGAAAAGCACCGTCCGTTATTTTGCGTTTATCCACGGAGTACAGATATCAACATACCAGCTCGACTTGCCATGTAGGCGGATATTTGGCCGGAAAGGCTAGCGAGGCCTCCGGGAGGGGAAGGGCAACAGAAGGTCTGATGTCTTACAAGTGGCGCACTAGAAGACGGTTGCAATTTTTATCTCTTCCCTTGCCAGATGCAGACATGCGCGGAATCTGAGACTGCGGACTCCGTAATCTATGTACTACGTAGTAGTTGATTTAACATCACGGTGCATATATGCGTGAAAATCGATACCACCCCCCAGAATCTCTTACTGGCGACTTGTTGTGGATGTCTCCGTCATTCCATTCGGTTCTTAACCCTGTCAGAGTATTGTGGGTGGAAATGCCAAGCCATCAACCTCAGCCTTAGGGGAAAGGGGCTGGCGATCATCTTAGGTCAGGTAACCTTGGTTCAGATCTCTCTAGCGCAATTGCAGCATTTCACTTCATCACCCTAGCTTCTGCTCCCAGAATCCATTTGGACCTGAAAACTTGCAGTTATCCGTAACAGTCGTACTCTTCTATTGACCTAAAAACGAAAAGTCTAATGAAGCCTGGCCCTCAAGCATGTTTATCATGTGTTGATTCACTTCGAACCATTCTCCCAGCTCCGTCGTATGGCCCATCCACGCAGTCAGAAGCATTCCTCCTTGACCGTCTACTCCCGGCATATTGTTAAAATCACCATCGAGGGCCTGTCGAATATTGACATCCTGGTTTGTGACCGACGAAAACTCGGTGCTTTGTTGCTGGCAGTTCTCCTGGTTCATTTGGGGGAACCCTAATGCAGTAAGATAGGCATTCAAACTGGCGTGTTCATCTGCTGGGGCCTGTTCTCGGCTCAATGTCGAGGACCGGTAAACGGTATAACGCTGCGCAATCTTAGAAAGGACCCCAAAGGGTCTGCGCATTCTGGACGCGGAATCTGAGAGTGTTGGAGCAACGGCCTCTATTGACGCTACAAAGCCGTCAAGACGGTTAAGATCCTCTTCTTCACGTTGGGTTGATTCTATAACATGGCAAAACAACACGATGAAGGGAGTGAAAGGGGCAAACAAGAGGGTCCTGGCCAAGTTTTGTGCGAGCTGTGTATAACTTGATATGCGGTGTGGTGATATGTAAGGAGTTGCCTCTACTCACCAATGTATATATGTGGTGAAATAGGTGGAGGTAATATCCTTGAAGGTGGTTACGAAATCCTGGTGTCGTTGGAGCGTAGCTCTCGCTGCCTCAAGGCAGTCTGGGATGAAGGCGGACGGGGGATCCTGGGGGAGTTGGGCTTGCGCGATACACTAGGATGAGGAGCGATAGGCGTAAGACATCATCTGAGAGAGTCATGTACTCAATCAGGCGGTGAACAAGTGTGTCCCTGGCTTTCTGGAAGTAATTATCATTGAACATGTTAGCAGTTGGACCTAAAAACCAAACGCCCAACTGCGCCTGGCCACAATCACAAGCAAGCTTCACCCTCATGTGGCAGGCTTCCCGCGCTAGTTTATACAGGTCATTTGAGATCGTCTGGACTCGAGATTTCCGTACATGATCGGGTTGCGTGATAGAGTCTGGGCTGTACAGACTCTCGTAGATCTTGCCCTGACATCGCGCCGTGTTGATCCACATAGTTATGCTAACATCAATTAGGGAGCAGGTGCCAGGTTCTGAAATCATCGGGGTGGTAACGTCCCAGTCTTGAATCGTCGAGGCCCGCCCTAAGCGTAGCGACAGGCTCTTATCGATGAAGTACGTGAACCAGAAGAGGAGTTGCGCATGCCTCTTCTCTTCGGCGACAACACCTTCCTTTATAGAAGGAATCCGATGGTAGCCGAGAGTCTGGGATAACTCAGATGCCTTTGACGACAAAGTCCAGCAAAGTGATGGCTTTGAGATTTCGATGGTATGGAAAGCCTGTGTGTTTCTTGTGAGATAAAGTGGGTTATATTGGAGTGAAAGGGTAAATTACTCACGCCTAGTAGGAGGGCTGAGATCATGTCCAAAGTTGCAGGTAGATGTAGAGGCAAGTTAACCAGTGCTGTCTCAAGGTTAGTGCGGCATGTATGGGCATAGTTGAGGCTTTCAGTCTTGTCGGGCATTTCTTCAGATTTCTCAATAAATAGTTGTAAAAGGCCAGAGTTGGCAATGATAAAGTCGGCCTCGGAGAAATCTTCAGAAAAGTAGACCCGAAGGCAAATACTGGAAAGGTTTCCCACGGAAAAAGGTCATGAAGCCATACTGATGATTCGAATAAGTTGGCTAAGATTAGGATTCTGAGTCAATCAAGGGTGAGAACCTAAGGTAGAAGTGATCCGTGAGACCTGGAATAAATTGCTTACCTTTGGTACTGTGCAGTAGAGCTACTGCTTTCTCGATTGGTGGCATTTCACGTCCACGAAAAGAAGGACGCAGTGATGGTTCTGCGAGAGGATAAGACATCTCGGTTTTTGAGGTCTGCTGTCTGAATGCGCCAAGAATGCAGTGCAGTGAGTCTAGTGTCTCATTTATATCGAGATCTAGACCCTGCAAACGCCCATTGTGAACCGCCTGTTGAGGCAAGCTTCTGGGAAAAGCGGAATGGGAGGCAACAGACAACCTTTCAACAATGAATGGGGTTTCTACAGTCGTCGGCTTGGATGTTCCGTCGATTGAAGTTGACGACGATGCCATGATTGCAGGGTTTGCAGTGTCAACCCTAAGGGGGGCAGGGGGCATTGACGTAGTAGAGCAAGCTCCAGGAGAGGGCGATAGAGTCTGAAGATCATGTAGTAGTTGGGTTATGGTTTCGAGGTGGTGATCTTTAAGGTCGATCTTCTGCTCGCTGGAAGACACGTGGTTCAACATTAGCGAGGTCGATGGATGAGACGGCGGCTTCAGTAATGCCATTTTGAACGAAGCAACGCAAGCTTAAAGAGTTTGGAGGAACGAACTATTTGTTGGACACTGACGCCCGGTTCCGTTTCTCTCTTCTGCTTCTCACACTCTTGATACAGGGTATCTTTGCTTGTAAGCAGTGAGAGCAGGGACAGTTTCTATCGCAGCGGATCTGAAGTTCATATTAGATATTGCTCAAACACTGCAAAGTGGCTTGTTGGAATCCATGAATGACACCACAAGACTTGGGGAGCAGGTTATCCAATGGTGTATCTTAATTCAGCTTACCTTGCGAAAACGACAAGCTTCACACTGGGGAGTTGTCAGTGGAGTGGGCCAAATTTGAAGTGAGATATAGCCTACCGCCCTGCGAAGAGGAAGAGCAGTGGAGGATGCATCTTGCGTAGGCCCTGCGGAGAGCTCTCTTTCGGCGACGGCATCTAATTAAGAATTATCGGCCATGCTACTGACCAGTGGGCTCAGGGCGTGGTGTAAGTAGGGCGTACTCCTCTGAGGGTTAAATGCAGTAAGCCAGTTGCGATGAAAGTTGCGAGGCTACAGGACATGACAGTAGTTAAACAGTAGATAACTCATGATTCATTAAGAGACAAGGCGTCTTGAAGTCTGACGTAGCTGATGGAAAGTTGAGTTGGCGAAATGTCTGGTGGAGAACCGGAGCACCCGTAGCTCCGGATTTTGGACCCCGGACCCATACCCACACTTTGTCACTGTACGCTAGCTTCCTTAATGTGGATCACTAGTCGGTAAAGCACCCCTGACACTAAGCCTTTTTGAAAAAAGCTCAAATTCATCACATTGACATACAGGGTAGGTAGAGCAATTTGTAGGTTAGGTTGGGGTTTTCGGGTAGAAGAAGAGAAGGCGACGGATCTCAGTTACCCTTGGGGTTCCATTCTCATCAACGCCTGCGACAAGTATGTCTACCAGGAAGGTGCTGTCTCGGTCTTTTGCTTTTGTCTGCCTTGACAATTTAATTTATTATACGCAAGACAAAAGAGACAACCTATTGTACATGGTACATGTATTATTGACGTGGTCTTCGTTCCACGCATCCTTTAGACTCTCGGTGGAAGATAGAGAGATGAATCATTTCAGGTTTTTTCTTTTTAGTAAATATTAGCTCGCCAGGCGAACCATGATATCATCAAAAATCAGCAGGACGTATAGCGACGCACACAATTCTATTCTAGATGTGCGCCGGTGGCGAATGGTGGCCCTGAGTAGTGTCTGTAGCCCCACGCCCAATACCAGCCGCCCGAGATAAGACAGGTGGCAGCAAAGAGGACAGCAGCATAGTTAACACTGGTCACCGTGACTGGCAGAGTAAGAGGCATGCAGAAGAGCGGGATTGCGAGTATGGACCAGGCTGCAGGCATATCAGTATGGAAGGAGGGGCTTGAGAGAAAACAAACACATACCGACAGCCACAGAATTAGCGACATATCCGAATTTGCCAAGCGGGAATTTAGCTCCCTTGACTTGCTGCCTCTTGGTGAGAAGGTTGATTGCGACCGGTGTTGCGTAAGAAGCGTTAAGAGTTAGCACACCGACACCCGAGAAGGCATTGAATGCCGCTGACGACCCAAAGTAGATCAAGCCAAGCAGCAAATGCAAAACCATACTAAGAATCATGGCGTTGAGAGGAACGTCTAGCCGCTCGTTGACCCTCGCCCAAATCTGGGCTCCTGGCATAGCTCCATCACGGCTAAACGCCCAGATGCAGCGAGATGAAGCAGTGATGCAGCCGATGCCGCAGATAATACCCAGAACAACTAGCGGCAATAACAGCCCAAACGCACCACCGGAGGATCCAACGGCGGCCTTGATGGTCGGAGGGATAGGCTGAGCCGAGGGAAGACTGGCAAGGTATTTCAGGTCGGGGAGGACAAAACAGATGGGGATGCAGAAGAGCAGGCCGGCGAGTGTATTGATGAAGACAGTAGCGACCATTGCTTTGGGGACTTGGGTGTCGGGTTTTTTGACTTCTTCGCACATGCTATAAATGGTCAGTCTTCCAGAGCTCTAGAGGTCGGAATCAAGGTGATTGGAACACAGACGAAATGATCATGCCAGTTGAAGACGTAGCGTATGCAGCGTGAAGTAGTCCAACGCAGAATGCCCATCCATCGGGCCAACCAGAATTATTCTCAAAATGGGTAAAGACCCATTTGGCGTCGCGACGGCCTTCCTTTGCGAGAACGAGAATGGAGATCATGAGCGCAATGACACCAGCAAAGGTCCAGAAAATGGCGGCCGTCTAAAGAGTCAGTCGAAGATAGGCGATAGAGGGGTGAGACGGCTCTTACATCCAGCCATGGCAGCCACTTATTGCCCAGAGCTGAGACAGCATTGCTAAACACGGTGACACCAACGAATATTAAATATACCTGGTATGGTTCGCCAGCGAGGACTCCTACACCGGGTGCGGCTTCAAAAAGGTTGATAACGGCGACAATGAATAATGTAGTGCCGAAAGTCACAGATAGAGTGATACTGATGTTACCAACAACGAACAGCCAGCCACAGATCCAACTAGCCTCGCGGCGCCAATGGGCGGGCGCTAGCATAAAGGTTTGATAGTATACACCTGGAGACGAGGAAACGGTCAGTCCTTGGTCAAACATGGACAGTACTTCATCTGCAGGATACTCGGCCGCTAGGCAACGGAGCAGCAGTAAGAATGTTGTGGGCAAGGCAGTGGGAAGTAGTACCTCCCGCGATGGGGTATACGCTCGTAATTTCCCCAAGAGACGCAGCGACGCAGATGATCATGGCCGAGACGGCTACCCAGCCCCAGATAATGTTCACCGGACCTCCAGTAGTGACAGGTGGGTTGAAGGTTGTTGCAAGTCCGTAAGGGATCGAGGCAAGGACAAAGGCCATGAAGGCAACCTGGAGGGTTGATCGGTTACGCTGTAGCTGGGGCGTATAGCCTAGGCTCTCGAGGATCTGGTCACCATCGTTGTGCGTTTTAGATGAATGCGGCGCCGCCTCGGTGGCCTCGTCTACAAATGCCTGCTGGTTGGGTTCTGAAGCGTCCATGATCAAAGACGTGAATTGGAAGATCTGAAGAAGCACGTTGAGTAGGTGTAGCGAGGGATTGCACGCGAAAAGTCGACGTGGAAATCTCTAGTCACCTCTGCTTCTATGTTCTTTTATTTGCTTGGGCGCCAATGTCAAAACGCGACACCGATAAGTGCTCAAGCAACTTATCAAGGTTAGCCACTCCAATGTCTAGAATGCCGAGTGCGAGAAACCGCAAAAATGAGACAGATGCAGACGACCTTGAAGCAGAGACAAGGAAACTAGCAGGCGAGTCGTATGTTTTCCCTCTTGCTAACGTATCAGGCGGGGACGGGATGGAGAGAGAAAAAAAAAGAGCGGAATGCTAAGATGTAAAAAAGAAAAATAAGGGAGAGGAGAGAAAATTCTATCTGATGGTGAGAGACAACCGACCCACGAGAGCACTAGACACTGGTAACAGTCGTGTAAGAAAAAGGGTCGCAGCGTCACCAGATTCAGTTCTAGAGCAATAGCACGTGTATTTCATTCACGAGTTCGCTGGATGACGATACCATCCGTTGTTATACTGCGTGAACTAGGTAGGAATAGGTAGGTAGCTTGCTTTGTTGCTGCTCTTTTTCACCGAACCAGGGCATACGGCACACAGACTAGTGGTTTTCTCAACATTCGTTTGTGTGAGGTATTTATTATGAGAGAACCTAGCTTATGACATAAATCGCTGTCTAGCCAAGTCAGTTTGGTGTTCCCCATTGACTTGGGGGACCGAACAGGTTGCAAATCTTACGCATAAACTAGCCTGATATTCTTTTGCTACCATGATGGGAATCAAGGTACTGTGGGATTGCTACTGAAGCTTAGTGCCAATCTGATTCTCGCCCCCTAGCTTAGGAGCTACTTAACTTATTTCCATGTTGTGGTGCCATACTAAGGTCTAGGCTCTCTTTTATTTGGCGCCCTACTTTCTCTGCCGATTTTCGCATTCTAAGCCTGTGGGGTAGATGCTATCTGTCGGGTCCCGTAAACACCGTCTCCCGGTTTCAGGAGTCCGCGCACCCCATCTTTACATCCTAGTGGCATAGAAATCATTTTTCATAAAAGGCTTTTTTGACGTCGAAGGCCGTGTATTGAATAAACCCGTGCTCTAAGCTCGTTCTAATCTAACAAGCAGGGTGTACACAAGGCATTCCTTGGTCAATCATTAGGGAGGAACTTAGGGAGCTCTAGATTGGCCGCCTGGCATAGCTGAAGAAATAGCAGAGATACACAGGGAGGTCAGTCCCCTAGCGTTGTGGAGATAACAGCCGTTGCAGCGGTCATACCTCTGTCAGTCGTGTCCACTTGTGCCAATAGGCCACCTAACAGTTGCTTCTTGTGCCCGCTTCCACCGGTGCTTACTAGGGCTTGGGAACTTGGTCGGAGCTTGTTATTTTGGCTGGGTTACGTCGGATCGTGACAACTGCAAATGAGAACAGGGCGTCTCCGGGGCTCCTGTTTAGGTCACCCATGCGAATATCTCCATCCTGATCTGTACACGATAGAGACGGTGCGCTCAACTTGTTCAAAGGAGACGCAGGGGGTCATCGGTGGAGCGAGCAGGCCGCCAATTGTCGTCTAGATGCCGGAGTTTCGGGGCATCACGGCGCCCCAGCATTGCCCGGACATATCACACTGCGATTTCCCGATAAGTGATCAACAGCCGAAGCCCTCGTAGTCATGTATAGCTGCGCAGGTTTCTCATAGCTCAATGCCGTCGTATAGCTCAGCGCCTCTCAAATGTGATCAGCGTTGTGTTTCGCCATAGCAACTGGTGTCTTCACATCAGAGACTGCCATTTATAAATACCCATTCAACGGTTCACCTCTCCTATTTGCTTGACACGCCTTGATGCAACAAATGTCCATACTAGAACATCCATTCATACCACACACCGGCTGAGTCGCGTCGTTCGAGCCACGGACAACACCGAAAATCACACAGCCACTTCATCATGGATGCAGCAATCCACCCTCGCCTGGCTGGGAGGTTGTGATGTCGTCTATCTCGTCTTTTGCCTTGGCGTCTCTGCATACACTATCTCGCATGTGTTAGCTAAATCGGCCGACAAGTGGCCAGTCCTTAATCCAACTGGATTTGAGGTCATCGGGATCAAGGGAAGAGTGGAGTTTGCGAAGGCTGCTGGCAATCTGATCGAGAAGGGTCGCCAGATGTTTCCTCAACAACCCTACCATATGATCACAGATACGTGTGATCTTCTCATTTTACCACCCAAGTTTGCTGAGGGGATCCGGAACAACCCCGACTTGAACTTTATTGGGAGCATCGTGGAAGACTTCCACGCAACAATTCCCGGCTTCGAGCCGTTCCGAGATGGCCGCGAGGACGAGCTCACCAAGACTGTCGTGAAGAAACAGTTGACAAAACTATTGAGTAAGAACCAATCGTCATCTTCGCCAAAATAGACGTCAGAGCTAGAGTTGACAAATCATCAGACCAGGTGACGGAGCCCTTGTCGGTTGAAGCCGACTTCGCCCTTAGACACCATTTTGGTACTTCGACAGGTGAGGACCGGCAGAAGTGATGAGGTGGTCACGATGCTAACAGGTTGTAGAGTGGAAGGAATACGAGTTTTTGAAGAAATCCTTGATGTCGTCGCCAGAATTTCAACCAAGGTGTTTTTCGGATCCGAGCTCTGCCGCAATGAGGAATGCCTCAAGATTACCAAGAACTACACTGTCGATTCTTTCATTGCTGCCTATATACTTCGCATATTCCCAAAGCCGCTTCGGCATATCGCTCACTGGTTCCTGCCGCAATGCCAGACGATCCGCCAGCAATTTGCAGAGTCGAAGAAGCTTATTATGCCCGTCATCCAGGCCCGACGAACGCTCCGTCGGCGCATGCAGGTGGAGGGAATACCTACTCCGGATTTCAATGATGCCATTGACTGGTTCGATCATGAAGGGAAAGGTGAACCCTATGACGAAGCCTCATGCCAACTCGGCCTGTCCATGGCAGCCATCCACACCACCACGGACCTCCTGATCGAAACGATGCAGAACATAATGTTGCATCCCGAACTGGTCGAGTATCTTCGAAAGGAAATCTTTCAAGTCCTGGGCGCCGAAGGCTGGAAGAAGACATCGCTGTACAATCTCAAACTCGTCGACAGTGTTGTCAAGGAGTCTCAGAGGCTAAGGCTCTCGGCAATGAGTATGCTCCCTGCGATCCCCGAGGAGCTACCATGATACTACAATAAGCTGCTGACCCATTCACAGTCGCGATGCAGCGCACAGCCATACGGGAGACTAAACTGCCTGACGGTTCTGTTCTGCGCAAGGGTCAGCGATGCGCTATTGATTCGTACGGTCCGTTAGGTATGGCTGATAGCGAGCATTACGAGAACCCTGTGTTATCATCCAGCTGTACTACTTCAACAAGGCCCTTGCCTTGTTTCCTTTGAGCATGTAAGTAAATCTTATCATCTTGTATGTGAAATTTGCTGACCATCGGCCAAAGCGTCAATCCCTTGTACTACATAAGTTTTACGACTGCGACTCTTTTTTCATTATATATTCTATTCGGAGGACTCACTACAGTCGCCATCGTCAACACTTTATCGTCAATCTGTGGACTTCTTTTAATATTTGCAGGGGTTTTCCTGCTACAGACGGAGAACGCCCGACCAAGCATGGAGCAGCATATATCCTCCGCTGTGTCGATGGACACCGTCAATCTTTATGGTTCTGACCGTGGCTTGTGTACGGATATATCGCCATCGTACTTGCAATACAGCCAAGCGTAGGATAGAACCTATAATCTACCATGACTCGGAAAGTCATTGCCTTGTGTCTGGCCCGGATTGTCAGCCTGCCCAAGGTTACCTCGACTACTGTGATAAGATATACCTGTCGTTCCTCAAGGATGTTTACTGGACTAAGTGGTGGACAGCTCAGTACTCCAAGCTGGAACCCTGAAAAGGGGGAGCACAACAAAACCTAGTTTCACTCCTAGTCAAGCTTAAGATTCAAGGCCTAATATGGAAGGAAATTCATGCAAAGTATATGATTGTCCTTCTACAGCAGGACTGCGCTTTAGGGTTTCTGCAGGTGAGATACTGCACGAGGTTGAAAAACCAATTAAGCAGGGAGTGGATAGGCAATGGTCAGACCTGGTGGTGTCATTTTCTGAGCTTTGCTCATGATCCAGTTATAACGTTCTGGTAACTACTCATAGCACTGCGGTGTTTTACTCGTTATGCATGTATGTTATGTATTTATCAAAGTATTTAAATCATTCTAGACTTATCTCATCATCTATCTACCTTACCTTCTTTCGCTACCTTAACACCAAGAGGGTCCCGAGACACAAGAGAAAGCTGCATGAGGTAATAGCTTTCCCAATACTTACCAAGTACACCACCCTCATCCAACCGCCCCTGCCCTCCGTACCGGCCGAGACTACGACCTGCAGCCCGTTCAGAATCATGGAAGCGACTCCTATCACGAACAGAACTGGTCCGTAAAAGCTTGCAAGGTACGGCCCGAGCTGATACTCGGCCCTCTGGAGATTCGATTTACCGAGGATGGGTACGTACAAGTTTAGACGCATTAGGTGGGTTTCCACATTGTCAACACTATCCTATTCCGACGCTTGATGATGGATTGACGAGACCGCTGGAATCTGAAAACAAGCCAGACATTTTCAGGTTCGTTGAAGACGGCTTCTCTATCGATTGCATAGATGCCAAGGTTAGTAATCCAATCGTTAAACGCACTGAGGGCATTTTTAAATAGGCATGCCTAGTTTTACATCAAGTGCTGCTACTTGTTCATAATAGAGCACTAACAACTAGCAGCTGAGATCATAGGAGTACAAATATCTGATAAGCGTATGACGTAAATATGATTGCCTTGCACTTATGTGTAAGGCACCTTGGTAAAAGTGTAGTTGTGTTAGCAGAAAAAGTATTCGATAACGAAAATGATGAGCAGGGAAATGGCTTCAATATATATCGCAGTCTGTAGTCGACGCTGTAAACGTCATCTTCAAATCCCAGGTATAGGGTCAGCAAGATAGCCCGGCCAGATTAGATGCCTTCCGCGTCGTACAAGGGACGGGACGGGGCGGAACGTTAGAAAACTTAATTTTGATCATCGAACCTCGTATGTAAATGAGAGGGCTTTGGCGCGTGACCCTTTGTGCTATACCTCGGCTAATGCATCAATGGGAATTGTCGGCGTCTTGAGCTATGGCGAGATCGTCAGTCAAAGCGTCGCAGAGCCTGCATCTTTTCTGAAGCTTCTTCGGAACACATATATCAACATAATAGGATAAACTTTAAACCTGCTGATGTGCCCAAGCCGTCCCAAAATGCAATCAATTATGAAATGACCAAGATTGATTACACGTTACGGGAGAGTTCGCGGAGCTGTCTGCATGATGCCTGATACTCCTGTTCTGCGCATGGTACGTCCTTTGGAGACTTGTTCCAAAGTTGTTTCCATTTCCCCTTTACCGCGTGAGGCACAGGATAACAGAAGTGTCGAGACAGCTATAAAAGTTGGACCATTCGCTGAGGAACTGAAATTCCGACACACATCTTCTCATCTTCCCATTCTAGCCAATCTTTCGGAAAACTAGGTCTATCAAAAGAGACTACCAACGCTTACAAGGAGCATCATGACATGCACTCACAAGCCCGCTGTTGCCATCTTTGGCCCCACCGCCTCCGGTAACATGAAGCTAGGAGTTGCTGTCTCCAAAGCACTCCTTGGTGAGGTTATCTCGATCGATAGCCTCCAGTGCCATAAGCCAGGCAGTGTCGTTACAGCCAAGCCAGAACGTGACGAAATTCAAGATATTCCACATCATCATATCGACTACCTTAAGCCGATGAAGAGACAGATGATTTTATATCACTGGCAATCAACAAAATGGAAGACATGATTGGCCGCAACAAGATTCCAGTTCTTGTTGGTGGGTCAACATCACTCACTGTCCCCCTCCTGCAGCAGGCCTTGAAGAACCATTACATAATGCTCGGAATTATGTTAGTACCACACCCTTCAAGCTATCAACAGCTCATCGAGACCAGAGGCGACTCAATGGTGAAGCAGGGCCTCTTAGCTGAGCTGAGAACTAAGGCTCCGGAGAAGACACTGCTCCAGGGAGCGCCAGATTCCAATAGAGGAGTGTGGAAAGCAATCGGTTACCCTGAGTTCTACCCATACCTTGACTACGACGGCACAAGCGATATAAAGAGGGAAGTCCTCTGCCACCAGGGAGTCACGACGATGCGCGTCAGTACACTTCAATACGGCTTCAACCAGCTGGAATGGTTACGACATATCCTGACCCCCTTCCTCCACCGACAGAAGGTTGCAACTATCAGCCCCAATGTCACAGACAAACAGTCTTGGGCTACTGAGGTTGAAGGACCCACCCTTTCAATGGCTAATCAGTTCTTCCATGGGACTCATTCAGTCACTCATGTTCCAGGAAAAGTCTCCAACCCTCGTATTGTTTGCTTGTTGTAAGATTCCCCCACCCAGTAAAGCTTGCTAGGGTTGGAGTAGACTGACAATAGCCAGCGGCGGATCATCTAGCGGCAATGACCCCAGCCATGTGGAGGCAGCAAAGGAGCTTTCTCTGGAACTCCATCGAAACAGCATCGTTCTCATTTACGGTTGCGGCACTACGAGGTTGATGGGAGCCGCTGCCAGCACTCTAGTTGAGGTATCCGGTCCCTCCTCAGTTCACGGAATTGTACCCGCTGCGCTCGCCAAGTTCGAAGAAAAGGACACCGGCCAGAGCCACATGTCCAAGTTTGGGTCTTGCACGGTTATGAGAGATATGCATACCCGAAAGAGGCTTATGATTGAGGCTGTGCTCAATGAAGGGCCAGAAAGTCGCTTCGTTGCTTTGAGCGGCGGGTACGGTACTATGGAAGAGTTGCTTGAGATTGCAACGTGGTATTAACTCGGTATTCATAACTGTAATATTTGTGTTCTTAACGTCGATGGATTTTATGACGGGTTGTTGTACTGGGTTTCCAAGGTTTCAGAATAGGGGTTCATCGGGGCAAAGGACCGTACCATCATCCAGGTTGCCACCTCGGCTGAAGGACTTGTCAATTGCCTAGAAGTCAAGACTCAGTATTCTGATAAAGGAAGAATTGAGTGGATCTGAAGACAGTTTAGTAGTACAAGCCAATTCCTTGTTTGATTAAGTTAGCTTAGTCTTATCAGTTCAAGTCTATCGACATTGAAAAACACCAGAGCACCGTTACATGCTTCATACTCATTGAATACAATGAACTCGCGGTAGATCTAATGTAATATGCAAGTCAGAGCCGCATTTGAGCAGGTTTTGCAAAGAATTTCTTTTCGCCAGGCACTCTGTAAAAGGGGTTCTTGCAAAGTTTCCTAGTCTCTGACTTTGATGGTTCAAGTTTGTAGTAAAGACCAGAGAATGAGGCGGCAATTGCGGATAGACGTCGACTTTACCGAAGTGTGAGAGGATTCCCTCATTGAAGGAGGTGGAACTCTTGTGATCAATGTCATCTGAGAGAAGACAAATGTAAACCCTCGACATCCCCTCGCGAACTCTGGGAATATGTATAGCTGTTTTAACAGGATCTTAGCTGTAGCTCATGGCTAAAGTGGGCGTTCTCTGCGGTTCATGGTTGAGATTCCAATGCCGAGTCACACTCCCGAGGGATCGACAGCTTTTGGCTATTCATATTCGTGCTTGTGAACGAGATTGCGGTTACATGGCGTAATGTTCTTGTCGGTTTCGGTTTCGGCTTCGGTTTCGGCTTCGGTGTCAATCATGCCCCGCGAGCTTAAGTGTATATCACGACTAAGTATAGAACCCTCCACGCAATAGGGGCAAATCACATACGAAACGAGCTAATTTGAGCTCGGCATCCAGATCTAATGCCATTACCAGGCCGTTATCATGTCTGTGCTTCGAGGCAATGCAAGATTGGGCATGTTCTTAGCCCATACAGTTATACGCGAATCCGCAGCTGTGTCATGAGACTGCTTGCTCCTTTCAGTAGAGTTTATGTCTATCAAACATTCTCTTCTGTTACAACAAGATGGAAAGGCCAATTGGGTTGTTCTTATTACGCGGTAGTTGTGTCGATCATGACGCAGGGGCCTGTCGGTATTAAACAACTTCCCGAGACTGGGTGCATTTTCGGATCTTGGCCGCGTGTTGTTGCAGATTAATGTCGTAGCTCTCAGTATTAATACCTAGGCTTCGCTGCTCATAGCCATAAACTGAACCCGAAATATCCATGTCCTCGAGCATTTTTCTTAACCACTAACTATTCAAATCCTTCACCATGGGCAATGCGCAATCCCCCCTCGATTTTGTATCCAGCCGATGGCCAATTATCGTCACTGCTCTATTTGCCTGCTTAGTTGCCGCTATAGGTCCCAGAGTCGTTAACGCTTTGCGACTATGGACTATACCCACCATTGGTGAGGAGCTTGGCAGCACAGAAAAGCGAAGACAGGCGTACTTGGCAGGAGCCAGGAAATTATACTCGGCAGGGTACCAAAAGGTAAAATCACTCGTTGGCTCGTGACACAAGCAAAGCTCACAACCTTTCAGTTCAAAGATGGTGTTTTCTTGATAACTACATCGCGAAGTATGTATCTGTTGACCAGTATCACAAGTCTCATTCAAGCTAATGTCTCTAGCTTCTCCGACTATCGTCATCTCACCTGACTTTCTCCCTGAGCTCAAGAAGCTGCCTGATGCTACTCTAAGCATGGAGGCTGCAGTTGATGAGGTGCGTATATGAATGTCAAGTTTTACTTGCTCATCTAACCATGTCGATAGTCAATGGAGACCAAGTACACCAAGATCGAGACGTCAGTACCCATCATTCCGCACACCATCAAAGGAGAATTGACACCTTCGCTATGTAAGTTCACAATGGAAATCTGAAAAGCAGATCCTTCCAAAGATGTAAAAATCTGTAAAATGTGTAGAGGCGCTCTGACAATGCCCAGCTCGACTGAGTTTGACTATCGCAAGCGAAGTTAGAGATTCATTGGATCTTACCATGCCACCATGCGACGACTGGACAGAGGTCAACATCCATCACGCTCTCCTTCGTATCGTCGGTATGGTATCCGGTCGCATGTTTATCGGCCCTGAGCTTTGTCGCTCCGAGCAATACCTTGATGCAGCCATCAACTACACCATGGAAGTCATGGGTGCCCAGCGTGCCGTGCAGAACATGCGACCTTGGTTACGTCCTTTCCGAGCTCAAAGTCTTCCCGAGGTAAAGAAGCTGTATCAGCGAATCGCAGAAGCTGAAGCTTTCCTTGAGCCTGTGGTCAAAACCAGAACCGACGCAATGAATGATCCGACTTATGAGAAGCCGGATGATTTCTTGCAGTGGCTCATCGACGGAAAGGACAAGTTCCCTGACAAGAATAGCCAGAACCTCGCCAAGGTTCAGTTGGGACTTACTTTTGCAGCGGTTCACACCACGACGTTGACAGCCACAAATGCGTGAGTCACTACCTTGTACATATTGGGTATGCCTCTAAAATTAAAGCAGATTCTACGACTTGGCGGCTCTGCCAGACCTGCAGATAGAACTTCGAGATGAGGTCCGTGAAGCATTAGCGCAGAGCGGTGGTAAGTTTACGTGCAACGTCCTGCAGTCCATGAAGAAGATGGATAGTTTTCTCAAGGAGACACTTCGAGTCCACCCTGCGACGATGGGTAAGGCATAGTCTAATAGCCCCAGCAAGTAAACCACTAACATAAGTATTACAGCCTCCTTCCAGCGTAAGGTTCTGAAACCATTCACTCTATCCAGCGGCCAGGTCATCCCAGCTGGCGTGACAATAGAGATACCTGCTGTCGCAGTCAGCTCCGACTCCAATGTCTTCCCACAAGCCGACAAATTCGACCCATTGAGATTTTATAAGCTTCGCACTGAAGCCAAGGACGGCGGTTCAGTTGAGAAGGCGGCAAACAACCAGTTTGTCAGTGTCAACCAGAGCAGCTTGACTTTTGGGTATGGTCGACACGCGTGTCCCGGAAGATTCTTCGCCGCAAACGAGATCAAGATGATTTTAGCCCATGCATTGCTGCAGTACAATGTCAAGAATGCAGGCGATGCTACTGAAAGATACCCGAACATGGAGTTTGCTCATATGGTAAGTTAATGGATGAATGCGAGTAGTGTCAAGTATGTGTACTGATCAATGTCGCAGTCTATTCCGGATCCTTCCAAGAAGCTCCTGTTTAAATCGATCGAGGTATAAGAGAGTCCTGTATACTAAGCGGAGGAACTAGTGGCAATATGTTTTCATATTTTTTGGGCTACATGCATTGTTTAAAGCTTAAATTTATAAAAATTGTTTTTCTTCACTTGAACCACCTTGTCCACCTTTCTTTTGACTTCTTTTCCTTCGAAGAGGTCCTTGGACTTAAATCTGACTCGAACTCCACAAACAAGCTATCAAATTGGAGCTCTATAATCAAGCTATCAAATCTGAAGATATACAAGTCATAAGTCGGAAACGGCTTACGCTTGGACACGAGTAAAGACCTATCTCTTCTCAGAACTTCCCATAAGAAGTTAGTTTCTGTCAAAAGGGCGTCAGAAAACTCGCTCATATCGATGACATGTTGAGCTTGGACGGCTTCGTTGATGGCGCAGGTCCATGGAATGAATTTGTTGGACCAGTGCAGCGTCGGGAAGTTTTCTGGGGCACGAGCTGATGTAATCACAACTTGGATCGGGACCTCGGCGGGGACTACCGTCCCGGGCGGAAAGCCGAGCTGGCGTAGCTGGACAGTATACTATTTTGAAGGTGAGCACAAGCTTTTGAATCTCTCCAGCTGTGGAACAAATCATACCTCTGACATGATAGCATGAACCATGTGCCCTCCGATTGTTGATGAGCCCTCTTCTATCGGCTCATCAAGATACTCAGAGTCTATTCTTGTGACTTTGGCATTGATTGTCTGCTTTGCTCCAATGGACTCTAGCACATTTAATGGATGATCACTGCTACGGGCTCCCCATTGCGTTCCATGAGCCAAATGTAAATGAACAATAACTCGCTTCCAGAACTCCTGTGAGGTTCCGGATGCTTGGTGTTTCTGCTGGGCATATACGATAGAATCATGGATGAAATTCCAGCGCAATACGAAGTCCTTGTCATTAGGGTCTAGTTGCATAACTAGAATAAACTGAGTTTGTCGTGGTTGAGCAAATAGGGTAGCTCTCAAAGTATAATTTCGATTTCCAAAAACCTCTGGTGGGCAGGTGATGAAGCTGAATCTTGAATGCGTGAATTCGTCTCGACCTGGAGGGGAAGAGTGAGGAACAAGGTTAAGGATCCTGTCCGGTACTGGAAGATCAACGACCACATTGCCCCTAAACCTTTGGATATGGTATTCTTCCTGACTGGATAGCCCTTTAGTGCTGTATGATAATTTGACAATATCGTCTTCTTCTGTTGGAATTGGTCGCCTAATCGGTACCATATACGGTATCAGTTGTTGAAGGGATCGATGAGAAGTTGAGTTGAGGAGATCCGCGTGCTGGGGGCCACGTATCGATGGCAGCGGCTGACCTCGGTCACTGTGCCTTCGTTTATCGTCCATTGATGGCAGTGGATAATTTTGTTGTGAATAGGATAGCATCTCATCCTTCTTGACTTCGTTCAAAAGGCCGATGACGAACTCCTGATTCTCTCTGATCGCGTCATTTGAGAGTCTTTTGCCATGGAGATAGTCGCCATAGCGCTCACGCCATAGAGGATCAAAGGTGTCTAGCCTTGCAAATTCAGAAAGCACAGATTTCTTATGGCTGTCACCTTGATGGACTCGCACAAGCGAAGGTGCGATTTGATTTTGCGTTTCTTCAATTCTAGAATCTGATGCTAGGGCGCTTGAACGAGGTGCTTGAGGATCATTGCCGAGTGCAACTTCTTTGTCGAAGAAGACCTCAGGCCAAGAAGATACGGGACCGGGTCCCTTTGGGCGATGGAGGATGTCTTCCCTTGTTGGTCTCGGCCAGTGACCATGTCCGTGATTGTGAGATTTTGAAGAGGCAGGGTGATTAATGCCGTTTTTGAGGGCATCACCTGGATTTGACGAGTCTGACGACTGACTAGCTACCAAGGCGGCGGGATATTGAGGTCCTAAAATCGGTAGATCGTACCGCGGAGATTTGGGTGAGCTGTGATAGTGCTCATCGACAATGGACAGAGCTCTAGAGCTCATGCCATCACTATAGGACACATCGACGTCGAGAGTCGTCTCAGTATATGTCGCCATATGCTCCAAGAACTTCTGAAGAATATAATCATTTGGGGAAGCAACAGTATCGGGCAATCGAGCCTGAAGCTGCGCTATTTCTTGCAGTATCAGAGCCGTGTCGTCTTTAATCGCAGTTGTGTCGTTCCGAATTTCCGTCGTATCAACTTTGATATCTTTCGTCAAAGATAGAGATATCATGTCAAGGGCCAGTTCCAGGGCTGATTTGTGAGCTTCCAGACTGGACCTCAGCTTCTCCATGTCGCCTTGACCATTGATGGCCCAGGAGGCTCTGCTCTTGATACGTCCATCTCCGTACTTTTTTATGCATGTTTCAACTTCGAGAACAACGGATCCACAGTTTGAAACAATGCCCGACACATGGTGTTGGATTGTTGGTGGAAATGGCTTCGTGTCATCTTTTGCGTCTTCCTCGATGAGTTCAAGGACTGTCTGGAGAGAATGAAGCTCGCGCGAAACCCTGTCGAGATCGCTGCGGGCTTCTCGACAGCTGCGCACAAAGGTATTAATTGATATACTTAAACTACCGATCGCTGTGGTGAGGCCAGCGCAGCCGCTGATAATAGAGAGAGGGTCCATCCGAGGAAGCTGAAGATGCCAAGTGCTGATGCGGGGATGGCATTTCAGCCGCTCGAAGTTGAAGGAGGTTGCAGTCAGCCTTGCGCATCGCATCCTGGTAAATGGCTGAATCGGAGTGCGTTTATTGGGTGACTGCATTCAGCTACGATCTTTGAACACTTGCTTCAAGATGCTCTGATGTTCAATGTTGGACTGTTGATATTAAAACCTTGAATGCGCTGATTTTTTCTTTGTGTAATTCTGTTTGCTGCTGCAAATTATAGAAGACATGGTAATAATAACTATCAGCTATTAAATATTCTCCTCGGCCCTATTACGATACTTCTTAATACCGACCATAGCTGCAGTCTCTCTCCAGAAGCCGATTTCCTGCTCCCCAGCAATAAAGGCTTCGTGTGCGTCAACCTCCGGGTGTGCCCAAATGAGATCAGCCTCCTCCGGCTTGACAAACTTGGTGCGGTGGATCACCTTCCAAAAGGTATATGTGAGGATACCAAGTAGTAGAAATGTGTAATAGATGAAGAAGCTCTCGATACTCCACACGGGAGTGAAGCTCTGGTAGCCAAAGCAGAGCAGCAATGCGGAAAGCATAAAGATGGCGACGTAGGACATGTAAGGCTGGCCCCAACCTCGATATGGTAGTGTTGACCGGTCGATGTTTTGCTTCTTTAAGGCTCTGTAGAAGAAGACGTAGGTGATGCTCATTACAATGTAGTTGATGATTCCGGCAGCTGTGGCGCAGTTGACGATCCTGCAGGTGGTTAGTTATATGATGATTGTGACAGCGACGAGATATCACGCCAAGCTATATTTCTCGCTACATACCAGTAGTATACTTTAGCAGAGCTGTCATTGAGTTGCAGAAACGCAATCGCAGAGAAGAGCATGGTGAATCCCAGACAGTAGATGGGAACGCCGCGCTGGGTGGTATATTGGAGGAACTTAGGCGCCTGGCCATTAAGCGCCATACCATACAGTCCACGTGTAGCCGAGAAGACAAAGTTATTGCCCGCCGAGACAAGACTAGTCAAAAGGAGGGCGTTAATGATGCTCGGGAGGACGGCGATGTTCATGTTCTTGGCTGCGATAACGTAGGGCGACGCAGCGCCAGTTCCAGCACCAGATTCCGTGCCGTTGAGGACACCGACTAGGGTCGGGTCATTGGAGCGCACTACAATACCGATGCATAGGGCTGAACCGACGAAGAAGACGGCGAAACGCGCGTACATAGTCTTGTAAGCCTTCTTTAGCGAAACACGGGGGTTCTTGGCCTCTCCGGCCATGGTTGAAACGTAGTCCGGGCCGACGACGACGAATGCAGACTGGAACCAGCAGGATAAGAACCCCTGGAACTTACCCAGGCTTCCTGTATTGAGATATTCGAGAAAGGCGCCCTAAAACGTATCAGCACATGCCCTTGAGGTAGGGTGAAGGAAGGCCATACCGGACTCCAATTCCTAAATCCATACGCATCACGCTGTGGGTTTCCTCCGCTCATGGTGATCAGGGTGAATAGAAAGACAATGACAAAGAGAAGAAGCTTTCCCAAAGTAAGCCATGACTCGGAAACACCATACCAGTTAACGGCAAAGACGTTAAGAAATCTGTCGGAAAACATGTAAGCACGCGATTCAGAACAATACCTTGCCGAATTAGAATGACTTACACGTAAATAGCAGCCAAGACACAGATGACGGCGGCAACAGGAATGTCATCCCTCCAGAAACCCAAGATCAAACTCGTCCCGACAAGCTCAAAGGGTATACCTAGGGCAATGTAGAAGTAGTAGTTCCACCCAACCATAAATCCCAAGGCTGGATCAACCCAGCGAGTCGCATGCTGGATGAAGGCAGCGGGAACAGGCATGAAGCATACCATCTCAGCGACACAGTTATTGGCCATCCCGATGAGGCAGGTCTGCAAAAGGTAACCGAGAATAAGACTCGCAGGGCCCCCGGTAGCCAATGCGCCGCCCATAGCTACAAAGACTCCAGAACCTATGGCGCCTCCGATGGTCAAGAGCTGGATCTGATGGGTGGTCAATCGGCGATGCAAGGTAGAAGCCACGTGATCAGTTGGTGCCTCGATGACATCTCCGGTTTTCTCGAAAGAATCCCTAGGGCTCGGGGGGTAAGGGCTTTCCTTTGCCCCGTCTTGGACGTTGACAGCGGTCGTGTGGGGAGCCATGGTGCTATGTTCGATGTACCGCGACACGGCACAAGGGAGGCTTGTTTCAGATAATAAAGAGACAAGACTGATCTGGGAATTGAAGGCCAATAGTCGGTTTATGGAGGGAAGTCGACTTATAAGTAAGAAAAAAACGCTCAAAGACAAACATGGTGCTTGTTTATCTCATGGCGTTGAAACCAACCCCGCAAAATACTACTCTTGCGGATCGGATAACAACCATTCCACAAATGTTAGTTTGAGCTAGGGAGTCAATTATTCGCTATCTCTAGTGGCAAGCATCGTCTACTCAACACCGGTAAACGGCAATTCTAGAACTAAGACTCTGGGTGCACGAGTCACAATCTCTTGCTGGACCGGAGGATTGGCCGGCCTATTGACACAGACAGGGCCAGCTAATTGACTGGCCGGTCCAACCAAGTTCTCAAGATCCACATAAAACGACATCTATGCTAGGCTTGGCTTATTTGCTTTATGGAGACCTAGAGGGAGACAGTCCAATGGTCAACACACTACATACCATACCTCTTTCAGGGATAACCGAGATTGTGGGGTTGCGTGAGTTAGTGTCTGAGTTCGCTTGGAGATATCTGCGGCTTATCAGCTGTGCTAAATTGGCCCGGTCACAACCTACCGGCGGCATTACAAAACTCCACCCTTGAAAGACCCCTCACTGCATAACTCCATTTCAAGTTGGTTGCGTGTATTGACAATGCATCTCCACCTATCATGTCTACTTCAGCACTCTCTAAGCGCTCTTGCGATCGATGCCACGCCATCAAAGAACGATGTCGCCGACCCCGGGCCACAGAGTCCTGTGAGCGATGCTTCCGTCTCGGGCATGTCTGCCGCAATCAGCGCCCAGCAAAGAAGCCAGGTCGCAGACCACAGCTCCAAAGCCCCACGCCTCGCTCTGACTCTTCCTCAGAAACGATGCCGCTAGAGCTTGATACTTGGTCCGAGTGGCAGGGTTTCTCCTCTGATGAGTCGGGTCTTGTCCGCCAGATGGTACTGAGCGAAGACTGCCTTGCGAGCTTCACCATAGGGCCCAGCTTCGCCGACCCGCAACGTCGAGTCATCGTATCATCTTGCTTCACGTCAGCTCCTATCGTCAAAGACTCAATGGTCGCCGTCGCTGCTTCGTGGCTTGGTGATTCGCGACATATTGCTACAACTTATTGCAGGGCATCATCCGCCATGTCGATTCTGCGCTCGCTTGAGATTCGGGACACCAACGATGTTGCTGATTGTCTTGTCCTTGGCGCCATGCTGTTGACGTTTGCTTTTAAACTGCGTCCTGGCGACGCCTTTCCCATTGCTCGAAGAACTCTTAGCCTTGTCAAGCCGAGATATGACACTTTACAGCAGGACGATCCAGAAAGGCAGGTGTTTCTTTCATGCCTAGTCACGACGGAACTGCTTGACTGTCTTCTGCAGTGCCAGGTCCCAACCCTTCGCTTCAGGCCCATATCATTACCGGGACATGTCGATCGATTTGTTGGTTTATGCACTCACTTGTTACCCTTGCTCTATGATCTCTGTGAGATCAACCAAGCCTTTTCTCACGCCGAACATGATGATATGGAGGGAATATATGCCACTCTTGACCATTTGGAACGGAAGTTTGCTGACTGGCAGTCTGAAATGGAGCCAGGGTTCTTGACCTCCTTCACTGGTGGTGAGATAGCTCACATGCTGTGTCAAGTCCAAGTATTCCGACAAATGGCCTTCCTCATCATTCATCGCATGCGATATCCATTCAACGTCAACGACGGACCTGCTCAGGTTATGTCGAGGACAATTCTTGATAACCTGCAGCTGACCCAAGCAATGACCCAGAAAGCAGTGCGTTGCGTGGGTCTTGCATTCGTTGTAGCTTGTTTTGAGCTGCAGGGCCCGGCTGCGAGAGAGCATTGGCTACCGAAATGTAATACTCTCGTTGGCTACTCTGTGGATCACAGAAAACGCCTGGAGAATATTGTCAAGTCCCTATGGGCTGCACGAGACGGGGGGGGATGCATTTACTCGTTTAATCTTACTCAGGCAATACGACCTACGTCGTAGTATGGTTATGCCAGTCAATTATGTGGTATGGGATTATGCTCTCAAGAACAACTAACTTTTTCTGCTCCTGTATAGTGAGTCTAAAAGGTGTCCTTTGTATCTTAGTCCACAACTGCACTGCCCTATCTGAACTCCATCTAATTCGAAGCACTAGCTTCTCCAGCCCGAGGCTCATCCTTAGGCATAAGCTCGATCGCCGAGTCCCTTATATGCGGCTGAAGATTTTCAGGATATCTCATATAAAACGCAACCATAACCAACAGCATCAAGACCGAGTCAAACACAAAAGTCGGCCATTCTTTTTGCTGCAAATATCCTTCCTTATCCATAGCGAACTCGACGACTCGAAAGATATTTCGTACAAGAATGAAAGCTGATGTGAAGTAAAGCATGTTTAGATATGCTTCCCAACGGATCGCGACCGGGATGCTAGTATGCCTCAAATGAACCCTAAAGCGTCGATGAAAGACAACGCAACAGGCTACGAAAGCGAGGAAGAGTAGAATCTGCGCGATAAGGCCGGTAATCACTATGATGTTTCCAATGTGGACAAGATCCGCATTGGCGAGAAGACCACCTCCATTTCCCTGGATATTGAACGTGAGAAAATCTCCAAGGACAAAAAGTCGAGTCGTCCAGCGAACAGAGATAAGAGAACAGCTCTCTCCGCCTATAGCTCTGACCAGACGAGAGTAGACCATGTATAGTGTCGCTGCGAAGAAGACGGGCGGTAGGAGGAGAAAGAGGGCTTGCATGATGTTGAGAGGGAGGGAGTCGGTGGCGTTCCAGCATAGAGCTCGGAAGAAGTAGCCGAGTACTTCGCCTGTAGATAGGTCAGAGGGATAGAGGTTATGGATGATAGGGACACTTACAGACACCGCCGAAGAAGAAGGGAAGACAGAAGCGTGTTTTGGACTTGTGCATTTTATATCCAACGGCTACTGTTGCGAGGGTGAAGAGAAGGGTGAAAATGATTGATCCGACAAGACTGGGGACGTATTGCCATAGGTGGACTTCACCCAAATACTTCTTTAGCTCGGGCATTTTAGAGAAGAGAAACAGTCGACGAAAGATCTAAAACGGTCTTATTATCAGAGAAGCAAAAAGGAAAAATAACATCAGTGAAGAAAACGGATTCGTTTTTTCAAGGCGACTCTAAAAATGGTTTTCAGTCGGACGAGAAGTCAAGTATCAGATGTACGATGGCCTCCAGCATCGCAACGGCATCAATATATGCGAATTCTTCATTTTAATTGACACACTAACCCCTGATTCTATCTGCAAATCGCCCGCTGACACGCGTGTTGCGTACTGGCTCTTGCGTACCAAAATGCCATAAACCTCTGAATTACCCTGAAGGCTGGAGATAAGATCGGGAGGTTAAAGCCCGAACACGCGTGTTAGCTAAGTAATTAACAGGGGTTGAGGGCCAAATCTTACCTAGGCCGGACTAGTTGATTTTATTTAGGCTTCGGGCTTGCCAGGGTTATCTGTCGATCACTTCGCTTACGGCGTGCGAGTCCTTGATGATGAATTCCTGTCTCAGCTCATTAATCTCACATCCAATTCCAACTTCTGGGGAATAGCACATATTCATTATTACTATTTTGAGCCGACTCCAGGTCTAAGCTTATCGGCTTTCTTCAGCATGCTTCGTCGCAGTCATAAAAAGTCCAAGAAGGGATGTCTGCAATGGTAAGTAGAAATGGCAACGGAACCTTCAAGATCGTGGAACATAAACTGATACCGTCTGATCAGCAAACGACGTCATGTAAAGGTTCGACTCTCCATTGCTCAAAATTTATAAGCGCTTAAGCTTATACACCCACATTGACTCTATTGTTACCATGACTAACACGCGTGTTCAGTGCGATGAAGGCCGCCCAACATGTCTCCTCTGCACAATGTCAAACCGAGACTGCAGTTTCGCCTCCGACCCCCAACCACCCCCTCAAGACACAAACTCAGACGTATCATCTCGCGAAGGATCACTCCCCAGCCCCGACAACAATCTTAGATCCACAAGTGCAACATCCCTATCCGACAGCCATGAAACATCTTTTAACAGCGTCGTCAACATGGAACATATGGAACTCTTCATCCATGGGATAACAAACAAAGACTTGTTTAGTCTTGGTGACAGAGTTGAGCATTCTCAAGAGACGCTTAATATCTGTCTTAAAGAGAGCGTTAAGGCGCCGTATCTCTTACATCAGGTGTTGGCGTTTTCTGCTCGCCATCTGGCGGCTATTCACCCTGAGCGGCCAACAAGGTACCTGGATCAAGCTGTAAAGTTACAGACACGGGCTGTCTCACTGTTCAATTCGACGAAACGGGAGGTTGATTTATCGAACTGTCTCGCTATTCTCCTGTTCTCAGTTACTCTTGGCCATCATCTCCTCGCCGATGCCTTGGCAACCCGAAGCTCCGACGGTCTTGACGGGTTTCTTACCCACTATGTTCAGTGTGTCGAGATGAATTGGGGGTTGTACCGCTTAACACTCTCCGCATGGCCTTTACTCCTTAGCACGGAGCTCGAACCAGTTCTATCATGGAGTAGTCAGCAATCATCCAAAGACCCGATCGGAAACCATTGCGAACCCATAATCCAGCTCATCAACGAGTCAAAAGCGTTATCAAATGAGGAGAAAGAAGTCTGTCACGAAGCAATACAATACCTCCAGCTCGGTTTCGATGCCATGTTCGAAGGGGACGATGGCAGTCGATATCGCATGATATTTCAGTGGACGATGCTAGCGTCTCCAGAGCTGACAGGCTTGTTAGCTACAAAACGACCCGAAGCCCTGATCCTTCTGGGTTATTACGCTTTGTTATTGTATTATGGACGAAGTCTCTGGCAGGTTGGAGATACAGGGGAATATCTGCTAGGTCTCATCGTGGACTATCTTGCCCCAGAGTGGCATATCTGGCTCGAGTACCCACGGCGAATGATGAGACAAAGTTGAGATTGTACATCCATTCTAATAGAAGCTGCTTGTTTTGTTCATGAGTGGGTACATCAAAGTGCCATGCCCTGAGGTGACAGATCTCCACATACTACACCATACCTCAACAGGAAGATCCACACAACTTCAACCCTAAAAAAAAGAATACGAGAAAAAAAAGAATGAGGCACACCGGATTTGAACCGATAACCTTCAGGAATCTCCGTGCTTAATAGCTGGAATCTGACGCGCTACCGTTGCGCCAGCGCCCCATTGTGTGTTGTACTCGTGTTCGCAAACAGCCCCTTGAATCTGATGGTCATGGAGTCAACTTTCGCTGTCTGATACATGTGCAACCTAGGGGAGGCAAGAAACCATATGTCCTCTATTGCAGACGACAAAGAGACTCAAGTAGGATGAGTAATTTGATTCACTTTTAGACTATTCACTTACATCACCTGGAATAGAGGCCCGAAGAGGCAATAACTATCATAAGCGATAAAATGATTCAGGCAAGTTAACCTAAATTTGTTTGTTTGTTTGATAAGTTTATTTTGACATCCTATTTTAAAGTCTGACCGCTATAAGGGCTATCCATTGATGAGCGAAGAAGCATGAGAAAAGCAATATTTCGCTTATAGTAACTAACATGTTCTAACTAAATGCAAGTGCCTTGTTTATCGAATGACCGCTACAAGGGCTTTCCATCCCTTTCGAGAGCCCACTTCACCAAATAGTCACGATTACGCCGAATCTCCTCTTTGCAACCCACCAACCATTCGAAGTACTCATCATGCTGCCGTAGTGTTTGCTATACATATTGCATGTGAGAACCAATGTTGGGGTTATCAAGGAATGCATGGCCGTTTTCTCCACAGATATCGAGCCAGTCTCTGTAGAGGGATTGAAAACAGGATGACAAATGCCATGGTGACTGGCCCGAGCATCGAAGGAAATGAATATCAAGGATTTGCCAGTTCCATGCCGTGACCTTGTTCTCATCGATTAGGGCTCCGGAGTTTCTCAGGAATTTTCCCGCTTCATGAAGAAGCTCAGATTGTACATCGTGGGGCTGTTGTTCCATCAGGAACACGAACCACCGGCCAAGATACTCGGCCAGTGCGTGCCGGCCATTTTCTGCTACAAAGCATGCGTTGCAGTAAGCCTTCTCAAAGACCTCTTGCGTAAGAATTACTCCGTCCCAGGTTAGCCGCCCCATGGTAGGTTCCCATACCTCAAGCCCAGGCCTTCCTTCAGCAACCTCACCGGCACCGGCACCGATCCGAAACGCTCTCAACTCTTGCCATTTCTCACATCGAGGACATCGAGCCATCCACAAAGTCCAAGGCTTTCGGAAGCCTTGATAAAAACGTTTGAATGGCCGCCCTTGTTGCATGGTATCCAAGATGCCAGGGAAATATCGATCGAGGGGGGGATGAGATCATGTGGTTCTCAATCGAAATGATGGGAAAGCTTTCGGTTCCATAAATACCATTATGGCTGGTAATGGTCGCGTCATTGAAGACACCGTTTTTGAACAGACATCTGTTGCACTTTCGATAGTGTCGATTACTGCCGAATTCGCGGTTCTGCATTAAGATCATATTCCACCAAAGTCGCTGACGTATGTCATCCGGGGTTTCAATAATTCGTTGGCGAAAGTCGATGAACGTAATTCCATCAAAGTAGGCCAGCCCATGAGCGCGGTACTGGCCGAACAGAACGAAAGGAGGCGTGGATAGAATATCACCAACAATGAGGTTATAGCGAGCTTGTATGCTCCTGCCGCCGTCGGCTGGGGGTGTCGTTGCCACACTCCCAGTGGGTGTATCCGTAGGCTCCCAAGAAGTAATCATCTTGGTTGCAGGGGTTCCAAGCATGGGCTTTCGCCAGATCACCTCGGCCAAGAATTTGTATTGAAAATGGTGATAAGGGAGAAGTCGCAAGCAACCGGCACAGGCCCAGCGTGTCGCCAAGAGGTTGCAATCGTTCCAGAGGGGCTTATCGTGCCAATTAGTGAAGAGGAGAGGGGGGCCTCCATATTCCGGAACGCACTCAAGGGCCAGCAGGCGTTCAATGTAATGTCGTTCTGTGAGCTGTGGCTCTTTTATGATACTACGGAAGTGGTTGTTAGTTTGACGGAGCGAGATCAAGCCGATTGGGTCCACTAAACGAGCGATACGTTCTTTTAGCTCCGTTGGAAGATTGCCCAGAGATGGACCCGAAGCCGGTTGAATTAATGAGAGTGAACGACGTGTTAACTTGAGAATAGGAATGAATAACGGCAGTGTTAGTAGAAAGGATAGTAATCGAAGTTCTGGTGGGATCAACTGTAGCAGAGCCGGTGCGTAAGGGAGTAGGCGTCTCGTATTCCATAATGAAGAATCCATGTTCGTCTGAGAAGTGAAGGGGATTTAGCCGCCGAAAGTCGGGCGGAGGAATGATGAAAGAATGCAGAATTTATCAGCTGAAGTGATGATGAAGTGATGAACAAGTTTGAGTTGGTTCACTGTGATGCAGAGGATTTAAATTCTTGACACCTGAGCACTTTCCTGGTGATGCAGGGAAGGGAAAATGCAGGATCGATCTTGCACCATTGTGGTAAGTTAGGTAACAGGCGATGGGCTTCCTTGCCTTTGTTAGGAGGCACGCATTGCCAAAGACAACTGCCCCACTGAGGTTGTTGTGGATAACTAAGGTACCTGGGCAAGATAAGTTACCTACTAAACATTGGATGCTAGGGGCTGGCAGTCTGCAGAAGAATCATGACGTAAGTCCTAAGGCATGAAAAGTTTGGACAACCTTATGATAGGTTTATGATAAACTTCGAGAGCACCTCGACTCGGTAGGTACTGATGTAATATCTCAAGTCTTCTCATACCCAGAGAAGACTAGTTGAGCAAACTTCAACCTATCGCACCACCATTTCAGCCGTGTGATACGGTCCCGCCGTGAATCATACCACCAAGCCACAAAATTATCGTGTGTCTTTGTAAAATGGAATTTGTAAGACTGAATATGGCATCCTTCACGCTCGCCGTCGCTTCAACAACACGGTGCCCTAGTGAACGCCCCATGCTTAATATTGACACCGACACAAAATCAGGGGTTAATGTCTAAAACACAGCCAAAGCTCACTGTTAAATGCTGGGAGCCAACGTTTAATTGGCGCACTGACACAAACTTTCTTTTTCATCTCGTTGCTGGCAGCCCAATCAGCCCTCAGTCCCCCGGATATGCTTAGTTTAGAGTCAGGTAGAGACTGTGCGAGATCGGAAGGGCAACCCCTCGTAACAGCGGCTGAATACCCCAAAGAAATTTCCAGATGTTGGTGAACAGAATTGATTCTGTAGCGAATGACTGAACATTGATGCGGTTTGGGAGTGACTGAGCTGAGGAGCCACTGAACTGGTTGAAGTATAAAGACCTGCTTGGGATCAACTGTCACACTTGTTGCTATGCATTTCTCCCGCTGAGACACTACAATAAGTATCAAGAGTTCAATTTATTGTCAAAAACCTTTTCGATTAGCTATTATCTTGCTGGCCATCGGCCTTCTCACAGCCGTCCAAGCCTCCAACCCGGTCTTCGGAGCCCTACCAAACAGACTCATGCGACGCCTGTCTCGACCAAACCTACGAAAGCAGTCCCGGTGATTACAAGACCCGAACGTACGCAACATGCATACGCGCGGACGACGGCAGCGCCAAATTTGTCTCTTGCTTGTCTTCATGTGATCCCGATAAGAACGAACCAGCCATCGCTAGCTCAACATACTATGGCTCCTGTGTCCTATTTTTGGAGGAACTTTGTGGTGGTGCTTAGGAACGCCACGACTCGTATATGACACCTAGTTCTCAGCTGCAACACGGATGTGAGTGATTTCACCCTTGGTGAGCTTCTTGATATCTGAAAAGACATCCTCGATGGGCGTGACAAAGGTTACTCCATTTCCACCTTGACCTGCTTTGTTAGGCACTTGTCCTCTAAACAACAAGCCAACAATGCATCCCTTCTCGTCAAAGACGGACGCGCCAGAGTCGCCATGCCCAGAGAACGGAGGGTCATTGAGACGGTGGGTGTACACAAAGCAATACTCATTCGATATCGTCTGTGACATATGATTCTCCTCAATGAGCTTGACATCGTTCTTGAAGCGACTAAACTTGCCGGCAGTGAGTCTGGTTGTAGTGCCAAGCTTCCAGACATTGGCGACAGAAGGTAGATGACTGGGTCGATTCTCGAGAGGTAGCATGGACCGTCCTTGGGTCTTCAACGGTTGGCCGTATGTCTTGGCATTGGGACGGTACAAAGAATGGTGGTTGTATTTAGTCCACTCCCCCTTCTGGGGCAAACGGTTGGACCCTTGTCGATGCTCTGGAACTTGTATCAATGCCCAGTCAAGTCTGTGGTTGTTGACAGACCTTCGCCCATAGCCGGAAGCAGCAATTACAGGGCCCAATGCCTGATTGTTCTGATTGAAAAAGTCAATCTTCCTTTTCAATTCTCCTTCTAGATCTGCAAGGTCCTTCACATTTCCCTCGGAGGGATCCTCTTGCACTGTGTCTTTGGCGTCCTGGATCCTTTGATTGAGATCCCATACCGTGAAGTTGTGCTTGATTCGAGAAGGGCTTTCAAAGGGAGTTGGATCACCGACTGTGCCGGGCAGCCAACCATTCTGATCCACCTTGAGGAGTTGACTGTTGGATGATGGAGGGCCTATGATGGAACCTCCATCGACTTCCTTGATCGTCCAGCCTTGAAAGCCAGGTCGGACATTGTGGTAGTTGGTGAGGCCAACCTTGGTCCATTGCGGGTTCGTCTTAGTCTTGATCTCAAGGTAGCAACCCAGGGTACCGCATGGAGGGTTGCAGGTTTCACCATCATCGCGGTCAACGTACTGAGAGATGGAAACATCATCACCAAGGTTGACATTGTCATGGTATTCTCCATGGATGACCAGGTTATTCTTGGAAATCTTGCTCAAAATCTCGCCGCGTTCACCCTTGGGATCTAGCAGTTGGAATTGGAGAAGACATGGTGAGTTGTGCTCAAGATGGACACGAATATCGGTCCATCCAAGGGCCTTGAGCGAGTTCTCGATGTTGGTCAGAATCGAATCCCATTGCTTCTCATCTGATCTGCGGTCAACCGATATATAGACCGTGATAGGGTTGGTAGCAGTGTTGGGTGAAAGGCCATGTCGCAATAGGATAACGGACGTGACGAAGTGGCGTGTTGCATCAAATGTATTGAGACGCTCATGGACAACTCTCTTGATGTGATCCCAATGTTGAAGAAGATAGGGTCGATCGTCCACCACACCCAGGTAGATAGGCCCTACAATCTCGGGTGCCGTGATTTCGATACGAGGAGGAGTATCCTCGAACTCGGTGTCTTGCAGAAGTTCTTTGTTGCGAATAGCAATAGCCTGCACCGCCGAAGTCCATTTTGCCTTGGAATCGGGTAACCATGGAAGGACGATTGTGACCGTAGGCTCTTCAGTACCCGGGCGACCTTCTATTTGTTCCATGTTGGTCTCAGCAAAGCAGCGAGGGCCGTCTAGCAGACCGTGCTCAGCAAGAATAGTGTTGGCACCATCTCGGATATCTTGTCCATGACGGACGAAAATCTCGGGATCAGGGCCTAGCAAACACTCAACGGGGCATGGACGAAGGTCAGGGTATGCAACGCGGTATCTCGTGGACACTACGGGAACCAGAGGCCCAGACTCTTCAGATGAGGTCTGGCCGGTTCTTCGGGATCGTGACCCAGACGGCCCATAGCCACTGTCCTGTGGCGGCGAGGACGGTGCTAAGAAGGCGTCCATAATGTGTCGTTCAGTATGGGTAAAGCTACTCCAATGTGTCAGGTTTTTGGACGAACAATAACGAGAAGGAGAAGAGAAAAGAAAGAAAAGTTTCAGAGGTGGCTGCTGGCCCTTAAATGTTCGCGGTGACGAAAGTATGTGTGAAAGTCAACTTTGACTTTAATAATGAAGTCAAAGGGCAAAGTTTATTTTATATCAACCAGCGACAAAACTCACCTTTTCTTGGGCAATTATTGTCTTCTCTTAACGCGCCCGAGTTGGCGGTTCAGAAATGCTCGGCTCGATCGATCAACACTGGTAATTCAACGTAGTCAGCAAACAGTTAAAAAAACATATGTGAAAAGGTTCTTGAAGTAGGGCAAAGGTGGTATGAAAATGAAGCTCTCAGTAGTGAGATTTCAGCAAAATATGCATTATTTCATACAAAGCCGTGACGTAGACAGGGAAAGTAAGGGAAGGTAGTGAAGGGCGGCTTTGTTTTGGATTTGACGGTGCTCCAGCGGTCCACGTTCGGGTGCAAATTCGTGGCGGGAAAAGGGATCAGGAAATAAAGGAAAGGACATGAAAATGGAGTGCTTGATCGTGAGATAACAATAACGATAATCTTTTGATAAACGAGGTTCTTGCGGGCGCGTAAGCCGGGTAGAACGAGGATATTCTTACCTTGAAGGTGGTGTTGAGCATAAGTTGTGGAAAATGAGGCTAAGTTCTGGGCGTGTTGCTACTAACAAATTTCACCATCTTTGACTAAGCGAGATTGACTTCGGGGGCTTTGGCTACCATGGGTGCCAGCTTGGGCTATTATGGCCGGCATGGGATTACAGTAAGTGAATGCATGAGAATAAATGCATATTTTTGAGGCTAGGGCGACTTGGAAAAGTCAACCTTTCTGGAGCTCGATGTACCAATAATAGAAATAGATGATTTATCAGCGTGATCTGGAAATAGTCTTTCACTTGGCACCTCATCCCCGTTCCCCGGTATTTTTGAGATACACACGTGCCCCGGAGCGCGGAAAGACTTTATATCTACATTCCGTTTGCTTTGGAATGAAGATGCTCGCTTTTTGGGTTCCGTAAGTGGCTCACTTTGAAGGCTTGGCTTGGTGAGCTTGGTAAGTCTGATAGCCTTGGCATGTCAGCAAAGCTGACTACAATTGCACCGGACATGCCCGCGGAGCTCCATGGCTGCCAGTTCCACAAGTAATTCTCGTCGACATTACGCGGTCGCCTCAATGAAACTGACTCGGTTGCGAGGCTGTGAAGCTCAGTGTGAGAATCGCCAAGATGATAATATCTTTGGCGACAACAATGAGGGATATTGCTAGTTGGTCTGAGCCGCTGCTGAGCTGTATATAAAGAGTCAAATTATCGACCTGAAAATGGAACTAATCTGGCACAATATTCGAGACACTAAGCTCGTTCATAAACATCTACATCATGATTCTCAATCGTCTTAAATTCGCTCTTGCGGCTGTCTTGACAGGCAGCTCTACGACTCTTGCGACCAAACCAGATATCTACGACTATGTCATCATCGGTTCTGGTCCAGGAGGAGGCTCTCTTGCGTGAGTTAAAGCAGAGCCTCAATAAACACTTCCCCTACTAACACAGCCAATAGTGCCAATCTAGCTAGAGAGGGACACTCTGTTTTTCTGATCGAGGCTGGAGGGGACAATCACACCAGCATACTCGAGCAGCTTCCAGCTTTGTAAGATCAGAGTCTCACAAGCGCGTGCTGTTGCTAACGGTCTCCAGGGCTCGAACTGCCGCTGAGACTCCAGGCCATTCTTGGCAATTCTTCGTCAATCACTACGACGACTTCGATTCAGCTCGCCGTGATCCGAAGTACACTTATATCCAGACCAATGGTTCATACTATGTTGGACTCGATCCGCCCGAAGGTGCTAGACCGTAAGGATCAGTACTCCTACTCGTCGAGTTTTGACTAATAACAAGATTGCAGTGCCGGCTTATACTATCCTCGCGGCTCAACCCTCGGCGGTAGTGCGCAAGTCAACGCGATGAATTTTGCCTGGTGTCCCGATAACGAGTGGGACTACATCGCCAATCTCACGGGCGATACCTCTTGGGGTCATGAGCATATGCGTCGACATCTGATGAATATCGAGAACTGCACCTACGTCCCTGAGGGTACTCCGGGCCATGGTTTCGATGGTTATCTGGTTGTAAGAAACCATCCCACTTCCCCCCTGATGAATTACACTAAGGTATCTGTTTATAGAACGACCAGAGCAACGCCACAGTCAATATCGAATCCCCCAATGTCGCCAACTTCTTCTCACAAATGTTCCGCGAGACCGAAGGCATCGATGTCGAAGACCCTGCCGAGATGACCGAGCTTCTTCTCCGCGATCTCAACGGTCTTGACCCCCGCCGCTACGTAAACGGTCGCATGTACAGCACGCCCGTCGCAATCGATCCCAGCACAGCTGCCCGAAGTGGTGCCGGGATTTACATCAACCAGGTCATCGATGCCGGACACCCATTGACTGTCAGCTTTCATTCCCTGGCGACACGCGTTCTCACCAAACAGGGCCGCAATAAGAAGCCCCGCGCTTATGGTGTGGAGTATATGGTCGGTGAGGGTTTGTACTCTGCTGATGGGCGATATGATCCTGAGCAGACTGGTGAAATTCGGGAGGTCCACGCTAAACACGAGGTCATTGTTTCCGGCGGCGCGTTTAATACCCCGCAGATCCTTATGTTAAGTGGTATTGGCCCGCGTGAGGAGCTGGAAGCTTGGGATATTCCTGTTGTTGTCGATCTACCAGCTGTTGTAAGTGCTCTCAGCGTCCTTCGAGTTCTTGATGCTGACCGTTCTACCAGGGTTCCAACCTGCATGACAACTACGAAGTTCCTGTTCAAATCCGCGGTGAAGAGAATTGGCTTGACCCGAGAGAATCCCCATGCACCGGTACCTTTGATGACGAAGACCCTTGCTTCGTACTGTGGCGAGACAACGCGTCGGGGCAATACGCAGCACGCGACAGTAGTTACGGCGCCGTCTGGCGAAGCAGCCAAAGCTGGGACAATGACTCGGACCTCATGTTCCTCAGTAGTCCCGGTCTATCAGGCTTGGTGGGCTTCTACCCAGGTTACTCCACGGGCGAGAGAGCAGGCAATGATCCCGCAGAGTGGATGCACGCTGTTGTCAAGATGCAGACGAGCAACAGCGCTGGTACCGTTCGACTCAACTCATCCGATCCTCGCATCCGTCCCAACATCAACTTCAACTACTTCACCGAGTCAGCTGAGCGTGATCTCGACGCTATTGTTGAAGGAATTGAGCTGCTCAGAAGGGCATTTGACGCGACCGGTGTCGCATATACACAGCTCAGTCCCGACCCCGAGAACCTAAGACAGAGCATTCAGGACTTGGCCTTCAGTCATCATGCCTCATCAACCTGCGCCATTGGAGCTGATGACGATAAGAACTCTTGTCTCGACTCGAGGTTTCGCGTACGTGGCGTTGACAACCTCCGCGTTGTCGACGCGTCTGTCTTTCCTCGAAGCCCTGGAGGTATGCCCAATGGTCCGACTTGGACTATCTCTCGCAAGGCTTTTGAGACTCTTTTGGAGGACAACCATTAAGCTCCCGTCCAGGGGTGTTTGGATCAGAGGTAATGGTCAAGGGGCGGGGTCGGGAAGGCTGATGCACTGAGACGAGTATCTTCTACCAAATTGATAACTTTTCGCTTTTGCTTCAGCCCATTGCATATAGTATACATTAGATAGTCAACCAATCTTCAACATTTCAAGTTTCTTTGGTCGCACCATGAAAGGAGAAATAAATATAGAGTCCAGGGTATGAAATTACTGATAACTCTATTCAGTCTAATAGCCTATCACAGCGCCGAACCCCATCAATAGTGGCTCACCTCCTGACCAATGAAACAGACCCCCCTCACTGTCAGATTAAGACACGGGGAAAAAAAAAGATGACAGCAAAACTTTGATCAAGTCCTGTCATCGGAGTCCTCGGATGTCACGATACAGGGCTTCAAGTCGCCATAAACCTTCTAGAAACCAGTCACACTATCAAAACCGCACCAACTGCATCCTATTTCAGTCGTCGCATGCCTAGTGCGCCATCTTCAACAAGGTTGTTAGTGCTGACTACTCACGGGCGGCCGAAATTGCCTCAACTTGCGGGGAAGACGGAGCATCCAACGACGAATCAACGTAGTTCAAGTCCAGAAACCAAAAGGTGAGCCGGGGGGAGATAATGCCATGTCTAATGTACATTGACTCAAAGATATGGCGTTTCATGTACTCATTCGTATTATCAAGCTATGACTAACACTTTTGATCTCATTAGATAACGGCAGTCAACCTGTCCCAGGCTGTCTGCTGTAGGCCATGCGGTCTAAGCATCAGATATTCATCACTGTTCCTATCCCGAGCCGTGTGCCGCCGGAAATCGTCCTTGCTCACATCCAGACCTACACGCCTATGCTGGCCAACAACGATGTTATTATGAGCTTCAAAGAGACGACTCCCAACGTGGAGCTCGTCAGCAGAGATCCGTTCTTTGGGACGCCAAATAGCAGCGTGAGGACGTTTTCTTCCAGTGAGAGACTCATGCTAGCGCCGGGTCTGACGAGGGATAGGAGCTGGCCTGTGACGTGTCTGAGTATACCGAATGGTATCCGCTGTAGAGCTGATGCTAAGGCTGGTGTTACTGTGAGGACGGAGTGGATTGTGAGGCCGAGGCAGGAGTTTGGGAGTAGTCCAAGCACTAGCAGTCCAGGAACTTTGGCGGAGGAGTGGGAGTTGTATGAGGAGGTTATCATTGAGGCGAATAGTCTTCTCATGCCATTTGTTGCGAGGACTGCTGATGAGGTTCATAGAGGGATCTGTCAGAAGGTTGTGGATGAGGTTGTGAACAAATACTTAGCCAATGGTACTCATTGATGAATTTTAATAACAAATACCTACCCATTGATTGATACTGATCGATGAAATTACTCTAACCTCTTCAGATGCCCAGAGTGACTTGATGTCTTTGCTTAAGATGGAGAACAACAGCTGGTTGAAGTTCAAGCATCCTTCACCCGCAACTCACCTGAGGCTCATCTAGCTTATGCACCAGTAATAAGGGTTTTCGTACAACTGCTCTCCACTTGGACAATATCCTTGTCTCCACTCTCACGCAACACCACGATGGAGAAACCTGTGGAGTCTTTGCAACATCTTGAGACATCAAAAGCACCGCGTAATTGGTTTAGTGGTAAAATTCTCCGTTGCCATTCGAGCAGCGTCGGGGAGCCCAGGGTTCGATTCCCTGATTACGCATTGACTCGACACTTCAAAGTGTCTTCTTTTTGATAATTTTGCTTGTTACTACTCGTGATTGCGGTGTTGTGAGTTCTGGCCCCAAGGCGTGCAAAACTTTGTGGGAAGAAACGGCCAAAACTGGTGTATACTCAGATGTATGAGAATGGACTTTTGCATAATAGTAATGTTCCTCATATAATCTCATTTCTTATGACCTGGGATAAGCTTGCGGCCAGTAAAGCAGTTTTATGGTCTTGGTGTAACATTTCCTCTTGCTCTGCAAGGCTTGGCTCAGTCAATGACGTAACAAAGCTGACGCCGGAACTCCCCACGTAAAGGCTCCATCTATACTAGATCTTCAATCCTTATCATTCTATAAATGGAAACCTCTCATACATGATAACCGCCACAGGAATGATGGCATCATCTCGGTGAACTACCATCTCCGGGTAATTAACTATCCCGCCATCCCTGAACAAGACAGCTTCAACCTGCAACCGTCAGTTCAGTATACTGAAATACGATATGAAAGTTACATAATAACTCACGCTATCGTAGCCAGTATCCGGCGCAGTCCGATATGGGCATGTAGATCTCATTCTTTGAGGCCTGTTGCTAGCGACTTGACACAGAAAGATAGCATGAAGCCAAGACCCCGGGTTTATGCTGACTGCGTAGTCGTCTGCTTCTGGACATGTGTTAGAAATGGTCTCGTACTGCTGTTTATTGACCTACTGGATGATACCTGCGAGGTATATATATACCGCGTCCGAACATACCCGGTCTTTCAATTAAGGTCAGTAAAACGGCCACTTTGAGTCAGAATAACATCAGTGTTGCTTACCTGACTTACTGAGTCTGAAAGAATTCCTTAGAATTCCACAGAAACTGCAGTTTGGCATGATGCACCACTGCAGCCTACCACCACCCCTTTCTTCACCAGCATTACAGGCCAGAGTCGTGCCGTGATATAACTGCCTACATCGGAAGCGTGACCTTGAGTTATACCGGCTATATCTTCTCCATCTGTGTGAGGCCTACAACTCATGTTGGCGGATAGCGAAGACTCTTCGGACGACAACTGTCTTGTTGGGGTGTCTCCAATAATCGCTGAAGTAGTTCACCTCCAGACAAGGTCAGTTGTATACCTGCAAAACGCCATTTGAGCGGTCCTTATGTGCGTGATACTCAGGGTCATCTGGCATGAGAGGGTGCATCTGCTGTTCCTGATGTAAGAAATTAATCCAGGATGCGGACAGTCCTTCTTACCGGAGGCATGTTGGTGTAGTATATATTTGTAGAGGGTGAGTAGTAAGTATATAAAACTGAGAGTTGGGTGATGTTGGGGTGGTAGATCTTCGAGATATATGTGCCGATTGAGATATCTACAAGTTGGATTATTATAATATGGCCTGGAGTTGCCAGATAAATGAAAGATAATATGAGATGAAATGAAGTTCGTATTTATGATTGTCGAGTGATAGTGAATAAATGAGCTAGGTTTGGTTTGTGCCGATTAGGTGCTGAAAGACTGACTAGGTTCTATTTGATGAGAGCTCCGTGTTACACCAAGTGTCAGCGGCAACTGGACATGTGTTCTCGATGCGCAATCAAGAAACAATCAACACCAAGTCAACAGGCCACCACGGGCAATAACGACCCTCAATGTCAATATGTTGACGGGCGATAGAAAGTTGTTACTCTGTGTTACCCTAACTATCAGATGCAATACATACAGCAAGCAAGGGCTTGAGTGCAGCAACAGATCTGATACAGAAGAGGGAGGCACACGGAAAAGGAGGTAGGGTGACTCGACTTTATTGATATTTGTTTTGAGGATACAGAGGTTCGTAGCGTCCGATACTGAGTTGTAAAGTGGGCAATAGCAGGGATAGATCGCGCAAAAAGAAGACGAGAATGAGGCCGGTACAGATCAGAGTCTAGAAATTTCCCAGGTCTTATCTTAAGGTAATGCTTGGTAATGACCAGGGAGGCTTACGAACGGTTGCGGTCGCGGAAATGGGCCTCGCTCTGTTGGCAGGAACGCCTGTTATATACCTAGTAATTGCCATGAAACCCGCGTCACAGACTGCTTTGTGACTTGCCGACTGAAACGGAGTTAAGCTCACTTGACCGTGAGTGATCGGAACCCCGAACTTGCGCAATGAATGTCTAGTTAGGGAGAGAGAAGTTCATTCCGAGTTTATGTCAACGCTAACAAGTCCTTCGACGATCAGATTCAGTCTTCGAAATTTCATCAGGCATCAGATACAGGTAGTGAAAGCCTGTAATGTCTACCGCAACGGGTGAGGTTGTGTGAATCTTGGTTCATACATACGTTAGAAGCAGCCATTCATAGGTAAGCTGTAATTGAATCGGATGCACCTGCTCAGATGATAGTGTTATCTTGAGTTGCCAGACATGGCAGCTGATGCTTACATCGCACGCTTCACTGCACCTGCTCAGAGGTTCGAAAATCAGAGCAGTCACAGACAGGAAGCAAAAGCAACGGAGTCAAATTTCTTCGCTCAAAAAGCTCCCAAAAAGACATTATCATCACTCAGCTCAACTTTCACCAGAATGAAGATCAGCGATTTGGAAAACCCGAGAGACCCGACCCCAATGAGGTAGCCAAGGAGTACATCAAAAGTTTACAGAGAAACAACGACACGGAAACCTCGACAGACCCCAACCCCAACGTCGCGGCCGAGGAGCCTGTCGGAAATGTACCTGATCCTGGACCATCACAGGCAGAGAGTTCGGAGGCACAGAATACTGGAAGTGACCAAGGAGTCCCAGAATGTCGCATTTCAGGCTGCAGAAGACCAGCGGCTCGTGGTCTGAAGTCGTGTGAGGAACACCTGAAAAGGTCGAATGAATTAAACAAGTCAGCAAAGAGGAACCTTCAAATCAGAATGAAATCCAGCTTCAACTAACCAATCAAGCAAGAAAATTAGAGAACGGCTTAAGGGAGAAGGGCGGTGTCAGAGTTGTCGCATGCAGGGCGCTGGTGGGACATTCTGTGCCACATGCAGGGAGTCAAATACTGCAAGGTCTGCAAAGCAAAGAGAGAGAAATCGGAGAAAAAAAGAGAGCAATGATGCTTTAGAGAATTAGGCGACATGTCAACATCAGGGGAATGCGCATTTGCTTCGTGTGGCCTCAAATCAGTGGCATCCGAAGAGCCGACGAATACGAGGAAGGATTCATTAGCCTTTAGAAGCCACTCAATATACAACCGTTCCTCGGAAGAGCCATTAGTAAGGTCTTTGACCTGCCCATATGAAGTTCATCACGGTGTTGCAAGACTGACGAGTTAGCTATCTGAGCTTCCAACGTATTAATAACTGATGAGAATAAAAGATTCCCAAACTAATGTGAAAGAGTGAGGTAGTGAATAAGACATATGCCTATACTGTAAGAGAATGTTTACATCACGATATATCCTCCGTTCTTGACCTAAATCTGCTTACTCTCCCCAAATGGTCGTATGACATAGCTAACTCCGAGGTGTCAAACTAAATGAACGTCCTGGTACCAGTATCCTTATCCCCTCAGACCCCTTCCCCACAGAACCATCCCTCATGTGCCAATCACTCCATCTCCCCTAAGGAGGACCGCACCTCCAGCTCTTGTAGTGAGGCTTCTTCGTAGTCTTGAAAGCAAAGTTGTCCGCTCCCTCAATACTGACGTAACTTCCCTTGCAGTTGGCCTCAGTGTACACCTTGCAGTCGAAGCAGCTGACAAGGGACTTGGTGTCGTCAGAGTAGACATCAAAGTACTTGATGTTTGCGGGAAGATTGTAGCATTTGCCTGGTTTTCCAACGCCAGTGAAGTACTTGCCGGGCTTGATCTTGAGCTTGATGAGATTAATGCCGGGGTTGCACTGATCAGCGCGTGCTTCGAGGGTGCCTTCCTCTTCAATGGCCATGGCGTTGGCAGCACCGAGGCTGAGGGTGATGATGGGGATAAGAGAGGAGAGATGCATTTTGATTGTGCTGGGCTGCTGAGATTATGGACTTGATTCTTGATGAGATGCTTTGATTGTTGATTCTTTGTGATGATGAGTTTCTCTCAACTAACCGGGCAGTCCCTCGACTATTTATGCTTCCGTCAGAATAATCCTTTGAAAGTACTTCTGTTAATATTTTGACCTTATTCAGAATGAATATCTCATCAAACCATGTCGGTATCTCACCAAAACCTATGAATAGTTACCAGATTCCGTCCCCCGACGGTGAGAAACGGGCTAGGGCTTTCCATGTGCAATAAATCAATTCACGGTTTTCATAGCTACACATCTCCGTGTAAAAGCGCTGCGAGTCAATTCGGAGCCTGTTGTTTTACATTTCTGCCGTCAACTATTAATAGTGACGTGCCTCCGTCGGAAAGCGCGGAGAAATTAGTTGGAGTCGCTTTCACACCAAAACTGCTGTCAGCTATGCTCTCATAGTCTTATGTGACGAATGTAAGCTTATCTTGGGCAATTGTGAAGGCAGTTGGTATGCTGCCTGAACTGTGTTTATAAGAGTGTTATTTTGAGTTGATAGACCTGATAGCTGATGCTTGCATCGCACGCCTTAGTCATGTGACAAATACGTTTGATTCTTCCACTTTGGACATGCAAGTCCTGCACGAAAACGCAAAGATCTATTCTTAGAGAGAGTCCTAGGTTGCTTGGATCTGTTACAGCCACGGCTCCACGCCAAGCTGGACCAAAGTTCTATTATAATCAAACTCTCAAAGCCGGTCCTTTTGACGAGTGCTTCTAGACTGCTAGCCAAAACGCATTTGAGACGGCACCCACTGCAGCTGCCTTTGAGTTCCTCATCAACCTCCGATACTCCTCAATCTTGGAGGTTCCGACCATGATCAGCTCCTCTTCCACTTCTTGAGTGAGGCCATCCTTCCAGAGACAAATCATTCCATTGATCTGTTGATCATCAATCGTCACTGACATCACAAGACTCGTCTTGTCCCTCAACTCCCATGAAGCTTTGCCGTAAGCAACCATTCCCGTTGGCTTCCAGTGTAACTCGCCAAGACCGCCACCCGCAGTGTACTTTCCATCAGCCCCCTTCATAGTGATGGTGCGACTCTGCTGTGAGAATTTGACCTCCGTCTTGGGAGGGATGCTGTGAAAGTCGATCATAGCGATCTCCGCATTCTGACGCAGAGACTTGACGTAGCATTTATCTCCCCAGATTTCCAGAACAGCTCGCCGTTCGACTTCGTAACGAGGTGTTTTGTCGCCATTGACACCCAAGATTCGGCGGTGTCCGATAAGAGCGGTGTAGTGCATCTCCAGCGCGGGCTTTTCTGCGCTGCGTCGGGGGTCAGGAGTTGCGTCTTCACGAACAATGAACTTTTCAAGCCAGGAAGGGGCCATTTTGGATTTGAGGAGGATAATTGTATATAGGGATCTAAATGTTGGTGTGTAGGAGTAGAAAAGGATTGGTGGCATGTCAGTCGTGATCCAAGCGTCGCTTTAAGCTGAAAGCGAGAACCCATGCAGGGTGAGTGTCCCCTTAATCTGACAGACCAAAAGCCTAACTTAACAAGGCTTAGCCATTTCCATTACCGTGTAGTCTTACGTACTCGAAATATCATGCCCTGTCACAGGATGAGACTTTATCCTGCAGACAGGCTATTCTCTTTGCATGATTCCCGCATCAGGCAGGGGATTGGATCGCTCTGTTGGAAACATGAGAGTGATCTTTGATGATGACTTAGGGTGGAAAGCATATAGAGCGGAGGCCTTTGTTAAAAAAACACAAAAATGAACAATTCCAGACAAATAACAAAATTCTTTGTACGATAGCTCCGAACAGAACCTGAGCCTGCATAGATATCCCGGTCACCTCAAGCACAAATGAACCTCATATATCTGGTCGGTAGCTCAGTGAAAGAAAGCCTCTATGGCGATCGGATGAGGCGTGCGATCTGGTATAAAATGTGCAGCTAACCCGCTGACACTTGGGATTGCAATAAGATCATCGAATCTGATTAGCTTGTTCAACTGGACTAGTTGTCGACATTTATTAAAACTCTTTCTCTACCGTTACTCGAAACTAAACGAGACCAATGTATCATGCCTTCCAGCAACAACCAAGCAGGACAGGGCAGACGCTTTCGGCCTAAACCGTTCGATTTTAGTTACATCCTGAGCCCATATCCTCCATTTGCGAGCCATCTAGCTAATTCACTTGACAGCCTATCTCTCGCAGACGAAACAGCAATCGGAATCACTACTCAAAATTCCCCCTCGGTTAACAAGCCTGCCCTATGTTCAAGACTCTCGTGTCGCAATCCAGTCCGAATTAATTGCAAGCAATGCGGCAACTGTATAGATAAAAACTCGGCTCGAAAACGAGCTCGCACTCAACAACGTCGGAAGCAGGGCATCAAAAATCCGATCACTGGCGAAACGACCAAGCTATGCGCCGACTGTGGCGTATCTTCTGACAAGTACAGGTGCGGCCGTTGCTATAAGAAGAAAATTGCTTCGAACCAGGTCGCCTACTATAGACGACGTGAGAAGGGTCTATGTACAAGATGCGGTGGGGAGATGGACAGAGAGGGATCCTGTTGCAAAAGATGTCACTGTGAGAAGTATCACCTCTACAACAAGAAGACGAAATCGACAGATAAGGGGATGTTCTGTTGACACAAGTCAAGGCACTACTATATGAAGACAGTAGATTCTAGAAAAAGAAATATCAGTCCGTAAGGACGAAGGTAGCGTCATATAGTGAGCCTTTCAAACCGAATCTGATTTTTCCCTTGTAGCTCAAACTCTATCATTACAGCTATTCACGACGTGAGTTCCACTCCCGATCGAAATTTGTCAAAGCTCTCTGCGCAGTAGGAACGCAATCCAGAGCTTTGATAGAGACCCGCGGCGGTAAGCTCAACATGTACAGCACCGACTGCGCTAGATCCTCTGCAACCAGCGGCTCATATCCTTCAACAAATTCATCCATAGCACTCTGATCATACTTAACTCTCTGAAGATGGAAATGCGTCTGGACAACACCTGGCCGAAGAACTAAAACCCTGATGTCTGATCCGGCAGTTTCCATTCGAAGACTGTTGGAGAAGCCCTCGAGGAAGGCTTTTGATGCATGATAAACTGCTTCGCCGTTAAATGGTGGACACTCGAGACCTGTGACGGATGAGACGTTTATGATGGTTCCTTTCTTTCGTTCCCACATTGAGTGATTCAGAACTGCGTGGGTAGTGAACATGACGCCGTTGATGTTGGTGTTTGACATCTGGGCGACTTGATCGATGGGGATTTCCCAAAAGCGTCCCGGCGCGCCAAGTGCAAGCCCGGCCTGAGATATCGTTAGCACTGAGAAATCACCGGGAAGCAGATATCTTTCACCCACATTATTAATAAGGATGTCAATTTGACCAAGCTCAGATATGGCTGTCTTGACTGCCTTTTCAATGTCTGGTTGATTCTGAATGTCGACAGGGTAGACTCCGACCTTGATCTCAGAGAATTTGGATGTGATCTTGTCTCGCACCGCCTCAAGCTTATCCTACATCGAAGACATTCATCAGTGAATGGCCTCGGGTTTTGTTTGATCGCTCCGCACCTTGCTTCGAGATACCAGAGCAATGTTCACGCCATGCTCGGCCAAAGCCAACGCAATGGCTTCGCCAATGCCCATAGAGGCTCCAGTCTATTGGCATAGTTAGCATCTCCCAGACCAATGGTAGATGGTTACAAACGATAAAAGCGGTTTGTCCCTTCAAGGCCTCCATTTTATCCTCCGTTTTGATAGTGAGAGCTCAGCTGCTGCAAAGAGTCAAGAGAGGAATGCACTGCGGTATTTATGGCTTTGAATTTAAGGGCCTGTACCTAGCTGATAAATCAACATTTCTTTCATTCATGTTGTAGTCAAAACAAGGTCCATAGTGACGTCGACGATGACTAATGAAGGATAGTCCCAACTCGTATCGTATAGGACCCGAGTACTCGGAAACCACCATGTTTAAAATCCGCAGCCACGCTAGAGTAGATTCGATAGGCTTCCATATTTTCGTAATAGGAAAACCCTTTTCTTTTAGTTGCTCTTCTCCTTTTTCACGGCGTCCGCTTGTGCATGCTTGGTGATGTAATTCATGATGCCGAGATGTCATGGAAGCGGGGTAGCTAGAAAACGCTATTCACCTTGTCCCTTCTGAGAGAGGCTTATTGAGAAGCCTGGCGTAGTACAGCCAAAATTATGAAAGCCGAGCAGAAGTTCTTTGTAACGCTGCCGTCAATGAAACATAACTATCAGTAAGGTCCAATCATCAGGAGACGATAAGGGCATACGGGCCACGGCAGCAGAACAGGTGTTAGGCGCAATGGAGTAATGGAAAGTTGCTAATAAAACCTGAACCTCCGCCGTTCTCTAAACACAAAATACATATATAATTTATAAACATCCATCTTTGTCCCTGTTAGTCAGTTCTATCATACCCTCAACCCACCCCAAACTAATCCGATGAGAAAGCTTCCGGATATAGCTCAACCATCTTCTCGTAAGCCTTCTGGGCCCTGTCCTTAAGGTCCCACCTGGCAGTCTCATCCACCGTCTCAGCAACCTCCTTAATCTTCGATGCCCAAAGCTTCCACTTTGTAGCATTCAGCTCAAACTTCCACTTCGGCAAAGGATTCTTGGCGCCCTTTACAAACACCTCCCCTGCGAGAAGTATATGATTGATGGCTGCAAGAACCTGAGCCTGGCGACCTGCATCTGTCTTTATGTCGCCCGACGTGCAGACCTCAAACGTTCTTTCCAAGTCTTTCGTAATCCAGTGTTGACCATCGTTGTCTAGGCAGCCTCCTCGGAAGAGCTTGGCGAGTAAAGCACATGAGCTGAACCATTCTCCTGCCCATACATCTTCAGGTTCTTGTGAGTTCTTTGCTGTGTAGGTATCAACTATACGAAGAAGAGCGCGTCAGCATGTTTGAAACCGAAGGGTCTTTTATCCGAGCAATAACGTACCATGACCAGCATTCCAAGACTCGCTGGCTGCAGCTTGAAGTCCCCAACCAATCCAGACGAATTGAGGATCCTACAAAACTAATTAGTGACCACATAGATGTTAGGTGATTCCATTACTAACCTCTTCATCGAACTCTTTTGCTGCTCCATCCTTAATCGCAATCAAGAACTCTGTGATCCTGTCATGCCGCCAGCTCGCATACCACACCTTGGGAGCGACTTCAAATGCAATTAATGAAATTGTGTTCAGGTAATATCCAGCTCCGTGATCAGGCATTTTACTTTGCCGGCCGGCTTCAGCTTTATAAAGATCGTAAAACTTGGTGACGGCTTGTGATACTGCGGTATCGTCGTCTTCAGAGGCAACCAGCAGATCTCGAACAATTTCGTAGGATGGGGATTCTGAGAATAATCCATCGCGCTCCTCTTCAATTCTTTCGTCGAGGAACTTTAGCCATGAAGGAGCATCAGAGGGCTGGGCGACTTCTGTAATTTCTGAGTTGTCCATGATGATTGATCAAGTGAAAAAAAAAGGAGGATTGATGTGATGGATGAGAAGACAGTTCGAAGAGACAGAATATACGCTCGTTTCTCTTATTTCTTGTGAAATCAATGATCATCAGGCCTCCCTCGTGGCTGTGTGACATGAGGTTGAGTTCAAGGCAGAAATTGACTGAGGCGGAGCTGGTACAGTTCAGTTTACAACCAACACCTGCGCCATTTCTCCACCCAATCAGCTCACCACAACGATACGCGCGCGTTTAATGCAATGTAACTGTGACAAGCGTTTAGCAACTTCATTTGATTATCATGTGATTTTTCTTATTTTATAATTGATCCTTGCGATACCTTCATATGATTCCGGTTATCCGGCCGTCAAGATGATATGTCAAAGGTATTGGCGCGCGTCAACACCATGTCAAATAGCCGATAGGCCAACCATCCTGGTCTTGGTCAACACCATCCCATTCACCTAGTCTCAGGTTCACCATTTTATGTATGTTGGTTCTAGATATCTTCCAACATGCATATTTCATCCCGGAAATACGACTCTCATGTCTCATGGTCTCGGGTCTGGGCCAACATCATTATTTACCGGATCTAAAATTATCCACGATGGAATTGTATAATATGTCCAATGTTTCGATGGCTTTTACTGATCAAATCAACAACTTCATCAATTATTTCCAAATTATCACTAAGTCGTCGTTGATCGACGACTCGCAATCTTTCTTTGAGCTCATTGACCTTTCGCTTCATTGCCTTTCCTCCGCTTTCCAGCCTTCATCTCGCCAATCAACTCTTTCATCCTGTTTAATATAGCACTTCTCTTTGCTATCTGCAACTATGAGGCGATTCTTTGGACGTAAGGAAGAGCCAAGGCGCAACTCAGACGATGAGTACAAAAAGATGGTAAGTCCCAAGCTCCAGTGAAATTAAAGCCACAACTAACCATACTGCCCTGGCAGCAATACTATTCTCCGCGAGGCATCATCCCTGTCAAAGTTGTAGAGCAACAGACGCAAGAAGTTGTCTTTGATCCGACCAAAGTCTCTCGCAACACGAAGGACTATCCTCATGCTTATGAGGATGCAAACCTAGAGGGAAAGACCTTCCAGGAGTGGGAGCGTAGACATGACGAGGAGAAAGTTCGTCTGTACGAGATGCCAGTCAACACCAGAATGAACTTGACCAAGAGACCGGCAACGTTCAAGCAGGTCCAAAGACGTGAGCTGGAATTACGTCCGAACGATAGGAAGGATGTTGTTCAGAAAGAGCTTAACGATCCAGGTGTCTTTCGGGGCGTCATCACTGGAAATGTTGAGACTGGTCGAGTCTACGGTGTCCAGGGCGTTATCTATCACCCAGAACAAAACCCTCGTGGTTTTAGACGATCTCCCGTCGAGCCATTGGATCGTGAGGGGCGTCAGTTCTTACGCCGTTTTGAGGACGATGCTGCTGATCCCAATCGTGTGACGACTTGGCCTCCTCGGGATGAGGATGCAAGTGACCTTCAGGCATATGAGGAACGGTACAAGCAGGTTAGGAAGACTCGTCCGCCTCAGCAGCAGAAGTCTAAGCAAAAGGCACCCAATGCGAATTGAGGTCAGGATGGATATTTTGTATATAATTCGAGTGAGTTGTTATAGGGCGTTGGATAATGAATACGGGTTTGTGTAGAGTTCCAGATTTGTAGCTTGACTTGACAGCATGCTTTGGCAATGTGACTCTCAGCTGTAACATTATTGAATTCCTCCCATGACCTGTCACTAGCCACGGTGCCGTGGTTTGATGGTGTAAGTGACCGCCAAATAACTCCAATCCTTGAAGCCCCCGCCAAAGGGCCTACTGCCTCGTCCTGGCTTGCCATCTTAAGGTGATCTGTCGCTTATACGATGTCCACTTTCTGGAATTCCCCGTTGTTCACAGCCTCGCCATACATCGCCCCATGCACATAAGTCTCCCCAATCAAAGTCCACCCTTGAGCCCCCTTCCGCAGCACGAACGGGACATGCGTCCCAGCGATCAAGCTCACAGCATCACCAACTTCTGTCCTCGCCGGCCCCAAGCCCAGGTATCCCTTGTCCGTCACGAAAAGCACCCGCTCAGCTCCAGCATCATCCACCGCAATTGCAAAGATATCTCCCTCCTGTGGATCAGTTTTGTTTTGACACCGAAGATCATGGTTAGCCTCAGAAGCAGAGTCTGAGATGCGAGCAAGATAGTTTGCAAAATGGTCGCTGCAAGCATCAGGAGCAGGATGACTGGTGAGCCAGATGTTCGTCAAAAGTGTTCGCCAGAGCGCCTCAGGGACTGCTGTTGAAGGTTGGGGCGGATAGGCTATGTCGGCGAGGCGAGCCCTCCCCGGGTACCATGACCGAAGGCTCTTGTAGAACGCCTTCTCCTCTTCTTTTTTCCTGGGTAAAGGAGCAATCTTGGTAATTCTGTCCAAGACATGAGCGCTCACGGATAGGGCTCTTCCGTTTCGGGACAACGAATAATCGCTCTTTACACTAGATGCAGCGTGGAAGACTCGCCAACTGTGATCATACAGCGGTCTACCCCGAGCCTTTTGAGTCTTCATCTCCTTCAGGAACAATGGCTCAGTCGCAACGGCGCTTGCCATCTTCGGGACCCAACTTGGGTAGCCAACTCCCTTCCCAGACCAGTCTGGCTGGAGAGCATCGTCAAAGATATCTTCTTCCAGCGGTGCCCAATCAGGTTTCTTTGAAGGAAATCGCTTCTTCGCCTTGTACCTGTCTAGTAACCTGTTGCCTATTGGTTTGGACGATGTGAATTTGTAAGACTCTGGGGGAAGTGGATGGTTGACCAGAGACAAAACTAGAAGACCTGGATCACCAGTGATGAGTCGCTGCGCTATGTCGAGGTAGAAGTCGCCCATGTTTCGATTGCTGTAATCTGGTTTGAGAGTTGTCTGGCCAAGCGTTGCTGGGTCAGTTATACCGAGAAATGCCCAGACCTTGTCACGCGGATCACCAGCCATCCTAGTCGCTCCAAGCATCGTCACATCAAGAAGATGAAGTTTGGCGGCACTCCTCTTCAAATCGAACATCGACGGCTGAAAGGTAACCCAATGAGGTACCATCTTGGGCGACAAGTGACTCGCAACGAAGTACGTCCAATCCATCGCCTTCTTCAACTCTGACGCCGGGACTTCCTCGCCATCGTAATAGAAAGCGTATTCCTTTGCAAGGATGAACTCCTGAACAGTCCAAACTCGACTCCACCAACTCTCCGTGACGATCCGGAGGAGACTGAGCCATGAAATAAGCTCTGACCCTGTCGAGGTTGCATCGAAAAATGCTTTTGCGGTTGTGTACTTCTTCCCATGGAACTGGATATCAGCATTGTTTGGGTCTTCTGGGAATGCTGGCCACGCTTTAAGAATGCTCATCGCTGCTGTTCGTTCCGTATGCTTTCTACCAAGCCAGATAAAGACTTTTTCAGCTGCACTGTATATCTCATCCATGCGAGCTACCTGAACAGTCTTCTCATCCGGGTTTTCCTGATTGATACACACAGCGTCAGTCCAGATAGGTCTGCCGTTGAGGTATTTGTGTAAGCCAAGTAGGGCAGCGTGCAAGTTGGCTCCGATAGGAAACCGTTTGTTGTTAATCGCTATATCGACTGTATCGGCATGGCTGAAGTGAGGAACCTCAAGCTCAGTCTCGCGAAAGTCGCGACCGCGATTCCACATCGGTCCGAAATCGACCCAGACGTAAGAGAGGCAGACATAAGGCGGTATCTCGGATGCGGAGTAAGTGTTCATAGTCAGAGAAAGGACAGAGTCATTGATCTCCACCTGAACAAGGCGTATTCCCTTTGTGTCTTCAAGGGGCGAGTGAACCAACATCTCTGTTGGTAAGTCCTATCTCAGGTTCAACTTCACCGCAATCTTAAGACGAGAATGTAATCCCTTACCGGCATTTTGCTAGATGATCCTTGAAGGCTTGAAAAGAAGCCAGATAATCTTTCTTGACCGGACTGGAAGGCTGCTTTGTAGCCTGCCTTGACCCCCTCAGCTGTTGAGTAATCCACTGCCCATTTCGCCAGGGCTACGAAAGCGTCGGTGCTGTTTTCGGCTCTGAACTTGGGATCGCGAGGAATCCGAGCTTCAAATGGTATATCCATGTTAGTTAAGAAAGATAAAGGTGATTGAGTCTCTGTCAGGTTAAATTTGTGAAGTGGTCATTGTTGGAGAGGCATTGAATCTCACGGCTTACTCCCTGGCGATCTCCTCAGCTGTGACGTAATTGTGCTTCCTTCACTCGAGCGAATGAGGACGATGAAAGTGTTGTTTCACAAATGATTTCATTCTTCCGCGTTGTCGACACCTGTATTGTCTCTTTTAATATTGACATGGCGAATGAAGGCTGTACACTGGCTCATACTCTTTTCTCGACTGTTGCCAAGATCTGTCGGGCCTGCAGCGGCACAGCACCACTAAAGATGAACGCTGAATAGCCGCCCCAATCCCCTAAAGTTAAGCCTGAGGGACGCCCGCCCGCTGACTTTAATCTGTCTGTATAATTTATACTTGGCGGTGGAGATAAGTCTTCTGGTCTTAACTGGCAGACTTGTATCGTAACCAGATTCATCACGTTCCTTACCAGCGATATAGATATTTCATTCATATCCTCAAAATGACAACTTCGTACCGAGAATCATCATATCCATCCGTCATGACTGTCGGTGTTCTCAATGAGTAAAGCTTCAAGATAAGCTTCTGACGGTCCAGAGACAGGTGTCACAACTGTCACTCCAACGGCCGGTGTAACTGTCAATGGAAAAGTCCATAAGTAGAAGATACCGTAAGGTCTTATCCTCGACTCACGTTCCAAGATACGTCCTCAGTTCTGGCTAAACATGCCCATCATCCCATGATCTCCGCAACACTAGACCCAGTTCAGAGCCCTGTCTCAACCAATGGCGTCTCCACGTGCGCTCCAATTAAACCGCGTAATTTCCAACCTCACAACCATCCTCCATCAACTAACTCCCTTCCCCCTTCAGTATATATAATGACGCTTTCCTGGTTCCGCTGCAGAGGGAGACTGCTCGTCCTTACATCAGTCTTCTCCTTCGGCACTTTCTTCGTTTTGAGACAATACGCAGATATGGCGTCCTTACCGAAAAGCTCGCTACTCGTTCTCCTTGCGGCAGCGCCGGTATTGGGAAATGACCCAAATATGAAGTGGTTTCCTCCGAGCTCTAGTCAGGTTAATGATCTTGACAAGGTGTTGGATGGGAAGGGTACTTGGGGGTTTATTTATGACTCGTCGCACACGCCGGATGACAAGTATGGCACGTATAATTGGTGTAACATGCCTCATGCGAGGAAGAGGGAGTACAAGAAGGCTTCCAAGGAATATGAGTTGCAATATGTCGAAGTGGTCAGTAGTGTTCTATGCTCAGATATGATAAGGTGGCTGACTTTCATCAGATTCAAAGACATCACAAGCGTACTCCATACGCAGCAAACGCTTTCCCAGTTGAGCCATACCAGTGGAACTGCGATAATCAAGGCCTCTACTATTTCGGCCGCCAATTTACTGAATCTCCCAAACCCAACGCCCAAGGTTACTGGAAAGGATTCACCTCCGAAATCAATCCCTTCATCCCTTCCGGATGGATCGGATCCTGCCAATTTCCTCAAATCACAGCCGAAGGTCTCGATGATTCTTGGGTCCACGGAAAGGACCTCTACGAAGTCTACCACGATCTTTTGAAATTCATCCCAGGCCGCAAGGAAGATTGGCGGAGTAAAGTCATGTTCAGAGTTACCAATAACCAGATTACGAGTCAGGTTGCTGGTATGTTCATTAACGGCATGTATCAGACCACAGAATCTGTCCCGTTGCTTATTCAACAAGCTGGCGTGGATAGTCTGGAGCCGCAGTACAAGTGCAGTGTTGGAAGCCAGTTGACTAGCGCCATCAAGTCTTCATCCAACAAAGAGTGGCAAAAGCATCTTGACAAGACAAAGGATCTTTACAAGACGCTCGACGACATCTCTGGTGTACCATCTAATGATGTTGGGTTCCATGAGAGCTTCGATCACTACTACGATAACCTCTCCGCTCGCCAATGCCACAAGAAGCCCTTCCCCTGCAAACTAGTCAACGGGAAGAACTCAACAACATGCGTTGACCAAACACTCGCTCACAAAGTCTATCGTCTCGGTCAATGGGAATACTCCCAAATCTACCGCGACGCACCCGAATCCCTGGCTGCATCCGCTACATCATGGGGTGTATGGATAGCCGAGCTAGCAAGCCACTTCCGCGCCGTCATAGCCGGCAAACAAGATCTGTTATACTTGCACAACTTTGCCCACGATGGTTCCATCAGTCGATTGTTGAGTATTCTTCAGATCGATGCGATGGTCTGGCCTGGTATGGGGAGTGAGGTTGTTTTTGAGCTGTATAAGAAGAAGGAGGAGTTTTTTGTTAGAGCTCTTTGGAGTGGAAAGACGTTGACGTCTTCGCATCCGGAACTGGGCAGGATGGAGATGGTGCCTGTGAAGACGCTATTGAAGTATTTTGATGGGTTGACGGGGAAGGATGCTAGTCTTGTCAAGGGACGATGCTCCGGTGATGTTCCTCTGTGAAATGGCACCTTACGGTTTACTTAATGTTAGGGCTTGATATCATTGGCCAGCTTACATGGATACGTTGCTAGGCAGACAGTTACACAGGTGTTCTGAATAACAAAAACTAATCAACAAGGTAGTACAGGTTTCAAAAAGCCGTTTGCTGTTTGACAAACGCAGCCCAGTATCCTGCTTTGGGCCTTGCGGGTCCAATCAAAGCTTAATATTCCCCTAAACCAAATTACCTTCAACCACAAACATTGAATCACTCATGTTCTAATCATCCCACGCCTAAACTTACAGTCACCTCTCTCTCTCTCTCTCTCTATTTCAAGACTTAATTTAAGTATAGTCCGTTCTTCAGATCCCATTCCTAGCCCTAAGATTATGGCATCAATCTAGCGAAGCCGAAAATGCCTTACTGTCCTCCTTGCGACAGGCACTTCCGCCTAGAGAACTCTCTGGACCAACACATCCAAGCCGTGCACCCTCAAACGTATTGTTGGCGTTGTGAAAGACACTTTCCTCATGAACGTGCAAAGGAACAGCACATCGAGAACTCTGCACGACATAATATATGTACTCACTGCTATCATGAGCCCGACTTCAGTTCAGAGGATGATCTGAAGAGTCATCTGATAAAAGACCACCATGCTTGTATTCCATGTGATGAGTACTTCTCCGACGATTACGATCTTCTGGAGCATGATGTGGATGTTCATGATAAATGCCGAACCTGCGGCCGATTCTTCAAATCGCGATCGAACCTAATCAACGTTGGTCTTCCTGACTACTGTTCTATCTTTCTCACTTCATACTTATCCTTTTATAGCACCGCAAGACCCACGCTGCGAAAAATGTCGAATGCCTCGGATGTTCAAGGATGTTCATCTCTCATTCGGCCATGGTGCTCCATCTTGAGGCGAACACTTGCGAGTCGGGCTCCGACAGAGATTCCATCAGAGGGTGGGTTTGGGACTACTACGAGATCCATGGGCGCTGGAATCATGACCACGACGATGACTTTGACTGCGAAAGCTGCGGAGCGAATTTTAACATGTTGAGCGCTCTGCTGCAGCATGTCGAAAGTGAGAGCTGTGACGCGAGTATCTCGGATTATGACTCGCTTTTCGGCCATATACAGCAAAGTATTTACTACAGCTAGAGCTTTTAGAGCAGCGGATGCTCTCTTAGTACAATAGTAGTTCAGTGGTCTTCCTAGTTTAGGCTAAAATACTAATATTCTCATACCAAAGAGCATAAAATGCCTTGGATGTGACATGATATTCATCTCCCATTCCGTCATGATGTTTCATCTTGAGGCCGATACTTGCTCATTGGGGTCAAATATGAGGTCTATCAAATTGGCAGTGCTGTATCACCATCGCCGGGCAGAATAGGTTTCTAATCTCGACTATAAAATTATGTCTGGGTACAGGTCGGGCTTCCAAAGTCTCAGCGGCCTGCGACCGAGTCGCCTATGACGCTGCCCGGAAGCAGCCTACCAGCGTGCCGATCACTGCTGTTCAACAATACCAATACCCAATTGGTCCCGACTCTTCTGAGAGCGCTGCCTATGCTCCCCGACAATTTCCAGACTATGGCGAAGACGTGTCTGGCGCTGCTGCGGCCCAGAACATAAACCGCACGATTGCCATGGTGGAAGAACAAGTGTTCTTGCACACAGCATGCTGGACGCTTCACTGCATGCCCTGTCGAATTGTCTTCAATGACGCCAGCGAGCAAGCGGCACATAACTCCAAATGGCATTAGGATAGATTCCTATGTTTCGCGTGCGACATGAGGTCTGAAACGGCCATAGATCTCAAGAAGGTCAGTCCCCAATCGCCGCCGTCCAATTCGATGAGTAACCTGGTTTGTCCTCCAAGTATTTATCATCGCATCGCATGAGTCCAATTAAGTGCCCAGCATGTGAGCACAGATGCATCTCGTACTCACAGATGATGTATCATCTTGAAGGAAACCGATACAAGTCAGGCTTCAATTCCGTGTTCCTCGCTAAAGTACTGCCCAAGTACTGTCACGGAAACGACCAAGCTTCCGGTCCTGGCCTGAACATGACTTGTCCGGGTTGCGACGTCAAATTCGAGACTCTGTCTCTTCTATTCCGCCACATGGAATTGAGATAAGCAACGGGCCTGGCACATCTACTCTATATCTTGAAGCATGAAATCGACGTGGCCAACCGGACTTGCAATATTTGCAAAAACCTGTTTGACTGAGAAGCTGGTCTTTTTAATCATTTCGGTACGAACACGAGAACACCGTCTGCCGAACTTGTGATAAGTGTTTTCTTGACTCGGAAAAATGGCACCAACATATCATCTCACGCACGCCGATCAAGACTCAGGCTTACCTCTGCAACTTTTGTCGGCGATCAGTTGCTTTCGACATGGACCACGACAAATGCGGACATTGTGGACTGAGCTTTAACATTAAACATGAACGGTTCGATCACGGGGTCGTGGCTCATCATAGATGCCCTGACTGTTTCCAGTTCTTCATGTCCTTTCATGACCTATGCAAGGCGAGTATTCTTCCTTAGTGCCATTTGAATCATCTGACAGGATTTGGCAGCGTTACAAGGAGCCTAATGAGATTAACCCTCCTCTTGTGGTCAAACCGGTCTGGCCGACGGTTCCAGCGACACCTGTGAAGAAAGAGTTTCTAACCGTTACTTCTATCCCAACAGCCGTTGCCAAAGCTAAATCTTAAGCAAGCCCAGAAGCTCCTTTGGGCAGAGTTGCTTCTCCAAAGGAGGTCAAACCTTCGGTGAAACAGAAGGCCCTCGGACAAAGTCAGTGACAGCCCATGCGTCGGTTATGTTTGAGACATATCCACCGAGATGCGCTGTAGCAAAGACGAGGCCTAAGGGGGGAAAGAAGATTGATAGGAGTCAAAGTTTGATTACCAGCTTTTTGGTTGCAAAGGCATGAGCGGCTGTTACGTAAGAAGAGCTAGGAAAAGGGATGGGATAGTTGCGAACATAGCAGAGGCTGGTGAGTATATCAGTTCGTTTTGTGAAAAAGAGACCAAAGGTTAGGACGGTTTCGATGTGCTTGAGCAACCTCCTGAACTCACGAGTCTCCTAATAATTTGTAAATCGTTTGGGCTTTGACACAATCAAGGTTTCTAGAAGGATCTCTGCGGGTTGTAGGGTAGCGCGATCGAATTAATGTTGGCTATTGTCCCGCCGACGATTCCGGTGATTAGCAGTTAACCGAAACTCAATCAACGACTGCCATCGCGAACATCCTCATTAGAAAAAGCAACGTTGATTTGTTGGCAACGCTCATGAAAACGTCGCTGGTCTCCACGCAAACTCCATCTTCTTCCCGTTGTACTCAAGCAAGACCTACTGAACTGCTGAGACTACAGCTGCCTCATCCACTTCAATAATGGAGCGTGCGTGCAAGCGCATCAAGCTTGAAGAGGGGGAACCTTTCTCCGCCGATGAATTCACAGTCGTCGGTGCGCATATCAAAGAAGAGCAGATTTCCGAGGAGGAAGAATCTGGGTCAGAGGAATCAGGCTCTGAAGACTCAGAAGAATATCAATCTTGCGAATCAGGCGGCGAAGAAGAATCCAACTCAGAACCCCAAGTCGTCCAGGGTTCTGGTCATGATCTCTCAACCTCAGAAGCGAAGGCGGCCTACAACCCACATTGCAGCGAATGTCGCAGATCCTTTCAAAGCAGTGCAGATATAGAACGACACACCTCCAAATGGCATTATAACTTCATATGTTACGCATGCGATGAAGGCTTCCCCTCAGAGTCGCAGCTGCACAGAGTGAGTACCTTTCTCTGGATAGGTAAAATTCTGATCTGACCGATCTTCCTAGCATAAAAGCAGCCATACAAAAACTCCCATTTGCTGCATCGGTTGCGAGAAGCGGATTCACTCAGGAATGATGGATCATCTGGAGAACGGTCGCTGCGAATCAGGTTGCAGTCTTCAACTCATCCATAGCGTTGTAGCAACCCACTGCAACGGTCTTCACCAATCGTCAACTCGGAACATCAATCTCCGATGCCCAACCTGCAAGAAAAAGTACAAACGGATGGGTCCGCTCCTCAAACATTTCGAGAGCAGAGCATGTGCTTTACGAGACTGGATAGAAGAAACAGGTTTGAAAGACTTGCTCATCGCTCTCAAGGAGCCGATTGAGAAGAGAAAGGCCTCAACTTTCCGATGTAACGTTTGCCACAGGAATTTCGGAAAAGCAGCTGCGCTGATGCAGCATCAGAGAGATAAGCATGAGCGCACTTACTGCTGTGCTTGCAAGACCAACTTTGGTAGTCCGGCTAAGAAACAAAAGCACGTCATTTCTGGTATTTCTTTGAAGCCTGGGATGTATATCTGCGACCACTGTGATCCCAAAGTCCCCTTTGGAACGGAAAAGGAGTTCTGTGACCATTTGTGGTTGGAGCACGTGGCGTGTGGTCCCTGTGGGCGAACTTTTAAGAGCGTCGAGCTGAGAAAACAGCACGATGCAGAGCTTCATCATAGATGTGGTGTTTGCTATCGGTTCTTCATTTCGAGCGGGGAACTTACTGAGGTGAGTGCTCTAAGCCCTGTACTATTGTGAGAGTTTGCTAACAAGTCTCTTCAGCACCGTGAAACTCATGTTGTCAAGCCCCCTGTCGTCGAGCAGCCGGTGCATGTCCCAGCGCCGGTGAAGCGAGAACCGACTCCGCCACCTCCTATCCCGGCACCTATACAAGTGAAGATAGAAATGCGCCAGGAAGTTCCCATCAGCAGGGTTGCTCCTGTGGTGGCGGAAAGAGTCCCTGTGAAGACAGAAGTTATCCCGGTAACTCGAGTTACACCGACTACAAGACCTGTGATATTTGCGCCATATCCACCCAGACCAGCACCTGCACAGGTGCCTGAGAATAAGAAGACCCAGTCGCTGATTACAGACTTTTTGATTCGCAAGTCATAGAAAGCTTGAGCAAACGATGGGAAGGTCATGAAGCGAAGCGATGCGTTACATTGCAGGAGGATTCAGAACATACGGAAGTCTAAGGTTTGGGACATCATTCATGTCACGTAAGAAGAACATGTAATACACCTTGCTACAAAAGTTAATCGTCAGTTCCATTGCCTGATGGTGGGACTTCTACCACAACAGTTTTCCCCAATGCATCGCACGCAAAACGGAACTTTACAACCGAACAAATTGAAAACCACATCAACAGTTTTCAACTATGATGGCCCTAGTGCATAGTACCCCTTCAGTGGGCTGAAGTGCAGCACAATATTATCTACGAAAGACCAGACGACATCATGTCAACGCCAATCATGAAGCGGATGATGCAACCAATGGTCTGGCAATCACAACAAAGATCATTTTCAGTGAACTCGAACGGAACGTCGAGACAGCAAAGCAAGAGGAAAAGCTTAGATGCATGACGGAAGAACAATACGACAACCAATCCATTACGGAAATCGATGACTTCTTCGGGTGGTCGAAGTAACATACTGTTACAAGATACCTCAAGTCTTGGCTCTGCGCTGGGAGCCTGATGCGATATCCGTTCAGAAGCTTGTTGAGTTTTGCGGGAATCCCGGAAGACGGTGGGGCCTTGCTCCTGAGATGAGTCCGTATCGTGGTGTGGACTTCAAAAGAATGATGGAGGATAACGATTTGTTGCAGACCAATCCTTTAAGCAATGATAAGTGTGATATTGCTTATCTGATCTTGTGTCAGATTGTGGATGATCTTGGGATTCGGGACGAGTTTGATGCGAAAGAGGAGGAGAGTCGGTACTGGAATTCTGTGCCACATCAGCCTGGCTGGAGTCGATGAAATACACGAGTCCTTCTATTTCATATTATCTGTCCCTTCAGTTACTGTCTGTGTTGAATATCTCGCTGAATCCTGACTTGCCTTGGGCACTCGGCGCCCATTGCAGCGTTCACTGTTTCGACGAGATACATAGTAATATCTGGACACCGCGAGGATTATATCAGAAAACCACAGAAGGAGAACAATAAAACCAGATCAAAGCGCATTCATTGTTCGTAAGCAAAATGGCAAAAGGTCGCTTGACAATGCAATTTGTCCATCCATGAGGCAGTGCTGCACCGAGATGGTCAGCGAACGCTCAGCTTACATTTACAGTGGAAAGATACCTAGAGATGAACTAAGAGTTATCCATACAACCTCGTTCCTGGCTAAACGGTTGGTGGAGTACATTAATCGCCGAAACATTGTGCATAGCCTCAACGTCTTTCGGTGATAACAGAATGGTCGCTTTTCTGGCGATCCGTGAAAATGGATGCGAGGCAATGTCACCAGCGACCCGCTGCCAAGACACACTATCGACATATGGCGTTCGCAGTTTTGGATCAGCAGGAATTCGCAGCCTCAAATCGTCAGAGCTGACAGCCCGGTTAGAAATACTCTATCAATCACGAACTAAGAGTTTCTGGATGGAGAAATAGCCCCCAAATCTTCCCGCTGCTTTTGTTCCGGGTCACTGAGTTAGTTTATTATCTATAGCAGCCCCCAAAAGGCTTTCACACCTATGTCATATTGACTAGCGAGACAGGCAGAAGTGCAATTTAGCACTGTTGAAGGATTGCTAATAAGGCTTTCGGACTTAAGTTAAGGCAGAGGGAGCCGATTTTGCCTTGCATCGCCATTGAGATCATAGGATAAGCTGAAAGAGTGGCTGAAAGAAGGGAGTCTTCCACAGCCTGGTTTATGTTTCGGTTTATTTAAACCTAACTTTATCTGCTTGGGGTCCATGTTTTCTCTTCAAGTTGTTATCCCAACGAAAATATCTTCCTAATAGTCTCTCGCTTAATATATTTCGTTCGTTTCATGAACAGTAGCTGTTAAACTCCCGTTGTTATCAAGCTATAACTGTTCCATTGTAATAGCGATTCTCTCCCATCTTCCTGGACAACCGAAGTATGCTCGACACAAAAGAGAGAAACAAGGCTCGCCCAAACTGCTCTTCGTTGCTTTCGATGGTATGAGAACACTGTTAACCACCAAAACTGTCCTCATGACTGACTCATGTAGGCACATGGCATGGTAGCGTCAAAAGCTCAAAAGAGACCGTGGTATCCAGCCTGCCAGATCTCATTTCCATGGGCGAGGAGGTTCGAAAGATTCGTGTCAATGGAGTAGGGACTGATAACTTAACAGACAAGGTTCTCGGGGGTCAGTTACAAATAGTTTTTCCCTTATTCTTTCATGTCCTGACTCACTTGTTGCAGGTCTTGGTGGTTGGGGTACACGTCGAAACGTCATAACCGCCTATAGTAAGCTTCCCGCATCCAACTCTAGTATTACCATAGGAGAAGAACTGACAATATATAGGGAATATTGCGGATGACTACAACAAGGGTGACAGGATCATCTTTTGTGGCTACTCTCGAGGTAAGTCAGGAACCTCCATTTGATCCGCGACCCTATAAAGACTAAAGATGATCCTCAGGCGCATGGGCTGCTCGATATCTAGCAATGATCATCGAATGTCTAGGTCTGGTTCGTGACGGAGACACGGAGTTTTTCAAGCGTTTGTATGACGCGTGCAAGAAGGATCCATACCTTACCAAGGCTAACAAGGACGATCTACGCCGCAATTATAAATGTTGGTCATAATACCCGCCTTCAAGGCTGATTGCTCTAACATTCTTAAGTTTGGGATGATGTTCAGATCGATGCCTTGTGCTGTTTTGACACAGTTGGCTCGCTGGGTATTCCACTATTTGGTATCGCGAAGCCACTGTCTTATCTTCATCGAAGCAAGTACAAGACCAAGGTCATAGACCATGTTCCAAATAGTAATTATTGACATAATCTGGTATAACGGTGTTGACAAGAGCTAATGCTTTGGACAGATGTGAAATATGCTTTTCACGCTCTGGCTTTGCACGAAACAAGAAGTCCTTATAGTCCAACTTACATGTGTGGACACAACGTCCATCAGGTTTTCTTTCTAGGCGATCACGGTAACATGGGTAAGCTTGGACAGCAAGAAGGCCTTGTGCACGCTCCTCTCGCGTGGATGGTGCAACAACTCTCTTCCCATCTGGGTATCACTTTCGATGAGGATAAACTCAAAAAGCGCTTCCCAAGCTGTACTTCTGAAGGGCAAACTGAAATGATGTCTCGACAAGGAACTCATGACACTACGCATGAGGTCATGATGAAACATGCCTGGTGCTGTCCTAGTGGTTCTATTCCCGGAGCTGGGGTCGGCAGACTAGTCATCATGGGTAGAAAGGACCGGAACCCAGGAATGGTTCTCAACTACTGTGACGCCGAGTGCACCGACTCCAGTACAAGCGAATCAACTCAGCATGAGGCTGCTTCAGCCCATGCTCAAGTACACATCGGCGCTCGTGGACGACAAGAATGTGGCTTCAGCGATGCAGTGCCAGGGTATCTTGGTGTTCAGCCTATGGATCCAAATCAAGTGTTTTACTGGAAGAGAAGAGCGGCAGGTGAGCAGGAAGTGGTTGCTGCAGATATCATTCGGGAGGCAAAGGTTGGGCTTTTGGAGGCGAGGCTCTTGGGCCTTCCTGCGGCGGCAGCTAGTCACCCGGAATGCTGTGGTCTGAACCGCACACAAGATGGGGATATCGATACTGAAGTTTCATCTGAGAATGAAGAAACTTCGGACTCGAGGGTGCGGCAAAGTACTAAGGTCAGGATCAAGAAGTGGTTTAACAGGAGGCTTGGTGCAAGTATTTGAATCTTCAGGTTATATAGACTATAGCTTACGGGGGGAACTCTATTCCAACTCATCTGCCAGACACATTATCTGGAAAGTATTAGACACTCAAGGCAGCACAGACACACCAGCATCCAATGTCTCTGAATCATATCCCGATGCTCAAGATTTCCCCTTTTTCTTTGAGGCGAAATATTTCTTGAGAGATTGTAACTACAAGAACTGTGGGCAGTCTTTCGAAACTGGCACGGAACGCATTAATCATGAGGTGGAAGCTCATAATCGTTGCATTACGTGTGAGATGTATTTCAAGGCCAGGTCTGCTCTTGAGGTAAGTAACCTTTGTGTCCATAACTATCACAGTGTTGACTTGGCCCTTTTAGAAACATCAGTCCAAATCCAAAGTCGTCGATACCGTCGTTAGGGACTTTGACCACTGGCTTGAATTCGCCGTCGGAACACGAGCACACGAAGACAAGCAGAAAGACAAAGCAGCTCGCAATCCCAACCCCAGCAAAAATATCGACTGCATCACCTGTGAACGAAAGTTCGAAAAAGCATCCACAATGATGAAGCACGTCGAAAACGGCAAATGTATCCCCAAGTTAACTGCGATGGATATCTTTGTCCTCGGACAGCGATTAGCTGAGCGAGGAGCTCCTTGTGTCAGGTTAGGAGGCTTCTTTTGTCCGATTTGTAACAGATCTTGTATGGTGTTGAGTGAGCTTATTCAACATGCTGAGGGAGATGAGTGTAGTTTGAATGTTTTGAGCGGGCCGTTGCAGGAGTTGATTTCGTTGCTGAAGATGGATTTCATGAGTATGGCTATGGGTCATGCCTTTTAAATTAGGGAGTTTATCTAGGAGTAGGGGTAGGGGTAGGGGTTAGGTACTGGGTCTAGGATGGTATGAGACTATCTTATGATATATACGATGCTTGGTCGGGTTGAAACGATATTTCCCTGATGGCACGAACCCGTGCATACATGTGTAATCGTGCATATACTGCAACTACTAGAGTTAAGAAGTGATTGGCTGCTCAACGTCAACTCCTATTAATGTAGGTGAGCCTGGGAGGCCGGTTTATCATATATAGTATTCCGACAGGCCTTTCCTGTCAACATTTTTCCGAACTAATCAACGAGGCTTTCCAACCGTAACTCAACTAGTTGCCCAACCCCCGACCGAAGAGATGATTTTCAACAATTCATACCGTCGAGGATGCTACTTTCGAAACGAGCGGCTTTCAGGAAACTCAAGTGCAGGCTGGATCATTACTTAGAATGTACTAATGAGCGTTCATGGAAGAAAAATGACATAGTAAGGTCACAAACTCCTACGACTGGGAGGAATAGGCCGCGGCCGGGAGGCAATTCCATGCTAACGCTCTTGAACGTGTCTTGGCCAGGTCATCTGGATCTTGGAGTCCCTGGTGTATGCTTGATGGATAAAAATTTCAGGTTCCTTTGGTTAATGACAGTAATTACAATGCATGCATACTTGCGGCACGGCAACTCATGAAGAACAGATGTTTTGTGCACTTTTTGAGAATGAGTCTTGAAACGTCTTCGAGGGAATTGAAGCGTGAATGGTAAGTGCAGTTACAATACGTCAAAACCTTGGGCGTCGGGTGACGAGAATGCATGATGGGTGCTGACGAGTCAAACATGTGGTCAAATGAACCAATAACCGTGGGGTAGCAGTCTGGGGAAGCTCACCTTTTGGGACGCTTATCCGAAGATGACAAAGGTTCGACAATTAATTGCCAAAGTCGGGCAGGCAGACCCATTTAGTTTTCGCATATTGGCTGGCTAAAAGTGACTCGTGTGGCGTAGAGATGGAAATGGAATTGGTGTCGCCGTACAGAGCACATCTGTGGGTTACATAAAGTCGCCCGGTGTCGTCACAAGGCAGACTTCACGTTGGGCCGACCTTACATGCGTTGTGCGTCAGAATGTAACAGCCGTTGCCTGCTGCTGCATAACCGGAAGGCTTATCAAGCGACAGACCAGTCAATCTGAAGCATGTTCTGGAAGACAGCGACGACCTGCCCACGATGACAGGTGGACTTCCCTTGGTGGTGGACCCTTTTGGCCAAGTCTGTCCACTCATCTGGGGCTATCCATTTAAATCCCTGTCGCCCAGAGTGCTAACTGGAATATCGTCAGTAGCTGAATGAAGAACAGACGTATCGCAAAGATGTCATGCTTGATGAAGCGTCTTCCGGCCACCTTCGCTAAAGCATAAGCATCAGAGCCGACGGCAGGGAGGATCACAAGCCAAAATTAAGATAGTCGGCTCGAGATCTCATCTCAGGGGATGTCTCACTCCAGGTCTCAGATAACAGAGCCTAATCATCGTCAATGGAATCTTTGGGGACCATCCCGAACATTTCGGGCCAATCCCGGGTCCCAAGTGCCGCCTGGTGTGCCGGATGTCTACGGGCGCCGATCTCGTGGTATCACGGTGATGATGGCATGAAAGAAAACAGAGGGACAATTCCACGGTCCATTTTCCAGGCGGAATAAGGGCGTCAGAGGCTCAACGCCCAACGACCGGCAGGGTATCATCAGAATCGAACCATGTTGGCATGCGCCGTGACCGGGTGGTGGAGGGCATTTTGAGTGGAGGTCCGTCTTTGGCTGACAGCTTTCCAATCGCGAGAATCGACAACGGCCCGAACGCCGCAATTCATTTGAATGTAATCCTTCATTCCAACTTGTGACACAGTGCTCATTGCTTGAGGCTTTATTAATGTTCTTGCCAGTCTCGTTTATGTTTCGTGTGTAAGTTGAAGCGACTGCAAGATATCCATACGCAATTGAAACATGCTGCAGCGCCATGTTTCTTGTCACAGGTATTGCGATCCGTCGCAAAAGATATGCGTGATATCTTTCTGCAGCTGTCCACGTCCGTCGGTAGCTCAAGCTCCATGCATGCTATTTAACGTTCAGCCGACGTCAAGTTGCCGACAACCATGTCATATCGGGTACACTCGCAGGTACGACTGCAACCCATGGACCGTACCTGTCCCTCAAACATTGCTCTTGCGAATCGCAGATGTCAAGTCTCAAGACTTGGAGGTGTGATTCAGGTGACTTTGGCTGGCGGTAATCCACAGCTCGAACCCATGGAATGAATCGGCGTCTAAGAGCACCCCGCTAAAACCCCCAGCACAGGTCAAGTCAAGACCGCAATCCCGGGAAAAGGGGTACGCTCAAATAAAGGTAATTTGCGTATCCACAATATCAAGATGATGGCTTGCTCGTTTGGAGATGTAAAAGACAATACCTCCGATTGATGTTGACTTTGAAGAAAGGGGAAGGAGAACGTGCCAAGATGTGGAAACACGCGTTTTGATTGCAGAGGATATTGTAAGTGGGCTTTGGCAAGCTGTTGCGGTGCAACATCCTTTGTTGATATTGCGTTAATGCGATTCATGTTTGGATATATCTGTACTGGTTATTGCCGATCCAAAACTTATCTGCGTTCTTTGCCAGTATAACCCACTGTTATACCTGGAGCGCCAAGTTTACAGAATGAGGTGCATCCCTAAGCGACCCGTCTTGGTTCATCTCCCATGCAAGTTTGCGCTGTTGTACCTGAACCGTGCTTCACGAGAGAGGTTTGTCATGTCTGTGTGCTTTTGATACACGCATGGAGCAGGCAAAGACCCTGGGCATACCAGAAGATCGCGAAGCACTGAAGCGCTGGAAGCCCGCGGATGGCGCGATGAGCTTCGGCCGAGGTTTTGTGAAAGGCCGGGATAAACCTGCCCGGGGAAGGGTGCTGGATCAGTGTCGTTATCTCGGGGTCCAGTGATTTTCCGCTAGGGCCATAGTGCAATGCGATTGAATTGTTGCAGATTCCGGTAGACGCATATTCATGAATGAGGCATTGGCTGAGATCGATACTCTGTTTGAAGTTGATGATAACCTCATGTTTCGAGAATCAGTAAATTCGCACAGTGTTTCCCTTTCTTCAGCTGCACTGGCAACCCACCCGTCGTGGACATCATCTGCTGGCATCGTGGAGCGTGGAGTTGCGTTGCTGGCAAAAGGGCCAAGAAACGAGAAATGGCACCCCCCACACGTCGTCATTTCACACTCCGTTATTAGCCCCGTTATCGAATCAAAAGAGGATTGGGCCCGGCGCCTGGGCGTTCAACGGACAACGGGCGACCAGCGCCAGGACCAACTCTACGCCAGGGCACGTTGAAGGCCAGTACTGCGCTGTATTGAAGTTTCTTTGTTACCAGTCAAAGTGCAATGGTAGGGGAATCATCAAAATAGAAGTGAGAGAAGAGATGTCAGCTTTTGCTTTTGATCGGAATAATCGATCCAATCACAGAATGCATGTCTCGTTTATACCCCGACATCGCAAAAAATCTCATGGATCGAGTATTCTTTCGTCCTGGCAGGTACTACAACGTGATTGCCTGTACCTAGGTTCTGCCAAACGAGGTACAAGCAGTTCATGTACTCCGCCTTTAGCCTGGCCAGGCTGTCATACAATGAACCACCATGATTTGCATGCCATAAAACAGCCGATACTTTGGTTCAAGTACTTGATTTACCCGCAGGCCTCAACTGCACTGGCACCTGCCAACTACGAGCCCCCAAAAGTCGCTCTCTGGCCTGTGCCCACTGGGAAATGCCCTGTCCTTCCTGTCCAGTGAGTTTCCACTGTCCACTCCCCACGACACGACGCTACTTCCTGATTTGATTGATTGATGGGCAAAGAGAAGCTAGGCTAGGCTTACTCCTTCTCCTTTCCCGCTCGCTCGGCCCTGGTTTTTTTCTCCCCCCATTCAATTCTAACCCAACCTATCCCGTCACGCCCTGTCCAAGTCGACGAGTCGTTCATCATCTTAACCACCACCACCTTTTTCCCTTTCCTTTCTCCCTCTTACCTTTACGGTACCTCTTCCTATTTCTTCCTCCGCCTCGATTTTCCCGTCTGCCTTGCAGCGGCTTTGGTCTCGACAGCGTTCTTCCGGTCCGTCGTGTTAAACTCGTCTCTCGTCTCGTCACCGACTTCTTGCGATTTTTTAATTCTTCGCACTTTTTCTCCGAGACCCTCGCGTGGTTTATTCCCGAGAATACGGCCCGTGGCGAGTAAACGTAAACCTTGCCTTGCGCTCACTTTTCCAACGAAGCGGAAAAAGGTCACCGACGAAGCTTAATCATATTCTTATCTCTCTTGGGTGAGTCGAGACCTCGACGCACAGGATTATGGTCGATTTGTCAACGTGTTGCCACGAGGGGCCCCGGAGCGTTAGGTGGTGCCTTTTGATGGATCCATGTCTTAGCTGGCCGATGGTGCGCATCTTGACGTCGGCCACAGCGGCAAATTTCCTCATCACCTTTCGTATTGCCCTTGTTTCTGGCACCGTCCTCGCATTGCGCTGCACATCGCCGTCGCATTCTGTCGTCAACATTCCGCAACAGCACCAAACTGACCAGACATTCTATCAATAGACCCTTATTGTCCAAGATTTGAAAGAGCCCGAGCCGAATCGTCTACGTCCCGGTTTTTCCCATTCAACCCCGAGAACATTGCAACATGTCCTACTACGACAACCCTCAGGCCCAGTGGTCGTCTTCTACCCCCAGCACCCAGCAGAATAACTGGGAGCACCAGGGTTCGACTACTCCGGTCCGCGCAGGTACGCCAGATTCACGATCGACCGATACAGAATTGTAATTAACGCATTGATTTGTACAGGCGCCAGCGGCCCTCAGCCCCAGGATGACTACGCCTTCTCGTATCAATTCGATGGTATGTGATGGAGCACGCTCAGAGATCTTGTCGAGTTCGATTGTCCTCCAAGCCTGTGCTGATGGCACGACTTGGCCGGCATATTCGAAATCCGAACAAGACTCGACTCTACGAATAAATCAAACTGACCCAATCCCAGAGGTCGATCGAGCATACGAGAACTTGCAAAAGTCTGGCAAGGGCTATGGAATGGGTGGTCGCCGTGAGTTTTCTATCCTGCGCTGCTAAGCCTGCCCAAGGTTCCGACATGAACGGATGAACTGGTCTGGTTGAGTGTACCAACAAACATACTGACAAGATCATGCAGACTCCCGTGGTTCTCATCACACCCCCGGCCCCCGCCCGCACTCGGTAAACAACTTTGATGACGCCCGTGGTCAGGGACCCAATCTGCAAAACTTCTACGCAAACCAGCGTCATCAACCTTCACGAGGCTCCAACGAGGCAGAGCAGGTCATGCAGGCTAAGAGACGGATGGCAGCTCAGCGGGAGCGAGAGCTTCGAAACCTGCACACAGAGCAGCAATATCAGCGAAGTAGGCCTCCCTCTACTGTGTAGCACATTCAACTATGACAAAGAAACAAGATGGCATATAGAGAAAAATAATGTGGTCATGGGCGACCGAAAATGTCGTTGGCCCAGACGCCGCTCGTGTTTCTTCCCTCCCAATTTTGAGCAGCATCTATGTAATATCGTCGAGTTTGTTGAGCATGGGCTAACAGCTTTTCTACGTAGCCGTCCTTTCCGAGGTGCCTCTGCCGCCCAACAAGCACATGTCTGAGGAGGAGACGCGAGAGTTGATTGCCCGTCAACGAAGTGCCCTTTATGGTGAGGGTCCTTTTGCAGACAAGGCAGGATACGTGGATGAGACTGGTAATGTCCGCACAGGTGCCCCTGTCCCTAGCGGACCCTCAAGCATCCGTGGGCACTCCCCTCTTGCCTATGACAGCGTAGGCCGTGCTCCCCCTACTGGCGAGGCTGGCACTCCCGCCTCTGGTGATGCACACGGTCCTCCCACTGAGCCCAACTCGCGACCTCACAGCACAGTCAGCCCACAGGCTGCTGGACCCACAAACAAGGTCTTTGACAACGCTGTGGGTAACCAGAGCCGTACAAGTACATCCAGCCCAACCGGCGGCTCTCCCTCTCGGGATCTGACTCCTGGTTCCAAGCCCAACCAGGCTGGTGCCTCTGTAGCTCCAATTGGAACTCGTCCTTCCGGTACACCCACAACTTCAGCTTCATCGAAGCGATCCACCACTCCTCTTGCCTCCCCAGGTGGCTGGGGACGTGGCAACGGTGTCTGGGGTCAGTCGTCCGGTCTCGGCGCTCCTGCTAGTGTCTGGGGTTAGAAAGGTCCGCTCACTGAGGATTAGGGGTAGCAACAAGGCGCAGGATTTGAAGTTGCATTTGGGACGGCGCAGAGGTAAACGTGCATTGCGGTCGGTATCTTTGGCGAGTACGGTCTTTGGCAACTCACATCTCGAGTTGAAGACGGTGTGAACATTGCAGGGCACTCGGATCTGGCGAGAGCCGAGTGATACAATCAAGGTCACAGGTGTTGAAGGGACGGCATCGACTAGGGAGTTGACATTGTTTTTCAGTTTTTTTTTTTTTCAGCAGGAGGTTACGAATTGGTGAACTGGGAGTTGCATTCGAACATTACTGGGGCGTCGCTATATCGTCTCGTTTATACTTTGAGGGCAGGAAAAGCGGTGTCGGGTATGAAGAAACGGACAGGATGGATACAGTCTCAGTCTCGGGATTGAGACGATTCGGAGTCTCTGGCCTTGACGACATTGTCGGTCTGGCTCACCGTGGGAGCGGCAACTATATACCCAACAGGGCGGTTCTTACGGCGTTCACTCTGTTTACGACGACCGATCAGCCTGCGAAATCGACTACGGCATGTGTTAGCATCAACTGCGTGGCGCGTTCGGAGTACCTTTCACGATGGAGGCATTTGAGTTGTCGGTGCGCATACCATGGCAATGGATTGGAAGGGAACCTTCAAGGGCTTGTTTATGCTCACGAATCGGCAAGCGAAAAGGAATGTGTTTATATACGGCGAAAACACCATAAAAAGACTAAAAAAAAGACGAAGACAAAAATGGCATCTCAAGGGGTTCAAGGTGGATCAAGGTTAGGGTCAGTTATCTTTCATGTCTCTCATTTGTACTGGTTTGGGGCAAGGTTTCGGTTTGGGACAGGTTATAGGGAAACGGTTCTATAAGGGTTGTTTTCGCAAGGGAAAGGAGAAATTGTTTTCTGATTTCGAGATGATGCTTAGGCTGGTGTAGGCCGGGTTGATAGTAATTGCGAGAAAGTTCGGGGATAAAGGTAATGCAAGTTTATTACGGAGTTGATCTGTCGGACGAGGAAATGTGCCTTGTGAGACATGCATGCTGTGCGAGGTGGCGATCGAGGACGAGATCTGAACAGATCAGAGGAGGCCCAGTCACCTGAAGGACTGACGCCTGACAGTAACAGTACTTTCTCGAGGCGATAAAAATAAACAATCAGATCAACTAGGGAACCTTATCTCGCGTTGATTAATTAACGGTAGCAGATTGTGCAAACGATGACGAGAATTGCATGTGCGCGTCATGGGAATGTCCGGAGCCCCCACCCGAAGACCGTGTCCGGACGGTCTTCTCCCCGCCAGGACCCTCAATCGGGGTCCCGAGTGCAGGCACCGGTGAGCATCTCATATGCATCTTGCAGTCAAGCTGCAGCTGGTGAGGGGAATGAATGACGGGTACACTACGTGACGCGATTCTTTTGTTTATCTTTTTCGTGTAGGTACATATAGCTCATTGCTCCCGCTCCTTATTTACTCTGTTCAACTGCATATTGACCTGTTGTGTTGTTGCAAAATACCGACAAAATGCCCTCCTTTGATGAAAAGAAAGCTTACGTTGAGCAAGAAGAAACGTTCTTCGACGATGGGCGTGAGATTGAGCTTCTGCACTACATCTATGGTCGGTCAGACATTGATGAGCTGCGAGGCTCGCCGGAGCGTGTCCTTCAAGCCATTGATGAGTTTGGACGTACGAAGAAGTATCTCATGAACGTGGGTGAGGACAAGGGCAAGATTGTAACAGATCTGATCGCTGAAGTGAAGCCCAAAGTCATGGTACACCAATTGGTCCCGTCTACTCTTGTGAGGAACTTACTAACTGGTACTGGTGTAGGTTGAACTTGGAGGCTACGTTGGCTACTCAACCCTCCTCTTCGCCAACGCCGTCCGCAAATCCGGGGGCACACACTACTTCTCCCTCGAGCGCAACCCCGAATTCGCCGCCGTCATAACTTCCCTTCTCGACCTCTCAGGCCTGCGCGACATCGCCCGCGTGATCGTCGGTCCCAGCGACGCAGGCCTAGCCCGCCTCCACGCCAACGGGACAATCTCCAAGATCGACCTCATGTTCCTCGACCACTACAAGCCCGCGTACACCAGCGATCTTAAGCTCTGTGAGAGATTGGGTCTCGTAGGACCGGGTAGTGTTCTGGCGGCTGATAACGTCATCAAGCCGGGGAATCCACCGTATTTGGCGTATGTGAGGAGTAGTGTTGCGGAGAAGCGTGCGGCGAAGGGGGGGGATGAGAAGGAGGGGTTTGCGGATAGAACTGCGAAACAGTATGCGAAGAGGGAGGGGGAGGAGAAGATTAATGAGGAGGAGGGGGATCCGAATCTGGTGTATGAGAGTAAGTTGGTTCATAGCTTTGAGCCGACCGGTGTTCCTGTGAGTACCCCCATGCAACCACTGTCATTACTCTCGCTAACAATTGAAGGACGCTGTCGAGATTACAAGATGCACTGGTCGCGAAGATTAGAACTCTTTACCTACCGATCAATAGAATCGACTCCAGCGTCTCGCGAACTCTAAAGTGACTGACTGCCCCTCAACACCAAAAGAATCATCACGGGCTCCCCGCCCTCACAAGCGCCCTCGTCCCCACGCCACCTCATCCAATTAAGAGCCACGCCCGGTTAGCTCAATCGGTAGAGCGTGAGACTCTTACGAGTACGCGATCTCAAGGTTGCGGGTTCGACCCCCGCATCGGGCTGTTCCTATATTTCGATTGCGAGCGTTTGCGAGGCTTTCCCTTTTTTTGGTGCTTTCGTGTTTCGTAGTAGTGTTGTGGTAGGTCGTAGGCTTTGCTTGGTTGACGAGGAAAACATCTGGGCTACAGTCTTTTGATGATTCAAGTTTCGTGCTGCATTGCTCTGTGAATGGCGACATCTCTCCCAGAAGTTTACAACTGTTTATCGTGGGTGAATGCTTAGATACTGATGATTGTGTTGGTCTGTTCATCTCGCTCTTATTCCTTGCTGGTTCATGCATGTAGAGGTACTGTACATATATGCCTTAACCTCAACTTACTCGTTTATTCTAGGCATCATCTCCTCCGTTTGTTAGCATCAATTGTCGGCGTTTGTTCATTGACTGTTCCTTGATGAGTGCAGCACGTGGTTGACGCTGTGAAGGACGAGCAGTGCCAGCGCCAGTGCCCGCATCAACAACAAACGGGACTCCGCAGTCAATGAATCACTGGGCAGGACCGAATTTAAAACTTGACCTGGACTTGCCTTTTATTTATTTTTTCTTCTTCTTCCCTCCCAACCATTTCAACCTCATCTCACCTCACCTCACTTCCGTCGCACGGCTCCTTATACCCCAGGCAGCTGCAAATAAGGTTACTGATTGAGTCATCACGGAAGCATATTATTCTGTTTTAAATTGGAAGACTTATCTTTTTTGAGGCTATGTACATATTGCCTTCCAAAAGCTGAAGTTAATTGGGATTTTTCAGTGTGTTGGCTTGATATGTCTCGTTGAGATGTCATAAGCTTTAACTATCAATCAATCAATCACTTCCGTTGCCCAATATCTTGCTTTTGGCTGAAAAGCTACATGTCCTGATGACTGACTCCAAAAGTATATAGATGAGTGCCGCATTTTTTCATTCTTGGGATATTCCAACGCTGCCACATATCTTTCTTGTCTTGAGAGGTAGCTGACGACATCACCTCTACCCATCTAGCCGAACAAATCGAAAAGTCGGGGAAATGCATCTCCTTGGGCTACACGATGACTCGTTCTTCGACCCGCACGGTCGTTTGACTGGTTCCTACACGGTCACGGACCTCACGCCAGATAAGTTCCCATATTGGGACGACGAGTTTGGTCAATCTGGTAAAGACAAGGAACCGCAGGTCCTGCCTAGATGCTGCCTATGTTGCTTCAAGTTTGAGCCATGTGACTCTATCGTCGTTCGTATGTACCCTTGTCAAATCATCTGTCCCAACCCCCTACTAACTCGCGACAGTCAACCCCAGAAATCCTCACTTGCTCGATACCTGGGCGGGTGAGTACATTGAGCCAGAGCGCATCGATCCGACTGGCTGGGAATTTGCATGTCGCCGTCCCCTTGAGAAAGGTTACCACCCAGAATGCGTGCACCTGGTTGCAAAAGGTCTCCCTTTTGGTGACTCCATTCATTGCGCCATCAAGGACCGTACCAGTTACGGAGTCGGCTACACTGAACTTCTTCCATCCGTTGAAGCAGCCCGCGTACGTCGATTGACGAAGAGGTTTGCTCAAGAGCTCATGGCTATCGTCGGATATCGTCTTCCCTTCTAGATCTGTGAGAATATTGGCCGTTACTGCTTGAGCGAATATGCGACGAAGCTCATCAACGACGTTTGGTCAAACAAAGACTTTGCGGGACCTCAGGATGCCACCCTCCGGGTGACCAAGTCACGTTCCATCTGGGCACAGCACGTTGAGTTTGAGGGTCTCCGGTACATCAAGTCTCTCTCCGCCACTCGTAAAAGCGAGAGTGACACGAAGCTCTTCGAGGCTACCTCCGGCATCCGTGTCAGTGTCTACTTCGCCGAAGACTGTTTGGGTATCCGTGAAGTTGTCATCACTCAAGATGACAACACTACTTCACTAAATCAAGATAAAGGCTTGAGATGGGTTTTTAACCGTCGAAAGGCTCTTCCGTTCAGCTTCAAATACAAAACTAGTATAAGTTACTTTTCCATCCTCGACAATACCGGTGATCTTCACTTACTTACTGGTTTTGCGCTTTTAGGGTCTGAAGCTGCGTGACTTGGCCATAACTGAGATAGAGAATGAAGATGCAAACTGCCTACAGAGGCGCTGGGCTGTTCTGCCTAATGACCTGGATATTTCCCAGCTCGCTCCGCCTCCACCAGGGTGTAACTTTGAAGTGTCAAATGAGCCGATCCGTGCAGTTGACTGGAATCTACCTGGATGCCGTGGTTATTCCGTTCTCATAGATGGCTACTCTACCTGTGACATCATCTCGAACAACATGGCAGGGCCATCTTCACAGTTGGTGGATTGGAGCAACGAATATGAAGGCGTTTGGTTCTACGTACCCGTTGATCGAGACGAGCGAATCGCGGAGCTTTGGCTTCGAATTGAAGATCGCGGCAATACATATACATGGCATCGAAACTACAAATGTCTTGTTGTAAGTTACGATGATAGCCTCAATGCTAGGTATAAACACACTTATACTATTATAGATGCGTACGAATAAAGGCCGGAGCTTTGTTCTCGGTTTGCAAAGTGGAAAGGCCAGCAAGTTCACCTATCAGCCGATCACTACGTTGTCGCTGACCGATCCATCTCGAATGCTATATTGCAGGACCAAAACAAGGTTCTGGTTGGGCTTTGAACAAGCAACGACTTGGGACCAGCACGACATCGGCATTTCACTTCCAAATTCACCCAAATCCACTCCTTACAAATTCAAAGAGCTCAATTCATCGAATGCTGAGCTTCGGGATGTCAGGGCAGTTGCTGTATGCCGAAATTGGAGATACTCTAAGGATGCGGGAATTGTCGGCATGCTCCTTACATACGCCGATGGCCATCAACGATCTCTCGGGCAAATCCGTCTCGATTACATGGAGGCGCCTCTCACGGTTTCTTCGGGAAAGATCTGGCTTGGTTGTGACAAGTCAGAAAAAAAGCCTCTCCCTAATGGCTTCTGGCCGCGGACATTCAAGATCAAGTGGGTTGAGGTGGATAAGCCTTTGCAGGATAAGAACCGGGAGTACTTTGAACTACCGCTTACAGGCTCTCTTAAATGGGAAAGCCACTCGATCGGGGACCTTCACTCAGTGTGTCATCATGAGAGCAGCGAACTGCAAAATGAGATGGATCAGGTGCTAGCCCGTGAGGCTGAGTCTGGGCGACGTGCTCCGGGAGTGGTCAAAACGTTCTCTGTCGTTGTTTAAAACCCAACAGGGCTCCCTTGATATTTCTTGATCAAAGATTTTCCCTTGACGTACTACCTAGCTGAATTGGGATGGGCTGGATGGGTGGTAGTGAAGGGATGTTTTGTAGACTTTTGTAAGGAGCATATCCACCTCAACTAGGTAGACAAAGCAATCTGCCTTCATTCCCTTGAGGCCCGTGAATATCAAGTTGTTTCATTAAGCTCTAGTCCAAGATAAATAGCGGATGCAAAAAAAAGGAGATGTTCGCCTCCGACTGTTCCCGCATGTTGATTGTAAGCGTTTTCGTTGCTTTCATTTTTGGTGTTTTGGTGCTTTGACGTAACTCCTCCAACGGCTTTGAATGCCTCGGAAGCTGAACATGGCCTGGCTTCTGAGGCTGCAGTGGAGCTGGGCCAGTCTGCTGGCCTCTCTGGTGGCTCTTCCGACAACCCCTTCGATTCTGGCCCGGCACGAGATCAAGATCTTCCCAGACCAGGCTCTCCTGTGGTTCGTGAACCACGGATGTTCAAGATATGCGGTCTCTGCAAGTTTCCATTTGAAGAACGACAGGCTGTCATTGGCTGTATGTTGCCAACTTCCGCTGTGATAGCATTCACTCACTCATTCTAGACATGGATACCTCACCTCTTACCTGGAGCGACAAATACTTCCCAGACGGTGAGTCGTACACTTCAGTATCACACGACAAGGGATTCCATGCAGCTTGCGTTGAAATTGTAGGCGATAATCTATCTGCCAAAGGTTTCCTTGAATCCTGTACATGGAACATCCTTGACCGCGGATTCCATGATTCATTCACTCAACCACCGCCCTCTTTTGTGGCACTGCGCACAGGACGTCTCAAATCATCGCTTGCCCTGGAGCTCACGCACGCCATCAGCAATCGACTTCCTATCGAAATATGCGAGAGAGTTGCAACTTACTCCTTGAGCGACAAGACTCCACCTGGATGCCTGGCAACATCGGGATTCTGGTGGCCCAGAGAAAGAAGTCACACTGCCGGTTTTCGATGGCCAAAGCGTTTGGGCCCAGAACATTGAGATCGAAGGTCGCAATTACGTCAAGTCCCTGTCAACCATTCGTATGAACGAGAACGACACGAAGATTTTGGTGGCCGAGCCCAATTTCTCGTCAAAGATGCAGAAGTCACCTCCAGTCGACAACATCATCTTCTACCTCCTGTGTCTTGGACTAAGCGCCGCACAAGGTGGATCAAGGAATCGATTGCTGCGGACCTGAGACGCGCTATCAACGGTGGTCTTCCAGAAGAGATATGCCAATACATTGCAAGCTTCTATATGCGTGAACGCGCATGTCTCATTCTACGAGAACCTTGGCTGGACCCAAACCGTCCCAACTGTTGGATTAAAAGTCTATTCATTGGGAGAAACAGCTCTATTTGGGCCCAGAATATGGAAGTCGAAGGGCTGCGCTACGTCAGGTCTCTATCGGCCCGCCGCCTCACCCAACAAGACACCTTGGTCTTCAAGGCCAGATACAGGAAGAGGGGCGCTCGCAACAGACCTGAGGCTTTCTTAGGCATCTATTACTCTGAGGACCACGGGGGAATCCGGGAAGTGATCATCACAGAGGATAATGAGCTGCCCTCTCTGAACATGGAACCGGGTCTCTCTTGGAGCATTTCTCGTTATCAAAACACTCCACTGCAATTCGGATTACGGCATGATGTAAGTTCACCTATCCTTTCATACGATATGCGCTCACAGATCGGAATAGGACATCAAGCTACGCTTTCTGACAGTCGCCCAAACTCTTGAGCATGATATGAGGTACGAACAAAGATCTTGGGGAGTTCTTCCAGAACGATTTGATTCATTTCCACAAAATGGTGACGGTCGTCGGAGATGCGTTGGACAAGTACGTCTCGATTGCCTCGACCTTCCCTTGCCAGTCTACTCAAACAACTTCTGGCTTGGCTTGGTGGACATGGACGACATAGAACCTGAGGAATTTTACCCATGGCATATGAGAGTCACCAGCCTTTATCTGTCTGAGCCCGTGCCTAACGATAATACGAGGTACATCAAAATCCCATTCAGTGGAAGACTTGAGTGGGCAGTTTTCGGCTTCGCTAGTGCTGTCCGACAAGTTGAGGGAGGGGAGCCGTGCGATGAAATTGGTCAAGTCATGGTCGGTAGGAAGAACGTCTTGGACTACGCAAGCCCAGATATCAAAACATTCGCTGTGCCGATTCGAGGGAGGGAGAACCGATCTTGAGTGCGTTTGGATGTAATGTCAGCGTGGTTGCGATTTTAAGCGAACCATCTCATTCGCGGGAAAGGTAGCATACAAACGACAACAGTGTCATCAATACGGAAGTCAAACCTGCAGAGACCACACGATGGTGAAAAGCCTCTATTAGCCTTGTAATAAACTATCTCCAAATCGTCACTATCAACATCGGAGTCGATAACATCATGATCTTCAAATTGGAGACCCATTGTGAAGGTGTCTGTCTTGGTAAACTGACCACCAGACGTCAACAAATTGTCAGATGCGTAGGTTGGTTTGGGCGGTGTTTGAGGTGCCGTTGAGAGCGCGGCCCAAGGGAAGTTTCTTGATGTAAGGGAATGGAAATGCAATAGAAGAAATAAGAGTTCGAAAGTCAAGGTCTGCAAGAGATGTGGGCCCTTCTTCGTGTGGTGAATGATGGGTTTGCTGTTGGATGCCACTTTGTTGACGCTGGTGTGCACTGTCGTCCAACTGTCAGAAGCCTACAGCAGCAAGACCAGACAGTGACAAATAGTGATGGTAAGTAATGGATGTCTATGAGGAGATCTTTTTGAAGGAATTGATTATATTTGTGTTGTCGGATGTCAAGGTAGTGAGGAGTAGTGTATCATGATTCTGAGTTAGACTTGTAAAAAGTATCTCTTGCCGTCACACTCCAATGCTTGGATCTTCCGTGCACAAGCATACATCTAATTTTCACTAATGCTACATTTCTACTGCATTATAAGACTCTGATGGGCATTTAGAGCTCTTAAGCAAGCACTAGGTAACTTAGGTACTTAGGTATCCGAGTGCCAGCAGTACCAAACGCGTGCCCCTGAGCAACACGGTTATCTGCCTGGCTCGCCGACCTCGATCAATGAATGGCTTTCGCCCTTCCTCTTCCTTGGGGTTCTTTCTTTCTTCTTGGTTACTTCGTCCTTTTTCCTTGCCTTCTCTTCTCTTTTCTTTCGACCCATGCCTCACCTCGTCTGACTTCGTCCCGATGGAACTCGCGTTCGAGGACCGACACTTGGACCCTTCCAAAAGGGACTTTTCAGACTTGGACTTGTACGATATTATCTGCAGCCTTTGCGGGTTTGAGATCACCGAAGCAGATGAAGATGAACTCGTCGAATGTAAGGTCGCAAATCTGCCGACTTACGGCATAACACTGACAGTTACAGGGGAGAAAGCCGCAGAACCCGGAATAGTCAAATGCCATGGCAGAAGAGCCCACCTCATTGTATTACATCATGATTGCGTTGATTACGCTGAGTCCTTGGCTTCGGGTAGTCTGCGAGATCTCGCTGGAGCTGCCGTCACCATCCGCGGGAGCTTTAATGAGCCTGGAGAAATGTGCGACCCTCGCCGCCGCTGGTTGGAGAACGCCGTCACACAGAACCTCTTCCAGGCTCTTCGTGGGCGTCTAACCAAAGAAATCTGCAGATATATTGCCGTTTACTGTGTTCGCGAACAGTCAATTCAGTTCATCCATGAACGATGGTCGAGGCAGGGCCGACCTCGACGAGGGTTCATATCAGTTCCTGTCCACGGCCACACGACTCTATGGGCCAAGTACACCCATTTTGAAGGTATTCGATACATCCAGTCGTTCTCTTACGACTCGCAGGGTGGTGATGAAGAAATGCTCATCAAGGGGAACACGGAGGAGCCTTTGAACGTTTTCATCCGTCATAACCATCTAGGAGCCAACAAGGTTGTTATAACTGAAGGACAGGAAAGGCCTAAGTATAAGGAAGTCGATGAGCAGTGGTGGACCTGTCATGCTCAACAAACCCGCCCATTCCACTTCAAGGCAAGATTTGATGTAAGTGTTGCCAGCTTTATAACTTGGAAGCAGACGTTGCTGACAAGCCTGGGTCTAGGGCATCAAGATCCGGAACCTCGTTGTTGTCAAAACCCCAGGGACTTTTCTCAACTTCGCGTTAGCCAGTCCTTGCGAGATACGATGGGCTATGCCTCCGTCGCCAGTGAAGTTTTCGCCCAAGATCCCGCTCCCTTATGGCATGTGTTGGACTGATGTACAAAGTCTTGACTGGAATAAGGCAGGGACATTCGGCTATTCTTTCCTTCTTCTTGGCGAATCTGTCTTGCAATGCAATTTCCACGGGGATGGACCGCCAGTGCCTTACCACAAATACACGACAGGTGAACCCAACGATGTCATGTGTCTGCATTTTCCCATGAACCCTAACGAAAGAGTCTCCGAACTCTGGGTCCGCCAATATCCTGAAAGAAAGGCCACTCTCGTCGTAGGTTACCAACTCTCTTGTAGATGTATGCAGAGATGTCACTGCTAAACAGTGGGTGATACAGATTGTCACAGGTCACGGCCGCAGCCTCGTCCTTGGAACCCAGCAAGATGGCCCGGGTGCGACATACCATGTCATCGCTAAACTACCACAAGATAAACCTTCCTCCATGTTCCACTCGCACGCCAACAACCTCTCCTGGTTCCATTTCGATTCTGTGTTTACCTGGGAAAAGCCGCAAACCCGACACATCCAACCTGCTTGGAAGACTGCGCCCGACATGACCATCGATACCCACTACTCATCAGCAAAGCTAGACGGAGTCAGAGAGATTACCCCGTGTATAAAAAGAGCGCTTTTCACTTGGGGAGAGGATGAAATTATACAGGGTCTTCTCTTCACCTACGATGATGGTACTCGAACTTGTATTGGTGAGGTTCTGTATGACGACCTTGGGACGCCGCAGAAAGTAACTTCTGATACTTTGTGGATACGATATGTCGAATACAAGGAGGCTGGTCTTTCCGATGAGAACATCCACTGCTGCGATTGTGGAATAGAGTGGTTTGGCTTCTCTCAACCGCTGCTACAGTCCTTCTCCTCGCACAGAGAAATGGATAATCTCACTGATGAACAGGACTCTGACGAAGACCAAACTTCTCACGAAGGCGATAGCTCTGCAGAAGATGACCGTGAGGCCGAAGCAGAGAGCGACGACGAGTATGACAGGTTTCCAAAGTATATCTCACTGCCCATGAGAGGAAGGCTCGACTGGGTCAAGGACTCTGACGGCAGTACATGTCTATTGTCGCATCACATGCGCAGTAGACCGGATAACGAGATGCTTCATGTACTGGCCGAAGACGCCAAGTCCGAACGCGAGGACCCGGTCGTTAAATCCTGTACCATTCTGACTGGAGAAATTAGAAAGTTCAAGACAGGTTCATCTTGACAACAAAAACTCATGGTATGCTAACTTGAGCCACCAACCAGCTCCAAGAAATCTCCGAGACACGGAAAAGGTTGCCGAAGAGTTTGACAACTATAACATCTACGGGCTTTGAGGCCAAAATCACAATTTTAAGAAATTGGCATTGTCTTTCGAGTTCTCTGGATGTTGGGCACCATATCGCAGGTCCTGGGTAGCTAGAGACGGGGAATAATCACGACTATGTACAATATGGACATGCTTAGCGTTTAGGAAGAATACTAATGGCAATCCCTTCGTACAATGACAAGTTCATGCCACACCTCATGAGAGTTCTAGTATGCTCACATGAATATGATCATAATATTGCTGAGTATTGCTGAATTCATTGAAGTATCTTCCCATGCCTAGTCACGGAAACCACCTCGTGTTTATACTGATGGGTTGTTTTCTTGTAACATTGTGTAGACAGGGGACAGATTACCACATCATCAAATCAGGGCCGCGTACGGTAGGTAGATAATGAACTCAAACAAATCAAATGCCTTCTATTAGTCTTTTGAATCGAAACGATCCTCTCCAACTCTGTTCTCTTCATTCCAGCTGATGAAGCCTTACCATTCGCGTTACCCTACCAGTCGCCCCCATTCCAAACCCTTACTAGCGTCATATCACGACCCCCTGTTTGGAGTTTCAACTCAACACCACGTCTCATCTTTTTCACAACACAAAGAACAAACATAACAACTTGCTCTCACTAATCTCATCAAATAATCCATTCCCGTGATATGCTCAACCCATAATTGTCTCACCCCATCGGCCCGGCCCGCGATCTATCTCAAGTCTCATCCAACCTCACTCATCTCATTCCTCGCGATGCTCTCATCATTCACTACCAAGCTCGCCCTCAAAAAAGCAGGTATACCAAGCGATGTCTTCGAATTTTCAGAAAAGAAGCGCGAACCAAACAAACTCCGCAAAAACCCACCAGCAGATCTCGATAATGAAACTGATTCAGGCTGGACGTCTTGGATGTCAATCCGTTCTCTTCCGCTTACTGTTCAGCCGTGGTTGACGCCTCCACCTGCTGCTGTTGCTAAGGGTAGACTCCCGGGGATAGGAGATAAAGCGCCGGTTGATAAGACGGGGAAGTTGAGGGTTGGTGGGGGGAAAAGAGTTTTGCTCGTGTTTTTACGGTGTGTTGGTTGTGCTTGTAAGTTGTCGTTCCCAAGCCTTGAGCTAGGGCTTTGCTGATTGAGTGCAGTTGCTCAAAAGACATTCATTAATCTTCGTACAATGGCGAACCGGTATGGAGATGCATTAACATGCATAGCCGTATCCCACGCCTCTGAGCAAGCAACTCAAAAGTGGGTATCCCTCCTCGGCGGCGCATGGAGCGTTCGCGTTATAGTTGATGAGGAGAGAGCTATTTATGCAGCATGGGGTTTAGGAACAAGTAGTATGTGGTATGTGCTCAATCCAACGACGCAAGTGCAGGGATGGAAGGAGTCGGGATGGTTGGGAGAGAAGGTAGCTGGAGCGATACAGAGGAAGGAGATGAATGAGAAGAAACCAATGAAAACTAACAGTATGGACGATGAGGAAGACGATGGGCCTTTGACGACAATGGGGAATAAGTGGCAGGAAGCTGGAGCTTTTGCTATTGATGGGACTGGGACGGTGATTTGGGGTGGGAAAGCAGCGAGGGCAGATGATGTTATGGAGTTGGAAGATGGAGCGAGGATCTTGTTAGCCTGATATGAAGGAACATGGATATCTTGGAAGAAATGTTAAACGAATTTACTTCAAGCGCCAATGTGTCTTATCAACGGACACGCACAACAAGCTGCCCTGATACCTCCTCCTTCTCCCATTCTCTCCCAGCCCAGCTCTCCAGCAACATATCAATACCCATATGTTGATGTACATTGGCCTGATCGCTGACATTAATGAAGCATTTGCTATACAGAAAGTTCCAGTCCAGCCGACCCCTCCAAAGTATCCTCAACCAGGTCAATCCTTCCTGGGAAGGGTTTCCACCATGGAAGGTTTGGCCAGTGGACGGAATCACTCTCATCGACTCAACGACTGCGCCGCTGGGGTGAAACAGTCTGGCCCCTAGCCACATCTCTCCAGCCGGATCAACCTCGATGGGCGAAAGGAGATGATCAAGACGAACTTGTCCTACCGACTCCCTCGAGCCATCGGAGTAGGCAAAGATGAGACCGACAATCCCCGTAGATCCTGGGATCCAAGTTCTGCAGGGCACGACTTCAGTCACAGCTCCAAGTCTAACCGATTTATTGAAGACCTGCTCGACACTCATCCTTGAGAACCATGTAGATGGGTCGTGGAAAGATGGGGGGGCTTCATTCTTGTCGTGGCGTTTGTCCTCACAATCGAATGCAAGACAGTCGACGCCGTCTCCCTGAGAACTGAGCCAGAGACGAGAAGGTTGTGCGGTTAATAAGGCCACACGTTCGAAGATGGCATCCGGTTGGGCCATATTGGCGTTTGCTCCTAGAAAGAAGACGCGTCCCTTGTTCGTTCGCAGCTATATTGCATCAGCACCCATTCACCTGTTGTCGTCTGTCCGACCTTTGTAACGTACCAGAAGGATATCGCGCCAGAATTTTGGCCTTCTCCTAAGGCGCCAGACTTCGACGATCCGCTCGTGCTTCTCGACTGGAAAATATAGCCACACTGCGTGTAGTCGGTCTCCTCGACCTTCACGATAGAATGAAAAGTCCTCGCTCTCACGATGACTATGCAAGTAAAGAAGGTCGTCGTCAAGCAAGCATGCTGAATAGCCAGTGATCTCAGGACTTTCACACTCCAAAACCTTGAAATAATGTCGACCACCGGCCCTGTCATCAAGGTTCAAGTACCAGATGGCTTCTGGATTTGGTGGTAGCAACGACCACCTTGCCAGCGGAGCCAGAACGTCTTCTGGCGATTTCACCACATGCAAGTCGCGCATTTTAAAGCCCTGCGGGTTTGGTCTTTGTCAATTCTCTGACTTTCGCTCAAGTCACGGGCCGACTCACATCACTGTACCATTTCAAAAAGTAGCGCTGCGACCTGTTGGTGTTTTGGAAAGTCCACCAAATTCCCGGCTGTTCATAGTTGGAGCTTCGTGTCACATCGGTCTCACCAAAGGAGACCGCCCTGACTCCAAGGTGGTCTGAAGCGATATAGACTCCGTCTGAGAGTTGCTGCGGGTCGGAGACCACCAAGAATGCGTTTTTACCATCCTTGTTTGAAAGGCCTTGGAGGTAGCGAGCATTTTCGAACATGGCAGATAGTCCCCAAATTGGTTTTGATGGATCGACAACGAAGTGTAAATATCTGGCCGTTTTGCCAGCAAGGAATTTCACCAAGTTTGGTGCAAGAATTAAGTCTCTCACGCCTATTCGAGCCTGTTCTTGAAGAGCGTCCAATGTGATATCTGCATGCTCCCCGGAAGTATCAAGGCAACACTGTTGAAGAACTAGCATTCTTTCCTGTTTTCGGGAATCCGAGGGTGGGAAATCATGGCATAGGAGGTTCGATACAACGTGCTTGTCAAAAGGAGGGAATCTTCTCTGGCAGTCTAGGTGTGCAGCAAGAACAAAGGACCTGGTTCTCCCCCACTGGCGTGGTGAAATATACCGTGGGCTTTCCGGATTGAAGATCAATGTTTCGTAGTCGAACTCAACCGTTGCTGGTGCCCCAGAACCCGCTATAGTGACAAATCAGTATTTGGAATAACTTGGAGTAACAGACCTAAGTGAAAAGACGAACATTCAGAAGGATGGCCAGGTCTTATCACTCTGTCCCCATCGCAAAAGTCAAAAAGGCACAGACAGCAAAACGACATCCAATGGAAACTCCGCCCTTCCTCCATCGTGTATCGATTGAAAGGGTTCGGAGACTTGTATTAAGTAAGAGCCACTTCCTCTGTATATCGAGGTTATAGGTGACATCACCAGTTGTATGTCCAACCTTGGACTCTTAAATCAAGCTTCATTTCAGCCATGCAACACTCCCGAAGAGCACAGTTTCCCACAGTTCCGGTAGTCCAAGTATACCAACAAAAGACATAGACATCAAGGTGAAATCTAGAGATGGACATTGCTTTTTCCATCTAATGTGCCCGCCTGTTCTATGCACTTGAACGCGGTTTTGTGGCGTGTCAAGCCAGGCCCGCGACGTTTGTATTGGCAAGAGAGCAGCATTGCAATCGTTTCAACCAATGGAAATCAATTTTGCAGGCGGAAACGAGCATTGGTTTCCCGTACAAACCCTGGCCTATTCGATGGGTTTGTGATAAAACGCGCTTGACCGCGGTAGTGAACGGCAGCGAGCCGGAAAATGTGGTCTCTGGGACGTTTCAGGGTGTCCTTTGCGCATTGTGACTGGCTGTACTGTTGCACAGAGCAGTGCCTCTTTTTTTTTTCTCGTCGACCGCTTGGTCGTTCAAGACGGATCACAAATGACGTCGGTTGGGGAATTGCAGGCATCGCGTTTGTAGGCGTTTGGCCCTCGTGATGGTCAATGAATGAGCAGTCATCCGATACTGTCGGGTAGGCTAAGAAATCATCATGTATTGGAGTTGGCACCCGCTTGGCTGCCGTATCCGAGGTGAGCGCCAGGTACGGATATTTGTTGCAGTGAAATAATATTCTGGCCCAAATATCGAGAAGATGATATTGTGAGAGTCAAAGTGGGGAAGCAAGAAAAGAAGAACCTCAATAAAAGGTAAGCGGGGGCCCAATCGTTTACCTCAGCCAGCCGCTGCTTCAACATCATACATGGAAAGAGTAATTGAGTTTGAATGGCTTGCACTTGCCAACAACCCGCGACCTTTACAGCCACCTCTCGTCAGCTTGAAGTCAGCTTTCAGCCCCAGCAAAGTCAAGGCACGACGTTTGACTGGTCACAGGGAGACACACTGTGCTTCAGCTCCGAAGGAAACGACCGACGAGGTAACTCTAATAAACAACCCAGACTCTAAATAGACCTCAAAAAGGTGTGGTCGTACTCGTAGCGGTAATGGTTGCTTGTAGAGTGTGTGCGCCATAGTCAATAGAAGACACGAGCTGAAAAGACATGGCTAAAAGTAAAACCACAAAACAAATAAACACTTGTAACATGGTGAACGGCAGAGAAAGGTAAAGTCCCAGACCTCCCCTGTCCCTTCATGTGGCTTGAGGCCGGTGGATGATCTCCCGAGACCAAGACGTGTCCAGTGCTGACCTGACCTGAGTGAGAACAGGAATAGTGCATAGATACGGACAGGGAAATCGTATAGACGTACCGTATCGCAGGTGATACGAAGAAAGAGATATACTACGTAACAGACCGCCGAGAGTAAGATTGGCCAAGACAACCCGCAAGGGATGAGCTTAACTCAGCTTGTATCTCTCTAAGTAATTATTATGTGTTGAGGCTGATCTTGTTCCTGAGATTGGCAGAAAAGGGATACGCTAAGTTTAAGCAGAGTTATTTGGTGGCCCAGAAGGGAGACTCAAAGGTATGACAATGGCGCAGAAATTTCGGTTTGAAAGAGTAAGAGGCTGATTTTTGGTGAGACATGATGGAGAATTCAATGCCGCCTGAAGTTGATCGAGATGCTAAGTAAAGATACGAGTGAGGCGTATCCTCTGCAAAAGATAACTTAAATTTGTCCTACCACAAGAGGTTGTCTCGGCATTCTCAAATTGGGTTATTGGCTGGGCGAAACAGACACTAGACTCCTGAGGTGTTGCTACATATTTTGTTGATTTTTGGTATTTTGCAGAATTCGATTCAATAGTTTGGTGGGGTCTCTTCAGCCTTTGCACGAAGCATGACGAGAGGTGGAGAGCGAGCTGTTTGTATGGACATCTGTTGAGGTCTCTCACAAAGTTTAGAGCACGCCTTGACCTGTTCGTCCATGTGTGCTGGCAATCCAGGGGATAACTAGAGTTCGGAGGCAAACACACGGGCCGTTGTTGGGCGTGTTCACCAAATATTCCCGTATTAGCCGATGTTACCATTGATGATTGATCAAAGTTGATCAAGTCGTGTTATGTTGGTTCGCGCCCAGCAAAAGGTGGATAATTGCTTCAGGTTGATTTGACATATCACGATTGGGTGTGATGTGTATAAACGGGGTTGAAGCGAGAGCCAACAAAAGCCACTGGAACATTACGGTTATACTGTCAATGATTTCTGATGGAATCCAAACAGGTTCTTACTGTTTATTGAGCTCATCAGAGAGATACATTATCACTATTGCAGTGTAAATATCTCGATCCTAGGCATGTCCATGTCTACAAATGCATCAAAAAGGGAGGACGTTCTCCTCCACACACATGCCGACATCATCACAGTCGCAGATTAGTTAGCTTTACCTGCATCTTCCCCACACAAACACAGCATCTTCCATTTGAGGCTGCATCTCAGCGGCAGGGCAAGTAAGGCACCATATCCGTACCCGCCACGGACATATCCGGCCGTGAATGTCCATTTACACTTCAGGTTTGTTACGACGTTGGGTTATTTTTGCCATCAATGATCACTATCGTGGTGCCCAAACCCAGAAATCCCATCTCACAAAGGGGTCCTGAGTTTGAGGGGAATTGGAGGACCGACCCCTCGACGTCCAGAACCCGACCTCTCAGGAACGAGATGCTCTGATGGGTGGTGACTTTATAATAAAGTATCATCTGACATAAAGTTGTGTGTGATGTAACCCTGATGGTTGGTAGCGGCACAACAATCCGCAAGCCTGGACATGGCATGGCATGGCATGGATGCATCACAAGCGGCCAGGAGTCACCAGCCGGGGATAGATCCAGGGCTAGGACAAGTGGATACAGCCCGTACGGTGGCAGGGGTGGACTCCATAGCAAGAATCAGGGTCCCTGCTCGGTATCCTCCCCTGTAGATACTGACACAGCGCTAGCCAGGAGGTGCCATGAGGGCGAAGCGGCTGTAAATCCGACAAGTTGACGACTGTCTACAGGTTGTGTCGTACAGCGTATCTTCAATGGGTGCGGCTAATGTGATGTGATGTGATCTGAGAGAGGCAATCTTGGGCCCCAACATTTAATTGCCGTCGACTCTTTGTTAGTGGAGGCCAAAAAACAGTCAGCACTATCGGCAAATCGCACGGTATATTGAAATAAGATACTCTCGCGTCCTATGGGTTGGAATTATTCCATCCAGAAGTAGAAGCCAGACCAGACCAGGGCAGGGCAGGGCTATTTAATTCCATTAGGTTCACTGCTAATAACTAAAGATATTGCGGAGGCTTGCTGCCACGCGCTGGGCGTTAGCTTGGTGGATCTCTCTCTGTTCAGATGGATATCATTTTGTATGTGGTGACCCTGAGACTCGCCCCGTTCTGCGCCCTGGGCTGTTACTGTCAAAGTCACCCGCCGCATGCCAAATGTTCCCATCCCTCCGGTCTACTGAAAACATTGACCCTTTTGTGATCTTTGCTTGGAGTCGACTCTGCTGAGGCTGCTCTATTATTCCTGCTTTCTCTCAAGGTTACAAAGGCCTATTCGCTGTGGCGGACGGTGAGGTGTCGGGGCTAATTGGAGTTGACAGAGGTCAGCTGGAAACACTGTACTCAGCACTGTGATCAACCAATGAGTGCAGTGAATCTCGAGCAGCAGCTGCAAAGGTTGGTGCGTAAATACACTTCTATAGATTGTCCAAAATGTTGAGGGCGAGAGTGTAAATAGGGCTTAGGTCAGCTCATTCTTGAATAAGTCCATTTACCTGCAGGTGAGCTTATGCTCTCGGAGGTGTGGACTATTTACAGTACAGCTGTACATAATAAAGCCCGAGTCCCAGGTACAGTGCGACCTGCACCTCACACCCTCACCTTAGTCCCCTAGGTACCTGCTGCACTAACTAAAACTCCCCGTGTGCCCCGTAGGCCTGTGCTGTGTCTCCCCAATAACAACGACTACCGTAACGAGGTATCGTTAGGTCCCCTCAGATCAGAAGGACCACCTCAGTTCGGCTCGGTTCAATCTCAGTTTCTCAGTGTCTAGGTCTCTCTCTCGCCTTTTTTGTCTTGATTGATTGATTTGATCTCTCTCCCTCAGACTAAAACTTAAACTAAACCAAACGGGCTCTCCATGTCCATGTCCATGTCCCATGTCTATCCCGCTAGACGCCATCTCTTGTCATTCCCATACACATCCGCATTTTCCAATCTTGCTTTGTCTCTGTTTTCTTTCTTCATAATTCTCTCTACTATCAACTCTACTACGGTTCTTGTCCTCTGAGCTGCTCTGGTCCTGTTCTGTTCTGCTATACCCGATCCCTTCTACGCCCTGATCTAATACAGCGAGCACCGTCGTTTCGCCCTCCCCCCGACGAGACGAGTCGAGGTGAACCGGCGTCCCTCGCACCGAGCGGCCCCCTTTTGGCAAAGAGCCCCCCCACAGGCACAAGCACAAGCGTCTCCGACACGTCCATAGTTCACTGCCCACTGTACCGTTCACCATCTCTCGAATCCTACATTTCCATCATTATCCCGCGCCCCGGGAAATTGTTGTTATACCGACTGCAACTGCAATTCCTCACCTTTCTCGACTCGCACTCGCACTCAGCGCCCCTTGTTGTGTTCGCCATTGCCTTTCGGTCGTATACGCTATCGTTTCGCTTCGTTTTACAGTACTTTCTTGCTCCGTACAACTTCCCATTTCCACGGGCTCGTTCGCTATTCCCACCCAGGAACAGCGCTTCTCAGCGACCAGATTGAGATTCGCCCCCTGGCTTTCACGATAGACTTTGTTCGGCATTGGATCGCATGCTGAGATCCTGAGACCCTCTCTAGCGCTCAGAACTGCAACGACATTTTTCTGCTGCTCCATTTTCCATATTCCACAGCTTTCGCCACCACCGAGCAAAGAGAGATCTCCCACGAGCCCAGACACACCCAAACGTCGTCACGCATACTGCCGTCAGTCCCCGCAATCACTTGAACCGTCCCGGGGCTCGCTCGCTGCTCCATATGGACGCCCAGACCACAACGGCCGAACCTCAACATCCTTATCCTTCCAGTCCTTGGACATCTGCCTCGACGATATCATCGAGCACACCGAATCCGACGACACCATCGGCGACGAGTACTCACAGCGCTTCCGCCGTCGAGGGCTCCTTCTTCCCCGACCCGTCCGCCACACAATTCCATTCTCACCTCGATCTCCTCCCCTTTCTCCTCCCACAGCAGTCCAACATCTACCACGCTCAACTCCTCCACTACAATAAGCTCATCTCCCCATCCCGCGGCGGCGGCCTGCAGACACCGCCACTCCCTCCCGTCATCTCTGCTCCTCATATCCAGGCAGCGCCTCGGTCGCGATCTTCTAGCAAGGTGTCGCTAAGAGACGCCTCCGGTAAGGGGAGCACAGCTGGAGGCCATGGGAGTAGGTCACATCAGAATTTAGACAAGAGTCGATCGGTTGCAACCTCCAAGGAGGTTCCGTCCAAAATGTCTTCAAAGCAGGCCGCCGACTCATCGAGGCATTTACCCCGACGGTCCGCACCTTCGGCTCAGTCCCACTCTAGTTCAGTGCCCTCGACGCCTCACCAGCACGCTCGCCAATTTTCTCTTGAGGACCGCGAGCCGTCGCCCACGGGGACAAATAACCATTCCCCACGATCAGCTTATTCTGAGACACATAGCACGTTATCCTCACTCCAGCCTTTACCGCCGCGAATATCGAGTTGCAAATACGAGACTGCCCAAATAAATTCTCGAAGGAGAATACCGTATTCGGTCGGCAATGATCGTCTGGAAAAGCTGGACTTGAGGACGGTCAAGAGCAAGTTGACCGAGGATGAGGAGCGAAAGTTGGCAACAGATATGAGAGAGGTCTACGACCGATTACTCCCCACCGCTGCTGTCGAGGAGAATCGGAAGAAGTTAGTCTCGAAGCTCGAAAAGACCTTCAACGACGAATGGCCAGGACACGATATCCGCGTGAATCTTTTTGGGTCCTCTGGGAATCTTCTTTGTTCGGATGATTCTGATGGTACGTCCACACCCTCAATATGCATGATTTACAGACTAACCCTATCTAGTGGACATCTGCATCACAACCACATGGCGCGAATTGGAGGATGTCTGCATGATCGCCAACCTCCTAGCAAAGCGTATGTATCTTTCCCCAATTCGCTAACAACTCGCTGACATCAACAGGGGGAATGGAGAAGGTTGTCTGTATTTCGGCCGCCAAGGTGCCCATCGTCAAGATCTGGGATCCTGAACTGGGCCTCGCCTGCGATATGAATGTCAACAATACCCTTGCGCTCGAAAACACACGCATGGTTCGAACATATATCGATATTGACCCGAGAGTTCGAGAGCTTGCAATGATTATAAAGTATTGGACACGGAGAAGAATAGTTAATGATGCCGGTATGTTGTTTTGCCACCCACTTCAACTTGTCTAACGGTTTAATAGCGTTTGGTGGCACATTGAGTTCCTACACATGGATCTGCTTGATTATCGCGTTTCTGCAGCTGCGCAGCCCTCCCGTTCTTCCTGCATTGCATCAGTCGCCACATAAGTTACCCAAACCCGACGGTACCACCCCCGATTTCGCGGACGATATTGACAAACTGGCTGGTTATGGAAAGAAGAACAAGTCATCTACTGCGGAGCTTTTGTTTCAGTTCTTTCGCTTCTACGCCCACGAGTTCGATTACGATAAGCACGTTCTCTCGGTGCGGCACGGCAAACTGATCACAAAACACGAAAAGAAGTGGCATTATGCGATCAACAACCAGCTCTGTGTGGAAGAACCGTTCAATACTTCTCGTAACCTCGGAAATACCGCCGATGACTATTCTTTTCGCGGTTTACATATGGAGTTACGTCGAGCATTTGACCTGATTTCGGTGGCAAACTTCGAGGAGGCATGCGAGCAGTACGTGTTCCCTAAAGAGGAGGAAAGAGTATGGTCTCGACCAGCACCACAACCTCGACCTGCTCTGCTTAGGAGTTCCTCACAGACACATTCAGGCCGAGGAGGTCGTGGGAACCACCGTGGCGGAAGACATAACAATAATTACCGAGGCGGAAATTCGAATCGACGTGCATCTGCAGGTGTTCCACAGTTCGACGCCAACAACAACAATATGTTTATGCAGCCGGTCAACATGGCGCAGGATCTACAGTGGTACCAAAATCAACAGTTCCAGTTTCAGTACGCACAGCAGGATCTCATGACTCAAATGGCGTTGCACCAGGAGAACATGCGACTCTTGTATGCCAGTCAATCACCAGCATTTATGCAGCATCAAGCCCAGGCTCAGGCTCAAGCGATGGGTCAACAGCAGCAACAACAGAGGATGTCTACAAGTACAGGATCTGGCCAGCAGCAGTCTCAACAGACATCAGATCGTTCCAGGACAAACTCATTTGATAATCCACCGCTCAGCGCTCCTATTCGACCAGACTTGTATGCTCTATATGGAATGACTTTGGGCACGCCCTTTTTTCCTCAAGCGGGCACAAGTTATGGAACGTATCCCTCGTCTCCTGCTAGTACCTCGGGTGCTACCCAAGACTTTCGTCGCCCGCTCCAGCGAAATGGTATAAATAATGAAACAGGTGTCCAAGGATCCAACAGTGCTCTTCGTTCACATTCGCAGCCCGCATCTCGATCTCCGTCTACAGCACAAGCAGCTCCTGGTTATTTCGGTGCCCAATCTTACAATGGCCCAAGCCATTCTCGAGGTGTTAACGGCAATCCAATTCCAAGCTTTATGTCTGATGATACAGAATTCGACGAGACTCCCAAGGCACACACGGACTCGCCACAATCGGAAGAGGGCAAATACTCTGTTTATCTGTCGGAAAGCCCAAGTCCCAGCAAGCAGCCTCAGCCACAAGCTGTGACGAATGGTCTTGCTTTTGGGGATGTCTCCGGTCAGAGCCCAGGGCGACGACGACTCTCGACAGATCAACTTCCTCAAACAATTCTCGACCGCCGAATGAAGAGGACATCCCGATCGCCTTCACCCTTAGGCCATGCACGAAATTTCTCATCTAATGCATCATCGGCACCTTTGGCACAAGGCCCTTTCCCCGGAGGTCAAAACAAGAACCTTTCGCGCCCATTGGTTGTTAATGGATCTAGTCTCAAGACAAGTGTGACCCAAAGCCCACGCCAACCACCTTCGGGAACAGGTAGCACTACATCGGATGAGTCGACCAACCTTGAGAACCCATTGCAGATTCACGGCTCAAATGGTGTTCCCAACTTTCCTGTTGATGGACCCGGCATGCCGCAGGCTGTACCTGAAGCAGCCATGAACCAACAAGGTGCCTACAACCCGGTTCCCGTAGTGGCCAATGGATCCGCTGCCCCAATGATGGCTTCAGCCCCATCCACGGCAGACGATCCATCATTCCGCGATCGTATCGCGATGATGAGCGCTCACTACATGGCAAGTCCTCATATTGTACAGGACCCGATGGTGGCGGCAAACTCTCGACTGTCTCCTTCGACACGCCAGCGCCTGATGTCGCGTCAGCAGAATGGCATGATTGCTCCTCTTGATCTTGCCATTGCTGAAAACCGCATCAACAGACCACCAGTTGGTCAAGATTTTGCTCATCTCTCACCAGTTTACGAGAACCGCACTCCCTCACCCACAGTCCTTCGAAAGGATGGGCCTTGGAAGTCGGAGAAGCAGAACAGCCCTAAGACAGGACGAGGAGAGGGGCCAAAGTCCAGCCAGAAGACTGAGGAGCGAGCTCAGGAGCCTCAGGAGGGTACAAAGTCTCAGAAGAACCAGAAGTCGGGTTCTCAAAAGGTTAATGGAGCCCGAGAAAACGGCCACGTTCGTGGAGCTAGAAGTGAAACCGACGGCGGTTGGCAAAAAGCAGGCAAGGGAAAGAAAAAGGGCGCTAACAACAACGGACAACAAGGAAATGGCGAGCAGCCTCCCAAGCACGAATCGGAACGAAAGGGCGGCTAATCGGTAGTCTCGATCTGAGAAGCGACGAGACATGTCGACGGTTACCTTGACGAGTGTCTTGGGGATAAGCCCTTGTAGCAGGACCTTGATCTCAACCGGCAGTTTTTCATTTTGGATAAGTCAACTTGCAATGCTGGCACGCAATCAACGATTCACAATGACTTGAAAAGCCTAAAAGCATGAGGGCGAGAGCGGGCACATTGGAGATTATTCTGGATGGCTTCCAGATATTGACATATGTAGCGAGAGTGTACGATTGATGTCCAACGGTGTTTACTCATAGCATTTATACCGCAGCGGTCTGCGGACTTGACATACAGATTGGCAACGTCGGGGAGCGGCATGGAAGAGCAGAAGGACAGCAAAGCCGGATCTGCTGGCTAGATGAGAGTGAAGATGGATGGATGGTTGGCTGGTCGGTCGGTTGGTTGGTTGCAAGCACACATGGAAACGAAGAGGCGTTGGCGTCTTTCTACACATGGCCGGTTGGGAGGAGGCGTTTTATATACACAGCTGCAATTGCATTTAAGACAAGTCCATCTTAAGGGGGGCAGGACAGCGGTTCATATCCTTACAGGCTGCATGGGCAAAGAAGGGTCAAGCGGTTTTTTTTAGATGGTTGTCAGTAAAAAGCATGGGCAGATGTAACGAAGCACAGAAAAGAGATACATGAAAGTTTTAATGCATATTAGTTTCTTGAATTGCGAAGACGGCTCCATACTACGTAGTCGGTCAGTAGGTTAGCAGTCGATGATGAAGCATTCGCCATCCCCGCGGTCTCCACTCGGAGCTCCGCGGTGATGATCTCCGGATCAGACAATAACTCGGACTACTACATGATTTATCGCCCTTTTCATTCCGTATAACCGCCAAATCGGTGGGGCCGATGCCGAAGTCCCGTCAATCTTAGACGCAAAGCACGATTACATGATGTATTATCCAATATTCTGCAGCTTCTCGCGCGGTAATTTGGTTCACTCCCGAGAGCTTATCAATAGAGGGGTTTCATTACTAAGGGCCATGGTTGTCTTTGAGAGGCTGAAATAGTGCTGACACATTGGTTCCGTTAGTTGCCGTTTGATAGATCGGGTATGTAAGTTGAAGTATAAAGACGTCGGTATGATTCCACTTCAAGGTCATTGTGTTCCTCACACTTGTTCTCATACCTCAGACTCTACTCTCACGATAAAAGAGTTTTGGCTGTTCGCACATACACTATCACGATGAGCATGCTCTCAGCTGAAGTCACGGAATGGGGTCAGCCTCCCAAGTCCATCAAAGTTCCCCCTCCTGCAGCCCCAGTTCACGACAACGAGACAGAGATCAAAGTCCTCGCTGCAGGCCTTCATCAACTCGTCCGCACACGCGCGGCGGGAAAACACTACACTGCTACTGAACTCCCTCACGTTCCCGGCGTCGACGGTGTAGGCATCAATCTCTCTACCGGCAAGAAAGTCTACTTCTCGCTCCTCGGTACAAAGCAGGGCAGTTATGCTGAGATCGTCAATGCGCCAACTCACAACATCGTTGAGCTTCCCGAGGGCGTAGACCCTGTTGTTGCAGCTGCTATGGTCAACCCCGTCATGGCGAGTTGGATGGCGTTGAGGAAGCGTGTTGATTGGCCTGGAAAGGAGGGCAAACCTTACAAAGTCTTCATCAACGGCGTCACCAGCGCCAGTGGAAAGATCGCTATCAAAGTAGCGCGTCACCTCGGTGCAACAACCGTCGTCGGCGCAGCTCGTAACAAAGACGCGTTGTCAAAGCTCGACCTCGACGCCAGCGTTGTCCTTCAAGAACCCAACGCCACAGATTTCTCCGCCGCCGCAGACGCAGACATTGTTCTCGATTTCCTTTACGGACCGTGGCCCAATGCGTTCCTGTTGAGTCCCAGCACAGCTAGTGCTAAAAACCCTATTACGTGGATCAACATTGGGTCTATGGCGGGTGATATTGGTGATATCTCGGCGATGGGGCTGAGGAGGAGAGATGTTACGGTGCGGGGCTCGGGGCCGGGAGCGTGGGATCCGAGGGAGCTCGGGGTTGAGACGGAGGGAATGTTGAAGGTTCTTGTGGGTTTGGGAGATGAAGGGTTGAAGAAGTATAGGATTGAGGATGTTGAGGAGGGTTGGGGTGATAAGGGGAGGGATAGAGTTGTTTTTGTGTTTAGTGAGTAGGCTTGAGGGGGAGTGAGTGAGTATAGGGTGAGGATGAATGAGTTGTGATAATGAGATGCGATAAATGACAATGACATAAATTGACCCCTTTACCATCAATAAATTGCTATTTCTTATGATATTTTTTCGTTTAAGGATAATTCCAATATGATGAACACCGTATTGGCAGATCGTCAGTGAGAAGAGATGATACCGAACGTGTCAGTCTGACGTAAAAGTTTTATCAAAGACGAGAGGCTCATCAATTCTTCACCACAAATCCCCCAACTTCAAGATTTACTCAAGATCGGCAAAAGTCAACAAGAAGACAAATCATCTACTGACAGATTTTCATTATCGGGTTCCGAGAAATAAAATGAGTCTACTGAGTAAATGCATCGGCTGCGGCTTGTCGCCTCATGGCCATGCGAAGGGCGCCAAGATGAACTTGCTATGTTATGCAGTAGCCTAGCCCTGACAATAGAAATCGGGCATATTATGCTACAGATATGATATCATCGCATGGAATGAGGCAGTTGCCAAATGGATTATTATGCTTTCAACGCCTATCGATGGTTCTGACCGTTAAACGTTGCCTGGAATACGATGCATGTACAGTACATGTTTCATGCATGCAGCTTTTGATGCCTGCTCTGCTGAAATGCTGACACGAAGCGGAATAATACCGACAATAGAATCCAATTAGGGAATACCGTATTCGTCAACAACACTGGCTTGTGATTGCTCTATGATGGAAACCTTGATCGGATATGATTGAGAAGTCCCTTGCCCTGGCTACGATGCTGTGGACCTTCACGTCACATGCTGCTAGAAGAAGGAAATATTAGAAACTGCTCAGTACGAGTTCATGAATAGCAAGAGACAAGCTGGCGGACTTGAAGGAATATTTCAAGGCAGCTCAGTCCCCGATATACAAATAAGGTGGCTCGTCTCATAGTCCACTGCTGAGTCCTACATCGCGATAAGATTGTGTGAGTGAGTAAGTTTTTGAGACTCCTCCCCCGCAATGCATCTTACCTCTTTGCGCCAGATGCAGCGACGAACTTACTGGGGATAGAGATCCACTGAACAAGCAGGCATTGCATTCCCATAAATGTCATGCTAATTGCATCAGTTATGACAGTGTACTTTCTGTAGGAAAGTACCGTATCATGGGTACTTTCTCCTTACGCCTCTTACCCGTGTCTCAATTCAATTCATCTGCCTCCGTCGGAACGGTCCGTACTGTGTCAATCCTCCCAATACCGTCCCTTCTCCAACTCAAATTACCATTCATTTCCTTTACCTCTTCTCACCGTCTCCCCTTAGACTCGCATTCGTTTGCGACCCCTCTCCTCATCGCTGTTGCACAAGAGAAACTAAGACTCTATGGGCGCCCGCTAATAAAGGCCCAGACGCCAAGTTGTGATTGCCCCAGTTTTCAACCCCAGCTTCGTCAGAACCCCCAGACTCCGTCCGACCAGAGCCAGAGGCTGAGGGAATGTCCTAACCCACCTTTAATACCCAAGCGTCCTCCACTTTCTGTCAATGACTTCCCGGGTCCCGATCTTGACCTTGCATTGACTTTGATCTGAAGACGACGAGAATAACTGAAGACGCAAATCACCGACTCTCCAGACTTCGATTTTACGGTCGACAGCTTGAATCTTCACTTGACTCGTCGGTACCCCATCGCGCGCCTAATCTTCCCAGAGGAGTTTGGTCTGAACGTGGCAATACCAGTTCCAGCCGTCTGGGACCATCCACCAACGTCGCACCAAAGATCCGACAACCCCGGCCGTACGGACGATCCAAAGACGACTTCGACTCTACATACACGAAACAGCTATAGACTCAACCCGCATCTCGAATACATCACAAACCTCCATACGCTTCCCTCCAGCGAGGCACCTCTTTGCCACGCTGTGACTACAATGCTGTGGTCAGGCGCTGGCATTGACGCTGCGCTCCTCATCGCGGCCTGATGCGCTCCCTCCGAAACTCCGTTCCGTCCGGCGACAAACAATCCAATCTATCCATGAGGGTCGATATGGTCTCAAGAACCTCTAGCGATGGCCCTCCGCCCGGAGGCGGCCGACAATGGAAATCACTGATCAACAAGATCCCGAGACGAGGGGTATGCTAGTCGAGTTCATGATCAGAGGACTCATACTGACGAAGTGTTATTAGATCAAAATAATCAGTCAACATGCCCCCGAAACTAGTACCTCCGACCTCGACCTTCACCTCAGATCTCCAGATAGCCACTCCACGAATCCTTTAGAAAGCCAAGAAACCCATATCCGACAACTGCAGACCATTGTTCAGCGGATGCCTCGTAACTTTCCCACTACGCCCAACCATGTCGACTCAGCCTACAAAGATTTCACAAAACATAAGGAGCAATGTGCTACGTTATGCCGACATATTCTGACAGAAGAACTCGGTCGCGGTTCTCGTAATGGTGGCGACATCCCCCGCCGTGACTCAACCGTCGAGTCCCCACAAAGTCCTGGCCAGATCTACGATACAAGGAGCTCTTTCAGTGGAAGAAGTCTAGCTGAGGTTGTCTCTGGAAGTGTTGGAAAGAGCATACATCAGACTGATGCCTGGCTGTCCTCTGTGCGCGACTGGAAGAACTACCTTGAGTCCCTTGCCGATGCTTGCCGGACGAGTCTAATTGAGACCTACAAGAACAATGAGCGCGATGCAACGCCGGAACAGGTGGAAGCCTTGTTCACGAATAAGCGATTTAGAAAAGAGGCTGTGCAGCGAATGCGCAATGCCAGTGTAACCCGGGTCATGTCGGCAGATCCCCAATTCGTGTGTGGTCCTGGTCAGATATGCAAGAGATCAACAGCTGACAAATTGTAGTTTCCGAAATATGAAATGCGCTTTTACGATTACGAGAGAATCAAGCAGGAGTTGAACGAGATACGGCAGCTTCTACAGACAGGAGAGTCAGGCATCTCACCTGACCGAACCATCAAAGAGTTTGCCATCTCACAGCGCGGCGATGCTATACTAGAGTTCGCCAACAATGGACCTGGATGTAACCACAGCGATCCAGCACTACGTTTTCGAGTCTCGTCTTACATGCTCGCTGAGACGTCACCTATCTTTGCGCGCATGTTTGCAGGGCACTCTAGCAGTCTCCATCTTTACGACGATGATGATATCTCGACACTGCTCCCGTTACCCCCAACAAAATACTTCTGTAAGGATGGCTCCGAAGCCAAGCTCTACCGCATGCCGCAGGTTGAGTTGAATCACCTGGGTTCTCTGGAGATTCTGTTACACGCAGCACACATGCATAACGAAATGGTTCCACGAGAAATCGAGTTCGAGCAGTTCGTTGCTATCGCCGAGTGTTGCATGCGATACAAGAGTACTTCACCTCTGGAACTCATCGTTGAGCATCGATGGCTGCCACAATGGATGCACAAAGGTGCCGATGACATGCCTGATGGGCTCTTAGTGATCAGCTACGCTTTTGGACTCCGTCGACTATTTTCACGAATGTCGAAAACTACAGTTCTGAACCTTGTCGATGAGAAAGAGTTACTAGCTAAACCCTGGCCACAGAAAATTAAGGATAAAATATGGGCTGTTCGTTGCGCAAAGATGGCACAAATTCACGAGTGCTGCGTCAGTACTATCCGAGAATACATGCGGGAACCAACACACAATACGTTGGAAGGTTCGGAAGAGCTTTCATTGGATACGCGAGCCAGCTTTTCCTCGGACAGTTTACCACCGACGATGTTGACGAGTACACCAAGATGTCCCAAGGGCAGTCATTGGTGTGACGCCACAAACCTCGGATGGCTAATGCTACTTTACAATGAGATGAACCTCCTGCCTCATATCATGGCGCCAGATGTTTTGTCTCACTTACCCAGGACACAACCACAGTCGAAGAGTCTGGCACAGATTGTCGATGCGTTAAGAAGGATTCCCGCGCCGCCAACACCGGTCCATCGAGGCGTGTGTGATCCTGGGCCAATGTTTCGCTCTGCTATCAGTGATATTTATAACAGCGTGCTGGGCCTGACACTATTTGACATCAGTGGGAAGAGCCATGGTTGGGGGCTCTCGAAGCACAGAGAAAGAGAACCTCAAACTCAGCTCAACAAAGGCCTTGATCGGATGGCTGCACCTGATCCGAACTACAGCGTCGCCACCGAGTTCCCCGAGATCGTTCGTCTTCGTATCTTATGTCAGCTGGATGAAATCGATGATCTTCACACAGCAGCGATGATCAACCGCGCATACTACGAGACCTACAAGAAGCATGAACTGTATTTAATGAGGAACATTCTCCGCATGGATCGGAAACGAACAGCGACTCGCAGTCACATACCAATCGGCCCTACCACCAACGAAGAGAAAGTCCTCAGAGATGAATCGGAAGTGCTGAAGCGCACACCAGCGGATACTGCAGACGGCATCACTCTTCACAGCGTCGTTGAAACAGAAGGAGACTACACAGACTCCGACTCCGACAGTGATAGTCTTTACTCAACTTCAGTGACTCCATCCCTTCCAAGATCAGCTGCTACTACAAGCACAACCACCAAGGGACGTGATTACCAGGGATCGTCAGACCCTGTGCTGATCACGGATAGCCCCGCACGGACACCACGGGCCCGGACCGGGACACCCACATCAAGATCCACTGGCATCGGATCTCCGACGACCCCTCGGCAGGCCGTATTTGACCCACCACCGCCTCCAACCACGGCACCACCGATAACCACAATCGACGAACCTCCTCTCACGGTCGAGGAAGCAAACCGAATTCTTTGGCCAGAAGACGCCATCCGAGCTTCCGAGTCACCATTACCAATAGCTCCAACAGGCATAGAAGGCATTCGCGAAAAGTTCCGCGCCGGTGATCCCGCGTTTGACGCTGGGCTTGAAGAGAAGACTCTTGTACCGACTGGTGAAAAGCAGTTGCGAAGTGAACATGACAGACAGGTTGGACTACTCAAAGGCGGTGAATCTTCAAGTAAATGATGCAAAGATCTACATGACATTTATACGTTTGCATACGCAATTTTTGAACATCTATATATAATAGCGAGCGATGTTTGCATGGACATGATATATGCCGTGGTTTGGATGCATGGCGCCCAAGTGACTTAGCATGGCATGGCACGCTGATACCCTTTGGCGCGAGGAGTTGAACTGTTGGATATAGTTGATATTTTATATTGGTCGACCATGGATTATTTGGTGTTGAATAAACTCGTTTTATGGAAATCTATGCGTCATACCTTTTGCTTTTTGTTTGTCCTGTGACATAACTTGTACAATATTGATACGGTGCTTTAGCGCGCCATGATCAACAAAGTACGTCCCGACCTCATTCACTCACGCATGCATATACTGATGTTTCAGTTTCTCTACTCATTCATCTCACAAATCCTACTCATAACATCAATCAATACGAACAATTGCCGCCGCTTTAAACCTTGTCTGTCATGTCATCGGAAGCCAACATATGGATATGATAAACTCTGTCCCTCCTGGGTATATTCACCTGACTCAAATATCCAGTAAGTGTAATACCGTAAGGAATAGGGTAGGCAGCTGCTAATAGTCCATCCTAGCATTACCTGAGATCGGGAATGGTTTGAGGATGATTACATGGCTTTCAGCAGCGTCGTCTACCATACACGTAATAAGCCGTGGGATAACGCAATGCAGCAGATCGAAGTCGGACCATGCGGCCCTCCATTTGGCCGAGAGACAAAAGAAAGATCGCTATTCCACCCGCACGTCAGACACGACATACGGGCCAAGTGGCCAGCCGATGAGAGACATCGCTTCGAGAGGTACAGATCAACTCGCTCCCCTTCTGTTAACATCCGGCAAAAGCCCTGGTCGGAGGAAGAGTTACAGTGGCTTAAGAACGAGGGCGCAAATTTCGACGAAATGGCCGAGAGGACTAAAAATTCTTATGACAAGGAACTACCTGCGTATGCTGGGAATCTCAAGACTCGTAAAATTGTTGCAGTTTTGAGAGGAAAACACCGCACACGGTGGCTGAAGAACCCGTTCCAGGAGCACTTTGACCGTCATATGGGATACTGTGAATCGGAAGAGTGCGACTGGGGGGTTTTCCTACGCTCAGAGAGGTTTTGTGAATAAATTGTGGGGGGATACTAAGGGGTTCATGTATATGTATGGGTATAGGTATGAAGTTGATGATGACTGCAGGATGGCGGCTATGCAGGTTAAGGATATTATGAGTGAAGAGGGTTGGAGGTTTCTAGCGATGAGGAGTGGGAGGATATGGACGAGGATGATACGGACGAGGGCATGTGTGAGTGTGAGGATAATAAGTGCGAGTGCCCTAATGGCATTGACTTAGTTCTGAGAGAGTTGTGAAAGGATATACGGTATCTGAGATTGGTAGAATATGGTATGAGACTGTTGGTGGAGTTTGGTCTTGGCGAGATAGACTATGGAGAGATCGATGCTAGCTTCGGGGTTTAATGAAAGCTCCGCAGGCGTTCTCATATATCAAGATGCATACCAACTTAGTCATTAGGGATGTAGTGTAGTGGCTCTGCAATAATCTCTAGCTAATAGGACGATAACGGCTTGAAAGTTTGTGGCTTACAGCCTTATGTCAAAGTCGATGGCGACTCAGTTGGAAGAGAGGCTGGCCTGAAGATCCCACGCTTAGCTCAGTCAGAGTAGAGCAGATAGAGCATAGAGTAGATATGTCTATATAAGGTCAAAGACTTTTGACGGACTTGTATGGCGGTTGTCTTGAGTTTCGCACATCCGGTCTTGAAGATACAGAATTACGGTCGTACTCGACCACTGAAAACAACTGGCTGTGAAAACTGCAACAGAATAAGCCCTCATTATCAGCACCTTGAGCAACGTGCCCAAGCTTGGAATGCTATACTCTTATATTGCCTTTCGTTATGGCTTCTTACAAGTAAGTTTATTCGACGAGGATTGCCAAGCGTCACCTGGTTCACGATTCGTTGAAGAAAAGCTGAACCCTCAAGCATGACTCTCAGGAACATCTTCCTCTCCTTCTGATCTAACTTCAGAGTGCCTCGTGGCTACAATTGCGTTAAGCCCTTATGCACGTCCCATTCCCCCTTGGTGAGTTCCCCGGAGCGCACGCGTGTTCTCGTTATCTTATATCCAGTAGTTCTCCAGTCCAGCAACCTCGTATCAAGCCCAGTTTTGGCCTTACCAACGCTCGGACTCTTAGTCCATCGGATTGGGGGTATTAGCTGTCAATTTGATGAAAGCATGCTAGCTGATGGCTAGTCCCAAGGCTAAAGGGGGACCTGTCATCTGCTTGTGGGATCTAGTAGCTGTCTAATGCCTTCATTCGATTGTGTTGTCCACTCAGAGGGAATCGTTAGCGAAGCTACCAAGTTAGCAACTGCTTTTAGTTGAGTTTATTCCTTGACTAGAGCTCGAGCTCTAAGAAAGAACATGGAGCTGTGAATTATGAATAGTAACAGGAGCGATAGGTGGGTGCATGTTCGTGTGACCCAACAGCACAGCTTGGATCTTGAGCAACCGATAGTTTAATGGGAAAGATGAGCATAAAAGTGCAAATGTGATACGAAAACAGGATTCGAAGACACTGTTATGCGCATTCGGCAGCCGGCATTCAAGCTTTCCACCTGTGTTGCCAACATCAGGAACGTCCACGGGACGAAGCCATCGTTTACCATACCAATTATTCGGTATCACCGTTGGACCCTGTATACTAACATGGAAATAAACCATTGTTGGCATAAATTGGATGATCATCGTTGGATAAAACAGTAAAGAAGAGGCGGGATACTTCTGTAGATCGCTTACCCGGCGGTTTGCATCCTTCACGACACAGCAGTCCACCCCATTCCATTTGTCAAAGCCCAATACTCAATAATGCAACTAACACCTCTTCAAGCTTGAGTAATCAAGTCCGGCGGCCGACCTGGCGTCTAGAAGCTCTAAATAGTGAGCTATACAAAAAGCGTTGAAGTATTCGGGTAGAACCAGGAAAACTGAGACCGAGAACATGGATAAACCTAAAACATTTAAATAACACGGGGTCCCAAGCACATAGTTAAGCTTTCCTTGCCCGAGACCCATGCCGATCTTGGTTTACCTCGTTCTGTGATAGGAATGACATGTTATGGCCCAGGCCGTGAAAATGGGGCATCTAGCATTCCTCCGGGTTCCTGGAACCACCACGTTCTTGGCAAGGTTTAGCCTCATGTAAGGTCCCGACGGTTCTATATGTTCCTGCATTGAGAATAGCTTCAATAATACACTTTATACTCGTACGTGAGGCTTCTTTTATAAAATGTTTTGACAATGTCGTGTAAGCTGTGCTGCTCTTTGTTCCCCCTTTGACAAAATCCGCCTAGACAAAGCATTGTCACCAGCCCATTCTCTCTTTGTCACTCCTTATACCACAGCCCAAAATGAAGGTTGTTTACGCCTTGACGTTATGCCTGGGCATCGCTGATGCTGTGGTTCTCCCCGTCTTCTCAGCTCCCAAGGGTGGCTATGCACTTCCTCGACCTGATTCAGATGACACAACCGATTCTTCAAAGACTGCGGCAGGATCAAAGACAAATTTAGATTCTATGCTTCCTGTATTTGGAAAGGCAAAACCAAAGACTGGGTTTCCTGCTTCTGCTTTGTCGCGAAGAGTTGCCCGAATTGAGCAGACATATGGCTCTGATGACGAGTCTACAGACGACTCTGATGATACGCCCACGGATCCATCTGATGCTACTCCATCAAGTCCGCCTGATGACACGCCCTCAGGCTCTTCAGATGATATTGACGAGGTGGTGTATGCCGAGCCATTCATGCAACCCACTTATGTCCGCTTTGGTCCAGCTCCTGTCGACAAGCCAGAAGTTGCTCCCAAGGCCAAGTCGAATTCAAAAGATACTGCGAGTGTAGCCAAGCATGGAGGAGACGATGACTCCAACTCTGGCGGCCACAAGCAAAAGGGCAAGGATAAGAACAAGGGCAAGGATGATAAGGGAAGACACAACGGCGATGATGACGCCACAAAGTCTCGCAAGAAGCCTGAGGATTCACCAAAGACATCTTCCAGCAGTGCAACGGATACAGTGTCTGTTACTGCCACAAGCACAGCAGCCCCCACAAGCCCGCCAACAGGCGATGACAAGGGCAAAGGCAAGGGAAAAGGAAAGGGGAAGGGCAAAGATGGCGGTGGTAGGCATAACGGAGATGACGATGCTACCAAGTCTCGCACCAAGCTTGAAGATTCTACCAAGACTCGATCTTCTGCTCCTACCAAGACCTCTTCTGATGATTCAGGAAAGGGTAAGGGGAAGGGCAAAGGAGGTGGCAAGGGTAGACACGATGGTGGTGATGATGCTGCAAAGTCACAAGCCAAAGCAGAGGACTCTAAGACCAACTCCAAGAAGAGTTCCAAGAAGGGATCAAAAGACGACTCAAAGTCCAAGCCCTCAAAGAAATCCTTCATCACACATCAATCCGGCAAAACCTTCGATGCCGACAGCACCAAAGGCGGCGGCAAAAACGGCCCCGGCTACAACCCCTCCTTCGACGTCCCCAAGCTCAACAAAGGCTACATCCAAGCCATCCCCCCCAAAGCCAGCACCATCAACAACAAATTCAGCTCGCGTGTGAAGCCCCGTCCCCAACTCAACACAGAAAAGGTCCGTCCCCTTTCCTCCTCCTCCTCCTCCTCCTCCTTCCTCAAGAGGGATGAAAGTAAAAATATACTGAGTCTCCGTGCAGCCGCGCCCTTCAACAGCGCCGCGATCGACCGCAAGAAGTGGTCAGTGACGTGTGATAGCGTACACGAGGGGGATGACTGCAAGAATGCTATCGACGGGAACGGTGATACTATGTGGCATACCCAGTGGGAGGGCAGTGAGCCTGCGCCGCCGCATAGTATCACTGTTGATATGAAGAAGAGCTATAACGTCAATGGGATTTCTATGCTGCCGAGACAGGATGGCTCGCAGAATGGGTATATTGCGCAGCATCAAGTTTTCTTGAGCAAGGATGGAAAGACTTGGGGCTCACCTGTGGCGTATGGGAATTGGTACAATGACTGGACTGTCAAGTATGCCAATTTCGATACGCAGCCTGCACGATTTGTGAGACTCGTTGCTCTCACAGAGGCGAATGGCAATCCTTGGACAAGCATTGCAGAGCTCAATGTCTTCCAAGCGAACGACTACGTTCCTCCCCAAGCATCTCAAGGCGCTTGGGGTCCTACCATTAACTTCCCCATCATCCCCGTCGCTGGAACCGTTGATCCCAACACCGGCAAAGTCCTCGTCTGGTCATCCTGGGCTAGAGATACCATGTCTGGTGGTCCCGGTGGCCTAACGCTCACTTCAACATGGGACCCAGCAACTGGCCAAGTCGCAGAGCGTCAAGTCACAGAGACCAACCATGACATGTTCTGCCCGGGCATTTCCATCGACGGAAACGGCCAACTCGTCGTTACAGGCGGTAACAACGCCGAGCGCACAAGCCTCTTCGACCCCGTCAAACAAGCCTGGGTGTCTGGCCCCAACATGCAAGTCGCACGCGGGTATCAATCCTCCGCCACAACATCCACAGGCAAAGTCTTCACCATCGGAGGATCCTGGAGCGGCGGCGAGTCTTTCAAGAACGGCGAAGTATACGATCCGAAGAAGAAGACCTGGACACTGCTTAATAAAGCAGATGTACAGAAGATGCTCACGAATGATGCGCAGGGCTTGTTCCGCTCTGATAACCACGCTTGGCTGTTTGGTTGGAAGAGCGGTACTGTGTTCCAGGCTGGGCCGAGTAAGAACATGAACTGGTATTACACTGAGAAGAAGAACGGCGACGCCAAGACTGCGGGGCAGAGGGCCTCTGATCGTGGTGTTGCGCCTGATGCTATGTGTGGCAACGCCATCATGTTTGACGCTGTCAAGGGCAAGATTCTGACTCATGGTGGAACTCCGAACTATCAAGACTCGGATGCTACTACGGATGCCCACATCATCACTGTTGGAAATCCTGGTACGAACGCTTCTGTTGCTTACGCCAGTGAGGGTCTCTTCTTCCCTCGTGTCTTCCACAGTTCTGTTGTTCTTCCCAACGGCAACGTCTTCATCACGGGTGGTCAGAAATACGCTGTCCCGTTTGAAGACTCAACGCCTCAGTTGCAACCTGAGATGTACTATCCAGACAAAGATGGCTTTGAGCTCATGAAGCCCAATAACATTGTAAGGACATATCACAGCATCGCCCTCCTCCTTCCCGACGGGAGAGTCTTCAACGGCGGCGGTGGTCTCTGCGGCGGATGTGACACAAACCACTTCGACGCTCAACTCTACACTCCTCCCTACCTCTACGACTCAAAGGGCAAGTTAGCCACACGCCCCAAGATCACTTCCGTGTCTGTGTCCACCATCAAGGTTGGAGGAACAGTTACTGTTCAAACGGGCGGAGCTATTGTGCAGGCTTCACTGGTGCGGTACGGAACGGCTACGCATACGGTTAACAGTGACCAACGACGTATTCCGTTGACGTTGGCTAACGCGGGAAAGAATTCGTATTCGTTTCAGGTGCCTAGTGATCCTGGTGTTGCGCTGCCGGGATACTGGATGTTGTTTGTCATGGATAAGAATGGAGTGCCGAGTGTGGCTTCTACGATCAAGGTCACTGGTTCATAGGCGTTGTTTAGCACCATAGATTTCGTCTGATCAATTTTAACATAAAGTTCTACCATCTTCTCTCTTCTCTCTTCGTCAAACATGGTTCTCTTGCTGAAGTCGCTCAATGGCATTACCCGGAATCCACCAGAGATATGCAGGTCTCGGTTGCTCTTCTGCAAATCATGATGATCAACTGGTTGGGTCATTGCGTGTGGTACAAGAGCCCAACGGCGCGGTTGTTTCAGCCATGCATATGCGTTGTTTGTTGGCAGCCTTGCCTTCGGGTTCAAGCATATTATCGGGGTTTCTCGCGCAGGCAAGCTTATACTGTACTCTTTGAAGAATCTTTTCATAAGTTAAGTCTTAGAGATACGAATTATTTAAGAGCATTAGAGAAAGTGTCTTTGTCTCGTCTAAAATCACCCAACTCTGCATCCCCTTTCCCCTCCCGCTCCCCCAAATCGAATTCCCTCATTCAAAGAGTTACGCCTTTTCTTTGCAAGCCATGAAGGTCGTTCGGTACGAGCCATTCAATCGTAGCAATTTCGAGATTGTGCTCCAGAATTCAGACGAGAGGACAGTTGTTCCCAAAGTCATTATAAACCCATGTCCTTCACATATCGAAGACAATGATAAGACGAGCGACAGCAAGAAGGACAGCGGGGAAGAAGAGAGCGATGAAGGAGACGGAGAAGATGAGCAGAAGACTCCCAAAGACAATGATGAGGTCCAACATGGACACGCCTCTGACTCTGTAGCAACCCTATTTCCGCCCGAGTCAGGCAGATACAGAGCTATCTCCTGGATCAGAAGCCGACGATTCAATCAGAATTCTACGCAATTTTAACATTCTTTTCTTCGACAAAGAACAGCCTCCCAACCAAGTTTCTCTCTACGCACGCGATGAGATCCGTCACTTATGTGATCGACCCTCGTGGCGATATTGAGGTCGTGCTAGCAGCATCCAAACCAATTCCACGGCGTTCCCTACCAAATGGACGATGCTCATCATCGCCCATGACGGGTGAAGAGGACGATGAGGAGGAGGAAGATGATTCCACGATCGAGATGGGAACCTTGGACAGCTTGTTCTACGGGACAACTAATCCCCAGGAGAAAGATAGAGAAGTCGAAATTCGAATGCGCGTTTCCAGCTACCATCTGTCTCTTGCATCTCCAGTCCTCTCTACACAGCTGGAAGTATCTCGTTTACAGCCGACAACGCGCGCTGCTCGACCAGCCAACGCCATACACCTTACGGGATGGGATGTGAAGGCGTTGGCCACCGTATTGAACATCATCCACGGTCAAAACTCTCAAGTACCCCGAAATGTTGATTTCGGTTTTATTACACACATTGCCGTTGTCGCCCACCACCTTCAATGCGTTGAAGCAGTACAACTCTATTCGGAGATGTGGCTCTCAAGTTTCAGAGCAGATAAAATACCCTATTTCAATAGCGCTTGCCTAACGTGACTGTTTAGCTCGTGGGTGTTTTCTTGGGAAAACGAGTTTTCACATTGCGCACAATTGGTCCTCTCGGAATACGAAGGCCCTGGTACGGTCACCTTGCACGATCTTCCCCTAACTGAAGTGTTTGGTTGGTATTCCCACCAAACGTACCGCGACCCTCAACTAACCATTGTCAGATAAATTTAATGGCATGAGAATCACCTTGATAAAGAAAGTTTTCACCGCCCTCGAAAACCTAGAGCAGACCCTCTCCACCGAACATGTTTGTCCAGAGGCTGGGTTGGAACAATGCACTGCTATGGCACTTGGTGTGTTGATACGGGGAAAGCGAATGTTCCAGAACATCGAGGAATAGTATGATGATCTCAGTATACGGGAAGTCCTGGCATCGCTGGAGGAGTTTCCTCAGATGTCAGTTGTGTGTCCTGATGAGAATCATGGTCAGAACTGTACTGTGTATGCAAGGATGAGGCCGGTCATGGACAGAGTGAAGGAGGAGATTGAGGATACTTAGTTGAGCTACTTTAAATCCTGATAATATGAACATGCTGCTTGAGTCTGGTGGTTGTCGATGTGGGAGATTTGTGGTGAGGTTGTGTCTCGTTCTTGATCCCCCTGTTCCTCTCCGGATGAAGTATCCCTTATCTTGGACACAGCAGTTTGCCATTTTACGTCATCCATAGAATTCCAACTTTTACTCGCGAGACCATTTTGAGGTGCAGACTTCTGCTTGTGCTTTAGTGGTGCATCTGTTTTGACAGTGTCTGACAGATGCAGGCTTCCGCCCTGACACCTGACACACTCTCTCTTACAGAGCCGCCCAGCCTTTGGAACAGTTTTCTCAGCTCTTCTGTTGACTCTTTCACATCGATTCCCTTCTCCCACGTGGGCATATTTTACCTTCCTCATCCAAAACCTCGGCAACACGACAGCATCATGGCAGTCGTCACTCACGACATAGCCCCCGATGGGGACATCTGCATCGTCCTCCAGAAACCTAACACTCAATCAGTTGTTCCAATTGTCAACCTTCGCCAGTATGGTACGGAGCCACCTCAGTACTACCAAGATGTATCCTCGGTGGGCGTTCCTGTGTGGCACTCGCCAGCGCTTAAAGGTGAGCAAGTTTGTGTCCCCAAACAACGTAGAAACTAATACCACGACACAGACAAGAAGGCTGCTGAATATCGGCTTCGTGTTTCTTCGCATCATTTAACATCTGTCTCTCCCATGTTCAGTTGTATGCTCAAAGGCCCCTGGAAAGAGTCAGCAGCTCCTGATGCAGCGACTTCTTCGGATTCTTGGGATCAGACTCCTGCCGCAACCGCCATTCGTGAGATCTCAGCAACTGACTGGAATATACACGCCTTGATTACCGTACTCAACATTATTCATGGCCGCCATAATGAAATCCCGCGACAAGTCAGCATCAAGTTTATTGTCGACGTTGCCGTCATTGTCAACTACTACGAATGCGCTGGATCTGTAACTCTTGCAGCAGAGTTGTGGAGAGCAGGAGTAAATGTGCCCGAAACATACGGCAAGAAATCTATTATGTTGCTGTTTGTTTCTTGGGTTTTCTCTTGGACCAAAATGTTTTCTTCAATGGCTCATTTGGTGCTGGAGCAAGGTGAAGGCTCAGAACATGCGGATACCCGGAACCTTCCCATCGCTGTGATCTTTGGTAAGCAACGCTATCCGGGCAATGTGCCTACACACTGCTAACATTTAATTTAGAAACGCTGGATAAGAAGAGAGAGTTGGCCTTGCCGTTTGTCCATAAAAGACTCAGTAACCTGCGCGGGGATCTGCTGAATAGCCGTATTGGGTGTAGCCCTCAATGCAGGCACATGTTGCTTGGGGCTCTTGAATCTAATAAGCACGACATGCACAAGGCACTCGGAAGTTGGGACTACGAACCCAAAGGAGTCTCTGTCGGTCGTGTTTTGGACGCTCTGAACAGCTTTCCTTCGCCTGAATGGAAAGACCCCAAGGAAAAGGGGCAAGTTCATTCTCGAGATTGCAATGTCAAAACTCTCATGCAGCCAGCTTTCGATAAGATCAGGGAAGATTTCAAGAAGATTAAGCTCGCCGACTTCCAAGCTAAGAAAGTCTAAGAAATGCTTTGTTTGCTGGCAGCTGCGGATGGATGGGCGTTCATGGACAGGCTGGACGTAGGCACACAGAAGGATGATATGCGTATCAGAGGGATGGGTAAAACGAAATCCCAAGTATGAGTCCTGTATATATGAAGTGTAGAATTTATTTTGATATGCATCGACTTCCTCATCATGTGTTCACTGGTGACTTCAGCTGAGCGTAAAACACCGAGTTGCTTTCCGAGCACCCAGACTTTACATGGTTTCTCATTCTCTCCTTTCATGAGAAGAAAGCTGTGAGCTCTTAGTCATGTTGGATTTCACTTGGCAAGACCTACGTACAAGATCTCTAGCCAAGAAATGGACAGCAACGGTCTTGGCGTAAAGTCTACCATAATCACTTATTACATTTTGATCTGATTTTCAATCTCAGGATCGTCATTTCAAGTCTCTCTACTAGGAGGTACAGGTTCCTGCTGGCGCTTTAGCGATCAAGTGCATTTATGCTGGCAGTGTCTATCAAGTGCTATTTTTTCACTCCTGGCACTCTGCTCCTTTCACTCCTACATCTTCCTCGGGCACCACGCGCCTTATCCCTTTTTTCTTCTCTTCACATCGCAACCTCTTCGCCTACCTCAAATCTCTCTCCTCTTTATCAACTACAAACTCAGCCACAACACCATCATGACAGTCATCACGCACCACATAGTCCCCGATGGGGATCTCTACATCGTTCTTAAAGAACCAAACACGCAGAAAGTACTGCCAGATGTTTCTCTTCGCCAACACCAGTACAGTTTGCCAGACTACTTGCCCGACCATGATCGTCTGGATGTTCCGTCTATGAGTTCTCCTCTTCCCTCTTTCAGAATCTATGGTAAGGTCTTCATCAATCCAAGAAATATTTAAAACTGATTTGAGAACACAGATGAGGAACCTGTTGAAATCCGCCTTCGCGTTTCTTCTGCCCATATGACTCTCGCTTCACCCGTAATCAGGAAGATGCTCCAAGGTCCATGGACCGAAAATACTGAACCTGCTTTTCCTGACTCAGCCAACGCCTCATCTTCCTCAAGCACGTCAGTTCGCGAAATTTCTACAATCGGATGGAACGCAGATGCTCTGGTCGCTCTGCTCAACGTTATCCATGGCCGCCACAGCGATGTGCCACAGAAGGTCAATCTCAGCTTCTTTGCTGACTTTGCAGTCATTGTCGACTACTACCAATGCGACAGAGCCGTTCTGTTTGCTCCACTTCTGTGGTACAAGTCGCTCTACAAGGTCCCCAAGGGATTTGGAAGGAAGCCCATTCTATGGATGTACATTAGCTGGGTCTTCTCCTGGTATGAATTATTTGCCGATATGACGATGTTGATCTGGAAGCATGGTGAGGGCCTGGATCTTGTCAAAACCTACGATCTCCCTATCGCTGAGATCCTCGGTAAGTAGTTCCAGATACAGAATAGTTCATGTGAGACACTTCTGACATTGTGGATAGAGAATCTAGACACCAAAAGACAAGAGGCTATCACGACAGTCTTGGGGGAGCTTGACAAGATGATTGGGGAACTTCAAGATGACCAGACCGACGACGCAGCCTGGGATGCCTGGGGGGCTCCGGCCACTGACCACGCACGCCGTTGCATGACGCTGGGTTCAGCCCTACGAGAGAAACGCCGAATGGACAAACTATATCTCCCTCTCACAGTTCCATACACTGGTTATTCTTTCTCTAAAATCATCAGTATGGTCCATGAGTTCCGTACACTGGAGAACCACGTCGAGTACGGACCCGAGAACGGAGTTGATTCGTGGAATGCAGTGCCGGCAGAACAGGAAGACAGTCCCAAACAGCGACTGAAGAACAAAATCGACATCATCCTGAGTGATATCGAATGGCTCAGCTTGGCAAACTTCAGAGATTGAGAAGGCGGGACAGACAAGTTTCATACTTCACAACGGATATATCAGCATGGGTTTTTTTTGGTCGAATGATGGCAGAAGGTCATCGAATGGTAAAATGGTTATGCTTTTAGAGTTGGGATGCTCATACTGAGCCTGTACAATATTAACTTAAACCTCAAATGGACACATACCTCAAATTTCTGTAATATTTGATCTTGACAACTTTGGCCCCATGATACGCTTGCCTGTGCTAGCCTGAGAGAGGTCTGGGTTGCCAATGACAGGCAGCGGACAATTCAAGAGGCACCAGAACCGTGTCCAGTGCGTATGATTTGAGAGATTTCCGCCCTCAGTAAGTTCTCCCCTTTTTCCACAACCACGCTCTCCTCACGCACCGGGTTCGTTTCTTGTTCCTCAACTCTTTCCTTCAACCCTCAACCTCAACATCATGAAGACTATCTCCTATGTGATAGACCCGGACGGAGATATCGAGATCGTACATAGAGAGCCGAATTCTCACCAGGCCATCCCTAAAATCCACTCCGATGACTGCTCAACTCACACTGATCTGCCGGACTCCGACTTCGACAACCCGCCTGCAACTGGCCGTTATACCGTTTTCAACGAGCTCTACACCAAGTCGACGACCGTCACTGAGGTACTCAGAACGTCAGAGAGGAACATGGGCCGCGGGAAGTCCGTATGCGCATTTCCCCAAAGTACCTGTCCTTTGTCTCCAGCCCATTCCTCGATCTACTGCTCGCTTCATCCAACAAAGATGCATCCTCTCCTCATTGTTCTGCTTGCTCTTCTCCTCCTTCTCCCGCTTCTCGACCTTTCACCAGGATTCACACGATTGGCTGAGATGCCGTGGCTCTTGCCATCGTGCTTGATGCCATCCATGGACGCCACTCAGAGATTCCTCGAGTTATCAACCTCGGACTTCTTGCCCGAATCGCAACCGTGGTCGACTACTACAAATGCCAGGAGGCTATTCACATCTTATTCGGCTATTGGCAGAGAAATATCATTCGCTAAGCTAGTTTTCCTACAACTCCCTGTAAGAGAGCTCTTCTGTGGTTGTACATCTGCACGGTCTTCCCAGGACAGGAGGGGATCTTCGCATCCATGGCTCGCATGGTGGTGATGGACTTCAAAGGCTCTGCACAGATCATTCCTAGAATGCTTCCAATCACAACGACTCTCAGTACGTCGATAAGGATACATAAACTTATATCCAGCTAACGAATGAGCAGGAAAGCTCAACGAAAAGAGACTCGATCTCATCGAACAGATCAATAATGGTCTTCAAGACGTGCACAACACGCTCTTCAAAGAACCAGGATGTGTCCAACGCAATCGCATTTGCTCGTCGCTCACACTTGGTGTGTTGGTTCATATGGTACACCAACATGAACACTCCAAACCCCCTTTCATCGCCCCCTTCGACGGGTACAGTGTTTCCACAGCTCTGAACCTGGTGAAAGAGTGCTCTGAGCCGATGCCGCTACATGATAATCCCGGGACAGAAAGGCTCAGGTACATTGACGCCAACGATGGCCGAACCTACCCTTGCAGCATCAAAGGGAGAATGACGCCAGTGCTTCAGAAGATCGACAGGGAGCTTTGGGGTATGCGCCCGGCCGACTTCAAAGACTAAGGTCGTATGATGGAGTTCGATGTTTCGCTGGTTGTCTGATAATGTTTGGAACTGCTTTCCTCGAGAGGTGGAGGATGCAAAGGAGATCACATACATAGCACATCTTCAGGAACAAGAGATCAGAATGGAATAGCTACTTGGGCAAACTTATTTATTAATCATGTAAACTCCTTCACTCCTATTTCTACTTGCTTCAGACTTTATAACCTTAGTCTACACTTAGACCTTTTCTTCCTTAATTAAGGCTAGAATAAAAAGTCTTATAAAAACTTTCTACTTTCTTGATCTTCTTGTCTGGCTCCTCGATATTCCAGCCTGTGCCAGAATGTGAGAGGTCTGAGTTGTCAGTGACAGGCTGCCGAACCACAACCATTTCGTCCCATCTCCAACGCCGAAGGCGGGTTCTCCCCTCTTCACAACAAGCCTCCTCTCTCACTCTCAGATAGTATCTTCTTCCTTCATCTCTCTTCTTCACCCCTCAACTTTCTTCACAACTGGGAAGCGCAGTGCATCATCCCAGGCATAATCATGAAGTCTGTTTCGTACGTGATAGATCCTGACGGCGACATCGAACTCGTGCTCAACGAGCCAAATGCCCAGAATATCATCCCAGAAAGAGTTTTGTGTGGAGATGGAGATGCCGCCAACGACTCACCCACCACGGACTTCAACAACTCAGTACTCCAAGGACGATACACAGTGTTTGATAACTTTGATACTCCTACATTTGTCGATGACTACGGCGATTTGGATTTCTTAGAAGAGACTCCCGACGTAGTGCGGATAAGAGTTTCTTCAAAGCACCTGACATTTGCCTCGAAAATTTTCAGCGCTATGCTTCAAGGCCCATGGTCTGAGGCCTCATCATTTCCTTCTCGGGGCAGCCCTCGCCAAGTTGCGACCTCTGACTGGGACGCTAAGGCCCTCGCCATCGTGCTTGATGCAATACACGGGCGTTTTCGACAGATCCCCAAGTATATCAACCTCGTCCTTCTGGCTCGTATCGCAACCATCGTCGACTACTATCAATGCTACGAGAGCATGGAGCTCATCAGTACCTTGTGGCTCTCTCAACAGTCTGTTACACAAGAAAGCTCCGATTTGTACACCGAAAGCTCGTTACTGCGGCTTTATGTCGCGTGGGTCTTTGAGAACGATGTTCTTTTCACTGCCGTCGCCCGCAGGGTCTTGAGGTACAGCAGAGGACTTTCAGAATTCGATTTGAAGGAACTTCCCGTTGGTGGGGTTTTCGGTAAGCATATGCCAGGCGGACTCAAGTTCGATATGCTAACGCTGTATTAGATGTCCTGAATGACAAAAGAACGGAGCTTATCAGGAGGGTCCTGGAAGGTCTCGATATCCTTCAAGAAACGCTCCGCACTGAGGAGGAATGTCCCGGGTTGGGTTTATCTGACTGCTCATCCATGTTGCTTGGGACTTTGATGCGAGAGAGATTCAGATGGGAGGATGAACTTACGCCCCTCGAGCCTCCTTACGACGGATACAGCGTTGTCACGATGCGAGCCTTGGTCGACGGGTTTCCCCGACCTAAACCATTACAGCCAAACTACGATAACTCTGGGCGCAGCAGCTCTGGAGAGCTCGACGTATATCATCGACGGTGCATGTGTACCATACAGGGGCGGATTCAGAAACTGATGAAGGGGATCAACAACGACATCAAGGGGTTCCGCCCTTCGCGCATTCAGGGCTGGGGGCTGCGTCAGAAGGAGAATGACTAAAAAGTCGGGACTTTGTTCGTACTGCAAACTGGATTGTAGGAGACTGAATCGTTTACGAATATCGAAGATTAAAAGAAGCCTAGTTAAGAGGTGCCTGGACCTAGGGATTGGAGTCAAAATTGGCTAGCATTCCTCTATGTATTTGTCATGTAACTCCTTCACTCACATTTCCTCGGGCTCAGTGCTTTGCTTTAGGCTTTGTGATCTTGGTCTGCCTTTAGACCTCTGCTTCCTAAATCAGGGCTGTGTTTAGGAAATCTTTTGAAAAGCTTTACCCCTGGCTCAGTAAGGTATTCTAACCTTAGGATATTTGTCTAAAATCACAAACTATATTTGACTGACCATATCTTTTTTTCTCTTCAATATGTTTGCAATCAGGGCCTTTGTCTGCATTTGTCTAAACCGTTTATCAGTGTGGTTTGGCTCTGTTTTCTTTTAGTGGCGGGCAGATGCACATCGTGACGGCCCAGAGCAGCCTTTCTGCCTTGCATACTGTGATTTATTTACGGCCTTGACAAGAACTCTTCTTCTTCCCCTCGATTCTCTCTCTTGGTTCTTCATCCCAACACCAACACCGGAATACAAAAGGCAGAGGTCATCCATGATGAAGTACATCTCGTACATTATCGACCCGGATGGCGATGTCGAGCTTCTTCTCGAACGGCCAAACTGTCAGCAACTCATCCTCTACGTTCCCTCCAACGGATACGGCGAGGAATGTGAGGATCCTATCAACGAATCAACAGTCGCTCTTCCCACGCTAGCTGCAAGATATCACGTATTCGATGATCTTCTTCCTCCTGCTGAAGCTGAAGGAGATCTCAATCCCCTTGGTACAATAATCTATCGCTCAAGATTCATCGCCGTCGCAGAAGAGAGCGTGATCGAAACCCCGAACACTCCCAAGGTCAGAACACCTCTTGAGGGTGAAGTCCGTATGCGAGTTACTTCACGACATCTCACTATGGCCTCTCACTATTTTCGCTCCGTGATCCAAGGGCCCTGGCGCGAGGCATCATCAACTTCTTCTTTTTTCGGAAAGCCTCTCCGTCAAGTCACGGCCTTTGGCTGGGATGCTGTGGCACTTGCTATCGTTCTCGATATCATCCACGGCCGACACGGAGGTGTGCCTCGCGTCGTCGATCTTAAGCTGATGACTTGTCTCGCTACCATAGTCGATTTCTATGGATGCCATGAGGTCGTCAAGATCTTTTCCGAAGCATGGTATCAGAACATCTGTACCGGGTTTGAGGACGAGTACTCCCGTCAGACTCTGATGTGGCTATCTGTTTCTTGGGTCTTCCCCAACCAAGAACCTTTTGACAGAGCAACTCAGACTATCCTCAAGCACATGGATGGCCGTTCACAACTGAGTACGGATCATCTTCCAATCCCTGGAGTTTTACGTCAGTAACCATTTCCCCCTGCACCTCTGGATCAAATCCATTAAGAGAAACAGCCAAGATTGACGACAAACGACAAGAGCTCATTGGTAAAATCGTGACAGGACTTCACGACCTTCTCGGCACTCTTCCCAACTCAGACTTTCTCTGCGACTGGCACAAGTACGAGTCCCCGACATGCTCCTCTATCGCGCTGGGCATTTTGAAGCGAGAACTGCAACGTCTCTCATCAAGTGACCGCCCCCTTGTGCCCCCTTTCAACGGTTACAGTGTCATGAGCATGATTCAACTGGCCAACGACATGCCTGAGTCGATTGCAGCTACGACCGAGGAGTATGACCACTATCACGATGTGTCGGCGTGCAGCGTTAGGGCTAGGATGAGGCGTTTTCTTGGAGATGTCAAGGCTGAGATGAATTCCTGGACTCTTGATTTGAACATGAACGTTGGAGGTGATTGATGACTGGATGCCATAGGATTGGTCGGTGTTCTGGGCTAGGAACCAAGCAACAAGGATCTCTTGTGTTCTCGATGTCTTGATCTTTACTTTGGTCACTTTACTGCTTTTTTATAGCGCTTAGACTCATTAGATTCAGGGAATGTTACTAGTGACCCATCATGCACCTTGCCCAATATCTCTACCAATCCGTGTTTTCTCCTCGTTTGTCTGCCTGCGACTCGTGGACGGCCTCGGGGGCAATAGGACTTCTGATATCAAGGCACAAAATTAACTGGTCTAACTACCTACTAAGATATACTTAACTTACCTATTTGTTTTCGTCGCTTATGATAGAGGTCCTACGTTTTCTTCCCTCCCCCGGGACGGGTCTCGACTCAATAGTTGGCAGTGCCAGCCAGAGTTATTTTGCTTGACAGTGACGCAGTCCAAAATAATAAACAGTCCACAAATCAAACATTTGAGATCATCTTGATCTTTTTCCTTTCAACAACAATCAGAAGGCAGAGTAGCAGACCTTTCCCAGCAACGCAACAGATCAATCAGCATGAAGTCGATATCGTACGATATAGACCCAGGCGGCGACGTCGAGCTGATACTCAAAAAGCCGAACAAGCAGAACATCGTCCCCGAGAGTCCTACTTTCCATGGAAATCCCGTAGATCCGGAGTCCCCCAAACCGCCATGCCTCGGTCGATATCAAGTCTTCAGCGAGCTCTATCCCGATGGTGAGAACGAGAATCCGGATGTCGAAGTTCGCGTGCGAGTGTCCTCCCGGCATCTGACTTTTGCTTCTCGCACATTCCGAGCTATGATCGAAGGGACTTGGAAAGAGGGAAACTCATCGTCCAGACCTATTCGACAAATATCAGCCGAGAATTGGGATGCCTTTGCTCTCGCCATAGTCCTGGACAGCATCCATGGTCGTCACCACGAGATTCCAACACAGATAACTGATGGGCTCCTGACTCGAATTGCAACCATTGTTGACTACTGCGAATGTCGCCAGGCCATGCATTTTAATTACGAGGTGTGGGCCCATGGCAAAACACTACCTTCAAAGCTATGCAATGCGGCCTTGTTGTGGTTACATGTCTCATGGGTATTTCATGATGAGAATAGATTCCGCATTGCGGCACGTTTGTTTGTGCGTTTTAGCATTGGAGCGTACGACTTCGAGACCCATGGCCTTCCTGTTAGTGGTGTTCTCGGTAAGTTCCTCTATAACTCGAATATATTATGGCTGATCTAACAGTACTTGTCAGACTTGCTCGATGGTATAAGGCGAACCCTTATTAACAAGTCTCAGAAGCTCTAGACTCTCTCGAGCAGCATATGATCGACGAAGACGGCTGCGACTATTTCAAGGACCCTGACTGCACTGCCATCGTGCTCGGTATATTGGTACGAGAACGGCATATGATTACGAACCTGGATCCGCCTCTCGATGCTCCCTTTGATGGGTGCAGCCTACACAAGATATTACGTAGGATCAGCCGCTTCCGTACCCCAATGTTGCCGCACAATGATCTTGACCAACCCCATGAGAAAGATGACGACGAGGAGGAACACCCCTGTACCATTCAAGGAAGACTGATGCCAGTGTTGAAGGAGATAGAGAAAGCGGTTGACGATGTTCGTCTGGCTGCTCTCCAATCTTAACATTTTGACGACGAGAATTTGGCCTGTGACAATTTGCTTTCGAAGACATTGGTCATTGCCTGTGGAAAGAGTATGAAAGGACAGGCAGACACAGGAAAAAGCGGCGATGGACACAGAGACGCAAGATAAACTCTGGGGCTTCTGAGGGTTTAGATAAAATTATGTATTATTTCATGTAAACTTTTTACCTTTCAACTACAACCATGATCTTCCAACTCTACCATTCAGCCACCTAGGTATACAGGCATAGGGAGGCCAGAAAGCTCAGGCCCTCTTTTCTAAGTGATGAAAAGACTTAGGCAAGTTTAGTATACTGTATCAAGTCTTTAGACGAATTAATTTTAGCACCCAAGCTTAATGCCAAAGGTTTTCTTGCTCCCAGAGGACAGGGTTTCTATCCAAGGCAATCCCAGATTCGACACCACTTCCAACTTCGACACTTCCTATCCAAAACACACTTCAACTCAACGGTAGGTATCTTGCTGCCCAGCCTCAGCCTCCATCTGAGCCTTACGCGCAGCGTTGAGAGCCTTGAGCTTGGCAGTTCCGAAACCCAAAACGCCATCCTCCTGGTTATCACCCAACCAAGGCTTCTTAGAATCACTCAGCATGCTACCAGTGACAAAGTAGACAAGCTGACCAATGATGATAAGAACAAAGGCAATGGGGTACAGGAAGTGAATGGTGTAGCCAAAGACCCGGATACCAATGATGACACCCCAAAAGTTGGCAGTCAACAAAGAGATGTTGAGGAAAGCCGCACTTCCCATGCGAAGCATGACGGGTACAAGGATGTAGAAGATGTTCAGGCACAGAGTGTAGCCGATGATCCAGCCGATAACCTTACCGTTCCAGGTTGCGTTATCGAAAGAGTTTCGGTCAAAGATGGCAGCCTGGACACCGTTGATGCACATACCAAACAGGCCCAGGAATGACAGGACGTGGTACAAGTGAGCCCTGGACACAAGCCACTCCTCAAATACATTGGTAGTACCGTAGAGAGTGGCACCGAGCAGAGCGAACAAATCACCCTTGACCATGTCAAGACCGCTGCCGCCATTGGTACCGCTGATGTGATCACTGGCGATGAGAATACCCATACCACCACAGCAGACCACAATACCAATGATCTGAAAGATTCTGTACCGAACCTTGAGGAGGAAGAACGAGATGACAACAACGCAGACAATAGCCCAAAAGTTAATGAGCTGCGCCGACAAGACGTTCGTGTACCGGTACGCCAAAACCGTAAAGTAGTTTCCCTCAACGTCCAAAAACGCCATGATGAGGTACTTCCACCCATCCTTCACGCCAACGCGCCACCAGCCCTTAATACCATCCTTCCACAGAAAGATAGGCGTGTAAATGAGGAACATGAGGATGTAGTTGAAAACGGTCTGGAACGCGGGGATGTTGGTGCCCGCGTTGGCGAGGAAGCTGGTGAAGGTGTTGGTGGCCGTGATGCACAGCGCGAGAACTTGGCCCAGCGCGAGGACGATCCAGAAGTCGACGGTGGTCAGGTAGCTGTACCAGTGGACAGACTTGACCTCGAGGGTGTGGATGCCCTGGCTGACGGCGGCATCTTCGTTCGTGGCGATGGAGGCCTGGGTAGCATTGGCGGTTGGACCCTTGGAGTCGCCCTCAGAGGGGTTCTCGGGGGTGTTGACGGCGATGGGTTGAGTGGCCGACATGATGGAAGGTTTATTCGAGGGGTATCGTATAAATATCTATCTTCAGTTAGCGATCGCATTCTGAAATGCTGGTGGCGCACTCAATTGCGCTGGTGTCGCAACATACCTCGTAAACCTATCGCAAAGTAATGAATCACTGAGTAAGATGAATGATTCTCTTCAGATGAAGTCTTTCTATCGTCTCCTGGTGCAGCAAGCGCAAAGACTCAAAGTCGCTCGCTGATGTTCTTAAGAACTGACGCGGCACATGTACCAATGTGCCGGTGTGTATTTGTTGAAGAAGGCCGAGTTAACAGAGGTCAACATATGAAGTCGCAAAAGATATCGCGGGGGTATTTGAGTGCGCAAGAATGTCTTGCTCTGGAGGCGAGTGGTTGATCGGCACGGAGACACCGTTAAAACAGCGATGATCTTTTGGAACAGCGAAACAGAAGAAGAGCTAGAGAGACTCGAGAGGTCCAGGTCCTTTTATTCTTCGATCATCTGCAATTTTTTCCCTTTCTTTTTTTCACTAAACCGAGTTCTAGCTCTCGTTATTGGATCAGCCTTTCACCGGGATCCACGATTTATCGGGAGCCAAGAACACCCGCTAAACTTGGTCGGGACAAACATCCTCGATTGAGCTCCCAGTGGCGTCTTGTTCGGTGGGGAGGACGGCGGCTGTCGGGGGGTCAAAGCTCCCTTTGCAGGGGATGTTACAGTGCTTACAGAAGGGTGCAGCAGATGGAGGAACATGTGAAGAAAGGCACATCATGCATCTTACCAGTTGACAAGTTCTAGATGTGTAAGGAAAGAAATATATTGAAAGTTTGAGAGCAATAGAACTGAATTGTCGATCTTCGGCCATAATCAAGGTTGTTGTGGCGTTATAGAGCTGACCTGAAGGAGGGTCATAAAAAGGCTAGGCTTGTCCTTGTGGTTGGAGACGGGAATGAGATGAGGTGAGGGTGGTGGGTAACCACGTGGGGGTAGACAAGACAAATTGGCCGAAACTATTTCATCGACTCGGTATCGAATCATTTCTTTTGTCTTGGTCATATTCTAAATAACAATTATAACCATGTTCCCTTTCCATTGACATTTGACAGTGAAATCAGTGCTTGCGATTCACTCAATATGCAGTCCATTAAAGTTATGCGGAACGAGCCGCATGGTGTTATCCGTGCGCGCTGGTAAAGCGGCGGCCAAGCTGAAATTCCCCGACCAGTGAAGCAATTGCTGCAACCAAGTTGTTCTGTCGAGATCTTTCGTGGTTGATACTAGCATGAAGCCACACCTTTTCAACTAACCAACGAACTGTACTGTAGATATCGACAGATCGATCGTCTTGGTCCCTGCTGATGTTTATGGCTTGGAAATGGCATCAGACATGGCTGCCCGTACGGTCTTTGCTATCCAGACATTGGTTCTTGTTGTACTATCTGTTGCTGAACTTCTCTCTAATTCTTGTCAGCTATATCATGATTCTGGAACCTTGGCATAAGAATGACATACGCGATAGGAGTGACAGTTGAGAAGCCATCGAAGGTACTGAGCTTGATGCCAATGGTTCACGCTCTGGCAAAGCTGTAATCTCTTGAAACAGGAGATCAAAACAGTCCTTTTCTGAGTTTATGTTGAGCTTTCGTGATATGTTGGCCGCACTCAGCTTCCCTGTAGCGTGTTAGTGAGAGGCTTTTAGTTGTTGATGCGTGCCTTGGGCAGTTTGGTGGGCGGGTTTACCAGAACTTGTCGACGAAGACCCCGAAGGATCAGTATTCGGCATATCTTTCTATAGCTAATTCTTTTCTCGTGCCCAAGGGCTATGAAGAAGTCAAAGTTTTCGGTGATGCATTTGCCTTGGTCTGGCCGGGACATGCAGATGCTCCGATGTCCGATATGCTGACACGACTAGACTTCAGACGGTCGAATGGATCCACATCAAACAAATCTAGGTCAGAGTCCCCAAGTATCAACATTCAAAAAGAGATCAAATATGTAGAGATGTGTGCTTTATAAGTTAAGCTACAGATTACACTGAGACTCCATCTTTGAACCGTCAACTTATACCGGCAACCGGGAGGCACAGCGGCCGGTGGTGGGGCCTCCGGCGCATCTCGTATTTCGTACCGGTGTGCAAAGATCCACTGTAAGAAACATCCGACCTATCGTATGGTGCGGTGCAGTGTTAAATGGAAGCTTGGCCTCGCGCTATTATACCAGATTCGGAGGCTATTTAGCTTTGAGTTGTCGATAATGATGTGCGAATTACAGCCAGATCTTCCGGTGTAAGTGAACCAACAAGCTGAGGATGAGGCCAAGGGGGACCGCCCAGTTATAGCCTCTTCTGGTAGACGGGAGTTGTTAGTTGGGGTTTCTAGCATTGCCTGGCTCTACAGGGAGGACTAAGATGAGCTCAGTAATGGGGACTCAAGTTTCCTCATAAGTCTATGGAAAATGATATATGCCTTCACCTAAACTTCCCCATGGTGTCCATATTCGCTCCCACATTGTTCTAGCTCTAATCTGACTCAAATGGACGAAATCGAGACATGAGAAGGACCCTTAGGCTGTGTCCTCAGGCATTCCCTCATGACACCAGCTGAAACTCATGTCACGGGTTGAAGCCTCAGCACCTAACACAATGGAATGCGCGTCCTCGTGGCCCAGGCAGCGGACCCGCTGATGTGCGCTATCGACTGGTCGTGACCCCTTGCGGGGAGACCTTCAACGCTTCCCATTCGCTGATTAGCTTCCATGCCAACGGTATCAACCAATCACGGCACTCGGGGCCTTGTTGTCCCTCAGGGTCCCTCCAACGTCATTCTACCGTGCGCCGACCTTATCATGCCTCATCCATTCGAGCCGAACTCGGCCGCTTCATTCTTCTTCATCCATCAAAACAAGGCGGTTTCACTCTCTTGTTCAACCACAATCAGTCTCTGACTTGTCACATAACGCCACTATGATTCTCAGGAGTAAAACACTCGCTGCTGGTTCAGCGCTGGTCGCTGTAGCTTGTGCGTCGCAACCGGGAGCTATCGCGCCTATCCCAGGTCCCATGAGGGATCTCACTTGGGGTCAGCTCAACTTTATCCACACAACTGATACTCATGGCTGGATTGGCGGTCACTTTCAGGAGTATGTGCTACCCAATCTCTTTCTCGGGGTGCAACTAACATTTCAGGCCCCAATACTCTGCCGACTGGGGTGATTATATCTCTTTCACCAAGCATATGCGCAAGCAAGCCGATGAACAAGGAAGCGACCTTCTAGTCATCGACACCGGAGATCGCATCGAAGGCAATGGCCTCTACGATGCATCAAGCCCCAAGGGCCTTTTCCAGTACGATATCTACGCCGAAGCCGACGTCGACATTCTCTGCACTGGCAATCACGAACTTTACAAGGCCTACTCGGCTGATATGGAACACAACACCACCGTTCCTAATTACAGGGGCAAATATCTTGCTTCCAACCTCGACTACATCGATTTCAAGACAGGCGATCGTGTTCCCCAAGCCCAGCGTTACAAAAAGTTCAAGACAAAGAACCAGGGTTTCGAAATCGTTGCTTTTGGCTTCCTTTTCGACTTTACAGGAAATGCCAACAACACTGTTGTCCAGCCTGTGGAAGATACAATCAAGGAAGATTGGTTTCAGGAAGCGATCAGAGAGAAGCCGGATCTCTTTGTTGTCATTGGTCATGTTGGCCTTCGCATGGAGGAATTCAAGGTCATCTTTACCGCCATTCGAAAACAGAACTGGCATATCCCCATTGCCTTCTTCGGCGGTCATGCCCACGTCCGCGATACTGTTCAGTACGACTCCAAGGCTTTCGCGATAGCCAGTGGGCGATACTTTGAGACAATTGGTTGGATGTCCATTGATGGTATCAGCAAGGGTAGCACCAAGGAAGCTGAGGCAGCTGCTTCACCAACCTTTACTCGACGATACATCGACAACAACCTCTACGGACTACACTACCATACCGGCCTGAATCAGTCTACTTTCCCCACTGCAGATGGCAAGAGGGTCACTCAGATGATCACTCGTGCTCGCAAGGCACTTCAGCTTGACTACAAGTTTGGTTGTGCGCCGAAGACACTTTGGATGACACGAACCAAGCACACCGACGAGGATAGCATTTACTATTGGATCTCCAATCAACTTTTACCTGATATCATTACTCGCAAGGATCGCAAGGACAAGGCTCGGCTAGCCATCTTCAACACCGGCGGTATTCGATTCGACATCTTCAAGGGTGGCTTCACACGGGACAGCACATATGCTGTGAGCCCCTTTACCAGTGGCTTCAGCTACATTCCTGATGTTCCGTACAAGGCTGCTTCCAAAGTTATTGATCTCCTGAACAGCGCCGGAAGGATCTTGGCAGAGAATGGTGCTGATGTTAGGTTCCTGGCTATGCCTGAGCAGGCATTCCCAGCTCCAGCCATGAAGGCTATGTTTGAGGCTAATGAGGATGAGGACGAGAAGCGTCTTGAGCTCAGGAGTTTCCTTGACAAGCCTGACCTGACCTCCGGATACACTACCAAGGATGACATTGGCACTGATGGCGATGACACTATCCATGAGCCTGTCAAGTTTTACGAGCAGCCCAACTGTATCCAAGCTGAGATCAATATGCCTGCGAAGGGCGATCCCGAGACAGTTGACTTTGTGTTCCTTGACTTTATCCAGCCCTGGATCATCCCGGCCCTGAAGTTTGCAGGCGCAGGTGATTACAGTGATGCTGATGTTCAGCGATACATTGATGGTACCTTCACCTACCATATGGCGCAGTGGATCAGCAAGAACTGGCAGGGTGACTGCTAGATTATTGTGTACATAGAGGAACTGGGATGCCCCATGGAGTTTTGACATTCGGGATAGCATAGTTGGAGCATACCTTGTTGGTCATCATGTAATTAGATTGAATATAGTCATATACACGATCCTGACGTCCAAGCCCCAATCATGTCAAGGGGAGGCAAGAAAACTTAGAAGCTCTTTTCTAAATGATCAAGATGTGTAAGTAAACTTGGTATAGACTTGGTAGACCCTTGGACTCTTTTTCGTACCTAACCTGAGGATCAGAAGTTTTGTTGCTCCCTGAGGCATGTGATATCATTGTTATCTTATCCAAGTAACAGCGACGGTCAGCAAAGGTCAAAGGTAATGCAGTATATTGCGGTTGCATGGTAAGTGCTTGTATAAAAAGAATCACTGCAGAGCCTTGATATTGATCCGTCTCCGCTCTTTCAGTGTTCGACTAAATAAATGCATATTAGAAGACTGCTATTTAACAAAGACAAGGCACAAAGATTTACCAGAGTATAACCACCAGATTCAAGGTTGGCAAGAAACCCAGCCTCTGGCACAATGACGCCTCTCCGTGTCACAGATGGCAAACCCTGCGCCGAGGTCATTTGCGCCTGTCACCACTGCCACTACTGGCAAAACACGCCTCGTCGTCCGTTCGGTGTCAACCTCCATTGCGAACTCTGTGGTTACTCTTTGCCATTTCTTTCTCAATGCCTTCGAGATTGCAAACTCTCCATCTTGATCCACGTGAGCGGCAACGGAGCTCATAGGAGAAGCACCAGCAGAGGACGGCGACAACAATGCATCCAGAGGGTGGGCGTGACGCTGGATGACAGGCACTATGCGAGGTTGAGGTTGAGGTTGGTCAGCGGAGGGGCACTGATTCAAGGGGACAGGAGACAAGAGGGCTCAGGATCCCATCCTAAGTGACAGAAAGACTGAGGTAAGTTCAATCTGAATATACACAAATTTAGTAGACCTTGGACCAGGCATTTTTAGCGCCTCGCTTCGAGGTCAGAAGTATCCTTGCTCCCTAAGGTACCGGTTAAAGAAGACAAGTCAGGTCATATTAAATCACAGTAATGTTTTGAGCTATGGTCAAAGGCAATGCTGTAGATTGAAATTGCATGTTAAGTGCCTATATATGTATGTATACCCAACCAGCTATGTTCCATATCTAATGTAAATGTTCTAAGGAAAGGACCTCATGCAAGGCATGAAACAAGAAAAGACCAAATGCACAAGTTCAATCCCAATCCAAGCCCAATCTCAAAAGCCAGTATCAGACCAAGATAGACGATATTGTCGAGAGTCTCAAGAGTCAGTGACTCCCATAGCTATCATGTCATAGTCCAGAAGACCACTTAAGCCTGGGGGAACTTGAATCCAGGAGGGACACAGTAGGGGCTAGCGCTCTTCTTGTAGAAGACGCAAGAGGTCCCGGGTGGACAGACACCGGCAGCCTTTGAGCAAAGGTCAGTAACTTTGTCCCAGATATAGAAGAATGGGCGGTGATGACTTACAACATACTTGTGGGTGACGTCGCAGACCTGCCAGCCAGTCTTGTCAGGGGTGCAGGAGTAAGTTCCAGGCTTGCAGCTGCTGGTGGAAGCGTCGAGGGGAGTGGCAGCAGCCAGGGAGGCGAGAGCAGCGAGGGTGATGGCGAACTTCATGTTTGCGGTTGGGGTTTCTTGTTTTCTTGAAAAGAAGAAAGTAGTAGAGCGAGAGTGTTTTCTTTGGTAACGAGAGTAGAAGGTGTTTGAGTTGATGAAGGTGAAGAAGAAAGTTTGGGATCTGGAGGTCAGGAAGGGGAGTTTATATACCTGATATCTTGGGTATGGAGCCTCGTCTCTTTCGGCGTGATGTTTCTATTCTTGCTTGATGGGTTTGACTTGACTTACACGAGCTGACGGTGGAGGCCATGCCCGGCCTCAGTCCTAGGTCCATGCTATTTTGCTAGTCCTTTTCCCCGTGGAGAGGCAGGAGATCGTCTTGGTGTCTTGCTATACGAGGCTTACTCCAGAATGTGACAATGTACAAGGTAGCCAGTGTCTCTTGCCTTCCATTATTCTAGCTCGTTCGTACTAGACGAGAATAGCTTCTGTCAAATGGCAACGTTAACTTGTCAAGGGAGCTAAGCCGGGAGTGGCATATCGGACTCGCTTCTGGACAAGCCACTTACACAGCATCACTAGACAGTCACACGATCTGAGCTGCCAGCCCTACAAATGTGGTGTTACAGATATTTTTCACCATGATACAGTGTTAAATGCAGTACTAATTCTACGTCTGTATATCATCAACAGCATGGTATCATACCGTGTAGAGGTCATGATATGATACTACAATAACCTCACAATAAAATATCGTGAACTGACATGATACAACACCAAAACAGTCAATATCCAGCGCCCATCCAACCAGAATCACTTCTCCTAAAAATAAATCCCGAAGCAACCTCCATCTCGTTACCCCGCAAAAAGCAAAAGCCCAACTGCCCACTGCTTATTCGTCCCCAAAAGCCTCTTCTCGTGTTTCCCGAGGGTCCGGAGGAATTAATTACGTTCGTGACGGTTTGCTCATAAATGTGATTGGAAAACAAGAATAGATGCTCGTTGATGTGGTCGCACGTTCAGCCTCGTGATCCATTCTCAACGAGCTGTATACCAAGGGATAATACTGATTCGCTTGGTATGAGAACGTCAAAAGCGCTTTGAGTAACCCGTATATGCAAATACTTTCCCCAATCTCCCCACCGTCAGCTCAAAGTCCTAGACTTGAGTGAGAATAATCATGTTATACGAAACATATGCAGAGCAAGTATATGTCTAGATGCAGGCAGTGATACGAGGAACAAAGCAGGGGAATCCATGTGCTTACAGTTCACCAATCACTGGAAACCACCAATTTTCACGGTATACTGGATGCCCGGCTTGTCGGCTCCTGCGTCCCTGCCTTTCAGTCCCGACGACGCCGTGGCGCCAAGCCCGGCAATGCTCCGCCTACCGGGACTCGCGGGGATCCCGATCTCGGCCGTTTAAGCTGACAGGTATAGCACGGGGCTTTCCGAATTGTAGCATCTCATTTGGATCGTTACATTGTGAGGCTGACACCTTTAGACTAGCCACCTCCATCTGTCAACGGAAACAATCGTTAAAAATCACCGGCATGACGTGGATCGGTAGATACTTTGTTTCCATTTACAGCTCATAACCAAATATTCTCCCCCCATTGGCCTGACCGTCGGCCGGGTCTAGTAATTAGCTCCAGATATGACATGCCCTCTCTTTTTTTCATCCCCTTCAGCCCTCCCAAGTCCTGTTGATCTGTTTCCTCCTTACCTAGAATTTTGTTAGCCACATGTCATCATAATGCGATGCGATTGCGGGTTTGCTTACCATCGGTGAGAGGAAGAGTACGCCGCCCAGCAGCGAAACAACGGTCAAAACAAGTGTCACCTTGTTGAAGCCGTTTCCAAGAATATCAAATACACCGCTGGGTGCGACGCGTGTTCCGAAGACATCCACGCCGTAAGCAACAACCAGACTTGTGCTCTCCACAATGACTGGTGCTGTAAGAATGTCCTTGACACCCACCACATTTCGCTGGTGAGAGATGACTGACCGAGGGTCAATCTCGATGCTGGGAGTGTATTGGATGAGACCTTCAGCTTCCTTCTCAGCTGGGGTTGAGTCACGGCCAACAGGGCGTCGGGCGTCCAGAACCTGGCGAGCCAGACCGGCGATGGAGTGGGCTTCAGGCAGGTAGCCAAGAACCTGTCGGTTTGAAATGCCTTGTCGTGTTTGTGTAACCGACAGCTTGTCGAGTGGCTGAGACAAAACATAAGCTTGCTCCTCGACCCAAGGCAGAGCAGGTCCAGTTGGTGTGTCAACAGGCTTGAGAGACGAAAAGTTGACAGCGTCACCAAGAGGGCCACGGTCGTTGGGAGAAGAAGACTCGTAGAGGTCAACGATGACAATCTGGTAGCCTTGGATAGATCGCTTGGTGCCATCCTCGAGGGTGTATCGGCCAAAGAAAGTGCAGGTGTACCAATTCTCAGCCATGGCACAAGAGATAGGCTTGGTAGCGTCGACACCAGCATAGGACTGGGCAGCCAGAACCTGACCTGAGACAGTGTCGAGTAGCTGAACAGACAGAGACGACTTAGCGTCGTCGATAGCAGCCACAACGATTGTGTTAGGGTTGAGGTACTTGTAGCTGACACGACGATCAGCCAGGACACGACCAATAGAGGCGACAGGGTCGTGAGCAGCATGCTTAGCAATCTCTACGATCTTCTGACCACGGAAGAGCTGCAACTGCCAGACTTCTTGCTCAGTGACCTTGTTGTTCTCCTCAACAAACTTGACACCCTTAAGAGTCTCTCCCTCACCACGGACAACGACGGTCTCGCTAGGAGTGAAACCGGCGGGAACGGGTCCAATCTCTCCGTTGGCACCAACAGGAAGCAACCACTTGCCAGCAGGGCTATCGACAACGACTGTGCTGGAAACACGGGGAAGCGAACCGGCGGGCATCACCTCGACTACATCGCCACTGTCGCTCTTGATGGCGACATACTCGCCCTTGGCGCCACGCAGAGTGACGACACCCTCATCCTTGGCATAAATACCCTTGATTTCAAGGGACTCGCCGGGAAGTTGGGGAAGTACAGACTTGGACCAGATGACTTGACCCTTGTGCTCAGTGCTAAGACCATACACGCGACCACGGCGAGTCGCAAGCACAATAAGCTTGTTGAAGCCAAAAGTGTCTCGGTGCAGGCCCTCCTTCTTAGTAGCGGGCTCGCCACCGAAGATGCTAGTGATGATTTGTTGAGGGAGAGATGCAAGGTAGTCAGGAAGGTATTGAAGGTCGTCGATATGTCGTGTAACACGGTGAATGTAGGCCGAGAGAGGGTTGGTGTGAGCCTCCTCCTCAAGGACTTTGGCGAGGTTCTCAGTACCAGGAATGTCAGCCCAAACAGCAGCAACAGCGCCGGTCAGACCCTCAGGTCGCTTCCAGTCAATCTCGCCGTTACGGACAAGAACCCAGTCATCGGACTTGGTGACAGCAGCAGCTCGGATAGCAAAGCCTTCAGTGCCAGGCTTCTTGAGGACCTCAGCAACAGCGTGAACAGCCTCGATATCGCCAGCGGGCTTGAAGGGCCATCGGGCCAGAACAGCGTGAGACTCAGATGAGACAACGAGAGTCTCATCCTCAGTGACGCGGGCGAAGTAAACGTTGGCTCCGTCAGAGCTGGTGGAAAAGGCACCAGGGCCAGAAAGGTGAGGAAGTTCGTAGGCCTTAGTAACCTGGTTGCTCTTCAAGTCGGTATGATAGACCTCGGCCTTGTTTCCGGTCTTGGTTCGGGTGTGAACGAGGAAATGAGGCAGCGACTGAACAAGGTGAGGCGCGTGAATAGTAACGGTGACAGCGTCGGAAGGCAGCTTGAGCTCCTGAGTCGTCTTGCTTCCCAAGACATTGACCTTGAGCTTGGTGAGGGTGCTGTCGGCCCATGCGAGGATAGGGGCGGCTGAGTTGCCTCCAACAAACATGACGTCCTTGGGTCCATGGACGTCACCCTTAGTGCCAATAGCAAAGTCGTCCAGTCGTCCTCCTGTAAGGGTATCGAGCGCAGTAACCTTGAGGCTGTAGGATGCCGGCGATCCATGAAGGCTGATGACGTAGATCTTGGAGATGTCGGTGGAGACTTGAAGAGGGATGTTCTTGGCAACCTCGCGGAACTCCCAGATGACATTTCCCACAGTACCGTGTATACGTCGTAGAACCGTAGTGCCATCCTCGTCATACAGAACCAGAACATCCTTTCTCGAGCTCTCAGTAAGCTCTAGAATCTCGAGATCCTTAACCTCGCCCTTAAACTCGTTATGCCACACATTACGTCCCGTTAGCGCATCCCACGCCTGAACTCGCGATCCATACGCCGCAGCAACCCAATGCTCACCCTCAGCAGCGCGCAAGAAACCACCGCCATTGGTGATATCGTCCGCAATCTGCTGACGCCAAACAACCTGGCCATTGCTGGGGTTGACGGCGCCGATGAGACCAACGTCGCTGAGTGTGTAAAGGAGGCTCGCCTTATCTTGCTTTCGTGGGCGATGGAAGAAGGTGGTTTCGACTTGGGGGACGCCGAGGAGCGCGTGGTGGAAATCGATCTCGCCGACCTCGTCTTGGAAGACTGCGGCGCCGAGGGCCGAAAGCCCCAGGAGGAGCAATGGTTGGAGTGAGAGCCGCATGATTGTGGTTGAGGATGTTGTGCGGCTTCACGCTTGGGAGCTTCAGAGCTGCTTGCATCATGACGGCTAGCTTATCTGTTCGTTGCGCAATGATTAGTCATCTAGTGAGCTTAGGGTAAGTAATCTCCCGATGTGAATACCATGACGGCGGAACATTACGAAAAGCGATAAATTTATTTGTTTTTGGATTTCATGTTTATTCTTACTTATATAGTCTTGATCAATAAGCTACGGCTTTTTAATGATCTTGGTTGTTGAGTAAAGCCAAAATGTATCTTGAGAGCGAGTTCTAGAAATTCTCAAGCAGGCGCTGAGACCCCTGTAGCCAAACACCTAGCTCAACATTTACAAATATCTAAATATTGTAGAATCGTATTTAAGCTTCTTAAGATATTATTTCGAGTTTTGAAACTTGCAACGAATTATAGCTATTGAACCAAACACTCTTGGTAAGTTTGCACGCGAGCTCCTATCATGAGACCGCCCCGCGCGTGTATAGATCCCGTGCCACTCACACAACCTCATGTCTCAAAACCACACTCTATTACTGCTACTATTTCCAACCTTCGGACCAAAAGTCAAGCCCACCAAGACTGTCTCGGTAGTTTCTTTGTTTCATACTGCAGTCATGTCTTTCGATGCGTTCTCATGTAGTTGTCATGCGGATATACACCAAGAGATGCGATCATTGATATATCCGCGTGCAGACGGCAGGCCTTGTGGACTGGATGTATATTAAATCCCCGAGGGGAAGTAAAATTAATAAATAAGGACTATCAATACTTGGTTCGATATAGTGCTTTTGATGATCGAGACTCAGCGAATGGTATACACAATGGAGGTCTGTCTTACATCCCAGTGTCTTCGCACTGACTTACGAACAGTAGCTGAGATCCCTAATTCCTTCATGGTCTACAACTCCTCTACCCAACATAACTCTATCAGCCAGTGGTCTTCTTGTCCTCGCAGACCTTCGAACAATCTCCCGTCGTACTGCCCTTACCGGTGGTGCCTCATGGATCGACTCCCTAGTCCTTGCCCCTGGTTTGCATTACCAACAAGCATGCAATGACCTCGAACGTGAAGCACCAATCGGGTTGATAGCACTGTCTACTCAGACACTCGACCAGATACAATATGCCGTGAAGAACACTATGACGGCCAGTTATCTCAAGAGTCTTGTCAAAGATGGCGCTGAGAACATCATCACACTTGATGTTGGGCTGGACACGCCATGGGATGTAGTCAAAATCGTTGGGAAGGTCATCAGAAAACCCAGAATCTCAGATGAAGAAGACGACGATGAGGATCATGAAGACTGGGCTTCCCTCTCTGACGTCGACTGGCTCAGCCATCTGCTCTATCTCATCAGTCCCCTCATAACATCAACTTCTATAGCCTTCATGGTTATATTCGAAGACTGGTGGGGTCTCGCAATTCTCCTCACTCTGATCAGTTCTCGCATCCTCAACATCTGGGCCATAAAGCAGCGCATGACGCACTCAGAACCTTCCCCCAAGAGTCTTACCATGACAGAATACACCGTCGATCTTGGCGGAGGACACAGCGTGCGTCTACGTGGTCCAGATGCAGACTTACAGGCTCTTGTTACTCATGCTTGGCTGCGTACGCAGTCAAGTCTGGAGGGTTATCTTGAAGCAGCGGCTAAATTGATGGTGTACATGTCTGCTGCACTGGGAGGAAATATGACACAAGCCGGAGCGATTGTGCTTATTGGGTTATTGCTTACAAGCGCCGCGCTATTGGGACTCAGTAATGCACATGCACGAGGGTTCCGCATGCATGGTCGCTATGCGATGCCTCAGCAAACGAAGATGAAGGCTGTGGAGGTTCGCAGCAGTAGTACTTCGGGGGGAGAGGCGCAAACCGGATTAGTTTAGTAACTCGAAATAATGAGAAATCGAGCCATAACAAAAATGCTATACTGATATATGAACCATATGCTTTATTGCCTGTTGTCCGTGAATTCATTAGGAACTATCAAGTCCCCTACATACTATACAATCTCCGGCTCTTTCTGCCTGACCAATTATACGGCCGTTGGCTCTTCTAAAACCTCTTTGATCCCTTTCAACCAGCATATTACTCGACCCATGCAAACCGTTCTAGTCTCGCATTGGTTCTTGTTGTGTTTGCTGTCCTTCCGCCACTGAGGGTTCAGAAACTGCCGGGGCATCGATAGCAGGGGTCTCAACAATAGGAGGCTCAACAGCAGGCTCCTCGGTCTTTACCTCTTCAGTCTTAACTTCCTCAGTAACCATGGGCTCATCAGCTGGTTCAGCTGGTGCCTCAGGTATTAATGCTGATTCGGGAGGAGCATCAGCCGCCGGCTCTGTGGCTGGCTCCGCAACGGGGTCTGCCAGTGTTTCCGCAGGATGTTCAGTAGTAGATTCAGGAGCCGTCTCAGTGATAGGGTCCGCAGCAGTTTCAGGGACAGGCTCAGCAGCAGGCTCAGCAATTAGCTCGGACATGGGCTCAGAGACGGGTTCCACAGCTGGCTCGATAACAGCCTCTGCAGGCACCTCGGCAACAGGCTCCGGCACCGACTCGGGTGCCGGTTCAGCAGATGCTTTTTGCTTCATACTCTCAATCTCTGCGTGCTGCTCATCAAGTTTATCCATCAAGCTGGAAAGCAAATTAGGCGATTCCTCGCGAAGAATTTCTTCAACTGCAGGAGGAGCAGACTCTTCCTTAATCTCAGGATGAGGGGGAGTAGGCTCCTTGGTCTCCTCTGGGGCAGGCTCTTGAGCAGCCTCTTCCATGGTGGTATCTTGCACAGTGGTTTCAGCGGGCGGCTCAGGCGGAGGATCAACGACTGACGGAGCCACTGCTGGGACATCTGTGATATCAGAGATAGGAGCAGTGATAGAGGCTGAATCATCAGGTTTGATACTCTCCTCTGTCAAACCAGTCTCAGTTGTTATCAAAGGCGGCCGCTGTGAGACTGCCTCCTCGCCAGCCTGAATATCTGTTGGAGGCTTGACTTCACTGCCGGGGCCAGAAGCACCAAGCTCTCCAGAGCTTCCAGGAGGCGTGGTCGCAATATTACCAACCTCTTCAGGTGGAGGAGGTAATAGTGCTTCGCTGTCGGTCGGCTCCAACATGGGAACATCGCGATCAGTCGCAACCTCAGGAGCCTCTCCGACAATTGTAGACGGAGGCTCGGCTATGGTCGAATCCGCAGGTTCAACTGCAGATGCGACTGCCAGTTGTGGTCCTGGCCCAAAAGGAGCATCTATAGCCGCCTTCAGGAGGTGTTCCTCCGCTGAAGCCTGCGGTTCATCATCCTTGGCGGGTGGCTCCAGCGATGCCCGTGCGAGGTTCTCCTCAGTCAGCTCAGGCTCCGTGGGCTTTTCATCCCCCGCAAGAGGCGCATCTATCACTGCCTTCAACAATTGCTCCTGATCCACCTCCTTGGTAGGTGAAGGCATAACCACGTTCTTAAGGGGGCTGCCTTCGAGTCTGGATCCACCAGGTGTGAGAGTGGTTGGAGGTGCCAGACCCATAGGATTCGGTGGCACAGGCACAGGCGCAGAGGAGTCGGTTTGCATAAAAGTATCAGGCTCGTCGTTTTCAAGAGGAGCTGGGAGAGCTGCTGGTGCTGGTTCTGGCGCAGGGGGTGGAACGGGCGCTGCTTCAGTAGCTGTTGTGGGAGCCGCGTCTGTCATCTCGTGATCTTGTGACTTGTTGTTTTCACCATTTGCTTGACTCTCCGCAGCTGGTGTTGCCTCTCCCTCTTCACCCTCGTCGCCTTCGTCATCATCCCCATCTTCATCGTCATCGTCGTCATCTGCATCCGGCATTGGACTATCCTGATTGGCAGAGTCTTCACGCTCTTGCTTAATGGCCTATTAAAAATTAGCGATGGAGAACAGCACATCCACAGGTTCCAACGTACAGCTTCTGCAGGGTTCTCGGGCTTAATTGGAACAGCGGACGCGGCATCATCTGCTCCAGGAACAGGCGCCGCCGCAGGAGCACCAGCCTCGGGAGGAGGGTTTTTGATCTTCTTCTTTCCTCGACCAGGACCAGCCTTGGCCTTTCTCTTCGGTGGTGGCGGCCTTCGTCGGTTAGGAACAGGCGTCGTAGCAAGTGGTTCAGAGCCAGGAATAGGAGCTTGTTCAATCCGTGTCGAAACGATTTCGCCCTGAACTTGTTGACCATCAGATAGCGTAACCTCTTCTGTATATGGATTTCCGGCGGCGTCAATTCTCCTGACAGTCGCCCTGGTAACTATCGGTCCTTGAACCTTCTCTTCCACTGTCCGACTGGCGATCGTTACGGTGTTCTTCTGTCGTTTCGCGAGATGCGATGTACCAGGTGTATCGATATTACGAGGCAACTGCTTCCATACTTTCACGCTGAAACCTCGAGCGCTTGTATCCTCTTCCTTCTTCTCTGGCTTCTCGGGAGCTGCATCAGCATCGACCTCTTCCTCCTCAGCTGGCGCAGGTCTCTTATATAGTCTTCCGGATCGCGCAGCCGCCAGAAGTTCCTGACTGTGGGCTGGCAGTAGATGCGAGTCTTTCGGCATGCCGTGAGGTAAATCGATCGACCAGATATCATTCTGCTGAGTCTGTTCCTGCTGTTGCGGCGGCGCAACATTTATCCATTCTTGTCGCCATTGTCGCACGGGAAGACCTTTGGTTAATTAGTACGCGTCATAGCATGCGATCGGTTATTTCGTACCTTCGAAGTCATCGTGCTCGGCATATCCTGATCTGTTGGCGCGTCGCGTCTATACGAATTAGTTGATAGTTGCACAAGGGACGCAGTGATTCACTCACTCCTGGCGCCATCGCGGCTGACTGATACTGCGGCGACTCTTATGATACTATAGCGATGATATAAAACTTTATTTTAACGCCGATTGGGTTGCGCTGTGGTCTCGTAATAACGTCGCCCTTCCAGCTTGGTTTACGAGGCTGAGTCGCGAGTCGCGATGGGCTGTCGAGGGTTGTCAGTTGGCCAATTGAAATTGGTGACACCCGCTGACGTAATCTAACATCCAAAAGATTTCAAGATGATGGCCATTGAGGTATAAATTAAAACATGAATAATGACAAATATATGATACTTGGGGAGACGAAAGGCCTCTAATTGACACAAACTCCATTTACACCGTCAGGTTTGAAGTTTTGGCAAGAAATTTCAATGGATGGTGATACCAAAGTTCTGATTGTAAAACGCCTGGAGACATGCAGCCCAACAGCATTTGACACAGAAACTAAATATTGAGAGCCAAATAGAATCAGAATTGAGATTCGCCATCTAGTATTCGAGCCGCAGTGCCCATTCTCCAGTACCTCGAGACACCCCCGGGGCTCGCTGACGCCTTTGAACCTTTGTGGTATCCGATACATATACATTTATCCCCGTAACCATGCTACTGTACACACGAGTTGTCTCTTTTATCCTTTATCCAGTCGTTTCGAGATCGTTATGGTCAAGTCGTTTAGTCGTAACTGCGTCAATTGTCAGTGATGACTGGTAACGATAGTAACATTTTTTACATACCCCTGCTCCTTCTGCCTCAAAATCTCTTGATTGTGGCCCGTCTGCTTGCCCTGTTGCAAAGTCAGTATGCTAGATATGTGACCTCAATAGGTCTGACTTACCGAGATTCCTCCCTCAACAACTAACCGGTCGAGTTGGTAGAACTGACTGATGACCGTTTGGCGCTACTCCTTGTCAGCACTTCCCCTTCTTGACAATATCGTTATCACACACCTTCAAGCTTTGAAGCTCCTTGATCCCATGCTGGACCAACTCTTGCACCTTTCGGCTATCCTGCTCGCCCTGATGCTCCCGGAAAGCATCTCTCGTCCGTCGCTTCGCATACTCTCGGAAGTTGTACGCAGCGAACTGCGAGCCTTGCCGTAATAATTGGCGGTACTGGTCAAAATCCCCATCAGCAATTGTCGATATCAAGAGTGCACGGCGATCTCTGCAAATTTCCGGTGCCACAATGAGGGGCAAGACTCACGAGTGATCGGACTTGTTGCGGCATGTCGCCTTTGAGTGTACCAACGACAGACATTTGGTGTATGTTGCAGGTTGGGGAAATCGGCTAGATTGTAGATTCGCGACGGCTTAGAAGTATCCGATGATGCAAGACATTTGACGCTGCGAGCTCGGTGTTAGTCGGCGCGGAGAAATTTGCCGCTCCGGCCGGCCTTTCCGCCAGCGCAATTCGTACTGTATTGAGTCAGCATTTATTGGGGCCGAGCACAGTGCTTAGAAGGCCATTGCTGTTCGGCATCATGCTCCGTACATATCGGTGTATTATCAATCATTACGACGTGCATTTATGATAAAACTATTACCATATCTACAAGAAAATAAACTTTGGTCGATGTCACCTTTACGAGTGATACGCTTACCAGAGAACACTGTATTGTGGTTACGTATGCCAATAGTCCGACATATTGAACAACATGTAGTACATGCAGATAGGGAAATATGATCAACTTTAGTATATTTTAGGAGATTCTCTGCTACCCTAGAGTATTGACATTTCCTTTGACTTTTGACAACATGCGAGCATGGGTCAGATCTCCTATACGGAAGAAACAAGTGGTTTGGCTCCTGTGTGTCTAGTAAAACAATACTAGTTGAGGCTGAACTGTCATTCAGTGAATTCCTTGTGAATGTAGGGAACTTGGAAAACGACTTCCAGTCTACCTTATCCAACACTTATACGACATGCCCTCTGAACCTACTCAGAACCTCAAAAGCAAACCCATTCGTGCAAAACCATATCATTCCAACTCACATTTCACTAATGCCTCACCGCAACTACTCCTATCCCTCGCATCCAATCCCTACGGGCACATCCATCACCTGTCTTGAACCCTGAAGCTGAAAACGTGTCTCCTTGCAGCGGGTTCTTGATCATGTCCGAGAGTAACTGCAAGAAATGGGCTAGAACACAGAATACAAGCATGGAAACAGAACCGCAGTGATGATCTCTTCTCTCGCGCGTGTTGTCTCGGGCTTAGGAGCCGTTTCTGTCGGATGGACTATTCCGCGTCGTGGCGGTCGGGAGGTACGATATCAAGACATATGCAAGGGAATAAGAATCAACTAATGCCAAAAACATCATCAGTTGCATATAACGAAAAAGCTTCAATTTGGATGACGATAATGTTATGATCAATCAGAAAACCTCAGCTGGGTCAGTATCGAGTAGTGTCATTTCCCCAGCAAATACGACTGCAAGTCCCTCCCGATATGGCCAAGTCTATTTAAACGACAAGCCCGTTTATCGGATCTGGGTGACGAATTTACTAGTGAAGTGGCAGATGTTACACTCGCAGAGAGTCTCGGAACCCCTTGCATGAGAATTCGAGACTAGCGCCTACAGCATTTATCATCTGCATTAGAGAATCCCTTGCGTTAAGCAAGAAACGAAACTGAAATGCAGCCACACTTTGCCGCAAGAACTTTTTCAATGAGATGCACGTTACTCCGAACCGGTGAGATGCAACTCCAAGTGCGGGTTATGGCAGCTACCACGAATTCAGTCTCCAAACAGGGAAGTGAAGTTGAGAATGCTTCTCCCAGAGAATGTGAGTTGTGACACATGTGCAACCTGCTGTACGCTTTGGCATACTTCCCGGGAGCACCAGGTTGGAAAGAGAAGAGTGACCGAGGCCAGCAACGTGAGTTGTACAACTTGTAACATAGGACATGCTAGAGCGTTGAGGCTGAGAAAAGGAACGGGAAGCAACATGAACTAATCCGAAACGAGGTTCGACTGTGGACGGTTTATGCGTGCTCTCAGGAGATTACACATTTGGATGTTTTGAGAAGCTAACTGTTGTATGGGTGTGCGCTTGCGGCAGATGTCTAACTAATCGGGTCTTGGAGTAGGTTGCAGCTGTTTATGATGGCCCGAAACTGCGCGTCCTGTCTAGCAAGTTCGTCATCTTGTTGAGTCTCTGGTGGATTTGTTACAGATGAAATTGCTGTCTCAAGAGTTTCCGATGGGATCCCGTTGGTCTCAAGCAGCTGATCAAGCTTTGTATGCTCCCCCAAATCCGTGGTAAGCTGGGCCGTAAAGTTGTACCGCTTTAGGCTCTGGTTTGGTTTCACAATGGATACCGTCTTTGTTGGTTGCTCAGTTGATAGCGGAGGTATGAAACACAGGTTGGTGACAGAAGCATTTAGATTCGCAACGTCTGTAGGATGGCCGTTTTCGGCCAGACTCCACCGTAGAATCTTGCCCTTGGTGTGTCCGGACAATATCGAAGTGCCGTCATATGTCAGAGCAAGGCATGATGGCTGTCCAACTTCTGGATCCGAAACAGCAAGCGGGGTGTTGATTTGCACGACAATAGACGGCAGCTCTGTGCTGCGGGAACCAAGCAACGGCTTGTCGCCACCAAATAGCTCGACAAGGTAGACAGCACCGGCCTCAGAAGATACGAAGAGTGCCCTGGCACTTGGGTCCAGACGGGCGCAGAGAGGGAAGGCTGGGAAGAGCAGTGTACGAAGAAGCTGGCCGGTCTGGTAGTTCCAGATGATGCATGTCTTGTCCTTACTGGCGGACACGCATATGCTAGTTTCCGGGTTGGTACCAGGACCGACAGTTAGACTTGTGATAGCACCACGATGGTTGGAGAGGGTTAGATCAGGCTCTTGTTCCGCCTGAGCATCGAGCTCCAGGAGTCGTGATATTGACCAAACGTTAATGTTTGAGTCATCAGAACCGGATAGAATGTGATATGGCGTCACAGCCAAGCAAGAAACGGCTTGAACATGGCAAGGTGGTGTCGACACTAGCCGGCCTGTACACGTCTATATCACTTGTCAGTATTCACATTCGACGATAGTATCACGCGTATAAGGTAGCACTCGCAACGGCGTGAGTGAGACTGAACTAACCTCCCAGAGAAATAGTCTGCCCTCGGTAGAGCCCACGACTAACACTTGACCAGCAAGTGCCAAGCTGCGGATCCTCTCAGGGAACGGCACGAGAGCCTCCTGGTTGCCGCGTATACGCGAGTAGACGTGGACATGTGCCTTTTGGTCTTGTGCCGCAAAAATATGAGACTCACTGACGGCTAGACCGTTGAAAGGGGTAGAGCTCTTCTTGAAAGATGCCTTGATGGTGTGGGATGGTGTAAGGGAGTGAGAGTAGATGCCGACGTCCTTGGAAATGGCTGTGTTGGCTGCGAGAGGAGGACCGCAGATGGTCGAAACGAACTCTTGGGTCAGCATTGTTTTGGCTGCCGTTGACGAATGTCCTTTTCTGAGTTAATAAGATAGCTTCTACTGAAAGAGCTCTGCTGGGCTTTCAACTAAGGAATGTTGGCCCAAAGTCGTGGTAATGGTTGCAGGAAAGCGCCCGAGAAGTCGGGATCAGCCAATTCAAAAAGACAGTTGGTCCTAAATCCCGCAATGGACCATGCGTTCGGGAGACTGGAAGTGTCGTAGAACAAGCAAACAAAGATGGTGCTTGTGGTGATGTAGACTGAAGCGAAATAGCGAGCAAGACCAACAGGCACTTACAACTGCACCTAAAAATCTAGGTGGTGTTGTTTAGCTGACCAATCAGAGTTCTTTTTTCACTTTTTTTCAATGGCTTTTTTTCTCTTCGTATTGTGAAGGGTCCAGGTTGGTCCAGGTACAGTTCTAGATCCAGGAACTTTTCAAGATGAGACTAAGACGAGACGCGATTTTGATGAAGGAGATCTAATGTCTCTGAAAAGACCGAAACAAAATTGCCGGGATCGTTGTAGAAAGAACTTTTCTTTGTCTTTGTTTGCTCAGTCGAAGCACAAGCTTTGACCCTTTCTTTCGTCTGCCGCCGCGAAGTTTTGATTGCTTTTTTGGTGGATCCCATCTGTTCTCTTTGCGCCAAATGCAGCCGCGGGCGGTGAGCGCCTGATTTGGGAGATTAGCGCGGTGGACAGTGCACGAGCCCCTTAGAAATGTCACCATGTATCCATAGTTCAGGTACCATCAACGACTGATAGATCCAATTCTCCGGCTTCAGCTTGAATATGGGTAACATTGACTGTAGCTTAAGTTGGAATCGATTAAAGATGTATTGAATTGTTGTAATTGAAGCTGGATCAAAGCCAGTTCACGAGCAATTAGAGGTATTGACTTAGTTGAGCTCCACCGTCTTGCCTGCCACCCACTAACTTACAGCTGTTTCCTCTGAATCTGCACTCGAGTTCTCCAAAACAGTCCCTGTCTGCTTCAAACTTAATTGCTTTTTGCTTCTCGCATCATCATCGACCGTCTCTCCCTCAACGATTGACATCACTCCCTTGCTTACGGGTGCTCCACTCTAATTTCATGTCTTGCCGACCGTTACCACAGAGAATGGCTCTCTTTTCTTGTTCTTACTTCTCTTCTACTCGTTAAGAGTTAGCCTGCGGGCACTTATCACATACCAGACTAACCCCATTGTCAACAGGGTGATGTTTTCAGGTTTGATCATCAGATTGATATCAACAACAGTTCGAGAGAGCCACATCTGCCTCATTTGATCTCCTGCATGAGAACATATGGGCCAGGCTTGAAAGTGATATCACTTCTCGCCCATCTCGGCACCTTTCGCTTCCAGCACGTGCAGACGATAACCATGTGGTGACCGATAAGCGTACCGCATACACGCATGCCTGACCCAGTTCTAATGATCTCCCTTACATCTGCGGACCAGGGACACTCTCACACTACCCTGTCCTGTCAAGTCTGTCATAACCTGACCTGTTTGGGTTCTCCGCATCTCCATCGTTCCCCTGGCTATTTCTCATTATCATCTCCCTGCTTACAGATCCGAGTCTTCCCCGGTGCAATCGCGTATAAACGGCAGCTTAGAGGAGAGCTCTGCCCTATCTTGACCATTTTGGGGCCGAGACTTTACAATGGGGATCAGAGTTTAGCTTGCATACCAGTCTTTCGTTTCAGCCACGGTGCCATCACAACAATGCTGCTAAACTGGCCAAGGTGCTTACTGACTGACTATGATCGCGTCCGGTGATGCTTTGCGATCGGAGGAACAGATCTAATTATTCCCGGATCATGCACCAGTACTAACTCACCCGCCTCGAGGATCTACCTAATCATCTCACTGACGCAAAACTGTCTATCCCATGCCGTCGACGAGTTCAATGCCCAGCCGCTATTTGCGCCCTTGTTGATAATGTCTTGGCACACTGGAACACCATGTCCAGTGTTGCTTACTTGTCTCGACGCTAAGTGGAATTCAGTTGTCTTTCCTTACTGATGGCAGCTTCAAGTGAAAGTTCTGTCTTGGCGGCCCTGCATAGTTGCCGTTCGCGGACAATCGCTCGCGGCATTTTCCCGCTTGAGCTTTTTGTGAGAGCCGTAGGCATCTTCGCGTTCTCCAAGTGGAGATGTGATGTGATATGTAGAGATGTCACAGCAGATTCCAGCAGCCTGCATCCCGAGATGGAGGTAACAATGCTCATGGGCAACACAGACAACTCCCTTGTCCTCCCTTGCGCTTCTTCCTTGGTTTCTTCGCCCAAGGATCAGCAGCTTCCAAACCTTGAGGTCGAAAAGAGTCAAGGCCCATTAGAGCCGCTGTGCTTGGTGGTGGTCTATACGAACCTGTCTTGGTTTGTCTTGATTTGTTTTGCTTTTTCGCGGCGCGACCATTGCCTCCCCGACAACGCCACTCAGACTCCCACCTCATTCCTGTCGTCAGGGCGTGGCCGTTAGTTACATTCATCTCTTCCGCTGCCAGTGCCAGTGCCAACGCCAGTCCTGATGCCAGTATCACGTCCTTGGTTACCTGCTATGTGCAACTGCAACAGACCCCGCCCGCCCATTCTTTGACTTGTCCACTGCAGCCCAATTTCTTGCTTCCATCCCATGGCTGTCGACGTTTACAGTACGTACTTGTACATGGTCTCATCGATCTAACCGACTAATAAGCCCCTGCCTCCCTCGATCGACGGTGTCTCGCCCTGCATGTCCACTTCTAGCCACTCTTATATCCACTATTCCCTGATGACTTGCGATTAAGTTCCAGTCCGAGTCAAATCATATAAGTGTCGTCGTGCCCTTTGAGTTCGCCCTCTTCTAAATGCCAAGGCAGTGAATCACGTTAATTCGTGGTCTGTTCTTGTTGTTGGGTCTTGTTCGTCCCTGCATCAGCCTCCATGTCTGTGCTTGCTCCTAGGATTCCAGTGGTTATATACTTATACAGACAAGATCCAAATTCACGCGAGGCTTCACCATCGCCCTCAGCATCATCTACTCCTTCGAAAAGACGTTCAGTCTCAAGTATGACAGGCTTGCTGCCGCTTGCATTACCAGCTCCCCGCTCAGAGACACCAAGTATTCTCGACGAAGAAGTCATTGACGACATGATGGATTGTTTTCCCGAGATGCTAGCCAGAGATCTGGAAAGATCGAGCTCAGTGTTCATGGCAAAGAACATGACTGCTGGTATGCCTTCCGCTCCTGTGTGGTTTGCAGAGGACCAGGTCACTCGGGGCATAATGGGACCAAGTCGAATTATTACTTCCCCATATCAATCCGGATCCGTGCGAGTACAGAATTTAGGGTCGATAGAAGAGCGGCAGTCAATGGTGTCTTTTCTTGAACATCGTGGGCATGGTGCTGATGAAATTGAATCTGACGAGGAGTCCGAATCATCATCAGAGTCCTCTGAAGCCATTGAGGTACCTTGTATCAAGTTACGCGAGCAATCCATTGTCACAACAGCGACATCTCTCACATCAGCCAGTGGAAACCCACCATCGCCCAAAGATCTCTTGTCGCCCACGCGAGGACAAGAATACAGCTGGATTGATATTGATTCTGACGATGACGATGAGCCTGAGCCTCAATTTCGGGAGCAGTTGGCCACGCCAAAAGAGACTGCTGCTTTATCACCACGACCTCCTACACCACCAAACACCGAGCCTACCTTTGATATCACTGTCATGATGGAGGCGCCCAGACCTCGCCTTCACAGAGCCTGCTCTTGCATTGACGAGTCTCCCAAACTGAACAAACACAAAAGGCAATTCTCAGTCAAATCTATGGACGCGCCAACTATCCCCCCCCGAAAAACATCCCTCACAAGTGCGACAGATCCATTGGACACAACTCCTCGGATCGTAATACCCAGCTTTGATTCGCGGATAGGCCCGGACAGTCAAGGTTACACCAAGCAGTCACCCTCTTACACCCAGCGCTTTCGCGATGAGACCGACAACAACACAATCCTTCTCAAATCAGACTTTGGATCAATTGAGCTAGAAATCGAGGACGAAGACACATTCATGGATCACTATCCACCTCCCCCACCACTGTCACGACCTGACACAGTTTATATCGAACAAACTCCACCACCATCACCACTACCCACTGTCGAATCGTGGCTAGACGACTCCAATCCTCCATGTCTTCCTCAAATTCCCGTTGACGACTTGGCAAAGGCCGTGCCGCTGCCGCCTGATATTATCGAAACACTACGAGTGTCAATTGCTTGCTTCCCGGAAACAATGCTCTTGTCATCTAGCTTGACAACAGAAACAATTCGCGCCTACTCAAAGAAAGTTCGGCAACCGTCAGTCGACGCTTGGTCTGAGCCAGCTACCGATTCATCGACGCTGCACCCACGAAAGTCAATCTGGAAGAAGGTTGTCTCACATGGTCGCGACTCAACTAGCACCAGACGTCAGCGGTTACACTCGTATGATAACAACACACATTCGGGCGCCGCCGCATCTCCAGTGCCTTGGGCCCCGTTGCGACATGTGTTTTCCGGCTGCTCAGATTACATCTGTGATGCCTTGTATGCGCACATCGTCGCCTACAACTACGTTTCACGAGTTCCCCGCAACCAGCCATCAGGACAGCGAGCGTCAACCTCCGACTCGAAACAGCAGGGTGAGAATATCCCAAAGAAGGCTGCATCGCTTCTAGGCCTAGGCACACCTCAGGTCAACCCCTCACCTAGTGTTGGTCGATTCGCCAAGAAGTTCAGTGCTCCCCTGACAGTCATGGGATTCGGCAAGGAGGAAACATCTACAGCAACTGTCCAAGACAATGCGACACGAAACATCGAATCAGGTCTTCTTCGCTGTATCTCTAGGCTAGTGGCTACAGCCAGGATGATCTCTGAAGGAGGTGCTGGGGAGGAGAGATTAATGGACACGGCGCCGCCACAGGAGGTTGATATGATCTTCGTCAGGAGTATATGTGAGATCGTTAGACTATCAGAGGAGGCATCATGAAGCCTGGTCATTGAAGTAGCACAACCTCCGGGGCATTGACCCAAAGCGCTCTTTTCAGCAGCCTTTTTTTATGTTCATATATGGGAATGGTGTTAATGGTTGTATACCCTGATTGACAGGTTGGGACTTTTTACTTGGCCTGTGGACCAACGAACTCGAGATAATGCAGTCACATCGACTCTGAATTGAAACATTACACTACAGTCTTACTTAGTACTCCTCTGCTATTGTCAGCCAAGTGACGTCTGACTGTTTCAGCCCTTTCACCAACACTTTCCTAGAAACCCAGTTCCCCGTCTAACGTTGCACCGAGTCCATGCATACGGCTCGCCAAGACCGTCATCCCAGACCAAGGGATAAGAGGCTTGAAGCTATCGAGGACAACAAACCTGGGGGATAATGAGGCTTTCGAACTACCAACAAAACTACTCTAACGTTTTTAAAGTTCCCCGTACGGGCGCAGGTCCCTGATTATCCGAAGGGGGAGTTTATTCAGGCTGAGCTATGGCGTTTTAGATCGTAGAGCCAGATGGTTCCCGGAGCTAATAGTCTTACTAGGGGGAGCTATAGTATCTTAGCTCGGATCGAAAAACTCATGGTAGTATTTCAGCTTCTCGGGTCCGAGGCTTGCCGTGATTTGTAATGCATGTCATGAGACGACGCCAAGAGATCTAGGGATTGTGTGTGAGACACATGCCTGGAGTATGTATTTGTGTTTATTGTCGGAGACATTTTTCTAAATCACGGACTATGGCTAATTCACCGATCATACAGCTAACGGTCCTTTGTCGTCGCCAAAAAGCTCATCGTGCCACTTCACAGCGTGACCTGGCGTCTGGCACACGGCGTCCCAGTCTATAGGCGTAAAGTTTGGCTTCTTGGGAGAGAACACGCGGGCTTTGCGCAGCTTATCTTCTTGCGGCGATTTATACGCGATCTTATCTCCGTTAAGATCGATCTCTGCGAGTGTGGGAGGTGAGGAGGTTGGTTGGAGACGTTGGGTGATGAGATGGCGGAGGTGAGGATAGTACCACATCTTGTGCCACCAGTTCTTGAGTCTGAAACCTTTAAGCCCGTTTATGTAGGCGTTGTGATGGATTGCGATTGGTATTGTGCCGAAGAAGAAGTCTGTGTAGAGGGGGATTGTACCCCAGTTTGTAGAAGACAGGAGTTTGTCTTTTATGTTGCGTAGTTCGGATGGTATGCCGTGAATGCGAATATCCCCTGGAACGCCAGCTTTTTGAGATTCTTCGCGGATGTTGGTGTCGTTGGAGAGATTGACGAAGTAGCCGTCTTCTTCGGAGGAACATGTTGGTGGTGCCGTGGTGAAGTTGTAGTCTAGACCAATACCAAACTCGAATCGTTTTCCAAGGAGGGCGGCATCTGCGATATCACGGACTGTACGATCAAGTGAATTTCTGTCGTTGAAAGCAGCAGAGCCGTTCCATGATGATCCAAGATGTCTCATCCACTCGCGCCAAATCTCCTGGTCTCCGATAACCTCACCAATAAGCGCCTGGTCACTCCAAAGTTGACGACCTTTCATGGCCACTGTATCGATTTTTTCTTTGGATCTTTTTAGAGCATCTCTCAATCCTCCCATAGAGCCCATGATAAGGCCGCTGTTCACACATCGGGGTCGGACCTTTTTGTACTTGCGCGCTGGATCGAAAGACCATGGGACTTTATCTGTATCTTCTCCATACATGTCCTTCGGCACAGGCGATTCAGGCCAGTGCTCATAGTGAGGATCAGACCCGGAGTAAGAATCTGGAAAACAATCTTTTGCTGTAGTGACGATTATGTCCTGCCGGGGTGGTGATATAGGAGAGTCAGTGCCAATACCAAGATCTTTCCACTCTTTGCGTATCCTTGCATCTGCTTCACCGTTAAGACGATGATATCGTTCTAGCAAAACAGAAGGTGGAAGTTGAAACCACATATCATACGCATCTACCAACACCGCAACATCATCCTCTCCTACATCGTCGCTTTTTGATTCGAGGAGTGTTTCGATTGCCCCTAGAAGACTTTCGAGCTTGGCAATGTGACTACCTGCAAAGTGCCATGCAGGCCGATTGTATTCACGGTTCCAGTTCAGGAGAATGGGCATTGGATAACCCATCGCGACGGCGGACATGATGGTTTTGCAGAGATTGATGTGTGGTGAGTCTGCGGGCATGAAGAGACGCATACGACGGGATGCGCTTGGTTTGGAAGATCTTTGAGGGACTGCAAGAGCCTTTAACTCATTGGTTGTGAGAGTTGATGAGCCATGATGACCGGGAAGAATGTGATTCAGTGGTTGAGAAAACTGGCTATGTTAGTTGCGTTGGAGATGATGAAGTTTATTTGACTTACAAGTCCCGTATATGTTATCCATGAGACAAGGATGAATGTGAGGGTGATGACTATCCACCTGAAGCTTTTCAGATATCGCGGTATGAACCATGATGGCTTCAACTGAGCCAGAAATGGTCGAGCTGACTGGGCAGATGGAAACGATGCATCTTCAGGGTCAGCATTTGGGGCTCTTCTCATCCTGGAGGACGAGCGATGTGATATTGAAGACGAGGCCATTACAGATCACCTTGGTCATGTTGATGGGAGTGCTATAATCATCTTCGACAATCGGATATGGAATATTATGAGATCCTTGTGATCCATGATGATTATCTTTAGCTCCTTTCCTCATGATACTGTAGTTGTCTATCATGACTCTAGCCTCCAAATAATCCATCATGAACCCACTATTCACCGCAGATCTTTAGCGTTCAATCAATACGCTACAGCCAATCACTCGACATCGTGCCCTTGAAAACAGCCCCACGTGGTCCAACCAGAGGCTCTACATCAGCTTCCTCTTCCATCCAATCTTTGTACGTCATTTTACGCTGGTGATGAATTGATTCGTAACAAGATGCTCTATAATTCCTTAACCAGCTTAAGGTAGGGTATTAGAGACATGTCGTCAGTTGGTTCTCTCGTATTTATCCGCGGTCTTTTGGGCTCCGTAAACCGTATTCGGCCAGAGGGTTAAATAAGCTTACATTGCATTTATTGATTTCAGGCTGCTTAAAGTATTGGTTGATTTGTTCTTTGTTGAAAAGCCTCTTTTTTGCTTCACTTTTTTTTATTCTGACTCTTTCATGGAGGATTTGAGGTGATGGGGTTCAATACGGATGCTCAGAAGAGCTCGAGGTTGAGTGTTACGATGCTAACGTACCTCGGTTTTGCGATTCTCGGTAATTTGACTGTTGCGTGTCTTCACATGAAGTCTCAACTGACCACTCTCAGGCCTCGTGAATGCGATTGTGCCATTCATCGTGCACTCAGCAAATTATCTCATCATTCCGTATCCGCGATGGATCGTTCTTCTCATCGAGACTCTTCCAGCTTTGGCGACGAAGCTTCTTATGCCCCATATTCTTCATCGTGTTCCCTACTGGATGCGTCCTCTCACTATTGGAGCAGGCTGGATCATCGTGGCCATCGTCACAAATGTTACGCCGCCTAATATTGCACCACCACTTCGAATCTTGACATCAGTTCTGGGATCGATATCCGCTGCTGCAATGGAAGTTTCATTTCTGGGAATGCTGCGATACTACGGCCGTGTTGGACTCGCAGGATGGGGCGCTGGTGTTGGAGCCGGGGCTGTGTTCTGCGCAATCTTGCCATTTGTTCTAACAGTCTGGCTGGGGTCCTTTTTACGGGACTTTATTGACTGCATTTATGCACTTACAGGTGCTATGCTTGTGGCATTCTTTGTCATTCTGCCAGGAGCACCTGTCAACTATCCTCATGCGCAACAGGAAGCGTCAAAGGTGGACGTTGAGGATGCTTCTCTGCTCGCCCAGGATCCAGTTGAGCAGCTCTCACGTATGCTCAGCACTAGAAACCGACTCAATCTTACTAAAGCCATGATTCGACCATTCATGATGCCTTTGTTTGGGGCATTTGCTATTCAGGCCTTGGCGTACCCAGGCATCTCTCGAGCTTTGCCTCTTCCAACATCGTACACGTCGTTCTTCTCCTACTTCACCACTTACGGCCTCGCTTTCCAGCTCGGCAACTTTATCTCCCGCACTCATACTCTCCTCCTCCGGCCCACTAGTGCCAAAGCCGCCTTTACAGTTATCGGAGCTTCGACATTCATCTTGCTCGCCAACTCCATCTTCCTAATCTTCTCAACCGAAGTCCTTGTGGGATTGCTGGCTTTCGGGGCCGGTCTTGGCGGAGGAGCAGTATACATGGCTATTTTCGACCGGGTGCTGCAAGACAAATCCTTCGAGTCGGGAATCAATTTGGAGTTCGGACTTCAGGTGGCGGGAGCTGGTGAGACTGCTGGTGTTATTATCGGTGGGTTGCTGGGCGTGATGCTCGAGAGTTTGATGTGTGGAGGCACATTTACGACCACAAAAAGATGGTGCCACACAAGTCATTGATGAATATGGATACAGATGATAGACAAGGCCTGGATAGTAAGATTTATGATTAAATGAACAATTGAATTCCATTGAGATCACACCCAACTTACAGCCATCACGAGCTAGGGCTCAATAGGCTGAGGTCATATCCATCTAATTACGCATTCATATTCTATAATCTCAAAAACAATGTTCACTGGTTAGATAGAATTTCATGGCATATACTGTTCGTTTTGTTCAAGTAGAGCATTCTTGAACCTCATTCGTCAGTTTCACCTATACCCATGAGGAGACTAGCCATAAGCACAGCCACCTCACTATGTCCCAGGCTTCAGCTTTAACCATCAACTTTTATACCGGCTCATCAATCCCCTTCGCTTTACATAACATAAAACTGCTTATCTCATGACACTCTTTCATTTCCATTGGTCTTTAACCCAACCATCACTTCCTTTGTCAACTGACGTTCCTCGCCATCATGATGAAACGAAGGACTCACAACAAGTCTCGGCACGGCTGTCGAAACTGCAAAAAGCGCCATGTTAAGGTACATCTATTAAACCATATCTCATAACATATCACTAATTCCTTCAGTGTGACGAAGGAGGACCTCCCTGCACCAACTGTCTAGCCCGCAATCTCGAAGGCTGCTCATATCTCACCGAGCCACCAACCCAGCTCCCAGCAACAGAGACCAGACGCAAAATAGAGCTTGAACTGATGCACCGCTGGACATCATCAAGCTACAAGAGTCTGGCTAGTATTCCAGAAGATAACCAATGGCTACAAGAAGACATGGCTCGCTGGGCTCTTAAGCATGAGTATCTCCTACAGGGCATGTTTGCCTTCTCAGCTCTCGAAGTCGCGCTCTGCGGGGGTGCTGTAGTTGTTGAAGAAGACTATGACACATATTATGCCAAGTTGGCGGTGGAGTACTACGATAAAGCAAGTCGTTCGTTCAGAGCACAGCTTGAGAACGTCAACTCTGAGAATGCCCAGAAGATCTTCATGTTCTCATTCCTTGCTGTGGCTGTTAACATGGCTCTCGGCCAATGCAGTGCTTTCGAAGAGCTTCACGAGGGTGTTTTAGAACGCATGGTGACATTGTGGGAGCTTCTCATGGGAAATGCCTCTATCGCCAATCAGCACTTCGACGCTTTGATATCAGGAGCTCTATCGCGATCTACAGAGGCTTTAATGTTAAGAACACAACTTCAGACTGAGACACCCACATCGTTGAGCAAGGAAACCGAGGAAGCTCTGGAGAGTCTAAGCACTATCATCAACAAAGCCTGCGAAACACCCTCCGGTTCAACTCCAAACGACCAGTCCGAAGCCAGTGTACGGATCAGCTCATACCGCACAAGCTTCTCCGCCATACAAACGTGTTTCGTACAAGACTCCAAAGACATCTTCAAGGGCATGGCGATAGGATTTCCTGCACTCGCAGGACGAGACTTTGGGTTGGCGCTCAAGAGCTCAGATCCAATGGCTTTACTTTTGATGGTATTCTGGGGAGTGCAGCTTGACACGTTAGGCAAGATCGCTTGGTGGGTTGGCACCTTTGGCAAGAAGATGGTGGACGAAGTCTCAGAGATGCTGTGGGAACCTGATCCCGAGTTTGATATTATGGATATGTCTGAGTGGAGAGAGTGTATTACTTGGGCTAGGGCAGAAGTTGGTTTGGCGCCCATTGTCGGGGCTACAAAAGAGCCATGATGTATGGCTGCGTTTTGTACAAAATGTGTAGAACTATTCGGCATGACGGACTCACCACTTATTCGGCTTGTTTGTAGGCCATGCAGATACCCAACTCAGTTTAATATAATTTTATATGATTGAGCGGCGTTCAGATCTAAAGCAGTATTACAGCATAACCAATTGGTCTCGATAATCCAAGCTTGCGCTGTTTCCTGTCTCTTTTCTGGTGCTTATATGGCCCTCCCTTAATCAAATCGGCAATAAGTGCCTGGTATCTTAGTCTATTTTCCCCTTATTCCTTACCCCATCGTGAGGTCTCGTCGCCCTCCTTCCACTCGCGTTCGACGTATCCAAGCTCCTTCTTGACCTTCTCTACAGTCTCCTTGTCGCCCGTGTTCTTTCCAATGTTGTCACTATAATCGATTAGTCAAGACTATCGTCAGTCTTGATACAAAGCACTCACCTGATCTTGACAGCCGGGCGGCCTGCCGCTGAGCTGATCTTGATGACAATGTTCAAAGGCACAGATTTGGTGCCAGTCTTGAGATGCACAAAGTCGTTGGTAAGGTACGTTCCCACACCAAATGTTGGCTGGAAGCCAAGGTCCTCGGCAATCTTCTTATACTCGAGACACCTCTCGATGTTCAGTGAGTCAGAGAAAACAATGAGCTTCTTGTCAGTGATACCCTGCTTGTCGTAGAACTCTCTCATCCACTTAGTGTATTCTGCAGGGTCGCCAGAATCTTGACGAATACCAGCAAAGGTCTCTGCGTATGTCTTCATGGTTCCGTCAGCCTTCTTGAAGGTCTCTGCTGGGAAGCCACCCTCGATAGGTTGCACAGGCTGAGTGAAAGCTCGCAGAAACTCTTGAGTTCCGAAAGTGTCGGTCAAAGCAATACCGAGCTTGTTGCCGAAACAAGCTACCCAGTGTCGCAGTGCAACCTCGGTGGCTGACTTGTAGTCACCAATAATAGCGGCAACACCCATGAACCACTCGTGAGCAACAGTTCCTACAGGTGGGATGTTGAAGCGCATAGCCAGATGGACGTTACTGGTTCCAGATAGCTTGCCAGGGAATCCCTTCTTCTCAGCTTCCTTGGAAGCTTGCACCAATCCTCGGAATACAAGGGCCTGGGTGTGGTAGTCGCGACGTCTTCTTGTGCCGAATTCGGATGTGATGCATCCTGCCTCCAATAGCTTAAGTCCCTTCTCGAATGCTTGCTTTTCTTGGCCCTCATAGTTCCAGTCTGTGTCCATGAACTTGAAGTACGCCTCGGATGTCAGCGCAAGCATGGGAATTTCGTAGAGAATTGTGTCGACCCAAGTGCCCTTGATTTGAATATCAACGTCGCCAACAATTGAGTCATCTCCATTATCCTCGCCGACAGGAGTGAAGGTAGCGACAACTTGTTCTCGGGGGCTAAGGCGGAACTCCTTGAGGAAGTTGAGGTAGTCGTCAGAGAGGTAGTCGCAGTGCTTCTTGAGGAAAAGGTATTCATCGGTGGAAAGAGAAATGTTTCCAAGCTCTGTCCATCAAGGTTAGTCTGGGATTTGGAGGTGAGATCACCAAAAACTGCGTTTCTTACTTCGAATTTGCTCTTCGAGCCACTTGAAGGCGGTTCGCGACAGCTTCTTGTCTGGAGTTCGGTTGGTGTAGGCGTATGTCACAGGTACATCTTTGAAGAACTTGAAGACGGCACATTGCATCGTCAACTTGTACAGATCAGTGTCGAGGAAGGAGATGACGCCCTCTGGGAAGGGCGAGGAGCTGTTGAAATCCATGACGGGGTTTTGTAGGTGTTGTTATGACAAAGTCGAACTCGGGAGAGAAATCCTTTCACTTTTATAGCTGGGGGCTTATAAAGCTTGGAGAGCAGAGTTCGGGAATGCGGAAGTAGATCGAGGAAATCGTGGATAACGCGGCTCGGAAGAACGTGGATTAAGGACGAGGAGGATACTGAAAAGACAGGACCATATACGACTTTAACGTTGTCGTTGAGCTGTAGGTTATGACGTTTGCGAATTTGCGACGTTCCGTTGAGTCATGAGAAGAGATCTAGAACCGACGAAAATGTGACGCATTCAGAAGAGATCTAGAATAGCACGAACGAACCCGCAGAAGAAGGGAAGCAGAGGGGCACGCTCTGAGGGAAGGTGAGGGGTTGGTCGCGGCTGCCATAGTGGATTATGGAGGGGCACTAAGAGCGCTATGACCACACCTTATTTTTCTTTCCAAAGAAAAAAATTTGGTCGAGTTCGCGAGGCTAACATTTTTCTTCCTGGACTGGATCTCTACGCCTGGCTACGCGGCGTCAGGTTAACGTATCTATTTCTATTCGCGCAACAATTCCGAACCGATTCTCGTATCTCAGCGAATTAATACCTAATTGCGAATCACCGCGCGACCGAGGACTCTTTTCAGAGCCCCGAAACCGCCGTTACAATGGATATTCATCGATGTCGATTCGTTCCATACAAACCTTCAGCCATCAACGCCATTGCCTTCTCACACCCCAAGACGCGCTCAGCAGTACAGGCTAATCTTGCGCGACTCGCTATTGGACGAGCTAACGGCGACATCGAAATCTGGAACCCTACGAATGGCTCTTGGAACCAGGAGCTCATCATTCCAGGCGGTAAAGACCGAAGCGTTGATGGACTTGTCTGGGTCAACGAGCCTGACCAGGACCTTGGCGATGGACGCGTTGTCGCTGGAAAGTCCCGTCTGTTCAGCATAGGTTATACTTCCACAGTCACCGAATGGGATCTTGAGACAGGAAGGCCAAAGAGACACGCCAGCGGTCAACATGGTGATATCTGGTGCATGGCTGCTCAACCTGCTGGATCCGACAAGGTCACACTCGGCGCCGACTCTCAAGATCCCACCAAGCTTATCGCTGGTACAATCGACGGCGAGCTTGTCATGTACTCCATCGAGGACGATGATCTGCGATTCCAGCGAGTTATCCTACGATCGCCTACCAAGAAGGCTCAGATGGTCAGCATTACCTTCCAGTCGCGCAGGGTCGCCATCGTCGGCTGCTCCGATAGCACAATTCGAGCGTACGATATCGCAAATGGCCACATGCTGCGTAGGATGACACTGGGCTCCGATCTCGTTGGTGGCTCCAAAGACATCATTGTGTGGTCCGTCAAATGTCTGCCAAACGGCAACATTGTCTCAGGCGATTCAACTGGCCAGGTTTGCATCTGGGATGGCAAGACATACACACAATCACAACGCATTCAGAGCCACAAGCAAGATGTCTTGAGTCTTGCTACGAGTGCCGATGGTACAGCTATCCTTAGCGGAGGCATGGACCGACGAACAATCCTTTACAAGCAAAACAGTGGTGCTGGATCAAGATGGGCCAAGGTTTGGGGGCGAAGGTACCACGACCATGATGTCAAGTCTATGGCATCTTTTGAGAGTGGTAGAATCAGTGTTATTGTCTCAGGAGGTAAGACAAGCCGTCTCTTGTCGCTAAACTCTGGCTAACTCGGATACAGGACCTGATGCTAACCCCGTTGTGGTTCCCCTAAAGGAGATGGGACGTGAAAACCACCGCATGATGCCCAGCTTGCCTCAACAGGCCCCTCTATTGAGTGCGCCCAAGGCTCGATTCGTTGTCAGTTGGTGGGACAGGGAGGTTCACATCTGGCTTCTCCGAAAATCAGCCAACGACATGTTCAACAGCGCAGGCGAGGAAGTTGACATCAACCAGAACCGCAAACTTATCAAGACTATCGTCGTCAAGGGTGATTCGAATATTACTTCAGCAACTATCGATGATGAGGGTTCACTTCTGATTGTTTCTACTGCTATCGACGTCAAAGCTTTCAGATTAGAACACCAAGATCCTATCAAACCTTCGGACGTCAAGGTCTCCTCTTCTGAGCTCCCCTCGAAGCTTGCAGGTGTGGGAGCCATTAAAGTGCAGCTTTCACCTAACGCACAATGGCTCTGCGCGATTCAGGAAGGCTCTCGCGTTGTCATGGGCGCACTCGACCCCGTCAGCCCCAGAACATCTCTCATCTTCTCACCGCGCGTACAAACACTCACACGCTTACGACGACAAACTCCACGCTATATCCTCAATGGAGGTCTTGGCAGTTACGACAGGACCATTACACAGATCGCTTTCTCTCCAGACTCCAAGATGCTCGCTACATCTGACATCGCAGGCTACATCGACACCTGGATTCTGAGCGATGGTGAGAAGACCAAGCCAGAGGATGACGCGTCCTCCTCGAGTGAGAGTGACTCTTCAGACGAAGAAGAGGAGCAGTCATCGCAGAACATTGAGAAGTGGGTTCGTAACCCTAGTGCTAAACTACTACCCAAACTTCCTTCTGCAGCTACGGTTCTGTCCTTCTCAGCCGATGTCCCTCGGACCAAGATCTCTCCTAGAGCTTCGCCTGATGGAATAAATGGCTCATCCGATCATGTGGACGACTACACCCTCCTCGCGATCACCTCGTCGTGGAGCCTGCTTACCTTCCACCCTCTCCAAGGTTCTCTCACCCCCTGGTCTCGACGTCATGCCCGAAAGGACCTACCCGCTCCCGTGCAGGATCTCCTCGACCTCGCCAAGGGTGTCTTCTGGCAAGGCTCTCGTGCTTGGATCTACGGCGTGTCGTTCCTCCTCATGCTCGACTTGGCTCAAGACCTTCCCAAGCCTGTAGATGGCGAGATTAGTGAATCCACTACTTCAGGCAAGCAGAGCCTTAAGCGCAAGAGAACAGGTCCATCAACCGGAGCAGGAGGCAGAATGGAGGTAGGTGCCATCGCACCCTCGCAAGTTCGCAAGCATACAGCTGGTCAGTGGGAGGACATCGATATGGAGGATGCCCCCCGACCCGAGGACGCCAATAGCGACGATGAAGCGGATCAGCCTGAAGGTGAACTCGCCCAGCTACGGAACCGTCGTGAAGTGGGCAAAGATCTCGAGGTTGCCGAGACTGGCGGTGAACGCAAGAGCTGGTGGATGACTTTCAAGTACAGACCCATCTTCGGCGTCGTCCCTCTCAGCATCGCAGGCCAGCCTCTCGAGATTGCCCTGGTGGAGAGACCAACATGGGATGTGGACATGCCCGAGAGCTACTTCAGCGTTGAGCAGTGGAGGAAGTAATGGAGACGAAAAATGTAGATATACGGCGTGGGTGATAAGTTCATGGATCGTAGAGTGCCATGTTGAGCATAGTTGCAAGGATGATGGTTGTCAAAAGGGTCTGGACTCAAAAAGCATGGTCCTAGTTTGTAGATTTGGATGTTTAAACTGGCTACGTAGACTAGCATACGGGCTATCGAATCAAAAATTTGGGATATCGGGTTTCTACTGCATACGTGTACCCATGTCTGGGTTGTGACCATGAAAAGATTTTGTCATTCAACGACATCACTCCTCGGGAGCTACCGTATCATTAAATGGGTAGCGTCTGGGGTTTGAGGTCCCTGCTTCTGTCGTCCAGTCTCTGTTTCAAAAGGCTGAACATGTCTCGCATATAGGAGCGCTATGGATCAGACGAAGTCATACCTGAATCAAGTCACGAGAACACTTACAAGACGAGTGATTTCTACTTACAAACTAGAATTCTAGACTTACACAACCAGAAGCAAGGGTCCGAATCAAGAAATAAGATCCCGCGGGTTTATAGACTAGACTGTTGCACAACTTACCGAAATCGTCTAAATATTATTAACGAGGCCCCATTGCTCGCCCATAGAACGCGCGTCCTGGGCATCAGGAGGACCAAGACCGTTAGTCTGACCAATTCGAGCCTGTTGCCGGAATAGCCTCATGTAAGAGAGACCATGTCAAGCCTTTCAAGGCATGTGTAAGTGTGTCAAAGTGGGTGGAGGGATCCATCCGTGAAGTGGCAGATAGATGAGATGACAGGATGGTTCATGACATGGTTCCCGAGGCTTCGATGGTGAAGTGTATCCCAAGATCCCTGAATCCTCAAATCATGAGAAACCCACACGACTCATACTTCGGATGAATCACTGGCTGCTTGATTGTAATTATGGGTAGTTCTCAAGGGATACGTATCGACAACGGGTAATCTTCAGTCGTGGCTTCGTCATGCTCAAGTATTGAATTACCGAGAAGAGAAAGAACTTGGAAACCACGTCAAATCTAAGTTGATCCCAGGGAAGATCCGAGTGAGTTGCCAATTAGATTGTTGAACAAACGATGACTGGTTGACATCAAGAACGGCATCTGGACGTTGAAGCGGTTTGGCGATCAGCTTGGACCACAGTTAAGGTCATCCGGACGTCTATCTCAAGACTCTATGAGGGCGTACGTAGCACAAACTTCCCGGTAGCAAATTCTTAGCTTCGTAATCTGATCTGGTCGTTGACTTAGCCACATCTCTTGATATGTCTCTTGTCCTCTTGGCAATGCTTATCAAACAATCCGTGTAAATCAATTTTCAAAATGAGAAAAACATCAAACATTCACAAAACACCAAAGTGCCTTTGGGAAATTGTTGAATCAGGAGGTGGCAATTGAAGAAGATCGCGTTGCGTAGACTCTCTGATAGAGTTGAGATATTGGTGTTTGCATGTACGCAAGCAAGCCAAAGTCAAGATGACGCGGCCTTTGGCGGTGTCTTAGACCACACCCCCCGGTCGTAAGCGCAACAAGATCGGCAGACCACAACTGAGAATGATTGGCTGCACATCACTGAGCCTGAAGATGCAACTCGATTGACGATTGGGTGTCTTTTTCGGGCGACAGTGTGACACTGCTAAAATTCGATGTGGGAAACGGTGAGTAGATCATAACTCGACGTTAGGTAATTGAGAAAACGGACAGAGTCGAATTCGGCTCCGATTCGACCCCTGTGACTGAATTTTGACGCGACGCTCAGAGGACGTTCCCGCTGCCAAGAAGCTCTAAAGACGCAGGGTTAATTCCGTTCAGTGGTAACGTTGCCAGGTAAGCAAATAGTCGTCCCTCGAGTGTGCGTTCTCTCTGTGAGCGCCTGTCAAATGGGATGATGGGATTGGACGAGGCCGCTTTTCCAGGGGCAGGCGCACGCGATGCAGACGCCAAAGCCAGTTAAGCTTCTTTCCAAGCCCGCCTACTGAGCTGTATCAAGATGACCAAGATGGTTTGTCTGTATGATTTGTGCTTGTGGTTTGATATTGATGTGCCTAGAGCTGCGCCATACAAGCAAGGCGTAAGGCAGATAATTTGACTCAAGATCGACGAGTATCAGGTAGAAGCATGTTGCAGATCGCTGTGGAGTACTGAGTACTGAGCATCTTGCTTTCTGTTGTCTCTTTCGATACTGGACAGATTGTCATCCCCATCGGCCATGTGGAATAGCTTCACTTGTGAACCACACAAAATTTGCGAATATTGGGTATCGCATCTCGGAAAATAAGGTCTTCGTGTTTATCTGATATGTAGGTATCCATGTCCTCATAGGGAAATCATTGAAACAGAACCAAACTTTCTGGTGGGTTGTGATGCAAGTTCATGGAGGCAGTGGAATTACAAGGGACAAGAGGCCGCGAGTCAAAGTGGATCTAGTGGATCTGGAAATAGCGAGCACCGCCACTGGATAGATGTCTCTGTGGCTAGTGAAATCCTAGATATAGAGGCCAACACAGAGTGCCTCAGAGGCCTACAATTGAAACAATAAGCGCGAATAGTTACTATGTCTCGTCGACTATCTGGGATAGATATTGCTGCGCACGCCTTGTCCTACGTATTGCGAAAAAGGATTGCGGGCAGCGTGGCTCAGTATGGGCTGTGCCACGATACTATTTCTTCAGGCGCCTTTTTAGAGGACCTCACCACTGCCTCGTCATCGCCCACCAAGACGAGGGGCATGTTCCCAGCAAAGTACCGATACTTGCTAGTCCAGGGCCCCAGGGTCGAGTGACTCGCAGAAAACTGCAGCGGTCTTTGGCAGCCTCGAGAGGTTTCTGTGCTAGAATTTGTGCCATATTGCAATAGAGGAACAAATAAATGAAACAGTACTCAATATTTGATATTCCATTTGGCAAGTCTGTTATTGCAAAATGAAGCATCTACTAGAGCTGATCACAAGTTTAGGTGTTTTTATTCAAAATTTAGAGTAGTCTACGCGGATATTACAACCCATGTCGAATTAGTGACTGCTCACTCGAAAGACTTGAATTGACTCCATCTTTACAGCGGGCGATCGTTTTTGACGCGACTCCGACGGTTTCCCCGCGCTTATCATCTGCTGGGTTCAGTTAGAGGCTTCACATTGCCACATCCAGCACAGATAGAGATTGTCGTTCCTTTCCCATTATTCTCATACAGATTCCCATAATTTATCGAAACATTTTATCGCCTCTTGCAGTTCTTTTCTCCATCTGACCTTATCAAAAAGAACATGTAGTACAAACAAATGCTGACGCTTGCTAATTCGCTGATGACGAGGATCTAGGCCAGGCGCCACTTCGCTTTTCGGTGTTCCCTAGGTCGACGTACGTACGCACGCAATTCAAAGTGTATCACTCACTAGAAAAGGACTACGTACACTTGCCCTGGCCTGCTGAGACTGGCCCTCTAGGTTCGCCTCTTGATGATGAAGCTGTTGCGTAGACTTGAGAATAGTTGACCCGTTCTCGTTCAATTTGCGTATAGTGTTACATGTTCGGGAGGCTCATTTAATTGTTCACGATAGCGACACGCATCGATATTCGTAGGCTTCAGAGACCCTAATATTAAATAACAATCGGAGCCTGCAAGCACTGAATATCCATCCAATTCATCACAGACCAATCATTTCAGCCATTATAAGGCTCAGTGGGCGTTTTCTCAGTTCCCTGAGCACTTGAACAAGAGTACGAGGCAGCTGTACCGGTACATGCCCCTGCGCCCAGCGGCCCCCACCTGGAGCAACAGTCGGCTCCCTCATTGGCCTGGCGCTCACTGCTGACGCGTAAACTGCCATCGTAGGCTCTGGCCCAGAGTGGGCAAGAGCGAACGAGACGCACACCCTCCCGAGACACCCCGTCCCTTTCCCTTTATTCCCCTGGTCCACCCTCGATTCTCATCGCCGCCTGCTCCTGCCTCTCCTCTTTTGTGCTGTCTGTCTCTCTTACCTGCCTGCAGTGGTCAGCTATTCGCAAGCCGTCAACTCCTCTCCTTTAACCCTTCACTCGCGGCGACGACGAACAAACGAAGCGATTCAGCTTGTTTCTACGACGAAAGAGTATTCGACGATACTCACGACGATTGAAAAAACAAACGATTCTGGCTACCTTAGTCATCAGCTAGTCAGAGCAAGCGACACTTCCCACGGCAACAGTCCGTCTGTCATTCTGAGGACCCAAAGGATTCATTTGGACAACGCGTGTACCGTGGCAATTAGGCCTACCATCACGCACCTCTCGTTTCTGACGACGACAATTTACGATCAATATTACGACGACATATCTCACTCCGAGGTTTCTTGGGCCTCGTAAATAGCAACAATTGAGCCATCAACTACCTAGCCCGGCCACGTATCTGGGCAACGACATATACTGAAACACCTATCCTCAACATCTTCATCGACGAACTATCCACTTACAAAATCACATATTAGCAACTATGGCGGGCCAACGTACGCCTGCGGGCGAGTATGGCGAGGAATGGGCCCGAGACCTTCGGGTCCAATTCGAAGGCTTGTTGCGTGACAAGCGTATGAATGATCTCCGTGCCTCATCGCGACAAGGCTCTCCGAGCTTGGGAGAGCAGTCTCCCCGTATGCGAAGCTCCCCGTTCCCCAGCGATAGCCGACCCTCGACATCCCAAGGACCTGGTCTTCCCTCTTACTCCGCCCTGCGACATCTCCCCAAGATCCCTACACCTCCCGCCGCGGGTGATCGCGATTCTCAAAAATTCAGAAACCTCCTCATCAGCTTATCGTTAACACCAACCAAATATGAGAACCCCGGTCTGTTGGACGAGGCATTGCAAACCATCCCATTAGATCGTATCTATGGCGAGGCCGAGGAAGAGACTCAGGTCTTACAAGCTCAGGCTGAGAGTATGGGTGATGGACGACGACCCGAATGGGGTTACCAAGACTGTGTCATCCGGGCATTATTACGGTACGTCATTTTCCATCCGATCTCGTTTGGATGGATTGACTAACACAGTTGATAGATGGTTTAAGCGATCGTTCTTTAGCTGGGTCAATAACCCACCCTGCCCCGTCTGCTTATCTCCCACCATCGCCCGAGGCATGACTGCTCCTTCACCTGAAGAGAGTGCTTGCGGCGCCCTCCGTGTCGAACTGTATCAATGCTCTGCTCAACATTGCGGTGCTTTCGAGCGCTTCCCTCGTTACGGTGATGTCTGGCGGTTATTACAAACCCGACGAGGACGTGTTGGCGAATGGGCCAACTGCTTTAGCATGCTTTGCCGAGCCGTTGGAGGCCGTGTTCGCTGGGTCTGGAACGCCGAGGACCATGTTTGGACTGAGGTGTATTCAGACCACCAAAAGCGATGGGTTCATGTGGATGCTTGTGAGGAAGCATGGGATAACCCTCGCCTCTATGCTGAGGGTTGGGGCAAGAAGATGTCCTACTGCATTGCATTCTCCATTGATGGCGCTACTGATGTCACTCGACGATACGTGCGCAAGAACCAGCATGCTGCTGAGCGTAACCGATGCCCTGAAGAGGTTCTTCTCTATGTTATGCAAGAGATTAAGAACATGCGCCGATCCAACATGAACAAGGACGAGCGATTCCGATTGGAGAAGGAAGACAGCCGGGAAGACAACGAACTCCGAGGCTACGTTGTGGCCTCAATTGCACAGGCCGTAACTGACTTGGTTCCTGGATCCCCTGGCGGATCAAACCACACTGGCGCAAGCGGAAGCGATACCAAGTTGCCTGCTGAGCAACCTGGTCGACAAACTGGCTCTACAGAATGGTTGACTGCCCAGCAGCAACAATCTGGTCGATATCAACAGCCTCGCGATCCCAGCCACCGACGCCCATTGCCTTGAAAGCCGCGCGCATGCATCTTGCGACACTTTCCTAGGCATCGCGTCGGAGCTGCGTGAACGTTGACGCTTCTTGATGACAATCATAGCCATATCATATCACCACCCGGGCTAAACACAATAATACCCGCGCCCGTGGTTTAGTACGATGAACAACCGATACCTCGATGACAGTACCACGGCCCTCAACCATACGACCTCCATGATACTATCACTTCGATGACCTTACGGCCACACACAATTATTCCCTTCATGTCTAATACTATACACCTTTGACAGCCATAGCATAGACTCGGCGTTGAACCATTTCAAAGCGGCTGCCGTCTTTGCGGCACAGCCTGTACCTACTACATCAACCTGCCTTTCGATTTCTTTTGTTATTTTTCTATGTATAGGGGGCGTATTACGGCGGGGCATCTATGTTCCCTCAGGAGAGCAGGGGCGGGTTTAGTCCCTTGTTTCGGGGCGTTTGGCTATGTTTCTTTTTGGGCTATCATGAGCGGTATGAAGCCAGTCAAAAGAGATGGATCAGTGGATGAAGAAGATAGGATAAATCAATGCCAAAGAGCAGTTCTTTTCTAAGTTGATGTCTGTTGAATTGTGAAGTTTGTAAATTGCATGCCAATGCACAGTGACTGAAGTTGTATGCAATAGCCCCATCGAAGGAACCACCCCTCATCTCTCTACGACTATATACAACAACTTTGAATGAACTCAATTGTCCTTTTGAAACACTGGATGATTCACAGGGTTTTTCGAGATGACGTTGACGTTGAAAGGCTCAAACATGCCCATGAGGAGGGAGTGGCACGTGACCGTGTAGCTGCAACGCCACTGCCCAAAATGCCAAGGGAACCTGCCATACCCTAGAGGCAGTCACAACGAAATCATATTTCCCATCTTCCACAAATCTTTCTCAAATCATCCCAAGGCAAACCAAAATTCATCAGAATGGGGTCTGCCAGTGAGCAGTCAGCTAGAGTTTTGCGTTCTGCTGCTCGTGAGAACATCAAGACGCCACAAGAGCCAGTCTTACCAGATCTGATTAACACGGTCAAAGCGGGTCAACCATTCCAGAAAGCTACGTGCGTCCAGGAATATGGACTCTTGCCCCCAACACCAATGAAGCGCAAAGCCCATGAAATCACGGAAGTAGATGTCTCGTATCAAGCTGAGAAGGAGAAGAAAGTAAAGAAACCAAAAGTCACAGGTGAGGAAAAACGGCTTCGCAGGTTCAGACCTAAGCCACCTCAGTCTTTCCATGAGATCTACGACCGGGCTCTTTCTCAGCGCTTTTACGTGCTTAATCGCGCCAGAGGAGGAACCCAGGATTGCCCTGAGGAAGATGTTGAGATGACCGGATCCACGGGAAACATCTACACTGTTCATGTTGGAAAACAGCCGCGATGTACGTGCCCTCACCATGAGAAGGGTCATCAGTGCAAGCACATCCTCTACGTAAGTATCGCACCTGACTCTTCGATCGCGTTATTGACAAAAGTTAGGTCATGAAGCAAGTTCTGAACGCGCCTTTTGATCTCGTCTATCAACTTGCGCTTCTGAGCACCGAACTTCAAGCAATCTTTGCCTCAGCACCTCCCATTTCCGCACCCGGACAAGGAGAGTCCGACAAGCGCAAGCCCATCGATGGAGATTGTCCCATCTGCTACTGTGAGCTTGATGAGAAGAACCAAGAGTCTATCGTTTGGTGCGCTGCCGCCTGTGGTCAGAACATTCACGAGGAGTGTTTCAGAATGTGGGCGCAGACGAAGCCCAGTGGGAACGTGACTTGTCCCATGTGTCGCAGTGTCTGGAAGGGCGACGAGAAGCTTGTTGCACGCGTCCAGAAGGATAAAGGTGCCGTGGAGGAGGGGTATGTCAATGTTGCGGACCAGCTTGGCATCAGTCGTGACAGAGGTATATCAACTTACGTGTCTGAGTACTGTTCTGATACTAACTGTGGTTCAGATGAGTCGAGCTATTCGCGATGGTATGGAATCCACCAGAGACGTCGAGACCAAAACTGGGAGGGTAACAGTTCTTATTATGGAGGGTGGTGAAGAATGTAGTCGTGCGGTACAGATGCGAAGCGAACAGTTCTTTCGCTCTAACATGCGGCAGGATCAACGTCGCGTTCATGTTTCCTTGATCGAAAAGTATGATGGCAGGTGTTTTGCTCTTTATTTGTAAGGCGTTTGCGGCAGCAAGGGTACCCAGATATGTTGTAGTCACTGTAGTTGATGGCAGTCTGGCGATAGAGGATTTCTATGGTGACGGAACCTCTCAATAAGGTATGTGTTGTATTGCAAATCGAGGTCACATGTAACCCTACTCTTCTAGAGGATCCGTAAATCGAATGGATCTGGTCGAAGTATGACATGTTCGAGCACAAAATGAATGCGGATAATGCCCTGGTGAAAGTGTTCAAGGGTATGTTATTCCAGGAGATACCTTTCCTGTCTCAAGTCATATAAATCTCCGCCGTGTAATCTTACCAAAAGCAAAGTCCGCAATATAAGCTCCTCATATTGGTAGTCGAGGCACCGAAAGGTCACCGGCGGTGGAGTTCGGCGGTTTCGGTGGGCCCCCCCGAAATGTCCCCACAAACCGCCGAGGCACCGACCTACGCCGCCGTCGCATGATAATGGACTGATTAAAGAACTGAATCCGCTGTTGATATCATGAAACCAAACTCACTCATTCTTTCGCTTCTAGTTGACCGACATATTCCAAAGTCATGATGTCGAAACTACCAGCCACCACTCGAACTCTTGTTGCACCAAAGAAGTGTCTTCCAGCAGAGTACACGGTCATAGAGCAACCTATACCAAAAATCACCAAGCCAAATCAGCTTCTTCTCCGTATGAAAGCTGTTGCCATCAACACTGGTGAAACACAGTTTGCATCTGGACAGTTTGACTTGCTCTACAAGGCCTCGTAAGTCGGCAACCACTCTTCATTCATACTACAAACTCACATAAATATAGGAACTTCCCGATCCCATTTGGAATCGAAGGCTCTGGCGTAGTTGTAGAGATTGGTCCTGCAGTTACAGAGTTCAAAGTTGGAGATGCAGTCTACGGCATGGAGTTCGAGAAACCTCATCTCTCTAGACCCCCTGCAGCTTGGGCCTCGACATATGCCGTGACAGAACCACAGTTCCTTCATAAGAAGCCAGATCATGTATCTTTTGAAGAAGCTGCTGCTGTCCCAGCTCTGGCAGTAACTGCGTACCAAAGTATCAAGCGTGGACTGCAGCTTCAAGGAAGAGATAGTCTAGCAGGACAGACTCTTTACATACCCGCTGCTCTCAGTGCATCTGGCAATACAGCTATCCAGATTGCGCGGAACTATTTTGGTGCTGAGAAGATCATTTCTACTGTATCGACGCCAAAGATGGGCTTGGTTGAAGAATATCTTCCTGGAATGGTCACTCAACTGTACGACTATAAAACCCAAGACATCGTCAAGCTCATCGGCCGCGGCACCGTCGACTTTGCAATAAGCACCCAATTCTCCACCCTCAACGAAAGCATCTCTGTCCTCAAATCCGACGGTATTCTAATGAGCATCGCCAGCATCCCCAAAAGTGAAGTCATGGCAGAAATGCTCGGTCCGAAGTTCCCCGCGTGGCTTGGCTGGGTTCTTGATCTCTTGCAGTACTGGTACTCGTGGAAGCTGCGTGGTACAAAGATTCAGTATGAGTTTATATCGGGGCATCCAGGACATCGGGGCGACATGGAGGTTGTGGCGGATATGGTTGCCAAGGGGATGGTCAAGGCTGTTCATACGGCGGTGGATTTGGACGATTTGGAGGAGGTGAGGAGGGGGTGTGAGAGGACTTACAAGAGTAAGGGGGGGATTGGAAAGTTTGTGGTTCGTCCTTAACGGGGGAAGATACCAAGTTTTGTGGTCTGAGGAGGAGTGCGGGAAGACTGAACAGGTATGACTTGAGCGTCTTGATTCTGTGTGGTATTTCGTCTCTAGTTTATCTCTAGTTCAATATCATGCCGAATACTGCTCTCGAAAAGTTTGTTATTGACTCTTTCATGCAACTAGTCAAAGTGAAATGCGTAACTTCGGAATCGTGGGTTCAAAATCCGAACAGAACCATACAAAAGAGATAGAAGGATGCAGAAAGGGAAGAAATCCTTTCCCAGAGTATAAAATAGAATAAAACAAAATTTTGGATCATTGATCATAAAGCGTCCCCCCCTCCCCCCAAGAAAAAAAAAAACTAAAAAACTGCCAAAGAAACGTTTTCTAGGCACGATCTCAGTCGAGCATGTTTGCTCGCATAAATCCATTCACAGGCTCCTCGCCAGTGGAGGAACAATTCCTTCTCGTAAGTCAACTGGCTCCAGTAACCACCCGTTTTCTCCTAGGTGAAGTGTCCATGACCGCTGGATAAGAAGACAGAAGATAGGATCGGACTCCACCATCTAAACGTCCGGGACTATAATATCCTTGCACAGCATGTCAGAATCATCCCAGTAGTCTCTCGCCAATGTATACTTACAAAATAAACCCGGAACCCCTTTATGAACCCATTGTGGGAAGCTATGTTGATTATGGTGGAAATTATGAGAAAGATAACAAGTGCCATAATTTCCTCTTTATTCGGTTTCCACCACGGCTCTTCCTCTTCAGGCTGTGCGGGCTCGACGATTACTTGTACTGGCTTTGACATGGGCTCGTGAGGCAGTAGAGCTGATTTTTTGGGTGGTGGAGAGTTCTTTCTGCTAGAGGCCTTTGATGAGCCTGGAGTGGTCTTTCGACTTGAAGATGCTGACTTTTTCTTCTTCGACATGGTGATATCAGCATGAGTCGATTTATGTGCAGACGAGGGCTCGAGATGGTGACGGTGATGAGTGACGAGACGGAACAGATGTGGTGGGAGGAAATAAGGCCATACTTATATCGAAAATCTCAATGGGTCCAAGAGTTAATACTTTCATGCTCCTGAAGAGTGACAAAGCTTGATCTTGAGCACGAAAGGTAAAATTAATCAGCACCAATTGGAGGCTGAGCCTGCATGTATGTGAATCATATCTTGGTTTAAAGTTGACGATGGAGATGGCAAGGTTAAGCCGAGCTGAGAGATTGGAAAGAGTTTCAAGAACCAATCAGAATCTTTGCTTCTTCTAAATATGGAAGCTTCCTAGGCGCCCGAAGACTCAAGACTTTACATCAGATCAAGGCGACAAGATAAACTGGTGAAAGAGTACCTTATCATAAACTACTGACCCTAAGGAATTCTAAACCTATCTCAGCCTTTTTATTACTTACGACTTTGGTCCAAAGTTACCAAGTTCACCTTTATTTTACGCAGGCTTGTCATTCTTAAGCTGTCTTATTAGCAGGTCAGATACCTTATTCTGTCCCCTACATTAGGATCAAGACCCCAAGTTTATTCGGAAAGATCACATGAGCATGCTGCCTTTCTATTCCATTGTGAAAGTGACTCCTTCCACTCTTCACTAAACATTTACTTGACTACTAGTAAGTACCTTGTCCTTCTTGGCTTTTACATTCTTCATCCCCATAACATGCATTTGGATGGCATCATTTCTTTAATCAGGCAAAAGACACACCACGGGCACTATGCGTCAAATCAAAGATGCCCCCACGATACCCCAGATCTACAATACAACCATCATCATTGGAGCTTGTAGAGTGATTCCTCGCGATGATGATGACAACGAAGGCAGTGGCTTTGATATGGGTAAATGTTAGTGGAATGATGCCCACATGGACATGAACCGTCTCACCAAACTCGGTCGCCGTCAAACATGGCTCAGTCCTCAGAGAGCTGAGGGTTTTGTCCAAACCTATTCAAGCGAGATGATAGGCAGAATACTTCTGCATATACGCAACGCTTGTGATCTAGCAAAGGAAACATATTTGCCCACCGAGATCCTCGTTATCCTCTACGGCTTCGGAAACCCCAGAGGAAGAATAAGGCTCTGATGAAAGCCTGGAGGATACGGCAAGAGAAAGTATACCCGTAGATAAATAGACAGTATTGAGTAGTATAGCCCTACTGTAGTCATACGCATATAATAATGTATTGGGTCCCGAGGCCTAGGTACCTTATTTATTGCATCCGTTACACCCGATTTCGTCCATCTTTTTTGTCTCTTACAACACTTCTCCGCCAGATCCCTTCCAATGTCGACCGAAGTAATCGTCTACTCTACTCTTGGCTTGGTTGTGTCATGTGTTGGATTGTTCTTTGCGTATAAGTTGTATCGGAACAATAAGTGGCGTCGTGTGAGGGAGGCTTTTGGGTGTATGAATCCGTTCTCCTGAGGTTCCTTATGTGTCGTTACAGGTTGGTCATGGTCCATTTAGGCTTGATTCCTCTGAGAGCGAATTCATAGTGGACAGTTGTATCAGGTTGGTTGATCAACGTATGGAGTTTGTCCATTGAGCTGAGTGAGAAAGCCTCGTCTGGTGAGGGGCAGTGGCTTGGGGACACCAGTTGTGTCGTATGCACCGCGGCCCATGTTGAAGCACTGACAAGCAGCGCATTGTCAAATTCTATCACACTTTTGTTCAAAATACTATGACACACGCTCAGCATGTTCCAGCACTCGATCATGGATCGGTTCAAGACAGTGTTGACTTGCTGTGGGTGGTAGTTGGAGGACATCACCATTCGTCAATGTCCTCTCTGTATCTGTGTGGGACAATGCACTGGAAGACAAACAAAGTCAGGCTCAACTCATTTAAAGGTGTTGAAATTCAATGCGAACCTCGGGGGAATAGAAAATGTCCTTGGAATCATGAAAAGCATTGCGGCTGTTTCAATATCGCTTTGGGGAATGGGTCTTCTTTGCAGTGCTAGGTAGGCGAACCAGGCACTTAGACAAGACACAATCAGTCCAGGAATTGTGCTGACAAGGGTAATTATAGCATCCGTTGATAACTGAACCATATTGAAAGGATTTGATTGAACTGAAAGGATATCAAAAGCTGCTTTGGATGAAAGCTTAGTGTTTGTGGTTGCTGTCATGTCATCACAAACTTGGCTTTAACAACCTTTTATGTCTTGCAAGATGATGGTGTCAGGTGTCAGGTGTCAGGGAAGCGAATTTGACCCCTGACACTTGCCTCATCGTGGTGTGTGGCAAGCTGCAACAACATGGACCGCTTCATGCACTTCACCACCCAGATGAGGCAACTCCCAGGGGTACGGCTCGCTCCCAGCCGTGCCGATGGAGAAGGAATAAGGCAGAACGTGCTGTAATTGATCCCCGGGCTTAGCACGGATAGCCTTAGTGCTTCTGGGTCGGTCCAAGCCAGGGTATAGAACAGTTGGGTGCTCAAAGCCAATCGCTTAGCTACTATAAGCAAAAATACTGGTTGGCTGTCACTGAACGTCACTAGGGCCTTATAAGCATTATGGCTATTAAGGAGATAGTGGGTGTTTTCCCTCTGGCTCCACTTCATTATGCTCCGGGTGGTCCCCTCCATCAATCCAATTACTATGTACTTGCCTCGGCGGATGGTGATGATGATGGGGGAGGCAATTGGCGGAGCACAAGACAAACTGCGGCTGAGTCCAAAATACAAGTAGCGTCAAGCGGGTCTCTTGCACAAATTTGGGTCGAGCTGGAGTATCATTGATCCATCGATCATAATAGGAAACACCACTAATACTCCAAGCCATCTTCGGTGCATGTTGATGGAAAGACTGCCTGTCATACAGACAGAGTAAACACATCTGGTATCGTAGCCCAGAGCGAGGATTGCCTTATACTGCGATGAGCGCTTGGGATGCCGTTGACGGGAATCCAAGCTTGGACTATTTTAGTTCCCGTCTTGAACGTGGGGAGGCCTCATCTCCACTGTTACTTACACATACTTCAGCTTTAGCTCCAAGAATTTGGTAAATCGATGAATGACATACAAGAGTGAGGAGGAATTGACATCAAATTGGCAGAAGATATCCAATTTTTATTCTTTGCAAGCACTCACACTAATTAATATATATATATATACCCAAGAAGATTTACTAGCATAAACTATCCCCAAAAACACCAACGTATATCCATCTTGTCACGCTGCAACTGGGTCCAGGCGCCGCAAGTTGTTTTGCCTGTCGAGTTGTGCTGGTGTTAGATTCTCAATGCGTCTGTGCCCTCGTCCGGCTACGTTATGTTTCGACGGCCCGGGGTGGCAGCAGGGGGTAGATTTCCGCTTGGCAATAATATCTCGGTTGTCGTCTGATGCGGGAATCGTAGCACTGGGCTAATAAAATGGGTCAGACTACGAGAAAGTTTATAGGAGAGAGAGGGAGAGAGAGGGAGAGAGAGGGAGAGAGAGGGAGAGAGAGGGAGAGAGAGAGAGAAAAGCAGAAGATAGTAAGTATACCTCAACGGACTCGCACTTATTCGTGTTAATATAAAGTCGATAGTGGCTGTCTCAATGTTGTTACGAGCTGCGTGTCGAAGCTGAAGAGCAAGGTATGCAAACCAAGCACTTGACATGATATAAGAAGCCCTAGAATCGTCATGACAATAGTCACAATTTCTTCTGTTGAAAAAGATTGCCCATGATAGAGAGATAGATGTGTAGTTTACAGAGACTTTTCGTGGAAATTAAAAATCTCCCTAACTTAAGTCTTTTTATAGCTTAACGAGGAGCATTGTCCAGAGGGTCAGGCCCAAGTGATCCCAAATGATCCGAGTCTGAGTCTGCCGCTTTGTTACACAGCATCCAACACCGAATCGCTGAATTACTAGTGGTGGGGTCCGGCGAGGCTGTATTTACAATGATTCTCTGTCACATCATCTCCAGAGCTAATACCTCATCAGTTAGACTAAGGTCCGCACCACCCAAAACCACGGAAGGACACGGGGCGCAACGACGATCTTTTGTTTCTTGATCCCATCTCATTCTCAGCTCTCCCATGCAGACCTATTCCCGTGCTGTATGTACTGTATATTGGCAATAATAGCGTTATTGTAGCCTGTGGATGGATGTGACTATGTATAGTGTTAGCGAGTTGGAAAGTTTTCTTTCCTCGCAACCACTGGGGCAAGGAACCTGGGCCAGTGTCAAAAGTCGTGATGTATGATTTGGTGATAGTTCGCACGCCATGCCGTGCTCACAACTTGCCATACATTCTCATACACTGATCCAGGGATCCGTTTCAGGAAAAAATTGGCAAGGCCTCGGTTCCTTTTAACCTCCCAGAAAAGTTTCCACTTACAGATTACCCAGCCAAGAATCGGCCGAGGAACAGCTAGAGTTGGGTAGCGATGTTGACCTGTTGACGGACTTAGCTTCATATAATAAGAAAATGATAGTACGATGTCTGGAAATAGCAGGTCCTGAGCTAAGATAGCCATTGTAATTTCCATGCCTAGAGCAAGAGTCTTTTTATATATCAGATCCATGCCCACGATAGGTAGTAAGGTAGCGCGACGATTGGCGTGGTCATTAACGCGTCCAACGTCACCATTTAAGCGCGTCATGTCGCGCAGCCATTGTAACATTAACCTAATTGTTTCGATACTCGTTCATACACTCAATAACCTGTCCTCCTCATAACCAAAATGGCCCACAAGCGCAAGCGATCCGTCTCCGAGCTCTGCGCCTCTCCCTCATCAGTCTCATCCTTCGACTCTCCTCCTCGACTCGGCAACTCCATCACTAATCCTTTCGCGATCATGGCATCGACGCCAATTCATCTTCACAGTCGAACTATGAAACGATTTCGCGATAATCGACCCTCAGAAGAGACAATTCATCGTAAGTTCGGCTCTAAGTAGCCGTGCACTGTATATATGCTAATTGAGTTTAGAGCGTACACTCAATATGCTTTACTCTGCACAGAGCCAGCATCAACACACTGAGCTTCCATCTGAGAACATTCAATCACCACCTGAACCTAGTCGACCCGAATCAAACCAACAATCTCTTCATCGATTTTGGAACATCTCGTCAGCGCCTTCAGCTTCGATCACCAATCTGGGCCAAACACAGCTTGCCCCTTCTAACTGCGACGACTGCGGTGCTGGTCTCAACAGTGGTGATGACGGAATGGATATCGATGGTCTTGATAACGAAGATCATTCGTGCGGTGCCTGTAGAAAGCATGTTTGCTTCAGCTGTTCTGTGAGCAACCTTGGCGAACAGAGAAGATGCCTGCAATGCGCCGGTCGAAGCGATCGACCTACACGCGCGGCATGGAATGGAGTCACTGCATCAATGTTTTGATTGGATATTGTATAAAATTGGGCAACGGGAAAGGATCAGCGACACATTTTGGGTTATTACAACGGCGTTCAACTGGGGGTAGCATACAGGGGGGATACCGTTTGCACCATTGCTTCGAATAGCATCATCGGCAGGCTTTGTGCAACACGTTTACATAGGTAGTTAGCATCACGCGTTTTCGTGTAACATTTAACGACAGATACATGTCAAAATAACATAATCAACCAACTCAAAGTCAAAGCACGTAACAGAGTGAAATCTTATTAAAAATGACTATGACAAATCGAGTCTATAAAGCAAACGCAACCACACAAAAGAATCTAACCATCTAACCACGTCGGCGAGTGGTAGGGCTCTTCTTGGGAGTAGCAGTGGTAGAGGAAGAAGGAGTCAGAGTAGCAGGCTTGGCCGCAATGGGAGCAGCTGGTTGCTTGCCCTTGGCCTTCTCGGAGGGAGCGTTCCAGTAGAAGATCATCTGGAGAGCAAGGATGGCGTTGAGGACGAAGCCAGAGACGAATCCGTAAAGAATGAGCTTGTCGTCGACCTCCTGGAGGGTTGTGAAGATTCGGGACAAAGATCCGGCAAGGTAGTTGAAGACCTGAATTATCATTAGTAATTGTATAATCGAAGAGGATCAAGAAACGGGATTGACTTACAGCGAAAGCGCTGAGCTGACCAGTACCACCCTGCTGGAAGATGGTGAGGATCTGAGGCAGCTTGCTGGCAACGCTCAGAACACCAGCACCAGCCTGGAGGTAGCTCAAGGTCTGCGCATCCACAACATTCTCAGCAAACAGTGTAGCAACAGTTCCAGCAAGCGCAGCAACAAAGACAGCAGCCAGGCTAGCACGGCCACTGTAGTTCAGAACAAGCACCGAGATGATAACATTCTGTCCCACGATCAAGGCAGTCTCGCCATAGGTGCTGAAAGGAAAGCCATTTCGGAAGTTGTAGGCGAGCGAGATGATGTACGACGCGGTCTCGAGAAGGTATGAGAGGAACGATACACCCTCGGCGGACTTGGAGTTGAGGAGCTTCAGGATCTGGGGGACCTTGACGATGGACGAAGCGGCGATGATACCGATGCCGAGAGCCTTGGAGACAGCAAACTTGATGCAATCGGCATCCTCAATGTTGACGTCGAGAAGTAGAGATTTGTAGCACGTCTCGCCGATGATGGAAACGCCCAAGTCGCGAATCGGCGCGGGGAGGTTATGCGTGATGGGAGTGATGGCGGATTTGAGGGCGTCCATGGTAGTCTGATTTGTTAGAGACCAAGAATAACGTAAAAAGGTGTAGAAGAGAAGCCGATCAAAGCTCAGCGATTATACAAAGAAGTATTTCGGAAGGAGTGTGAAAGAAGTGGACAAAGACGTCACAAAGCTTGGGATTGCTTGTCTCAACTTTACTAGACTTTCAGAAGAAGAGGCCAACAGTACGTGATGAAATTAATTGGAGATGACCGTTGCCTTATTGGAGCTAGTGGAGTCAACCCTGGTTCTGCCCTACGGCGACAGGTCAAAGTGGTCTACCCTAGAGAACTTTCCTCAACAGCGTCTGCTCCGGCTTTTCGGAACAGATTTGCTTGGTTGGGCTATCAATTAAAAATGGTCCCCTGTTCTCGAGTAAACAATGACATCAGTACCCGGTTGTTTCACAAGATGCTTGCTCATTTCCACGTTGTACCATCCCGTTCACAAAAGTATCCGAATAAACTGATCTATCAGCCTCAAATGACGCCAAGGGAACATGTAAGAATCTTCGAGATTATTCAGCCCATGTCAAATCATCTCACAGATGTTAGTGGGGGTGTTCAGTTCAGCACACCATTTCTGCGACACAGCAAGCAAAAAGTACAGTCAGCTCAGCCTCAAGAGGGAACCAACCAGGTTTGAAAACAGCTATTTTCGTGTTATGGGCTTAGATTGCCTGACACAGCCGTAGACCGTTGCGAAAATGAAAGTGAAGGAATCCACTTCTTCTTAGACTTGGACTTTTGTACTGCCCGACCCAAGGTAGATTGTTCCTCGTGGGAGGGATCACCCGGGGGCCTACAACAGTGATGCACGTGTCAGGCCACGAGGGGCCGGCAGTGAAGGCTGCTGCGATGTGATATGATGTCTGTTTGCGTTATGACATGTTGTTGTGTTTGTTTCTCGGAAGTACGCTGTTATTGTAGATTCCGATGGGGGACGGGATAGTTATAAACACCGCAAAGACGATTAACAACACAAGGCGGTGTAACAAAGAGATTGAAGAAACAAAAAGGATACAGAAGATCAACATGGCGAATAGGTAGTGGCTCCGGATGATACAAGAGTCAGCTGCTTATTGTGCTATACTGTACAGAGTATCTGCTAGGAGCAACCTTTTGTCAGCCACCCGCAGTCTCCCAGGCACATCCATGTCCCTCATGTAAGAGACCAGTCAAATCATGGAACCAACTCTTTTCCTCTCTCACACAAGCAGCAGCAGTAGCAAGCGTCTTTTTTCTGTCTTCTGTTCTTGTCTCTTTGTGCCTTGTTTACCGTTGCCTTGTTCTTGTGCTCGTGCTTTTTTCCCCTTCCCCTTGAATAAATAAGAAGATCCTCGTCTTTCTGCCCACTTCTTCGCCAAGTCTACCCCGGTCAACTCTGCCTGGCATTGCCTTGCCTTGCCTTGCCTTACCTTTTGACTCAGGTAGTCTAGGTTGTCATTGTCATTTCATTCATCAGCTGGGCTCCATTTCATATAAGGTATTGGATCCCAACCCAAACCTGACGGGACTTGATCGGGTCTGTGCTACTGTGCACCTTTGCGACCTTTATCGCCGTCTTTACTTTTTTATTTCCCTCTGTTGTTCTGAAGAGTCTTGTCGAATGCACCATCGTCCTCGTTTACGGCATCATTACAACTTGTCCATCTTGGATATCGATATCGACCCGCTGACCGCCATCCACGTTTCCCCGCGATCTGCCCTGGATGTGAGCGCGCCTTCATCGTGACATTTTTTCTCGACAACCTCTCTTATCACCTTCATCTTTTACCTCACTATTCGCCTTTTGCTATTCAGCTATGGCGGCCCCTCCAAGGACAGAAGCCCCGCCGGGCGCAACTTCGTCAACCCCGCCGCCTCCGGCTATTGAGTATTCGTATATGTATGAGAAGGATAAAAGCCCTTCGAAGTTATTAGATGCTCTATTAAGAGCTATTAGTCGTCATATTGTATGCGCGCACCCTCTCTTTAACCACTTGGTTCCAAAATTGTCAATATTCTAAAGATCGCATACTAACCACCTTACGTCATAATAGATACTCGAGATAGGCGATAAAACCGTTTGTCACCTTACCCCGGAAAAGCTGGCCGCCTTCTACAAGGCTGTTGGAGGCGATTATGACTGTAAGTTCCATAGTGGCTTTGTGCGACACATACCTAACATTTAAAGCTTTATTTGAAATGCCACACGAGTCCATCTCATACATCTGGCAAGTTACTGGATGTCAACACACACTACAACCAACCGACGATGATTTCGCACCACCTTCAATACCTGCCCTCACCGCTCGAGGCTTCTCACGATGGGAATCTCTCGAGATCCTTCTCGGTCCCGAGGAACACGTTCCTTTCTTACAGTTCGCTGTCAAGAACTGGCAGCTAAAACATCCCGAGACCGGCCAAGACTTTCCAGCCGAACTACCTCCAACTGTATTCCCAACGCAAGCCGACGCCGAGGTGGATCGATGGCATAAGTCGTGCGCCGAGAAGTTACGAAAAGAAGCAAACGCTCGAGAGAGGGAGGCATACAGAGAAGCACGAGAACCAACTGGGCCGGGTGAACCTCCGGAAGGACCAGAGCCCAAGTTCGCCTACTCCCACGTGAGAGGAAGTGCTTTTCCTGGAACCCGAGCCAGGCCTGAACGACCGTTGTACAATCATGTGCCGGGCAGACATGCAGGAGGGCGACCAACCAGACCTTCGCCTGAGAGGTACAACAGCCGCTCTGATGAACATGCCCGAAGACGAAGCTTCTCCGATTATAACCAGCAACCTTCGCCAGACGTACCACCACATGCACCGCATGCGCCCCCGGGGTCTTATCTCGACCCTCATGCGAAGCGGCCCGCACCGCCTCGTCGACACAGTCAGCCCAGGCACTACTCTTCAGACTCAAGTGATGATGAGCCGGTTCCTCCTCGCGCAAAGAGAAGACCTGAAGCAAGCCCGCCTTCGCCGACGTCTCGTCGATATTCACCAACGAATGATCGCCCGCCTCCTGTTGCTAGCAACCCGCCCCCAACATTCCGGCCCCATCGCGCTGATGGTAGAGCTTCAGACGATTCCACCCGCCGAAGATCAACACACAGCCCCAGCCTGCGAGAAAAGCTGACTGAAAAGGTCTCAAACATTCTCCCCAACGGACTCAGCAGCAACCCAGATCGTACCAGAAACCCACCTAGAGCCCCATCCTACAACACCGACTCGTCCCGCGGACGCCGAAGCCGAGACCGACTTCCCCCATCTCGACTCAGCAGAAGCTACTCCGACATATCAGGAGCTTCCTCAGAAGCAGAGTCCAGCGACGAAGATTTCAAGCGATCAAGACGAATGCGCGAAGAGCGAGATAGAGAAAGGGAACGAGACCGCGAGCGAGAACGAATTCGCGACAGGGGTCGGCAGCGGGAACTCGACAGGGAAAGAGAAGAAGAAAGACGTGATCGGTACCTGCGCCGACCAGACATGGAGAGACGGACTAGCAGCCATGCGGATGCCGAGCGAAGACGCGACTATCCCGGATGGGATCCGCGATCTGAGAGGAAAAGATGGGAGAAGCGCATGCCGCCTGATGAGCGGGGGACCAGTCCCCTTGGGGTTTCTGGGAGACGGTATGCTGAGCCGGCGTACCCTTAATCTGGGTTATGGATTTAATACCGAGATTGGTATGCATTTCAAGTGTTGAGCACTGAGAGCGATATTGAGCATTTTGGGTTTCCATATGGATCTATCTTGGATATAACGAGATATAGGGTTTGCAGAATATGGCGTCTGGATAGACTGAGGGAGATAATGACTGTGAATACATATACTCCAAGGAGCAACAAGCATTTATTTTTACTAAGTTTGGCATTTTATCTGACAGAGCAAGGTTCTTATACAACTTCAACTGTAGCTTTGTTTCTCGTTACCATTACCAAAACAGCTCTGACAACAAAACAGCCTCCTCCACTGAGCAACCCCACGATTACGCCATGGCTCCATTAAAGTGCCGCGATCACGGTAGCTAAGCCGGTCCAGAGCGGGCTTCTCCCGGGGTTATAAGCTACAAGGGTTCCTCAGAGCCTGGCCCCTCATCAAGCTCAACCAAAATCCCAAAACCCCTCTCACTAGGCGAGCCAACGAGAAATGTCGAATTGCCATCAGGGGTCTCGTAGCAGGCCAAGATTCTTTTTTCAACAAAATGAATGCCGTTGTTCACGGGTAACGGGCCGAGAGATGGAGCCTCACCTTTACAGCTTTATAACAGTGCTCGAGAGACATAGAATTGTAGGGTGTAAGCTGGTATTATGATCTACGTTCAACAGTCAGGTCTGTTGAGCTACAGCATCATATGGTTCCATTCCCATCTGCATCCCTTCCCCCGTCGTAGATGATCATCGCCAGGTTCTAGTGGATCTCGGTAGACGCGGTTTAGGACGGTATTCCATGGTAATTCAACAGTCTGGAAAGCCTCCCGAAAGCCGAGACTACCGGGGCATATATCCCCAAGAGTTGAGAGCTGTAGCATGGATGTTCTGTATGTACGTATGTAATTGCTTGTGTTTAGGACCGGAGACTGACCGAGGTCGGCCGTGGGGGCATGAGTGAGGCGTAGCCGTAGAGCTCACCAACAAGAGCTGGTCCATTCATAATGTTAGAGTTTTGAGCTCTTTCGATTTAGTCTATGGTGTTGTACATAGCGACTGTACATATCTTGTCTTGGTTTAGTGCCTCATGCCGCTGCAGCTCACTCACAGCTAATCTGCTGTCCCTCTCTCGATTGACTTTGACCAATTCACTCACTTCTTTCATCTCCCATTCTCTATTTTCATTCCTTTTATCATTATCTTTGTCACAATGAAGCCCGGTACATCTCTCCGTCTTAGGGCCCTTCGACAGGTTACACCCAGTAACCGTTTGTCTCTCCCCGCTTCGGCGAGATGGCAGCATTCCCGGGCCATGTCAACAGTTGTTGACTTCCATCCTCGACCTTCGCAGCCGCCCCCTCCTCCGGCTGGAGCTAATGAAGCGATTGAGAACCAGAGGGCTGATAAGAGGAAGCAGATTCTGAGGGAAGCTGTCACGGCGACTCAGGTTCGACATGACTGGACCAAGGAGGAGATTGCGGCCATTTACTACCAGCCTGCCCTTGAGCTGGCATACCAAGCTGTAAGTTCATCTCTACTCATTCGATCGTGATTGTGACTGCTGTGCCGTTCAATGTTTACCTCAATTGGTGGACATATCTCACAGAGCGACACCATGACTAACACAAACTCTTAGAGCACCGTACACCGTCGATGGCACAATCCCGCCGAAGTGCAACTCTGCACTCTGATGAACATCAAGACAGGCGGCTGCACTGAAGACTGCTCTTACTGCGCCCAATCCACCCGTTACCAAGAAGGCACAAAGGTTCCCGCCAAGAGAGTCGAGAGCGTCGAGAGCGTACTAGCAGCTGCGCGAACAGCCAAAGAGAAGGGAAGCACCCGATTCTGCATGGGCGCCGCATGGAGAGATATGCGCGGTCGCAAGAACAGTTTGAAGAACATCAAGGCTATGGTTGAGGGTGTCAAGGGTATGGGTATGGAGGTCTGCGTGACGCTGGGCATGATCGATGCAGAACAGGCAAAGGAGCTCAAGGCCGCGGGCCTCACGGCGTACAACCACAACGTCGACACTAGTCGCGAGTTCTACCCGTCTGTCATCACGACACGCAGCTACGACGAGCGGTTACAGACGCTGAGCCATGTGCGCGACGCTGGTATCAAGGTGTGCTCAGGTGGAATTCTCGGTCTCGGTGAGACCAGCGAAGATCGCGTTGGTCTTCTTCACACCGTGTCGACACTCCCAAGTCACCCGGAGAGCTTCCCCGTCAACGCACTGGTCCCCATCAAGGGCACGCCGCTGGGCGATCGACCCATGGTTGAGTTCACGAGCATGTTGCGAACTATCGCCACGGCGCGAATCATCATGCCCTCAACCATCATCCGCATCGCGGCGGGCCGCAAGACCATGTCGGAGGAGAAGCAGGCCTTGTGCTTCATGGCGGGTGCGAATGCTATCTTTACAGGCGAGAAGATGCTCACGACGGAGTGCAATGGCTGGGATGAGGACGCCGCCATGTTTGGACGATGGGGTCTTGAGCCCATGAAGAGCTTTGACAAGTCTCCCCAGCCTGCGCCTGAGGTTCGAGTTCTGTAACAGTCGGAATTGCTTAAATTGAGTGCAAGTTTCAGCACACCATCCCCCATGTAATGCAGAATTCCATGCTATCGAAGTTTATCATGCCCGGCCCGCACCGGCTTCGTTCCGGTCGTGAGAATGACAAAAACGAACAGGCAAGGTTCAGTGATAACCGAGGGAGCGGATAAAATGCGATATCACATCACGTTAGCAGAGGCGCATGAGATGGAGATAGCGAGGATAATCAAGAGATGTAGTGGAGCTAAAAGGATCGTTCTCTGCGCGTGACTCGCGGATTTCTGGGTTTGTTGGGCCAATCTCGTGACGACCAACCACGAGAACAGTGGTTTAGTTAGTGGTGATGATCAGATTTGCATGAGGTTTTGAGTTTAAGTATTCGTAAGAGAAGTCATTTTCATTTGGGTCTGCAAGATGTGTAATTGTATATGGTCAGCTGGTAGGGTGTATAAAAGTGCATCGAGTGAGAGCTGCTGCACTTTGTGTGACAAACCCCCATTGTATCAGGTAGATACAAAGATATATATCCCTCAAATCGTAAACATGATGGATAAATACTAGATTTCTGATGACGTTTCTGTTTAATGCCTGCAACATCATTCGTCCAAGCGTTGAAACGAACAGGTTACACGCAGTTCACGGACAAGGGAATCAATGGCCAACAAATGACCAAGTGGCAGACTAGAATACTGCAAGTATGCATAGGCTATGTACTATTAAGAGATCTAACAGCAATGGCAGCAGCAACAACAACAGAAAACAAACAACAAACAGACTGCTACACAAATCTAATAGGTTCGGGTTCTCTGTAACCACAGACAGAATTGCTGACCTGTAGACCGCTTACACTTCTTTACACACCCTCAACTCACTACACCCTCGAGAGTTGAGCTTTAATCCAGGCGCATTAGGTCCCGGCCTCAGAATCATCCTCAGCCTATCAAGTGACCCTTCTATGTCCTGTAGGCTCCCGATGGGGGATGCTATTGGCACCACTCAGGCCCGCTTCTGGTCCCTTGGGCTGGGGGCTGCCCTGGCCTACTAAGGACCTTAGCCTGGCACCAAGCCAAGATGGAAGGAGGGGCGCCAGACAAGAAAAAAAGAACCCGCCGCCGCCTGAAAAAAAGAACATGGAGGGTCTGTTCCCGACGCCGTGGAGTTAGAGTCTTGTCTTTCTTATCCAATGCATTAAATGCATGCCAATACATGAGCATACCATCCTTCGCATCCATATTAACTTGTCACTTCCCTCCCTGGTCTCACGAACAACTCTCTCCTCTTTTCTTTCTCACGGTGGAATCTACACTCAAATTTACTTTCAGCCTTCTACGAGAGTCTGCTAAACTCTAGCAACTTACCTATCGTATCTCTCTGTCGCAAAAGCCTCTTCGGCCTTGCCGTTCCTTGCCTGATTCCACCCCCCGCCGAGAACGCCCGAGCATACAGATTCCACTGCTCAGCCTGGTTTTGAAATCCTCACTTGGACTTTTCATCCTTCCTGGTTGCCTACCTTATCTGATCCTGAGCAATACGTGTCACACTGCTGCCTCGTACAGAGGACTATCGACAACACAACACAACCGAGATTACGTGAACGACCATATTTCTACTCCCAACTTTTTCGAGCAACGACTGTCATACACCAAATTAAAGCCTCTTCGACAAACCTCTACCCATTTTAACCTGTCCGACATCGGCCTTGCCCCATCACCACCATGAAGGGCCGTCCCGTTGACCAGCTCGTTTATGAGTGCATGTTCCCTCGTCCCAAGAGCAACGACCCTCAGAACTTCCATGCTCTGCTCCAACGCAACTTGATTCCAGAGGTTCGTCAAGAAACGCACGCTTTCTACGGCCACCTCGACACCCAGGAAGCCAAGTACCCCGGCCTCGACTACACTCACCACACCCATCGCATTCGTCTCTCTCGCTGGCCATGGCACCGACGACTTTTCCGCGCCTTCGACAGCCTCAAACTTACCGGAGCCGAAATCGCAGGCTTGACCAAGTGGGAGGGAACAAAATGGGCCAAGGAGAAGTACGAGAAGGAGCAGGGATATGTTATTCATGACACCACCGCCGACGATTTCCCTGACTGGGCCGATATCGAACACCTGCCCCGCGCCAACCGAGATCAGTCCGTTGAGGTGGAAGGCGTTGCTATTGACGATTTGTACAACGAAATGATGGAGGTTGAGAGCGAGGACGAGCTGGATAGTGTGGGTGTCGAACTGAACGAGCGCCTCAGGGACGGTGTTGCGAGACGTGACGCCGGAGACACTTCAGCTGTTCTCGACGAGGAATGGGAGCAGTGGCTAAAGAACGCCATTGAATCTGGTGAAATCAACTACTTGAACGACCACATCTTTCACGACAGCGACACTGTCCCTGCAGCTCTCTTCCCTCCAGGCTTGCTCAGCACTGCCCGAGCTGGCCAATGGCATGAGATCCCCGAATCCCTTCACCGCATCCTCCGCCGCACACTACAGTCAGAGGACCCTAATCGTCCCCAACAGACGCAGACGCAGACGCCGATGCAGACACAGACACAACCACAGACATCAAGCCTGCGCTCTACATCCTCCCTGCGGCGCCACCTAATTGACAACCGGCAGTGGCGTGCGTCATGGACACGTCGCACCTTTTCAGATCTCCGTCTGCCTGTTGGCGATGCTAGTTCAGGACGCGCAGATAATTCTAATGCTTGAATATCAAGCTAAGAAGAAAAAATGAAACGAAATTAAAAGACAAAAATCAAGCAAAGAAAAGCAGCTGTTCTTTACGAATTATACCCTCTTGGCTTCGTCACTTTTTCGGTGAAGCCTTTTTATCCAACAAAGCGATCAGACACGCCCAGCCTCATCATCGGGGCACGAGCCCGTAGCCTCAAATGCAAGCATGACCAATGTTTCATCCCTGTCTCTGCTGAGGCATCCAAGGGTAGACGACGACCGACCGACCATACAAGACACACCACGCAAGACATCTATTACTTTTTTTTGGCATTTTCCTTTGTCTGCCTATCCACATCATGGATAATGGTGTCTGGCGATTGGGAAACAGTAAACGGGGGAAATATCTATATGAATTTTATGGGAATTGAACATTATGGATCTGGTTGATAGAATGTTTGTTGCTTGACATTCGATTCGATTGGCAAGGATAGAGGCGGCTTTCCCGATCTGGTTCTCTTCGCCTTGGTGCTTGTGCTGGTCACATTTGAATCATACGGGCTTGTTGATAGATAGCCAGCGACTTATACCTGTTTATAAAGGGTTTTCTATGTTAACTGCGTCCGCAATGTGAATGTTATAAATGTAATCTGTCAATATGAAGAAGGGTATAGTTACAAGCTTAAACTGTCTGAAAGCCCTACTTAACCTACAGAGGAAATGTTTTCTCAAACGAAGACGTTATTCTATACTCAACTCCTCTCAAATAAACTCTCGAGTGTAGTTACGTTAAAGCAGATGTTTGCAGAAGTTCTTCGCAACTGCTATCGTCTCACCAGAATAATCACTAAACATATTACAAGGTTAGCTGGATCCATTTTTCACTTCACCATCACCACCGGTCCATACCGAGCTTGAATTCGATGTCCTGAATTAAGGAAAAGAAAAAAGATCTCACTGAAAATAGGTGAGACGTGCAAAAGAAAGGGCCTGACCGGGGATTGAACCCGGGACCTCTCGCAAACTTTAGTCCTCTTTTGAGAACTGAGATGTCAATCCCGAAGCAAGAATCATACCGCTAGACCATCAGGCCGGACACTAGATCCTAGTCATTTCTTAGTGCTCGTGTTCCGAAATCTGATTTATAAATGCTTAACCAGCTGACGCAAAACACGAAGTTTGTTGAATGGCAACTCGGATCTTGGTTGATAGTCGATGAAATAATTCGATTATGAGGCAAGATTCATTGAATGATAGTAGTATGACTTGGCATTACACGCTCTATAATGGGCCTTCCCGTCGTTGCTGTGTAGCACCAACGCGTGCTACGAGATTCATGACATGCAGCAAGCCTGACTTACAGCTGTCATGCTGTGCCTCACATTCCGAATATGTATTATGCTATCAAAGAGGTGTTGGTCTACGATTTGTTAAACTCCGATCGAAAGGATACTCTGAGCCTGTTCGTTATGCATTCTGCTTACTCCGGCTTACACAGTATCAAATTTCACCAACTCGGCTCATCTATGATGTTAGAGAGACTCGACATATGTACTACATACTACAAAGATAGCTACTTTAACATAAAGCATGGTATTCATTACATTGCTACCAGAATCCAAAAACTCCTCGCTAATATTAACCCTTTACCCGCCAAGACAAATTATAAAAGACATCCCAATAGCTACACCTCTACCGTGTGCCCCGAAGATCTCCGAAGTCTGATGCGGATGCGATTCCTTTGTTTTGGTTTACTAGCTGGACGAGAGCTCTATCTCTCAGGCTCCAGATGTGACCACTCAGGAATCGCCTTGATCTGCTGCCACATGTACTTTTCGAGCTTGTTGGCCGACTTCGCATAGGGAGTGCTCTCATTATTGTACTTCCTGCAGTTGTCGAAAACAAGCTTGGCGTCCTTGATGAAATCTTCAGGCGTGAGGTACTGGTCGGCCTCAAGTTTGCTCTCCATCGTACTAAGATCCATAGGCTCCTTGATAACGTCGTAGTAATCGGCTACATCGTCGCGGTTAACAGGCACAAGGAATGGCCAGGCTGAGTTGTGGTTCTGTAGATCGTTGAGTAAGTGAAGAAGTTGATTGTAGTTGGGCCCATGGCGAGGTTGCCGGGCGAGTTCGTCCATATCAGGGGACCACCCTGATGCTCGAATGGCAGGAATATCGAGAGGGTTGATCTCGGTGATTCCGTTCTTCCACTCCTTCGGCGGAGCATGGATATTGTGTGATTTGGAGTAAGCGCGGATCTTGGCTTGGACGCATTCTTTCTGCTTAAGGAGCATGCGACCCATTTCGAGATATCGAATCCGCGGCAGCATCGAGCACTGCATAATTGTACCGCCTTCGTAGTCCTTGATGTAGCCCATCCAGACTTTCTTGTCGAGGGTGATTTCCTTGGTGAAACCTTGCTTTTTGAAGTAACCAATAGCGTAGTTGTCGGCATAGGTGAGGAAATGCATCACGTCGCTTGTCGCCTTGACATAATCCTTCAAGTGCGACATGAGATGGGCGCCGTATCCCTTGACTTGCTGGTCAGAACTAATGGCACAGAAAACAATCTCGGCGAAACGACGACCCTTGAATGGGCGATATGTGATTCCTCCAACAACTTCAAGGGGTTTCTTGACGATGGCAATCGATAAATGTGTTCGGTCGTAAACTAGTCGCGCAATATAATCCTTAGGCATTTTGGGAAGTTGTTTTTGAAAGATACACTTGAGTCCAGTTAAGATGATGAGTGATTCGCGCTCGTTGTCGTTGTTGACTACTCGGAATTCGATTTCGCCATTGCGCTCTTCGATGACGGCGGGCTGTAATAACCATGTGAGTACATGATATATGTATGAGGTTTGCTGACAAACTGACCTTTTCGGGGAAAGGAATCCTCTTGATCTCCGGCTTCTTCTCCGGAGGCTCAGCCGAGTCATTTTGCTTAATGCGCTTCGATGGGGTAGGAGACGATGGCTCCTCCTCGGCTTTGCGCTTGCCATCTAAGTGAGATATTGTGAGTAATTCCATCGTTGCCGCGGTCGCATATTTGATAAGACTCACTTTCTTCTGACATGATCGCAACAGGAAAACTGTAGGGTTCTCAACTTTGAAAGTTAATTAGGGAGCAAGTGAGTTATGATAGAATGGAGTATCATGACAGCGGAGTGAAGCGCGTCGAGAATGTCCGTGCGCTGCTTATGTCATTCAATGTGGGCCCCTCCAGCTTGAGGCAGGAGCTGACAGGGGCACACACGCACTAAACCCTATTTGTCTATGGACACGATGCGCCATCGTAAGCTCATGAAGCTTCCCCAGAGCATCTCCTAACAAAGCAGTTTGTCAAGTCAACACATTCACCTCAACTTTTCTACCGCGACACGTCAATTTCTCGCGAACACCCATTACTCGCCCTCTCAAACCACACTCCATTCTTCTTTCCAATTTAGCCTATGGATTCTTCGCTGCCTGAGGTCTGGCAAGCTGCTGCTGGCAGTCCCTTCTTCCCTACTGTGAGCAAAGGAAGCCAGTTCTGGGTCGCCTTTTTCTTGCTACTCCTCGGATTCTCTCTCACCGGCGTCTTTGCCCTGAGTAAGTGTCATGACTTTCATCTGTTTTTCTGCCTACTGACTGGTTCCAGACCGCACAATCGTCAACGTTCCTGTACTAGGCATTCCAGCCTCTATCGCCATAGCGTACGTTTTCCATCGACTGTCCATTATCTTCTCAATTACTTACTTTCGACAGTTTCGGAGTGGTCTATATGTTCTGTGCGGTCGGAGTCTACGTCTAAGATACCCAAAAGTCCTCATTTCGATCGGTTTTGTGTAAAATAGTTGGAGCAATCAAGAGAAGACGCTACTACAGGCGCCTATTGCTTTTCTGCCAGTTTTCGTACTTTTATCCACACATCATCCTCAATCTACCACAGTCACAATCTCGAAATGGCTCCAGACGCTCAGCCAATCTTCCGCGCAGTTGCGACTTCGACCAGGCCACTGTATCAACTTCTCAGATGCATCAACTTTGCACCAAGAGTTCATGTTCAAATTACAGAGGATGGTGTTCGTTTCGCTGCTGACCATGCACGGGTGATGCAAGGTCAGTTTGACAGCTATCCTTAGGATAGACCACAACTGACAATCATCAGGAGTTGCATTTCTCGATAAAGCTCTCTTCTCATCATACACAGCCAACTTGCCTGCTCAGGATGGCGACAATCCACCTGAGCTTCCTAATTTTCAACTTTCTTTATCTTCTGTTCTCGAAGTACTCCAAATATTTGGAGCCGTAGACGTGGCCACACGAGCTCAAAAAGCAGACCAGGATCCTTATCGCAGCAATCTTCGGAACTATCGGCCTGATGCTTTCAGTAACCAAACTCTTGGTATTTCTGGCACCTGTACTCTGCAGTATGGCCAGGAAGGTGATCCATTCAAGATCACAATCGAGGAGTCTGGCGTTAAGACAACAGCGTCATTGACAACCTATCTACCAGAAATACCTGATGATATTCCATTTGACCGCAACGATCTGTCTTTCAAAATCATTATGCAATCTCGAACACTACTCGATTCTCTTGCGGAGATTTCTCCAACAGCACCGACAAAGCTAACTATCACAACCACTAAAACCTCACCATTTCTATCTCTCGCTGGTGTCGGGGATCTTGGAAGCTCAGGAGTGGACTTCGCACGTGGAAGAGACCTTCTCGAAACCTTCAACATACAGGAACGCTGGTCGCAAGCTTACAAGTTTGACTTTATCAAGAATTCAACAGAAGCAATGCGGATTGCCACTAAGGTTAGTCTACGAGGGGATGGTCAGGGGGTGCTGAGTCTGCAATTCATGGTAGATATTGAAGGTGGCAAGCGAAGCTTCTTGGACTTTCGGTTCGTTCCATTCATCTCGCACGATGAGGACGATGATGAGGATGATGAGGCAGAGGAGGCTGGCGAAGCAGATTAGATATATTGACTGGAAAAGTTCTTCACAAAAGGACGTTAATGTGAAGAAATTGTCCCACCCAACCACTCATGTCTCACATACCTTTTTTGACTGCTAACTATTCTGTCTTGCTACTGGTCGATGGAGAAACCTTTTTGGAAATCCCTTGTCTCCCTTGATCCACCAACGGAATGCAGCATGAAGCAATCTGGAACATGCCCTACGTCGAAGCTATCGTGGCCGGAATGATGGATCCAGCCTCCTCTGGCATCATTACATCTATCGCAGAATATGCGCATGCGATGCTGTGCTGAAAAGGGGGCCTCATCCCACCTGTTTCCATTTGTTCAGCTTCTTCAACACATTTCATTCTTCTACACCATCATTATCCTCACCTCCATCATTATCTTTGACCCCATTACTATCTGTCAAACCTGCTGAGCAGAGCGACAGCCTTTCCTTCTTCACCATGAGTCAGTACAAAGAGATCAAAATTATCATGTCCTCTAAGCCATGCACCACAAACAGCACCACCACCACCACCAAGAACAACAGAAAGATTTCTTGTCATGACTGTCTCTTCGGCCCTCTGAGGTCATGGGCAAAGACGAAATTTGGAAAGAAGCCTACATATGTTGAGCTGCATGACGACTTTGAGCCTTTGCTTGATGAGAAGAGAGCACCTAGGCCTGCCTATGAAGTATCCAAGATGATGCGCATTGCTACACCACGAACGATTAAACGATACAACCATCTGCCTTGAGGGTAAACACACGAACAAAAATAACCGGTCATGATTCAGCCAATTCTTCGGTTTGGTCGTCCAGAAGCACATACGATACGGAGACACAAAACTATATATGAGAAACGAGAGGCACTTTTATGAATTACAAGATCTTACGGGAGTACTGCAGGTCGGTTTATTGCTATGAGTTATTGGGACTTTTGCTGTAAATGAATGATGGTTATGGAATACATAAAAAGGAGTTCGACGAATTTGCATGGCTTTGGTCTATATTTAGGTTCATTTGAATACATGAATATAATTTCTACAACATTGCTCCCGATGTTATAACTCAACCCATAGGCCAGTCCATGAGAATAGATTGGGGTCCAGCACCGTCGGATCTTAGCCTGTAGCCTCTTGTGATGACAATCTTGACAACTGCATGGAAACCCCGGCAAGAAGTTGGGTCCAGTTCTGTTTCATGTGGTCGAAGCCCACTCGTACCAATGTCTGATATGCTCGGAATAGCACGAGTATGAGAGAATTACTTCACTGTGTTCCTATCGGCTGATGACCGACTCCTGGAGAGCTTGTACCAGCCGTGAGGAATAGCATCCTGGAACATGCCTTGACCATGAGGTTGAGAGGACGGAAACGAATTTACCGAAGCATGGATCATATTTAAATTAAACTCAGCTGAGTTCCGTTGAAGAATATAAACGGATACTGTCCCAGGGATTGACCTTGGTGTTGTTGGGGGCTATGGTCCTCTAATGCCTCCAAAGCTGGGCAACTCCGAAAATTGTTAACAAAATACCAGGAGCATAAATATATTGCATGTGCATCAAGGATCCAAATATAGAGTATTCTTGTTTCATTGAGCTTCTATTGGCCCCCATGAAATGTTCTGCATTATTGAGGCTCAGGAAGTGATTTTTAACTGCCGTGTCCGAGAAAGGCAGGTGCGCCAGGAACGAACAAGGTTATTATCCATCCATCACGGGCAGGATCGATTCCTTCCGTGGAAGAAGAACCCGCCAAATACAACATCACTTCAACTGCGCCACGCTTCGACTACCGATCAATTGTTCTGTCATTGTGACCTCAAGCTCTTGTCAATTAATCTTCACCGCTGTCTTGATGCAGTCAAATCATTCTGATACGATGCCATGACTCTCCTAATGCAAGAAGCCGTCGGTGGTTCACCGCTCGGAATTGGAATGAAGACACAATAAACTGTCGGATCTAACGATAGGTACCCATCGCTAATCGTTCACCCGTCAATGCACGCGGGAAACTTTTCCTTTCCCGTTCTCCACCTGAAGATCAGCATCAGGGCCCGGTAGATCAGCCGTCCATTGCCAAGACAGTCATTCGACACGATACAAGCTCCTAGGGCATTTCGAGTTACCGCCGACATCAGGGCTCTCTCTTCAGGTTAGCACTGCAGGCTACCGAGTTCTAAGGGTTACAATGCATACGCAGGCTGACAGGAGGATCGTTTCTACTACTGCATCATCCCGCTCCGCCTGATACCCACTGCTGTGATGTTACAGGACGTCGTGGGCTCTCGACTTGTCTCCGACGTCAAGACGCTTTATCCAGACGGGTAGCGACTTTGATGTGTTGTACGGGCCCTTTACTCGGGTCCGGTTATTCGATATCCGGAACTCGAATGAACCACTGATGATTAGTGAGTGGTTAGGAGTTGTTGCACAAGCTGGATACGATGACCGGGTCTCGACATTCGAAGCAAGACATCTTGTTTCCTGCTTCTCGCAGGCCTGAACGAACAACCCTGAATAGCATCAGCCACGATCAACCAACGGCCAATTAGCACGGCAGTAGACCATATACAGATTGCCTGTATTGGTAGGACTTTGCTTGCATGCATCTGGGGGCCATTGTTGCTCCACAACACCATGATTGAGGATAGGCTTACAGACAGAGGAAGGATCACACGAGTTCACCAAGAGCCCATTCTCTGAGTGCATCGCACCGTATGCGTCCTGAGGTATATATCTACTGATAAATCCTGCGACATCTGGGCAGTTGAATTGTTTGCAGGCCAAAATCGCATCTGGTTTCCGCATTCGGGTCCGTTGAACTTTAGACCCATCTAAAACAGCCTCGAATCCGGCGACACAGAATGAGATCGCATCCACTCATCTAGAGCATATACTTACCAGCTTTTGCTCGACAAACTCCCTTTTCAACGCACTTCTTTCATTATTCTTCTTTCTTTGCTTCAGAACTATGTGAAACCGTTTTTTGAATTCTCTTCGTTCCCTCATCTGCCTTTGTCGGGCAAGCCAAGATGCCTGGCTTGATACGGCGACTTATAACTCCTCAACGGTCACAACCCAATATCAGAGATCGGGATCGTGGTCGCGATCGCCATGAAGATCTCACTGATTCATGCGAGGACTTGAGTTCTTGTTGCGCCAAGTCTTCACAAAGAAAGACCAACAAGGCCAAGTCACGTCTACCAGTTCCGAAGAAAGGTGCAACGCCTGTTACTATTCAAAGGATACCTGACGTACACCGTGTTGCGAACGCAGTTCCCCCTCTACCGGCTCCACGTTCACGAGCACCATCTATCAGCTCTTCACGCTGTGAGGGGCGAAATGCTGCCCTTGAGGCTCTCACAGGCAATGATCCCACCAACAGATGGCCTGCACCTGTTCTTTGTCCAAGTGAGCACGGACAAGCCCACCCACATTCCTACCATCACTCCCATTCCTCCCAATCATCTCGGTACCTACGCCCCCCTCGGTCTAGGAATGGTCCTCTCGGTCCTGTCCATGTAAACGACAATAGCACACACCTAGAAAGAACCTCGCCAGAGGCGTCGATTCTTTCTTTGTCGGACCATGGCGCTGATGGTTACGAGGCCGGGCCAACCACCTGGCAACCTGCCCAACCCATGTACGACGGTCAAAGCCTTGGCTCGTCATCAGACAGCGTTGACCGTCTATTTCGTGAGACTGATGAGGCGTTCAAAGCTCTTGGATCTGCACTTAGAGAAACCCAACGTGCATCACAGTTATCTGTTTTACCTTCACCACCCTCACCACCAGGAATTCCAACCTTTCACAAACATTCCAAATCCATGCCGCTGCCCACGGGCTTTCAAAAACATTCGAGATGGAGAAGGGAAAATTCGCCTTCAACTTCATCTCAACGATCATCACCAGACAGAAGGACTTCAGTGGTGAAGAAACCTCAGAGAAAGAAGCATAGCCTTGTAGGGACTTCATTTTCGAAAGCGGCGATCCGCACGCCAAGATGGACTTTGTCGGAAAACGTGACAGACATTCTCACAGGCCAGCGTTTCAGGCGCATCGAAGCTGATGAGATGCTAACACCGGATCGCATTGAAGCACTGCGCAAGAAACGAGAGGCTGCACAACAATTGGACGACGAGCGCGCTACCACTAGAGAACGATATTCTATCGACTCCGTTCGCAGTGCAGCATCAGATAACTCCGAGACAGACATTGAACCATTCCATCTTGACGAATTAGCATCTCGAATTAGAGCGAGACAGGCTGTGGAGAATTCGGCGGTTTCGGTCGTAGTAACGCCCCCTGCCACAGACCTGGCTCCTGATCTGGATCTTGTTTCCCGAGACGTTTCGAAACGGGCCTCAGGGGAGGAGGATGATGAGTCAGTTGGGAGTAACAAAGATAAAAGTGACGCATCGCCAGAGACCTCACCCCAGGTGCCAGTCAAGAATCCTGCACGTTTCGGTGCGGAGGCTTCCCAAAAGCTATCATCGATCCCCGAAGTCTTGGTAGCGGCGACAGCGAAAGACGAGGCAAGCATTGAGCCTCCAGCCAGCCCACCGGCCGCTGAAACCACCAATATGAAGATGGAAGAGAACGATGAGTTCTTCTACCTAAAGAGTACACCATATACTCTCACAAAACCATCTTTCCGCCATGGACCTATCACCCTAGCCAAAGCCGAGGTTGGCAAAGGAGTCAAGACCATGGACGACACATTAGACTGGACAGCGTTCCAGATGGCAATCTTGGGAGGAGCCGGGGATTTCCTCCAAGACATGTCGAGCGAGGAGGACACAAAGCAGGTGGAGGAAATCACGTCGTGGTTCGATACGTTTGGCTTTGAGACATACGGGGTGCTGATACCCGAAGACGTGCCAGAGCCAGAACCAGAACCCGTGGCTGTTTCTGTGTCAGAGCATACGCCGTCAATGAGGTCTTCGGCTCACAGCACTCTCTCGTCGACGCCTTCAACCATCGACACGGACATTGACCTGCCGATCCCGGTGGGTGCAGAGTTCCCCTCCGGGTTCTGGAACGCCCCGGCGCCCGGCCAGACTCTCGACAAAGCTAAGTTCTATAACAGCACAGGGCTAAAACGATGGGTTGGCGAAGGACGACCCAAACGCCCTTCGTCACACAGCTCGGAAGACAGCCTACCACCGAGCCCGATGATGCCTCTCGTGGTTCATATGGGCGCTGGCGAAGCCGATATTCCGGATACAGTACCGATGGGTTATAACCTAGATCACGACCTGCCCGACTTTCTGAAGTGGGAGGCGGAAAATGTGTATGCGTCTGGGTTCAGTATATCACCGTGAAGGTGATTTTTGTTCGTTCTTTTGTTATTCGCGGTTCATTGGCTGGGATACTGATATATCCATCCCATGCATGAGATCTCATTTTGACACGTTTACCATATACCAAAGCATTGAAGGCGCTGAAGGCATTTATAATAGATGATCGACATATCGATACGAAGTATCACGTTATATAGATGACATAAAAGAATTGATGTTTGATGTTTGAGATTTTCTCATGAAATCAAGATTGCATTGCTTGGTTACAGTGAGAGACTGCGGAGTAGGGAGTACGGTGGTAGGTGAATGTGGCTATAGCCAATCAATCTCGCTGATTCACAAACAACTCCGCATTATGTTTACCTATCTCTGGTCTCATGCGGGCCTTGCAACGGCATCTCATACTCAAGACCCAAGACAAAGAAGAAACAGCAACAAAAGACGTTACCTGTTCTTTTTCTATTTCTCCCGCTGGCTTTTATTTCTATCACCAAAATAAGAATCCATACAAAGACCTCTCCCTTTATTTTCACATCACACTCATAAAGTCATCATAACAACAAAAGCCCTTTGTTTTCATCGCTTCTCTAAGCCAAAAACAACTCCACCACCGCCTACCACAAAGAAATCACAATGCTCAGACGACCTGCAACAACTCTACACATCACTTCAGAGGACGTCGCTTCTTACGAGGACCGTCGTGCGCGTGAAGCCCTCGTCGCAGCACAACAAGCGCGAAGAGCCGCTGCTGTGGCGGCTGCTCAGCAGAGTCAGGCTGATATGGAGGGCGTCCATCAGGCGTTGCAGGAGAGGGAGAGGGATGATGATGTTCGAAGGGTGAGGGAGGAGAGAATCGGTGTTTCGAGGAGGAGATGAGTGGAGGGAGTGGTTACGAGTTATGCCTATGATGGGTTTGGGATTGATAACGCGGCTCATGGCTCTTAGCCGTTTTGCATGATGAAATATATTTTATACGTATAAAGCAGCTCTGCGTGAGCGCTATGTCGCCTATTAAGCAAAGCCTGCTTTTCCAAGAACATCGATATGTTCTCCTAACCCAACGTGAATTATTATATACAGAAAGCTCGAAGCTATCTGACCAAAACCGATACTCCTCCCAATGGCGTTTATTTATCCTCTCCATGCAAGATATGCGAAAAATGATACTGTCATCCAAGCAACACGCCATGTTGTCGTCCATAATTCCCGACCGATTACTCCAAGGGCTTTCTTACCACCAATACGTTGATCCTGAACGCTTGTGCTGAAGAGATTATCGTCGAGATGGATTCGTGGTCCGCCTGCAGACCCCCAGCCCCAGCGCTTATCGCTACGACCTCCACGGCGAGCTTGCCACCGACTTGATGTTTGGACAGGAGATGTACTCCTCCCGTTCCGTGGAGCTGCAGCTGATAGACGTGAGGGTAGGTGATGTGCTGAAGTACCTGAAGATGTGGTGTTGCGATATGACGATGCCTCAGGGGGGTCCATCTTGTCCTTATACATAGGCAGGACAGCCGAAGGCGATGACTTCTCGGGCTCGAGAGCGAAAGGGGCGAGTGAGAGCGCCGGCACAAGCGCAGCGCGAACGACGAGAAGAACAAGCGTTGCGACGATGAAGACGATGTACTCCATATATGTATGGATCTGGTTCGGCAAAAGACACAGATGGGTCTGGATCGTTTGCTCTGGTGCTCCAGGTAGTGGCTTGCCCTGTGCATCAACAGGGTTATACATGCTCGCCATGAGGAATCCCGGCGTAGGAACACCCATGGCCATGCTCATACTCTTGACGGTAATTTCCCGTACGTTCTCTTTCGCGTCTGAGTGCACAACCTCGCAGTAGTCGTGGTCGTCGCCTGAAAAGACATGCTTGATATTGCCCACCTTCTTCACCAGTTTGACTGAGTCATCTTCGTTGAGCACGTTCTGGTACTGATATCCACCAACGACGCTGAGAGCATTTCGGTGATCAGGGAATACAGGCTCCTTCTGACCCTTGGGGGGTTTGGCAGGTGGCCAATGTTCTCGCTGAGGTCCGCAAGGTGTTCCAGGGGCTCGATATAACGGGACGTGAGTAAGAAGAATCGTAGGAAAGTCAGGGCCGTCGGCCTTTTCTGCTTCAGGGTTATTCCCCCATGTTGGTTTCGACCTATCCAGCTCTTCAACGTGGTGAGGATATCGTAAACCTCCTTGGAGATCGTAGTAATGGCGCAACTCCTCCTCAGCCGCCTTTCTCTTCAGTGTCTTGACACCATCCAAAAACTCATTCACGGGTCCATAGATAGGCTGTAAATCATGCTGGTTCTTCCACTCTGAAGTATCCGCGCTCAAAGAGACTGAGTCAACAGAGACAATCGTATGGTTTCCAACAACATCAACACGATTCACATCTCCAAAGAATGCACTGAATCGATCCCGCACTGAAACCTGGACCTGCGCACCAAAACCCAAGTCATGGTTTCCAGGTAAACTCGTCACCAGCTTCCGCCCACGCTGCCAAGCTCCAGGCGCTTCTCCGCCGTCATTGAAGTGCTCAAAGAAGATATCTCCAAATCTCTCATACTCGTGTAGCCAGAAATCCTCGCCGTACTTGTCGTGCCACGTCTGAACCAACTTCTTCTCCTCCTTTGACCGGCCACGTCCCCACTTCGGATCAACGAACTTGCCCTCACGGGTCTTCCACTCGCGGCCGCCGTCGAAAAGATCGCCGAGGAAGAATAGACTATCAGGGTGTAATCGGCGCTGCATGGCTCGGTAACCGCGTCGTAGGTAGTTGTCGGTAATGAGAACTGTGAGAGGGTTGATAGGCCAGGGACGACCTGGGTAGGAATGAGGATCGATTATTTGGGGATCGGCAACGAAGACAAGGTGGTGAGGTTTCGCATCTTTCGGCTGCACATCGTCAGTCATGTCTCTTCCAGGTCGCATACTGCACTGAGAGAAGCCAAACATACCCATTTCTCCCAATGATCCCAATCGCAGCTCGCAACCTTGCTATTAAACACCCATCTCTCGCCATACAACAACACTACCATCCAGAACAATACCACCAAATGTGGAAAGCTCAACAACCGTCTCGAGGTAAGATTCCGCCGTAATCTTCGCGCAATTCGTTCGCCCGTCGATGCAGCTAGACGTTTTCCCGGTCCAAGAGCCCACAGCCTCAGCTGACGCGCCGTCTGCTGTGCGTTGACTGATAGTACATGGCCTATTGACTGGATGTTCCTTGGGACCTTGGAGTTGGTGTGATACTGGTATTGGCGCGACATGATGGCGCCATGCCCTTGCTCCCACGATCTAAAGCCTCGTTGTTAGGCTTCCCACGCAAAAATCGTCGTCGTATCGTGGTTCGTTCACAATGTGGTATTTGTCGTTGAAGTAGCTTTTATTGATCGACGCTTCAGGGAACAAGGAGGCCCCTTGATGCCAATGACAATGTTTCAGTCAAACAATTTATCGTCTCGTTTTCGTGCTCTTTCCAATCATGGGGCCGTGTCGCAGCAATTCGCCGTATTTTCGTGTCCAACGGCGTACGAATTGTGAAAGGAGTGAATAGTTCAAGAGTCAAGATCGCGTGTTGTTAACTTGGTCTCCTCATAAGGACAAATACGTAGCTTGACCTTCCTCATGCGTGCCTCCACATGATTCGCCAACTTTCTTTCTTCCGGCCTGCATGAGGAAATTCCGGGGCCTGGTTGGGGCTTGTTTAGCGTTCAGATCCCCGCTATTCAGGGGTTTTAGCGGCTGATGAACTGCAGTGTCCCTTGAACTGTCTCAGGGGCAAGACTCTCAAGTCGGACTCTCGGTCGATGGAGTCATGCTGTTAAAAATTGAAAAGTCGTCACAGTAATGAAAGGATCAGGTAACAAAAGTAAGAGAAAATCAAAAGAGATCATGCTCATTTTTCTTTCATAGCTTGAACCAAAATTTACACGCCTTTTAGATGGCTGTATTTACACTGCTAATTTTCCCATAATAACATATCCCAAAACTCCGTCCGAATGCCGAGGGCATATAAAGAGGCTATGTCAAGATACAAAACCATATGCTGAAATAATTAACACACGGATAGTCCATATCAGACTCATCTCACGCGGTAAACATCAATGTCGTCATCGTCGTCTTCACTATAATCGTCATCCTCCGGAGGAGCTCGGTTCTTGGGCTTCTTGCTGCGGAAGCTGAGCAGTCTCTTAAACCCACTCGGCTCCGCAGGCTCAGCACCTGCAGCATGAGCTGCACCCGACTCCGGTTCTGGCACGTTTTGTGCGTCATTGTCGGCATCGTAGTCATAGAACAACTTCGGTACGAGCAGTCGGTAAGGCTTGGTGATACCTGTTGGGTCCTTCGGGTTGATCTCAACGTTCAGAGTAATGTCGAGTCCGCCCTCTAGATCAACGGCATACTTGTCTGCCTGCTTCTTCTGCTTAGTAGAAAGACCTGTAGGTGTCCTGTAAAAGTTTCCAGGACGAGGCGCAGGAGGAATGTAGCCCACAGCCTCACGCGAGTGTGACATGGCTCGCGATCCCACAGTTTGAGATCTACGGGGCTGGGACATAAAATAGGAGTCGTCGCCCTCAGTGTATTCGTCGTAGGCAGCTCCACCTCGAATACCCGAAGGACGAGCGCCTCCTCGTCGAGGAGACTGGGGCTCATCCCAGTACTCCTCATCATCATATTCATCTTCGTCTCCCCAAGTGCCATTGACGCCACCATCATCAGCAGCACGACGCTGACTAGGTCGTCGGATGAAGCTGAAGAATCCAGCCTTCTTAGCATCGGGAGCCTGGTCGACAGACATAGATCGCTGAAGCTTGGCCGGGGGAGGTCTACCCCCGTCTGTCGAGTTGCGTCGCGACAGGCTGCGGAACAGACCGCCGCCACCTCCTCTGGTGACAGGAGGTCGAGGACCACGAACAGTGTCTCTGTTTAGGTCAGGGCGGTTGTCCGAAGATGTCGACTTGCTTCTAGAAAGTGACAATCTTCGAAGGAGGCCGCCGCCTTGAGGCTTAGGAGGAGGGCTTGGGCTTCTACCATCAGAAGAACCAGGGGGCGTTGGTGGAGGTGTAGTTCCAGGCTGCCACTCTCGAATTGCACACCAGTTTCGGTGCGGAAGCAGATGCTTGTTGTTTCGCGGCTTGCCATCAACTCCTTGCTGGAAAAGGGGAATCATATCCTCGTCGGTCTGCTTGTCGAAGTGATGCACCTTATTCCTCTTGTTTAGCACATCAGCCATCAGATCAGGAGGTGGTGTGTTGGCAATGGCTGATGAGATGATGTTGGGCATGTATCGCGGGTCCTTGTGTTTGGCGAGACCCAACTTGGGGTTGGAGTAGAACTGTCCAACAGCCGCAAGATGAACGTCACCACTGAGGATAGTGACTCGCAAAGACTTATCAATAGCCAGATCCTGCAAGTCTTCAACCACAACGGCTCGCTCCTGTTTGTGGTTCTTGGCAGTCCAGTGGTCGTTGAGATCATCCAAGACCTCAACACCACCGTCAATGTTATTCAGAGCCTTGCCAAAGACACCGGTCCTGCCGAGTGCTTTGACAGGATCCATCAGTCTGGATGTCAAGCTGTAGTCACGTTAGTATTGAGGCTTTGGAAATCACTCAGGAAGTTACTCACATATTCTCCAACCAGACCAATCTGGGGTACGCAATAGGGATACCCAGGAGCACAAGAAGATGCTCGACCTGTCCGCGGCGAACCTCGGCGTAAAGTCGGTTCATGATCTTTTCCCACGTCTTGTCAGATATAACATCATGCTCTGTCCTCTCGGTACGGCAGTCGACTGCAAGAAGTCCGACCCTTGAACCAACAGACATGAACAGACTGCGGCCAACTTCGCCGATGTATGGGCCAGGCTCTGAGCCAAGAATCCAGCTTGACTCGGTGGTCTCTGTCTCAGTAACAATGGACTGGTGCTGGAACAGCATATAGTACTTGTACGCAATTGCACCCAGGCCACTGAAGACAGGCGACTTCATGTCGTGGTGAGGATACGATCCATATCCGTCGAAGATGTCGTGGTCATCCCACATATTGACCATGGGGATCTGCGAGTTTGCAAGACCGAATAGGCCCTGTGAGAACCACATGCAGTACCTCTCTAGGTAGAAGGTCTCCAGCTCATCTTGCATCTCAGGGGTAAGAGCAGCAGTGTGCTTATGAACAGGATTACGCATCCGAAGCCACTCCTTAAAGAGACTGCATTCTTCCGACACGCAATCGTTGTAGATCTGGTCACCGCCACCAATCATGAGATGGAAAGGTCGTGTTTGGTGGTTGTTCAACACATCGCGCCACATGGGATCAGGGCCACTAAGCTCATCAGGCTTGACGCTCATGCTGAAGCCGTTGCAGCTGTGGAACATCATGTTCATCGTGTCGCCTTGGGCAGGGACCCAGAAGCCTGTGGCCGGTCCGCGGTTGATGCGGTACGCAATGCGCTGCTGCTTCTCACGGAGCTCAACTTCGATGTTGAAGCGCCAGAAAGTGCATCCCCGCTCAGTATGAAGCCTGGAACCTCTCACATCCTTGTACTTCTGGACCTTCTCGCCATCGATGCCAATGCGTTTTCGACGGCTGGCAAAGGATCCAGGCAGATCAGTTGGGCCGTCAGGGCCTGATTGATGAGGAGCGCTGCGAGTCTGCTCGAACAGTCCAGCATCAGTCTCATCACGAGAAAGATCCTTGGCCTCATCTAGATGATCCACGGGGCGCACGTAAAGGGTTTCTCCTCTGCGTCCCACCTTGGGGTGACCCGCAATAGGATCAACATATTCGGGCGACAAGTCACCTTTAACACGGTGAGGAGGGGGAGGCAGCAGCTCAAGGCCTTGAACAAAAAGGCGTAGTGTGGGTGCAATATCATATGAAGAGTCAGAATCTTGAGTGACAATCATGATGCTGCCACGCCACATCTCTCGTTCCACAAGAGCACCGGATCTATCCGTTCTGCTGGGGACCTTCTCGCGCTTAATCCCGCAGTATCTCAACAGCGGACCACACTTCATGAAGAGTGCAGGCTTAAAGCGAGTAGGGGCTGGAGGGTTGTGTCAGTAAAACAAGGATTGGCGACGACATGAGACCAAACTTACACTGCTCATTGTATTCACCATCAAAAGCCTCAGCCTTTCGTGGCCGTGCCGAGTATCCCTTGCTCTTATCTTGCTCCCACCAAGCTTGGTGCGTGTCTGGCTCAGGAAAGTGGCCATCCTGGAGATCCAAGAAGTTTCCGGACAAGCTACCGACGGTTCCCTTCTTCCACTCGTCAAGCCACTGAGGTGGCTGATACAGGCCATCACCGGGAACCATGTCCTCCGGACGCTTGAAGACCATGTTCGAGATATGATGAGAGTCAGAACTTGCAGAAGAAAAGCTATCTGCTCTCTCAGCCTTTCTGCGAACGGCGGCCTGGTTCTGAGCATGAGATCCATCATCGGCTTCCTTTCTACCAAGGAGTCTAGTGCCAATCGATTTACCACGAGTAGGAGGAGGAGGAATGAATTCATCCTCGTCAGCATATTGAACCCGAGGGACGGGCTCAGTAACACGCCTCCTGATACCCTGGTTATCACCAGGCATAGGTATTTGTTGACGCCCAGGAACAAAGTCGACTGATGGTCTTCGTGCATCGGCTGTTTGTGGAGGATCAGGGGGTAGCTCTTTCTCGCGGGTAAAGCGATCATTAAGTTCTTGGGTAATCTGCCGGGTGTTTTGTTGCGTATTCTGTTGCGTATTCTGTCGAGTAGGAAGTAGGTCATCTTGATCATCATAGTAGTAGTCATCGTCATCATACTGTTGTTGCTGGGGTTTCATCGCCGAAGCCATAGGTGCAGGGCGCCTCTCTGATACCACACGGCGAGGAGCATACTGGTAGTCGACTGGCGGGGGCTTCTTGAGCTTGTTGCTGCCACTTCTGGTCAAGGAGAATCCCCCACTCTGAGGTGCTGACTGAGCAGGTTCCCTCGTCATGGTCTGTTCAGGAAGCTGTACGTTATCTCGAGCTGCTCTCTCACGGAAGCTCAAGTTGCGCTGAGGGATGCCAGAAGATGGCTCAACATGCCTGGGAATGGCAGATTGAGGATCCATGCGCCGAGGCATAGGCTCCATGTCGTCTGGTTCCATCATTGCGCCTGAGGCGTAGTACTTCTCTGCTTCTTGGGGATGCGCCACTGACACGCGGCGACGATGTGAGCCTCCTCTCTTCACCGTAACTTGCGGGGGCAATTCTTGGTAAACATCTGTGGGCGCATCGTTTTGCGCATTCTGTGGGATATCTCGGTAGGTGTCTTGTGGAACATCGCGAGATGTGTCTCTGTGGGTATCTCTGGGGTATTCTCGTGACACATCCCGGGAAACGTCTCGGGACACATCCCTTTGCGCCGAAGGTTGCGCACCTGAAAAGAAAGCTGCATTGCCCGACGGACGTCTCTCACCATGCGTGATGGAGGGTTTCCGTTCATGGGACCGCACTTGCTGGCCTGCGGGCTGCTTTCCAGCTTTCAATGCCTGTCGTTCTCTTGCGCGTCGTTCAGCGGCTTCAACTCGGGCGCGTTTTTCCTCCTTGGTCAT